GGTGTCTAAATTAGTAGTAGAGGCAGTAAAGTTTTAATTTAGTAAAGAAAGACATAAATTCTTTTTTACTAATATTAAAAAAAAAGTGTCTTTATTTTTATATAATAAAAATAGTAGTTTTATCTTTATATATAATAACATTTAAAACATTATTAAAGTATACTCTAAGTTAGTTAGCATCTGCTAGTAATAGCAAAAATAGTGTTAAAGTCTCTAAAATGTAATATGTTACATTACTAACTAAGTTAGTAATTTATATAGTACTAATTAATTTTATTAATTTTTGTTTTTTAAAGCTAATACTTTTCTTTTTTAGTGTTTAGTCTACTTTTATATAAAGGAATTCTTATAAGTATGCTTTAAGTTATAACTTCTTTATAGTAAAAATCTTTGCTGCGCTAGTATCTTATAGTTTACTTTAGTATACTATATAGTATTAATCTTTAAGGATAAACTGTTCTGCGTATTCTTTAGGTTCTAGGCTATAGATGTCTTCTACAGTTACATAGTAAAGAAATGTAGCATTAGTAAAGTAGTTAATAATTTTTTTACTTTTTTTTTTATTTAAGTTATTATTATTATGTAACTTTTTTTTTTTTACTCTAGTTTACTTTTAAACTTTTAAATATATATATTTACCTCTTTATATATTAGTATCTTGTTATAAAATTTTTTATATAAAAAGATATATTAGCGTTTTACATAAAATTAATTTATATAAAAATAATTTATTAACTAACATTTTTTTTATAATAAATAAAGCATTACTTTAATTATATAAAGAACTATAATCTAAATAATTCTCTATATTCTTTTAAGCTTCTTCTATATTATTAATAGCTATATGTACATAGTAAGCTATATTACTTATTAGTGTAGTACATGTTTTAGGATTTATTTATAAATGCATTATTTTATTAATTAATTATAACCTAAAGTGCTAAATAAAAGTTACTATACAGTGCTTTATATATAGGCTTAATTAAGAATATTACTTATTTAAGTTTAAGTTACCCTTAGCATGCTTATATAATAGTAGTATAAAGTAGTATCTTACTTTAAAATTATAAACTAAGAGCTTTTTATATAAAAGTAAGTTTATTAATTATAGCTTTAAAAGCTTTATATAAAGTTTTTATAAAGTTTTTTTACTTACTTTATATAAAGCTTATTATTATCTAATTTATCTAATACTAGTTATAGTTTATATTAGTATTAAAGTAATTACTAAGCTGCTTATATAGTAACTTCTATAATTATTTTAGACTAATATTATAAAAGTAGAACATATGTACGCGCTTTTTAAAAATATTAGAAAAGATGCTTATATATAATGCTTTAAAAATAGTAAGGTGTTAATAGAGCTTAATAAATACTATAGCCTTATTAGCTAGAATATTATATAGTTACTTTATATAGTTATTTTTCTTTTTTTATGCCTTTTAAAATTATATAACCTTCTTAGGTGTAAAGTTCTCTACTGTAATATCTTATATAAGTAAAAGTTAGTATAGATTATATAGTAATTAAATTATATATAGTAGGTATAAGCTTTAGAGAATCTTATATAAAGCTGTAGCTACAGGAACATGTAGCTGCCTAGTTATGCTCTTATATAGTAAGCTATTACAAAGTAGTTATACTAATTATAAAAAAAGTATTAGGTTTATAAGTAATTTATATAAAAACATTCTTTATTATGTTAAGACTAGTAATAGTAGTAATAGTTTTATATAATGCTTTAGTAAAATAGTAAACATGTGTTCTTTTTTTATAAGTTTATATAGTATAGTAGCCTTTATTATGTCTTTTTTAAAGCTAATACTTTTATTTTATAAAGTAGTAATTAGTTTTTATAAAAATAGTTAGCTAAAATTTTTAAAGTGTATAAGCTTTTACTTTATAAAGTTATTTTAAAAGTTTTTAAGTGTATATATATTTATTACACTTAATGTGTAAAGTTTTATAATTAAGTTAGCTATGTATAAATTAAGCTTTTTTTTAAGTATATTATTTAATAGTTTAATTTTATTTACTTAATTTTTAATATTTATCTACTTTACTAAGGTCTTTACTAAGATGCCTATAAAAAGTATGTATTAGTTATACATTAATACATTATGTTAGCTAGTTATAGATAGAGCTAGTGTTACTTATTACTCTATAGTAGTTAATTATGCGTTATTACGCGCTGTCTTACTTCTTGTTATACGCTACCTCTAAACAGCCTTATATAAAAAGATAAAATAAACCTTCTAGCATTAAATAAGCACTACTATTTATATAATACCTTTAAATAGTATTATATAGACAAGTTTCTTACTTTTACTTAAGTAACTAAATAAAGATTTATAGCTACTTATATATAAATTAAACTTTATCTTTACTCTTACTAATTTATAGTTAAAGTAGTAAGGAAAAGAATTTTTTTTATATATAAACTTTTAAATAAAAAAGTATAAGAAAAGCTTTTTTTTTTATAGTATTTAAACTACTAATTAGTGTTAAATAAACTCTCTACTAGCTAGCACTTAGTGTTAGCAAATGCGTACAAGACAGAGAGGTTTGCACAGTGTAAATATTACATAGAGGTGTTAGGTAACTAGTGTTAATTGCTTCTTGTTTTTCCTCTGTACAAAGGAAAAAGGGGATATCTAGATGTTCGCGCACAGAGGTTCGCGCACGAGCATCATGTGACATAGATACGTGATCCTGCTCGTGCGTGATCGCTCGTATCCAGGCCGCTACGCTGCTGCTGCGTACGGACACTTCTAACATATAATACGCTTCTTTTATATTTTAGTTGTAGAAAGATAAAGAGCTACTTATTTTCTAAAAACTTTATAGAGATAAGTAAAAGATAATAGAATAAAAATAACTACTCTTTACTTAACTTATTTATTAAGGCGCAAAAGACGCAACGCGAATTCCAAGACATTGCATGGATTAACAGATAAAGCCAACCGGCACATGGACACATCTGTCACTTTCCTAAAGGGGGCCATGCGATGGGCTATCAGCTAGAGGACCTGGTGCAACCAAGGTGTTAGAGAATTCGGAGCCGTACACGCCACTGGCGGGGGTTGCAAGAAAAGTAACGATACCTAAACCTAAACACTCCTGCTTTGAAGGTATCTTTCTCACATCTTGCTGACATTTCAACACATGAAATCTAATTCACCATTCGTGGCAATCAAAACGCAAGTTCTCATGTTGCAACTAGGCTATAGTCTTCAGCATACCTTCCCCAAACAAGGGCCGGCGGGAGACAGCTACTTACGGGCACTTCTCCGCTGAGTTACACATCTTCTCGAAAGCGATTGACTTCACAAATTTAGACCTAATTAGCAAGTCTCTCCGGGTGGAGGGGAGGATCCTGAGATTTGATTGTTGTTCGCCCTCTGTGGAGAGCTGCTGTTAGTTCCTGCTGCCTTGCAGGCATAGTGACTGTTATTTTGCGCACAGTGCGAACCACGATCCCTGGCGGATGCTGCGGATCGCCGTGAAATTTCCAGGTAAAGTCGGACAAACCAGGTGTAGTAATCTGAAGGCATAGGCCAAGAGGAAACACTGACATCATGTGACAGTCGGCTCTGTGTTGCTCCATTCCTCTTTCTGCTACATTCATCACAATTGAAGCAATTAGCAATCATCTTTTCCCATCCTCCCATTCCCACCCACTTTGAGAAACACTATATGAGTAGCCCTAATACCGCAAGACGTGGCAGCAATGAGGTCGATCGATCAGACACCGGAACTCCTACCGCATTCAGTAATTTAGCCAACCAAAGCCCGCTCGCCAGTCAGCCAATATTTCGAATAACCATCCATGCATTCAATGTATGATACGATCAACAGAGATTGTGTTTGCAACACTTAGTGGTTACACTTCTTGGTCTAGAGACCTAATGGCCTTTCAGGTAAAATACATGTATAGAACGACATCTGTGGGGTTAACAGTGGCCTATGGTTTGGGTCCTTACTATTTCGGTTGACGAGTAACAACCGAACCCGACGAATTGGACGAGCCACAAATTCAAGTCTTTTGAACCCTTGCTTCAGATTCAGGAGATCTATAGACGCGGGTGGACATCAATCAACATATATGTGCCAAGAGGAGCTTCCGGGCGTTCACATATCTTCTAGATTAGAGCCTACGCAATTCCTTGGCCATGCCCTCCCATGTGTGGGTAAGGAAGCCCATTTCCACTATCAGAATGTTGGCGTTGCGAATTTATGTTCCAGCAATCTACTATCTTTTGAATTCTCTCAGTAATGTCGCGCTAAGCTGTGACTAAAGTTGGGAAGGTTTCCTCAACCCTTCTATTCTGTACATCTCACTGAGAACAATTTAAGAGCATCTCTCAATCCCCTCGTTTTGTATTCAACGCTCTCAATCCATATACCTCACTCCCAAGCCGTCATGTACTCCACCTTTGCATTTGCACTAGTTGCTAGCACCTTCGTCGCCGCCAGCATCCCGAACCGGGTTTATACTGATACGGAATGCAAAGTCTGTCCATACGAATTATGTGTCAACAAGATTTATTATGAAGCTTCTTACTACAATAACATTACTCTTAACTGCTGGACGGAAGGAACACCAATAGTAAATGACACGTTAGTCTCTTTCAAATACCAATTTAGCCATAAGAATCACTGATTTTGACGTGAGTATAGGACTTGGCTGAAGACACAAGACGGTTGCTATGTCACGCAATATGACTTGTATGAGTATGCAGGAGATTGTGAGTTTTGCATGTGGCTGAAAAATGGAGCTAACTTCAGTAGATACCACTGATCTCCCGTACTGTGGACGTATAGCACCCCATTGGACAACTGTCCAAGGCAGGACGAGATATATGACTGAATGCAATCTTGGCCCTTGGATTGACAGAACGGAGCTTAAGTATTATAAATACGGCATCGATCTTCGCTTGACCTGTGTAGCTCCCACTAGGGGTGAAGAAATTATGAGAAAGAAGTACGAACCGAATGTTACTTTAAGAACCACGGCCGCTTATAACTCCTTTAGGAAATGGTACAAAACGAATTCAAATTGTTACGTCCATGAGACTACATTGTGGCCCGTCGAAGGTATACAAGCCCCAGTGCTGTCATGGTGTAGCCGCGAGACTGACTTCTCATAGACGAACAAGATCTTGAAGATTGCGGGCCTATCCCACGAAGGTTAGATCCAGACAATCGTACGCCAGAACCGACGCCGAGCGCGACGAAGATGCCTTCAGCGTTTCCGAAGCCAAGCGCTACTCCTACTCCTACAGCGGTTGTAAAGCCTCCTTCTACAGCTAAAGCCATCACGGTTGGTAAGCCTAGGCACAGGCTTCAGCGCCGATACTTGTATAATTCAACAGTTGGTGAAGAATACGTAAACTGTACAGCCAATGGATGGCCTAAGGACAACCCGGGGAGAGTGGTACGCCAGTACGAGTTTGGGCAGGAGGTTATTCTCCAGTGCGGATCGTATGGAGACACTGAAGATTTGTCACTTAGTGAGACGTGAGTGATTTACATATGTCTGGACATGTTTTTCACGAGCTTATAAGCGGCTTGCTGATTTTGAGAAGTATCTTCCTTTTTACAACCGATTTTTGCTGGATCAAGGATCAGGAAACAGATCCCCAGCTTCAAGAAGGCAAGTGATTAATATCTTTCCCGCAAATACCTGGTACTGACTGCTCGTACTAGATTATGGTATGTCATCTACATGTGGCTTGCCATCCCGGCAAGCCTCTTAGTCTTATTTTGTTCTTTAACGTTGGAACTAACATCTCGTCTACAGACCGGCAGCAGTATTGGCCTCATTGCGAGAGTTTCAAAGATACAGTGTCTTAAATGTGTACCTTTGGCGGAATTTAAGCAACACAAAGATGCAAGTAAATATGGTGACTCATAACTAGGAGGCTTGGAAGGTCTGCGCGCCTTAGAAGGATTAGGCCAAATTCGATTCTTTTGAATACTCTGTCGCGGTAAAATCGAGTCTGCTATAACATGTGGCCAAGTTCCCATACATTGTACTTTTGGCTGGTGACGTTATAGCTGCTGGTGTGTTTGCGCGTTGAAAAGCACGGAGTTCCCAATCAGCAACCAACGCCACAACGTACAATAACTTCTTTAAAATGCCATGAGCGGGGCACCATATTTCTATCAATTAGCAAGCGTCTTGGCCAGCATCGCGCTCGAATCTTCGTCAAATTTACTCTCCTAGATTCATGTGAGCCATAACTAGGACTGACCTACAATGTAGGATTTCGTGGGGAAGTCCTGCTCTACAGCTTCGCTTAGAATGGCGCAAATAAGTATTCATTGCTTTCCTTGCCATCCCCAAACGGCTCCAGAATCTGCTTACACGTTCGCAGATTATAGCTTCATCAATTTATAACTCTGTCGGTTGAATAATGACCCCTGCTACCGTTTGATCTGATTCCCTACCAACAACGATGGTTTCCTTGCAAATGCTCCCTCAAACCTGGTATGCCGTTTATAAGAACTTCCAAGAAAACAAAAGTAATGAGAGAAAAGAGCGTCACATTCGACGAAGACACCATCAATGTTGAGGCAGAGCAGGTTTCCCTCTCGATTCATCAAAGCAAACTGTTGTCAAGGCAGCCAACCAACCGGCGCCCAAAATGAACAAGACATTCTCACCTTTACGAGGACGATGAGCTACCCGAACTTTCCTAAATGCTGGAAGACCCTGATTCTATGCGCTCTATAGGTGAGATAGACCCCGGCGCTATGCTCTCTTTGGGAGAGGAAGAAGAACCTAGGCGTGCAATTGCTGCCCCAGGCCGAATTTTAGGTCCAAATGCTTACTGAGGCCTCCTTGCTCCTGCCCCACTTCCTCCATTGCCGCGTCGGAAAAATCCCGTCATAGCAAGTGAGATGGACAGGAAGTACTTCATGCATCTCGCGCTCTACAGCGACATCGTGCTCACCGACTCCCTCAGAATCCATCAAGACACCAGCACACACGATGATTACACCGACAACATCCTCGTCATAGCACTGAACGCTTTTCACCTAACCGCATCGGATACAAGCCGGTGCAGTCTAAGGTACGTCAAGATTGTAACTAAGAGGAATTGCTTGAGCACGTACTACGCGTGTAAAATCATGTCTCTAGTCGTGAGATGGGACGACACAGATAAGTACCTGCATAAAATCTTCACAGGCGAGATCTCACGAGAAGAGCAACCTACGCTTGGGTATAGATTCGCAGCATGGAGAAGGTGTTTGCAAAAACGCTTCTTCGGATTCGAGGAGTGAAGAATGAAGGAATGAAAGGACATATAGAACTAGGGTTTGGGAACCTGATGAAAATGGCGCTATCTCTTCCCATAAACTCCGCGCGAGCGGAACCCGACCCGAAGATTCGAATTGGGTTTCAATTGGGAACGAACCCTCACGCCTAACGACTACATATTTACTTACTGGATTAGGGAAAGTAAGCCTAGAATCCTGACGCTAGTGGAGTCTCCGTACTGGTGGATTACGGGACCATGCTGGCGGGACAAGGCGTGTATTAAGAGAAGAGATCGCGCTACCAAAATAATTAATCGCAGCTATGAAAGCGAAGCACGAACGCCTCACCATTGGCACGTCTGACAACACCACGTCCCAGTGCACTGTCACTTCTGGTAGCTATTCGCTTCGAACACTTCGGTCTAAGCCTCCCAATGCCGCAGCTATGAAGGCAGATAAGAAAACTGGGAGGTTCTCGCGGCTCTGAAGAGAAGAAGACACCTGATATTGGAGAGCAAGTGAGTGATAACAAGAAGGGAATGGTAAGTGACCTGAATATTGAGGATATGGTCCGAATATGCGAAAAGAAATAGGATAGCTAGGACTTAGGAATGTAGAAAGGGGCGAATCCCACCTATCACCTCAACCAGCGACTGCGAGTTGTAAGTATACGGAATGAATCCTGGTTTTCATTAACAGGAAGGGTAATACAGTGCAGTTGAGCTAGAAAGCGCTGCCGGGAAAACGAGGCTAGGGGGTCCTGGCGGCTTCTACAGCAGTTAATATAGAATCGCCGTGATATGTCTGGTGGGTTGCCAGGAAGTGGAGGGAGTGGATAGATTAACGATGCTTCAGTATGATTGCAAACTTCTGTAGCTTGACCTAAAAGCATGCTAATGCTTCACGTAGTTAAGCCACAAAGCTACCATGATCACTCCTTGCCCTCCCATCTACCTTCTCATATGCCCTCCACCACAATGCCAGGTTCGCTGCTACCAATAAATCCACCATCTTCAGACCCTCATCCTCAATGATGAGTTTCCCTAGCTTTGCCTGCTTGCCGCCAAAACCACCACCAGCGTATTCTTGGCCGAGGGATAGGTCTAACCGCTCGAGCGAGTTTTTCACCTCTGAACTATTTCTTTGAATATCTGAAATATATGAGCTGTTCCGGCTATTTCGCGGTCGATGAAAGAACGAAGATCGTTTGGACTCGTCAGGCATAGGAGTGGTAGCTTTCGAGCTGCTTGGGAGATTAAAGCGCAGTTCACTGACGGATATTGGTACGGGTGCTGTTCCCTGGAGCCCGGGAACACTGTGCCGACACTGAATAATTAATTAGACCTCCTTACATCTCCATGGTAAAGCACGGGAGAGAAGCTGAATAGCGGTCTATATACCTTTAACGAGCCCCCACCAGCTCCAGTGATAAATTCGCAACGGCCATTCCAAGGGCTCAAAAAAACGTAGCCTCTAAAGGTCGATGTTTTGTTCGACACCTGAATTGTTTTGTAAGATAGATCGTCCCAAGCAGGAAAAGGTGGTGTCTCAGAAGGCCCAAGTGTGGAGGATACACTTCCACGTTGCCAGCTCTCGGAGCTATTCCGGGGACTTTCACGACCTATGTTTGAGTCGTGTGAGTTGATTCTCCGATGGCCAAAGCCACCACTAGAGTATTTTGAGCCCTCCATCCACACTCGTCGCCGGAAGACATTCTCTCCTTGGTCTGCCTGTTCACTTGCAGCGGCGTTGGATGTCGGCGCTAAATGTGCTTTGAGGGCGGAGTCAGTGTGTAGGAACTTCGAGTAGCCAGGATTTAAAATATCAATATACATCGGTGCACCCGTCCTTTTCCTTTGACTTGGATCATTGATGGCTAAAGAAGATACATCGAGGACTGGCGGGTCTTCTATGCGGGAGACGTTCCACTGGGCGCCAGATGCTGGATCTCGTCGGATGAGCGTAAGAGATGTTCCTGTACTGGAGAAATATTCGGACGGTCTTCGTGGAGGAAGTGGAGGCACTTCATTTTCATCGCGAGGGCGCGTTGCGGCGTTTGATAATCCCCTTGGGGGGAGTGGAGGCCCCTCATCGTCATCAATTGGGTAAGGAGGTGGCCCACTCCCAGGCTGTTGATTATAATTGGGGTTTAGAAATTGGGGGGACTTCTGAGGGTACCCTTCAGCGCTGATGTTCTGTCTATTCTGGAAGTCGTTCTGTGGGGCCAGAGTTCCAGGTATTGGCTTCCTCTTTGGTGCAACTGGCATGCTAGGAGGGGCTAGAGCGGGCGATAGGGGCTTCCGGTGGACTGGTGGTTGCGGAGGCTGATCTGGCTGGGCATCGTACCTTGATTCAGTAATGGGATTTGCACTCGGTACGATGAGACGAGTATCCTCCGGTTGGTCGATATGGAGGTAGTAGAGAGAGCTTTGCACGTCCTCTGCAGTGACCACCTTGTCTCGCGGTTTCATGGGAGTGAGGAAGACATCTAAAAAGAATGAGGCCCGGGTCCGCAAAGATCAAACAGGGCAGCTGTACCTCTGCTGCCCGGTACACGAGCAATGTATAAGACTAACGGCTCATGTTTAACATGCGTCGGATTTCTTGGATAAGATGGCGGGTTGGAGGCAAGTGTAGTCAGCGAAGACAGCGATCGGGCTTCAACGACCGGAGTGGACATCTGAGCAAAGGATAGGGAGTCGCTTGGAGAAAAGAGATGAGGAAGATGAATGAATAGATGTAGCGGCAGGGTCGTAGAGGCTAAGATTGAAATTTGCGCTAGAGCAGAGGATCTCTACTGTTTTGTGCTAGCCGATGAGGCGTGCTTTCATATTTATGGGAGAGGGCTGAAGTTACGAATCTGGGTGGCAGTGCAGACCCTTTGATACCTTCTGCGGCAAATGGGTTGAATCACCCAATCTGGGTGACAGGCATTGCTACACAAACGAAAGAGAACACCCAGTAGGACGTGCGAGTGATGAGAAATTGAGAAGGTTGGAAGGTGGAACATCGAGGTTAGAGAATTGGGGGTTGCGCATTGTAGCTGCCTATTGGATCGCGCAAAGATACCGTACTCCGAAGTCACGTACTCCCAAGGAATTTCCAAACTTCTAGAGAGAATGTGGATAACTAGGATGCTGCAGACAAGATAAAGAGAAGTATACGCGACTGTTATAACCTTAAATCATCAAGCATCGCTTTCCAAGGCTGCTTTTACTGCTCGCGGCATGTTCCGCAGTTCCAGCCACTTCCTTGGCCCGTGCGCGAAGCGCCAAGATTTCGATCCAAAAATTCGCCTAGATTCACACGACACACGACGCTACACTGACGGCGCCAATACATCATTCACCTTCGACTTAATGCGGCTTCTTGACATCGTGGATTAATTAAAAGACCCAGGTTAGATCTAGATCTAGTTCTTAAATCTGGCAACATGGGAGACGACCTCGAGGTTTGTCGTCCGTTCCCACCCTGCACATTCACCCGTAGCTAAAACCTACTAGGAGCGTTTAAAGAGCCATGCTCGAGCATTTGAGGGCCTGATGTCTTTAATCCCAGCAAAAGAATACTACGGAAAGGATGCGAGCATTACCAGCGTATGTACTAGTCTCCCTTGGTTACGAAAAATGGATGCTAAATGCATGTCTGTGTAGGAGCAATGGCGGAAAACGAAGAAACAGACCAAGGAGGAATGGCAAGCTGCCAAACGAGCCAAGCTAGATCCTGCTTCACACAAGACCGCCAAAGATGTCCTAGATGAGAACGCTCGAAAACGAAAGCGCGAGCTGGAAGGCGAAGAGTCGTCGGATATTGACATGGACGTCCAGAAAGAGAAGCCTCTTGAAGGACTAAAGGCGGCTACAAGTCAAAAAAAGAAGCAAAAGACTGGTGGAGACGCAGGTGTGCAGATTGACGCGGGTATGTCGGGGCCTGGTGGCGATGGTGGTGCTACGTTAGGTTCCCGAGTAAAGGCCAAGGCCGATAAGAGAAAACAGAGGCTCGAGAAGAGAAAGAAGAAGTTATCGGAAAGGCAGCAGAAAATGGAAGTTGAGAAGGCTCAGCAAGAGGAGCTCAGCGCAGGTTTGGGTGATGATAAGTGTGCCGACGAGGAAGCCGAGGGAGAAGGCGCACATATGGGAGACGAGCATGGCGGCGACCGAATCCAAGCCATAGATGTCAGTGGAATCACCGAGGACATACCATCTACAGGAACTTCGTCTACCGGCTCCAACGCTTCGGCAACATCTGTAGTTTCAGCAGCATCATCAACAACATCCATAATACCACCTTCCACTGCAAATCCCGCAGAGGACAAGAAGGACAAGAGGCCTTTTAAATGGGACCCGGCGAAACACGAAGCATTTCAAAACCGATTGACTTTAAAGCTGGAGGCAATGCGGGCAGCAAGGAAAGCAGATGGGCCTGATGGACGACCTGCAAGGAATCGAGCAGAACTCATCGAAGCAAGGAGGAAGAAAGAGGCGGAGCGGAAGGCATCAAAGAAGGCCAGTCGTCAGGTTGCTAAAGAAGATGAAGCACGCGTGAAAGCAGAGGCTGAACTCGCACGACTTCGAGGATCGGGCTCGCCCTCATTGTTCCCCATGCGTACAACACCAGAACAAGAACACAATCTCGCCTTTGGTAGAGTTGCTTGGAAGGATGGACAGCAGCTTGATAGCAGCCTCTCAGGATTCATTGAGTCTCGAAAGCGGAAAGGACCTTCTGATCCGAAGACGGCGCTAGAAGCCGCCCAGAAGAAGCAGTCCAGGATCAATGGCCTAGATGAAGCAAAACGAAAGGATATTGAGGAGAAAGACTTGTGGCTCACTGCGAAGAAGCGTGCACAGGGGGAGAAGGTGCATGACGATCCAGCACTGCTGCGGAAAAGCTTGAAACGAACTGAGAAGCTCAAGGCTAAGAGCAAGCAGGAGTGGAAGGATCGACTTACGAATGTGCAAACTGGCAAGTTCATGAAACAGAAGAAGCGGGAACAGAATTTGCAGAAGCGAAAGGAGGAGAAAGGCGGCAGCAAGGGGAAGAAAACCAAGAAGCCGGGAAAAAAGGTTAAGAGACCTGGGTTTGAGGGAACTTTTAAGGCGAGGTAAACGCGCTTTGGCCTGCTATTGATGAAGGGTGATGGTTGGTATGGGGCATTCCACGGTCATTTTGGCGCATCGGAATTGGAAGAAAATTTGGGAGGGCTCATTGTGCATGATATGCATTTCCGGAGTTATTTGAGCGAGCCACTGTCTGTTGAGCTGCTCCAAGCTCTTATAACTCGAGCGAGATTAGCTCATTATCAGATTCCTTTTCCAAACCTGCTTATGCTCGATACGCTGTAATTAGTGCTCTTAACACCATACTCTCATATACTCCAACCTAGCAATCACTCTCCACGCACGAAGGATGATCATAAAAGGAAAGAGAATCTCTGTTATAAGGCCTTCCTTCTCCTATGATATGTACACATTTTGGGGCTGGCCTGCTCGCCGTTACCGATACGGCGCATCTGCACGAGCCGCAGCAGCGATCTCTGGTTCCCACTTGTCCCCGTTTGCGAGCAATTTCTCTTTGTTGTAGAGCAGCTCTTCCCTGGTTTCGGTCGCATACTCGGCGTTCGGTCCTGCTACAGGTAAGTTCTGTTCAACCGGGCGGATCGTTGGAAGCACTTACCCTCAACGATAGCATCTACAGGGCAGCTCTCCTGGCATAGTCCGCAGTAAATGCACTTGGTCATATCAATATCGTATCTTGTCGTCCTTCTGCTGCCATCCATGCGCTCCTCGGCCTCAATTGTAATAGCCTGCGCAGGACAGATCGCCTCGCACAGCTTGCAAGCAATGCAGCGCTCCTCGCCTGTGGGGTATCGTCGCAGAGCGTGTTCGCCTCGGAAGCGGGGCGAGATGGGGCCTTTCTCAAAGGGATAGAATATTGTGTATCTATCTTCTGGTCAGATATTCGATGCTCATTGTCGCTCAAGGAGAGTGCAATCCTCAATGGGCAGTACTCACGGCGGACGGAAAAACTGTTCCAGCGCAACATACATCCCCCGACACATCTCAAGCAGTAAGAAGTACTTGCCGGCCTTGTCCAGTGCATTTTCTCCTTCATCCCATCGCTTCGGACGTGGTAATCGGAATCCGGGCGGTGGTGGACCGGCTGGGGTGGCGGCTCGAGGGGTTGTGGTTGAGAAGAGGGCGATGGCGGGTGAGGGGAATCGCGACGGCAATTGCGATGCCCTGAGAATGTACGCGGTCGGTCTACCGCGAGCCAGCATCGTCAATGGCTTTGTGCTGGCCATTATGAACGCTGGAGGGTTCCGGGGCGGGTGTCTTAGGGTTTCGGGTGCTCGTGCTATTATGGTGAGGTTGTCACGGAAGAGCTTCGACCATGTGAAACGGCGTTGCGATGATTGGCCAGCTTTCCGTCGACGTTAACGTTTGACTGGAAGGAAATTTGGAGAACAGTGATATTGTCAGGAGGGACAATAATGCTTGCAGATCGAATAATTAATTTGGAGGGATACTTGTATCTCTTGTGGGCGTTGTGGTGACATGTTCTAGAGGTTCTTCATGTCGCTCGAGTATATCACGTGATTTATTCACGGAATATCCCGCTTGCCCTGCAAAGCTTCAAGCCAAAGCATAATCTTGGACCACCTCCACCTCGACCACGCACCCTCCCCTTCAACACTCCAATTCCGCCTAAAATGTTCCGAACAGCTCTTCTCAGATCGGCAAGGCAAGCCATCCGCTCCGCACCGAGGTGCCAGACCCCAATTGCTCGTCCCGTTGTGCGAAGCTCCCTCTTCCAATCGAAGCACATTACTCCCGCTGCATACTTTCAGGCAGTACGATGCTATTCCGCACATGCCGGTCTAGCGAAAGAAGAGGTTGAGGGTCGAATAATGGACTTGCTGAAGAACTTTGACAAGGTAATGCGTTTGACAAACAGAGGTGGATCAGATGGCTAATCCCCGCACAGGTCACCGATACATCGAAGGTATTTCGTGCGCAAATGTTTTCGACATCCGAGAATCTCACGAGCTCTAGCTTAATGGTCAATCACACTTCCACAATGATCTCGGTCTCGACAGTCTCGACACGGTGGAAGTGGTTATGGCAATTGAAGAGGTCAGTCTCTTTGACGTGAGAAATTACTGCACCGAAGTCTAATGCTGCTCTAGGAGTTTAGCATTGAGATTCCAGACAAAGAGGCGGACGCTATCCACAGCGGTATGTCAATTGCATGGCGAATTTACGAGAGGCGCGCTAACAACTCCGTACAGTCAAGCAGGCAGTAGACTACATCTTGGCTCAACCTGATGGTAAGCGCAAATGGCCGCATGTTTAGTGTATAGCCGAAGAAACTAATGGATGCATAGCGCACTAAGTGAGCTGGGTAGGGTAGTGTGCTGTATTTCAAGGATATGCAGGAATTGGGTAGCCGGGGTGACATCAGGCCCCGACTTTATTATACATACATTCCGCTGCTTGTAAAACAATCGCCAGGAATGGCATCCCATGTACGAACGATTAGAATATGATGCTGTCCACTTCAAAACGGAGTCCGCCTTGCTAACGTGATCCTACGCCCGGCACTCGAAAATGGCGGCCTGAACACCGCGCCAAGCGAGCGCAGCTGCAACCTACCTCATATTTACGCTGATAGACTTGTCACACGAGAAACACCCCCCAACTTGAAAAAGGCCATTGCCGTAACCCTCTATCCTTAACGTGAAGAGTCCCTTTCGGACACCCCCTTTCACTGGCCTGATCGCACCGCCACCCGAGCCGATCTTTCTCGCATGCGCACGCCGAGTGGTCACTGCATCCCTGTGCTCCTTCAAGAGCCTCACCCATAAACTCAACAAAGACCCCGAAACACCTCACTCGTTCCACCGCCCATGGCATCTACAGCATCTGGCCTCACGCGCCGAAGAGGAGGAGGTGCAGTGAGTAATGCAGACAACGAGGACGGAAGCAGGGTCAGCTCGCCCGTCCCCAAGCGCGCCGACGACCGCACCCCAGAAACATCATATGAGAACTCTGAAAATGGACACAAGATTGCATTCGATCCGCGGGATATTAGCGAGAGCTCGGAGAGGAATAAGCAGCCCAAACTGACGCTCATGGAGGAGATAATCCTCATGGGTCTGAAGGATAAGCAGGTGGGCTCTCCCGCCTTTGAACGTTTGAAGGGTTCACGCTGACTTGGGCCAGGGATACCTTTCGTTTTGGAATGACAACATATCATATGCGCTCAGAGGATGCATCGTCATAGAATTGGCGTTTAGGGGCCGAATAAGCATGCAGAAGGACTCTTCGCGGCGGCGGTTCCCCCTTGCTGATCGGGTCATTGAGGTCATTGATGATACTCTGACCGGTGAAGTGTTGCTGGATGAGACATTGAAGATGATGAAGTCGAGCGAGAAGATGAGCGTCAACTCGTGGATCGACTTGCTTAGTGGTAGGTCTCTCATTCCCCTTAAAGACTTTTTTACCAGCAGACACTTATTATGGATCATAGGCGAAACGTGGAACCTCATGAAGATTGGCTATCAGCTTAAACAAGTCCGCGAACGATTGTGCAAAGGGCTCGTCGACAAGGGCATCCTACGCACCGAGAAGAAGAATTTCCTCCTCTTCGACATGGCTACGCATCCTGTTGCAGACGGTGGTGCAAAGGAGGAGATAAGAAGACGGGTTCGCAATGTCCTTACAAGCCGCACCGTTGTTCTCCCCGCCAGCCAATTCCTCCCAGAAGAAATGGAGTTCAGATACCTTCGGACTATCACGATGGTCTGCGCCGCATATGCTGCGAATGTGCTGGAGAACGCCTTGACTACCCTTGGACATGAAGCACGGGAACGTGCTTTTGCGCAGGTCGACGAGCTACTGGCCGAGTACTCTCAATGGCCATTCGCTCGGCGGGCAGGCGGCTCTGCTGGTGTCGGTGCCAATCTCGGCCAAGTCATCAATGACGAGGTCAACAACGGGAAGGATAAGGAGTTACAACTTGAGGTGAGCCATGCCCAGGAAGTTCAAGATGAATAAGTCATATGTTAACTGCATCCACAGGTGGTTGCTGCATGTTTGAGCGTCTTTACCAGACTTGACTCTTTGCTCTAAGTATGCACTCCACTGGGACCGATTGTCCGAACACAGGCAGCTTGTTCGACGTTGTTGGTCCTCTCAATTTAAGGAACGGGTCCCCCAACACGATCTACGGCCTCAGCATAGAAAGAAAAGGTTCTAAAAGATGGAACGAGTCTACAAGACAATGGCGTCGTGCCGAGGCTGTCTTTGGGGACTTTTGACATGTTCTTTTCCAGCGTTTCTGTTCAGAGCAACTGGTGGGGATGTATGGCGTTCGGCCCAACATTCGAACGGATGTATTAGCAAACGGCTCTTTTAATTTCCTTAGGGGATGTGAGGACTAATGTTACAAAATTCACACTCGTGCGCGGAATTGCTTTTGTGTAGCGTGCTCTTTAACAGATGGACTGATCTCCTCCCCTACATCCCGCTGTTAAGGACTCGTTACGCCTCCAGAGTTCGCCGATGTGATCCAGAGGAGGTCGAATGGAGCATTTCTAGCGCTTATCACCCCGACACCAACATTGGTCACGTGAGTAATGTAATAATAGCGAAATCAAATGAAACTTCCTGGGGGTTTGCAATATAGAAAATAAAGTACGGGCAAATAGAAGCGATAAGGCATCCATCGTGAGCAGTGCCCGCTGCGTCCGCTTAGGCCGGCACACTTCAGCATCGAGCGGGCTGGCTCGGCGGGATTTGGGAGCGGAGAACGCCTCATCAGTTCCTCTGCTGCCTCGCTGTCACACGCACCTCCAACGAATTGCTGGCATCCCGAGCTTATCCTCCGCCCGCCGCCCGAACCCCCCTTGGAGGAGATCTTGTCATTTCGGGAGCCAATATTCGGCTTGCTGAAGCCGTTCCGACTGTGTTGCGCGCTTGATCTGGCCGGTCGGCAATTCCTCCCTTCAGCCAAACAGAGGCCCCAGCCTGGATTGACGACGCGCAATTTGCATGATCCATCGGTATGTGTTTTTTCTACACCTCCTGCGCCAGTCGCTCGTGATCCTGTCGTGATGGCCATTGACTTCTGAGATGGCTGCTGCTGTTTTCACCGCGCTGCCATCCACCCCTCAGCCCCTTGTTGTTGTCGTAGGCGCAAATGGCGACGCGAGACCTCGACACTAACCCGCCGTCCTAGGACGTCCGCACCTCTATGTGCCCGCGCTACACAGAGCCATCGTAGACCAAGACACGCCCGCAACATCCAGCACCTTCGACACGCGACACCGTGGCGGTCGTGATGCCCGCGCCCATCAACGCGACCCAACCAGACCAGTCGTTTGATGCCGCGGTGCGCCAGCCGCGAAGCGCGTACGGTCTCGAACACAGCACCAACGGGAATACCAACGGGAATACCAACGGGAAACTGGCCGTCCAGACACCAGACGTGGCTACTGTGGGCGACGGCGCCGAGGTTGCGCGCGGTGAGAGCAAGGTAATACAGGAAGGAAAGGAGAAAGCAAAGACTATCCTCGCTGCGTCGGGCATGCCTCACGAAGCGGACATTACACAAGCCTCCAGTTCACAGTCCAAGACTGTGTCGCCCGCCACCACCGGAACCGTCAACGGCGTTTCTCCCAGTCGCAAGCGCTCGCGCTCCGGATCCCGCATACCCTCGCACGCTTCTGCGCAGAAGAAAGACGAGCCTTGGGAACGCTGCGAGGACGACTACCTCCTCGAGCTGTACAAAGAGCGTGATTTTGACGACCTATTGACTGTAACAAGACAAATGGAATACAGCACTGAAACTTTAACTCAGGCTAAAGCTCTGTTCTCCTATTATAGGGATGAGGTACATCCTATTCGGGTAGCCCAACCGGGGGCCATATTTGGGTATGGATACATGGGCTATGGCAATGGATATACCGACATGAAGGGCCCTCGACTACAGTATCCAGCCCAGGCAAAGCGGCCAGGAAACCGCTTGTCGAGACCGGTACGGGTCTCAAAGAAGGACGTAACTGCCCAGGCCGAGCAGATTGAAGACCTGGTGCCCGTGCGCCTGGATATCGAGTTGGATAAGATTAAACTGAGGGACACCTTCACATGGAATCTCCACGACCGAGTCACACCTCCTGATGTGTTTGCAGAGAATCTTGTCGAGGATTTCAAGCTTCCACCCGAGTTCCGCGGCCCTCTAATACAGCAGATCAACCGCGAAATACAGGAGCAGATCACAGATTTTTATCCCCACCCTTATATTCCCGAAGAACCTCTCGATTCACATTTACCGTATTCGGCGTATAAGAATGACGAGATGCGGATACTCATCAAGCTGAATATTACGATTGGCGCACATACTCTCGTTGATCAGTTCGAGTGGGAGATGAACAATCCCCTGAATTCGCCCGAGGAATTTGCAAGGCAAATGGCCGCAGACCTGTCATTATCTGGCGAATTTACAACCGCAATTGCCCACTCGATACGAGAGCAATGCCAGATGTTCACTAAGAGTCTTTATATCACGGGTCATCCGTTCGATGGAAGGCCGGTGGAAGATTCGGATATCCGAGACAATTTTCTTCCATCTCCTCTCCCTTCTGTTTTCCGACCAATGCAGTCCGCGAAAGACTTCACACCTTATCTTTACGAACTGAGCGAGGCCGACCTAGAGCGAGCGGAGCTTTCGATTATGCGAGAGCAGCGCCGGCAGAAACGATCTGTCAATCGACGTGGTGGACCAGCATTACCAGATCTCAAGGACCGACAAAGGACTGCCCGTACTTTGGTTGTTTCTTCCGTTCTCCCCGGAGCCGCCGAAACGACTGAAGACAGCAGAATGTTTAAAATCTCCCGAAGTTCTAAACGGGCCGGCGGTCGCCCTGGTCGCACCGATGGCGGAGATGATTCCGACGAATCTGACAGTGACGAATCTGTGGCAGAGTCTCCAGCACCTTCGCAGCTTACCGGTGGTACTGCTCGAACCAGGAATATGCGTACGGCTGCAAATGCTGCTCAAGCTGCAATGAGATCGGCAATGGGAAGGTCAGCAACTCCTGAAATTTCGACGCTACACCACCACGAAACCAGGACCTCCGCCCGACGACTCGGTCATGAAGTCCGAGAAGAGAGTGTGTCAGAACCTACATCCCTCGTTGTAAAGCTCCGAATATCAGCAAAGAAGTTCCGAGAATACCTTCAAAATCCAAAACCTCTTCCAAAACCTGCTTCAACCCCTGTAATGGCTCCAACACCTCCTCCTGCTCGAAGCGCAACTTCGATGCCTCCTCCCCCCTCACCAGCAATGCCACCCCGTTCAACTCCCGCAAACGGGGCACAGCCAGTGGAAGCCCCCTCACGCATACCATCAACTCCAACGCCAGCCCCTCAACCTCAGCAACAGTGGCAGTACTATCCCGATGGGCGGGCAGATGCACCGTATCCCCTCCCGCCTGGTTCAACTTCAGTACGTTGAATGATCAGTGGTTTCTTAAAGAATTGATCACTTACTGTGTTGTAGGCACCTCCACCTCCATGGTTGCAGAACGCCCTTCAAGAGTTAAGAGAGAAGAATCCCAACGACCTTTTCGAGGCTACCATGCGCTACAACATCATTGATCAAAAGACCCAGAGCACCGTCAAAGCGGACCAGCTTACCGGAAGCGCGACTCTTCCTCCAGGCATTAAAGCGCAGTGGCTACCCCGCATCCGCTGTATTGACTGCCCTGGAAAACTCTACACCGCTGGGCCTGGTTTGACAGTGGAGAATTTCGAAGTCCATCTCAAGAATCGTCAGCACAAGGCTAGCGTTGAAAGGCGGACAGGAAAGACAAGCGCTTCATAGAAATCTAACGAAAGCACGTTCTTGCACTATTTCATGGCATTGCATCAGAGTGGGGTAAATAATCGAACTCCCTCATATTGGCGTGCGTAATTACCGGTGTTTGTACAAATTACGGGAGAGTTACTGCTCATGAGGCAGAGCCAGGGAACGTGGACGTGGATCGGCGTTTTCATTTGCCGGTGCATTTGGAAAGGAGAGTATGCCTCGACACACCAAACTTCTTGGATCGTTAGGCATATGGCGTTGACGGATGCTTAAGATATGTACCGTAGAACAGTCGTGGTTAGAAACTCTGCTTTTGAGGTTGCTACAACACGTTGCGATAGCCAATTGACACAATTCATATTTAGGGGTTCGGCTGAGCTCCATTATATTGTACAAGTCCACGTCACCAGTCTTTCGTACACCTCCTGTTCCTCCCGTCTCCAGAGCGATCTCACCCTAATTCCTTCGCTCGAAATCGATTACGCAGAGCAGGTTTCATCACGTGCCCAGGTTGTCCACTTCAAGCGAGCGTCTTAGTTTCGACAATGCACCGCTCTACTTTCCACTACCTAATTTTCTTCGTCCTCCTACTTGCCATGAAAAGCCACGCACAGGTCCAGGTTCGCCTCCTGACGCATAATATCCGATATGCTACTACGAGTCCATTTAAAGGCGAGAAACCATGGGCAGAGCGACGGCAGCTCCTCCTTAATGAGCTATGCTTCAATACACTGTATAGTCCTGAAAGCTTCATTTGTCTGCAGGAAGTTCTGCATAACCAGCTGGTGGATATCATGGTCGGTTTGAACAAGACGGCTTATGAATGGGATTATATCGGCGTTGGTCGTGACGACGGAAAGGAGGCAGGCGAATACAGTCCTATTATCTACCGCCCAAAGATCTGGAAACTGGAGTCTTGGAAGACGTTCTGGCTCTCCCAGACCCCTGATAAGCCCTCTAAAGGCTGGGATGCGGCATCCATCAGGATCTTGACCGTGGGCTTCTTTCAGCACAAGGAGAGCAAGAGGAGGGTTATAGGCATGTGTACGCATCTGGATGACCAAGGGGGAACGAGTCGAACGGAGAGCGCGAAGCTCATCCTCAAAGTCGTGGATCAGGCTAGCTCTGGGGGCAATTCTTCAGACCCGGTACCCGTTTTCCTGGCAGGCGACCTGAACAGCGAACCCTCTGGCTCGGCGTATCAGATCTTGAATGGGAAGAATTCGACGCTACAGGATGTAAACGATCTAGCGCCGGTCAAGTATGGAGACAAGAATACGTTTACAGGGTTTCAGGACAGCACGACGAAGACGTTAATTGATCACGTTTTTGTAGGGCCGAGGGGAAGAGCGGATTGGGAGGCGAGGGCGTATGCAGTGCTGCCGAATAAGTTTGAGGACGGAGTATATAATAGTGATCATAGAGCGGTCATTGGGGACTGCGTTTTGAAGGAATGAGGGGCTTGATGGAAACGGCCAAGCTGGCGCTGGGGAATTATATTACGACATCTTGGAGGCAGCCTGGAGTTAATTAATCATGAACAAGGAGATTTTGGTCGACTGTGAGAAGGTGGAAGAGCATTTGATATTGAAGAAAGATCTGTGTGTCGTGGGTAGGTTCCGTTCAGTGGCATGACTTCGAATGCGTGGTAGAAGCGAGGCAATTGAGCTAGCAGCGAGCGGTATTGCGCGTTCACCGCATGTCATCACCTGTCGTCTCCCAGAAATGTGGGCATTATTTGTGAAGTAGCAGGTGATCTGTGAATCGTCTCCCTTGTGGCCATTTGCATTCATTGGCTTCCAAGCGAGGAAAGAACCCCGCTGAGGGGCACTACAGGCACGAAAACAGCAGGCGGGCCACACGACGTTAAAACAACAGGGCTTCACCTTCACTCCCTTTTGTACCGCCCTCAATTCTTCGGCCATTAAACACACCAACCATCAATATGGCAGAAGAAGCAACCGTTGGTACGCTCGAGTCTCTCCTTCTCCATAAGAGTCGTTTACCCGGTCTCCCAGCTCTGGGAGCTTGGTCTTGCTTGTGACGACAGAAGAGTCACGGTACTAATTGACCTCGACAGACTACACTCTGGCCAACCCGGATACCTTGACCAAGTACAAGGTAGCCGCGCAGATCTCTCAGAAGGTACTTCAAGAGGTGACAGGTACGTCCCTCCCCGAGCCATTCGAGTTGGACTCGAGAATTGGTCGGAAGCCGTGGGCTGATCGCTTGCAGGATGGTGTGTCGAAGGCGCCAATATTGTGGAACTCTGCGAACGCGGCGACAAGCTACTCGAAGAGGAAGTTTCAAAGGTCTACAAGGGCAAGAAGGTCTCAAAGGGCATCGGCCACTGCACTACCGTCTCTCCGAACTCATACATCACTCCATACACTCCCTTAAAGTCAGACGCCGAGGAGGCCGCTACCACACTGAAGGCGGGCGAATGCATTAAGATTCAGCTTGGGGCTCAGATCGATGGCTTCCCTGCCATTGTGTGCGATTCCATCCTGATACCGTCCGAGAAGAAAACTGACGGCGAAATCTCTGGTCGAGAGGCAGATCTTCTCTTAGCCACATACTACGCAAACGAGTTGTTGTTGAGGTTGATGCTTCCACCGGGTCTGGTTGCTTCTGGCATGGAGGAGGAGCAGAAGAAGGCGGCAGCACAAAAGCCTTATACCCAGGGTAAAATTACGCAAATGCTGGAAAAGGTTGTACAGGCCTACGATTGCAATCTGGTTGAGAGTACTACTATCTGGCTATTCGAGCACAATGAAATTGAAGCCAAGAAGAAGATCATTCTAGCACCAGGCGAAGGTGTCAAGGGCGAAGGCCTGCCTGAGGTTGGGGAAGTGTGGGGAGTTGAGATGGGCGTCAGCTTGGGTGGTGGCAAGGTCAAGACCCTTAGCAACAGGCCCACTCTGCACCGCCGCACAGCTACTACGTATGGATTGAAGAGGCCAACGTCGAGGGCAACGTTGTCTGAGGTGGTCAAGAAATTTGGAACCTTCCCTTTCAGTCTGAGGCAACTGGACGACGAGAAGGCAGCCAAGGTCGGTGTCGTCGAATGTGTCCGAGGAGGTGTGCTCCGTCAGTACGAGGTTGTTGGTGACAAGAACAATGATCCTGTCGCTAGGCTCTTCACGACTGTTGGTAGGTCAATAGCTCACTTCTTCCGTGCTTTTCGTGGCCGCTTCTGGCTGCTGTGCCCACTGGTACAGTTCATTGTATGGCTGAACTTTTCAGCATCTGCTTCCCTGGTTAAAATTCCCGTTTGATATTGTTCAGATGGCTAATTTTTTTTTTTTTGCAAAGCTATCACAAAGAACGGAATGACGCGCTTGGCTGCACCGCCTCCTCCTAATCTATCCAAGTACAAGACCGACAAGAAGATCACCGACGCGGAGGTTCTGAAGATTTTGGAGCAGCCCATTGGCAAGACATCAACCAAGAACAAGAACAGGAAGAAGAAGAAGAAGGCCGCCAAGAAGGCCGAGAGTGAAGAGGAGGAGAGCAGTGACGAGGAGTAGACTATCAACCAAGCAAAATCACCAGAGGCTTGCCAGCAGAGGAATGTACGTGGCTCACTCGGCACTCAAGCGCTCGAATTCTTGCGCTCAACTTCATAGGGGGCACTTGGATCATTCCACTGCTTGCGTTCTGTCTATGTCTGAACCCGGATTCGTGGATCTGTAGACCAGCCCTGTAGGTAGATAGTGCCTCTAATGGCTTTCAAATAAACAGATACCTTCACGTCATTCTGAATCTCTCATGTCATGTTGACTGCAGTGTCGGACCTGAAGACCCGTACTCAGGGGTTGGGGGATATAATCACGGGGCTCGCGCTTGTATGACTGAGGAACAATTGTGGCCATGCAATATACCTTTCTCTATATGGAGACACTTTTTTTTTTGCCAATATACTTCGAGTGAACAATCAGTCGGGCCCAGCCTTACGTAAGGGAAGGGTGGTTGTCGCGGAGAGCGGAGGTGAAAAGATGAGCCTACTTGCCTTCAAGTCACCACCGCCATCCCACAGCACAAACTTTTCTTTCTTTTCCAGAATTCCTCCAGCGGCAAACTTTCGACTCGGTTCTACTTTTCATAGAGTTGCCCGCGGTTATCACGAGATTTTTGCCTTGGTTGGGCGGCCAGGGGATCCGGACTGCCGCGACCTCGCTAGATAGATGTCCTTGATCTCCATCTTCCTTTCACAAATCCACCCTCCTACATCAATCTACCACCCACCCTGCGGCAAGACGGGTGCGCACCGCCGGAGCTGTTTGTACGCGAATATTTCCGGTTGAACGCGTGGTAAGTGTTAATTGAGAGATTTTCCACGGGCGGCGCGCTTACAAACTCGCAGCTCCAGTCGCCATGCCGCACTTGCGGAAACGCAAGTCCTCGAGGAACTCAACGCCCCTCAACCTTCACGATGCGCCTTCGCCCACCTTAGAACCGACGAAAGCCAAAACCCAAAGCTCTCTGGACTCTTGGATTGAACCCCCGCTAAAAAATCCCACTCCGTCGTTCGAAGACCACGGCTTCGCGCGACACGGCGTCCTCGAGACTATGGCTCCTCTCGGCGTGCCCCCGTCCGCAAAAGCAAGGCAGCGAGCTCGCGCGTCCGGCGATCCGACTACCCGACGTTCACTCTTTGTCCAAAACGGCAATGTGCTGGCCGGCGAAGAGGGTGTGTCCACCCCAGAGTTGACGCCAGCCCCGGAGGTTGAGCAGGACGATTCGGAGAGGCCAGACGACGAAGAGATGCAGGCCGTGCTTCCCACACAGGACGAGGAGGAAGATGACGATTATGTGCCAAAAAAGAGCAAGGGAACCCCAAAGGCTGTAAAGGCTCCGGTCAGGAGAAGTAAGACTCCTGTCGGCAGCAAGACCCCCATCCAGAGCAAAACACCAGTCAAAAATGGTATCAGCAAAACAATGTCAACTCCGGCTCGCGACCCAGTACCACAGGGCACTCCGCCGAACGTCGCCGTCGCCACCAGGCAGCGCATGCAGATAGCCGTGAACGACGCCATCGCTCGAGCGAACGCGAATTTTCAACAGAACATCGGCACCGCTCTGCGACAAATGCACGACGATAGCCTAAACGACTCTTACATTGCGTCCGTCATAGAATCAGTCATTCATCAAACTTCTACGCCGGAGCAGTTCCAAGCGTTCCGCCTTTACATCAAGAGCGCAAAGAAACGCGCGAAACTTCAGGCAAGGGAACGCCAATCATCGGAGGTACGAGGAGCTTCCTTTCACCGTCCAGCGAATTTTCCAGCTTTCACTGGCAGACACACAACGGTCAATTCGCCTTCAAATTTCAAAGCTGCTAGAGAGCAGCACGACACCACTGTTACCCCACCACAGCAACCACCGACAGTCAATCCGAACATGTCGGGTGAAGCCATGCCCGAGGATTCAATTGCAGTTGCGTCCCCAGCTAAAGCACCACCTCATCCCCTCAATAACGCCCCTGCACTAACTGCAACGCGCTCACCATCATCACAAGCGTCACGAATACCGTCAAAGTCGCCGCCAAAACAGCAAGTAACCAAGGGAGAGTCGTCCTCACCAGAAGCGGATGTAGACGCTTCAGCTGAACCGTCCACTAAAGCTCCGTCCGCGAATGCCCCAAGTCCCTACTCTGTTGATGCCAGCGACAGCGATCTTTCTGAGGTCAACGAGGAGATCGTCCAGAATGGACCACCAGGGTCAGCTCAGGTCAACGGTAATGGGGCTGCTACTGTTTCGAAGAAAGGAAGAAATGCGGCGCTTGCTCGGGCTGGGAAGAAGGCACGAGCAAACTCGGCGAAGCCTAGCGGCAAGAAAGAAAAGAAGCATCCACCAACCCCGCAAGAGCTGGCTGAAGAGGAGGAGCTTCATCAAAAGAGACAGGCCATGGTGGATCGTCAGCGGTCTCGTATAAACTTCAACCCGCCCGTATCCGACATTCGTTTTGAGGACGAGATTCACGAGACTGAGTCCATCTCCTCATCACAATTTGCTCTTGGGCCCCCTGTCGAGACAATCCGCGTCCGCCGTGTTGGTCGACCAGCGCGTAACAATACCATCCACATCCCAGCTACGCTTGGAAAGCGGTTGCGCGAGGACGACCCGAGTCTACCTTCACCACAGCTCAAATCAGCCCGCCCGTCGCGTCCGACAACGCCAGCTGTGCCTGGCCCAGCTGCTAAGCGACTTAAGTTGACCAACGGCCAATCTGCAAGGACCAAGCGATCGTAAGTTCTTTTCCATTATTTCTGCCCTGCCATCAGTTCTGTCCCGGTTTTGGAGGCTAGAGGTCGCTTGCGCCTCGCCAGAGACACCCTTTCTGTGCGAGGGGTGTGGCCTACATTGGTTTTCCACGTGTTCATGTCGCAAGTACTGTCAATTTGGTATCAAGGGCATTTGACTAATCATGGTTCTACACATAGGCCGGTCAAAAATCGGGATGGACCGATCGCTGGAATCCCGCATATGGGTGGTGGTGGCGGTCTGAGACCGTTGGGGCCTGATGACAATGAGCCGGTAGGTGGCACTCAAATCCCGCTGCACCCAACCACATCATCCTTTCTTCCCTCCACCACAAACATCAACAAAATTCCTATATTCCTTTTCATTCCATCACGCATGATTCTCACAACTCTTTCTCTTCCTCTAAAGTTCCCTTACTCGCCTCCAAATTCGTCTTTATCCTCTCCACTAACATGGTCACAGGGCTCCCCACCTTCAGAGAGCGACGACTATTGCGCTGCCTGTAAAGGCACGGGTGAATTCATCTGTTGTGATGGATGTCCACGCGTCTTTCACTTCCTCTGTTGTGACCCACCGCGCATCGATGCTCCTGAAGGATCTTTCTTCTGTCACGAGTGTGAGGCGCGTCAGAAGCGTATCGACGACTCCGTGGAATCCTTCTCTCCGTTGGTGTCACTGTTCAAGAAGCTTGAAGGCACGAACACGCGATCTTTTGCTCTTCCTACTGAGATCCAGACCTTCTTTGAAGGCGTCGAAGCTCGTGAAGATGGCTCTTACGGCGAACAGATAAAAAAATATCCTCTGTAAGTTGTTTGTGCAGCCTTTGCAGGCTCTGGTACTGACGTTACAAAGCTCGAAGAGCAGCGGCTACGGCTATCAGAAGCCTGATTACGTGAAGCTTAATGACACCAACCACAAGGCCATTCTTTGCGTCAAGTGTTCCGAGTCTGCTGGGGCTGCGCCAGGAGCTATTGTCAAGCGACCGATGCTCCAATGTGACTTTTGCCAGGACCACTGGCACCTAGACTGTTTGGATCCGCCGCTCGCAAACCCGCCGTTCATAGGTCTGGAGGCAACGCATCGCGACGCTTGGAAATGCCCACGTCACATTGATCACGAACTTCGCAGCGGACAGGTTTTGCAAAATGATTTGAATACTGTCAACAGTGTTGATATCGAGATGGAAGATGTCGCCCCTGTCACCCGAGTCGCCCGCAAGATCCGAAAGCCGAGGATCCCGACCGTTTACGAACCAGCTTTCTCACGTGGCGTCCATAACAACGGGCTTATCGAGATCATCAATGATGACGGTGATGATACAGACGGCGAAGGCAACTACATTTTCTCGACACGTCCTCGCGATGGTCTTGACGAAGAGACAGATCAGTTTGCCAAGTTGTTCCGTGTTCCTGAGAAAGGTCTCGTGCTTGATTTCATTGACAGGGTCAAGAAGTAAGTTTTCCATCAAATTTCATCATATTCCTTATCTAACTTCTATTTTAGTTCTCGTATCGAGAAACGAAAGGCTGAAAAGAAGGCTGTGAAGGCTGCTGTGAGGGCTGTCGCGAAGCGCAAGGCTTCACTTGAGGCTTTCGCCGCTAGGCCGATCGCTACACAGCAGGCTGCACTTCACCTCGTGCAATATGCCAATAAAGAGGAGGACATCGGACTCAATGAGACGAGCGTCCAAGGTTTGATTCTGGGTCTCACAGTAAGCTCCCTTGTGCCCCACATGCCTTGTTTGATCAGCGCTAATTCGTGTGAAACAGGCCGAAGCCCCCAACGACGTTGTCACTGCCATCTCTGACGCTGGACCTGGATCCCTTACGGAGCAGAAACGAGCCGAATTGCTGAAGCTTAAGGAGTTGATCGATCGTGCTCTGAAGAATTGAACACGCCTACTGGCTCCTACTAATCGCCACCTACTCCCACACAACGAAGTGGAGACGCTTGGGTTACCCTCAACACCAGACCTCCCTCGCTATATATGGTCGAGCTACTGTGTGCACTGGTTTCTATGTCCTACACTTTCCCACCCACCAGCTCCTACTCAACGCCACCGACTCCCTCGTGATGAGGTTGAGACGTTGGGGTTGCCCCCAACCCCGGATCTCGCTCAGGATATGGTTGAGATACTGTGTGCGCTGGTTTCTATGTCCTGGTACCTTCACCCACTGCTTGAATTCATTGCCACCGACTCCCCCGCCAAGAGAGGTTGAGACCCCAGGGTTACCCTTAACTCTAGACCTCTTTCACCAAAAATTTGGGATACTGGGTGCCCTGATTTCCAAGTCGTGGGGTTTCCACCCGCTGCTTCATACTCACCACTGCAGACTATGCGCTGGTCTCCGGGTCGTGGTCTGTTTCTTCTCATCATCAATGTGTTTTTAGACTGCGATTTCTTCCTCTCTCATTTCTCTGTCTGGGTCGGGTCTGGGTTTCAAGAGCTGTTTCCCTCTACCCCATGCATAGCGAGGAGTTTTTTTTCTGGGCTTTCCCAGCAGGATAGTGCGTAGCTCCAGGCATGGAGCCTTATCACGGAGCTTTATCACGGAGTTTAAAGGACCACTCGGTCCCCTTTTCTGGAGCGGAGCCTGTTTTGTTACGCAGAATGGATAGGATGGAAATCTTTTTCTCGAGAAGCATACCCTTGGCTTAGGTCTTCTCGACAGAGTATGTAATATATGAATGACAGATGGGTGATTGAGCTTGAAATTTCCTTCGTTATTTTGCAATTGAGGGAGGACTTTGTTCAGATTCTCGTCACATCTTCTGCGGTGTAGAGAGACAAATAACGTAAGTTTTTCGGTGTATATGGACGTTCGTTTGAGTTTGATTGATTGTCAGTAGAAAGATAGTCTGGTCTTCTTCGCCTACCGTTGAGAGTCGAGCCAATTTTCCAGCTCTTCGAGGCCTGAGGCGGCCCGAGGGGAAGGCGGAGGCACGTCCAGGAGGCGTAGTTTATGAATAGGTATCCAGACAAAGCATTGGATGGGAAGTTCGAGAGATCGATTAGCTCCTCATGTGTGCCTTGAACTGAACACGTGCTTTCCAGGATATATTGAAAGCACACGTCATCGTGCTATTGCCACAGAACTTTTACAACCAATTAACGCAGGGACTGAGGACACATCTCTCAAGATAGGTAGTTGTACATACATGCATGGCAAGCGCTTCCTAGTGCCCACCAAAGAGGATACATATCTTTCTTCTATTTCGGTTTATCTAGTTGCGGAAAGGCGAAACGGTTACGACACGGTATTGCAATGCTTTTATTAGGCCTCTAAGGCGGAATCCTTTCGCCCTAGAAAACTAGACTCGAGTGTATAAGCCTTCTTTTCTCTTTGGCATAGGTTGTTCTCTCCGGTTTTATATACGTAGAATAGAGGCGGGGATATGTGACCAGACTATCGAATCTATATTTCCCGCCCCCGATTCAGACTCCAAAAAGAATAGAGAACGAGGCTTTTGCAAATAATTCCGCCTGAGGCTGGGCAGGCCAGATGTATCAATATATCATGTAGCTCGCTGTAAAGATAGAAGGTACTGGTGGCGTCATCGAAACTTTGTCTGTTATTGGATTTGATGCCATGAAGGTAGAAATAGAAATTTGGAAGAGCTATCAGAATGCCCACTCTTCGGTAGCACCATCTTAATCTACAAGGGAGACTCTTCGTAACATGGGCGGTCCAATTTTTCGCGCCAACTCAGCCCTGTTCAGGAAACAATATGAGCCACTCACTGGCAAGTCAGATCACACAGATGAGAAGAAAACATACACTATGATATTAATCCCCTCCTTTCCTTGCCGCAAACATGCTTTACTTCCCAAACCATCCCTATGTTTCACAACGAATCCCAGGCTGACGGGGAGCCTTACTCGCAGACTCATCCTCATAATGACACGTCACGCACATCCAAAACAGGCAACGTCATCCATGCAAGACAGGCACACCAGGGCTCCGAGTTCAGTGAGCAATGGCCTTGAAGGCAGACAAACAACATATTAAGTATGTTTGATGCCTGTGTTGTAATATGATATGATGGTATGATATGATGTGAGGCAAATTAGGTGGGGCAGGGAACGGGGGACATTTGAGTCACGGAAGGAGGACGATGTTTATGTTATGAGACACAGACACACGGATGAGTTTATTAGGAAATGATTGGGTATGATCTGTCTATTATCGCGCCTCGTGTCCGGAAGAGGGAAATGGGGAAACTAGTGTGGTCATTCCACCTAGCATTATGTATCGCGCCACTGTGATCTACCCCTGGATACGCTAAAGAGACAAAAGTCGGTTTAGGGAGGGAAAGGGCTTTAAAAAGAAAGTGAGTGAACGTTAGCAAATCAATCACGGCTTGCAGCGGCCAAAATATCGTGGGTACAGACAGCAGTCACGGACTGTATGCTGCTTGCAAAGCCATGCTAGGAAACGCTCGAGACCGAGACCATAGCCGCCGTGGGGAGAGCTGCCGTATCTGTAACTATGTTAGCCGCTGTCATGGACCTCTGGGAGAGGGTATCGTGGACTTACTTTCGCTGGTCGGTGTACCAGTAGTATGGGGCAGGATCAATGTCCACTCTCTTGAATGCCGCTATCAACTCATCATAATCGTAGATCCTCATACTACCACCCACAATCTCCCCAACGCCAGGCATCAAGCAGTCCACGCTCTCAGTGACTCGGGGATCATCTTTATCCTTGGGCATGTAGAAAGCTTTGATCTCTGCTGGGAAGTGTGTCAGGAAGATGGGCCGGTTGATGATGTCTGTCATCTTGCGCTCGGCAGCTTCAGCAATGTCGTCGCCGAATTTGTGCGGCTCGTTGTCTTCGTTCAGGATTCCATGCTCCACAAGCCAATCAATGGCTTCGGTGTACTTCATCCGCTTGAATGGTCGCTCCGGAATCTGGAACTCGGGGTTGAGGTCCATGATGTACTGCTTGACCGTAGGATCAGACATAGTGACTTCAAGAACACGACACATGACTAGTTCTAGATGCTCAAGGAGGTCATCGAAGGTAATGAAATCCAGCTCGGCCTCAACGTGAGAGTACTCGGCCAAGTGGCGACGGGTCAGAGACTTCTCTGCTCGGAATGACTTCTCGATACAGTAGACATCGCCCATTGAGGGCAGACATGTCTCGAGATATAGTTGGGAGGATTGGGTGAGATATGCCTCCTCATGGTAGTAGTTAAACTTGAAGAGCGTGGCACCTCCTTCGACCTGGGTTTGGACGAGAGCTGGAGGGCTAACTTTTCGCATGCGGAGCTCTTTGTAGACGATGTTGAACGCGTACTCGACGGCATCCCGAACGATCAAGACCTTGGATGCGTTTTCCCCTCGAAGGGTGAGATGGCGTAAGTCTAGCAGTGTCGCGTGCTCAGTGTCCTTTGATACCCTATTGGTGATGGCGTCGTCGCCGCCTGCTGCTTTGCATCCCGCGTGGATCTTGAAGTAATCGGCGTGTAGTTCGCGGTTGTTAGGCGCATGTGCACCAGGTGGAACCTCCTTCAGCTCTCCGAGGATCTCCATGCTTGTCTCTCGAGTCAACGTCAAGGCATCGTACGTCTTTGCGAGGGGACCAGTAAAGATGACCTGCATAAACCCGTATCCGTCTCGGAGTGTGATAAACATGACTTCTTTTTGTCTCCGCTCACGGTGTACTCTGCCAAACACTCGAACTCTAGTACCCTTCACATCTGAGCCGTTGCCCAGCTTGACCTTGGCCGGATCTGTCTCGTCTAGCTTGATCCTCTCCGCATGGGGTAAGCTTGTGTCCTCCTTAATTATAATCTTCTTTGCCTCGTCAAGCACCTTCTTTCGATCCGCTTCCTCCTTCATCCTCATTGCAAGCAGCTCCTGTTCCCTGGCAGCCTTCTTCTGCTGGGCTTTGGCGTAGTTAATCGCCTTCTTCATAGCCGCCTTAGCAACTGGCTTCCATTCTAGCCTCGAAGTTGCATCCGAGCCCTCGGGCACATCCCCGCTCAAGCTCTTGCGTGTGAGGAACTTCGCAGTCTCGCCATGGGTGAGCACAGCGAAACCGAGAGTCTTGTAGGGAAGGTCTTCAGTGCCGGTTTGTGCTTTGGAGTCTACACCGACATCTTCATCGATATAATAGGTCGGGTCTGCCATGGTGGGGGCAATTGGGCCGAAATGTGCGTTGAGGTTGTGGTGTTGTCGTTGTCTTCAAGAAATTAAGAGCTTCTTAAATGATTCATAGTGGGGTGGTGAGCGTGAGTCAAGCGGCGCCTACAAAACTACTCTAATGTGGCTGGCTGTGATGCACTTACTGTTTCCTGAACCCCCCTCCTGGTCCTGATTATTTCATGGCCCTACGCTCTTACAATCTCTTTCTTGTACCTCTTGGAGCTGTGAATCAGGCACTAGACCGATTTTAAAAGAAGGGCACAGGGTCAGATGCTCCTACCAATGAACTTTGTGGCGTTGCGGCGCATGAACACCTCGCTGTGAATGTCGTGTTTGGAGCAAGACAGAGAACCACTCCCGAGTCCCGGGTTGGAGCATGAATGCTTCAATCTTTCGGAGCGACCCTAGATCCGGCTGCTTGATCATTCCGATAGAGGTCAGATTACCAATTTCCGGCTTCCGTGGCATCATCGCGTTCAATTCCGCGCTTACGAAATCTGTTTCTAAGGCCCGAAAGGAGGGTATATAAGAGGATTTAAATTGTCGGTTTATAACTACTAAATAAATATCTGTGGCTGCAAGCATGTCAGATCCAAGTTACTATACATATCCTTCGCCTTTGGAAGGTTACCAGGGTCTTCCACCACTTTCAAAGTCAGTACACCCATTCTCATATCACTACAGCACGACAAGATCTTTGTTTCAGCCTTGGTCCAGATTCTCTGGGGAATTAACCTCTAGATAGTGAGATATCAGAGGATGGAAAATCATTCGTCAATCTACCCGGTAAAAAGAAGAGCATAGCATACAGCTCATTCGTAGAGCCAATAACCAATGGACGGCGTGGGGGCTTCGAGTATAGTCTCTTCTATTTGCACGTAACGGCGGTGCTGATTTGGTTGTAGTATACATGTCTACTTCCTCCAAACCGACGCCGAGGAGTTAAAATTTGCAACCGAGCTTTGGGAACGAGTCCGTCGAGAGTGTACGCTGCCCTACAGGATTACGTCTTCGCTGTCTTACCGATGAATAGTCCCCGAACTTCGTATTTATCGTGTCTGGGATAGGCCCATTGGCCCTCACCCAATAGGCATGTTTGAAGTGAATGTATTCACACCAGGTACTGAACGTCCGCTCTGGAGCCATGGCCTTGCTAAGTTTTCTTAGAGCAATTTGGAGCCTTTATCCCATGGCTGGTGATTAACAGGGGGCCGCTCTCAGCACTGATTCATCCAAATACTGGCGATGATGAAAGGGATCACACACAGCGAGCGACGTGGATGGGACAACCTATACCACTGAACTTGAAGTTGTTCAAAAGAATGAAGGAGAAGCAGAAGGAGACATCGTAGTTCGAAGTAATCTGCTGTAGGAATCGTGAAGTGGGAATCCGGGACTGCTTTTGGTTTTGTAATTGGTAATTTATGTCTGAGTTTGACCAGATTCTATAATATAGTACCCTCGATTGATCGAGATTGGCGTCTCAGCGTCCCCAACTACCTGCAATGGGGGCATATTGGACGTATGCCCCTGGAGCAATGCTGTGGTCCACGGATATACCGTACACAAAGTGGCCCGTTGGGCGGTTGCCGCAATCGAAGTGTGCATGATTTAGAATTGCACGGTGATACCGATCCATCCTGTCCGAATAATCAATCTGTCGACACCAATTCCCCAGCATTTTCAGCCTTTGGCCTCGCCCTCCCCACCCTTCTTCTTCTTCTTCTCTTTCTTCTTCTTCTTCTTGTCCCGCTTCTTCAGTCCACTCATCCCGGCCTTGCATACCTCTGCATAGCGCACATAGAAGGCATCTAGTTGATCCGGCTGTACAAGCGTCGAGATTTTGATCTTGTTAACGTCTTCTCTGTCTGTACCCGGTTGCTTTGACGACTTGTTGTTATTCGCTCGAACTATGATTGGAAGGGGATTCTCGGGGTGCGTGTCCCATAATGGGTCGTCTAGGACTTTGGCTGGAGAAGAACCGTCGGTGTCAGGGGGTATGGTCATGCGCTTCTGGGTGAGGTAGACGGAGCCATGTCCTTTCTTGCGGTTGAGTTCGAAAAGGTTGGTGAGTTTTGCGAAGAACTGTGGTCAATCAAGGTTAGAGGCGTGGCGTGAGATTAGAAGACGGTTAGATATACCTCATCATTGCTCATATGTTCTCCGGGCATTTTGTGAACTCGGATACTATGACGTTTCTTCCATTCGTGAATGGTGGGGCGTGGTGTAGTGGTGGTGAAATTAAGGTGGGATGGGCCGCTGGTTCGGTGATGTGCGGGGCGGGCGCGGAAACAGAAAACCTCCGATTGCTTCAACTTTTTTCCCAACCAACTTCCTCTTCTCGACAGGATGCGCCAGCGACAGTTTGGGGGCCCGAAGTTGCCCAAGGAGCTCCGAGATCAGTTTGGAGGTATGCAAATTTTTTTTTCCTGGGTTGTGGATGCGTCAGGTTACGCTCCAACTCGACGACTGTCACCGACACAGCAGTGCGATTGTATTGCCGCGCATCGCATCTTAGTCTCAAATAACTTGCTAATCAGATGTAGATCCCGCGCATCGAGTCAAGGCTGTGCGAGGAGGCGCCGGGCCACTCAACCGCAAACAACGTCGAAAGGCGGACCGGGTGGAGAAGAAGGCACAGAAGAAGCATAGCCAAGGTCGGAAGGCCGCATTTTCTACTCGAAATGAGCCAGATCTAGAAGATGAGGAGGAGGGGTTCAGCAAGGAGGAACCTCTCCCAACTAAACCAGTCCCGGTCAAAAGAGATGCTCAGAAACCGCTGAAAGGCATCCTGAAAATGTCCCTCCCAGAACCAGAATCACCACCGGAACAACGAACATCCCCATATCCGCCTCCTCGCATTTCCCGGGGAGTGAGAGACAGACTGGCGCAAGATGATGCTGATATCGCAGCGCTCGAGAAGAGATTGGGATTCAAGGGCAAGAAGTCAAAAGCTCGTAATGATGACGGATTGGATGATCTATTTGCGGATTTAGGTGCATTGGACAGCGACGAGGATAATCCTGGCGGTCATGCCCCAAAGCGCAAGCGGCCGGAAGACGAGGATTGGCTTGCGAGCAAGAGACGGAAAGCTTTGGGAGAATCAGCTTTGAGTTCGAGTGACCTCGATTCTGACCTCGAGGACTCGATGGAGCTAGGATCAGACGAAGACGAGGACCTAAGCGAGAGCTTGAAGGACTCTTCCGATGAAGACTATGAGGCCCCCGAGCCGCGTGTGAGGGAAAACCCATACATAGCCCCGGCCACATCAACTACCCCGCAGGTAGCTAAGTATATACCACCTTCGCTGAGAGCGCCTTCATCATCGGATGCTGAAGCGCTTATGAGACTTCGGAGGCAGATTCAAGGGCTTCTCAATAGGCTTTCGGAAGCGAACATGTTGACAATTCTCCGGGAAGTTGAACAAGTCTACCAGAATAATGCTCGGGGTTATGTGAACACAACATTTGTGGATCTGCTCATTGGAATCGTTTCTTCTGACACCTCCCTCCCGGACACTTTCTTGATTCTCCATGCGGGATTCATCGCTGCGATCTACAAAGTCATCGGAACCGATTTCGGAGCCCAGATGGTTGAACGCATCGTTACGGATTTCGACACGCATTACCAGGCAAACAAAATGGGAACGGGAAAGCAAGGAGCCAATCTCATATCTTTACTTGCGGAGCTCTATAGCTTCCAGATTGTCGGAAGCAATCTGGTGTTCGATTACATCAAGCTCTTTCTGAATGAACTCTCTGATATTAACACTGAGTTGCTCCTGAGGATCATCAAAGTTTCCGGCTCCCAGCTGCGGCAGGATGACCCCACATCGCTCAAGGACATTGTGCTACTACTTCAGAAGTCAGTCAGCGAGGTTGGAGAAGACACCCTACCTGTACGGACCAGGTTCATGATTGAGACTATCAATAGTCTCAAGAACAATAGGATGAAGACTGGGTTGACCGCGTCAACCATAGTATCTGAACATACGACCAGGATGAAGAAACAGCTTGGCTCCCTGAATACCCGCAATCTAAAAGGGACAGAGCCCTTACGGATTGGTCTGGCGGATGTCAGAGATGCTGAAAAGAAAGGTAAATGGTGGCTTATTGGGGCGAGTTGGCGAAATGATACTGTAGATGGTGTTCCGCCACAGGAGAAAACGAGCAGCGGGCAGAACCCACCGGCTTCTGATGACCTCGATGACGAGGGCGAGGTTGACTTGCTTCAATTAGCCCGAGAGCAGCGCATGAACACAGACATTCGTCGAGCGATTTTTATCACTATCATGTCGGCTACAGATTTCAAAGATGCTCACCTGCGTCTCATGAAGCTGAATCTGAAGAAGTCTCAAGAGGTTGAGATTCCCCGGGTCATCGTACATTGCGCAGGTTGCGAGAAGGGCTACAACCCGTACTACACCCTTATCGCTCGAAAGTATTGCTCGGAGCACAAACTTAAAAAATGTTTCCAATTCGCACTATGGGATGTTTTCAAGAGTTTGGGTGAGAAGAAGGAGGAGGAGGAGGCTGACGATGATGGATGTTCTGACGGTGAGAACGATAGCATCAGCAATGATGTCTCCTTGAGAAGGCTGGTCAACCTGGGAAAATTTTACGGGGCCCTCATTGCCAGTGGCGGACTCCCTATAAGCAGTCTCAAAACACTCAACTTCCCATACCTACAATCAAAAACGAGAACACTGCTCGAGATCATACTTGTCACAGTAATCCTCCAGTCTCAGAAAGGAGCAAAGGAAGGCAGGGACGAAAAGGGACTGCTGGAGATCTTTATTAAAGCTGACGGTGAACCAGAGATGGTCACAGGCTTGCAATACTTCCTCAAAAAGGTAGTCAGCAAGACAGACATTGCGGCGAACAAAGGCGAGAAGGAGACTATCAGGTGGGCATGCAAGTCAGCAGGTGAACTCTTGAGGAGGCTTTTGACCACAACAAATCTGAATGAGGCCGAATAGATCGCAAATACCACGAGGCGGATTTCGTAACTTCTAGATAGCAATATAATGATTAGTACAGGTCCAAGCTATTACCTCCAGAGCCGCGGGTTGACAAGTGGAAGAGTGAATTGGTCAGCCACAAGCGCCACACCGGCACTAGCCGCATCAACCGGGCTCAACGGGCAGCAAAAGTCCCAAAGCTCAACACATCTCGCTCTCCGTCATCTCATCCATTGACCTCTTTTCTCTTTTCCGCCGTGCTAATCGCGGCTCTCCCAACCTCTAGATCTCTCTTCCTGTTGCGCCATGTTCCGGTCCATTGTGCCGCGCCGCGCACCAAAGGCACTGCTGCGGCCAGCCGGAGGAGCTCACAGCACCTTCCGCGCTTCAAACATCTACTTCCAGGAAAGGGTACGACGAGGATACGCCTCGGAAGCTGGTTAGTCACATTAATCCCCGGGTTTCCCGATGGTCAGATGTTAATTGCGGGGCAGAAGAGAATGACTTGGTCATCATCGGCGGAGGCGTTGCGGGATATGTCGCAGCTATCAAAGCCGGACAAGCTGGTCTCAAGGTTTGCTAACAAATGAACTTCGGCATTGAAGGACAATGTCTGACTATTCTCGCTCTAGGTCGCCTGCATCGAGAAGCGCGGCAGTCTCGGAGGAACATGTTTGAATGTTGGCTGTATCCCCTCTAAGTCCCTCCTCAACAATTCGCACCTGTACCACCAGATTCTCCACGACACCAAGAATCGTGGTATCGAAGTCGGCGATGTTGCGCTCAACCTTGGGGCCATGATGAAGGCTAAGGAGACGTCCGTGTCTGGATTGACCAAAGGCATCGAGTTCTTATTCAAGAAGAACAACGTCGAATACATCAAGGGCACCGGTGCTTTCCAAGACGAGCACACGGTTGCAGTCAACCTCATCGATGGCGGAGAAACTTCTGTGAAGGGCAAAAACATCTTCATTGCTACCGGCTCTGAGGCTACACCATTCCCGGGCTTGACTATTGACGAGAAGAAGGTTATTACAAGTACCGGTGCTATTGCGCTGCAAGAGGTGCCAAAGAAGATGGTTGTCATCGGAGGTGGCATTATCGGACTCGAAATGGTGGGATAAACCTCGTAGTTCATGAAGGAATTCCGCTAATTGTTGCGCTAGGGCTCCGTATGGTCTAGGTTGGGCGCCGAAGTTACCGTTGTCGAGTTCTTAGGCCAGATCGGTGGACCAGGCATGGACGCCGAAATCGCAAAGATGACACAGAAAATGCTCACGAAGCAGGGTATGAAGTTCAAGTTGAATACCAAGGTTATGGGTGGTGATGATTCTGGTGAGGGGGTCAAGATCAACACAGAGGCTGCAAAAGGAGGTAAGGAAGAAGCTGTAAGTTTTTCATGTGTGCGAATATTAGGACATGCTAGCTTACATAGGCGTAGCTTGACGCAGATGTCGTCCTCGTCGCTATCGGCCGCCGACCCTACACCGCCGGGCTGGGCCTGGAGAACATTGGTATTGAGACCGACGAGAAGGGACGCCTTGTCATCGATCAAGAATACCGTACGAAAATTCCACATATCCGAGTCATTGGAGATGTTACCTTTGGTCCTATGTTGGCGCACAAAGCTGAAGAAGAGGGTGTCGCAGCCGTTGAATATCTCACCAAAGGATACGGCCACGTTAACTACGGCGCCATTCCATCAGTCATGTACACGCACCCTGAGGTTGCCTGGGTTGGACAGAACGAGCAGGAGCTCAAGGCCGCTGGCGTTAAATACAAAGTGGGAACTTTCCCCTTCTCCGCCAACTCGAGAGCCAAGACGAATCTGGACAGTGAAGGTATGGTCAAGTTCATCTCGGATGCTGAGACCGACCGGATATTGGGCGTTCACATCGTTGGCCCCAATGCTGGCGAGATGATTGCTGAAGGTACCCTCGCTCTTGAATATGGTGCCAGCTCAGAAGGTAAGTACATTCTAATCTATTACTGTTCCTATCTTGCTAACGTTGCTTCAGATGTTGCGCGAACATCACACGCTCACCCGACGCTATCCGAAGCTTTCAAAGAGGCCGCGATGGCAACGTATGACAAGGCCATCCACTACTAGATTTGGTTTCCTTGGTTTGGGGTCTTGTTTTAGCATAAACACATTTTTCTGTGCTCCGAGCGGGAGTGTGTGAATAGTACCTGTAATATATCTAGGATGCCTCTTGCACAATAAAAGAAGAACCTCCCCCCCGGTGTGGCCGAAAACACTGTGCCCTGGAATAGAAGAGTAGTACCTTGACTTCGAACTAACCGACAGCCTATCAGTAATCATTGTTTCTATCAAAATAATAGTAGCGTTGAATACAGTTGGCAATTAAGCTATGTTGCAGCCCTTACCTAAAAGTTATATCCGGCTTATTGCCTTGTCGAGTGGTTTGCGCTCAACGTGCTTTAAACCGTCGGCAATGCCATTCGTCTTATCGTTTGCTTAAGATTCGAACAAATCAATTCTACAAGGCATGCAATACTTTATTACTTAGCCCTAAGCCATCATTACTGATAGACGTGATGCCAACGCAAACCCGCCACGAAGGTCAGTAGTTACAGGCGGCAATCTTAAGTCACAAAGCAGACATAACGATGTTATTATGTAATATTAAGATGTGCGGACCTAACCCGAGTTAAGCACTGTCTTGACTTCTTTACCCCGCATTCCCAGTACAGGGCTTGGCAAAGGCTTTGCTCGAGATCTGGTCGCAGTGCCTCTGTCATGACAAGAACAGGCTGTGTCAGAGTACTTAGCCACAGCAATTGTAGCTAAGAACCTTACTTGGTAGTGAAACGAAAGCGCTCTATCGCCAAACCTCGACTGCCACGCGAAACGTTTCTTATACTGGACTATCCTTCAGCCCCATCACCTGCATCATGCCAGCCCTCTAGCCGAAGCGGTTCGGCCGTCGTCCCTGCCAGTGTCTGCCTCCAATCAGACTCAAGTTGCAAATATTTAGCTCGTAATCCTGCATGTAGACATCTTGTCACTTGGTCCAGCGTATGCTCAATGCATCGCTGTGGCCAATTGGCAAGCTATATATACGTGTTGATCTCCGGCCCTCTATTAAATGGAGAAAATAAAATATAGTATAGTTAAGCTAATTTATAAAGAAAATTATACCTAAATGTTTTTTAGACAGCTAATAAGAGAGCCCTAGCTAATCCGTACAGGAGTTAGAAACTGCGAGCCCCTAGGCTATACTCTGTTTAGAGTAGCACTATACATGGTGGCTTGTGCCTTCTCGGTTCTTCATCACCCCGGCTGAGCTAGCTGAGATAAGGAACCCCCCCTGGTGTATAGTTAGGTCACCCATGGTCAGTCATGCGATGGCCCACATATGACCTCTCCCTCTGACTCCTGAGTCCCCTCAAGGATTCGTCTCTATTCTCAATTGCTGCTTCCTCAGTGCCTTTGCCTTCCTACTACAAGTGCAAGTATCGGACAGAACAACCCCGCCTGTTGTGGCACTGTGATTAGGCAACAACGTGAACCGTCCATCGCACTGCCTGTTCGCCCACACTCAGCCCCCCATCTTCCCTCAATCCTGCGCTCTAACGTTAGTTCTTAGTCTTTCGAGGAGCCTCTCCGTTCACCGGTGTCGCATCGATCTGTACCTGCCACATTGCAGCTTTGTCTATCTAACCTAACTTCAAAAGCCAGATTCAACATGTACTACGAAACCGAGTGCGAGACATGCGATCGTGAGTTTGGCAGCCAGCAAGCTGCCATACAGCACATGAACGCACTAGGCCACTGGGGCTCACGTTACGAATGCGATACATGCGATCGACAATTCTTCACTCAACGATCAGCGGACCAGCACATGGACGATACGGGACACCGGGAGCCTCAATTCGAGTGCGAAACCTGTGACAAAAGATTCTACACCCAAATGTCCGCCAATCAGCATATGGACGCTTGTGACCACCGTAGGCGATACTACTGCCACGATTGTAGCAAAACATTCCAAAGTGAGAATGCCTTGAAGATGGTATGTTCTTCGCGCACGCCTTACTGCTGACCTGTACCTTTTCCCCCGAGCGTGGAGTATTATTGACTATCGTAAGCACCTCAATTCGAGCACTCACCGCGGCAAGAACGTTGCGTGCCCCTTCTGCAAAGCAGCTTTGACCTCGGCCAGCGGCCTTTCGCACCACCTTGAGACTGGCTCATGCCCACGAGCCAAAAACGTCAACCATCTCACGATTTTTCAGGCTATCAGTCAGCGCGATCCCAATCGCTTATTCACGAATAAGCTGCTTACCTACCCCGACTTTGACACGCAGAATATTGCAACAAGTGCAACATGGAATGGCTCTAGCTTCGAATGCTACCTCTGCCACCGAGAGTATAATACCCTCCGAGCACTGAACCAACACTTGAATTCGCCAGCCCATAGCGAAAAGCTGTATCATTGCCCGAACCGCAGCTGCAACAACCAGTTCGTACGCTTGGCATCGCTTTTCAATCACCTCGAAAGTGAGAGCTGCAACTTTATGCGATTCGAGAGGGTTCAAAAGCATGTTCATAATTTTATCACGGGACGTCAAAAGCTGCTCGGCCTTGCATAAGCACACACTGGCTTCTCCGAGAAGAGTTTACGTAGCATTTTCTGTTGGATCTGTAGACACTGCGAAAGCGCTGGTACGCGGGCAGCAGCTGACACTTCCTGAAGCCAGACTGAGCTTATACCCAAATGGGAAGCTTTTTGCAATCCAACCAACCTTAGGATTGCTGGGTTAATGGCTTGAATACGACTCCCTAGTCTTGATCTGTTATGTACATCTATGCGTGAAAGAAGATTAAACTGGCCGTTTCTAACAAGTCTTCGGAAAATTAACCCCAGTCTCTAGCTACCATTCGCGCCACTAGAGCTTTCCATGGCTCCAGTGATTTGCCGGTGCGCGACACCTTAGTCGTAGACTCTGCTGCATCACTATCTAGCACACCCTTGCGCTTACACCTGCGCTGTACCTTGCTTGTGACAACTGTTTCTTTCGCAGCGCGCTTCGCTCGGGGCTCCTCGAGCTCCTTATAACTCATAACCTTGGCCACGCTGAGTACCAACGATTTCGTCGACCGCAAGAAAGCGCGCCTGCGATTCAGTATGATATAGAGAAGGATGTCACCTGTCATGCGTTTTGCGACGAATCAACATTCGAGATCGGCGTCGATACTACAATCACCCTGGGTACGTAGGCAAGCTGGTGAAGCGTACGAGAGTCGCAATTTGAAGCCTATCTTTAAGAGTGGGAGGACCTTTGTAGGCGTAATTGGTGTTATCCCTCTTAATTTCAAGTCCGATTTATACATCACAGACACAGGAGGACGACTCAACTCCGCTAAATATTGCTGGGTACTACACGATGTAGGGATCCCATTTTATCAGCGACTATATAAAGAGAGAGGGCAGGTTCTCTGGTAGCAAGATAATGCGCCAATTCATAGGTCAAAAACGGCTAGAAAGTATATGGATGCACACCTAATTCAGTGCTTGGATTGGCGTGCACAATCGCCAGTTCTGAACCCGATTAAGAACGTTTGGCGCCTTATGAAGCTGCGTATCTCAAAGCGCAGAGAATATATACATACACGCGATCAGATGGTTCAGATCCTACGAGAGGAGTAAGCAAAAATTACGCCAGAGGACTATACAGCCTGTATACTCAACTGGTCAAAGCGCATGAGATAGGTGATAAAAAAATAGTGGAGGATCAACTGATTACTGATCAACTATAACATTACAAAATCCTCCTGTATACGTACTCTGTGTACAACTTTACAGCTTCAAGAGATATGGAATATTGGTTGAGATACCTTCCTTCCTAATCAGGTAAGCCACTCCAGCTTTCGCTCGGATCGGACTTGGCCCATAGTTTTGAAGAGCAATTATCCAAATCCCGGGGTTCGCCCTCCGCATGTCTAAGTTTCTCCTTTGGATCCTGAATGCGGCTTTCAAAACCTTGTCATAGAAGCATGCACTTTTTGGCGGCTCTAGACCGGCATGTTCTAGATGCGTAGAATGAGTGATGGCTTTTTCATCGACGCTTAGGAGAGTCACGGGCCGCATAGCCGGAAACCCATCGTTCCAGAGCCCCCCTTGATACATAGAGGCCTGCTTCAACCTAACAACAGTGCTTGTGAAAGAGGATGGGTAGGTGATTTCTGTTCTGGATGGCTGGCAAATCGCATCTCAGGGAATCCACAAGCTCCACCCTGAGGCTCTGCGTCCCACTTTAACAGCACCCCATGCTATGGCTTGCTCAAGGTAATGACCATGTGCAGCGCCGCAAACTGTATTAACCTTGACATTATTTCGCATATTTGATAGACACTCGGCTTCACTGCCACAGTCTGTGAGTATCTGCAGGGATACTGCACTGATCAACTTCAAGAGGTGCTGATTCGGCAATGTTGTGGGTTACTTTGACCTGAGAACTGGAGACACTGGTAAGGAAGGTTCACCAAAGTAGGTATTGCCATTTTCCGGCTCGTCCGAGGTCCTGAACATCAGTAGGGGGCCGACCTTAGTGCGCTCGCGCAGCTCCTTCTCCCTCTCAGCCCCCCTAGCCTCCTATTCCAGCTTGGCCTTCGCTTTCGCAGTGCCAACTGATTCCCGCTCCGCGCGCCTCTATAAGCAACTTATCAAGGGGTCAGACCAAAGCAGGCTGGGGGTTGTTGCGGTCCTCGAGATAGATACCTAGGTTCCAGAGGTGTGCATCACGGAGCTGGTCGCATAAGGCGAGCAGGTCTTTTGCCGGCGCTTGCTGGGCCGCGAGGGCCTTGACGTTAGTGTAGAACTGCTCCAGCACCTGATCGTATGGTTTGGAGGACTCGACCACTGGTGTTGACGTCTCGATCGGAATTCCGTCAGCGAGCTCTAGATTTAGTTGATTAGAAAGTTAATAACAGTAATTCATTTAAGCTTACTATCTAGTCACAGAAGTGTATAGAAAGCCTAATAGCTGTAAGGACGGGGCTCTATACCACTCCACCATTACAACCAAAAAGGTGCGAATAGTCAACCAACAGTTGACTTCGCGTGCAGAATAGTATATGTACCCTTCGCGCGTAAGGGCCATCTCGGCCTTACAAGTCACTTAATAGTTAGAGATAGTAGTTTCTGTATACTCGCAGAGCTACTACCTGGGTTGCTTCGTAGTCAAGGCACCTCTAACTTCTTCCGGGACATAGTTTTCCCCAATACCGGGAGGGAAGTTATTGGGCTGGTTTATGTAGGACTTTTCATTTCGGGATTTGATAATTATGCATTTGTCACCGAAGTAGAGCCGATAAGGCTGGCAGGCTGGCTCGTGCTCCCGCGTTTCGTGATTAGCGTGATCTGGCGCGTCTTCCCGCGATGTCCAGTTTGGGAGCCCAACCTCTACTCCCAGCTGTCTCGGAAACAAGGCATTATCCTCCCCCATGGACAACTCCGGGTTAGAACAGCACTGCAATTCCCTCCGACGTGAGCTGAAAGCTTGGGAAAAGGAGTTTGCCTCCCAGCACGACGGTCGCAAAGCCGGACGAGACGACATTAAAGCCAACGGGATAATTTGTATGCATACGACCGCGAATTCTCTCGTAACTTGCTGCTAACACCTTACAGCACAAAAGTACAAAGACTACAACAAACTTCGAGACGTTCTCTGTGGCAAAACCGCCCCTCAGACTCCTTCGAAACCGACTCGAAGACGTGAAGCTATCGAGGATGTCGATCAAAACCGGAAAGCACGCACCGCGAACCCTACCGCGACACCACGTAAACGGAAACTCGAAGAAGATGGAGATGGCGCCATTGGGCAGGGACCCACTTCCGTTCCACTCTCCCCCCAAGGACCTACGATGATTGGACCCACTCCACAGAGAGATGGTATCGTTCTAGGATTATTCGACATGCTTCCGGCCGAGACCCCAAGTAAGAGAAGGGTAGTATTAGGGGATGTTGCTCCCAATGCTGTGAAAACACCAAGCAAAAACCACGAGACGGGGGATAGCGAAGGGTTCATCGAGCTAAGGGCTAGAGGGGAGAAGACTCCTATGTCTTCAAGTAAGAGGTCTTTCTTGGATAAGTTCGTGACGCCAAAGAAGAGGAAGAGGGATAACGAAGGTACGCCAACGTCCGCTTTGAGGGGACTCTCTACACCTGCATTCCTGCGTCGGGATAACGTGCTTGGTATTATCAACGAGGACGACGAGCCGACCCCACGGCCTGCACCATGGAAACGACGTGGGCTTGGAAGGAGCTTGAGCAGTATGATCAAGTCGATGAAGAAGCAAGAAGAGGACCGCTTAGACGAAGAGGCGGAGATAATGCATGAATTAGAAATGGAAGCTGAGGGTATCCCGTATTCGAGAAAGCCTAGAGTACAGGAAATCCTAGTTAAGGATAGCCAAGCTGCAATGCCCCTTGGTCCGGATGGCGCTGGAGAGTCAGATGATGAACAGGAGGGGGACATGGCGGAGGATGGCCTGGATCGTAATGGAAACCCGAGGAAGGTATGGAAGAAACGAGGACAGAAGAGGCAAACAAGGCGGGTCATTAGTAAGTTTCAATGTGTACTCCAACGCCTCTATATGTTAACCTTTTCATAGTGCGGCCCAATTTTGTCAAACCCAAACCACTGCCAGCAGCTCTAATTAAGAACGATTCTGAAGACGACGATCCAGCTGCAAAAGCAGGACCAACCCCCCAGAATGCCGGCAGCGGCCAAGAATTCTCGGAAAATGACAATGCTTCAGACTACGCCAGCGACGATTCTCACACACCTAAGAAGCGGAAAACGGAACAAAAGAAAGAACAACGGGGTTCTACGGCACAGCCCAAAGACAAGGCAACCAGAGAGGGACCGGTCAAGGCAGCAGCGCGCAAAGTTAAAGCCACGGCGCATGCAAACTACCGCAAGTTGAAGATCAAGAGTTCCACGGGCGCAAAGGGCGGTAAAGGTCGTTTTGGACGACGTCGGTAGCTGTACAAGTGACACCAAGTCGGTCCGTTATAGAAGTGACGAATGGTATACTGATCGTGATACCCGATTGGGATACATAGCAGCGCATCTTAGAATTTGTGATCCGATAGTCTTTCCCCATTACTGGAATATCGATAGACCCGAATAAGTCGGTCTGGCTGGAAATTTTCGATGTTGCAGTCTGTTTCCAGGGACCCGCTGTTCGGGCTTTTTGATTGAGACACAATGTGACGGCATGGTCATCAGGCCCTGCGTGGGCGCAAGTGATGTCCGCCTGGTTTTGTGCGGCCTCCTTTAAATATCACCGGCTCCTGGAGGCTGAAGAGCTTGATCTCTTCAGATTCAATCGAAAAAATAATGGTATATATCAGACACAGAATTTTCGAAGGGTGCGGCCCTTCATGGCCGTCGCGATTCGAGGTACTCAGCGTGACTAAGCAGCCTGCCCCGAAAGCTCCAGCCACAGGTGAAATCCGGACCTCTCCTCCACCAAAGCTTCCGCTTCCAACATCAAACAACACAACAACCTCTATATCCACCCGCACAACATCTAAACCCTCCGTAAACGCGTCTCCAATTCCCGACTCTCCCACTACCATGGCCGAAAACGAGCTCAGAGAGCTCCTTAGGCAGCTCCACCAGACCCTCCAAACACACAAATATCAGCAATCCACATCCCTCCTCTCACGGGCCAAAGTAGCCCTCCTTCACCTCAACGCTCTCATCCCATCGGAGACCAGCCCGCGCATACACCTCGCTCTTGCACGCGAAACCCTCGAACTCGGCGCCGTCATCTCGATTCGGTTAAAAGACCCTGTCTCCTTCACACGCTATTTCCAGCAGCTGCAACCCTTCTACTCACTGCCGGAAAAGACGCTTCCTAAGGACGGTGGAAATGCGAGCAAGATTACGGGGCTGTATTTGCTGCTGCTGCTGAGTGACGGCGATTATGCGGGGTTCCACACCCTGCTGGAGACGCTAGAGGTGGCGGCTGCGCAGGCTGGGGGTAAGGGCTTGGAGGAAGATGTGTTCGTGCAATATCCGATAAGGTTGGAGCAGGCGTTAATGGAGGGGAGTTATGATCGCGTGTGGGGGGAGACGAAGAGTGAGAGGGTGCCTAGTGAGGAGTTTGCGCTGTTCTCTGAGGTACGTGAGACTGATTCCACTCTGATTTTCATGTCATTTCATGTAAAGGAGTCCGCTACTATGGAAGCAAGTCCTAATGAAGTCTTATAGGTCCTTATCGGCACCATCCGCAAGGAAATCGCTTCCTGCAGCGAGAAAGCATACCCCTCGATTCCCATCTCCGACGCCAAATCCCTCCTCTTCCTTGACTCAGAGGGAAGCGTTGTGAGCTTTGCAAAGGAGTGTGGTTGGGTTGTCAAGGATGGCAGGATATACTTCCCGCAGCAGGAGGATGAGTATGCGTCGAGCAAAGATATCATGGTCACGAGCGATCAGGTCATTGAGAATACACTGGGGTATGCGAGGGAGTTGGAGACGATTGTCTGAGTGTGCGTGGAAGAGGGAAGTTAAAGTTTTGCTGATGGAAAGGCTTGGGGTGGTGTGAGTATGAGCATGAGCCTGGTAGATGCTGTACGATACAAATACAGATAAAGGCATGAGGAGTCTGGGTGGCACTGGGTAGGAGCAGACAGTGGTCCAGCATATAGACTGGTTTGAAAGCACTCAAATGAACTAAATAGCTAATGAAAGATGCTAACACCCTATGGTCTCCCACCACCTTCAATTTCTCAATTCTATAAATCTCTCCAAGTATCTCAAGCCAATATAATTCAAGGTATTGTACTCTCTTCTTCTTGACGTTTGATCGGGTGTATCATTTCAAACATATATGTACCATACAGAACTTTATACAGAAAGTCTACGGACTAGAACCTGAATGCCTTTGGCCCTTTTTTCAGTATTCATTCCATTTGATAAACTCCAATCCATGCAAGCCAATTGTGTTTGATGCGTTGGGATCTCGCACGGCCAATACATCACTCGTACTTATCCACGCCCATTCCTTCCTTCCTTTCTCTGAACCGCTCTCGTTATTCCCCAACTCATCACGGCACAACCACAACCCCAATACTCGCCGCCTGACTCACCACACTCTTCGCCAACCCTTTCAACTCCAGCCCACTCAACCTTGTCTCCTGATGCTTAATCTTCGCAATCTCATATACATGTTTCAAACTCACCGTCCCGACCGTCCCCTTCACCGCATTCCCTGCCGTCGGACTCCCCTGGCTAGTTTTCCCCTTCGCCCCGTCTGTGTTGTTCATAGGTCCTGGGACATTGCCCGCGCCGCGGATTTTATTCTTGGTGGGGAGCACGCCGGCAGCGGAGAGGAGGAGGGTGGCAGTTGGGGGTGTGCGCAGGGAGAAGGTGAAGGAGCGATCAGGCCGGACAGTTATGCGGGCGGGGATGGGGGTGCCTGGAGTGTAGTGCGCGGTGCGGGCGTTAAATTCCTAGAAAGAGATAAGACGTTAGTTTGCGTTAGTGCTGTGGACGGGGTGAAGTAGAGGCTAACTGGTATGTAATTGAGATGGACAAAGGAACAATGATCAATATTCGTATCCCTCCAATAATAGCTGCTTCCCTATCAATGCGATCCCTCCAGGCCATAAACTGCACACAAAACTAGAACAGTATCATAAGAAATCCAACCATACACACCTTACAGAAATCCATACTCTTAACACCCTTACTCCCAAGAGCGGGACCCACGGGCGGCGATGGCGAAGCCTGGCCCGCACCCACAATCAGTTTGACAATTTGGTCTTTTTGTATTGCTTTGCGCGCCATAGTTGTGTGCGGTAGTCGAGGGGAGAAGATCCTTCGCAGACGGACAGAAGCTCGGGGGAACTTTTATGGAAGTTGCAGTGAGCGGGAGCCCGGGTGATCGCGGGGCGGAGAAAGTATTGTCCGACGGGGACAGTAGGAAGACTACAGGATGGAGAAGTATAGCAAGGAGATAATGTATTTCAAATAAGGGGTTTAGATTAGATTGCCGGGGTCCGCATAGTTCAGTTTAGAAAACACCGTGTATTGCAGCTGAGATATTCGCGTGAATTTAAAGTAAATATGTTTCAGCTTCCATTATAAGTCTGCCGACTAAGTCCATTTCTTGTGTAGCAGCCTGCAATATTCCATAATGCTCAGGGAAAGCAAAATAAATCTACTAAAAGTACACGTTGACGTCCCCGCTCTAAAAAGGCTCCCTTAGAGTTGACAGATAGCATACCCTCGAAGGCGTTAGGCAAATCAGCTGCGGCCTGCTACAATACGTGTGTTCTTGGCCTTCCATCTCCACCTACCTTCTCATTTGACTTAGAATCTAGGTAAGGACCCCAAAGTCCAAGCACACAACTTTTCTCCCAACAATGCAAGTCCACTGTGCTTTTCCACTTCATCACGAAAACCCATAAATCCCACCTTGCTCCTGAAACTTGAGTTGATAGTCTCTCAAATCTGCCCAATGCCTCAACTCACTCTCCTCATCTGCCAGTTCTCCACCATTAGTATTCGGATCTGAGCCTTCCGGGCTGACTCGCTCAAGCTTACTCAGGACATCAAGGAATTTGTACAGGTAGTCTTGGTGTTGCTGTAGAGCCAAGGAGCCTCTGCGCTCTTTAGGCACATCGAGGAGGGTGCGAGCGATTTGCCGGATTTTTTGCGTCTAGGATGGAAATGTGAGTTTAGGGACCGTCGAAACAAGCGAACGAAACAGGGTGGTCTTGTGAGAAAAATAGGGGCTTACAAAGCTATCGCCGTTTGGCTCCATGTTAACCATGTCGATGCTTCCGAGAACGACCAGGACATCTTTGACAACTTGCTCGCGCTCTTCCATCATGACCTTCTCTAGCAGTTCGCCATCGATTCCTGAACTGTCTGTTATCTGCGGGTCGAGCCCAGATGTAAGCATACTCGGTGAGCCTTGCAAGGCCGCTTGGGTCCTCGCATGACTGTGCTTGTCCAACAGCGCAAAATATTTCTCTACCAGGTGAGATCGAATGCTGAGATGACTGGCGTAAATGTTGGCCTTCTGGATTTCATACTGCTGGTGGCGTCGTGCTTCCTGAGACTCCATACCGTTGAAAACGTTTGTAGGATCCCGAACATTGACATATTCAGGCATGGGCGGGTAGTATGGCTGGGTGCGTTGACCAAATTTACCATGCTGGCTATCCTTGGGTTGCACCTGAAGGACATCCGGGATACCATCGAGGACCTGTTTGCAGCGCTGGAGCGACTGCTCTAATATCTTCTGTTGGCGGTCCCAGTCAAACAATTCGTCCACGCCAAAGACCATTTCGGCGGTGGATAGCGTTGAATAGGAGTTGTATATGCGTACATTCGTATTGAATCCTGTGATTAAAGACACAACGCCAGGTGGTTGAGACATTATATCTTGAGGGTAGACATATGGATCGTCGATCTCTAGGGGAAGTGGAGGCAGAGGCTCGGATGGTGTGGAAGGTAGAATAGCAAGCTCGCCGAACGAAGCCCCTAGTTGCTGCATAGTCCTATAGTAATAGTGAGAACACATTCTGCTATTATCGAAACGCAAGCTTGGAGAGGGGCGTCTAACTCACTTAGCACCGACAAAGAGCGTCCAAAACACCCTCCGTCCGATCTGCTCCGTGATATTATCAAGCTTCAAGTCTCGTGACCCTTCGAAATTCGGTCCATGTGAACCCACGGCACCTGGAATACCACCCAGGTACGTATATCCCTGCTCATGCGCCTTGTGGAGGCCCAGTGATCGCAGGATAGTCAGACATTCTCCAAAGTATAGCCGCAACTGGCGCCACTGGAAAATGTACGCTCCGGTCAATCCCAAAAAATAGCTCGTGCAAGCATCGTACACGTTCAAATTCGGGCGGTCAAGATAGCCAGGTCCTCTCGCCTGAGCACACACTTCCCGACACTTGTCCACCAGGGACAGGTGTGAGGGATACTGATCTCGAGTCTGTGACTTCAGGTGCAGACGTGGTTTTCGAGGGAACGAAGACACAAGGACTGCTATCATGGACGCGAGTAGCGCCAGGAAAGCAGGGTTGGAGTAGTCCTCTCGCCGCTCCCATGCTTCTCGAAACGACGGCTCATGTGGAAAAGGACATAGTGGGTGGATATATGTGAAGAAGTCGTCAATGAGGGCATTCATCGTCGGGAGACTGCATATTGACTCGGCCGAGAGATGCGGTGGATGCGAGGACAACTGCGCAAGCGCATGGGCAGCGTTTGTAGGTGATGCCGGTGTCGAGGGACCTGAACCCGGCTCCCCATCTCCTACGCGCCGCTTTTTCTTGATGGCTTCTGCATGTCGATTCGGAGGCCCCCGGCGTCGGCTTGGGCGGTCGAAGGTACAGGGAATATCGAGAGCAGCGCAAGCCCGACACGGCGGACCAGATTCGTCACACTATAGGTCGACAGTTAATGAAGCTGTTCTGTCTTCAAGCCCAGATCCGTGTTCGCACCTTGACCTTGCGTATGCTGCAGGAATCGCAGGCTTTGCGCAGACGATTCGGTTTGGACTGCGAGTCTCCCACATGCGGCGACGCGTGGTTGTGCTGATGGTCGCTCAACGCGTGGCTCGCCTGATGAGCCTGTTGAGCCTGTTGTTGCAGGACATGGCTCAGATTCTCAATCTTGGGGAAGAGTTGCGTGTTCGGCGTGGCAGGGTATATGGGCGCGTAGTGAGTGTCGTCCGACGGCGGAGGAGGGTATTGTTGCGACATGGAGCTTGTTCCGACGATGTGCCGGGGACGATGCGGCCGCGGTGTTGGAGAAGAGTCTGTCCTGATGTAAGCCGCAAGAATAGATTAGGAGACGCAATCAATAGTCCGGGGGAAGAATATGTAGAGCAGGCCTGCATGCTGTGCGCCGGCCCGAGAGAACAGTGGAAGAGAAAGTTTCCCGAGCAGTCTCAAACTCACCTCGAATGCGCTTGCCGAAGCTTCACGGGTGTGTCCAGGGACGGCGCGGGAACTCGTGACGAACAATGCTCAAGCTAGTGATGGCGGCAGGGCGATAGTGCGGCAGTGGGTGCTAAGCTCATGACGAGCTTGACAGCTATCAGCGGGAGGAATTGGTGGTTGTGTTCGAGTTCCTCCCCGTCAATTGCTTTACCTAAACTTAACGTCCCGATGGGTAGGTCACGTTGTGGAGTTGCCTCGAACCGTTCCTGGGTAGCCCTGCCTAGGTGGAACAAACTTCAATCACCATATTAAGTTTTCTAGGCCTGCTTCTAATATCATCCAACCTTCTTGTCGCGCTGGGCCTCTTTGTCTTCGTAGTCTTCGAATCTTTGATCTTGCGTGCACCACCAATCAGAGCGTCACTACATCTTGGTGGAGATCTTGCTTGTCGATCATGTGAAAATATCGGTCCAACATCAGCCACCATGATTATACCCAGCAGAACGCTATCTGGCTTGGAACTTCACATACACTGTCGAGTTAGATTCTCCTTTGAAAATCTTCTCAAGCACAGAAAAGGCTTTCAGATTGAATTTATCATTTATACAAATTCCATCGAAGAAGTCTGCCGTAGCTACCCCTCCTGTCATTGCAGATTCGCTTGAGAGCAAATTGGAGTGGTGATATCTATATACACAAACATAGTGTTGTGTGGCGATCCAAATACTCCTTTTCCGGTTGATTCTATTCCATCCACTCCTTGCTAGTAGCAGTATCGATACATTCTCCCGTCCAGAACCCACCCAAACTCCGTGTGCTCCGGCTAATCAGAATCGTCGCTTCCCGGCCCATCCCTGGTAGGTGGCTTCGTGGATCTGGAGAGAGAAAAATCAAGGACATCACTTTTTGGTCCAGCATCCACAAACTTGCGCAAGCACCAGCCAATCTGGATGGCCGTAGACTTCTCATTGCCGAGCGGGTCGACCTGCCTGCCCTTGACAAAGATGATCTGATTTTGGCTGTCCTCCCGATCATACACCTTGTCTGAGGATCCAAACGCAATGATTGCAAGCTTGGACGTTCGATTGTGCAAGGTAGCGTGGAGGACACTCTTCTCAAAACCGAGCTGCGCCATGCCTTGCAGCAAGTGCTCATAGACTTTCCGCGGCATTTTTGTCGAGGAAGGCTGATTATTCGGCCATGTGGTGATGTTCAGGGTTACTAAGTTGGGTAGTTCACCTAAACAGTTCTGTAGACGTTCAATTTAGCATCCGAGGTAAAGCCATTCCGAAGTGAACCCGCAGTTGGTGGGCGCAGAGGGGTCATAATTAGAGCACTTACCTCAAAGTTGGTGAAGGAATCACTCTTATTTCGAAGAATCGACGTCTGTGGGAAAGCGACAGAAATCTGCTCTAATAGCGGGCAATCCTTGCAAATCTGTGAAAAAGACGAGTAATCGTAGACCAACTCTTCGTCACAGTCGTCTGGAATCCGGCTTGCGTGTACATTGAGTTGTTGTAAAGTTTTGCCATGGCGGATGATTCCCGCAGCTGCAGGTAAACTCTTCGCGAGCGTCAAATCGATGGTGAGGGTCTTTATGCCAGAGACCAAGCACATGAAGCCGTCTAATGCACCTAGCCCGTCGTTCTCGATATTATCGTCATGCTTGCATTCTAGTGTCTCCAGCTTCTCAGGCAGCTTCGTGCTCTTGGAAAGCTCGGCAAATAGTGCGTCTGCGCCGGGGCATGCAAACACTCGAATTGATTTAACAGTCCGGAAGTCGATCAACCTGCAATATGACTCGGTGGCATATCGTAGGTTGATCTTTTGCAGAGTAATTTCCTTCAATGCCATCGGGGTGCATTTTGCGAACGGATGCATGTGACTAAACATGGTACTCGTTATCAGCCCAGGACCAGTGCTAGAGTCATTCAGCTCTCGGTTAGGTATTGGGGAATCGCTCTCCTCGAAGCTAGCATGCAGTGTAATCTTTTCCACCTTCGGGGACTTCTTCACTAACAGATGGCAGAAGTCCAGTACTTGACGGTGAATTAGCTCCAGATCCCTCATGACGGTTTGAGTGATGAGGCGACGTACCTTCCCGACTATCCGGATACAGTCCCAGCTTCTTTACATTCTCGAATACCTTGTCAAAATCAGGGATCTTTTCCAACTGCTGCAGAACCTCTTTGTCGAGCGCAATGCCCTCGAGCCATTTCATCTTCTTCTGTTTCTTGTACAGCAGGATCAGATTCTCCCCCGAGAATGGCGACCAAGGATGCCATGAAAACTTCTCCAATATGTTTTCCGGAAGCAGCTCGAGGATCATCCGGATCGCAAAGTGCGCCTGTTGTAGCTGATTGCACTTGTCCAAGACATCCGCAAGGTAGAGATCCAGCTTCCTGACATGCTTTAGGCCAATGTTCCTCGGGTTTAGGAACGCGCCCAGCTTGTTATCGTTTGCGCTTCCGACGTCGAGGGTTACTTCGTGGTAGAGCTGACGGACGCTGATTTCGTGTAGCTGTTTGCAGACGAGGCATAGGTTCTTAAGGTCGGTTGGCCGGATGACCTGCGCAGCAGTTTATTAGCCAACAGTCTATGAAGAATCCCTGTCTTGCAGGCCGTTGAGCCGTCCCCGCAAGTGTACGTGCCGCTGTTGCACCACAGACGAAGAAGCTTAACAGCCGGGCGCCTTGTGCCCTGGGCCCCCGCAGGCCCTACTTACGTGTTGGACAATAAGAGTTTTAATATCGACCGACAAGTCCATAAAATTAAGGCCTGCCATACTTAGGACAGAGCCTGAGGCGGCAACGGGGAATGTGTTGGAGAACGATGGTAGGTGGTGGGCGAGAGAAGCTCCGCAAAGCAACACCGACGGTTGGAGTTAGAGTTGGAGTAGGAGTAGTCAGTCAGGCTGGGTATTTGAAGGAAAGCAGCGGCCGCTCGTTGTATTTTTGCCTAAGGTGGAGTTCCACATGGACCACGCTGACGGGCAGGGCAGTAGACGGGCCGGTGTGGTTAGTGGACGTGTGTTGGAATGGTGAAAGGCTGTGATGCAGCGGGCTAGCAAAATGGGCCCCAAGATCATCAGCCTCAGCCTTGACTGCCTGCGAGCTTGCCCCACGCAGCCACCAGGATTTGCTGCAGAAGTATCCACCCTCATCTGCTGTAGTTGGCGGTCATTGCTACCTATTGCTATAAGACGACATCGCCATGGTCGTCCCCCTCTAGATCCCTGGCTAGGCATCGTGGCGGCGATATTTTAGATTCGGCAGCATTGTCTGTTTCCAGTAAGACAGGGCTGTATTCTCTAGCTTATGGTGACGGGAGAGGCAAATGCACAGCACGAAGGCGTGAACAGGCAGAACCCCTTCAGCTTGGATGGGGATATCAAATAACAAGTACGTCTGCGCACATGACGGCGTCTCCGCAGCTCTATCTAGGATGCAAGTCCACCAGAACACCCCTTATATGCCACTCCAGATCCTGTAACCGTAATCCAGTCAAAAATCATAGTGTCCAACTCGACCAAGAAGGTATTCCCGAGAGCACTCCAGGCTATAAACTCCCAAAAAGCCAGACACCTCGCTATGCAGGTGCAGTCAAGATGAACGCCAAACGATATACCGCCTCCATATTTACTCTTGCGATTCATCATCGCCTTCACTGTCGGAATTTTGGAACCCCGCTAGCAGTTCCGCCTCTACTTCGTCCTCGTCTTCCGCCTCACCTCCGCCAAAATTGGCAGCAACAGCGTTTTTCCCATCTTCGTCACCTTGACCTTCCTCTGGGCCAGTTGTTTCCGGACTTGGAAGGCCTGAAGATTTATCTGCCGACACAACGTTTGTCAGAGACGTCACGCGTTCCAGGACACGTTTTTTCCTTCTCTGTAATCGGGACGTACTATTGACACTTGTATCGCTATCCTCCGCATCACTCACGTCCGTAGAGCCAGTTGTACGCTTCCTCTTCTTTTTGCTTCGTTTTGAGTCTGCTAAAGCGCCTGTGTCAGAGTGAATGCTCTCGGAGTCGGAATTGCTGTCCTGGTCCGTGTCCTCAGATTCGTCCATAAAATCCTGGAACTCGTCACCGAGTGATTGCCACTTCTCATCTGACATATCTAGCTCCACTGGTGATACTGCTTCGTCCGCGTTGTCGCCCTCCTCGTCACCGGTAACTGCAAGGTCGTCGTCCTCAAGATCTTCAAATGGAGATCCTCCTCGTTCGGCCGTATCTACTTCGATGACGTAGGGTGCCTCGTCGACACGCTCCCATCTTGTGCAGCATTGGAACATCCAGTCGGCGTTGACGATCTTTATATGAGGATTGCGGGCGGCTTTTTTGACTTTGGTAGTCTTTCTATCCGGGTTGGCGATAACATGGGTGGTTTGCCTGTTTACGTTGAGGGACACTTCCGCTCCAAAGCTCTTTATCCATAACGCAAAGTCAGAGCTAACTTAAATTAGCATCGTCTCTACAAGACGGGATGAAAGCTCGCGAACTTACAATTGCACATCTAAACCTAGTGGTATAATGCCTGAAAATACTATGGTAGTCCCGGCAAGAACTTCACGCTTCATTCTTGGCATCAAGACCTTGACGTCGGGCACGAATTCCTCCAGTGTCCGTTTCTTGGGGCTCTTCTCGCCTCGTAGTTCGGCAATACGGCCACCCTGGGGGCCGGTCTTCTTCTTCTGGTACTCATCGTAGAATGAGCGGTGTACACGATTCAGGCATTCTTCGATGAGGTCTAAACCCCTATCGTCGTCGTGCAGAAGACCGTGCCGATGCCTGTGGTGTTCGCTCGATTGCGTGTCGCCGTTTTCAGCCTCGACCGGCTGCTCACTGTCTTCGGCCTCGGCTGCCTCATCTTCCTGATCAAGCAAGAGCTGCTTCTGTAGTAAAGGTCGCTCTGTTTGTTGTGATATGATGACCTTCTCTTGCTCTTTGACCTGCTGTTCAAGGACTTCTGGACTATCCCCGCCACTCATTGAGAGCAGCTGTTGCTCTAGCTCGGTTAAGGTGCCATTTGAAATTTCTGTGGACACAGTTTCAGTGGGCTTTCCTGCAACGGAAAATGGTATGGCGGTTTCACCTTCTGCTCCTATACTATCCTTGATTGGTGTTAGCTCAGGTAAAGGAGCTCTCACAGCAGAGGTGACCAGTTCCTGTTGTTTGGGCAGAAAGCTGGCGTTGATGTCTCCTGCACCGGGGAAGAAGTTGAAAACAGGCACGCGGATGAGGTTGTCACTGTAATGCCAGATATCGGCTCTGTCGTCAATGATGACTACCATGTCTGTATTGGTCGGAAACAGCCGATGGAGCGTCTTGAGCTTGTCGGTGTAGTTCTCATCGCGACTGAGGATCCTATCGCCAAAATACCTCCGGTCTGGGTCAATGATCTTCGCAACAGCCTGTGCGTAAGCTCGGGTGGCCATTGTGTAGACATGCATCTCGTACATTGTCGAGACTCTGTCAAAGAAGTCCTTCAGACCGGGGCGCATTTTGACGTAGTACCAGTTCGCAGCCACGTTGGCGACATTGTCATCGGCAAGCTGAAAGCTTCGAACGTCCTTCACAGCCTCGTAGTTTGGGTTCTCTGGGTCCGCTTGCCACTCTGCAATTGTGCGCTCGCAGGTTGTGTGGATGACGGTCTGGTCGAGGTCGACAATGAGGGACAGCTTTTTGGCACCAAGCAATCGACGCTTAGAGTCCTCCTCTGCGCGAACAGCTTCCTTCTGGCTAACAAGCAAGGCGATGTTGTCATGGGTCATGTTGATGGTCGCTCGGTCGACATTGCGCTCTTCGGTGAGGTAATCAACCTCAGTCATGTCCTTGCCGCAATTAGCGCACAAGGAGCCAAACTGGATCTCATGAGTGCAGGGCTCTTCTATTTCAACGAGATCAACCCTGTGTTTGTGTCAGCGGTTGGTGTTCGCAGCATGCTCAGGCGCGCTTACCCGGGACGGTGAATGACGGTGCCATTCTTGATGAACCACTGGCCGATGATGCCGTCGGCAGAGGAGTCGAACTTGGCGGGGAACTTCTTCTTGACCTCATTAGTCTCGCCATACTTGTTACCCTCAGTGACTACACTCTCGTAGTAGTAAGTGAAGAGCGGCGACGAGCGCTGGATCTCATCATCGTGCTTCCGAGCAAGCTCGACGACGGTGATGGGATAGTGCAGACCGGGCGGCGATCGGAGCTTCATTCCTCGTTGCGCAGGCCCATGCGAGTTAGAACGTGGTTGTGGTGTTTGTGGCGGAGGGCGCGTCGCGGTTTCAATGAGCGCATTCGGGACTGGCTGGGGTGGTGAATGAGCTCGGAAGGAGCTTGGGTGCTAGTCGCGTCAGAGCCGTGCAGCTGCAAGCGGGGAGCTATGACAACACGAACACGGGGGCAGGCTCGGCGGCAGCAATGGTTGGAAGAGAATGGCAGAATACCAGAATACCAGAATCCGAGGCGGGGGGGGTGTCGCAGTTGTGGGTTGACGCGGTGGTGGTGAGGTGTGTGTGCGCAGTCTGAACGGGGGTAGAAAATGTGTGGCTCAGCAGGGAGGGTGAGCCTCTTTTTCAGCACCAGCAGTTTTCACAAAGCGCCTGAGCGCGGGGAGCAACAGCCTTTTGTATCGCCGCCGCTCTGCCTGGGGTGGTGCGCTAGGCCGCAACCAATCTAACCCCATCACGTGATACAGGTGAGCCGACCGCTCTCGACACCGCGCAAAGAACGAACGGCCAGCGCCGCGCACCCTCGTTCGTTTCAACCCTGTCGAGAGCGCTGTCGTCCAGGCAGCACTGTTACCAGTCAACTAACGTATATATGTAACTATACTAGATGCTAGAGGCTGCCAACAACAACAATGGAATCCTGACTTAATTCGACTTCACGCAGGTAGCCAAGTAGAGACCCTTTCTGCCCTTCTGCACTGGTTTGGATAACACTAGTCCCCAGACCTGCTCCGAACTTCAAATACAATCTATACCGCCCATTATCTACGCCAGCGCCCAGAGGTATATTATGCAGATCGCTCCAGATGTCGTGCCGTCATGTCTATCTAGCCCTATCAGAGTGTCACCAAACCTGGAAATGTATCAACAAGAAAACAATCTCCCAGTCTCCCTATTCCTCTCTATATGCCGACTCCGAGTTGCGCTTTGACGCGCTTGCGCCCTTTAACACCATGCTCCCTAACGCCGACGGCTCGCTCCCTACTCGAGACGTATCGATCGACGCTCGATGTATCCCCGCAAGGGCCTTCTCTATCTCGAAAGACTGGGGTATGTCAACTTCATCGTAGTTGTCAATGAGAGTCCAGTCTTCATCAAACTCGTCTGTGCCGTCTCCCCGTCTCGCGTGCTTCTTGATCAGTGACTTCGCCCGATCAAGCTCTCGGTAGATGGTCTGAATAGCCGTTTGGGGCCCATTGTCCTACTGGTTTTTAGCATGGCGAAGCGCCTAAGCGTCTATGCAATAACCTACCTGACGGATCTTCTTCCCGAGATATCTTGCCTTGATTATATATCGCTGACTGGTAGTCATCTCCCACATAGCTCGGCTAAGCGCCGAAGTATTGACCTTTCTAAGCCATTGGCCAACACCCAGATCCTCCACGCGCTGCGCAAAGAAGAACTGGTCCCCAAAGAATGGCTTGATAACTGTTGGAATTCCTGCCCGGAGACTCGCTCCGGTAGTGCCGGATCCACCATGGTGGACAGCTGCGTCCATCTGCTTGAATAACCAGTCATGAGGGGCAGCCTGTATTTGGAAGATGTCTGGAGGAAGAGGCATCTCCGGCTTCGAGGCATCCTTTGTCTCTAGCCTGTCCGACCACCCTTTGGAAAGCACGCAACGAACGTCTGCCTTCAGCACAGAGTCCACGACAGTCTTCGTAAGGGCAGCAGGATCATCAATAACGATAGAGCCAAAGCCGACATAGACAAGCTTCTTCCCGTCGTCTCGTGCTCTCTGAATAAATGCGAGAAGGTCAGCAGGAGGCTCATAAGACGCGGCCTCGTCGAGGAACCAGTAACCCGTGACGCGAATCCAATCGGGCCAGTCAAGCGGTGGTGGGACAACGGAAGGGCTGAAATTGTACATAAACGGTCGCAGATTTGCCTGCATTTTGGTCGGATTGGTGTTTTGAAGGCCCAGTTCTCGACGCCGCCACCTATTGATCTGACCGGAAATGGCAGTCCAGAATATCGTATCAAAGGTGACATAAGTGAAACTATTATAGGCACCACCCATCTTCTTCTCCAGAACCGAAAACGCATGTGGATACGTTCGCGTACGGGTCCATGGCATTGTGAAGGCACGGAAATAGGGGATCTCGAGAGCTTCGGCAATATGGATACCGGCCATCGCACTTGGACTCTCGATAAGCACATCGGCACCCTGACAGGCCTTCCATGCAGAACTACAGACGTCATCAAGCCATCCTCGGAACTTCGAGTTAGCCTCCTTCAGGAAGTTGAAAGTGAACATGCCATGTTCAACGCAGATTCTCATCAACTCCGCGGGATTTCCCTCAACAGGAGCAAAGTCAATACCGTGATTTCGTACCCAAGGTTCGAACTCGGCATGGGTTGCTATTCGTGGTTTGTGGCCTTCTTTCAGTAGCTCTTTGCAAAGCGCAATGTATGGCTGAACATCACCTCTGGATCCGATTGTGAGACACACAATAGTCAACGACTCGGGGGGTTTGAAGTCCACAATGGACGCAAGAGGGTCATCAAAGATTAACGGTATCCGATCATGGTCAGCGCCGCGCATAATCTGCGACATGTCAACAGAAGAAGCCGGTAGGGTAGTCTCAAGCCCCTGGCGCGCCTCTTGTAAGAGGTCGTGCTCTACCTTTGCTGCTTCATCGTCGCTATCCATGCCAGATGAAGACGATTTATCGTCCTCGATATATTTAGTACTCTCGAGGATGCGAAGGATGGTGATGGCACAATCGTCGCGGTACTCGGCCTTGGAAAATTCAAAAAAGAGCTCTTCATGACCTCGTATGACCACTGCCAGTCCGTGGTATCCCATCCGAAACCCATTCTCCTTATTGACATTCTCGATGTCGCGCATCGGGAGGATGATCTAAGACAATCAGCCGAGTCGGTTACCATGGTTGGGAGTGGAGAACACATACCTTAGTTTTTGAAGTGGGCATCAGGCTCCGGAAACAGAAATATCGGGCGCTGATATAGATCTTGCCGTAGTTAGGGAGTACTCGTTGCAGAGAGGCAAAGAATGATGATTGCAACTGTTCAGTTTCTGGGAATGCAAAATGTTCCCGGAAGTGTTCTGCTGCCTTTACCGCGTCTTCATCCTCTTCTAGCCCGTGGACCCGATCATCAGGTTCCAAGCCGTCGGCGGTGTTGTAATGCTTTCTACCGCCTGCTAACATGCCAGATACTTTTTCGTAGTATCCCATAGACTCTGTTGCAAGCAGATTGCCCATTCGCTTTGATCGCGTTCTGAGGAAGCCAGCAAGTCCTGACGCTTTTTGAAGAGGATAGGAGGCAAGGTCTTGGAGCGCGGAAGAGGAGCCCGATAAACGAGCGTTCATTTGTTGGGTCTCTGATTCATCTTCCACATCGGGCGTGCCTAGAGGTGAATGACCATTACCCGAGCTACCGCCTTGTTTGCGATGTGAAAGTCGTGGCGACTTCAGGTGGGCTTTCCCAGCACCAGCCCCAGAGGAGCGGGTAGTATCCTGTGAGTGTCTCGCGGCGCTATCAGAGTTATCTGATGCAGAGACTCCCGGCGGGTGAACGACTGGTGCTCGGAAGACGTCGGAACGACCCAGTATCTGGCTTGCAGAAGCATTGCTCTCGTCTATCGATTGTACAGCAGCAGACGATTCGGTGCCAGGGTCAAACGAGTTCGTGGCCGACTCTGATGAATCTTGAGGTTTTGCAGACAATGGCGATCGATCACCAGGCCGACTTTTGGAAGGTGCGTCACGATGACTGCCACTGAAGCTGCGCCGAACCTCTTGACTAGGCCGACGAAGACTACGAGATAAGTCCATGCTACGCCGTACATCATGGCTTCTTCGTTTCACATCAACACTTGACCGTCCAGACTCTCCGCTCACTCGGGAAGTTGAGCGCCCTACGTGCGGCGCTGGTAGTGGGGACAATGTGGCACGGACATTTTCCTTGATCTGAGGTGTATCCACAAGACTGTCTTGAGACACGAGATTATCACGCTGCCCGGAGATGCTCACTCTTACAGGGAACTTCGCATCCAGCCCGGCCTGGCTGGGAGTTTCATGATGATGCTCATTATCGTTGATCATGATGCGTAGCACGTTGAGCGCGTCTTGTCCATTCGTAAAAAAGGAAAAGAAGTACTACACGTAGGTCAGAGAAATGTTCGAAATGTTTGAGGGAGGGCAAACAAACTTCGTCAATAGCAAACGTTTCGTCGTTATCGATCACTCGAACCTTGACAGTATCGGCAAAGTCGAGAATGGTGCTTTCTTCAATCTCGAGCACATTCTGAATAGGTAACGATATCTTGACGCTGTTTCCCTCGTTGTGTGTTCGAAAAATAACCTTTTGGATGGAACGAACCCACTCCTTCGCACTCGCAACGCTATCCGCTTTGAATTGGTAAGTCCTTTCATCGGTGGTGACCACGAAAATAGTCTCATCTTTGCTCTTATCCTTAGTTTCTAGTGTCTCTGCAGATATTGCATACTGCAAATTGACCCGATTGCGTGGAAAATACAAATCTGCAGGATTTGTGTAGTATGCAAGTACGTCCCCCCGCAGAATGAACCAGTATCTGTTGTACTTCGATCGACCGCGTTTGAAGAGATACCCAGTCTTGCTGACATCGTGCTACAAAGAGTAAGCTCCACTACAGCAAAGCGTTCAGGTGTCTTACGTGTTTCTTCGGTATATACGCATAAAAGCAGACGTGCCTTTGGGTGATGTACATGTAACCTTGAAGAAGTATGCTCTGCAACAGCCAACATGGATACTCTGTTAATGTTAGCGGAGCCTGAAGACTACAGTACAGGAACAAACCGGAAATTACTTCTTCCAAGCTATCGAACTCGAATATTTGCTGAAGCCGCTTCGCAAGTGTAACAGGTGCTTTGCCTTTCGAGATGCCCGCGATGCTACCATGTCTACTCCTGCGAGAAATAGAAAGACGCCGTTTCTCGACATGTATTTCCTGACCAGTGGTGACTTTAGACTTGTACTGCGGAGTTTGCTCGTCCTTCGAGATGCTAGCAGACTCATCATCCAAGCGACGAGGAGGCAAAATCTGAGACGAGGACATGCGATCCGCGACTGCAGTGTCCCGTATGCTTTCCTTTCTGCCCGATGTTTTGAGCTTGGGGAGTGAGCGGAGAAGCTTGTTCTCCGACAGAACTCTCCGGTGCTTGCTCTCGCGGGCCTTGGCCTCTTCGTCATCTTCTGGAGGAGAGTGGAAGTCGTTGGCAGTGCTCAAACGACTCAAACGCGCAGCTCCATCCAAACTATAGTAGTGTACAGCCCGTTTGCCCTCATCGTCGCTATCCCCCGAGTCCACCTCTTGCATAGTCGCAAGGTCGGTCTGGGATTGCTGTCCTGCCCTGGCAATCATAGAGAATATCGATTGATTCATGGACATGACATCCTTCCTCTTTGGTGCTGTAACATCCTCCTGGGCATCTTCGCCGTCTTTGAAGCGCTCTGGAATGTCTAGCGACACCCGCCGAGTCTCCCTCCGTTTCTTTGTCAACTTTCGGCTGACCCGATCTCGAATTCTCTCTTCAGACGCCATCGTGCCTGATTATTATGTGTGCGTCGCGGGGTATCGTTGGTCAAACTGCCGTGCTCGGGCCGCTCAGGGACGGATGAAGCTTCTACGGCGCTCAAAGAGTCGAGACTAGGAAAATGTGCTGTTGCTCGTAAATGGCACCAGTCAGACTGCTCAGGCAGTTAGCAGGCCGGGAGTCACATATTGAAGCAAAAGGTCGATGGACTGACGCGCTGACACCAAATTCACATCGGTTTAGGTTTTAGTCGTGACCTGCACTTCAGGCGAAGGCGAATCAGGTGCGCACACCGGAGGCAGAGGCAACAACCGGATCCTGATAAGAGGGTGGAAGGCACCAATAATACATAGCTTTCGCAGCAAGCCGGGGAGGCCGCTCACTGCTTTGCAAAGCACACTGAGTTGACGCTCGAATCCCAACAGCGTTCAAGTCACAGTGTTCACAAGCATTTCGTTAGGTTCGGAGGTCGAAGGGACGACAGGTGCAAGTTAAGCCACCACAGCCTCGTCATACGTCACATTACAGAGCCACAAGGAATGAGGCTCAGCAGGACATCGGTTTAAAGCACTATCTAGCATTTGTTCAAGTCATCTGCAGCTTGCCTATTAGTACATGGAGCCCTATTCCAAAAGGAAGCTAGAGCGAGACAGACGCCAAAGAAACAGCTTCCTAAGCTACAATTTGAATCGAGAGCAGTTATGAGAACAGAGAGATGGCCCGTTGTCTCCTCCATTTACTATGATATCTGGTGCACCAGACTGTTCCATTCAATTATTTTGCTTTCGCAAGACCAACGCTGGAGCTGCCGACGTCGTAGACCGAGTACCATTTCCTCAGGAAAGCGTCTCCGAGAATAGCAAGCGGGCCCACGGGCTCGGGAAAATCCATACCCATGAACGCAGAAATACACGAACCCTGGACTTCCAGGATGTAGTCATAGGGGCCAATAGTAAAGTTGTGACCAGTGAGCGTAAAGGTCAAATCGGGCAGACCATCGCGCTTATCGCACTCAACGGTGTACTGTCCATTGAACGACTTCTTAGCGCCAATCTCCTTGTTCCTAGAAAAATTAGTATTGCATAGCGCTTCTCTGGGGTGTAAGACACTTACAGAAGCTCTGCGATAGTGGAAGGAAGGGCAATAAGAGAAGTGCCAGTGTCAAGTATAACACCAGTGTCGTCCATCTCAGCAGTGTCTTTGCCGAAAGTGATCGCATCAAGATCGACCTCCCAATAAGCTTTACGCCTCAGGGGGATTTTGGTAAGCTCTCCGGTGTAGTGGTTCTTGTTGATGCCTCCAAAAGTGACCTCGGAGTCGTCGCCATTGCTTGTGTCACTAAGATAAAAGGCAAAAAGAGGATCGTCCAACAAGCCCTGGTCGAGCATGTTGTAGAAAGGAGGGGGGATCTTATTCACACTGATAGTGTCGTAGCCTAGCCCCATGATGCCATCGAACCGGCCGAAGGCAAAAGCGAGACCCGGCTCAGAGGTAGCTTCAGCGAAGAGCTGGTTCTTCACCTTCAAATCTCCAATCTGGAAGATGTCTTCCGATACGTAACCACTGAGTTCGCCTGAGCCATAACGGATCTCAAACGAAGATCCATTCTTCTTGTAAGTCGAGGATGAGGAGTGGTCGTATTTAGTGTGAAGGTAGCAAGCGATGGAGTTGCACTCTGAGGAAGGAACCCAAAGATTCGAGCTTCCAGTATCGAGAATGACCTTGAACTCTTGTGGGGGGGTACCAAGAGAGACCTCGGAGAAGTCTGGAGCTAAGTCAGCAGCGGCTCGTAATGGTATGCGACAGCGCACACGACGAAGCGCAACTTACACTGGGCGTTTAAGAAGTTGGTGATTGGAACTGGGTGCGTTCCATCCGCGATGTAAGGAGCTTTGAACACTTGCTCAGCATGCGTCTCAGGCCTGACGCCCATGTACTTCTGGCCCAGGGCCTTCGCCTGCTCCTGGAAGTTTGCGTATTGCTGCTACCAATCAGAACGAAACTCATCGCGATAAGAGGCGATTCCGACAACGATGGCGGCTACATACAAGCTGTTCGGACAGAGGGATCTTCTTGAGCTTCATCTTGTGGACACCGGCAGAGGCGGAGCCCAGCAGCGAACCCGCTGCAAGGAGGATTGCCGTCTTCATGGCGATCAACGACGATAAAAGGACGATAAGCTCAGAAACTGATGAAACTGAAAGAAGAATGCAAAGGAAAGAGGTTCCGTCAAGGTGTTATGATGGAGGAGGTGTTTGTGATGGTGAGTAGGTGGGCAGAGCTGCGGCAGGTGGCTGGGACCGAGCCAGAGCGGGTAGCTTCGTCGTCATGCGGTTGCCTTGCCAAGATCGCTTCGGCACGTGCCCTCGGCCGTGGTTGGTTTCAGGATTCTGGAAGAGTTAGGCTTGGGTTGGTGACCCACCAACGGCGCAGGTACCACCGTTGCAGCGCAAGAGGTCCACAAGGTCCACAATGTAATCACATCAGATGTCACGACGGACTCCTCTTCGCCCGGGGCGGTTGTGATCCTTGGTATTCATTCAGTGCAAACTGGCTCCATCAAGTTACCATTGGCATTGTCCATCTCGCGCAGGAAGGCAGAATTACTGCAGTGCACATGAGAAACTACATTTGAGGTTGGTGCAACGTTCATAATTATTATGTCTACTTGTAAAGCGCATTCAAAGCTAAATGGTACTGAACGGTCCTCAATGGTCTACCCGTCTACACTGTACTGTCTTCTGGGTCGTCGGTATATCGTGGGCCTTCGCTTGGTCCTTGCCGACGCCGCTGGGTCTCCAGGTCGGCTGCCCACAACGCAGAGCTCACGGCTGCAGTCATCAGGAAGAACATGCTTAATGCCGGCACAAGCTGTAACAGGAGATACACAGCTCCATACCTGCAGAAAGGGTTAGTAAATACGATTACTCTGGTACCCGTGGAATGTCCTTACCAAGTGTACTGGCACCTCCTCCTCTTCACGAATGCATTCCGTTGCTTCTTGTCAAAGCCCCGCAGCTTGAAGTATCTCCAATGCTGGAGAGGGCCCGCTCGATAGCCCGTAAGAAATAAAAAGAGGGGTACCCCGACGTATGGTACGAAATTCAGTGGTAGGAGAACAACAAATTCAATAATCTGGCGGAATGAAAATGGACCATACACAGACGACTTGGTCGGCTTTCCGAGACGTCGAACGGGTTTATTCAAGGAATCCTCTGATACAGGTCGGTATTGGCGGACTAGATCCTCATATCCTTTGTGGACGAGAACGGCATCGAAGACATCTACTTGGGATTCATCCTTCGGGTCGTTAGCAGGGGACGATGTTTAGTAGTTAGTTTAGTTATGGATCATACCACTAGAAAGCATTCAAATAGAATAGCCGTAATGGCTGCACCTTCTCCTAACACTAAGAATGTCCCATTGGCCCAAGCACTTCCCGCTCGATGAAAAAGAGCCAAGAAGGCGACTTGCGGAAGATACGTCCAAAGGAAAAGGTTGAGAAGGACAAACGCACTCAAAAGGAATGCAGGCATGAGGCGTGCTCGTACAAGGGGATAGAGAAATGGGTGAACTACAAAGTAAATAATTCCCTGGTGCCTATCAGTTCTTTTTCTGGAGTCGATATCCTTCTTTACACACCTTGGGTGGGTATAAGCACGCGAAATACACATCTCGAGCTGGGTTTATGAGGACCCTTCGGACCACCACCAGAGGAGACTGTGACATCTTGAGTGTGAGGTGCGAAGAGGAGAATGTTTTCATATGGGAAAGCTTCGGAGCTTCGGAATACAATATGAACGATGACGCCGCACTTGGAGCTTGGGCCACCTCCTCCAGGGCATTCAGCGCACTCATCGACCTCAGAATTCTACTTTCATGCTTTTTCTTTGTTCGCTACCTGGCTTGGCTTAACCCTATTCTTTGTAGGTTCTCAAGTAGTCCCATGCTAAGTTGGATACTGGTCTTGAATAAGTCTAGAGTGCACATGATGGCTAATATTTGGAGCTGCATTAGGCCGTCAATATCCGTCGACCACAGCCCATTCTTCCTCGGAGGAGGATCCAACATTCTTGCTACCATCTACCATGCACATCAACCCCTCTGCTAAGTCCTGGAAATACGACGACCTGGCTGTCGACCCAGCGGTTGAAAATTTCCATCGCCATCTTCCAGACTACAATGAAACCCCTTTAGTTAGCCTACCAGAAGTTGCAAATGAACTCGGACTTGGCCATGTACTCATGAAAGACGAGTCTCACAGATTCGGGCTCCCTGCGTTTAAGATTCTGGGAGCATCATGGGCTATCTACAAAGCCGTTGCGGCGAGATGCGAGATGCCACTGACATGCGGGCTAAGAGAGTTAGGGAGCTCTGCAAGAGGCAACAAATTGGAGCTTGTGACTTGTACAGAGGGAAATTGGGGAAGAGCGACCGCGAGAATGGCCAAGTACCTCCAGATTCCCGCAACAGTCTTCGTCCCAGAACTTATGGATCAAGCCACTCAGGAAAATATTTCCAGTGAAGGTGCCAAAGTAGTTGTTGTGGAAGGGGATTACGATGCTTCTATCCAAGCAGCCCGTAAGGAGACAGAAACTGGAAACGGTCTTCTGGTAATGGATATTTCCTGGGAGGGTTATGAGGAGATTCCCCAGGTATTTCCCTGATGTCCGATTGGATTTCGTGATTACTGTGATTAACCCAAATGCAGTGGGTCACCGAAGGCTATAGTACAATGCTCACCGAAACGGAGCGACAATTACAAGAGCTTGTCGGAAAACCAGTGACCCATGTATTCGCGTCAGTGGGCGTGGGTTCTTGGGCTCAGGCTGTCTCTATGCATTACAAATCGCATACTCCATCAAGTGCCGTGATCGCAGTGGAACCTGAAAGTGCAGCCTGTCTTCTGACAAGCTTGGAAGCTGGAGAAATCACACCCATACCCACGAGCCATACAATTATGAACGGGATGTGTTGTGGTACTGTTTCGTATACCGCTTGGCCGATACTCCGAGAAGGTGTTGATGCGAGTGTGACTGTGTCAGATGAGGAAGTGCATCATGATGTGCAATATCTGCATTCACAGGGTATTCAGAACGGCCCGTGTGGTGCTGCAACCTTGAGCGCTTTGAGAAAGCTTAGCAAAGAGAAGATACTCGGATTGAGCAAACGATCAGTGGTGGTACTCTTCAGCACAGAGGGCGCTAGGGACTATGTATTTCCACACTGAAGCACAAAAACCATCATGCCATCTGAGTTATGACCTGCATTGGTGCACAAGGGTGGGGAGACGGAATGTGATCGGCGGTTGGCCCGACAACGTCGAGTCTGGAGGCCGTGCACTCCACAACATGCACCTCGCCCGCCCCATTACTTTCGATCAACGACAACAGACTAGGTTAAGGCTTCAACTTGTGTTGGTATTTAGGTCCAGGATTCTTTCCGCTTCTTTTCTCACGGGATAGCCACTATGGGATCGGACGACCTAATCGACTTCGAGATTATCGAGAATCAAAAAGAGAATATCCAGTCTCTCCCGAGTGGCCGCTCTGCGAAAGCTCTCGCGCAACTGTACACCCCACCGCTCTCTTCTGGCACCGGGAAGTCGCCGTCGCCATCGCAAACCCAGGATCTAAACAATGGAATTCGGGAAGAATACGAAAAGGAACTCCAGGCTATCGACGAATCTGATGATCCTCTGGATGTGTACGACCGATACGTGAAATGGACGCTGGACGCGTATCCATCCGCACAGAACACCCCACATTCGCAACTCTGTTCGCTACTAGAGCGAGCAACAAAGGCTTTCCAAACCTCGACACACTATAAGAACGACCCTAGATATCTCAAACTGTGGCTACATTACATCCGGTTCTTTTCAGATGCGCCACGAGAGACGTTTGCATATCTTGCACGGCATAACATCGGCGATGGGCTCGCTCTCTTCTACGAAGAGTTTGCCGCCTGGTTAGAGACGTCCGGACGATGGACCCAGGCAGAAGAGGTGTACGCACTTGGCATTGAGCGCGAAGCCCGCCCAGTAGAACGCCTTGTTCGGAAGTATGGCGAGTTTCAGCATCGATTCGAAAACCGACCTCAAGGTGTCGCGGAGCCGTCCAGCCCGGCTCTGCCCACGGTCCGCCCTGCACTCGTTGCAAAAATCGATCCGTTCTCTCATACCGCAACGCCCCAAAGCGACCCCCAAGCGCAGAATCATGCTCGCATGACTGGTGGAGCCTCGAGGACGGGAAAGCCTAAGCTAGCAATCTTCTCAGACGGCGATGAGCCCGCCAAATCTGGATCGAGCGGCAGTATGAAAGGCTGGGATAGCATTGAGTCTCTCGCAGAACGGAAGAAGGAGAATACCACGGAGGCACGTCCTTGGGCTGGGGAGACACTGAAAGTGGGAAAGAAGAATGCTGGTGTTCAGAAAATGATGGTTTTCAAAGACGAGGTAAGTCCAGCTACCTGTACAGGTCCCCCCCTTCTCGTATTTACGATCACAGGACTAATTGGTTGGCGTTTGCTTTGCTTTTGTATTTCAGACCGTATCAAATTCCCATCACGACCAATCAAATTCCCATCCATTACGTGAAAGCCAAAAGTCCGTCGACCCGCGAACTGGAAGAGTTCAAATCGTCTTTTCAGATCTAACAAAAGTTTATCCTAACTTTAATGACCCAGTGGCCCCAGAGGTCCCAGAATTTTCCTTCGAAGAGCTTCGAGCCAAACACCGAGGGTGGCTCGACTACGACTGGGGAACTATCCGAGGGCAAGAGGAGAAGGCGCTCAAATCGGATGATGTCCCGAGAGTAGAGCAACTAGACCAACCTCCAGACCCTATATCCAAACCTCAGACAATACCAGTCAAGGGAGGGATCGAAGAAAATTTGGTGTTGAATGATGAAAATACGCCACCTTCGCAAGTTGAACTAGAAAAGGCAAAGATGGCTAAAAAAGCGCGACGGGAGGAACGTGCAAACCGAACTAGGAAGATCAAAGTAATGGAAGTACGGGAAATTCGAGCAGAGGCTCAGACGGGTACGATCTTAATGCTAGCATGAGGCACTCAGTGAGGCTAATTTCGCACAGTCCAAACCAATCTTGCCTCTCCAACAGGGCCAAAAATAAAACGAAAGAAGAATGGCGTAGAACCAACGATGACTCTCCACACTAAGGAAGCCATTGATGAAATTTACGGCATTTTCAATCAGCCCCTGAAGACTTCTGGGGATGCTGCTGAGTCCGATAGTGGAGAAGAAAGCAGTGATGACGACTATACAAGTGCAGGAGAAAGTACCGGTACCGGCAGAATATCCTGTGTAACAAGTGAATTTGGGGACGAAACTACTGCGGCGGATTTCACTCTCCGAACTACCGTCGATGGTGACGAGGATGAAGGCGAAACGGACGACACTGATGTCAAAAGCGTATCAGCATGGTCCGAGTTTACAGAGAGCAAACATGTTCCCAAGGATCACAGGCGCACCGATCAAGATGACGAAACAGAGCATACTCATGAGGATTCACTCGTGGAGCTATCAGAGCCAGATAACCGCTCACCAAAACATGATATCGATCTCGTAACACCAACATCACCTGATAGCCCTCACAGTCCGCCACAAACACGTTTTGTTCCTATCCCGCCGGAAGACTATGGCATCCCTACCCGGCCATATCGTGATCCCACTCAGGCCGCTAACAACCGTCTTCCCTTTATGACCCCTATAGTAGAAAAGACGGAATCCTCTATTGGAGTCGCAACGTCCCGCACTCAGAAAGACTATTTCACGGCCAAGACCCCATCACGCTCGAAAGGTACACCTGCCATTCTTGAGGATGACGGTGAGCCGTGGAGTAGCCCCTTCCAACATGTCCTTGAACAAGTTATTGATGGACCTGCGGGTATAGCACAGCTATCTCTATCCGAAGCGAAGAAGCCGAAGGAAGCGCCCCCAGCATCGAATTCCTTTCCTTTGTCGAAGGAACCTGTTTCAAAAGGGCCAATCATCAAAGACTCGAGATGTAATCCAGTAGATGAGGCCATCCGGAAGGTCATATTGCGAGAAATACAACCATCCATATTGACATATGAAGGATACAATGAGGACCTCGGCAAGGAGTATGGCAGAAGTACACAAATCCAAAAATTTACGAAGGCAGTCTCCAAAATCAGCAAGAACGCCAACGATAAGACTGCGACAAATCTGTTGATGCCTCCAAATCTCAAGTTTGACGGGACGGACAGAATTTACTCGGTCAAACGTGTGATTGGAAAGGGAGCATTTGCCCCTGTTTACTTGGTTGAGGGCACCTGCGCTGAGAGTGATGATGAAGACGCGAAGCCGGCGCAGATGGGCAAAGGCGACTTTGGCCTTAAGCGTCGACTACTTGAGGCTGTCAAAATGGAGGAACCACCATCTGCTTGGGAATTCTACATTATGCGCCAAGCGAAGAGGCGCCTTGGGGTTTCTCGTGCGGTGGACTCCGTGATTCATGCATACGAAATGCACATGTTCAGGGATGAATGCTTCCTCGTGGAAGAGTACCGAGACCAAGGCACCTTGCTCGACTTGGTCAACATCGCCCGTGCCGACAATGGAGTGATGGATGAACTACTAGCCATGTTCTTCACAATCGAGCTCTTCCGTACCGTAGAAGCCCTCCATTCTAAGGGCTTGATACACGGAGATCTGAAGGCCGACAACGTGCTGGTTCGGTTCGACGCGCTACAGCAAAATGAATACTGGAGTCCCCAATACCAACGAGACGGGAGGGAGGGGTGGGCAGCCAAGGGAATTGCTCTGATTGATTTTGGACGTGGGATTGATATGAGGGCCTTCAAACCTGATGTCCAATTTATTGCAGACTGGGAGACGTCTGAAGCAGACTGCGCAGAGATGCGTGAGCTACGTCCTTGGACTTATCAGGTCGACTACCACGGCCTCGCCGGCATTGTGCATAGCCTTCTCTTCGGTAAATACATTTCGACAATCGCGGAGCGGGGTGCAGTGTTGGGAGCCGGCGCAACCAAGACCTACCGCATCCGGGAGAGCATGAAAAGGTACTGGCAGACAGATATCTGGAACGAGGTGCTCGATCTCCTTCTTAACCCGCTGATGCATCTTGAGGGCGAAGAAGGCAAGAAGCTGCCGGTGTCGAAAGGAATGAAGGCTATGAGAGAGAAGATGGAGACGTACCTTGAGAGCAACTGCGACAAGGGTGTTGGATTAAAGGCATTAGTTCGGCGTATGGAGGATGCGGTGAAGGACAAACGACGATGATTGATGGTATACCACGGTTCTGGATTGGGGCTTATTATGCATTGCAAGGAGTACTGTCAGCCTAAGGGCGGTAGTTGTCGATAATGCGATATTTTTCCGTGTTTCTTTCCCTTCCATGTCCATATGCCAAGAGGGCGCACCGCCACTTGCACCGTGACCTCAGTGAATGTCTGGTGGGGCTTGTTGTCCGGTCCGTGCACTTGGATTTCACCAACGGCAGCCTTGAGCTGGAGGGACGCGGAGCTTCACCACCGTTCCCGCGCTTCCTCTGCTGCGCCGTGAGCTTCACCTCCAGGCAGGATCCTCTTCCCCGTGGTCTGCGTACTCGTTTCGAGTGCACCGTGTGCTTTTTTAGGCCAAACAACACTGTCTTACGGAAGCAGGCAACACTGCAACCACTGTCTACCCCACCACCCTCTTCTCCACCACCCTTCTCGACCTCCCAAGTCGTCCCATTGTCTACATAGAATATGTCATCGGAATTGTTGAGCATTCTCTTCTCGTTCCAACCCGACGATGTAGAATTACAACAGAAACGTGAATATGATAACCAGGCCAGAAATTTCGTCTCCACGCTGTCGAACATATCTCCGCAACATTTCTTGAAAGGAGCCGATACAGCACAGGATGTACTAGAGGTGCGGATATCAAAGCATTGCTTACAGGCTTGGCTGACCGTAACAGTTGCTCAACCCCGAGGTGAACTCCATCGCATACATCTACGCACTCCAAGCTCGGATCCTCGCTGCGGGAGACAGCCCCAAGTCGCCGAAGAGCATACCCGACCATCTCAGGCCAGGCGGCGTTGTTTGGAACAAAATAGCGCAATTCCTCGAGACTTTCGATCCCGTTCAGATACGATATGTTGGGAGTGAGTGGAGGAAGCTTTTGGAATATGTCGACCGGGTGGCGAGGATCATGGGAACAGTATGCTTAAGCTCTTGCCTGCGATGATCTACGTATTTTAACGTTTCTCTTAGCCCGGCGTTGCCATCTCTCCTATACGGTCTGGAATGCTCCGCCTGGACCCAACGACAGGCACCTTCACTTTGGCCCACCTCCACTTCATTCGGCTTTGTATGGAGAACAGGTCCTATACTGCCGCGCTACCCATTCTAGACAACTACATCTATAGCCTCCCGGCCGCTATTCCGAAGGCCGTTCTCGAACAGTTGGAGTACTCGGTTCCCAGTGCAGATCACATTAATAGTGGGGAGTACATTCACTTGAAGTCAGGACATACGGAGAAGATTACAGTTACGGATGTGCAAGAGTATTATATGCTAGGGGCCCTAGCATACATTGGCCTGCGTCAGTTCAAGAAGGCAATGGAGTTCCTGGAGCACGTGCTTGTCGTTCCTTCCCAAGGCTTGGCCAATGGCTTGATGCTAGAAGCATATAAGAAGTGGGTTCTAGTTTCTTGCCTAGCAAAAGGCTCGGTAAGTCGCGGTTCGGTCAATTTCCTGCTCTAGATTCTAAAGCAGGCTAGGTGCCACCAACGCCGAGGACCGCAAACGGGCAAGGGATAAAGTATATCCGAGCAGCTTCTAAGGCTTACGAAGCGCTTGCTGAGGCATTCACACAAACAAACAACCTCCCAAAACTGAAAGCCCAGATTAATGCCGGCAAAGATACATGGGCAGAGGTGAGTAACTCGAGTTTATGCGAATCTCGTGTTCTTATTTCTTGCTGGACAGGCGCTTAAATTGAATTTAGGACGGAAACACAGGTCTAGTGAATGAGCTGCAAGACCACCAATACCGACTCTACATTTCCCGCCTATCTAAGACATTTTCGGCAATCCCTGTCTCAAATATCTCTAACGGTCTCGGCGGCAGTGTGGAGGAGCTTACAGACTACCTAGAAACACTCATTAAAGATGGTCATCTGAATGCCTGCATAGAGCGAATGAGCAAGTCGGATGGCGAGGTCGTCTTGCGTTTCTTCCTTGACCCCACCCAAGGGCCACTAGCCAAGACGGAGGTGCAGCAGCAGCAAGCGCTTCTGGAGCAAACTCAACGGACAAACGTGCTTGCGGAGCAAGTTAAGAGTGCCGACTACCGACTCTCTCTGAGCAAGGAATACGTCGAACACCTTAAGCGCCAGAATAAGAAAGCGGCGGCTAATGCTGCAGGGGAAGCAATGGACACAACGTGGGACGATGGAGTAGAGGCTGATGAGGATATTATGGGAGATATGCACTGAGGTTTGGCGGAGTGCCCGGTAAACCCTTATATGTAAGACGGGTGGTTGGAGCCTGGGCAGAGAGAGATCTTACCACCGATGCAGATTTCGGCAGGGGCAATATCAGCGCGCTATCTCAGGCGATAAGCACCGTCAGACGGGACCCATGACGCAATAACGGATATGGATGCTGAAACGTGGTCAGATAGGGCTAAATAAGAGTTTGGAGCATGGTCAAACTATGAGCGGAGTTGGCCTCTGCTGCTTGAGCTGTGTCCGTAGACTCTCTAGATTTCGATGGAGGAACATTGATATCACGATAGGGACCTGGGCCCAAAGTAGTAATAGCTAAGCCGAATACGAAAGCGAAAGCATCCTTGTTTGAGTGAGGGTTTGCACACGTTTCAATTCCCATTTGGACATGTTTACGGCTCGGTGCAGCGACTCAAGACTACTCAGGTCTGTCTCAGAGCAGCCGAAGGACGAAACTGGAGTGTACGACCAGATACTCGACCACAGTGGCCGAGAAACAGTGACACTACTTAAAACACAGTCGTGCTGTCAATGGGGTCCGGGTTGTCATCCCTCTCTCTTTCTTTCTTATCTGTTTTTGTCGGCTCTCATGAGCTGGAAGTGCTAGTAGTGCTGCCCCTGACATTTGTTGAAGCAGCGCAGTTGTCAACAGCAGATTCTCTTGCGCGACTCTTGACAAGAGTCTGCTCCTGGGACCTTAGTCAGGCTCCACGCAGGCTGCCGGGGGGGGGTCGGACAGCTCGAAACCTTCCGCGGGGGGGTCGGACAGCTCGAAACCTTCCGCGAGGGAAACCTTCCGATTGCCAGGGCCACATTCCAGAGCAGCGAGCAGGTTGTAGGTGGCCAGTGGACGGGACGACGTGTCGCATCGTGTCGCTCCGGTCCCAGACAGCGCAATTTTGAAGTCGACGGGAAGGGACGCCGGGCTTTTATCGAGCAGTGACGGCGCATGGTCCTATCGGCAGCGTGAAGTTGAGTTTTGGCGTCCCCTGCGCTAGTTCGAGCTCACCCCCTGCCTGTTGGTACGCTCAGGGCCCTTCCTGGGGCGTGCAAGGCTGGCGGCACACTCCGCAGCCCTCCTCAGTTAGGGGTCTTCGAGGTTCGACAAACGCCTCGCGATACACAGCAGCTCCCAGAGCACCGCATCACCGCACACAACAGCATCGTCGCTCGCCCTCGCACCCTCTACCCTCCTGCCTGGCTGCCCGTCGCTGCGTCCAGCGCACTCCCGCCATGCCGCAGGACCTGTCTTTTGCATGAACGTCGGGAACCAGTGCATAACCGTACTTGGCGACTCTGAGACACAGTCCCGGCGCCGCACCGCCAAAACATCGCCAGAATGAATATGTACAAACCCATCGTGGCCGCCTCGCCGCCTGCAGATCTGCCTGCACCCTCCAGCTCGCTCCAGCAGCCGCACACGCATCGCCGCACCTCGTCGCGCTCGAACTCGATCTCGTCGTCGTCAGTTGTGACGGTCAAGCGGTCCGCCTCGCTCAAGGACACGATCCCCGATCCGTCCAAACCCCACAAGAAGCCCACACCGCCTCCCTCGAGACGCCGCTCCAGCGTCGCCCATGTCGCAGTAGATGGCATCCAGGGCATCCGCGAGGGCATCGGCAACCTGAACCGCTGGTCGCAGTCCACCACGAGCAGCAACAAGTCGGCCAAGGACAAGGGGCACCAGACGCAGTCGAGCTTCTCGCGCCGCCTGAGCATCAGCAACAACTCGTCCCTGACCTCGATCCATGGAGCTCAAGTGCATCCGTCCTCACCCTCACGCCTCAATTCCTCGCCCTCACGAAAGACGACCGCCCAGTCCTCCTCCCGCTCGCCGGCTTCGAGTCCCCACCGGCGTGCCAGACCGCGCTCCCCTGCCTATGCCCCGCCGTCATCTGTGACAACTCTCCCCGAGATTCCCTCGATACCCCCCCTCCTACCCGCCACCGTCTACGACCCGAGCTCCCCGAACACTACCCCTTCGAACGAGTCACCCTCCACCGCCGGCCTTTTTACCCCGAGCACCTACGCTACAACTACTACTACCACCACCTCGACCGACTACTTCAACTCCCGCCCCCCGGCGCCAACATCGAACAGTCAGCGTCCACCATCGCACAACAAGGCCGACAGAATACTTGGGAGGTCGCCCCTTGGCTCACCCCCGCTCGCCGTGCTGGAGTCGGAAGCAAGATACAAGTCCAGCGCGCCAAGCCGCGCCTCGACAGCTGGCGCAAAGGAGTCCCTACAGAAGCCTGTGCAAACTACACAGCGTGAGAGATCGGGGTCAAGAGATCTGGACTCACGGTATAGGAGTGAAAGCAACGCCAGCAGCAGGCTGGACGACAGTTACCAAGGCACCCCTCCGCGCACCCGGGAGCGGAGGGAGAAGGATAAGAAGACAATGCTTTCTAGGGCGCTGCAGAAGGCGAACACTGCAGTCTTGCTGGACAATGCGCAGAATTTCGAGGGCGCCATGGACGCGTACGAGGACGCGTGCAAGCTCCTGCAGCAGGTCATGATACGAAGTTCAGGAGAAGAGGACAGGAGAAAGTTGGACGGCATTGTAAGTGTCAATTTGATTATAGGTGCTCCCGTGAGCCCGACGTATGCTGATGGATATTGCTTGGTAGCGAGTTACATACACCAATCGCATCGAAGAGCTCCGACGACTGGCCCCTGGCTATCAATCTGCATCTGGCAAATCATTGCCAGCGCGTCCGATGAGCAACGAGTCTGTAGACGAAGCACAGTCGATCTTGTTAGGTGCAGCTGACGACGAACCGGTTGTTATTGAAACGGCGACTATGACCCGCATTGTCAACGATCGGTCTGTCCACCCTGACCCGGAACCACCCCCACAGTCATTACCCCTCCGCATAGGTCAATCAAGCGGCATGCGTGAATCTGTCATATCAACAGCTATCCGTGACGTGCAGAAGGGGATACCCAGGTCTTCACAGTTCCTTTTGCAAGCACCACCAGGTAGACTCGGAAATGCCATTCCTTCCCTAGGCACACCCGGACTGGAATCCCCCATGGACCGAAGCTATATGCCGCCGCCGCTTTCTCCGAGACGGCCACTATCACCTTTACCTTCATCCCGAAAGGAATCAGAACCTAGCGCGCAAAACAAACTCCTCCCTCCTATTGAAGAGCCTTTGCAGTCGAATCACAAAAGAGGTAACAGCACGGAATCAATATCATGGCTTGATACTATCGATGAATCTGGAGGCTCTTCATGCTCGTCTTCTGTGCATTCTCTATCCCCAAGAGGACTGCGGCGGAAACATCTTCGGAACGCCAGCGGTGCAACTGAGGCCGAATTTGACGCGGCATTAGATGCGGCTGTAGAGGCTGCGTACGATGAAGGATTTGAACCGTATGAGGACGAGGAGATGCCCACATCCGCTGAGATTATTGCCACTAGACTTAGGAACGTGGAATTAGCCAAGGAACGGGTACGAGAAGCGGAGCGGGAAGAGGCCATTGCAGCGGCCAAGTATCGCTACAAAGAGTCGCAGCTCCAAAACAAAGCCCTGCCACATGTCCGAGAAAGCGCCGAGTTTAATTTCCACGATGAGGCTGAAGAGGAGGAGCGGCTGTTAGACGAAATGACGAGGGAGTACATGCTCGATGGGTTCGATTTTGATTTGCAGACTAAATCGTCACTGCCACGGCAATCGGACTCGAGTGGCTTCTCTGGCAGCACTTACAACAGTTCCGTGTCGTCACACCGTACCACCGGCGGAACGTCTCTCTCCACAGTTGCGGAAGTGATACACCAAACGAGACAAAAGGCGCCGACACACTCGCCGCCACCAGTTCCTGCCTCTTCCAACGCCCTGCAGTCGGTATCGGAGTCCGCGGCAACTCTTCCAATCGATCCGTCAGAAACCACGCCCACACCCGCCACCGTTGTAAAAGAGTCTTCGACTGTTCGAAGCAGGAGACTCTCTGGACAAAACGCTAAGAACCTGAAGATAGAGACCTCCTTGCCTCCAGTACCCCCAGCTCCACATACCGAGAAACCTCTAGTCTCGATAGGAAAGGACCCACTTCCAGACACAATCCCTCTACCTAAAACTGCTGGCGCTGTAACACTTAATAGTTCACAGGCTTCTATTGATCCAACCTTCAAGATCCCAGCATTACCACAGGTCCAACAACCGACCGGACTAACAGCCCCATCACCACAACCTCCTATACCAAGTCCCGCCGATACTACCTTTACCGTGTCACCGGCTACACCCGCTCTCAGTCATGCTATGTCAAATGACAGCACTCTTGTCCCAGGTTCACCCAAGAATGGGAAGACTTCCGCGATGGGAATCAGGAAGAACAAGTCGTCGCTCAGTCTGAAGCAGCGAACTCTGTCAATATCAAGCCCAGATGGATCAGACGGTTCGATTGGGACCCCTCTCAGCACCTCCTTCTCATTCACCGGACGAAAGCAGAGCAATCCGACAGCGCCCGTACCTACACCAAGTGTCCCCACTTTCAATGTGGATGGACTTCCTACCGGAGGCATGCACCTATTTGAAAGTGACATACATTCCCCTTATTCCCCTGGCTCTCCAAGCGCTGCCATTGCAAATGCTCCTATTCCACTAGAACCCTGTCCAGACTCCTACCTTCTTCGTCCGTTCTGGCTTATGCGCTGTTTCTACCAGACTATTGCTCATCCTCGCGGTGGTTACCTGTCGACGAAATTATTCGTTCCCCGTGATGTCTGGAGGGTAAAAGGGGTCAAGTTAAAGAATGTCGACGACAAGATTGCGAATTGTGACTTGCTTAGTGCAGCATTGCAGAGGCTGGCCACGGTCGATACTCTTGATGCCGACGCTGTTCTCGAGGAGATGCAAGCACTTGAGGTCGTGCTTGACCAGGCACAGACACAGCTAGCAAAGAAGCTCGGCAACGAAGTTGGCGTCCATGGGGTGTCATTATTATTCAAAGATGCTCACACCGTTGGTAACGGTTCCACCAATGGCGAAAGCTCAGAGAAGGGTTCCCACGGATCGCAGGATCACGCACCGAAGAGTGCAGTCTCACAAAGCAAATCATATCTCACATCGTGGCGGAAACTGCGGTCGAAGAACTCGGCCGTAGGCCTCAGCAGCATGACCGGAGCAAAGGGAGCAGGCAACGAAGTGCCAAAGGATTCGTTAACCATGGCGACCCTCCCTATGACCAGCCTCCCCAATATCCGGTTCGCAAAGCGAGACGTATCAAGTGTCCTGTTTGAGGGCCCGAATTCGGGATACATGGCCAGCTTGGCGAGGTTGTTTGATTCGGCCCAGATTCTGGGTAAGTTTTCTCAAATCACGCAACTCGCCCACTTTTAGCTTTTGAAACACTGGACGTTGCTAATGCCACTCCCCTAGATCAAATCGCTCGCCAAGTCGAAGACCCAGGCCTCAAACACTCGTCGCCCACGCACGTCGGTCTCGAACTCTCTGCTCGACATGCTGCAGAGTTCTTCGGTTTCTACATCTGCCGCTTTGTGCTCACAGATGTCACTTTGATGCTGGACAAATTCATCAAAAGAGGGAGCGAATGGGTATTGGTATAATGTAGCATATATATGATGCCACCATGCGACAGTATGTACGCTAGTGTTACCAATCTGCCGCTAGCGCTGCTGCTATGAATAGAGGAAAAGAAGTTGTCGTAATGTATGAGGATTCGAGTTGTTCGAATCGTCACATTCGTTGACTACATTTTATTACATGCTGCTGCTGCTGCTTCACTTCTGTACTCCTGTCTTCTTCTTCTATTTAGTACAACAAGCTTGGAGCTTTTGCATAGCGGTACGCGGCATACATGTCCAGGGCGGATTCCTTATTCAAGGAATTTTTACGAGTTTCACGTCTTTTCTACTTCATTCATGGCATTTGGTCAGTCAGAATTCGGCCGATTCCCGCTTTTTACCATTTGAGTTCACAGCGGGCGGAGAATGCCACTCTTCTCGTTTCCTCTCTCCCTCGCCGTCACCGTCTCTGTTTTCTGTGTTTGCAATCAAAGACTGGCTGGTTGTATCCACAGACACGCAAAGCATCCGATCTATATTTTTTTTTTCCAAAGCAAACTGTTTACTTCCGATTTCAAGATATCCCCCACACGCACTGCTAGCTCATTTTATCGCATCCCTTTCCACGTTTTGTCTCTCCTCGGCTTATCCTCTCCTCTCCCCTCCCCTCCCCTTACCCACCCACACCCACCAACCCGCACGAAACGGAGGAAAGGAAAGTTCGAATCGAATCGCTGTATGCACACAATCGCATCAATCGTTTGTCTGTCTGTCTGTCGCTACCCCATCAGAGCTTTTTTCCTATCGGGCAATGAGGGGATGGGATGTTGTATGTAACGGACGTCTCTCTCCCTGTGTGTGTGTGTGTGTGTGTGTGTGTGTGTTTATGTATGTATGTAGATGGTGATGGGCTAGGCTGTCTGTCTCTATGTCTACAGAGTATCTATACTGGGGTTGTTTTTAGTTTGGAGGGGTGGGTTGAAATGATGGGGAATGAAGACCACAAGTTCTTTTCCGTGAAAGGTTGGTTATTGTTGCTTTGAGATGTGGTTGGTGATGTTGATGGTCCAGACGCTCAAGGTTAAATTGAGTAGAGGAATCACTGCCTGACATGTCCGGAATTCCAAGCAGTAGTACTAGCAATTCTCGTACTCACGATCCACGCTGACGGTAAATGCATTGACAGAGACAAGTACATGAACAAGCGAAGTCGACTCTTCAACAAACAAAAATCAACTACGAAACCGGGCTCTCAACCCTCCCTGCCCTCTTAACCTTCATCCTAACCTTCAACACCCCTGCCCTCACTCGTCTCTGGTACGCATAAAATCTCCAAGCCAACCTCCTAACCGTCGCATTCTGTCCTGCTTTAATAATTATCTTATTCCGCACATGAACCCACTTCTTATTAATTTTCTCCTTCGCTTTGCCAGCCAATTTCTGGAAAGGTGTTCCAGAAGATTGTAGGCTAATAGAAGAGATTCGGAATCTTAATGCGTCGAACGATGAGGAGAGTTGTCGGCGATGGCGGCCGCGCTGGGGGTTGCCGGGCGGCGGCCGGCTGAGGAAGGACGAGGACAATTTGCGGTGGGTGGTGTGCTGGGCGTAGCGTAACGTGGCGCAAATGTTATTGGAGAAGTTTGCGTTCGGTGCGTGAGCCATTTTGGTAGAAGTGGTTGGGGTTGGGGTTGGGGTTATCTTTCTTGGTAATGGGGCTTTCTGACACTGAGGTTCGAGTTGCTGAGGTCTAATACGGGCTTTGTATGGTGCTCTGATTCAATGCATATACTGATTCTGACGTAGTCTAACCGGGGAGTGGTATCTAAGCTTTATAGTGGCGAGCAAGACGAGCCGTAGGAGCAGAGGCAGGTAAGTCCATAGCCTTAGCTGGAGCATCGATGCTGTAGCCGTTCCGGAGGGCTGTTAGTTGCTCTTTCTGGAGAACGACTGCATCATATGGTCTTGGCTTCCCTTCACGAGACTGGCAATGTGCTGCTTCTCGTCCCCATAGCTCATGGTGGCTGTAGTGGTTACCCTTAGGGAGAGGACGGAGTCGGAGATGTCTCTTGGCCTTATTACGAGCGTCTTCCTCCTCTTCTATAAAGGAAGCCTTCACCCCTGTTGTAAATGACGGGACGCTGAGGGTGTCTGTGGACGTCGCAGACCGTGGGATGGTAGGGCTGCGGCGGTTCCGGAGGATTTCAATCTCGGCGGCGATTGAGCGACGCGTTTTTGAAGAAGGTACGATTGAGTCTGAGGATTTAGAAGAGCCTGGGAGATTGAGAGTGCGACTCCAAGCAATCTGAGCGTCTTCAAGCGTGCTTGAGGCGCGGATTGTTCGGATTGTAGAGTTCGTGTGGACGAGGCTGGACGAGAGGAGTGAGGTCGAGAAAGCCTATTGAGGATTTAATTTAGAGAGTGGCAAAGATGTGAGTAGTGGTTTGGGCTGGCTCACAGAAATAGACTGCTGGAGCGCATCAATGGCCTCGTATACCGGACGGTTCAATTCTCGATGCCAGGATCGACCCAGGGCAGAGAGTGCAGTCGCAAGATTCGGAATAGCGTTGATGTACTAGAGAGATTTTAGGTACAGAAACAAGAAGACACTGTGCTATTGTACCTCGAGATATGGATCATCCAGAGAGACCTGCATGGGATTCGTCCCAGTGGTGCCGTTGGTGGCATTTACCCAGCCGTTCTACCTCGCAAGAAGCATGATCAGTCAACCATCAGACACTGAATTGTGGGAACATGCCTGGTCGACATCCAGGTTGTACTTAGCTCTTAACACCGTGCCAGTAATATTTGCAAGTAATTCCGCAGTACCCTGTTTCCAATGTTAACACTCCCTAAGGAGCTTCCGCTGTCGTCGACGACTCCTCACCACAGATCCTGGCGCTGCTGGCAAGAATCCCCAGTTTCGGCTTGGGTCTGCTGGAGCTCCGACTGTGCTGGCAGCAGAGTTGATGACAGCCTTCAAGTCTCGGAAGTCGCTGAGAGCATCGGCACGGACAGTGGTGGTGAGTAGGACGCCAGTAAGGTACATAGTTGCAAGGAAGGCTCTCATGAGCCTTGAAGGCATGCTAAGGGAGTGATGAGAAGGCTAGGTCAAGATGTTGTGTATAATGTTGGGAGGTAGGCTGTTGGAGGTAAAGGTGTAAAGGAAGATGAAATTGGAGAGCAGTAGAGAGTATGAGAGGAGGTTATTTTGTGGAGTAGGCTTGAATATAGACAATACTGCGACAGGAAGCGACATGTGTCATGGGGTAACGATAACAAGAGATAGTAGTATTGCTTAGAAAGAACGTGGTGGGTTCACCTGCCTCAAGGCTGCATGGGAAGAGAAGGAGCACAATACGCCGCCGCCTTGATTACCCAAACCTAGCCACCATATCTTCCCAATTCAAACCATACAACTCCAAACTTTTATCAAAGAGCATCCTCTACTTTCTTATGGACGCACATTGGAATTTGGGATGAAGTTGGGAAGAGTGTAAGGGGCTAGAGGGCATTAGGGGGGGGGGGGGGAAAGGACCGGATGGAACGCGACAGGTTGTACAGAACTATGTCGATTATTGCTTTGCCAGCTCAGACTGAATGATCAAGGAGAAGCTGGACCTCTCGAAAAATGGTAGAGGGTTCATGGCAGATGCAGTCGGGACTTGAACGGAAAAGTTTCCGAGTATGGGGTAGAAATGAAGGATAAGCAACATGGAAGTGGCTCTGGAGTTCCTATAGAGCAAGTTATCCATCCCAAGCTCATCCGATGTTCGCTGTTGAGAGCGGCGATTTGATGAGCTTCGGCGATTTCTTCTCTTGTCGGAAGAAGTCTTAACCGGCGTGTCCGCATTGGCATTCTCTTCAATCCATCGTGAAATCTTTACAGATCCGGATATATGTCAATTCACAAGACGGTGAAGTAGCAAGAGTATGAATGGAGGGTAGCTGAGATGAAAAGGGAAGAGGAGAGGATGGATGTTCATCCGTCATTGGCTTTGCCTCTTGGAGGTGTATGTACCTCCACTTACCGAGCTCGGTCCCGAGCCGATTCCGTGTCTAACCACAACGACTGGCCCGGCTACTGTGGGGTAAGCTAGCTTCCAAGGTTAGACCAGGGTCAAGGAACCGTTCCGCGTCACGAAGCCGATGAAAGATGCTCATAAACAAGATGACGCCGAAGCTTAGGGGGCTCTTCGCTTTCTCTCTGCTCCCTCCATCTTTTGCATTTCCTTGCACTCTTCAGTCTCATATTCGTCAATTTATCAACATTTGCGAAGGAGAAGAACAACAACAAATTGACTGAATAAACTCACATTCACAATGCCGTCAATATCCAGAACCCTCCGAATAGCATCACATTTCTCGCGGTCTTCCACCAAAGTACTTTCAACCCTTCAAATATTCTAGGGAGCTCACTCACACCTCATAGACCTACCTCAATTTTGGCCGGTCCTTTTCTACTACCTACCGTCGTAATGAAATTAACAAAGTATATCCATCCGCCGAAGCTGCCATTTCGGACATGAAATCCAATTCGACCGTGCTCTGTGGCGGCTTTGGACTCTCTGGCGTCCCAGACACTCTCATCAATCAAGTGCAAGCGACCCCCTCCATAACCGGTCTCACAGCCGTATCCAACAATGCAGGCATTGTTGGCGGTGGTCTTGGGCTTCTGCTCGAAAGTAAGCAAGTTAAGAAGATGATAGCTTCGTATGTTGGGGAGAACAAAATCCTCGAGCAGATGTACCTCTCCGGAGACCTGGAATTAGAACTCACACCACAAGGCACACTCGCTGAGCGGTGTCGAGCAGGCGGTGCTGGCATCCCGGCATTCTTCACCCCAGCTGCCATGGGCACCGTCGTGCAAACCGGTGAACTCGCTCTCCGTCACAACAAAGATGGATCAGTCGCCGAATACAGCAATCCTCGGAACGTCCAAGTCTTCAACGGGAAATCCTACGTCATGGAAGAAGCAATCAAGGGCGACTACGCCTTCATCAAAGCCTACAAAGCCGATCGATTGGGGAACCTTCAATTCCGGTTCTCTGCGCAAAACTTCAACGGCGCCATGGCCCGTAATGCAAAGGTCACAATCGTAGAAGCAGAGCACATCGTCGAGATTGGCGAGATTGGTCCTGGCGCCATCCACGTCCCTGGCATCTACGTCGACCGCGTGATCCAGAGCACCGCAGAGAAGAAGATCGAAAAAATCATTAACGCAAAAGATCCCAAAGATGCAATGACCTCACTCGGCAGCGGCGATACTGCCTCAAAACGCGAACGCATTGTTCGCCGAGCTGCGAAGGAATTCAAGAATGGAATGTACGCTAACCTAGGAATCGGCATGCCCATGCTGGCTCCCTCTTTTGTTGACCCCTCTGTAGAGGTCCAACTCCAGTCTGAAAATGGCATCCTTGGGCTGGGACCTTACCCCCAGAAGGGGCTCGAAGACCCCGATCTTATCAACGCTGGCAAAGAAACCGTAACGCTTCTCCCTGGTGCATCCTGCTTTGGGTCCGAAGAATCCTTTGGAATGATCCGAGCTGGAAAAATCAATCTCACTATCCTCGGCGCCATGCAGGTCTCTGCTCGCGGCGATCTCGCCAATTGGATGTTGCCCGGGAAGGTGAAGGGCTTTGGAGGCGCCATGGATTTGGTGTCAAATCCGCAGGCCACAAAAGTGGTCGTCACCATGGAACATACTGATAAGAAGGGCAGGCCGAAGATTTTGAAACAGTGCGAGTTTCCGTTGACGGGGAAGGCATGTGTCAGTAGAATTATTACAGATTTGGTGAGTGAAGACCTGGGCTTTGGATTAACTTTGAATAGAGATTGACTGACCGATACTATAGTGCGTATTCGACGTTGACTTCACAGACGGCCTAACACTGGTTGAACTTGCAGACGGAGTCACAGTAGACGAGGTGAAGTCTAAGACTGATGCGCCTTTCAAGGTTGCCGATGTTCTGAAGCCCATGCTATAAAACCCCTGGTATACTTTTGTACTTGTTCGTTTGGCAAACAGCGCTTGATTCTGGTCCTATAAATGGAAGGGGGTTGTTTGTGAAATAGACCGTTTGCATATGCATATTCGCCTAGAGAAGCAACGAAGGGTCTCCCTGCACACCCGCGTTCCCCACTGCTTGTCCTAACCATTTCTTTCCATCATGATCCAATTAAAAGAGGAGTTCCACCCAGAAACGCCGTCGAAATGCCACACGCTTTCCCAATAGCATGGCGAGAAAGACTGCTGTACTAGGAGAAGCGAGGAGTATTGTACAGGGTTCTTTGTAAAAACACATCAAGTCATCAATACGAAAAGGGGGTCAGTCCCACGATTTTTTGATGACTCTTATAGGTACTTCTTTGGAGCGCCATGCCTCCTCTTCTTGTAAACCATATACGCGCCCGTGATCATGATTTGAACCGCAACCGCGACAAATAAGAAAGCCATTATACTCGGTCTCTGGCTTCCCACAACTACTTGCAGTTAGCAACCAACTCATATATTCGCAGTCAAAGAAGCAAACTTACTATGAGCCATAGCCAACGGCATCCCTGAACTCAGCGCATTATGGCTGTCCTGTATAGCATTATGCACCGCATTCAACATGTCCTTGAAATCCTTGCTTTCCAAATCCCTCTGCACCTCCATGCTAATCCGCTCCACCTTCTCGACATTGCGCATCATGGCGCTCGTCCTATCGTCTACGGGCGTCAGTCTCATCATTATCTGGTCAAAGTGTTCCTTCTGTTCGCGCTCTATACGCTCGACAGTGTCGTGGACCAAGTTGACCATATGGTTGATGATTTGGATGCGGTTGTGGAGATCGGCGAATTGGTCGGCCTGGGAGCGGATACTGCCGGCTAGGACGTCCGAGAGCATTTGCGGGATTTCGCTTATTGTGGGTTCTGAGGCCTTGTTCTGTTGTTGCTGTTGTTGTGATTGCTGCTGCTGGTGTTGTTGCTGGTTTTGCTGATGTCGCTGCTGCTCGTATTGTTGTTGCTGGCCGTGGACGGCTTGCTGCTGGTGTTGCTGGTAGTTGGGTTCCTCACGGGTGTTTGCATTTGTGGTCGAGACGACAAATTTGTGGGCCTCAAAGGAGTCGGGATTTTCAGCACTGGCGGCGGAGATACCAAAGTAGTAGCCTGTGGGAAGTTTGACCTGGAATATACAGTCACTCTACCAGCCTCTGCGGATGGTAGCGGTTCAGGGAGTGCCTACCTTATCTGTCTTGAAGCATGGGTGTCCGTCAACGGTAACTTCAAAGACGCCGCCTGTCTGGCTCAATTTGAGCACGCTCAATCTACCCAAATTCCTGTACGCATAGTTGCACTGCCCAAAAGACAGCGTATCCACGTCGTGATGGCTCCTAAAGTCTATAGTTCCATCGTTCAGGAACCCTCGAATTGATCCTCCACGTCCCTCGTACTGATCCACCAGGATAACCAGGCCATCGAACTTGGGCGACGTGTACAAAGAGGTTGTGGGCTCTTGTTTCTGTGAATCTTTTGTGTACCATAGCTGCAGGTTGCCGCTACCCCTCTCTATCCCTGAGACTCGGAATGAGAGCTCAGCCGTCCAGTCCACATGATTCAGAGGGTCGTCTGCCCACAGAGCGCCACGCTTGTTTCCAGGATAGGGGGGGGTGAGGATTACCCGATCGGAGAGGAATTCGGGATGGTATCCCTCGCCGGCGTGGTGCCAGTGCGGGATTCCCCGAAGGGTGGGAGACAGCGGTCCTTCCTTGTGGCCGAAGCTGAGGTTGTCTATTACGTATTGAGCTTGAGCTGGAGAGAGCGCAAGGGCAGCCCAAGCGGCGGCCCGCAGGGTCTGTGGAGTTATGCGCATGGTGACGGAGGGTTGCGACTGGAGGAGTGTTGTCACTGAGGACGCTAGATGGGCTTGAGGATTTAAGAAGGGTCGAGGGCGAAATAGTCTATGGCCGAATGAAGTCTACATGGCGCAGTTAATAGACATTACACTCGCATAGAGAAGCCCAACTCACTTCACCTTCAATTCAGAGAAGCTATTCACCCAACGCTGCACAGGACTGCCTGCTGTCTTGCACTGTCGAAGGAATCCCAGTCACCGTCTAAAAGGAGCACTGGATATTGTGTAAAAGCGAGACAAGGCAAAGATAATGAGAGGACCTCAAGTCAGTGGGAGAAGATTTAAATGATATGCAGATGCTGTCCAGAGCTTATGGCCAGCTTGCTTCACTGAAGCCCACTCTATGGATTGATTGGCCAGTTGATCCGTGCGTCGGCAATGGAGACAGCTTCTGTCAACGACTGTTTCGCGGACACGACCACAGCGTGACGGGAAGAGTCCATGTTCAGCAGAGAGTATGTCAAGATGGAGTGCAGACGGGATGACGTGAAGAGAATCTCCAATTCCTTTTGCTTGCTGAAAGAGCGGCGAAATGGTGAAATGCAGGCTCGGCTTGGCGCTAACCCAACTCTCTGTGTCGGAGCTCCACAAACTTTAGTCCGATCGTGCTTTTGCTCCCACTCCATCGTCGTCACCATTCGCCCACTGTCTGGAACGACCACCCTTCAATCCTCCGTATCAGTCTTCGATCCTTTACCCCCACAATGTCTGCCCCAGACCCTCAAGAAGCCTGGCGCCGGCTTCAGACCGAGCTCTCGAGACGGACGCAGCGATTCGGTAGACCCGGAGGTGGGCCACCAAAGGGTTCCATAGGCGGTGGTTTGGCCCTCTTTGTGGTGGGAGGTGGTATCTGGCTAGCAAGTAATTCGCTCTTCAACGGTCCGTACACTGCTACTGTCCTCTCTGCGGGACCTCTCGCCTGTAGTGGCGTTGAATCACGAACTAACCATTGGTGCAGTCGACGGTGGCCATCGAGCAATCAAGTACACTAGGGTAGGCGGCGTCCAAAAAGAAATCTACGCTGAAGGAACTCATATTCGAATCCCTTGGTTCGAAACACCCATCACTTACGACGTGCGCGCAAAGCCGAGGAATGTCGCTTCTCTTACCGGCACAAAAGACTTGCAGATGGTCAACATCACCTGCCGTGTACTGTCCCGACCACGAGTCGATGCACTTCCGCAGATCTACCGTACGCTGGGCACAGACTACGATGAGAGGGTTCTACCATCGATCGTAAATGAGGTGCTGAAGAGTGTGGTTGCGCAATTCAATGCCTCACAGCTGATCACGCAGCGTGAAAACGTCAGTAGGCTTGTGCGGGATAACTTGGTGAGGAGGGCTGCGAGGTTTAATATCATGTTGGATGATGTGTCATTGACAGTATGATCCCTGGCCCCACCTCTCCCTTTATAAATTATACTAACATGCATCGTCAGCACCTCGCCTTCTCCCCTGAGTTCACCGCCGCCGTCGAAGCCAAACAGGTTGCCCAGCAAGAAGCCCAACGAGCTGCCTTTGTCGTCGATAAAGCGCGCCAAGAGAAGCAAGCCACAGTTGTCCGCGCCCAGGGTGAAGCACGATCCGCCGAGCTTATTGGTGATGCCATCAAGAAGTCCAGGTCCTACGTTGATCTAAGGGAGTTTGAGAATGCGAGGCAAATTGCCCAAATCCTGCAGCAAAGCCAGAACAAGCTGTACTTGGATTCAAATGGCTTGGGTCTCAATATTTCACAGACAATTTCTGACAAGGAGAAGCGGGCTGCGAGGTAAGGTGGTAAATAATGGGCGGCCGGGGAAAGAAGCATTGGGACTAGGGAGGATGAAACCCTTTGTACAACGATGGCTCTATATGTAAAAGTAGTAAAAGCTTCAGAGTGCCTTTCCACTCTTGTCTGAAAATAGGGAATGTTCAGGGCTTAAGTCAAGCATTCAAGCCGTCCACCGGTCTCCCTCCCATGGCATTCATTACATGAACTGCATCATCGAACTCCATAATCAAACCGATGACCTAACCCCCATTCTGGAATCTGATATGGATACCACAGACACCGCCCGTTAACGCCATGTACCTCAGTAGAAGCTAGTATCAAAACTCCATTTCATCTCCACCCTCCTCTCTCTCCCTTTTCAGTCCGCGCCTCTCCTCCTTCAATAAGCCGCCTACGAACGTTCTAAAGAACTCCACATAGGGAACCAAGCTCGTCTTCTCCCAATCCTGCACCTTCTGCTCGCCCTCTCCCTCCCACTCATCAATCTCACTCAACAGCTGCGTCACCGTTGGCACACTCAACGGATCGAATTCCTCGACTTTCCTCGTATCAATCGGCACACAGACTCTTCCAGTCCCGGGATGGACTACAAATGGTGACTTCAGCAAATGGTTCAATTTCTTGGAGACCTCGGCATCAAGACGCGGATATGTGTATTCGAGAACGATGTCCTGCTTTGCTTCGAGCAATTCCTTAGACGTTTTGGACAATGCACCAGTTTTCGCGAGATTATCGATGTCGGACCATTTTGAGGTGCTGGGGCGAGAAGGGCTGGAATCCCATTTCTTTTGCAGCGCAGCTCTGAGTGTCGGGTCTGGTAGGAGCTGAAGTAGATGTGCGTATTTTTCTTCAGCCCAGGGGTCTTGCTCAATCAAGATACTTGTCTGGAAATGCTCTTTCAGGATGTTGAGACTGCGATCGAGGTGCGGATGCAGAGGCCGTCGCACATTAACCTTCTTCCCGCCCTGATCTCCACCTTTAAGGAGTTCAAGATATCCAGCAATGGCACGTCGCTTGCTGTCGTCTAGCTCTCGGGCTCGCTTGTCGCACACCCAGGCGTGGGCCCCTCGACGACCGGAATAGACCCAGAGGATGTGCTTGAAGCCGAAGTCATCGCGTAGTGCGACGTCGACGACTTTTATCGCCATAGTGATGAACGCCCAACATTTATGACAAATGCTAGCGCCAGTACAACATGTCCGCACATCGTCATAATCCGTCATATCAATATCAAACACTAGTTCCTTCGTCAACGGGCGAAAAGCGCTGGCTTTCCTCACAGTCTTTCGGTCGCGGGGATTCGTCGAGTACACGGGACCGATTTCGAAACGAGACGGAAGCAGTTGTATACATTGCTTGCGGAGCAGATCAGCTGTAGGAAAGGATTGGTACCGCAGATACGCGTCATTGGGAAGCGTGAAAGCGAATTCTCGATGTGCAAAATCGTTGGAGGGGGTGGGGTTGTGGTTGAGCCATTGGAAGAGATAGCGGAACGGAAAGAGGCGTTGGTAGAACGCGCGCATGATTTCAGGGTCGGAGAAGGTCGATCTCGATGTTATCCTGCTGTGTGGTGTTAGCATTGAGCTTGACTTCAAGTCGAAAAGATGGTCGTACAACGGCTCCGGCTGTGACGGTTCTTCCTCGGATTTGATTTGCGATGCGCTGGAAGGGAATTCGAGATCTGAGTCTTCATCGTCGAACAGACCTTCGAGATTGACTTTCGTTTTGGAGTCTTCGGGGGAACTTAGGGCATCCGACATTGCGATATCCTTGGACGGAGTTGAAGGTTCGGACTTTAAGGGCTGGGCGTTGACGTGGGGCATGGAGGAATCCTCTGCTGGAGTTGACTCCGGAGATATTGAGTGCGGCATCTTGAGATAATTATTTAGCTTCCTGTGGTGAAGAGTGGTGAAGGTTCTGAGTGAATGTGAATGCTGGGTGACACGCGACTTAGCGCGTTTCGACGCGTAAAGAGGTAAGCGCACATGACTAGCCCTGGCATTAAACATCAACCACGCAACCTTCTCAAACGCTCCCATACACTAAGAATGCAACAGATAGGCTTACCACTCGAAATTGTTCAACCCATCCTAGATCATTCTATTGTTGCGTGAAGTTTTAAATGTGTGTTCAGATTAAGGCTAGCTGGTAATCCATTCGCCTTCCTAAGTCTAGCTAATTTGACACTATTCCATCAAAGGCCATTTCTCACCAGAAGTCATCCATGGCGCATAGCTTTGCAGGCTTGTAGATGGCTACCTTGAATTGTGGCCTGTTAATAAGCCTCGCCGGTACCCTCACTTCTTTGTACCATACCTTGAGAGTCGTGCTTTGAATGAACCTACTGGAAGGAAGTCAATGAAAATTCCTATTCAGTGAATTTCCACAGTTGTCTGCATCACTTGAGCAAATCAAAAGAGGGGAGCATCCTTGAATGTATTTGGTCATTGTGTTCTTTGATTGGTAAAGAGCATCGACGTGGACCAATGACCCCATTGGGGCATTTCTTCCGGCAAAGAATCAGACGATGAGTGGGAATATTTAGACAATCGCTGTGCTGCCACCGTCTATTGTAGCACTTTTCCGACCGCAAAACATTCAATTGATCAGGGGCGCACCCAACTACGCAGGCATGAGTATTGTGCTAGAAGCAGTTGCTCGTCTAGTGGTTAAGTGTAAGCATAAGAAATAGCTTTTTTAAGCTGGACACATGTTTCCTTACCTCTCTAACTGTCACGGTTGTGCTACAGTTATCTAACCCCAGAGTACCCTAAGCTTGGCACGGGGTATATAGGCTCCTCGGCCGCCGTACCTCTGCCTCCGACCTTAAGGTTTACTCTCTCTTGTGGCTCTGCCATACACCCTCTATCCTCCATTCCCTCTCTGTGCCTTATGCTTCCTGCTCGATACCTCTCGCACTAACATACTAGTTATACTAAACATTAAATGTTAACTATAGTTAACATGGTCCACAAGCGAATGTTCAACACAAGCGAGTGTTCCGTCCCACCACCAAAACGCAGCCAACCTACTACCAACCGCGATGCATTAACAACTATACAATTAATTATCTTTAAAAGAGGCTAGAATTAACCTAGCTATTTAAGCTCTTAATAGAGACGCGTCTTTAACTAAGAGGCGCGCTGCAGCACTCTACAATGTTAATTAAATAGCTCTCTGCCAACAACGCGCAGGGATGACTATGCGACGCAACTGTACAGCTAACAACAAGAAGCTTACAAAGCTAGAAGAGAAGGTAATTATTAAGCATATACTTAATCTAGATTTACAAGGATTTACGCCTACTCTAGGTGCTGTACAAGAGATGGCTAATAAGCTTCTTACTAAGCGCGGCGCTCTACTAGCAAGTATTAACTAGCTATCTAACTTTGTTGCGTGTACGCTAGCAGTTAAAACCTACCTTAGCTAACTATATAATTACTAATAAGCAAAATGTAAAGATCTAGCAATTATAAGTAAGTAGTTTAAGCTTGTAGAGGCTACATAATTAAAGTACAGCATTGTTGTAACAATCCTTATAAATTGTTCTATCTTGAGTCGCCTAGAACCTCTGGAAGGCCCTCGTATCAGCCCTGACCTTGACCTGGCCCTGACCCTTGCTGTTACCCCTATTCCCTCATGTATTTAGTCGCACCTTGCCCCTGTAGCTAGCTCGGTAGTTTTCTAATATCCTACGTACAAGGCCTATAGGTGTCATTAGTATTCCTAGGTCTCTAAGTCCCCACGCACTCCTATATGCCTCTAAGTGGATTTATACCGCATTTAGACCTATTGTCTTGCCTGCGCTGTTACAATTATAGATTAGGACATGTATAATTTTAACAAGACAGGCTTTTAGATAGGGGTTATATTAAGCTAAATAGTTGTTATAGGCACAGATAGACGTAATTAGCTAAAGGCTATACAGCTAGGCGACTGTAAATAGGTGATAGTTATTGCAGGCATTAACGCAGATAGGTAGGCAATACCTTTATACATAATCTTTAAAGGCAAGCATCACCTATCTGCCTAGTATAAGGATAAGGATATACTAAAAGACTAGGCTATTAGTGTTAGCAATAACAGCTAAATAACTAATAAACATAGAATTACATAGCTAGAGCACTTTAATCTGTATATAAAAAATTACTTAGTAGGCTTATAGTAGCTGCTTATTTTTAATAGCTATAAAAGCTATTACTCTGTTAAATTCCTAAAGCTCTGTAAGCAGAGGCGTATTATAGCGCTCTGTATGCCAGCACACGCGTCACATATTCTACAGCCGCTTAATGTTAGCTGCTTTTTGCTGTTAAAGCGCGCGTACAGTACTAAGATTAGCTAGTTAATCTGCTACTAGATTAACTATATTAATAAGCTAACCTTTCTACTAGCCTTTAAAGCAGCATTTAGTTACTTAATTATAATAGATAATATCTGCGCAGGCTTTAGAGCTATAGGACTAGTCCTATTTAACCTAGAGCTAGTGCTCTTAAAGCTTAATATATAGCTACCTAATTAGCTAGCTACTCTACTACTAAATACTACTTAGGAGGCTTAAACACTTAGTAATCTTTATAAAGTTAAGGCTTAGTTAACTCTACTATATAATTAGATTTAAAAGTATTAGAATTTTTTTTTTTTTGCTATGCTTAATCTAGTAAAGCAGCTAAGTAAGGGCGCTACTAAGATAGCTTATGTTGCTGTTCTATAGCGCAATTAAGCAGCTGCTCTAGAAAGGGCCTATAAGGCAGCTATAAAGCGTAAGCAGTGTAAAAAAAAGTAAATTTAAAAAAAAGAAACTCTAATAAGTTATTAAAGCTTTAAGTTAAGTACTTAGAAGCTTACTAGTATAGTAGAAGGTAGTAAAATGCCTTAAAAGAAGTTAACTGCTAAAAGCAGCGCAGCGCGCGTACAGCACTGCAAGCGCTGTAATAAGCCTAGGCATAACTCTTATACATGTAAGGATATTAAATAATTCTATAGTAGTTTATTTTATATAGTATATTTTTGCGTTATTAAATTAATAGTCTTTAAAGTTAAATTTAGTAGTAGGACAGAACACTCGCTTGTGTTGAACATTCGCTTGTGGACCATGTTAATAGACGGCTATTATATAAATAGTAAAGCGCTAGCCGTACTTGGCTTATAAAGTAAGTGCTTAGAAAGCTTATCTGGCTCGTACATAACAAAGCTAGCTTAAATTTATCGCTAAAAGCTTTTCTTATGGGGAAAGCAGAACTTTGTGTACTCGAACATCATGCTATGGATGATCATAGATCACGCCCTTCGACTAGTGGATACGAGATGCTTCCCTTGCCCACGCCGGTGGAATTGGTTCAAGATCCCGGATGAAATTGATCAGGACGTCATGGGTAAGGGATATAGTAAGGAACTGGGTACACTCATCCAAAGTTACAAACAGAATGAGGTTCTTGACTCTGCAGTCCTCACCGCTCCCCTAGGGTCCTTCACAGCGTTAAATAGCCCGCAATTCTTAAGAATCCTAGACTAGATCCTAAGTACATTAGAGAAGGGGTGGTTGACCAACGCCGGGCTAGTGTGTCGGGAAATCTGAGCAATGTGCAATGCTGGTATGTCCGAAGAGCTACTGTATGTTGCCGCCCACCACGGAGCATTGAGCTAGGTTGAGTTTATCTCCGAGATTCCAGGCTCGAACTGAGGAGACAGTACTTATATGAAATCTGTAACTCAAAACCCTGCATTGGTTGGCTTCGTGTGAAGCATGCAGTATTTGTCGCCCTTTCTTATTCCAGTACGTCGACACTAGTGCAGCCTACTGATCTTTATTATAGGGCTCGGGGGCGGCAAAGGCGCTTTCAGCATATATACTCAGCTGCTGGTGGCATTAACTCGAGTAGGTTGTCACCCACTTCAAGAATTGCCAGCTCAGACGTGGAATCCAGGCAGATGCATACCACCCGGAGTATCCGAGCAAGACCATCGACAGAATCATCCTCACATGTTTTCGGATGAAATGGTCAGGTCTGGGGAGCAGTTTGGGAACACCACTTAGGCGTTCAGTCATCTTGCTCTGATCAGCAGTGTTCAATTTAGACAGGTCTTGTTCAGGAGAGTACAGATTTCGCACATGAGCACTGAGGTCCTCTGATAGCAAATAATCGTAGTTGAGGTGAGAGCGGCTTCGCTGCTTCGTCCACAGGACTTCGGGAAGCTGCTCATACCATCCTTCTGTACTTCAAACATGTGAAGGTCGTGAAACGGAGGATTTGTTTGCGAGGCTCTAATGCCTAAACCCTTGTCCCCTCTAATAAAACATGGCTTAAGGTTTCATATTTGCTCTGTTGTGATTAGCCAGATAACTCAGAAAGCGGCACACAGACCAGGGGATGGCGCAAACAAGCTTCTACGCACTCGGATTCGCCGACCTCATTCAAACTTCAAACGCTGACAACGCCATCCCAACATCCCTTCACTTGTCTTTCTTTCAATCAACGAGGCTGTGTCTTTTGCCCCAGACTGCCGCGCACCACTTCATATCCTTCGTCGGACGAGGGCCTCAGCATGGCTATCCTGCATTGGAGTCTTGACGTACGGACACTTTGAATGAGACTCAGACGAGCCGCAATGCTCTTAGGACATCATCGTTACGAACAGCGGGAACCGAGTGCAGCGAACACTCTCCCACTTGTTGGGAGAAGGCTATTAAGCATTCCCGGACTAGGTATCGTAGTATCTGTTGCGAAGGAGAATCCTTCAGGTCCTGTGACATTTTGCTCTCCTTCCGCATCGAGCAGGAGATCTAATTACCGCCCTGAACAAGGACACAACGTCGCCTTCTTTCTTCTGCCGTTCAGGGTCCCTTCAACTAGGGTCTACCCCAGCGTCTACATCCTCTACTTGTCAAAAGACGGCCTGCATGGTGTGACTTTACAAAATGGCCAGGTGAGGTTGCAATTGGACGTCACGCTAATTATTTCCATAAAGGCGCTATTCTGGCCCTCCGCGGAGCCCGGTTGGCTGAATCTGGGGCCTGTTTCGTACAACGTCTCTCTGAGACTATTGTTATTGATCGTAAGTGTTTAAGACATATATCGACCACAGTCAATGTCAAATATCTAAGACAGCCGAGGGTGGCTTTATGCGGATGATTCTTCGGCAATCTCTCGAACGCCTCGCACAGTCCATGATCTGTTCAATATGAATGTTGTACGCCTTGATACTTGACATGAGCAAGATCCTGGTACAAAGTTGTGGCACCATTCAGGGACCCAGTAGCCATTTGTCCTACCGCCTGTACCTGTTCCTGCAGATCAGTAACCTTCTTCGGGTAAAGTCTCCGTTGCAGAGGGTCCTCCCGCGCCTCCACAATGACCATCCTTCCTTCCTGTCTCTGATTTGATCATCCTAAAAATCTGTTCATTCCACCTTGTCACATGAAACGCCTCATTGTCGGGTTTCTACTTCATTTCATGTTGAGTATAATAAGACTCCTGGGGTGCAGTATGGTATTCTTCATCGTGGTTGTTCTTCATTCTTCAAAGGCACTTGTGCATTCTTTTCTCCACAGCCCTAAACACGGCTCTCATTTTTCTTCGTGCGCTCTTTTCGTCCTCTTGTTTGATACAATCATTTTCTTACTTAGCACTCCTTTAAAACCCCCTTTCCGAAATGGCTAAGCTAGCATTCCTGTTGAGTGTATTTCATGCTACGCTTATTTCTGGTCTTCCTGCTCGCGAACAGAAGCGTGAACCTGATCCTTTTGGTGGACGAGCTATTACGATCTCTTCAGGTCTAGATGTGACGACCAGCTACAGTTCGGCACCGCTTTCGTCTTTGCAGACTGCAACGGCTACTCTGTCACCATCGCTCTCTGGAGTGCGTAATCTTTCACCTAACCTCGAGAAGCAACTGCTGATTAACTACACAGTCCATTCTGACTGGTCTTCCATCTGGCGGTAATTCTGCTAATCCTCTTCCTACCGCCCCAGTATCCACGCCGCTTGGTTCCCTCGCACCCATTGGTACAACACTTGCGCCCGGAACAACATCCCCAGCAGGGGCAGCCGCCTCCAATATCTTCGTTCCCATGGCCAGTGATGCTCCTCCGCAACAAATATCTACCCGCGACGACCACCCGGTGAAGAAGCTGGGTATCTTAGATAAAGGCGGACCGATCGAGACGAACAAATTCTACGCAAACTTTTTCTTAGGAAGCCAGACAAACTCAGTCTGGACACATCCATATTCCCTGGCATGGGCCAAAGGACATGGAAATACATATGGAATGGCCGTTACCCACGTCGAACGAAGTCAATTTGCTTGGGATAGTGGCACCCCGCCCCGCTACTTCATCGGACCGATTGGCTTGCAACACATCGTCTTCTCTGCAGAAGAGCTTAGCAAATCAACGACTCTATCCACGGAGTCCTTGACTGCGTTTTCAGTTTATGCCAATTTGGCCCCTTCTGCAGATGCTACACCTCTTATCTCGATTCCTTGCGTTCAAGGCATGGGATTTGTTACAGCACTTTATAACAAGGCGAAACCGTTGTTAAGTAGTGGTACTTTCTTCCGGACTCTGAAATACGTGGGCCAGCTTAATGGTGTCACATACAAGTACCAAATCCAGCTAGAGGATAGCTCAGAGTGGCTATTATACGCTACACCCGTCGCTAGTCTTGGTGCCCCTCCCTTCACACTAAAGGACAGTGCTACCATCGTTGGTCCCGCAGATTTCATCGGAATAATCCAGGTCGCGAAGAACCCTGCCAACACCACCGGTGAGAAAGTCTTCGATTCATCCGCCGGCGCCTTCGCTACTAATGCCACCATTTCCGGATCAGTAGATGGCAGTTCGGGAAGCTACACCATTGCTTGGGGCAAAGATGGGATCGCAAATCAGACGCTGCTCATGTTTGCCTTGCCGCATCAAGTAGAATCGTTCGATTCTAATACTGCAGCGGCTCTAACTGACATCTCTCTGGTTACAACTACCAAGGGCTATGCGCGGGCCATTGCCGCTAACAAAATGACCATGGTCGAACCCAACCTACCTTCAACTGTTGGTTTTGCCCCTTGGATACCAGCCAGCAACGGCGGGAATGGTGGCTCGGAAAATAACGTCCTTAATTCCGCCGCTATTGCGGCTGTGAACAGCGCCGGAGCTCTCGAGCTAAACGAAGACATCAACAGTCAAACACGCCTCGACAGTATGTATTATAGTGGTAAAGCTCTGGCAAAATTCGCGGGCATAGTATATACACTTCAAACAATGACCAAGAACTCTAACCTCGCCGCCGCTGGCCTGATCAAACTAAAAGACGCCTTCAACGTCTTTGTCAACAACACGCAACCTCTGCCTCTTGTCTATGACTCCCAATGGAAAGGTGTAGTCTCCTCCGGCACATATAAAAACGGCGACTCCGGTCTGGACTTTGGAAATGCATATTACAACGACCACCACTTCCACTACGGCTACTTTGTCTGGACTGCGGCTGTTATTGGCTACTTGGATCCTAATTGGTTGGGAGAAGGCACGAATAAAGCCTGGGTCAACATGCTTGTCCGAGACTACGCGAACCCTAGCACTTCAGATCCTTATTTCCCCTTCCAACGCTCGTTTGATTGGGTCCACGGCCATTCCTGGGCCAAAGGGCTTTTCGAATCGGGAGACGGGAAGGATCAGGAATCCACCTCCGAAGACACGTTCGCAACCTACGCACTCAAGATGTGGGGAAAGATCTCGGGAGATGCGAATCTCGAAGCCCGTGGAAGTCTGCAGCTCGCAGTGCAAGCGCGTTCTCTCCGAAATTACTTCTTGCTAAGCAGTGACAATAAAGTCCAGCCTTCACAATTCATCCCTAACAAAGTAACGGGGATTTTGTTTGAGAATAAAGTCGACCATACGACATATTTTGGCGCGAACCCAGAGTACATCCAAGGCATCCACATGATCCCGTTAAACCCTTCCAGCGCCTACACTCGCCCGGCCTCTTTCGTCAAGGAAGAATGGGACGTATATTTCAGCAACGGACGGGCAGACAATGTCACAGGTGGCTGGAAAGGCATTTTGTACGCCAACCTAGCCCTGTTTGATCCTACTACGGCGTATAATTTCTTTTCAAATCCGAACTTTGATCTAGGCGTCTTGGATGGTGGGGCAAGTCGGACCTGGTACCTAGCTTTCTCGGCAGCGATGGCTGGTGCAGCTAAAGATGTAGTGCCGCGCAATACTGTTGCTTAAGCTGCAGTGCCTGCTATGATGGAGCTGAAAGAGGTAGTTGCTCCTTAATTGACCGAGGAGCCGACCTATAAAGAATATTAAACGGGATATGAACTCTCGGGTGTTGAGTATAGGAGTTTAGATGATGAGTTGGATAGCAAGCAGTAGGATATGGATGAGTTGAGTGAGTGGGGAGGGCCTGAGAGAATGGACTGGGAGTAGGCATGATAATTTCTTGTTCATATTTCAAGCACTGGGTAGATGTTTGTGCATGCTTTTAAAAATGTCACAGTTGCATTGTTTTCCAATTCATCATCATTTTAATCAGCGGACGTTGGGGATCTGAGCATCTGCCATAAATCTAACAATACACCCCTCCTATTCTAGTGGCCTAAGGAGTGCGATTTGCCCTGACATAAAACCGAAAACTGATGCCAGGGAAATCGAGTTACGAGGTCAAGATTACCTAATACCTCACACCCTCATCCAATGAAACAAAATTCCCTGCTAAACTTGCCCACGTGCCAATTTACTAATTCTTCCTCTTCTTCCTTTTCTTCATTCGAATTGGCAACTCCCCAACCTTCTCTAACTCCAACGTATTGAGGGCGACAATCTTCTCACTCTCAGCTGCCTGGCCACCATCACCATTGTTGAACTCTTTCCATTCCACTTTCCTCTTGCTCCCAGCAGCATTCTTCACAACAGCAGCCTGCTTGACCGGGGCCCTTTTCTCCACCAACACATCATCACCCCCACCAAAAGAGGTCTGTCTCTCTGCTTTCCAACCAGCAAGCCACATCTCTAGATCAATTTTGCTGTATCCGACTTCTCCGTTATCGACTTGGAAGTCGCCACCATTGCTTAAACACAGCGTCTCCTTCCTACTATGTTGCAGGTGAACAAAGAACGCTGCCCAAGACTTCTTTTGGACCTGCGTTGCCGGCTTCCAGAAATTCGGTTGGAAGGATTGCAGGAGCTCGCGTAAAGGGTCTGAGAGGGCGAGTTGCGTGGCCGCAGGACATGACAGTATGCTCGGGAGTGTGAGTGCGGAGAGCGGAGCATGTGAGACAAAAGCAGTGAAGAAGTGGGTTGGGAAGGCGAGGGGGAGTGTTGGGAGGATGAAATACGACGTGGGCTGCTTGGCAGGCGTGGCTTTAACGGCGAGGTTCTTCGAGCGAAGGCTGTAAGGACTGTTCGGGTTTACATCTGGCAGTGTATTGATATCGTGTTGTTTAGGCCTAGAAGATTCGAACGCGGTGTCTTTGGCTCGGTCATGGATGATGTGCTTGAAAGTTGTAATCCAACGGAAAGCCTTGCTCTCCAATAGATCTAAGAAATACAGGATTCGCTCTTTCGTCTTGTATGCGAAGCATATGGTCAACAGCTGCAATTTCTGCCACGGATCTAATGCTTTGGTCGCGTTGTCGAAGAGGTCGCGGTAATATTGTGAAAGATTGATTTGCTTGTAGGATGCGGCGATGTGAGAGCCCTTGGGCGATATGAAAGGCATTTCAGTGGCTGGGCTCTTGACTGCGAGATCTGAAAGGCGAACCGTCAAAGTTAGAACGAAATCCGGGGCAGTGACAGAATCCGCACGATGGGCATTGCGGATACAGCGCTGGAGAGCCTCGAATTGTTGTTTCGCTTCGCGGTAGATGGGCTCTGCTTCAATTTTTGCGAGGGCCTCTCCCATTGGGAGTAGGTCCACTAGCTCTTCCATTTTGGTGGTGATGGGAGAGTGGTACACTGGAAATTTGGCAAGGAAAGCGAGGAAATTAGAGGAAGAAATCGTGAATATCAGAAAGGCTTAGGGAAATCTGATCGGCAGCGGATGTGGTGGGAAACCTCCGCAAAAGGGGGCGCTAGTGTTGTTTGGGGAGCGCGCAGCTATGGATGGCATGAGTCCTGGAGCATAGAGGTGAGGAGTTCAGGTTGTTGTGCTGGTGGCGAAATCGTAAAGGCAACTCGCGGAGCGGCAGAGTGAAAGTTGGTCGCGAACGTGACAAAGACCTGCCGTCAAGGGGGCGAACCTTGACCGTTACTCAAAGATACCCGCGTAAATATTCGCGTTAGGAAATTCATAGAGGTGTGGAAACTCGGGAGAACCGTGCTTCCACATACAAATACGCGTAGAAAGAAAAAGGCAACAATCAAACTGAGCAGTAAACTGTAGGCGTAAACCTCAAAACAGCCTCAAAATGATCATCATCCTAATTACCGTACTCCGGGTATCTTGGCCGAACGACTATGTCTACTTTACACCCAACCCGATCGTGTTTCCGTCTCGTTCATAACTATCAGACGTCATATCTTACAACCGCCATGTGGAAGTTCCGTTCTGAAATCTGCACGACAGATACATGAGCTCCACGGCTTCGCCCGCTTCTATCGCCACTATGGTTGCCATGGTAAGAGCTCTCGGTCCATTGTTGGTTCAAATACGACACGCGGGCGTGTCAGGGAGTGTTTGGTCTGCTTCCGCGAACGAACGTCGAGTTATTCGACGATCTCCAACGTCAAATTCAGGGGGTCTTTCTCGAACCCCAAACAATTGACTCCATCAAGGCATAAGGAGAGTTCTCCAAGTCTAAGCCAAGAAGTGGTGATTGCGAGATTGATGGGTCATCAAAATTGAAAGCCCCATTGAGATCGTCTGCAGTGAAAATCCCTAGCGTCGGGGACGCCTGTGAGCTCGAGTCACTTGTCTTACGAGTATTTGATCTTGAATCCTGAAGGCTAAGCAATCGTTGAAGAGCGGCAACAGAACGGGTGATTGGTGCGGAAAGTTCCGCAGGATCCACATTGGAGGTAATATCTGAAAGCACCGTGATCAAATTTGTCAGGAGGGAGCGCGCTCGTTCGTTTCTTGAGGGCTCTCCGAGGATGCCAAGCAAGAGAGCGGAGCTTAGTGACCGGTGCACCGAAGCCCATGATCGAGTAGCGAAGGGGGTCATATTTTGCAGTCCGAGAAAGGCCTCAACAGTATTCGTTAGACTGTCTACACAGGTTTTCCTGAGGGTCTTCGACAAATCAAAACTGGCAGTGCTGGGGCTGATGGCAGGTCGACAGAGCTCAGAAGTGATATACGAAATATGTAGATAGAGAGCCCAGTGTTCAAGCTGGTCCCGCATAGATCGACACCGCCTGGAGTCCTTTAGATAGTCCGCTGCGTCGACCATGATTTCTTGCAGCTCGTTTCGATGTTCGGTAATTCGCATCAGGGCATCGTGGGAATTTTGCGGTCGCTGGCGCTCGCGAACAATGTCAAGCCCAACTTTGCAGAGTCGGTACATGCTTTCAACATAGGATCTCGTGCCTGGCGTGGTATGCTGACTCAGGGGAACCGTGTGGTCTATTGTCGTGGTAGACGAAGCTCTGTCGTACGATATAGACAACAACGAATCTTGCCATAATAGGGCCCACCACACCTTTGAACGTGATAGTTTCAATTGTAAAGGTGTGGATGGAGGACATACTCTATGGAGGCCTAGGGTCTGAGAAAGACGGACTGTTAATCCCATCAGACTCCAGGCTACTCCAGCATTCATATTATTGGAAATAACGTTTCCAAGAATAAGAAGTATTTGGATGCTCTCCAAAGTCGCATGGGACAGGAAATTGGTAAATCGGAGGCATTCGAAACTGCAACAGACGTAGACCTGTGAGGTCAACTCGCGTTCTTTCCTGGCTAATGTGGAGCACTGGCATCCGGACGCAAGAATTGCGAATAGTAGGCCAATCCAATGGAAATTTTTGCCAAAAATTTGCTCCTCGGTGACTCCACTACTGCCCTGGAAGCTTGCTCGATTGATGAGAAATAACAATAGATCAGATTCGAAGCCTTCGATGTCCCCAACGGCAGGATACACGACGTGCGCAGTTTCTCGGTAGCAGCGAAAAAAATTCAGACATTCCGAGTCACTGGGTAAGGCGTTTGATAGCTCATTGGCACGGGAAATGGATCCATGTGGAAGCCCCCAAAGGTCAACGAACGGGTAGGTCGCACTCTCATTATCTAGCCCAAAAATTGGAAGCATGCTTTTTCTGCCCAGCAGGTCTTGCACACCTGGCCACTGGGTCTCGCCGCGTCCCAAGGCCATAACGAGAGCTGGAACAGAGCTCGGTCCGATATGAATGGTTTGGCCTGTAAGGTCGTTTCTTGTATGTATTCCCTGTGTTCGGAGGTGAGTCGTCTCGTTGTCAATCGGGGCAGGCGCTGCCAGAGGGGTATTCCCAGTAGTTCCGGGCGAATACCCATTCGAGGGTGCATTATTTGGCGCAACCTCCGACACACTGCTAATGGAGTTCTTCAGCTCTGCCAGCGACTTTTCTGCGGTCTGCAGTTTAGCGCAAATGCGTTCCCAGTCCTGTAAGCGTCAGTTCCGCATGAAATTGTCCACGCTCCCGACATGCCCACCTCCCGTGGGAGCGTAACAGTCCCCCCATGGATATGAACCATGCCATTTGAGAAGTCGTTCCCGTTGTGTCCCACGCCGTGGAGGCTCATTCGTTTGGCCGGCGGGTGCGTTTCAGTCGGAGGGTGGTAGGAACAGAGCTCTGGATGTTCTCGGACGACGCATGTCTTGCATGGCACTGATTGATCGCATTTTACTTTGCGCTGTCGACAGGGATAGCAGGCCTGTTTACATTAATAAGGTCAGCGTGGAAGTCTGCGACATAGTTTTCGCCTGCAGCTTGTCTCCTGAGGCTTGAAAGCTCAAACACTGCCTCCTCAAATGCCGCAAGCTGACTACACATACCTTGTACTCCCTCGCTTTGCGCTTCCGCCGCAGAATCTCGTCGATGTCAGACCTTGGTGGAGTGTCTTGAGGGAAGCTGTCAGTCGTGGACGATTGTTGCTGGCCCTGGGTTCTGTCGGTATCCATGGCGTGAGTATCAGCAGAGCAGATTGAAGCTGTCGTGGCGGCAATGATGGCAGATTCAACTCGATTGGAGACACTTGAAGACTGAGCCCCACTCGCTAGGCACTTTGGAGCTTGGGTCAATGGTCCATGGCGGAGAAGCAGGGCAGACTCGCAACGATTGGCTGTAAGAGTGACTAATCTATCACGTGCTTCTTGCTAATCACCACCTTCGAGAGATGTCTGATCTGCGTCCGGGGATTACTCAGGGTTGCCGATCTCGAAATACGTACCTCCCCACTTTCAGATTAGCCAGTTGCGAATAATGAGATGGAAAACGCAATGCGGCAGGCCTCTGCACATACACTCATATCATCGGCTATGCCGGACTTAACTGTGCAGAATCATACGGAACTAAAAATCTCATTTTGTCACGATGTCTGCATAGGCTTGTCTCAGGGATTGTCCTTGATGCAGGTCTGGATGGACTTGGGAAGCCGAATGACCAGGACGAGTCCTCATTGAGTGCCCTTTGTGGGGTGTCGCATCGAATCCATGCTCTGAACTTTGCCAGGTGTTTATGAGAGAGATGCTCTTTGAAACAAAGTAATGACTTCCATTTGCTACTCCGTCGGTGCAAAGGCTGCACTAAATTTATAGGCACCCATGGCCATATAAGGAAATATAATAAACCTGGCAGCTGTATTTGCACCATTCCGTCAAAATAGAAATTCTTGATCATGCCACTTCAGATCCCATGAATGCTGTCCAGAACACCTGAAAGTAACCCCATGCATACCCTGGCACCAAACCCCACTACACTTATAACACACCGTAGCATGATGGTGATGGAAGAAGACTATAATCTTCTTCGAGACGGCTATCCTACTTTGCCCGTGCTTACTGAGTATGTAATTTTCTGCTATGGTGCCTTCGCCGATGGGATCGATGCGTGAACCGCGGACACGGCGATCGGATAAGGATCCCTTGGAATCTAGCGTTGGCCTCAAACAGGGAACCCTTACTGGAAAGGGTGGGTGGGCGAGGTCTCTTGGCATAAAATCGTGTTTTACAGGACCTGCATGCACAGGAAGCGATGTCCGGCGTCGGACAATCAGGGGGATGATTTCTCAATATTTCCTTGGTTCTCTACGTCTGGACTGTACGCAAATCGAGAGTGCTTGCGGATAGCTGCGCCCTTGAAGTAGAAAATATACGGGATGGCACAACAGGCTAGGCCAATGAAGCCGAGGAGTGAGCTCGCCCATTGGTAGCCGAGGCGATCGTACCTGTTTACATTCTCAGTGCTCGAAACCACAAAGAATTCTGACCTTATTTCCAAACTTACATTTGATTTGTGAAGAGAACCACACCTGCTCCGTAGAAACTTCTCAGAAATGTTTTTGCAGCCAAAGCAGAAGCGGCTTGGTGTTGGTACGAGTCTACTAGGTAATTGTTCGCTGAGTTGTATAAAAAAATAAACCCGAAGCCAACAGGGAAACCACCAAGGGCTGGACCAACCCATGAGAGACGCGGATATGAAGTCCAGGCAAATATGAAGAGTCCAATAGGGATAAACCAGCATGATATCATCATTGGAATTAGACGAGCTTCTGCTGGAGGCTTACCGTTGTGCTTCTTAACTAATGACAGGTAGTGTTTGTTGACAAGGGGCGCACAAGCTGCGCTTAGGAGTACACCCACGGCAATCGGTATGAACATCAGACCCGTAGTACCCGCGCTGTAACCTTTTCCTTGCTGATAAACGATAGGATACCTAGAGAAAATTAGATGCAAGCTCTCTGAGCAGTAAGAGAGGCTAGGAGAGGCTGGGAGACTTACGCGACAAAGAACATATAGAGTAAGCCATACAGGACAGACATGTATACCGAAATGAAGAAAACGATTGGTTCACGAAAGAGAAGTTGAAATGGTCGAAATAGAAACAGGCGCAATCTCTGACTCAAAGGTCGCATGTCCAGATCCTCCTCAGTCACAAACTTGCTATCGCCGGTCGACTTCCGAAGTTTTTCCGCACGTCGAGTAAGCAGTTTAGGGGTGTATGTCTCTGGGACGGTGAATGATATGGCAACCCATGCAACGCAGCCTAGTATTAGTTGAATCCAATACAGCCACCGCCAGCCCGCGGCATCGCTCAGAAAGCCTCCTACAAGAGGTCCCACTGTTTGTCATGTCAGCAAACTGTAAGGTCCACGAGAATGCCAAACTTACCAGCTGGTCCAATGAATGGTGCAGCACTGAACGCCGCCATCGGTACCCCTCGCTCCTCATTTCGCCACAGGTCGGCCAGAGTCCCTCCAACTAGGGTCATTGGAGCCGAGAAAGCAATACCCGCAATGGCTCGAGTCACAAGAAGTGTTGCAATGTTCTTTGCCACTGCGCCTGGTACGGTAAAAATGACTGCAATCAGTAAGGTAGAGGCGTAGATCGGCCTCCTACCAACAATCTCTGACATTGGTGCGAAGGCCATTGGTCCTACACCAAACCCTACCACAAAGACGGTAATCGTAAGAAGTGCAACCTCAAAACTGACATGGAACTCCTCCGCAACACCCTCTAGGTCTGCAGTGATGACAGCGGAATTAAACGCTACAACAAAGCATGTGAATGCAACACACATTGTGCACCACCATTTATATGACTTCGACCAGTTTTTAGGATTCTCAGGGTCGTTCACCTTCCAGGTGACTAGTTCGTATCGTTCAATGTGCCCAGTAGCATTCGACTTGATTTCTCGCAGTATCTGACCATCGATAGTCTCTTCCGTGTATTCTTCCAAATTCGCGTCGCGGCTGAGTGTTCGAGACGGGAGGTTGACCACATCTGCCCCATCGAAGGTTGGGTTAATGATAGACTGGAAACGGGGTTCGTATTCAACTCTAGTGTGGTCGGACGCGGCATCATCGAGCGTTAGAGGGTATGGAGTTTCAGCCATGATACGTGAGATCAGTGCTTTCGAAAGGAGACAAATAAGTTCTTAAACTACTCAGCAAAGAAAGAAAGGGGCTTCTCAATCGGGTCCTTAAAGAAGGGTCGGAAGTTCTTGCTCTGCTTGACGATTCTACTGTATTCATTGTTGCAGAGAACAGAGCTTTATATTTTCCACCTGTGGCCAATGCTCCAAGCAGTAACGTACCTTCTGCGGAGGTCACTCGGAGTTTCCTGTTGTATTTGAGAAGCTGATAGAGGTTATCAACACTAGTGCTAGAGATGTCGGGTAGCGCATCAAACTTGTGGGAATCAGGAAAAGTTGATCTTTCCTAATACGGTTAGGCGATAGGAAATAGTTCGGAGAACGACTTCGTACGAAGATGACTATTGAAAATGATGAAGGCGTGAAGCTGTTGATAATTGCCATTTGGTGAGGAGAGGGGTTTCCAAGGCTAAGAAGATGCCTTGAGGATACCATTCTTCTGATGGCAATTTCCAGGACGATTCACGCCTCTAGACCAAAGAAAAACACAGAGATCCCAAGGCCCCGTCTTTTGGAATGATGAAAAATGCCGGTCGACCCGACAGTCAATGCTTTGGAAAGCATGCTGGCGCCTACCTCTGTGTCATGATGCGCTAGGCAGAAAATAATATTTGAACCTGCTGTCGGTACGTACCAACAGACGGCAGGATGCAAATCTCAACCCTAACTTTGAATCTCAAATGATTCTTCACATGTGCTGAACTGAAGGGATTGCGACGGCATCGGGATGGATATGTTCGGTCTGTAGCTACATAAATAAAGAAACTGACCAGCGGGGATGTTGGTGTTGGGCGAGAGCTACTCACGTGACTGGTACATAAGCACTATTCTAAATTTGGAAAATTCGAGACTCCGCAGAGGAGATGTCGCCTCCTCCATGGAATTCCTGCGGAAATGAACTCCCAAGCGAAGCCAGTGAAGAATTGACCTGGCTTTCCGTAGGAGAGTTCTTTTAAGGGCGTTTCAGTATTCCTCAACCATGCGACTTCGAAGTGAATTTTCAAACGTCTCTCTGCCGCAACAAAATCGCGTTCATGTGAAATGAGCGATAAGGCAAAGCAGTTTTCGTCCATGCGCGCTGCACGCAGCTCGCTTGATATCGCACAAATGCTGATGGTAATTTCTATCCCCATCACGGCATCGCTAGAGCTGGGAACACCTTGCTGTCAAATGACAGGATCACCATGGAGGAGGGCGTTGACATGCTGGGACGAACAACGAAGCAACAAACTTCGCAAAATGTAACGGTGCATGACGTCCTAAGTCTTTGTTGTAGGCTGAGTGGATGTTCTCCGCGAAAGAAAAAGACCTTGATTTGCGACATATGCTGCTATAGTACAGTGTCAGCAGGTTCTCCAAGCTGTAGTGACTATTTAGATCAGAAAAAGGGGAAATACTGTAGCAAACTCGCAAGCTTAAAAATGCGGCAGTTGGGGACTCCGAGGGTGAGGTGTGCCGCAAATTGATACCTACCACTTAGCAATTCTCGAAGATGCCTACACTTGCCGGATCTCGTTCAGGGCACAACCACTGCAAACAATCGTCTGCCCAATCTGAGCAATAAGTCCATAAAACCCTATCTAAAGCGGTGGCTCAAGCGCCAATGAACTACCTCGGGGAAGTCGCCATCTGAGATCGTGCAACAATCTTCTGCCTGGAGAGAGAGGCGAACACTGACCGATCAGCGCTGGAGGACCCACTTGTGGTACTTTGCAAGAGCTGCTAAGTGCACCTGATTGGGGCAAGGATGCATGAACGTTCAGCGTCCTCGACGCTTTTCCGAGTCCCAACGCTTTGCAGCGGCAATTCCTATCAGGAAGGGAGAAACTCACTTTTGTTGCACACTGTGATGCCCCACTTAGATTCTGCAGACTAACGGCACGATCTTAAAGGTCGCATCGTTGGGCTTTGTCCCGTGCAACGGGACACCAGCATCGCAGGCATAGAACTGCACGCCAGTCGAGCTTTTGTACACCAAGTCACAGATGACGAAGCTGAGTGAATGAGGAAACAGGGTGCTCTTTACCTGGTCCAGGAAGTCCATGTCTTCTCTGGGATACCTCGGATCGACGATGTCGCAGGATCCGGATGGCCTGATGGGGTAGGTTGACGTGCTCGGCTGCATAACATGACTGGGGAGGATGAGACGGGGCTGCCAACAGCCTGGCAGAAAGTTTTCAGCCTGCCAAGTATCAGTCGGTGAATAGCACCAATGGATGCGCATCCGATGCGGCTAGGATTGCGGGGGCGGAGGAAGCACCCGCAAGTGATAGAGAAAGCTCGGCCTGCTTGCAAGGTGTTTGTGATTTTTGTGATGGGGCAGAAGGGGATGGATTGGCTGTCGTTTCAAGCCCGCCATCATTCGTACTGCAGCCCGGCGTCGTCCTTCATCAAACCGGCGTTCGAATCGAAGGGAATGACCGCCGTGCCGGTAACGCGGGTGGCCCTCGCAAACCGCCGTCTCCTGAGGAGTGCCGGCAACGCCTGATTGAGGTGCAGGCAGTCCCGCCACATATGTACAATCATGAGGAGGTATCGATGTTGGAGGGCATGGCCAATCCGCGAAGGCCATGCTGCTGCCAGAGTTGGCCTTGATCGCGCAGGAGGGCGGGACGTTTGCAGAGTATGTACCTGCAGGAGAAGGAGCCATCCATGAGACTCGCGGCTCATGGACAGTGCGGCCAGAACCAGAGAATCATCGTCCGGCGAGGATGGGCGGAGGGCAGCACCGCGAGAGACAGATGATAGATGATGTTTGCTCGTAGGGCGGCCTGGAGCTGACACGGACCAAGCGAGCAGTTGGAGTGGACCTCCCGTTCACCTCGTTTCTCCGCGTCCCTCACGCCTGCCTCTGCACGCGTGGAAAGTTTCACCCAAAGCTGAGCCTCGACATCGCCTCCTTGCCTGATCGCCTGTTCCGCATCCTCCCCGTTGCGGCCGCCTGCCCTCTCGCAACAAGTTACAACCCGCCCGCCCCCACAGCCGCCCTCCGTCCTAAACCTGGACCGCAGTTGCGTGGTTCCCGATCACTTTGCAACCCTACATACCCGTAGTAGCCCGCCGACCACCAACCCATCATCGCGGTACCAGGCTGGGCCGCATCGAGTTGTCGGTGTCTCGCACCCCCCCCATTGGCTGTTGTTCCATCTCGCGCGTGCGTGGGGAGGCCTCTGCCAAAGCGGCCTGCGAGAAGGCGAAAAGGCAAATCTGCTGTCTCTGCATCACTTTGCTCCCATTCACACGGAATCGGACCCGCTGTGCCAGTTCAGCTCGGCCACTGCCCAGCGTCCCCCTCTTGGGTTCTGACTGGTTCTCCGGCCAGTTCATTGATCCTTGCCGACTGACTGCAGCTGTGTGGTTGTAAGCTACCGCAGGACATTATGGGTGAGTGGGTTCCGTCGAAGCTTCCTCTTTCCTCTGACCCCGCCTGCCTTTTTTACTTCCTAATCTTCCGTCCTCTGACGCGCCATCCATCTTCACACACAATCCTGAGCCTGATTGCGCTGCTGACTGTGAATTGCTCCAGACTCCGCAGATACCTACCGCCCGCAAGCTGTAAGTCAATCGCCCTCTCCTGCTCCTTGCCCTTTGTTGTGGGCTCTCTGCATCGGAGCGTCTTGTAAGGTGCCGGGTGCCGTGAAGTGGCGCGGCAGCGGCTTCACAACCGCTCGCCGTTCCAGAGTTGCGTGTTGAGCAGCCAGCCCTCCGGTCCAGCGCACGTGATGCGCCGCGCCAAGCCTGCTGCGGCTCGCTTGAACTGGGCGTCAGATCAAGCTACAACTTTACTTCACGCGTAGCCTTGACCTCGACGCTCGACCTGCCATCCCCCTTCCGCATCTCTTCATGCCGACACTGGCTGGCGCCGTCACCATGTCCTACAGTACTGACTCTTACGATCAGCGAGACGCCGGTCGCGAACGCTCGCCGCGTCGTCGTTCCCGGTCTCCTCGTCGATCTCGACGCTCATACTCACCTCGCAGCCGTTCTCGCAGCCGCGACGAGTATCGCCGTTCCGACCGTCGCTCGCGCTCGCCGACAGGTGGTGGTGCTCAGGGCACGGGAGCATACAATACGTACGGAGCTGGTCGTGGAGCGCCCCAGCGTGGACCAGAGGATCGTTCAGCATCAAAAGACAATATGATGCAAAACATCCGCGAATCATCCCAACAAGACCGTCGTGTCTACGTGGGCAACTTGAGCTACGATGTGAAATGGCATCATCTCAAAGATTTCATGAGACAAGGTCAGGATTCCCCGTCGGCCCGTCTCCCGTCAGCGCGGCTAACTCCCTCGCAGCCGGCGAAGTCTTGTTCGCAGACGTATTGTTGCTGCCGAATGGAATGTCAAAGGTAAATAAGATGAATGGCTGGTTTATTCCGTGCGTTGGATGGTGATTGACTGGGTTTCCTCGGGAATAGGGTTGTGGCATCGTGGAGTATGCAACACGGGAGCAGGCTCAAAACGCCGTGTCGACGCTCAGTAACCAAAACCTTATGGGTCGCCTGGTGTACGTTCGCGAAGATCGAGAGGCCGAGCCTCGTTTCAGCAACCCCGCGCCTGGCGGACGCGGTGACTTCGGCGGAGGCATGCGCGGTGGATATGGAGGTCCCGGCGGCTATGGCGGTCCTTCCGGTGGAGGAGGAGGTAGACAGGTCTATGTCGCCAATGTTTGTTCCACCTCTATTTTTTGCCCGGATACGATTGGCATGCTGACTCTGGCCTACAGCTTCCCTACAACGTTGGCTGGCAAGACTTGAAGGATCTTTTCCGACAAGCCGGTAGGTTTCTATCAGCACACTACTGACCCTACTCGATGAGAAATCCACTGACTTATTTCCCTGCAGCTCATACCGGATCCGTCCTGCGTGCAGACGTCCATGTTGCCCCCGATGGCCGCCCCAAAGGCTCAGGAATCGTCGCATTCGAGACTGCTGAGGATGCCCGAAACGCAATCCAGCAGTTTAACGGTTATGATTGGCAGGGCCGCAACCTCGAGGTCCGCGAGGATCGCTTTGCAGCTGCCGGTGGACCCGGTTTCGGCCGTGGTGGGTTCGGCGGCGGCGGTTTCGGTGGCCGTGGAGGCTTCGGAGGACGTGGCGGCTTTGGGGGTGGACGCGGTGGATATGGAGGCGGCTTCGGGGGGCGTGGAGGATTTGGAGGTGGATATGGTGCCGCTGGAGCTGTTGATGCTAATGCGGCGTCCAATCCTCCAAATCCGTTCACGGACTTCGCTACTTCGGGTGGAGAACCAAGCAATGTCATCTACGTTCGAAACGTAAGTAACCAACATCTACGCCTACTCCTCGGTACTTACTGTTCTAGTTGCCCTGGTCCACCAGCAACGAGGATCTTGTTGAGCTTTTCACTACTATCGGCAAGGTTGAGCGTGCCGAAATTCAGTACGAGCTGAATGGGCGTTCTCGTGGTACTGGCGTCGTGGAATTTGAGAAGGCCGCAGATGCCGAGACTGCCATCGGTATGACGCCGCTTGATTGCGTTCTTGCTATTCAATGCCTAACAGATAGCAGCTAAATTCACCGGCTATCAATACGGAGGTAGACCTCTCGGACTGACTTACGTTCGCTACAGTAATCAGAGCAATGGCGATGCCATGGAGGGCACCGAAGTCACTGGAGGCCTGACCCAAGACCAAATTATGTAGGCTTGACTGGGGATGCGGAGGACCATAATCTTTGGAATATATCCTACATCATCTCTTAGGATAAGGTCGGGCCGTTCTTATGTCGGATGCATTTGGCCTAAGGTCAACCTCCTCTGAGCCTACTTTCTCCTTAGTCAACTTTTCTCTTATTTCCCGTAACTCTCCGAAAGGCTGTCTCCGCAGGCGTAGCTCAATGGGGTGCTTTCGCCTTGACAATCCTCGGTATTCAGCGGTGGTCCAGGGTTTAAAAATTTCATAATGTACTCTAGATTGCAGATTCAAAGGAAGTGAGCTTCGGCATTATAAGAATGCAGACATTCACCTCCGGTCTCAGCCTTCTTCGTTGCTATTTTCTAAGTGCTATCCTTCATGGCTGCTGCAACAGCCGCATCATCCATTCATAGACAGCCCACTGCACGGCGTTGACGACGAAGGCTCTTATGCTACATATCCCCAGCCCACGAAAGAAGACGCCTGCGCCATCTGATTGGTAGGCTTGCCTTGCGACATGTAACGTGCTCAGCCTTTTTTTCTGCGGTGTGGGAATGCCCTCTAGCTCGGGATGTAACAAGCCGCGTTGTTCGCTTCTGAGGGAATATGGTAAATGTGATAGTTGCGTTTGAACTCTTGTCTTGACGACATCTAGTGGGAAGATGGATGCCCACGTCACAATGCCTGCAAACCCTCCACACAACAACACTTTGAGGGCGGTCTGCCTATCTGTGTCTTCGGGAGAGCTGAAAGTTTGCTTGCTCCATTCATAAGACCAGAAACTGGGGAGTTAGTTAGTCATAATATCTATTGGGGGATTAGGCAAAGAAGCCTACTAAAACCCATATCCCACAGCATCCCTCACACTCGTTATCCCCCCCCCATAATACAGTCCTCTTATTCCTTCATATTTCCAAGTGTCTCGTGCAATTGACCAGGAACTGGCGTTCCCCTTCCAGACCTGAGCACGGCATTTGATGAGCTCGGTGGGCGCAGAGACAACGAAGGTTGCGAGTCCTCCTGCAGAGCCGGCCAACCACACTCTCCACAGATTAGATGGGGCAGAGGGGGAGTCTCCTAGCAGGGAGAGGGTGCGGTTGTAAGAGACGAAGAGAATTGCATTGAGGGCACCGTAGCCGAGGATGGGTGCTGTTGCGCCTGCACTATGACATTCGTGGTCAGCACGACGAATTGTAGGCTACATTGGCATCTTCAAGCTCAATTGGGCGTCTCTGACCTCTCACCAAAGTTCCTGCGCGGTCAAAGTGGCCCTTGAAGCTTTGCTGCAGTGGCGAAGTAGCCGAATCAAGAGTTGGAGAAGGGCTGCTGCCGGCTTGAAGACGTGTTTTCACAAGATCAAGAGGATTCCCGATGAGAATACCTGCAGCACCGCTGAGATAGCCGGCCCAGAAGTCGGCTGACATGTCCAAGTTGGTTCATGGAAAGGAAGATGAACGAGGAGGGGTAGAGGGGCATCGCCAAGGCTCAAATTGATAATATTCTTCCATTGGCGAGGAAGCCAGAGACGACCCGAGGTTACGGAAACCATTTGATATGATGGCTCAGGAGTGGTTTAAAGAGTCCGGAGGACTCCGGCAGCACGAAGAACGCTTTTCGGCCACTCAAGTTGCCTGAGCCGTCTGAACTGAAACCATGTGGAAAACCACGTGTCTTGTGTAAGCTATGTCTTTCACTTGACAATAATTGTTCCATGGTTACGATTGGCGAGTAGTCAGCACTCGATGATATCATGTCTCGGAACAGGTCCGAGATCGAGGGAGAGAGAGCACGGACGAGGTACTTAGGAGATCGCCAAATTTAAACCCCGCCACCCTGAACCTCACGTCCTCTTTACATCAACACCCACGTCGACCTTCAACACCTCCAGGGTCCTCTATCACACTTTCTACTATTTCCCAACATATCTTCAGCACGCGCTGCTTTCGGAACACAGACTGACCCTTCAACGCGCTCCCTCTCAGCTGCGATCATGCACACGAGATTGAAGCTGCTACCTACTGCCGTCACAGTATGCATTGCAAATCGACAATTCACCAAGGCACAGCTAATCGTGTTCACCGCTTCTAGCATCTTCTGAATAGCTCTATCTAGACACTCTCCGATCAATCCGAAGAGTACCTTCATTAGACCACCCAAACTCTTCGATCTGCTCTTATGCCGTCCGAACCAGATGACACATCATGGGGCTTCGGCCCTGCCTTGGATCTGATCGGAAGCTTGAATTCCTTCGACGCTAGTCCATCGCCTACCATGATTTCTCCAGAATCGACTACAGATGTCGAACTAGACAAACCCACCATCAAAGAAGCGGACACTGAGCTGAGCACCTCTTCTGGTCTGCAGAAGTTAGGGGATTTTGGGAAAATCTACGATCTCTTAGGAATTCCAAAACATGCGCGAACAGTTACTGTTTATCCCGAAGATTTTGATACCGATGCGTCATACAACTCTGACGAAGCACTCGCCTCCCCTCCCCTAGAACTAATCGGTGTTCCCAAGAATGTTGAGGCCAAAATCGAAGTCGAAATAGAGACAGAGGTCGAAGTCCAGGTCGGAACGGAAAGTCTGCCCAAGGTCGAAATCGAAGCTGAGGGCGAAATTGAAACCGAGGTCGAGTCCGACATAAGCGATGGCGAGGATAAGCCTGCAGAGTCACCCAACAAGGTGTTGACCAAAAAACAGGCAAGGCAAGGGAAGAAACGACAACGAAAGGAGGCTAAGTCTCTTGCAAAAGCCCAGAGAGTGCATGAAATGCAAGTGAAAAACCCGGTTGCCCAGGAGAACCCGAGGCAGCATTCCCCAAAGAAGGCGCAGCTGAAGATTCAAGAGAATGACCGAGCAAATGGGAGCCCGAAGCAAACTATGAACAAACATGTTCGGTCCCAGAATGATTCACCTTTACTTCCGAGAAGCCTCTCGGTAAAGCAGCTACGTAAAGCCACCGCTGCGAAAGCAAAACTTTCGCAGAAAAATGCCGGGCCTGTTCCCTCTCCAAACCAGCCTACATCGTTCGCTATAGATATTCCCTCTTTACCAGCTGAAGGCATGCTCTCTGGGGCCACTCTAGGATTCGTTCCCCAAGAGTCTTCTTTGAGCCTTCAGTACCTTATGCTCGACCCACATGCTGTACCATTCCATATCGACACGCCAATGGGGACGTACATGCAGCAACTTCCTTCAATCCCATTGACACCTGGCTACGAACACGGCTATAGCTTCTCTCCAATTCCCCTCTGTCAGAATGGCGCCCAAATGCATTCGATATCGGTTCAACCTACCTATGTTACCAGCCAAGTGCACCAATTCCCTCAAACTTCGACTCCTGCTTCTTCTTCAAATGACCCAACTGCACGAGTGGCTCCCGCACATCCGCGATATACCTTACGGTCCAACTCCTCTGCGAATAAAATTCAATCAACCACTAATAATCAACTAAAAGCAACGAACTCTACTCTACCTCCAGTACTACCAACAGTCCCTATTGGCTATACACTCAACCCTCGACGTGGTGAAGATCGTCACGAACACTTCTTCCTGAAGCTTCTGCGCAATTTCCCAGAGGACAAAAAGTGGATGGTAGCCCCAATGCAATTAAGCAACAATGGAACTTTCCCCGGGGGTATACATGTGATCGTTGATGCTTCCAATATTCTCCTAGGATTTCAAGAAACTCTCAGACCATTCAAAGAAAGACTTAAAAAACGGGATCTACGCTGCATGGATATTTCTTTTGACGCCCTCATTCTACTCATGGAACGACGTCGCCCGGTTGCGAAACGTATTCTCGCTGGCTCTACCAAGACCTCCCCTCCGTTGCCCGCCTTTCAGACAGCCAAAGCAGTAGGCTATGAGGTCAATATAATGGAGCGAGTCTACAAGACGAAGGAAGTCACCGACAGGGACAGGTTCTTCATGGATGTCAATGCCAAGGGCTGGGATGCCGCAATCAAACAACGGCGCTCTAATGGCGATGATAGCGACTCTGAAACGGGTGCATTCACTGCCACTCCGCAGACAATCCAGAAATGGGTTGAGCAGGGTGTGGACGAGCTACTTCATCTGAAGATGCTCGAGAGCGTTTGTGATTGCTGGGCGACTCCAAGCACAATGGTCATTGCGACTGGAGATGCGGCTCCCGCAGAGTACTCGGGTGGGTTCATGGCGCAGATGGAGCGCGTCATGGAGCGTGGATGGAAGGTCGAACTGGTCAGCTGGAAGAAGCAGACCAGTGCTGCCTACCGCAAGAAGAAGTTTCAAGCGAAGTGGAAGGATCAGTTCAGGATTATCGAGTTGGATGAGTATCTGGAGGAGCTCCTCGATATTTGACTGACTGAATGACCTGCGCTTTATTACATCTGCTTCGATCGATTTCGGCGGATTTGACAAACTTCGGTTACATTAGCCTGACCTCATTCTCAGTTGTATTTGAGGAATGTGGATGGGATCATGAATGAGATCCTGACTGCAGGCATGGATGATGGATGAGCATGCTATGAAATACTTGACTAAGTATTGAACACGATTAGTCCCAATGCATATGCATTAATCCAAACAGCAGCGCTCTTGCATTCTCAAATCGTTCTTGTGAGCTTGTTGCTGAACTTTGGGATATAGTAGTAAGGATACCTCACCATGCACTTACATGGTCCAAAATCCAAGCAGTCTTTGCCTCTTTGAAGTCACAACATGCTTTGCTAACTACATTATGTGGTGGTGATAGAATCAATATTCCTAGACTGTTAGAGCATGTCAGTAGCCAGTCAACAAACCTTCCTTCTTGCGCCCCTTTCGAACCACAAATTTTCAATCAGTCAGCCGCAATGTAATATCGCATTCCGACCAAAATACCGAACAAGCGCGAAAGGAGGCTAAGGTTAGCGATGCTCGACCATTTAGAGTCAGACAGCTTGAGCTTAGACCAAGGGGCGAGCTGAGCCGTGCTAAATGACGATGAAAACACGCGGGTAACCTGAACACGGGGTTGGGCCGCGTTTCTGAAACGAGGCTTGTGGAGTGTTTTCTGACAGGACATTTGGTGGTTGGATGCACGTCGACAGTTGGAAGCAGATGATGTGTGACTTCGTCATGAGGGGAACCAAGGACTGAGCAAGGCTGGGGGGGGGGGCAACTGTGAGAGAGGGGGGAGGAGGGCAGGAGGGCAGGAGGTTAGGAGTTTAGTTAAGGTTTGGGGTGTTCGCGGTGGTGGGTGCGTTCTTTTAGCCGTTGTCCAGGTACCCAGAAGAAAAAATTCTTTTTGTTGGGCGCATGCCTGTTCACGATATCAAAAGTTCGGGACTCGGATTCCAGGGATCCCTTTAGCATCAAGACGAACACTGGGAAAAGGAAATTGCGGCAGTGAAATCCTTTCCGAGCGTGAGCACAGGCTTGGCGCGATGAGGATTGAAAATGGGAACGAACGGCATTCGGGACCCGGGCTTACGAGATGCCGAGCGGAGGACGGAGCTAGACTGCCAGCCGATGACTGATGCGGACAAAAGCGTCCGGGAGATGCGATGTGATTGTCTGATGTGATGTGATGAGATGAGATGAGATGTGAAGAGGAGAGGAGGGGATTCGTTTGAACGATGTTTGAACTTCTGCAGCCCAGGTGTTGGAGTATCAGTGTGGTTGAGGGTGTAAGGCGTGCATGGTGGGGGAAGTGTTTCATGTGTCTGTGCCTCGAGGCATTGGTGATGCTTTTTAGGAGAGGGCTGTGGGACAGATCGTCGTGGGCGCTGCGCCGACCGTTTTTGCTGCGGTGAGGCTGAATGTTGTGACAGGTCTCGATGGGCCGCGGCAGAGACGGTGATGGAGATGTGTGTTGATGTCATGCAACACTCGAGAGGGTCGGGTCTGAGGTCGCTTCCCGATAATTCTACGAGGGAAATGTTCGGGGATTCAGGACGTCGGAGATAGACAAAGAATTGTCGTGTTGTTCGGTTCTATGCTGCAGTGGGACCATTGATGTGCTACCGGGTTGGGAAATGCGAGATGGAGACGCAGATAGCGACAATGGTGAATCACGCGAGCATCAATTTGATAGCAATGCTGCTGCACACCTGCTCCATCCAACAGCAGCATGACTGAGGAATGAGTTTCCCCCCTGTTCTCGGCGCTGATTGGTGCCAGCGTGCAGCAGTGCTAGACGGAATTGCTCGTTCTCCCACAGCGCGATGTAGCTCGCGTGCGTCTCCAGAATGTCCTCTCAGTCCATCTCAGTTCTTGTGGCCTGACAGCACTCTGTGAGGGCACGAGGCTCCAATGCTCAAGATGCGCTTCTCATGAGCATTCACATCGACACCAAAATAAACGAAATTGGGCTGATGGGGCTGGCTCCGCGCGCCGCACACATTGGCTGCTAAGCGCTGGAGTCACGTCCGTGCGTTTCGCAATTTGAACGACCCCGGCCTTAGCAAGCCTCAGCCATCCGCCGACTTCCACCAGCTCTTTCATAATCCGAGCCTCCCTCCTCTCTCTCCACCGCCCGACTGGCCTGCTGGACCTCCCCGAGAGACTAAACACACTCCCCCCTTCCCCCATCCCCCCCCCCCCCAAAAGCACTCCCCGCCCAGCAGCCTCTGGTCGCGCGTGTGCCCTCGCCCTCGACGCCTCCGCCTAGGTCCTGCTTCTGCCGCACAGCAATCCCCGAGCTATCATGACGAACAAATCCTACCTCGCATTCCTCGAGCACTCGACTGCAGTCATGCTCGTAAGAGCAAAGGTCCCCGGCTTGTCGCAGCTGCCCAGCTTCATTCCACATCGTGTGCGCAGAAAATGGCGGGCCACCCGCTCGCGCATCCGCAGCAGACAGTCTCCCACGTCATCCATCGCCTCCCTCGAAACCTCCTTCTCCCCCGCCGACACCCTGCGCTCGCTGCGGACCCATCCGTGGTCCATATACGATGGCCAGTACCTAATACTAGCCATTGTGGCCATCTTCTCGCTGTCCGTCATGGAATCTCCAGGGCCCTTTGCGAAGACCTTCGTCGCCGCGCTGCTCATGTTGGGCCTCGTGTTGCCAGCCATACGACAATTCCTCCTCCCATTTCTCCCCGCATTAACCTGGATGCTCCTATTTTACTGTTGCAAGTACGTTGTCCTCGCATTTTCTTGCGCCACCATGCGTCGTTGCCCCCTCCCATTGGGCATTGTGGTGCCTTGAGACGGTGTTGTAGCACAGCCCGCATCCCTCACCATAGCATAAATGATTGCGCAAACAAGCTGACCCTGCAATACTAGATTTATATCCAGCGACTATCGGCCTTCGATTTGGGTCCGTGTTCTTCCTGCGCTCGAAAATATCCTGTATGGCGCCAACCTGAGCAATATTCTGTCCGCGCATAAGCACGTCGTTTTGGATCTTCTGGCTTGGATACCGTACGGCATTGTGCACTATGTCTCTCCCATTATCGTCAGCGCGTGCATGTTTCTCTGGGGCCCGCCCGGAACACTTCCGATCTGGGCTCGAGCATTCGGATACATGAACTTGGCGGGCGTGATCATCCAGCTCGTTTTCCCGTGTTCTCCGCCATGGTATGAGAACCTCTATGGCCTGGCGCCTGCAAATTACTCTATGCCGGGCGATGCCGCGGGGTTGAAGGCCATCGACAAGCTACTTGGCGTAGATCTGTATACCTCCACATTCCATGCATCGCCAATGGTTTTCGGCGCATTCCCATCGCTACACTCCGGTTGGGCCACACTCGAGACTCTGTTCATGGGACACGTCTTCCCTAAACTGTTCCCGTTCTACGTTGCATACACCATGTGGCTGTGGTGGTCTACCATGTACTTCTCGCACCATTATGCTGTAGACCTTGCTGCGGGCAGTCTTCGTAAGCCATCTCTTTCACACAATTTCGAGGCCTTCGCTAACTCAACATATAGTTGCTGGCATTGCATATTTCTGGGCAAGAGCCAAGTTCCTTCCTCGCGCACAACCTGATAAAGAGTTCCGTTGGGATTACGACTATGTCGAGATCGGCGATCCTCAAGACGGCTCAAGTTATGGGATGTTGGACATATACGAAGAATTCCATCCACAATCCGATAGCGATGAATGGACCGTTGGGTCCTCGTCCTCCGCATCGTACTCATCTGGGGGCAGGAGTCCATCTACAGGATCTCGATCACCTGTGGACGACGCTCAAAGCCTCTGGGAAGGCGACACTCTTGCATCCGACCATGAGCACGAGCTCCGATAGCCAACCCGCTCTCCCATTTTGCGCCTCAAATAATCGCAATCAACCCAGCGGACACGCTTTTCACGACTTATGCATTACACGGAGTTTTTTCTAAGAGCATTTGCAGCGGCCATTTCTATTCTTCACCATTCTCGCATAGAAAGAGCAGTTCGTTTGAACTACGCTCAACTAGCATGGATCCTTTTTTTTTGTCTCTTCACATTCCAAATTCTTTGATACCCAAATTCGGTCGCTTCTGTAAAAGTACCCTTGTACAATCACATTCGCTTCCCGGGCCCCGGCTGCTGATCTTTAAGCGGCGGGATCCCTACTGCATTTAGCCTGCGAGGGCTCAAACACTCACCACGAACGAGGATAGACGTGGTGTTGGGAAAGGAGAATTGGGGTTTAGTATTGAACGAGATGGACATGTCAACGATGCTTGAACAACGGGACAGGGAAACAGCCGGTTGATGTTGTCGATGCTGTAGATAATTATTATTACTATAATGCTTAATGTGAAGGGTGGATGATGGAAACTTCAGGGCCTACGCTTTTGGAAACGGTGATAAGTCTCGAACGGAAGTCCGTAAGGCATTCCTTGGGGTTTGACGATTTGGAACCAGCCCCGGATGACTGAGTAACTGCGACAGCTTATTCACAAACGAAAGGTGCAAGACTGTCGTCTCTGGCCAGGCAGAAGTTGGGATAGGAATCAAGCGGGGTAGCTGCTCAAAGCTACCCCTCTATTTACAGGTACACTAGTCGTGACAAGGCAGTTCAGCTTGGAAGGACAGAGTTGGTGGAATATTATTCTCGCACTCTCTCTATAATTCCCATTTCCCATCTTCCTCTGTTCTATCTATCTCATCCTCCAGAAACCATTAAATCTCAAATCTATCTGATTCAATTCATGTTCTTACGTCCCACCCTGCTCGTCAATTCAATCGATTGCTTTCTTCGACGTCGCCTCACGGCTAACCTCAGCGGATTTAAAAGACTCCTCTTTGCTTTGTCATCTTCTAGCTTTCTGTCTACTATGGCAACTCAACACTACGACGCCCTCGTTCCGGGCTCCGGTCAAGCAAGTACCCCGCTTGCTTCACACCTGAAAGGCCTGGGGCTCTCTGCCTGTCCCGTCCAACGCTCTCATATTGCAGGGTGCTGCGTCAATGAGGGATGTACTCTCACCAAGACAATGGTTGCCAGCGGACGAGTAGCATATCTTGCCCGACGGGCTAGGGAGTGCGGCATTCACCCTGGCCATGGAGACATAAAGGTTGACATGCAGAAAGTGAGGCAGAGGAAAAGAGATATTGTGACCAGCTTCCGGGGTAACTCGGACAGGAGGCTTAAGGATGCAGGGGTAGATGTGTTGATGGGAGAGGCGAACTTCACAGGAGAGAACGAAGTCCTTATCGAGCTCAGCGGAGGAGGCGAGAAAAAACTAAGTGCAGACAAGATCTACATCAACCTCGGTTGTCAACCCTCGAGGCCCAATATCCCAGGACTTGCTTCCCTCGACCAGTCTCGTGTCCTAGATTTTACTTCTATCCAAGAACTCGGTGAAGTCCCTGGGCATCTCGTCATTCTAGGTGGAGGGCACATAGGCCTCGAATTCGGGCAGCTCTTTCGACGACTTGTGGCGAAAGCCACCATTATCTATCGCGGTTCTTGATTGCTGGCGAAGAACGACGATCTCGAGCTCGTGGATTGCATGGAGGCTATTCTCAATGAAGATGGGATTGAAATGCTCTTCAGCATCCAAGGACCCAGAACTCCCAATTTCTATCTCCGTAACCACAAACCCAAAAACAACTCTCAGCGTCCGAGCCTCGCACATCCTCGCAACCGGCCGCATTCCCAACACAGAAACACTCGGCTTGGACATGGTAGGTATCAAAACCACACCACTAGGTCACATTATCACCACCCCAACACTCTCTACAAATGTAGATGGTGTATTTGTCCTAGGCGATGTCAAAGACGGCCCAGCATTCACCCACATTTCCTACGACGACTTCCGAATCATTCGCAACAATCTCACTACCCAAAACTACAAGACACAAGGCGCCGTGAAAACAACCAACGAACGCGCTACATATATTCCCTCTGTCGAATACACAGACCCACAATTCGCGCATATTGAACCAAAATTTGGTGACTTGAAAACCTTCGCTAAGGGCAGGAACTTAGTCTGCTACCTCCAAGCATTGGAACATGGGTTTCGCGGGGTTTGGAGGGGGATGAGACGAAGAGGTTGTTGAAGGCAGTTGTGGATGAGGGGACCGGGCAAATTTTGAGTTTTTCAGCGTTGAGGTCCTGAGGGAGGGAGGGGGGTTGATGGCTGTGGTGCAGATGGCGATGTTGGGGTGTTAGGTAGGATAAGTTGAGAGACATGGTTGAGAGACATGGTTGTTAGGCATCCAAATTAGAGTGAGATTTTGAATAACCTCTAGGTTGGGGAGAGGGAGGTGGTTAAGGTATAAAACAATAATCAAACCGAAAGGATGGAATACGGATACTTTACTATCTGTCGACTCTTTCTACAATCTTTTGGTCTCTTTGTAGGCCGAGTTCACTAGTAATTCTGTCCTATTCGATGGCTGCAGATTTGCAACTTAGTAACACGAGTATTCCTTTTAGGCTCCTTTAAGACATTAGAGGGCGAGGCCTTAGTTTACATGTTCTGTCTGAACGTAGGAGGGTGCGGCGAGGACGAGACTGGTGCGTGCAATGTAAAGCCGATCCAGTAAGTTTCTTCAGGACACGGTGGGGTAGGAACGCGTGGCGATTAATTTGTTCCAGATTTATCAAGCAAAGTACGTATCCGCGGTCTTCAGTCATCTTCTCTACGAATCTACAATGCTCATTTAGGTGGGTTGTTGAGGTTCTCTAAAGGGGAAGAGCTGGAGAGAAAAGCATGGTGTGGGCTGAGGCTGAGGCTCATGGAGCCTTGCCGTCAAACAAACAAGAATGGAGCCAACCGCAACGCCAGCGCTTGCTCATCATACCAAGCATCAGGTAGATGGCGGAGGGTAACTTGGTAAGTCTTCTGGGTCGTTGTGCGTATTTCACCATGACCCCTAACTAACTTACTTCAAACCGCTCAGCCTGATGAGGCACTCGACAACCTCGAGATCAAAGCCAGCGCCACCTACGAATGCATCAAGGACTTGAAGATATTTCACCGAAATGCGCAAGCAATGGGTATCGAGATAGCCAGGAAGAGCTCCGCGAAATAATTCTCAAGGTTGAGATTCTTCCAATCGTTCGAAACAGCTATTTGTCCGGAAAAGTTACAGCTACTCTGCTGAGGTTAGCTTTTCAATAAGTCGCAAATAACTACGGCCCGAGTACGAAATCATTAGCAAGTGACAACACCCTAATATTGTGAAATACGTCGATTTCGAGTACAAATCGAGGAAAGATAAATGGAATGCTTCAATATACATGGAGCATTGCTCTAGAAGAGATCTCTCCTAATACACCCCGAGGCATGACGGTCCTGGGAAAATAATCTTAGAACAACAATTCTAGGAGATGGTTTACCAGCCATCTTCAGCTTTACTGTATTGCCATTATGGTCTCATCGTACATGGAGACGACGTTGATGAAGCCGATTGGGAGAAGACTGTCCTTCGCCGAGATATCAAGCCCCGCAAACAGTACGCCTAGATGACCAGGATAGCCTTTCTTTGACCAAAGCTGACGGGCGTTATAGCTGCCATATCATCTTAACAAAGTAGTCACTTAAGCGTCAAGATTTGTGATTTCAGACTCGCTAAATATGAAGCGTCAACCTTTTTTTGGATCTCTCGTTGGAGCAATAGGCTTCATACCACCCATGAGCCTCTTAGTGAGTCTATGTAGTATTTGACTGATTAAATTAGTAGGAGATTGATGACGATATGAGGGATTAGTCGCCAAAAACGGACATTTATTCTCTTGGGAGTGAGTTAATGTTCCAGGGGCATTTCAGCATCAAAACAAAAGCTCTTATTAGAGACCATGCAGAAACTTAATTGCACATCACTTGAGGAGGGAGCAAGAGAATGTCTAAAAAAAAGTGCACATCTAGAACTCCTGAGGAGAGACCAAGTACTCCAAGTTTGTTCAGGTCACCCACAAACATGCTCAAGGCACACACTCTCAGAAACCGCTCGTACATTCCGCGGCAGAACGTGGTTTACTGACCGCGCTCACCAAATCGATCGATAGAGGAGAGGAGATTGACCTAAGCTCACCAGGTCGTACCAACCCTCTACATCTGGTAGTAAGCAACGGACATCTACCAGTAGTGAGGCTACTACTCGAGACGAACCCCGACCCATATTGTGAGTACGAAAAGGGGCAAACGCCACTATTTCACGCGGCCGAAAAAGGTCAAGACGCCATTGTGTCATTGCTTCTAGCCTATAACGCTCAGCCAAATCGTACAACCCCTGGCTATCAATCTGCATTTGGCAAATCACTGCGAGTGCGTCCGATGAGAAACGAAGCTGTAGACGAAGCACATTCCATCTTGTTATGTACAGCTGAGGACGGACCTGTTGTTATTGAAACGGCGACTATGGCCCGCATTGTCAATAATCAGTCTGTTTATCCTGACCTAGAACCACCACTACAGTCACTACTCCTCGGCGTAGGTCAATCTAGCGGCATAGGCGAATCCGTCATACCAACAGCTGTCTGTGATACGCGAAAGGGGATACCTAAGTCTTCACAGTTCTTTCGGCAAGCACCACTGGGCAGACTCGGAAATGCCATTCTTCCCCTTGGCACACCCAGACTAGAATTCCTCATAGACCCCCGAAGCTATATACTACCGTCGCTTTCTCCGAGACGGCCACCATCGCCTTTGCCTTCATCCCGAAAGGAACCGGAGCCTAGCACGCAAAACAAACTTATCCCTCATATTGTAGCCTTTGCAGTCGAATCACCAAAGAGATAACATCACGGAATCAATATTATGGTTTGATATTATTGATGAGTATGGGGTTCCATCCTACTAGTCTTCAGTAAATTTGCTATCCCCAAGAGGACTGCACCGGAAACATCTTCGGGACGCCAGCGGCGCAACGGAGGCCGAATTTGACGTGGCGGCTAGATGCTGCTGCTGAGACTGCGCATGATGAAGGATTTGAGCCATATGAGGACGAGGAGACGCCCAAATCTGCCGAAATTATTGCCACTAGGCCCAGGATCGTTGAATTAATCAAGGAACGGGCGCAATGAGCGGAGCGGGAAGTAGGCCACTGCAGCAGCAAAGTATCGCTACAAAGAATCGCAGCTCTAAAACAAAGCCCTGCCACATGTCCGAGAAACCGCTGAGTTTAATTTCCACGATGAGGCTGAAAAGGAGGAGCGACCGTTAGACGAGATGGCGAGGGAGTACATGCTCGACGGGTTCGATTTTGATTTGTAGTCCATTTGACATCGTCGCTGCCACAACAGTCGGACTCGAGTAGCTTCTCGAACAGTACGTACAACAGTTCCGTGTCGTCGCACCGTACAGTCAGCGGAACGTCTCTCCCAACAGCCGCGGAAGTGATAACCAAACGAGACAAGAGCGCCGACACACTTGCCGCCACCAGTTCCTGCCTCTTCCAGCGGTATCGGAGCCCGCAGCAGCTCTTCCAGTCGATCTGTCAGAAATCACGCCCATGCACGCCACTGTTCTAAAAGAATCCTCAACTGTTCGAAGCAGGAGATTTTCTGGACAAAACGATAAGAATCTGAAGATAGGGATCTCTGTACCCCCATTACCCCCAGCTCCACATACTGAGAAACCTCTAGTGTGATGATGTCCATCGTGTCATTGCTTCCGGCCCATAACACTCAGCCAAATTGCACAGATAAAGAATGAAGTCTATTCCTATATGCTGGTGCAAACAAACACTTCATAGTGGTAGAAGTATGGCTGAAATACTATGCCGACCGAAAGGTTTGACACAGGGTGTGCAGGCTTTGTTCTCTTCTGCTAAAGAAACCAACCATAATAGGCTTGTGAGCGTACTGCTCAGGCGGGATGTCAGGACAGACCCTCGCATCTGGCTTCGTGCTTCCAACCAGGGCCGGTTGCATATCTTGGAAGGGATGCGTGAGAATGGTATAGACCCATCCTGTATCCCAGGATACAAATCGCAACGTATTGAGCTCGAGAGAAACTATGGAGCTATTCTGACTGTCACTGGGTCCTATTCACCACGTATTCCTATGTACGTTGTCGCTAGCTGTTCTCATCTCATCATAGATATGCTAATTGACTTTAACATCGATGTGCTAGATGAATCCATCCCACTCCCTAATGTACACCACGTACCTTTCAAGTCATAGGACTATTTTCTAGCCGTCAAGTAAATCACAGAAGTGGTACTCAAAAGGGTATCGAATGGTGTTCTTTTCATTGTTAAGGTCATATTGAGAAGGTGTTCATAGCAACGTTTCCGTACTCGAGGCATGGGATGTGAAATATATGGATATGGACTAGCGTATCCTTTTTGAGGGTTTGAATGTAGGTTTCATTATCTCTCCAGAAGATTATCATCTCACGAATCGTCAGGCGGCCAATTGCCTTGAAATCAAGCCTCTCCTTGATAGAGGTTGCTAGCACATTGCGGAAATAGTAAAGGAAGATATCCAGCAGAGATAAGGAGGATATTCTATTTTGAGAATGATTTCAAGCCTGAGGGGGAGGGCTAGTTACGCAGAGAAAACGAGTGGGTCTATGGTCATAGATAAGCAATACTAGGCAATGAGAGAAACGGTTCTTTCGAACGTGTCCTGTGCATCAGTATGAGCACTTCTGACTGAATAGCTAACAATTACATCTTCCATCCGTAGAGGGCGCTCAAAAGGAACTAAGGATCTGATGAAGTTTTCTCCTTCCAGCCTCACCGTCCTCGCCTGATCCTACTGCACCATGATGTGACAAGAATACGTGGTCTTCATTCGGCGTAGCAACGAGTCGAGAGACTTTGATGGTAACCCGCTGGCTAAAGACAAAATAATGCTTGGGGAATCCGTTCGCCCACAGTCATGACGAGGTTGGATGGAAAGCGCCTACTCCAACTCAGCTTGTCTGCAAGTTGCTCAACCGCACTCATCTTAAAGGTTGCCTTCTGTCCTACAGACAAGACCTTCTTTAAGAAGTCTTTGGAAGCCCTTGCTGGAATTCTAGGTCTTGATCTTGCAGCTCCCGGTGTCATCGATGTTTTTGTTCGAACCAGGTGCGCTATCTCAGGCCGGCCTTCTCACGCCCGCCACCTGCAAGGCTAGGTCCGCAAATACAGGACGTTTGGGTCCAACCTTTCGATATGGGTTCTACAAAATCAAGTAGAGCTAGTATTCTCAGCAATTAATAATAGAACTATTAAGGAAGAGCTTAAGGTTCAACTCGAGGATTGCATCTAAAAGATAGCTGACTGTCATATTGCAGTGGAGAAGGAACTCAGAAGTGCGGAGTCGAATGAACTTAAGAGAAGACTGAAGATGCTATTCGGCCGGCAACTTGGTTTGGAGAGTAAGATTCGAGAGCTCGAACAACAGCGTAAAGTCCTTGCCACGCTGCCATCAACTGCAATCCGCTCCGCCGCCTTCACTCCTCGGAAGTTGAATAAAATTGGGGCACGAATCTGGGCGCAGTAAACCTGGATCTGTCCTCCGTACTTCGGAAATTCGTATAGCGGACTGTGACATGGGGAAAGGTGTTGTAAGGAGCGTCATAGTCGAGTCTAGGCCTTACACTACGCGCATCGAAATGGGACATGAGGGAGACATCTAAGGGTTGGTAAAAAAAAACGGCGACTTAGACCTTCTTAAACAAGTATATTGACCTGTCTTGGGTACCGCCAGAACCTGTTTGGAGCCTCGTTCGGAGCCTCGTTCGACATTATCTTCGAGCTCCCAAGTACATCAGACCGCTGACCTCTAGCGGATATGCTTGCCTTTGACTCTAAGCCTACCTTGAGTCACCGCGTTGTGTTATGAAAGATGGTAGCTATCCTGCCTCAGAGGTTCACAGCAGTGATCCAGCTCACAGAACATTCGACCGCGCAACATCCTTGTAATCGGCCAGTATCATTTTGAAAAATCCACGCAAGCTTTGTTCTTCGCAGACTAGAAGTTGGTGCGTGAAGTTGATGAGGCGAGCGTCTGGGAAGGGGAAGGGGAATGATAGCGTGCGATCTATCAACACCCTACGCGACAGGGCCTGCATATCGAAACCTAGTACACGATGGAGCACGACATCTACAGCCTAGGAGTCAATATGCTAGAGATACTCCTATGGCGGCCTTTTGTTGTAAGCTCCAACCCGAGGTCCCAGGATTCGCTAAACGCAGTCAGCGAACATTTCTAGAGACGAACAATCGACTTAGGGCCAGAGCATAGAGTTCCAGGACGGTATTTAGGGGATACTCGGAAGATGGTCATGAAGCCTACTGTGATCTGCAGAGTCATGGCAGACTTGTGTCGAACAGAGTTGCCTCCGGGTGCCGGAAGTTAACGGAGGTTGCGATGAAATGTTTGTGTTATTTGGACGATGATGAGGAAGATCAAATAGCAGGATCTGACCAGGGCAGACTAGAATCTAGATCACAGTTTGTAGGGGATGTTCTAGTGGCTTTAGGGAGCGTCTTAGTCTGATAGGAGTGTTGAGGGGAATAATAGCATGATGATGTCATAGATGAATCGAATTTCAAGACTAAAGTGTCGATTTCCTCCTCTCTTACCAATACTGCCGAAACATCATCTAGATAGCATCTGCATCATATTTTAGACTCCCTGTTGTCAGAGTCTATAATCTATGCGTCGAATTAGAGTTTTAACACCGTATATGTCCATCTTCAATCCAAGAATAGAGGGTAATAGTGGTTGTATACAAATTTCTCTTTCAGTGTTAATTCCTTAGATCTAAATTAGGGTGAAATCTCTAACCGTTTTATAAGGACGGGAGGGGTAAATCCAGGTTTTGAATGAAGAGCATGGGAAATATCCCACAAGGAACACGCCGCTCTTACGGCCTTGGAAGAGGTTATAATTTAAGACAGAAGGTCAGATATACTTCTCCATTGCATTCTATAGCAGAAGGAAATGTTGATACTAATCATACTCCTCGGTGGAGCGCACTCGCTACCCTTTTCATCTCCTCACCCTTATCAACCCCCCCTGACTTCCTGTTCACTACCAATATGGCATCTTATAAATGTCTTCCCTCCTATACCCTATCCTTCTGAATGCAATTTCCTATTTCGAACCCCTAGCTTCTGTGTGCTGAATATCTTCAAAATCTCCTTTAACGATGCTAATGCTGTGTAATTGGCTTTCACGCCCATTTCCGCAGATACTGTCTTGGTATGTGTTTTAGGAGCTGACCAGGGCGTGAAAATTCTCTACGACAATGTTGATGCATCTTACTTATATCTTTCGTAAATCTCCGCATCATATCACTCGTCTTTCAGACGATCGTAGGTTTAACCTCTTCTACAAGTCTTGTATCTAAATGCCGCATATGCCCTATAATTAGCTTTTTATCAAACGAGAGAGAGAGAGTAAGCCTCAATAACTCGATGTTTTTATTGGAATACTTTTTCACATCAGTCCACTCAGACCATTTCTCCTATCACCTCAGTCCCCTCTCCCGCCCTTTCATCTTTACCCACCATGCTTAAAATCATAACCACCGCACCCCACTATATAAGTCCAAAATTCGTAAATCTATTATAAAACAAATCACCCAAGAAAACGTCTAGGTCTAGTGGTACACTTTACCATCACTTGCCCTGTAATGACGTGGGTTCGAGTGAGCGGCACTGACAGTATTCCTACCATAAGTCGATATGCGGGTTAGGGACGGCTCAGGGCTTAATGACAGCTTCAGTACAGCAAGGTTGTGTCTAAGACATAATAGATCTTCTGGGCGCCTAAAAGCGTTTCTTTTCTTTTTGGTTGGGTTACATAGACTGTTGTGATGGACCTTCCAGGGCTGGAATGAACTGTATGACAGGTAGTCATTCTTGCTCCCTTTTGGGCCTGAAGGTTGAACTTTTGGAGAGTGGCAGCAGGGTAATTCTTAACGAGCAGGCTGCTCAGAAGACTAAAACGGTGCTTTTAGTTCGGGTTTTGTGGGGTGCGGACGTTGGAGTTCTCAAGAGAAACGGCCCATATATTAAAGAGTGGCGATGTTTGACTAGTCGAACCAGGGGAGTTGGGGAACAGAGTAGGAATAAATCATGGTTGGTGCTGCGGTGAGTTTTCGTCTTCTGTTTTAATGCGATTATATTAGTTCCCAGGGAAGAGAACAATATTAACTGCGCTCGAAGGTTTAAAATTCTCTTCGTATTAGGCGTGTTGCTCGCTGTCCGGGAAGAAGAGACATGGTGGTTACGTTTTAGACTCCAAAAAGAATTTCCCATACATAAAAGTGCGGTTGGATTTTAGTTCCTTCCCGGAAAGAGAGGTTTTGGAAAAGGAGGCATGCAGCCCAAATAGTCAGCGTTTTAGTGCCGGCGATGGGTGACCATTGGTTGAGTCTGGTTGCATTGAAGAAAAATACGGAGAGTAATCCAAACCACAACATACTTCAATGGACTTGCATATTTTGCAGGAATCTGTCCTTTTAAAGCAGGAAAATCCCATTGTCCCATCCTAGCCTCTTGGAAGAGACCCAAGGAATTTCGGGGCGAGGGAGCATAAAAGCAGCAGGGTGGTAGTTTCGATCGTGGAATCGTTGAGGCATCGAATGCTCGGTCCTTCTCATGAATTCCATAAGGTTGATTCTTTGGGACAAGGACACCGAAGTATATATTTAAGAGTTTTGCCTTAAGGCATTTATTGCCTGAATGAGAGAAATACAGAAGACATTTGTCAGCAAGGCTTATGTACCTGCGCAGCATAGTTAGCAAGGAACTTACCGGCGGGTCAACACATGCTACCAAGCGACACGCCTCCAGGTGCGGAAAGCTTCAAGAAACAAAGCCAATCTTGCGAAAGCCAATCGTAGATAAGCCTCATGTGGGGAAAGGACGCTCTTAGTGATTTGAACTTCGTGTGAATATAGAGGAGAGACAGGCGGTAAAACACTCCCGCAAAAGCGGTGCCTTTTGGGAAGCATGGTGTCGGTTAACCTAGGTTCGATCGAACAAACGTACGCCCAAGGGGCGTACCAAGAGGTGAGCAGGCAACACAATGTATTGATTCTGGTGACGGCTGCTATCCCAAGTACGTTGGGATGGCTAGTTTTATACTAGCCCCCTGCCAAGCCTGCACAGGTATCACGTGAGATAAGCTTACGTGATATCCACACAGAGTTAGATTAATATACCTGTAATTAACATTTAGACACTAGCAACTTTTGTTCTTATAAAGTTGCTTACTTATTTGTATGTTAATCCTACTCCTTCTTCTTTTAAAGTAGACCCTTAATACCTCTCCTATTTATAATATCCCCTAGCTTCTTAGCCTGCGTACAATTCGCCTTCCCTCTAGGATAGTGCCTGTGCTCTGCGTAAGTAAGCAATAGCTCTTGCCTAATTGCACAGGGGAGAAGGTTAAAATTGTGCGTTGTCTATCCCTAAAAGTTATTGTCCTATAGTGTGTACTCCCTTCTAGCTATCTTATAACGCATGTTAATTAGGATGTATACTGCGTATAAGCATTATTATAGTTGTGTAGGGTTTATATCTATGTTAAGACAATTATCCTTTATAAGGTAAAGGTCTACTTCTCTGCGTAGGACTGTCTCTAATACATAAGTAACCCCTAACAACTCTTTGTATAACCACAGAGGTTCCATGGCTAAGGTGGGGGGTGGGAGGTGTGAGGTGTTGGGGGTGCCCTTCGTGCGGGCAACTAGAGGGGGTATTGGTGGTGGACCGCCTTCGTGCGAGCGATTGATCCCTAGGGGGGTAGGGGGTGTTGGTTGGTCGCCTTCCGTGCGAGCGACCGATCGAGGGGGGGGGTGTTGACGAGGCGGGCTGCTGATGAGGAGCCTCCTCTGCGTGGCTACGCACGCGGTAGGTTTCTAATCGTGCGGCCTGTATCGTCTCCTCTGCGTGGCTACGCACGCGGTAGGCGAGTGGTTGCACAGCCTGTGTCAACGGGAGGCTCCAGGGCGCACAAAGGCTCAGCAGTGAGCCCTCTCTGCGTGGCTACGCACGCGGCGGGTTGCTAATCTTGTCTTTGTGCAATTAGTTAATCCAGGGGCGCGCACAAGGCTTGCTTACCCCTCTCTGTGTGGCTACGCACACAGTGGATGTAAGCTTCTTTGTACCTTCTCTGCGTGGCTACGCACGCAGTAGGTGTAAGCTTCTCGTACAGTGGCGGTTTTGTCAATCCTTGCAAATCTGTCTGTCAAGGACAATATCCTCTGCGTGGCTACGCACGCAGTAAATAGTCTGTTAACAGACTAATTAGTGTTAGTTAACCTAGGTTCAATCAAACAAACGTACGCCCAAGGGGCGTACTAAGAGGTGAGCAGGCAACACAATGTATTAATTCTGGTGACAGCTGCTATCCCAAGTATGTTGGGATGGCTGGTTTTATACTAGCCCCCTGCCAAGCCCGCACAGGTATCACGTGAGATAAGCTCACGTGATATCCACACAGAGTTGGATCAATATACCTGTGATTAACGTTCGGACACATGGAGAATATTGCAGAATAAGTTGGTACTTCAGGCTCGAGTTCCCTTTTACCCAATAGGAGGTACATATTAGGGAGCGGTTGACGTTTGAAGTGAAGCATTGTCTTCCTACTCCTCTCAATTAGAAGTACGCGGAGCAAATACATATAATTGCTGCTAAAATACGCTGAATTGAATACTGTAATGGTATATAGTCCTACCGAAGAGGATTCCATAAAGATCTGCTGGGCACATGTCTCCTTCGTAACGATCGTAGTCGTGTTCTAAACATTACTCGTGATATGACATCCATCCTGAATCCTCGCCGTCCGTTCAATCGTGAACCAGTGATGTAACGCCTGTCTTATATGCGAATTTGGACACCGGGATGAAGCCCAGAAAAAGATAGACCCAAGAGCTCGAATCTCCACTTCAGCGAGCGGGCTTTTAAAAAAGTGGTTCGTGGATTGGGCCTGGTACACCTTGCAAAACCTCCAACCCCTCGGGTTCTATCCCGTTCTTCTGCACCGGGTTGGAGGGCTATCTAGAGCGAGCGAGCCAGCATTAGCTGGCGCCATCCTGCTTCGGACAGGCTTGCCGTCGGATACTGAATGAAAGCCTAATTCCAATTCCTAGGGAAATGAAGTGTCGAATAAAATCTCAATTTCTCAATTCCAATCTGAGGTCCGGTCTGCTTTGGGTGACACAAACATCGTGCCATCGAGGTACGCTGAAGTCTGCCGCTCATAGATGCGCTTCAAGCATGCATCTGACTCTTTCGCTCTTATCGCACGTAGACTTTCACGTTTTGGCGACGGCTTCCGTCGAAGAGAATGATGAGGTATTGCGTCCCAGACTGTCGCCGCGTATATGGAAGGTGGTGATGAAGGATAGGACAACGATCTTGCCCGTGTTGTAGGTGAGCCTGGCGCAGATGTTGGCGGGGAATATGATGTCCACGATATTGAGGATCGGGGAGAGCTTGGCGATAGAGAAGAGCTGGTGTTCGACGAAAGGCTTAGATTTGGTATCTCCAGAACGGCAACATGGATTGCTTCCCTCCCATGGTAAGTTCGTCTGCTGAAAAGTGGCGGCGGTACAAGTCTTATTGTAGACGGTGACTCTGGAATTGGGGGAAGCGGATGGTTGTGCGGGTGTAAGTGGTGGCTCGGATGGCGGATAGGTAGTGGTGGAGTCGGTGACAATTCCATCTCCTCCATGGGACTCTTATATGGACAAAACGACAACGACGAATCTCGCTCAAGTGACTCAAGAAACAAAGTGTATATGCCTTGAAGCACAATACAGGTGTCATCCAGGGTTTGTGTGCCTTGGGGTTCCAGGGAGGAATTAAAACACGGGGCGGGCACCTTTTATCCTTTCCCCGCCACCTGAAATTCATCTCGACGGCACATCCAGGAAGTTTCGGTGAGCTGCATCCAGTGGGGAGAGCGGATAGACATCGGCAGGTGCCTCGAACATCATCATCGGGCTTGCTATCCTGGCCACTGGAGAAGGCTGGTAAGCTGCGGCGTGCATGCGTGATTATTTCAGAAGGCTGGGTTGCAGAGGGCTGGGAGCCCTACCCTCCATCATGAACTCCGACTTTTGAGGATCAGCCACTGTGCATGGTAGTCAACCAGTGAGAGAAGCTGAAAAAGGTGAGCTTGAATTGGAGTTGGATGCTTCAAGGTCGCTATCGACGGTCGGCGATCGTGAGATGTGAGATGTGAGAGGGAGTCGCGTGCCGCCATGGTGGCGAACCCGAACCTCAGACTTAGGAGACAACGCACAGAATCAACAGAGACGGAAACATTCTGCAAAGTAAAAAAATCAATTTTCAGTAGCAGATGGAGACTGTACAGACCCACCATGACCATCAATTCTGCATTGATGCAAGCAGCCCGGCAGAGTGCCGACTTGCGGTCGTGACTGTAACAGCCATGTTAAGCTGAAAGGAGCTGGGGCTGCTGAGATGGAGTGAGAGCCCAGCCTGTTATTCGTATTCTGTCACCGCTCCCCTGCGATGGCTCTGACCATGCGTTCAGGCTGGGCACATGGTCATGGTACAGGATGTTGCGAACCCATGATGGAGGAGTTCTGGTGTTGAGATCGCCAGCGCCCACCTCTTCAAAGGCGAGCCGTGCCGGTGGGGAGCCGTACCAATCAGATACTTTGCATACGGATCGAATGAGAAGAAAAATGGGATTTGCTCCAACAGGTCTTGGGATTTGTCGGGAAAGATGACTTGCATGTTGTGGCAGCGCCTTCATCTGCAGTTCGGGACAGGCACATGAAGGCATCGGGTAGGAAGAGGGATGCGAACATCTGTAGGTCTTATCTTTAGTAACGGTAGTGAGAAGCAGGCCTGCATCGGTGGGTTACGAGTGCAAAATGGTGGTGACTTCATTTATCATTCCAGAACTAAAAAAGTTCTACCCGAACTGTAGAGTTCCGTCGGGTATATCAACGCCGGCGACGTAGAAAATAGTAAACAAACTCCAACGTGTCCTTCGTGGTACATGCAATGTCCCTGGTATCACAGATATGCAATGAAAATCATGCCCTCAATCGACTTCTGTGGAGGACCATCCCCGCTCTCTCCTCCTAATAGTCGAACCCTCAAGATTTCTAAGTGGAATGCCGTAATCATCTTCCTCCCACTCGTCCTCATCGCTTGATTCCCACGAGCACGGTATCTTCTCACCCGTGTGACGCACCCGGTAAGTATTCCACCCAAAGGCTCCCTGGGAGATCTTCGCGGCAATCCGGAGCATCAGCGTGACCAAATGCGACGGAGGGCCGAAGATAAGCTCGCATGTTTTGCGAACCAAGGCTGCCGTGAATTGTTGCCTTGGGCCCGGTGAAGGCGGGCAGAAGAGGTTCTGTGGATGGGGCATCGGGGAAAAGGCGCGCCGCTGTGATGCCCCCGTAAGCCTCTTCAGCCTGATCGTATCCGGCGGGGTGGGTACATCCAAGTATGCCGGCTCCACACTGTCATCCGAGTCAGGGGACAGTGGTGGGGTTGCTAATGCCGATGATGGATGAAGGTCGATTGTCGGTGTGTGCGGAACCTGTCCCTCTACATTTCCCGATGAGATGGGTCTCACGGTAGCCTCAGATATCTGGCGGCGATGACGATCGCGGCCTCGAGGCTCTTCGACTGCATGTTCACGCTCTTCGACCCAGGGGTTATGCTCAAACCCGGGTTCAGCGTCTAGATATGGAGGTGAGGGGGTCCCTGGAACAGTAGTGTCGAAAGAATAGAATGAATCGGTGCTAGACATCAGGCTGCCTGTATCTACAGGCGGGCTGGGCTTGTCACTCTTCTCTTCTGCCCCAGGGTAGGTTCGCGAGATTCTCAGGGTTTGGGGGTATGCAGATGCAGATGCGGAATAGGACGACGGTGACCGAACCAAGCCTGATGGCATCGTCACTGATCGCAAGCCTTGGAACATCTTTGCTCTTTCTGAGACGGAAGGGGTCCGTATCTGTCTTCGTGGGGGGATATCTGACATTTGTGCGGGCGACTCTGATACTGCAGTGCTGATGCTTGAGCGATCATCTTCTTCGTATGAAGAGTCTGAACCTTCCAGCACAGAAGGGGAAGGCCTTGGACCATCCTCAGGCACCCATGTCTTATCAAACAGCCACTTCTTAGCCCTCTCTGGGGTCTTCTTCGGCATCCGGCGGGGCGGCGTCTTCGGTCGTTCAGAGCGTTCAGGGCGTTCAGGGAGGTCGGGTAGTTCAGCCTCAAGCCCTATTTTGAAGGGAGAACGCGTCTTCTCATACTGCAAGACCTGGTCTAAAACAGCTTTGAATTCCTCGACCTTCTCCTTATCTTCTTCGGACTCGAATGCTAATTCAATGCGGTAGTACGAGTCCTGCCGAATCCGCAACACAAACTTGGATGCCCCATCAACACACCAACACTGTGATCTTGGGAAAATGGTGTGGAGCAGGCTCCCGGAGTTGAGGAAGGAGACATTCGAGGATGTTACCCGATATATCCGCAGGACACCTGAGGCGGGGTATTAGATCCCATTCCTTCTAGCAATTTTGATTGCTACTTACCAACTGCGAGCGTGCGCTCTGCGTAGGATCTCCATGGTATTGAGCCAGGGGTGTCTGTGCCGATGTCGCTCAGCCGCCCCGAGACAGAGGACTGTCCTCGCGGGCTGGAGGCGATGAAAGAAACAATCTTGGTGCACGAGTGAGTGAATAGGGTCTCAATGCCATCGGCGCTATTGGAGGATGCTGGAGCCGTCCTCGGCCGGCTCGATGGCCGGCTAGGGAGGGTGAAGGAGCGGCGGGTGTTCAGCGTAGCTGGGGGCGGTGCTTGCTCTAGCGTTCTCGAGGCGATAGGCGAAGACATGGCGAAGAAATCATGAGAGCATTGTCGTCGATGCTACGGGGATGGGCTGCGTGCCGGCCGCGAGACGCAGGTGTATGTGTTCTTGTCGAAAAGACGGGCCGTGTGAAAGGAAAGTTGATGGCAAGCAGCGTGGGCTGGGGATCACGGTTCATGCAAGCCACGGCCGCCGCCAAGCACTGGTTTCACAATTGGTCGGCACACTCGCCAGGCTGGAATTCACTTGCTTCACACAGTCGCGACATGCTTCACTGGCCGGGTCGTGCATGCCAGCTCCGTCGCGGCTCACCTGATGCTGTGCCCATTCTGCCGTGTCAACAGCAACCTCAGGCGCGTAGGTAAACACGCAGAAGCGCCGTAGAAGCTCTCCTAGAAATCGCCGCCAATGTCGCGGGGGCGGTGAGTGACCTGCCGGTGCCCCGATCTGGTACGTCATTGGCTACAGCTAATGTGAGCATGAGAGCAGGCCCCACGGTCAGCTCCTCCATCTCGTCGTCAGAATTTTGCAAACAGCCTGCACTTGAGGGTAAGAGAGGCAGAAATGTCTAATTTTGACCCCAATGCCATTCTCCGTGGTGCCCAGCTCACTCTGGTTGGCGGTATGCTGCTTCTCGACCTACCCATAACAGGTCGTGCCTTCTAACACCACTCCGCAGTCAATCGCGCCCTCCAGAATCCAGAACTGTTTACCTCTACTCACTATCGTCAGGCTGCAATATCTGTAGCTGCCGGTATCGCCATTCGCCTCATCGTTGCTGTTCCCGTAAGTCTACCCCGTACTCAAAGCTGTGCCCCGGGGCTGACTCGGACACTGCAGATAATTGGAGTGAGGGCCCTGCTATGGTTTCTCTCTCTGTTCATAAACATGGACCATGCACAGTGGGACAACGATGTGACAAACGGCTTGCATTTCCTGGAGCATTCTGTCCTCCAGGTCCCCTTCTTCTTAATGACACTTATGCGCTATCTCACCCCGACTCTGGACCAGATGTAACAGCCTGATCCCTCTCTAACAAATCTAGCTCACGCCCTTATAGGTTCATGGATTCTCTCCGCTGGGTGGACCAGACATATGTGCAGAAGCACAAAAGCGAGGATCCTCACAACCTCCGCGCCCTCTATTACCCCAACCTCCAATTGTATTCCACCCACGCTGCCCCTGGGGAAAAGAAGAAAACAAGCCTCAAAGAGGCCTTGGTCATCTTCTTCTTGCGATATGGCCGTAAGACTGCCATTTCGCTGACTGTACTGGCATTGTCCTATGTGCCTTACGTTGGCCGCTTCGTCCTCCCCGCTGCCAGCTTCTATACCTTCAGCAGTGCAGTTGGGCCGCAGCCGGCGTTAGTTATCTTCAGCAGCTCCATTCTGCTACCTCGGAGATATATTGTGACCTTTTTGCAGTCTTATTTCTCTTCCCGCACTCTGATGCGTGAGCTGGTGTGCAGATCCACCGTTCCATTTGTTCATCGCGCCTTCTAACAAGCAACTAGCTTGAACCGTATTTTTCTCGCGTTCGTTATACGAAAGAGCAGAAAAAGCAGTGGTTCCAGGACCGTGCTGGCGTTCTTTTTGGCTTCGGACTGGGCTTCTTCGTTTTCGTCAAGATTCCGCTTGTTGGGGTTTTGATATATGGGCTTGCTGAGGCCTCTACTGCCTACCTCATCACAAAAGTTACGGATCCGCCGCCTCCCCCATCAGAAGCCGAGGAGTTCAAGAAAGACTCCATCCGCTGGAAGAACAAGCATGACTTCTTGAGTCTGCCATGGGAGATGCTTGACGCCCACAATATCGAAATGCATCAGCCGAAGCGGCAATCCGATGTCCGACAAACTCCGCGCAAGACTTTTAGCTAATGTGAAGCAGCAACAGCCCCATTTCAGCTCATGAGCAGGAAAGCGGCGGTAGAATAGATATTCAGGGAGATTTACCCTTATTCCCTTAGACCAGTTGAAATCTACCGTGATCAATGCGGTTCCGAACAAGCGATCAGCATATATGCGTGAACTACCGTCAGGAACCTTAGCGCTGTACGATGATGATGTTTGCTTTTCATTGCATCGTGGTACCCCGCAGCGGATAGCGGGGCTCAACTCTCATTTGTGTAGGAACAATGCATCTCATCTCGCAATGCCAACACTGCAAGCTGCCGCTACGTAACAGCTCTTGGTTTATCTCCGGCTTATCGTCCTCCCTGCTCTTCGAATTGCCTATTCTGGAAGCTAGGATCATTGCCTCCACGGGAGCTCGACCATGGCATTATCAATTCCGGGATCCCTTTTGACCGTTCCCCGCTCGCGTATTGCATATCTTCTGAAGCTCTTCCCGATTTTACTTTGAACTGTTCCCGGTTGACTTACTTTTCTGAGACCTTCTACGCAGTTGCTTGATTTACAAGCCTCGCAATGGGTAAACAAGAGATCCGTTATGCCGCAAAAGTCTCCCTGGATAAGCCTGCTGCTGAGCAAGCCTGCCTTCACAACCGGTGGCACCCCGACGTCCCTTTTACTGGCACTATCAAAAACGGAGAAGTCGTGAAGATCGAGTGCGTCGACTGGACGGGAGGGCAAATTGGCAACAATGATTCCGCAGACGATGTTCGAGACGTGGATCTCACAAAAGTCCACTACCTCACGGGTCCATTCGAAATCGAGACTGCAGAGCCGGGCGATGTCCTCCTTGTTGAGATTCAGGATGTTCAACCGTTTCAGGATCAGCCATGGGGGTTTACTGGCGTGTTCGCGAAGGAAAACGGAGGAGGCTTCTTGGATGAGATCTACCCTAAGCCGTACGATTCTTTGCTTGCTTCCAGAGTATGACAAATTGACTATGATTCAACAGGGCAAAAGCAATCTGGGACTTTGAAGGGATCTTCTGCTCCTCACGGCATATCCCCGGTGTTCGGTTTGCTGGACTCATTCACCCTGGTATCCTCGGGTGTGCGCCATCCCCTGAGGTTCTCGCCACGTGGAACAAGCGTGAGGCCGAACTTATTGATGCATGCTCACATATGTCACGCGATGTAGCTCTCCCACCGTTAACTAAAAGCGTCCACGCCGGAAGCGCTTCGGAAGAACTCAAAGCGAAGATAGGGAAAGAGGGCGCAAGGACTATTCCAGGGAGGCCTGAGCATGGAGGCAACTGTGATATTAAGAATCTTTCAAGAGGAAGCAAGGTCTATCTTCCGGTACATGTGAATGGTGCTAAGTTTAGTGTTGGCGATCTTCATTTCTCGCGTAAGTCAATCTAGGAAATGAGAACAGTTGGAATTAGGTGGCTAATGAATATGCATAGAGGGCGATGGAGAGATTTCTTTCTGTGGCGCCATTGAAATGGCTGGCGTGATCACCATAAAGTTCACAGTCATGAAGGGTGGAATGGGTCAGCTGGGGATGAAGTCGCCAATCTATATACCAGGCCCCTGCGAGCCTCAATTCGGACCTGGACGATATATCTACTTTGAAGGATTCTCGGTCGATGAGCACGGCAAGCAACATTATATGGATGCAACCGTCGCATATCGTCAGACAAGCTTGCGCGTGATTGAGTACCTTCGGAGATATGGTATGTTCCTTCAGACTGTTAACGAGCAGCACTAAACTGACTGTAAACAGGATATGATGACTACCAGATCTACCTGCTGCTCTCCTGTGCGCCGGTTCAAGGTCACGTGGCGGGCATCGTGGACATACCGAATGCTTGTACAACAATGGGTCTTCCGATGGATATATTTGATTTTGATATTGCGCCGCATGTTCCTGCAAAGAAGATGGATTTGGGGTCTTGCGCATACGCGAGCAGTTGAGGACGGTAATAGTTGGCTTGCTTCTCGTGGTTGAACAAATAAAGTGGAACTTATTCCCCGCAATACCGCAATACCGTCCATAGGGATCATACCTATAACGGCTACTTGCAGCCGCAGAAGACCGAGTCCAAGGATTCTGTTGGTGGCTCTTGTCACGGTATCCTCCCCGGATCCCAGACATAACCGTATCGGACGCGTACCGGAGTATTATCGGTGCACGTCCGACACGAACACGACACGACACGGACATGAACTTAAGCACGAACCGCCTCAACACTAACCGAACCCGGAACAGGCTCGATTCATACCCGAAGCGCTTGGACTTCTGAGCCGAGTATTTAATTGCTAATTTCCTCCTGAACCTTCCTGTTCCTCACACAACGTCTTGTACCTACCATGATACCTCACGTAGTAATTAAACTAGACCTCCGTGAAGCTCTATAACCTTACTCGTGCACAATCGTGACAGCTCTCGTCATTCTGTATCCGTATCGAGATCCAGATTGGGATGTGGCAGGCTTAACCAAAGACATGTTAGTGTCACGATTGTGCACGAGTAAGGTTATAGAGCTTCACGGAGGTCTAGTTCAATTACTACGTGAGGTATCATGGTAGGTACAAGACGTTGTGTGAGGAACAGGAAAGTTCAGGAGGAAATTAGCAATTAAATACTCAGCTCAGAAGTCCAAGCGCTTCGGGTATGAATCGAGCCTGTTCCGGGTTCAGTTAGTGTTGAGGCGGTTCGTGCTTAAGTTCATGTCCGTGTCGTGTCGTGTTCGTGTCGGACGTGCACCGATAATACTCCGGTACGCGTCCGATACGGTTATGTCTGGGATCCGGGGAGGATACCGTGACAGTTAGTGCCATCAACTATGACTGTTCAACTTTATCTCAGCAAGCTCAGACAGGATGGGGAGAGAGTCTTAACAGGGGCAAGCCCCTGCTAGTAGCCTTAGTAGCGCAAGCCCCATCTCTCTAGCTAATAAGGGTGTAAGAAAGGCTTTCTCTCCCTAGCTATCTAAGGGACTTTTATAATTTTTTAGGTAATATTATAGTTCTAAACCTCCTCTACTATGTACTAGCTGAACTAAAAATTATTATAGCTCTACTACTTTTTATCTAAACTAGGTTAGATTTTAATAGGTTATAAAGACAGTCTTTAGCTATATTCTAACATTTTTGTCACCTAATTCTATAAGATTTAGTAGAGTATTACGCTATTAAGTTTTATATAGGACATTTTAATAACTTTTTAACTACATAATATATTATCTTTAGAATTTAAGACCTATCTAAGATAAGCTTTATTAGAGAACCTATAAAATTTTAGGAGATCTAGACTGCTAGTTGTTAAGCTAGATACTAGGCTAGGGACATTATAATTGCTCTTATGTCTGCAGCTTAACTAGCTGTTGTAACGATTCTCATGAATCGTTCCATCTCGGGTCGCCCGGAACCTATCCGAAGGGTCCCCGTATCGGCCCCGACCCTGACTCGACCTGGCCCCGACTCTGCCCTGCCCCCTGCTGTTACCCCTATTCCCCATGTATTTAGTCGCACCTCTCCACTTAGCTAGCTCGGTAGTTTTCTGATATCCTTCGTACAAGGCCTATAGGTGTCAATGGAATTCCCAGGTCATTGAGTTCCCACGCACTCCCATATCCCTCTGAGTGGATTCCTACCGCATTCGGACCCATTGTCTTGCCTGTGCCGTTACAGCTGCTGTCTAAGAACTCTAAAGATCTAGAAGCTGTCTTAGACTAGTTCTATTAGGGAGCTTGCAAAATTTTAGGAGATCTAGGCTGCTAGTTATTAAGCTAGATAGTGTAACGGCACAGGCAAGACAATGGGTCCGAATGCGGTAGGAATCCACTCAGAGGGATATGGGAGTGTAACGATTCTACGAATCGTTCCATCTCGGGTCGCTCGGATCCTATCCGAAGGGTCCCCGTATCGGCCCCGACCATGACTCGACCCAGTCCCCCGCAGTTACCCCTATTCCCTCATGTATTTAGTCGCACCTCGCTCCCGTAGCTAGCTCGGTAGTTTTCTGATATCCTTTCGTACAAGGCCTATAGGTGTCAATGGCATTCCCAGGTTCAGAGTCCCCACGCACTCCCATATGCCTCTGAGTGGATTCCCTCCGCATTCGGACCCATTGTCTTGCCTGCGCCGTTACAGGGAGTGCGTGGGGACTCAATGACCTGGGAATCCCATTGACACCTATAGGCCTTGTACGAAGGATATCAGAAAACTACCGAGCTAGCTAAGAGGAGAGGTGCGACTAAATACTTGGGGAATAGGGGTAACTGCGGGGGACTGGGTCGAGTCATGGTCGGGGCCGATACGGGGACCCTTCGGATAGGTTCCTGTAACGGCACAGGCAAGACAATGGGTCCGAATGCGGTGGGAATCCACTCAGAGGCATATGGGAGTGCGTGGGGACTCGGAACCTGGGAATGCCATTGACACCTATAGGCCTTGTACGAAAGGATATCAGAAAACTACCGAGCTAGCTACGGGGGCGAGGTGCGACTAAATACATGAGGGAATAGGGGTACAGCAGGGGGCAGGGCAGAGTCGGGGCCAATACGTGGTCCCTTCGGATAGGTTCCGGGTGACCTGAGATGGAGACGATTCATGAGAATCGAGTCAGGGTCGGAGCCGATACGGGGACCCTTCGGATAGGTTCCGGGCGACCCGAGATGGAACGATTCATGAGAATCGTTACAGATAGTAGGCTAGGGACATTGCAATTGCTTTTATGGCTGCAGCTTAACTAGCTGTTGTCTTAAGACTCTAAAGATCTAGAAGCTGTCTTACACTAGCTCTGTTAGGAATCCTATAAAATCCTAGGGAATTTAGTCTACTAGTTGTTAAGTTTTAGTTAGGAGGGTGATACTATTAATCTAAAATTAGGGTATAGATAGGTTAAAGTTCTGCGCGTGTTTAGATTTTTCTCTACTAATAATAGTTAGAATTTAGTAAAAAATATACTATTTTATAGCTACAGCTTGTCTTTACATTTTATTAAATTCTAAGCCTATTTAGACATATAGTAGTAGAGATATTATAAATCTAATTCTATTATAATGCTCTTAAAATAGGTCTATTTATAGAAAAAATCACAAAAGTCCCTTAGACAGCTAAGGAGAGAAACGCTACTAACAGGGGTCAGAAACTGCTAACCCCTAGGCTATACTCTATTTGGAGTAGCAATATGCATGGTGGTTTGTGCGTCCTCGGTTCTCTCCTCACCACGTCTGAGCCAGCTGAGATAAGTTCAACTACACGCCGTCCACGGGCTTTTCTTCGTTCCTTTTCTCGACATTCCTAAATGTTCGCGTGCAATATATGCGGTTGCACGCTAGGTGGCTATTCATTCGACCAAGATGGATTTACGGAAGGAAAATGGGTCAACAAAGTCCGAGCTCTCTTCATTGAGGAGCGCAATTGGTTTAGTCCTTCCCTCTCAGGCGTCGGACACATGGACGACCCTTTTGATACTGTCCGTGCCCCCCGGTCAAGCGACGATAACTATTATGATGAGGATTTTATCGAGTCGAAGAACGTCCAATTCGATAGCATAGAACCATCAATCCTAGCAGATGGCTCACTTCATCCGGCAACCTATACGACAGGGTTTTTCTTTCACGACTCTTGCTATAAGCTGCTTCAATACGCTTGTCATCTCACTCCAATCAACATCCAGACCTTAAACCTATACTTGCGATCCTTTGGCGTTTTGGCTAGTCACGGTCTTGTGAACTGGGGACATACCTACGGGGGGCTCTTCCTCAGCCCTGATCCCCACGTCCGCAGCATACATCCACGACTAGAATCTTGCCATCCCCCAGGTACGTCGATATACCACAAGGATCCTCTTCTTGATGACTCATTTGTGCGGACTCTCCTCCAGTTCCACACATTGAGTCACTTCGACACGGTTCAACTCTTTCCAAAAGTTACGTCTACTCGCCATGCTTCTAACGAATGCTTCGAGACACTTCCTGTGGAGCTTCTGGAGCTTGTTCTATCATACTTGCCCTCAAGAGATGTCCTACATGCCCGGATTGCCTCCAGAGTACTTGCAGACATCCCGCTCGGCCAAGCATTTTGGAGGTCCCGATTTTCACCAGGGAATGAAGGTGACTTCCTAGTTGAACCGCTTCTTTTCAAGAAACGCCTTCTCACCAACTCTCTTTTCTCGGACGCCAGAGTGGTGTATAAGGCGACCAAGAGCGAAAACTGTTCCCTAGCGCTCGCGAACCGAAGACGAGTCTGGGGGCTAGTCAAACCTTTATCAGATGCTTTGCAATCTTTCGCCCTTCATCAGGAATTTGTAGGGAGTGTGGAGCCAGCTGGCAAGCAGTTTGCCACACCCTGGCAGCCGGAGCTTGATACAGAGGATACATGCAGATGGGATTGTGCTCATGGAGAACTACTAGATGGTTTTACACTTCCGTTCCACTTTGGTTGCAGGCCCTTATTCAAACGATCAGTCTCTCTTCTTCCCCAGATTACCGTTGTCAAAGTGTCAGTACTGCCCTTCTATGACACGACTTACGTCACGGGGCTTCGATTCTGCTTTGTTGACGGTACCGAAAGCTCAATTGGGTACGTACTTTGCGATAGAGAAGTAACACTGGATACCGAAGGCGGACTATACGGGTTCCGGGTTGCAGTAGGCGAAAGAGGTATTCATGCGCTCTCTGCAAACGGATCCCACTTAGTAGGGGATCAAGCATCTGAACTCAAATACAAAGTTGTGAGATTAGGACAGGGGAGCGAAGTGAGGATGGTCAAGGCGTATTTTGATGTAAGCCATGCATCCTCTTCTCACCGTTGGCTCGTACTGATGGGTTTAACAGGGAATGAAGATGGTGCATTTGGCCGTACCGGCGTACATTCACAACCCGCAGGGTCCATATTCAATGTGGACGAAGGCACAGGGGTACGCAGAGTTGTTAAAGGTCCAGGCCGGATCGTGAAAATCGGTGCGCACCGTCGCGTTCCTAGAGCCTAACACGAGGGAAAATTGGTATAACTGCGTTGGGACTAAACCTAGCGGAAAATGGATTTGAAAGCATGTTTCTGGAGGCAAACATGAAAGTAGACCGTATCTGTACAAATGAACAGACTCATATCGACTTCTCGATCTTTGAAGGGCATCAGATCGGGTCGATTAAGCTTCGCCAAGGTAGATGGATGCGGTGCTAGCGTTCGCCTCTGAACGGTTTGTTGTCAATAATTTAATCCAATCTGCACTGCGTAACCCTGGTTGTGGGAAGGGAAGTCGGCCCATAATTTGTCTGCAAAAGCTCTCATGCATCCCGTGAAGTTTGGAGGCATATACGCTTTTGACGATGTTCAGGGCAATTTAAGGTTGATTCCTAGCAGCTACCAATTTTGAAACCTGGACAACAGGGATCAACCACCGCGCGGTGTCTTTGTTCCGGGCGCGTTGAGTCGCAAGGCCAACACCACTCATTCACGGTACAGGCACTCAACGGAGTTGACCTTCCCCCTCTTCCTTCGCGAATTGATCATGATTATACCGCATACCATATCTGAAACGTCGAGGTGAGAGGTCCACAAAAAACCTCAACTACACAACCATGCTCGCTGGCCCTCCACGCCTCGTGTCCCTGATTACCATCCTGCTCATACTCTGCCTGGGATGGTGGTACCTCCGACTTGTCGAGAAGCCTACGGCCCCAGGTCTGAAGACTGACCCGAGACCGCCGCCAAAGGCCTTCAGCGGGAATGCGTTAGACTTCAGCATCCCCTTAAAGTTCGCAGAGGGTACGCCAAAGCCCCTCGGTTCGAATTACACCATCGCTCTTGTTGTACCCAAGACAGAGAAGGAGGACCTGGCATGGATGCAGCGGGAGATACCAGAGATACAGTTGGTTGTTTATGAAGTGGATAAGCCCAATGCGGTAAACAAGGTCCCAAAGAACAAGGGTCGAGAAGCCATGGTAGGTGGTCAACGGGCAATGCCCAACAGCTGTCTCCCTAGCACGTTCCCCACAGGCACACGACTCGGACAGGGTTAACAGAGTGTGCCCTTCAGGTCTATCTTACCTACATCATCGATCACTACGACGACCTTCCAGACACAGTCCTCTTTATGCACGCCCACCGCCACGCCTGGCACAACAACATGATCATGGGCCTCGACTCTGTCCAGATCATCAAGCGCCTAAACCACGACCGTGTCGCCCGCCTAGGATACATGAATGTTCGATGCCATCACGAGCCAGGCTGCCCAGATTGGATCCACATGGATCGGCCAGGCGGCGACTTCGACTTCTTCAAGAAGCCCGAGGAGATTTACTGGCGGCGCAACATTTGGGAGGAGATACACCCTGGAGCACCAATACCGGCTTCGATATCTGGCATCTGCTGCGCGCAGTTTGCGGTTAGCAGGGAGAGGATACAACAGGTTCCGCTAGCGAGGTTCCAGCATTACCGGAGGTGGTTGATTGAGACGACCATGGACGATCAGTTCTCAGGGCGGATCTTCGAATACATATGGCACTACATATTCACTGGTCACGAGGTCTACTGTCCGGCAATGAACACGTGCTATTGCGATGGGTACGGAATCTGCTTTGGCGGCCGGGATAACTTCACAAAATACTTCAACAAGATGGATGAGCGAAATAAACTGTTCGAGGAGCTGGACAGCTACGAGAAGAAGAAAGAACAAGCTAAGGAAGAAGGCAAGACGTACCAGCCCAGCGAGAAGGACATAGCGAGGATGGCGGAGCTGCAGATTCAGGTTGAAAAGATGGATCGGGAAATGGAGGTTACGAGGAACGAGGCATTTGAGAGAGGGAAGGACCCTAAGCAGAGGCTGGAAGAGACGGAGAGTTGGGATTCGAGTCATATTTGGGATTATGCTCCTAAAGGGGATTAACGAGTTACGGAATGATTTTTATTTAGGGCGCACGAGGTATTATACTTTAGGTCAGGGGATTTTATACATAAAATATGGATTTGGAGTAGCTGCTCTAACAATCAAATGTATATGGAATAGATGTTTGATGCCAAAAGACCTTGCTCGTTGTTGTTGCGAAGGTTGGGCGTGCAGCGTCTTGTATGTGCACAAAGACTCTACTTGGGTACGCCCTTTTAAAATCCGTTGTCCAAGAGTACACTCTTGCGATCGTCATTGTCCATTTCACTTCTTCCACCATCTCATCTGTTCAACGCTACGGGCCATGAATCATCCGGATAACTACTCTTACCGGATTGGGAATTGAATGTTCACAGCCCACAATAAACTGATTAGGTCTGCCTACTTCAACATTCACATCATCTACGTAAGCTGCTTCCTACTCCAACTCCTTCGTTTCTTCGCTGATTTAATCGCTTGGTTATTCAACAGCCAAAATATCATTATACAGGAAAAATTTCCTCCCTTACATAATGCGGTGGTTGGGATCAACGACCACCCAGCCTTGCTTCGTTTCCGCCGGGGGAACAAATGCTTACCTTAATGCGCACACAAGGAGTCATCAATTTCATCTCTTTGCCTACAAACTTTTACCATGGCGATTTCGTTCACGCCGTGAGCTCCTTTATTTGATGTTATTACAGGAAATTCCACGTGTCACTACAGAAAGGCCTTCTCTCGCCTCTTTGCCACGAAGTGAGAGCGAGCGGGCATCATCGATACTATGAAACTTTTGTGGTGAAGAGGAGAAGAGCATTGCATTGCGATCCTTAGGATCATTCGTTTTTTGGGCGATACCTGAAGAAAGGCGAGGGGGGGATATATGGGCGCTCTTCCCTCTCCTTTCGTGGCCAAACTTCAATTCCCCTAACTCGACTAACCCGAAATACAGCTGCTGCTGAGGAAGCGCTCTCTCTGCGCAAATCAGTGCGTACCAGTTCTCGAACTTTAAGCCTCTCTTTTGTTCTAACTCCTCTTGCTGACTATCTTTGGAATGTAGCAGGGGACATGGACGACCATGGCTCGAGGTCATCAACTCTTTGCGAAGATTGGGGCCTTGTCGCCTCTATCGCTCACCGCCGCCATGTCAAAATACGACCGAGGGCACCCGAGTACTCACGGTCGGCACCAGAGAATTGGACGCCTCCCTCGTCAATAGCTGCAGAATCTGAGGCGCTTAAGGAATTCAAGGTAGGACTTCGTTGCGTCTCTAAAATATTTACTAAAAGCGCTAGGCCGAGTTCATTCAAACGCAACAGAAACACGGGCTCACTCCTCCCAATAGCGCTGAACGACCAGTCATGCTCATTGACCTGTGCAATTTCGAAATCTACAAATCTCCGCAGGTGAGAGGATCGTACGAACTAGTGCCTCTTCACACCTTTGATGTCAACGCTAAGAAACTTTCCGTCAACGGCACCCTTTCGTTTGGGAATATGCAAAGATACATTAAGACAGTCCCGATTGATGACTATTCCATTGAAGGATATGATGACAGCTCAAACCCAACTACCACTGTGTATCTGACAACTTCGCAAGCAAAGAAAGATGCGGAATTCGATATTTGGTATAGACTGACGGTCCCGCTCCCTGAATATGTTCGATTTCATTCCCCATTCTGCTGGGTCGCTACATTTGGAAAGCACTTTCTCGACTATCTTGGCTCGCATCCACCAGCTACTATTGGGCTCACTTCTTTTCAAGTCAGCTTCTATAAATGGCTTAGCAAACGCTTTGCTTGCAACCACTCCTTCCAGACTTGGTTCAAAGAGTTCGGAAGAACAGACTTCCGCATTCCCGTCAATGCATACATAGCATTTCTGGAGCGTCAGGCATCTAACTTATCGAATTCGAAGGAACTCCTCCATCACCCAGTCTGGGAAGACTGTTCAAGGAAAGAACTCAATATATCCTGCGGAAACACCGTTGCGACGCCGATTGTCAAGCACTGTTTCCAAAATTCATATTTTGGAGCGTACGTGGACGACATGCCTGTCGCAAAAGCAGTCCGAAAAGAGCAAGATTCTAGAAAGCTTGCTCTTAGCTTCCCAAAGGACTCATTTGATCAGGTACTCCACGAGGGGAATTGTGCCATCACGTCTTCACCACAGCATAGAACGTCTACATCCCAGACTAAAATTGCCGGCTTGATCAATATTGGTGATGTCGTAGTGACAAGACGCGATGAACGAGGACAATGGAAAGCATCAGATGATGAATGGCTTTCATATGTCCAGAGAATCGAGCCGCTTCAGGACGGCATAATGCGTCTCTACGTCATATGGCTATACCGGCCTACGGACACAACAATCTCGACAGCTACCTACCCTTTTGAACGAGAAATGTTTTTCAGTGACAACTGCAACTGCACTGAGTCGCCCCTACTCTCAGCCGATGTAGTTCGCAAAGTTTCCGTTGATTGGCACCCTCGAAATCTCAATACGACCAAAGACATTTTCATTCGCCAAAAGTACGTGACGAATGACACTTCTTTTGTCACTTTAAAAGACAGCGACCTAAGGTGTAGGTGCGGGATAGAAAAGAACGTCGACTCATATAGCCGAGGTGACTGCGTGTATGTCTCCAGAGCGACGAAAGAGAGGACCCTTCTGGAACCTGTCATCGTAACATCGATCTACAAGGCTACCGACAAAATCAAGGTCCGTCGGTTGTGCCGGCTCAGAAGAGATTGCCTTAGCCTCACTCATAACACCCGTCGGCATACCATCGAGCAGAACGAGCTCGTTTGGACAGAGGAGTTCTTCATAGTCTGTCCCAGCCATATTAAGAGGAGGTGTCATATCCGCTTCTTCCCTATTGATGACGTCCTTTCACGGAACGTCCCGCTTCCTTACAACCAAGGAGGTAATGGGGATTTCTGGATCATCTCGACTAGAATTGTCGGAACTAATGATGATCCCCACCTAGGGTACCTAACAGAGCCTCCTTGTCCCATGAAACAAGGCCCTGATTTTAGTCACCCAGAACAGTCCTTGAAACCGTTACTGGGTCTTAGCATCTTCTCGGGAGGTGGAAACTTCGATCGAGGCCTTGAGGATGGAGGCCCCGTTGAATTTCAAATTGCAATCGACATTTCTGGACCGGCTGTGAGAACGCAGAGGGCAAATGCACGGCATGATGCCTTTCAAACTTATTGGGGATCGGTGGATGACTACCTCAGGGCTGTACTTGCTGGCAACAGAATGGACTGTATTGCGCGCGTTGGAAAGATCCAGTTTATTGCGGCCGGGTCTCCTTGTCAAGGATTTTCGCCAATGCAACCTAACACAAAAAGCGAAGCATCATTACGAAATGCTTCACACGTCACTTCTTTTTGCTCATTTGTGGACATCTACAGACCTGAATATGCGGTCCTAGAAAACGTCATCAACATAACAGACAAAAGGAAAGGCTTTGAGGGCGACAAGGTCTTCTCTCAAATAATAGCCTGCTTAGTAGGTTTGGGTTACCAAACTCAGCAGTTTCTCATGGACGCTTGGTGTTATTCCAGTTCACAACACCGTTCCCGGCTCTTCATATCAGTTGCTGCTCCCGGAATGATTCCAATACCTCAACCTCCACTTACCCACGCGCACCCTTCAAATATCATTGCACGCTCTCTTGGGAAACTGCCCAACGGAGAACGTTTTGGAGGTCGGGAAAACTACGCCACACCTTTCGAATTTGCTACTGTAGGCGAAGCCGCCCGAGACCTCCCGGACATAGGCAGCGGCACATCGCAAACCTGCATTCCTTACCCGGACCACAGGGCCCCCTGGATCATAGGGGCTAAGGATAGAATTATCATGGAGCGGATTCCTAGGACTGTTCCTGGCCAGGGATATGTAGAAGCTATGCACCTGAATTTAATTCCTCATATCCTTCAAAAACACAATAAAAAAGAGTTTGGCAAGTCATTCCGACGGCTTCGAGAGAACGGGAAATTCCCAACAATCACCACTAACTTGAATGTTCAAGACAATCGTTGTGGTGGGGTGCTTCATTGGGATCAGCCACGCATGATGTCAATTCAGGAAGCCAGGAGAGCGCAAGGAATTCCAGATAACGAAGTTATCATTGGGAAAGAGAGTCAACAGTTTAGGATTATTGGTAATGGGGTTGATAGGAACGTTGCTTTGATACTGGGACTGTCCCTTCGACAAGCGTGGGAGTCTAGTAACCGTACCGGACGTGAGGAGTCCCCGCCTCCTCAACAAAAACCATCTCAAGGGTGCGATTTCCAAGACAGAACACGAGGATTCGATCTCAGCTCAGACGACGAAGATGCCAACACACTTGAAGTCAACAATGTCTTACCTACTCCCCAACAGAACCGTCTGCGACCGATTCCTTCCCCAATATCGTCAAAGAAACTAAATGTGCCAAAACTCTGTAAAGTGCTGATCCCTTTGCCGCCAACCCCGAATACATTGCCTACAAGATCTAAACGGCCTCTAGAGCTTGAGGAGGTTAATCACTCCATATCTACGGATTCGACATCTGAGACAAGGAAGAAGACCAGACACTCTGGGCTCCGCGTGGAATTCGCACCTGCAAACTGGAATAGTATTCCAGACAAAGTGGCGAAGAAGAAGTAGAATGATGAACCGTGAGAGTACATAGATAACTCAGGTGTGACGTGAACGGTAGATGATCTTCACACAAAGCAAGTGCAATTGCAGAGATAACACTCTAAGCACGTTCAGCATGAGCCCTGCTCTCTCCCACGCACCGGACTGTATCATATCCCCGAGTTTAGTGAGACTTAGAGGAATGATTAGAAAGTAGCTTCAAACTTATCGCTTCATTAGTCGCAACCAAACAATACATATTTGAAATAGCACAAATGTGACTAGGAGATTGCAGTGATGCAGCATTTTTATCACATACTGTGAAACATGACTAAAGAGGGGTCCTAATGTTGATGCTCTTGCCAGAGTCAAGGAGAAAATTAACGGGACACAAATTTCTATCCTGAATTACTCCCGTTGGGTTCCACATCAGGTGAGAGGATATAGGAATGAATACTGCCTAGTTGGGCTTAGTGTAGTCGAAGGTAAACTGCCCGATCTCGCTTGCAAAACTGCAATCAGATTCATTCAAGTTGCTCCTCGTCTGAGCCACCCAATCTCGCCGCCCGAGGCGATCCCAACAATATGAATTTCACCAAATTGGATGAAATCGAGCTGTTGGCAGCTTTCGACGCTCATGTTCACCTGAGAGATGGACCCATGTCACAACTGGTCACACCAACTATTCGCAATGGGGGGGTGAATCAAGTATATGTTATGGTACGCACCATCGTTTCTCGAATTCGTGACACGTTTTCTTGTTTCCTTACTTAAATTTTACGGCTCCGTGACCATACGGCTTCTCGTTTCTCTATCTGTGGCTCAGCTACTGACTTTCAGTATGTAGCCTAACTTGGTGCCGCCGATTACGACAATTCAGCAATGTCTTGAGTACCGCGACCGCCTGAAAGCTGTCGAGCCTAATGTGGACTACCTCATGTCTCTCTATCTTCATGAATCAATCACTCCGGAGGTGATTCGGGATGCAAAGAAAGCCGGTGTCATGGGCGTGAAATCCTACCCAGCAGGCGTGACAACTGTATGTTCAATAAACTACATGGTTGAAAGCGACGACTAATGAAGATACGGAATTCATCATCTGGCGTCGTGGACTACGAAGCCTTCTACCCTGTCTTCGCGGAAATGGAGAAACAAGACATGATCCTCAATCTACACGGCGAAGTCCCTTCGACCCCTCCGCACGCACACTCTTCCACTACCAAGGATTCAACTGCCATCACCATTCTCAACGCCGAACCCGCTTTCATACCTACTTTCAAAACACTCCATTCAAAGTTCCCCAAGCTCCGCATCATCCTCGAACACTGCAGCACCTCGGCCGCCCTCGCCGCCGTTCAGTCCTGTGGCCCTCAGGTCGCGGGAACTATTACGGCACATCATCTCTCCCTCATCATCGACGACTGGGCCGGTGATCCTTTCTGTTTCTGCAAACCGGTTGCTAAAACCCCGGAGGATCGTGATGCGCTCTTACGCGCTGTGGTCAACGGGAATGAAAGGTTCTTTCTGGGTACGGATAGCGCACCGCATGATTCCAAGAAGAAACGGGGCGAGGATAAGATCGCGGCAGGTGTGTTTTCACAGCCTTATGCTATTGGGTATGTGCTCGATGCGTTGGAGAAGGGGGTTGAAAGGGGAGTGATCAAGGAACAGGAAGTTACTAAGGTGGTCCTGGAAGGGTTCTTGGGAGCATGGGGAAGGAAGTTCTATGGGGTGGAGGATTCCAAGGGGGAGCGGATAGTGCTGCGAAGAGGCGCGGAGGAAGTTGTGAATGTGTTAAGGAAAAAAGAGGTAGACGTTGAGGTTGTGCCATTTCGGCGGGGAGAGAAGACATGGAGTGTCACGTGGAAATAAGCTCCAAAAGGATCAACAACGACATGAGAATGCCCTCCGAATATCAAAAGCAAATCTCATTCTCTAAAAAATCCTGTTTCTCCAAAAGTACCCTCCTTCACTTACACTTTCCCAACGCCAAATTCTCTCGGCTCACATCTAGACCACGAGACTTTCCTTGGGCATCATCGATCAGCCACATCCGAATTAGGTAGGTAATGTGGCACCGGCACTGCTCCCATGACCAACCTATCCCATTGCGGACAACACCATTCACTCTATCATTCTGTATAACCAAGGTTTCGATGGGAGAATAATCATAACCCATTTGACGCCAAACGAAAGCATGTGTTACCTGTCTCGGTAATAATGCAAAGTAGCGCAGACTGGGACGATATTCCGGAGGACGGTGAGGGAACTATGCCATTGTAAAACTACGTCTCTGTGTCCATGTGTATAAATCAAACCACGAATCTCAAATCTCAAATCTCAAAGTCTTGCAAACTATCCAACCGACCCTATCCCAACGCATCTTAACCCCACCACCCAATCCCACACACAATCTCCAACCTATTCTTCTACAGAAACAAATTCAAAATGAATGAACCCGCTCGCGGCAACCAAGACAGAATGGCCGATCTAACCAAAGAAGACTTAGAATATCAACAACATGGCGGAAGACATTTCCAACAAAGCAACTGGCCACAAAGCGAATCTCAGCAATCCAAGTATGTGCATCATTTGCCTTTCTTCCTCTGCCCATTTTTGCTGTAGTCCTCACGCAAAACCTCACAAAGAGACCAATACTGATTGTTTACCAAAGACACCAGCCAAGCCTCCAAAGATAAGTCATGGGAATAGATGATTGGAATCGATTAAGTAAGAGAAAAAAAAAGGTGGGTGGAGAACGAGCCGGAGGGCGTCACTCGCTCAACTTACCGAGCAGCAGAGCGTGAGAGTCTGCGATTTGGAGAGATGAAAAGTCGAAGACGAAGAATTGTGAAGGTTATTGTCGCGACTTACAGCTTCGAGCATGATGTTCTCTAGTCACCAATGCGATAGCGTCCCCCAAACTCAATCGTAATCCCCAATTCGTCATTCCTCGTGAATACCAATTCTATTCTCATTCGAACCGATGCATATGCCTGCCTGCTAAACCTTTCAACGCCAAAGTGCCCTCCAAGCAATCCCCCTGATCCATGTCTAAAAGCAAGCCATTGTCCAGACAAGTCCCGTCCACGCCCAAGTACCTTCCGACGTTACCCTGAAGCCCGAAATGAAGAGTTGAGGGAGGAGTACACCGGCCATGCTGTACACACAGAGGAAGAAAATGGATAAGAATACAAGTTCGTTTGCGGAGTGCCATTGTTTTGAGGTCGTAGAATAATATCTCAGGATATATGGAACATGGACTCATCAACCTAGGTGCTCAGGCTGGTGACTAAGCTCATGGATGCCCAAGACTAACTTGCGTCTAACGGAATGTCTGCTTAGTGTCGAGGGCAAGCTGGACTCTGGGTCTGCCGGTACGAAGAATTCTTCCTGCGCCCGGTTTAGTGCAGTGCTTCACTAATGGGTCTCATAGAGGCACGTTGAACTCCCAATTACCTGTACATGTTAGTAGATAGTTAGTGAAATCAGTGAATGCAAAAAAAAAAAAAAAACATACCACTCTTCAAATTCTCTGCGGTATCGTCGAGCAGAATGATCCGCCGCTTGGTGCAATAAGCAGTCTTATCCATCATCTCAACTTTCAATCCCTGTAATTGGTCGATTGGCTTCTCGAACATCTCGCTCAAATTCTCCACGGCCATTTCAAGATCCTTTTGGTTGTCCTCGAATATCTCGGTCAGGTTGTTCCGAGCAAGGTAGTACGCAAAGGCGTAGGTCCACTTGAGGGTCTGTCGACATTGCTGGAGAGCCTGGGAAGCAGAGTCCAGGAACTGTACTTCTATCCAGGACATACCAGTGCTGTTTTGCAGCTGCGTCATCTTCTTCTCCGTCTTTACATAGATGTCCTTGTCTAATTTCGCTGACTGTTCGTGATTTGCGTACCGATTGTAATAATGCAGGTAGCGTTCGAGCGATTGTCTCGACTTTGCCTGAGCATCCCGAGCCTCGGACCCACTCTTCTCTTCGAACCTGTTGCAGTTGTACCAACTTGTGCCGTGCTCTGACCACACCCCCATGCACATCCAGCAAAACTCGTGTCGACACTTGCGGCAGGTCATGTGGTTACAGCCGCCGTTTTTCTCGATGGTTGAGTGGCATTTGGGACACTCTTTGGTGTTTGCCGAAATCCAGTTGGCCGTCTCGGAGTCGTCCTCGCACTTCTTCAGCCATTTCTTCACCAGCGAGCAAGGGGCCGGTTGGTGGTCGTTCAACGAGCATCCAAAGCAAAAGAAATGTCCACACGAGCAATGGACCGTTGGTACCACGCGTGGCAGGTCCCTGTCCTTTACAGCACATTGTACGGCGTATTCGCAGTTGGGCGCGGGACACCACCTCAGGTTCTCCTTATCCTCGACATAGGTTCGCGTGAGCAGCTCTTTGTATCTGCACCTGTCAGTAAATGCGATGGGGAAAGAGGAGGATTGTCATAACATACCTGTCCCGAATACTGTCCGAGACCAGTAGATCCAGCGATTTGGAGTCGACAATCCTGTTGCAGCCGTTGCCTGGGCACTTGATTCGCGCCGCTTCTCCCTCGTCCTTGATCTTGGTCTGGAGGTACTGCTTGTAGCAATCCACGCAGAAGCGATGGCCGCATCGCATGGCGAACGTCTCCAGCCCGGGTTCGTCTTCGCAGCAGATATCGCACACGAAGCCCTTCACCTGCTCCAGTTCCGGGGGGTGCGCCTCGGCACTCTCGTCCAGGCCTGCACTCTCCAAAACCTCGTCCATCTTCTCCATGTACTGGTCTATGAGACGTTCCTTATTCCATCGCGTGTGCCGGAGGAGGATGGCCGTGGCTTCGGGCGGCTGGCCGAGGATGCTCGACACCTCGCCGATCTGCTTGTCCTGATGTGACTGTATCTCTGCCGGGCTGAAGACGGTGAAGTCGACTTCGTAGGCGTGCTTGCTGGGCTTGATATCCTTGTCCTGCGATTCAAACCCCACGTCGTCCTGGTCCGACTCGTCATAGTCGGAGTCTGCACGCTCAGGGTCAGCAAACACGATGCAGAGTTATCGAGTGGCGTGCAGCAACAGCCTCACCTTCGCCCATGCTGTCGTCGCTGTCCTGGTCGTCCATGAACTCGTCCTCGCTCACCTGCGAGCTGTTGAAGTCGTCGTCCGAATCCATGTTGGCGGAGGCGTTGGTGAGGGGCGTCGCTGGGAGGGCTTGGGCCGCAGAGTCGGGAGTCTGCTTCTTCTTGGGGCCTTCGAGCAGAGCACCAGCTGCGTCAACTAAGGCCGATGCCTTGCGTTTGCGGCTGGTAGAAGTCGTTGTGATGTACAATAAGCCGGATCCCGCCGTGATGACGAGACCAGGCTGCGACCGAGGGGGACGGGACTAGGAAGCGACTGCGGCAGAGGCACGCGGACAGGGGCGTCAGAGAGCTGCAGGCAGCAGAAAGAGGGTGTCGGGCTGGGGGTGGGCGTTGGTCAGCGAAGGGAAAAGAGTCACAAGTTCGGGGGAGTGTGCCTGGGTCTGGAGGGCGACGAGGACGAAGCGGAAGGCCCGCGCTTGGTCCAGCTGTTTCCTTGTCGGGCCACCACCAGTGAATGCAGACCCCCCAGAGCCGCACCTTGTCCTGCGACGGTAAATGACCGGGAGGGTTACCGAGCGCTTTAGGAAATGTCACCCGTTGTGTGCACTGATAACTGAATTCTTCATCATGGCCCACTGACCCTCTCTTGGCGCCTGAATGGCCCAACAATTGAGGAATCACAATGGAGGAATCCCTCGTGGCCACCTCTCTCTCTATCTGTAATTATCAATATCAACCATCTGATGTCTACTCCGAGCCATCGTCCTCTTCGTCATCCTCTTCGTCATCCTCTTCACTCTCCTCTTCCGATGATTGGTTCAGGTAGTCTATCAATTGCTGACTCTTCCCCCTCACTCGCACCATGTCGTCCCCTTCGCTGGACTTCACATCGGCCCACCACTGCAACATGCCTTCCTCCTCTATCACATCCATCTCAACGAGCTTGGTTGCAGCATTCAGAAGGATCGAATCTCCGCTCTCCTTATGCGCGAGGTCTGCCTGCAACAGCACCATGAAGTCCACCTGATCAACTTTGGCTGAGTTGCCCTTGTCAAACATGGTTCGCTCAAGTAGTTCCCTATGGCGTCCAAACACTTGTGCGACCGCGTCCCTCACACTGGTGCCCGATTTGATCAGCTGGGCCATGCGTTTCACAAAGGCCACGACAACGGCGCGTCGAACTTGATGCTCTGATGCGTTGGTACTCATCCGTAGCGAAGTGAGTTCCAGCTGGACGTTTGCAGATTCATGGCCTTCAACCAAAGAGTCGTATATGCTTGCGGCGGCGTCGTGATCAAAATTTGCTGCATGCTGGCTTGCGTGACTGTCGACGGAGCCTATGGAAACAAAGCTTCCTGCTGCTGATCTCTCGTGAGACATCTCGAACTCGCCTTCGGAGTCTGAGTTGAGCGTGGATATTGATTCGGTCGACAGGGAGAGGCTCGCGAGGTTATACACTGCGTACGTTAATAAACTGATATACTTCTGCGCTGTAGTGTGGCTTACCAGGGGCGGATGGTACAAGAACATCTACAATTTCATCATCGTCCTCATCATCTGGATCCTGGAATTCGAATCCGTCCCCACCTTGCCCAACTATTGCCACGTCTGGCTGCCCTTTGTCAAGCTCTTCTCCGTTTTCCCGCTTCCTCTTTGCCTTTGTGATCCTGTGTTCTCCACCGATAGTTATGCCCTCGCTGATCCTGACTCCATACGATATCAGAGCACCAGGCTCAATCGTGCATTTCTTCCCTACCGCCGCCTCATTCGCTATGATTGCCTGTTTGACTTTACATCCGTCTCCAATGCTAGCATGATCCCAGATATATGCCCCATCGATGGTGACGTTTCGCCCGATATTACAGTGCCGCCCAATGATGCTGTTTGAAATGATGCTGCCATCTCCAACACTAGTGCCACGGCCGATGACCGTTTTGGGGTGGATAATACAGTCTCGCGCAAGTATGACGCCTTCCTCTTTGTAGATATTACCTTTCTGTAGTCGATAAGATTGGCCTTGGAGTAGGTTGCTATCCGGGCATAGCGGATACGCCCAGCGTGACACAATGTCTTTACTGACTGAGGCATAGGCATGGAGATTGCGGACTCGCGCTGCGTAATGATCCGTAACTATGTGCGTGTGTATGGTCTTCCCATTAAGTTCGTAGTCTTTCAGCACGCTGTGGAGAAATCCTTTTCGTGGGGCTTGGAAATCGAAGTTGTCACTCCACAAGGCTAGGACATCCGGTGTGCATATATCGATCCCGCAGTCGATCAAGTCTTGTCGTATTTCGATTTCTTGGTGGTTCGAAAGAAGGTCCGGGTCAATGGAGAGAAAATGCCTCTGTTCCCTGTTCGGCATCTGCTCAAAATGAAGGCATCTGTCTTTAGACGGGTTTACGACGAAGATAGGATTCGTGCGTTGCGCCTTGGTCCTGTGTGTTGTTCCAGCTTCCCGCAACACCATTGTCATGATGGCGTTCTTGTCCGCTGCGCGCCGGGCTCGGTGAGCCGCCAGCGCGGACTCAAGGGGTAGATTGCTGACCACATCTCCGTATACTAGCAGGAAGTCACTGATCAGAATACCCCGTGTGTCCAGGTCGCGCATAGCATCTCCAATCGAGTTTGACGAAGATTGGATGAGCTCTAGCTTCGAGAAGGGAGAGGAAAGTGAGGACCATTTCGAATGGCTGGGAAGAATGAGCATATTCCAAATAGCCTGACTGTTCATGGCGCGTCTAGCTTACTTGATATGATTTTCGACCTGCTCCTTGTGCGCTCCACAGAACACGAAGATCTCCTCAACACCGGCGTTGGCTAGAAATTCGAATGTGTATTCGATGAGCGGGGTATTTGCGAGGGGCAGAAGACACTAGAGACTGATCAGAGAGGCAATAAAACGGAGAAGGCGTATACAAACCCGGGGTCGTTCGAGGGTGAAGGGGTTGAACCGGGTCTCAAAGGGATCTGCGAGAATCTGGAGAGTCAGAAATGTAAAAGTTGGAGTGCGACGTGCAACCCACCACTGCTTGAAGCGGCTCGTCCCGCTGCTCCTCGCCCGACTTGGACTTATCATTGCTCTGACCCTTCTTGCCTTTTGGCGGCATTGTGCACGGGGCGTCGTGACAGTTGATCACAATTGTTTTGGAGTTTGGGCTTGGATTTGGCTTGTTGGGTGGTTTTCGGTGGGAGTCAGTGATGAGTCAGTCAGGTACGGCAACGTGCATCATCATACTCCAGGGCTCAAGGATGGACACATAAGGTTTGTGGGGTGGCTTGCGTGCCCGCAGCTCGGGACCGTCAATGATTAAGGTGGACATGGCCCGGTCGTTTATTCACGTGTTTGGGCTTCAAGGCGCAGAGGTCTAGACCCTAATAATCAGGCCATTGCCTCCTTCGGAATGAGCTTAATACAACAGCATTTGGTCTTCGCCATTACAGGAGCAGTTGTGGAACGCAACGTTGGAAAAGCAATACCTGCTCTTCGCTGACTCCAGGCTATACCTCACTTCTCCTTTGCCCCTGTCCTAGATAAGCAGGTTCCAATTTGATATAGTTGTAGAAAATATGACTATTGCGCTTGGGCACTAAGGCATTAAATCAAGTCCCGTGGGCTAGATAGCACGCCATGTTTATGTCTCCTCTCTATCTTAAATATTGATGAAATGGGTATGCCAAATATCTGTCCGTTCAGTCTCCCTATTCTACGACCTTTGAACGACAACATACGGTAAAGAGAGAATGATACAAGCCTGGGGTCGTCATCAGCCCTGGAGGCCTGAGTATCGGAACACCTAACGCCTTGTTGCAAATGAAAGATGTATTCCAGATGATAGACGACTTTAGGGACATGTCTCTGTCCTCTTCCAAAAAATAAAAATAAAAATAAAAATAAAAATAAAATTTTTTCAAACATGTGAAAAGAAATCGTTCATCGTGGCCGTTGCATGGGGTTCATGGGTTGTGGTGGTAGCGGGCCAATATACACTTGTTGACGTTTTGCAGGATTATTCATGTCGTCAGGCCCTCCAGCAATGTCGGAGATTTGCCTTCGATGTCCGGCTTGTTGTCTAGCCTGCATTGTTACCTGTGGAGATGTATTGTAGGCAATGTTGCCTGGCATCGTGTTGACGGCGTAGGGTCCAGCGTGGCCTTGTTGGACCGCTTGCATATACTCGTCTGTGACATTGCTGCCCACTGGTGAGACACCGGGTATCTGATTGGGTGAGTTCCAGTTGCTAGCTGTTACTGGTGACTTCGCAGGAGATTCCTCCTCTTTCAAAACTTGTCTCGTTGTCGCTAACGGCTGAGGGGCCACCATTCCGTCTATCTGCGGACCCGGCTTTTTCAGGTGTGCAAGATGCTTTTCTAACATTTGCAGAAGACCTTCTTTCGTGAAAGGTTTGGGTAGTACATCGTTCATACCTGGATAAGTTAGGGCAAGTGGCTAAGGTTTTCAAGTCGAACCTACCATGTTGGAAATACATGGAAATGTCATCACTTCGAATGTTGGATGTCATTGCAATGATAGGAGTGTGGTCAAATTGGCGGATTAAATGGCAGGCAGAGACGCCATCAAGGTTCGGCATGATAATATCCATGAGCACTAAATCGTATTTCGAGCCCGCGTTCATCTTGTTGACAGCCTCGAGGCCATCGAGCTACAACACATTAGTATCTGGGAGAAAAGCTGAACAACAAAGTACTTACAGCGCTATCGATGGAGCATTGGAAGGCATACAAGAACTTACTACCAATTCGCCGACATGTCGGATCGTCTTCAACAAGCAGGATTTGGGGTGGCCGTACCCACCCAGGGTCTATCTGCGTACTCTTCTTCCTTACCTCCTGGAATCGGTTGTCGGCTAGATCAGCCGGTTTGGTTGGCATTGGATATGGAATGTTGTTGATGTGTTCACTGTACATCGGGTCGATCCCATTCGTTTGCCCAACGGGATAGACTAGGTTGTCCAGATCACCAATTCGCACAGACGTCGAGGAGCTTGCAGATGCGGGTGCACCGCCACGACTCGCTGGCCTAGTTCCTCGCATAAATTCGGGTGGAGGAGTGGTCAACGTGCCATTCATTCGCATGGTGATCTCGTTCATGTGCTCTAGGTTCCTAGGGTTTAGCATTACATCGGCGTTTGTTTCGCTGAGGAGCTTCGAGGCGTGTTGTAGGGGCGAGGCAGGAACGTCCTCTTCAATAGGAGCGGCTTGCGGATTCTGTGTGTCGGCGTTCCCATTCTGGGCCTGGCCACCTGTCTGCCCAAATGGATTCACTACCCTGCTATCGCGGCGCCTTTGGGCATCTATCGAATGTAAAAAGCTCATCACGTTTTGCATCACGTGCTCATGATTGACGACTGTCTTCTGCAACCCAATCACCTCCTGAAGCAGCATGGAATGGTGTATGCTGAGCTCGTTGTACTTTTCCTGGAGGGACTGCAGCTGATGCTGCGTGGCGACTAATTGAGTATTCACCAGATCCATCTGTTGTGTGGGGATCATCAAGTCTTCTGCCGGCTGGTTGGCCTTGCGCGGAGCGGGCGCTTTCCGCCGAATGTTGTCGAGGGCATCTTTGTTGTTCATCTTGAAATCTGGATGTTTGAACTCCCAAGCCTAGAGTGATGGGGTGGCGATGTTAGCTAAGAAAATTCTCGTCGACAAGGCTGGAACCTTAGAAGAAGCATGCTTACCCCAGCGCCATATGGCGACTGACCATTCTCTTCATTGTTGTGCCGCACCTTGTGGAAATCGTACTTGTTCAGCTGTCGGACAAAACTCGCAAAGTTGCTGTGCTTGAAATGCTTCGGGAGGATGTGTTTCGTGAACTTCTCATTCTACGCGTCCGTCAGTCTCGGCTACGTTCGTATCTTGAGCCGCAACGTGCCTCGAGTACGACAAAACTATCCCCTTCGTTGCCCCACCGTACTACGTTCTCGTCTGTCGGGTTCTCTAGCATTCTTCAATGCGTATTAGCGAGCTGTGCGGAGGGTTACGTTCGGACAGCTAAGATCAGCTTACTTATAGAGCTTGCGAACCTACCAGTTTCATCAACATTAGTGTTTGAGGATCAATGGATGGGACAAGACATACAAAGTCGCTGGAATTGCTCGACCCTGAGCCTCCGCCTGTAGTGGACTCCATGGCGGACTGTAGGACTCGAGTTCGGACGGACTACAATACCTCCCACCCACCACCTCGAGATGCAAAAGCTGCCAGATACACGAAATAACGAGGCTCTGTTGCTAGGCAGGTTACGACATATGTAGGGTCACGGTTCTGGGCTCCAAGTAGCCGCGATGGCTAGCGATAGCGGGACGGAGGGCGGGTCGAGGCATCCGCCAGCGTGGTGATGGCGGCGCGTGGCAATTGAGGGTAAGGTACGGGGTCGCAGAAGCGGCACTCATGAACGGACGATGGGGATCGATGGGCAGGCGACGGGATGTTGGGAATGCAAGGAGAGAAGAACGCTGGGCCTGGAGGGACAGAGGAGGTGTAGTTTGGGTGATTAGCGCGGGCCGCCAAGGCAGGTTGAATAGTTGGGATGGGATGTGCAGTGCCGTCACTAAGTGCTAGTGCTCTCTTTGGCTGAATCTGAATCGCTGCAATCGCAGGACATTGGACCAGCAAGCCGGCTGAGCCAAGGCTAGGGAGCGAGGTCAGCTTGGGGCACCAGCGAGTGCGTGCCGAGGGAGGAGGGCAAGGGAACAGCGGCACAGCGGCACAGCAGCGACTGCGACAATGACGAGAAAGGCAGCGGAGCAGCTAACAGGCTCGGGGACAACAAACCTTGGAAGACCCACGAAACGATGCGCGGCGGGATGGGGCGGTACGTGCACACACTCCCCCCAAGCCCTCGAGGACGCCATTCCCATCTCAGCATCCGTCTTCCCGCGGCTGCACCTGCGACGCCCGAAGACGGCATGCAGCGTGTTGCAAGCAGCCAGTTTACTGGTTGCTGATTGCACAGACAGCGACTCTTTGTTTCTAAAGGTTCGGGCTGCTCCTGTGCTGCTCGCCGCCGGATCGGGGCAAGAGGAACCCTCATAGCGGCCAAAAGAAACCCTCCACACTCCACATCATCTCGGCGACGCGATTTGAAATTTAATCGCCGCCGTGATCCCGTAATGCGTAATTTGCAGCAACTGCTCGATAGACTCCATGTGCGCCGCTGCAATCCCCAGCGGCAGGCACATTGACCGCCGTCCCCGACGTCGTCGTCGCGCCGGCCTCGCCTCGTTTGATGGTTGCCAAATGCCATGGGGCCCTGATGGGAGAGGCAAGCGTTGCCACCAGCGGCGGCCAGCGCCAGGCCCCTTGTGTGCCATTTCGCGAAAGCCCATGCGGTCGGTCACATTGCACGCAGCCAGCTTGCACAGATGTCCAGGGCTCCGAGTCCGAGGCAGGGGGTGCCGTAAAAACGCCACAGGTGAGCGTGGGGATTTTTCGCAGATCCTACCCAGCCCGAGATCGCTTTGATGCAGCCTGTTGTCCGCAGATCCTGGGCCGCATCCTTCGCCTTCACCTGTGACCTCCGCCATACAGCTCCACCATATAGCACAAGATTCAGCTGCTGTCAGTCACACCGCTGCATCTGCACAGAACAAGCTCCACCGTCGACGCCGCCACTCGCCCCCTCTCCAATTCGCCTTCGCGCCACTACTTACGACAGCGATGTTGGCAGCTCGTCGTCTGTCGTTGACGCGGCCACTCGCCTTCCGCTGTCTCGCTTCTCCCTTCCACTCCTCCGCTCCCGCTCAGGTGCAGGTCGGCGACAGGATCCCGCATATCAACCTCATGGAGGGCTCGCCGGGCAACAAAGTCAATCTCGCCCAGGAACTGAAGAAGGGAAAGGGTCTGATCATCGGTAAGCGTCCGCAAAAAATATCAGCTATGAACCTTGAATTTAAAAACAATACTAAAAAGAAGCATTATCAGCGAGCGGATTACTAACCGCGTTCAGGAGTGCCTGCCGCCTTCAGTCCTGCCTGTTCAGAGAGCCATATCCCAGGCTATATCAACTCTGCCAAGCTCAAAGATGCGGGCTCCGTGTTCGTCGTGTCTGTCAATGATGCATTTGTGTATGTGTGCAGCAAAAGTTTTTACCAATTTTTTTTTTTTTTAAATCTGTCCCCTTTGTAAAACTAATGGCACATCCGGTTCGGGTTGAGTCTTGGCAGTCCTTGTGCGCCAAGATCTCAAAAGAACTTTACAACTCTTCCTCTCAGCGTTCCTTTTCTCACCAAACACGGTTTGCGTAAAACCCAATTGCTCCTTATTCTCCGCATGTGCGATTGCCGAAAGATGGAGCTAACATGGTCCAGCATGAAGGCTTGGGGCAAGATCCTTGACCCGTCCAACACAAGCGGTGTATGTCGTGACCCTTTTTCATCTGAGGCTCCAATCCTGCAGCAAAGCAACATATTGTGTATCGTCTGCAGGATTCTAGACCCTTTCTAGAAAATTGGATCGGCAGCTAATCCCAAACCCTAGATTCGCTTCCTCGCAGATCCTGGACTGAACTTCACCAACGCACTCGACCTCTCTTTTGATGGTAGTGCAATCTTTGGGGGCCACCGTGGAAAGCGTTATGCTTTGTTGGTTGAGGATGGCTTTATCAAGGAGGCACATGTCGAGTCCGACAACACAGGTTTAGACGGTAAGTAAGCGATGATTTAAACTTTCTTCTTGGGTAGGGGTAGTGTTGTGATTTGCTAAACATGCCCAGTGTCTGCCGCAGGAAATGTGCTCGGTTCTTGAGGCACCATCACTTCCCATCCCCTGACTGGGTTTATTTGACCATGTATGGTTGTCTGAAGAAGCGATCATTTCATGATTCACACCAACGTGAGACGTCTTGGTGGGTCAGGATCACCATAGATGGAGTGGCGTATTGCTGTGGCTACAAGGTAGTGCTCTAACCTAATCTACCAAATTAGCAATTGCCCTTGCAGTTCCTGTCTTTCATCTTGACCAAAACTATCAACCTTCTAGCATAGCAAGCATCGCCTATAGTTCGAATCCATGTGAACTTTTTAAAGGCGTTATAGAGTAAGGCAAATCTTTCTCAGGCATGATTTTACCACTTCTGAGATGTCTTATACACGTAACAAGACACTTACAGGTTGTCTTCATGGTCGGTGTAACACTTAGGCACTCCCACTACCGTCTTCGCTTTGCTACAACTATATATAGATCAATTACTAATAAAGCCACCACACACCCAAAATGTCAATTAAAAACGGGTAACGGTCTAGAAAAAATTACTTCAAGGAATTAAGGTTGCAGGCTTGGTAGTCCGTCCTACCGACCTTGCTTCATTGTACAACAACTGTTGTCAACGGTTGTGCCTGACGTCCGGCACCAGCATCTTCGATAAACAACAAAACGCACCGTCGTTATTCATAGCTATGTAATGAGGATGGGGGTTGGAAACGGCCGGACTCCAATCGTGGAGATAGATCGCGAGTAGCGCGATAATGCCATGCGATTAATAACGAGCCCAATTTCCATGTCTCCAACTTCATGGGGGATGCGATGGATGATCAATAGATTCTCCCAAAGAGCCTGGCAAGTGATTGGTGTCCACTTCAGTGGTTTGCGTGGAGATCTTTCATTTCCGGCAATCCAGGAAATATGAAGATCCAGTACCCACTTGTGTTAGCTCAAGGTGAGTGGGTCTTTGTTGCGTCCAATCGAGTGGCACTACATACGCTACTCTTAAATGGATCTTCCCAAACACCAATGTTGAGATCGCCCCTCGCTGCATGTTGACTAAGCAGTTCAAACTCCACATTCCAATGCTCGATGTTAGTTCCAAATCCAGAGCCTGTCTAACGATGACGATGAGTATTGATAAGTTATCGTAGGTAACTAGACACACCTCGTGACGAGAGAGTGGCGGAACGTCAGCGCCGAAATACTCGGCTTCAAGTATTAATTGTATTATGAGTTGCTACTAAAGCGAGAAGGAATATGTTTCTCATCGAACGCCATATGTCTTGAAGGAAAGGTTGAGAAGATCCAGGGAAGACTTGACACAGCTAGAGGTTACGCATTGTGATGAAATTCCCCAAAAGTCGCTACCTCAACAACGCTGTCACTATCCTGGTTGCAATCCCCAATTTCTTCTCCATTATTTCGAAAACTTCTGCGAGAGAATACTGGACATAAATCTGGAGTTCGAACGAGCATGCTCTTTCTTTTATCCAGCTTGTCAACACTGTCCTTAGACCAGGGCTCCTCTACCGCACTCCCAACATCGTTTGTTCCGTGAGCGCTGTTCTGTTGGCTTTCCCAATCCAGTTTTTCCATCATTGAGTCCTCCTGTGGCATTGTATTTATAGAAGCCTTCCCAAAGTATCTACTGGGCTTTGTCTGAAAGGTAGTTATGATAGCATCTTCAGAGGAAAGCGGAGCCAAGAGCCCAGGAGACGAATGTGTGGTGTGGTTCACAAGAAGTGCATGAGCTGGGCTTAGTCTTGTCTCGTCTAGAAACTCTTTGGCAGTCAGGTATTCTCCTCTGCCGTCCGCCTGGAGTGGGCTTGTGGTGAGCGCAGAGGTGTGCCGAATCTCTGGAATTTCGTAGGGATATTGAGGCGGGCTCCTAATTGTGGGAGTGGAGTTGTTTCGACGCAGATTGAGGACCGAATATGGTGGAAAAGGAGAAACGATGTTGTCGGCTCGTCGAGGCACGGATTGGGTCCTGCGAAGTAGTAAAGTCGGTGGAATTCGTTGTCTCGTGTGCAGAAACGATGTTATGTTCTTGGCTGGACTGCGTCGAGTTTGGGTGATGTTATCTGACTGGTGCCTATGGGGATATATTGATTTGCGTCCGGTAGGAGTACTGAAGATATTGTCCAGGAAGAGGCGATTGGGCCGGCGTCGTGGTGCTTTGGAAAAAGAAGGCTGGCAGATCCATCTTGACAAGAGCCCTTGCCCAGAGGTAGAGCTTGAGCTTGAGCTAGAGATAGATGCTCGTCGTTCGTCGTGGATTTGGGGATAGGTGGGTCCGTCACTCCCTTCTCTTTTATCTGTGCCTCCACTAGGACAAGGCTCTTCGCTTCGCGATGAAGATGTTTCGCGAAGATGTTTCTGGATTCGGCGCTTTTTACTGACCTGCTCCGCTACCCTTTCTTCGAGACAAGGCCCGTAGTATAGGCCAGGCCAAGGCGACGCTTCCGAAGGGCATGGAGCGTGGTGCCCTGCAGCCGGAGAAAAGCGATACTGAGCATGTAATTTCAGTGAAGTGGCAAGCTCTGGAAGCTTTTGACCACATAGGGGAAGACTCTCGGCACTTGAACTTGGAAGTAAGGTGTAACAGGAGGCCAGCAGTTGAAGAGCAATAAAGTGAAGGAATATGTAGGGATGTTCTGTAGGTTCTACCACTGTAGGTGTTGAAGAGCGGGATGCCGAAAGTTGTGAAATGAGTGCTTCAGGCAAAGGAACAAGCTGCGGCCGTCAGGATCTTAAACAGCTAAAGCAAAACGAGCTAGGACTTTACTCACTTTTCGAAGCCTCCGTGTGGGAGAGATCCAATTGACATCCCGGCCGTTTAGATCCAGCCAATCGGCAACCTCTCCCATCATCATGTCGTTAGTTTTTAATGCGTTGCGATTGATGTGCGATTGTTCGATCTCTTCTTTTCGAAGTGTAAAGGTCGAGCTCTCAGGCAGTAGCCTATTATCCAACAGCAAGTTAAGAGGACGACACCGGAGCTCTTCGTCGAATGGTGGGTTTGGTAGGATACCGATACTTATATTGTCATTGCGAGAACGACGAGAGTGAGTTGACGCAAGCATCTTTGAGGCTGCTTTGTTTTTGAATGTCTACGGCATAGGGCTTCAGTAGGATGTATGTAGGGTTCTGGAGGACAGTAATAGTGTACAAGGAGCGGTAGAGCCAGCATGGGGAATGTGGGCATGCATAGCCGGCGTTCCAGAGAAGCGGGCACTTGAGAGGATTGATAGTAAACCAGGGTATCTGATCAAGGCGGTGGAGGTGAGGTGCGATTGTCCTAGCATAGAAAGAGCCTTCGGGATGACACCTAACCGGCTACTGGAGAACAGAGATAGTGGTACAACGGGGCCGAGATCGGATATAGAGACAGTAGCCGTGAAGGGCATGTTATCGAGCTTAGAATACAGATGGCCCAGTCTAAATCGAGTCCCGGATTCATGACGTCTTGGTGTTCAGTGCTACTGGAAACCTGATCCTCTCGGGCCGCTCGACTCAGACTCCTCCGCAATATTCAGGTGGTTGGCCATGCTAGAATCAAGAGCCCCGACAGGCATCTCGCTGATAGACTTGGTGACATGGACTGATACTTGAGATGGCTTCGCTGTCTGCTCGGGCTCCTGGTCCATCAAGTCCTCCATCACAATATCTTCGTTTGATTGGGATGCAGCTCCATCGAGAGTTGCAGACACCACTCCCTCTCTATCAACGACGAGCCGAGAGCCTTGACATGTTCTGGAAACCACCAGCCTCGACTCACCTCTTCTCGCCTTTACTTGATTGAACTTTGTCAAAAATTCTGAGGGGGTTGGCCGCCTCTGCTCAGTTGGTACAGTATCTACAGACAAATCCATTGCATCAACGGTCGTGCCTTCGTCGCCTTCACCAGGATCGAATAACTCGTCACGCGGTCGCAGTCGGGCAGTCGTAGCCATCAGTCGCGTAGAGCTAATGGCAAGAAGGTCGACCGAATGCAGTGAGCGAAGAGGGTTCTCTGGAAATGTTGTATCCGCACCTCGTTTAACGAATAACATGTCAGTTCCGATGGTTGACGCCCATTTACAACTAAGGAGCTGGCCGTTGTACGTGACGAGTGGATTGAGGGTGTGAAGACCAGTGATCTGCATCTGGCCGACGTTTTCGGTATCTTGGTGATCTGGAACTTGGGTCACAGGTTTCGAATTCCCTTTCCTACCCTTGACCTCTCTCAACCGGTTGTGCAGGATGACTGGGCGGCGCCCGCCCGCGCCTCGAGAATAAGGCGCGGGAGCACCTTCTCTGTCTGGAAGATTGGACAGATCAAGCGTGATGTAGAAGTCCTCTGTCTTACTCTGGTCGTACTCGTACTCCCACCCGTCCTCGTCCGATCGCGACATGGTGGTTGGTTGTCAAGTGCGATGTCACGGGTTCGAAGAAATCCATTCCGGCTTCGGATAGATTTAGGGTCTTAGCGCCCTCGTCCTCCACTCTAGAGCCTATCCTTGATCCTTCGCCCTTTATGCCATGGTGCGAATAACATAGCGCATGCTACCGAGCAATGAGTTTACTACAAGAAGAGGCGAAAGAGACCAACACCTGTGATGCTGAGGCTCCGACTGTGAAGGCCAAGCTCATCTGCACCTAAATAAGCTCCATCGTGCATCACTTCTCGAGTCTTATCGGGCTTAGCCGCGACGTATGCCAAGCGCCCACGGTTCCCTGCATTGTTGCAAACACCGAGCTGAGCTGTCTGTCTTGACTGCTCCCTTGGTCCTCAATCCTCATGTTTTCGCACAATCACCCGCTATCCCTTTGATGTTTCGCATCATTGCATCGCCAGGTACCGTACAGGGAGCTTTGCACTTCTCTGCTGGGTCGGTAGGGGATCCAAGTTACCAGTGAGTTTGACTCCGCAAAAGTCCGGCGCATTGCAAATCCAAGTCATCATGTGTACTGCTCCGTCATCCCCATCTTTTCACAGTTCTATCGCCTTCCGATGCTCCCCTTAGCTGAGAACGGCTTGCCGTTATCTCCACGCCCATTTCCCTGACGTAGATCTTCCGCGGGCTTCCACGAGCTACCTCCATACTCGCTCGGAGTATTGGCCTCTGCGCGTCCTCAAGTATCCTTTGTCAGCCCCGGGACCTTCGGCAGCCCTATTCCCTACCGTATATGCCGAATTTCCTCTTCGTCCCTAATTGGTCATGAGCTAATCATTCGACGCCGTTGCCAGTGCCCATCGTGCCTTACCTGGTTAGTAATGGAGGCGGCCAGGTGCCCCTCCGAGGTTTCCTACCCTCACTATCCTCTCCCCCTTCGATATCTTCCGCCCTCATTCCCACATACCCTCCGGTAGCGGTATATCCCACTCAATCCCCCGACGATACCCCAACTGTTGCGCCGGACGTCTCCCACGAGGACCCTAGACCTACTATCGACATCCCTATAGAATCTCTTTCGCATGAAATATCGTCGGGACAAACTCCTACATCGTCTTTCGCTTCCGTTGGCGGGTCTACCAACACCTCATATACGCAGATGAAGGGCCAGAAACCTGCAATTGCCGCTGCCGGAACATTCTTAAGCCTGTTTACGTTCTCTCAAATATACCAAAAGGCAGTGTTCCCAAAGATAACACCCATCTCAGAAAGGTTAGAGGAGAAGCACTGGGTTGCATCTTCGAACTCTTGGTTGGATAGGAAAGTCTGCAACTGGTTTGGGTTCTGTGGTCTTGCTCACCTGAACCAGTCTCGGTGGACGGACAAGAAAGCCAAAGGTAACCACAGAAAGCAGCAGAGGCCGTGGTCTGGGGTTAACGAAGACGTGGATAGCATTGACCTTGACACATTTTGGACAAGTGCTACCACTAATCCCGAAGACTGGTCAGAGGAAGAACGAATCCTGCGGGAGATTCCCGAATACGTCTTGGAGCATGCGCCTTACATTCACCTCTACTCTGGCGAGGAGTTTTGGCCGTGTGACATTGCAGAACACCTGATCCACACAACGCCACATCTAAATTATACTCCTTTACAGGCCTCTTCCGATCACCCCAATCTCACGAACCTGAATGACCTTAACAGATGGGGTCGATTCGTGTATCTTCAAAGCGATGACAATGTGGAAGAACGCCCAGAATGGCTCGGTGGCGAAACGAACATCCCCAACATTCCGGATCCCGATCCCTGGGCTAAATGGGATGAACAAATCGGTCAACGTTTCGAAGAAGATACTGATGCTGAAGGGGAAGATTGGTGGGAAGTAGGCGTTGGGGATACAGTAGACAAGGGAGGCATCCGACCCGTCTCAGGACCTATCACTGAACCGGTTACTGTTCCCACCAACACTGCTGAAGGCGAAGATCTTTTGCACAAGATTGACAAACAGTGGCAGCCAGAATTAGCTCGTCGCAAACTCGGAAAAGAGATTGTTGGTGGTAGAAGCGGTGCGCCTGCAGTGCTCATCGTCGTCGACAAGGGTGATGGCGTTGTGGATGCATTCTGGTTCTTCTTCTACAGCTACAATTTGGGCAACACCGTCTTCAATGTTCGATTTGGAAACCACGTGGGTGACTGGGAGCACACAGTTGTGCGATTCCAGCATGGCAAACCAAAAGCAGTGTTCTTCAGCGAGCACAGCTTTGGTGAGGCATACACCTATGAGGCCGTGGAGAAAATTGGCAAAAGGGTAGGTTTGCCATGCTGATTTAGGTGGTGTTAACTAATCTTGGACAGCCCGTGGGATACTCCGCTACTGGAACGCATGCAATGTATGCCACAGCTGATACTCACCCGTACATTCTACCAGGGGGTATTCTCCACGACGTCACGGATCGCGGGCCGCTCTGGGACCCTCTTCTTAATGTGCATTCATTCACCTATGACTACACGAATGACACTTTGCGCAGCTCTAATGTCACACCACATGCACCAATAGGTTGGTTCTACTTTATGGGCCACTGGGGGGACAAGTTCTACCCACTCAGCGATCCGCGACAGTACCGCTTCCTTGGGCAATACCACTATGTTAACGGACCGCTGGGCCCTCGATTCAAAAACCTTGGTCGAAAGCACGTTTGCCAAGGGAACGGCGAGTGTTTGATCAAGGCTTGGGTCGGGCCGAAGCGAGCCCGACGCATGAGACGCTTCCCAGGAGTAGGTGAAGGCGAAGAAATGAGCGAGGAGGACGTGCGGCGATTTGTCGGGCCGGAACACGAAGACACTGCATGATTATTGATAGACTGGATAGAACGGCTCCATGGTGCTCTACGACACTCATTTTTGCTTTTGCCAAGGGCAATGTTAGAGGGAGTCAGATGGGGCCACGTCTCCAGGGCGTTCAAGGGCGCTCTTTAGGGACGGATTCGCCAACGGAATTTTGGATAACGACTACAGACTGTACCATGCTGGCCAACCCACCAGTTGAGGGGGGTTGGCGTTACGGGATACCTATGAATGGAAGTTGATATTCTTCTGACCATGGACCGGCGTAGTGAAAGAAAGGTTCTTTGACGTGTTGCACAAGGCTCCAAGTGAGCATCACGGCTGAACTAGACGGTTGCAAGCCAACAAAAGCAGCATGAGGCTGTAGATGTGGACACAAATTCCGGATTGGGTGACCGGGGCTAGAAAATCCAGCCTTAGGAAGGCGTGGGCAGGGCGCGATGATGTCGTAATAGGGAGGGAAGATCAGCTTACGCCGATACAGGTATGATGCACAGCATGCCGAGCGGCGGCATAATTTCGGGGCGTTTAGAGTTTTCTTGCTTTCTCATCGAGGGCTCATCTCATCATCAATAAGAGGTATGGCGAGAGGGGGAGCGGTACCGGTCTTGGCATGGCGTAGTGGGATGCATTTGACGCCTCGTGAGATGAAGGCTAGATATCAGTGAGCTTATCGCCGTCAGCCCAACACTCTCGAGCACCGCAGCTACGCCGCCGTCACACCCCCCCTGATCAGCTCAACAGCGTTTTGTTCCATATCGAAGCGGCCCGGGTCTATAGCTATTGCACTTTATTTTGCTCTCTGTTTAGCCAGCTTCAAATTATCCTTCCTTTGTTTCCCCGGTTGCTGCTCTTGTGACCCGGTTGTCTGAAGCGAAGACACATCAGACATCATAGCGGGCTTAGCGCGGACCAGTGCAACGTCCAAAACTCAAGCTCCAGATCACCCATCGCCCCATCACCAGACCAACACACGACTCTCCCCCACGGGAATCTATCGGGAATCTCGCAACAAGACATGAGTGCGCACACTTGATGTTGTGACACCAGAACTCGCGACGCGGGCCCTTCACCGCATTCCTGCTTCCTTACTTCCCTGCTTCCCTAATTCCTCCCGCCCCGTATCACTCCTCCCTCGACCCCTAGACTCCTCCAACCCTAATTGCTCGACTTTATTACTACCATTGAATCTTGACACTCCCTCCGCGACAATCTTCCACCATGGCATTCCGCCAACATCACCGCCCCCAGCCTTCGCGACAGCTCTCCTTCCATTCCCCAGAACGGCCAGCCGAAGTCGGACCTGTCTCCTCACCACAGCGGAAGCGGTCCTTAGAGGAATCGGAAGAATGGGTCCTCTTCTCTCCTATTGCGCCCGAGTCTACTACCACCCGCACGCAGACCACCTCGACCGAGCGAACCCCGCGCACCGCTGGCCTGTCGCGCCTCAGTGACTTTGGCTCCCTCGACACCGCCGCGCGTTCTGACCAAAGTGACAATGACGACATTACTTGTCAAGGGACTGAAGCAGAAGAAGGAGAGGACTTGGATAGCTTGGATGATGGTCTGCACGCATTCCATGAGCCTTCCGAGTACGGCGCATCGGCCAGCCGATTACAACAGAGTGGCGACACAGTCCTACCAACACACGATGGACTGGGTACTTTCCAGCCCGGCGCATCAATGCAGGAACACCTGTGGCAGTTTGAGCGACAAGCACCACGGAGACGACACACTCGCCGGCGATCTAGTGTCCAGCGAAGGCTCGATGCCTTAGAGGAGGCGGAAGAAGTGAATCACGAGCATGATCGGCGGCAGAGGATTGAGAGGTGGCGGCTAGAGCAAAGCAGGGCGCTGCTAGAGGAGATTGAAAGAGAGAGTAGGCGCAGGCGAAGAATGAGCATGGTGAGCGTTGCGCGGAGCCGCACCGATAGCGCCCATCAAGATAACCGAATTTCGGCCGCTTCCCGGGCAGCTGCCTCTATTTCTGATAGCCAGAGTGAGTCATCGGATGACAGCACAGAGAATCTTTCCTTCTGGCAGCGGCTCACAAGGAGAGTGATCCGGGACTTGATGGGGATAGATGAGGATACACTCTCTGTCATCTTTGGCGAATCTCTACCGGAGGAAGCCTTGTCCGCCCCTCAACACGCTCCGGAATTGAGATCACCTGCCGCCACTACAGTACAGGCCCTGGACATATCTACCTTTCCTGGCGAACCGTGGGAACATAGACTTTTAGAGAGGGTTGCCCGAGAGCTTGGCATCCTAGTTCACCAGTTGTCTGAACACCCAGGGGCCTTCTCCGCCTACCGAAGCGCACAGGAAGCTCCAGAATATGCAGGAATCACCTCGAGCCGATCTACTTCTATACTTTTAACTGACGTTCCGCCACTGACAACCCCGCAATCCTCTATTCCTTCCCCTACCGCCGCTCTCTTCGCACCTTCTCTTCCAAACCAACAGGCTTCCAACATGTACAGTGAGGCTTCATTATGGGGAATCGAAGAGGAACCGGAGGCGGACCCTTTAGTATCTTTTCATGTCCAGCCACCAGCCCCTATCCCAACCGTAGCGGAAGAGATGGCGCGTGAACGAGAATATTGGGAACGGGAACTGGACGTCAAGATGGTGTTCAATTTTCTAGTCAAACGCTTCTCCTCCCGCCGATCCAGTGTCTCGTCCCAAACTCGGAGAAGCATGAGTGCGCCTCCGGGCCAACCCCGAGCCGCGACAGCGATCGACAGCGATTCCGTATCCGCCCGAAGGGCCGCGATCATTCGACAACACCACCCTTTAGTCAGTATCGCGAGTAGGACTGCAGATCGTGTCCTACCGTCGTCATCAAACCCCCGCGAGAATCGAAGAAAAGAGCTAATATATCGACACCAAACTTCACTCAGGAATCAGGTACTAAGGAGTAGCTCGTCATGCGCTAGTCAAAGCACGAAGAAGAGCAAGCGCAGTGCTGGAAGTGGACGTAATTACTGGGACCTCGGTGGGAGTGCAAGTGGAAGTGTTCTAGCCGGTGAAGTATAGACAAATTACGATAGACATGGGCAACAGTTATCACAAGATCTTGGTGGATAGACTGGAATTTGGGTAATGACATTGGCCCATTGGTTAGGCCGAGCGTTGCATGAGGCACGGAATTGTTGTAGTTGCTGGTGCATAGAGCAATGACCCGAGCAACCAAGCGTGGGTGTATGGGTTCCAGCATTCACGTCGCGTTAGTAGGCTGTCTTTGGCGTTTGCGTGGATTTGGTTTGGTTGGATCCTTTTCGATACTCTCACTCTATGTTTTTAGATACCACGTGGATGTATGAGGGAATTTGGAGTGGTATGAGCATGATGCATGATGTATTATTATAGTATCTCCATTCCAAATAATCATATCTTTTAATTATCCGCGCAGCACTCTATCTATCTGCATGGATGAGGAATGCTTGTTCGTCCCATTCATAATAGGCATCATCAGGCACAAATCTGGTTACATGGCTGTAAATGCTGCGGACTTACGCCTTATTTCCCTGAAACTTAAACTAGATGACGAATTGTGTAATTGTTGTCCTACATCTTGGCAACAAGTGTACGTGGATGTTAGCAATGAGGGCGTGGAAGGAGGGCTTTCACATCACTTCTTGGAAGCCTTCCATGGTTACAGGCAGTTGGGCAGTTGCAAAGCCTAGCACATGGCCACATCACCCTCTAGCACTGCGCTGCTATCACGACGCAGTCTCATATCCGCATCTAAGCAAGATTAAAAACTGCATTTTTCACCTGCAATATTTGAATCAATACGGGAGACGTCCAGTTTTGAGCGCACTGGAGATATGAATCTTCACCCAATACGTGGATGATTTATCAATCAATTAGTTGATGCAACCTGCAAACCAGCCCTCAAGGTCAAGCAGAGTGCGCAGCTCTCTTACCGCAGAAGCAATATTGCTACATGATCCTATTCGAATCCCTCAGCTTTATTTCGCCCTCCCTCGGCCTCCGGTTCTTCCACGTAAAGTTGTTGCGTTTGTGCGCTTTTCTTCCGTCAACCACTTAATCCATTGCTAACTCTTGTTGAACTCCTAGCATCCGTTTCTTTTACATATCCCCTTTATTCTCTACTCCACCAGGAGCCCAGGGCTATCTCGCCTCATCTCCAGCTCCTCCGGTCTTCTTTCAGACATCAGCTCGTCTTTAAGAAAAAAGCCCTGCTCTCCTCCTTCACAAACTGTAAAATATTTGGGCATTGTCAAGGAGACCATAGACAGCATTCCAGCTCCGTCACAGCTGCGGTCGATCAATGAAGGAGATGATCTCAACAAGATAGAGTTTAACCTCTCCGGTCTGTCAGAAACCTAGGGGTCGAAGAATGCGGGTTTGTTAAAGAGGTCAAAGACACAACGACATCCCAACACAACGCCAGAAAGAGCTGATGGAGTTGAAGGCCTAGACCTTCCCGGTGGAGTACCGAGCCGGGGTGGAAGACTCATAATCCGAAGCCTTCATTAGTACTACACGGATACTCTACATCCAACGACGGCCCCGAGGATTTCCGAGGCCCGTTTATTGTCAAGACTGACATCTAGCTTTTAGTGCGACAGTACCACTATATCACGCTCACCCTGACGACTTCCTACTCCCTAATCAGGCTAGTGGACGGCGTGGCAACATGAACTTGGGTAGCAAATGAAGCAGGTGCTACAATCGTAACGGCCCGATATGCTAGCTCAAAAGGAGAATTAGACGATCTGGAAGATAGCGGTTATGATATATAGAATAAGTAGCCAACTATGATGTTCAATCCCTAAATTGATTGATGCGATGCCTTCCACGCGCTTTTGTACAATCTTCGTAACGCTAAAAGTTTAGGAGAATTGTTGATGCCTTTTACCTACCACAAATAGGCAACAAAAAGGTAAAAAAGATTGGACTTGCTGGGAATCGAACCCAGGACCTTTCCCATGCTAAGGGAAAATTATACCACTAAACCACAAGCCCGAGCATGTAACTTGCTTGATTTATACCTTATTTGCTTGTTAGTATATTTATATACTCATTCCAGTTTTATGTACTGGAATTGGAATCAGACCTTTTCGTGCATTATCGCTTCTGCTTTAGAGGGGCTTAGGTAAAATTTCACAAAACTTCGGTTCCGTAAGCGAACGGAAACTCCCGAACTCCGTAAGCGAGTCGATTCTATGTTCCTCTAACGGACGCTTGTCTCTATCTTCTTGCATCCTGCGTGTTCTTACCCTCGATAGGTCATTTCTCAGATATTGCTGCTGGGCAACAGGAACCAACGTCTCTCGTGGATGCTGTACGAGCTTACAAGGACAAGATGAAGTGCATAACAACACTGTAGAAAAATCTGTAGCTATATTTCCAACAATTATAAGAGCGCAATGATAACAGCAGCTTGAATTGTCGTTATTCACCCTTCCCTAGAAGAAGAGGCGGCAATTGTGATCCTCTTGTTACGTATGAGATTACCGCAGGATAAAAGTAACCAAGTAAAGGCACAGAAGGAGTGCTGAGACTTACAGAAGACAAAGTTAGGGAACACGACAATGCGCGGGCGACCTTGGGTCAGCAGTCACGTGATGATGATCACCCAGCTCCTGCCTTGGAAAGTGTAAGCCAAGCACACATGATGGATTGCAATGATCGAAAGAATCATAGTGCAAGCCTGTCACGAACAGACTCAAGCTTGGCCAGACGCGCCCTTCTAGGAGCTAGGCTTAAAGCCGGACCGTATGTGTCTATGTAGGACTAGACCGGACAAGGAAGGACTATCCGAATGCAGCAAGAGGGAGAACCAAGAAATAACATATATATAATGGCAATGAAACTCTGTCCAGAAGGGCAGCAATTTGACTTACGGAGAAGAGCAAGTTCAGCCTATCTTCCAGTGTATTGCACACACCCATATTTTTGACAAAGCCATATTCAAAAGAGGACGAATACCTCGCTTCCGAAACTCCATTTACATTAATGAGAACCCCATAACTGCCGGATCATTCGCTAACCGCACGTATATGTATTCAGTAGAACAGGAAAAGGGGGCATGTGATATATATGTTGAGTTTCAGGGATTGCCTTCTATTGCTGCTATTGTAAGCCATGATGGTAATGAAAGAGCCTACACAGGTGTGAGAGTTTTATGCGCGTGTATTTATATGGCTACGTACCCCTAAGAATATAGGCTGTTCCTAGACAATAGCTAAATATGTCCTACTGCACTACTCTTCTCTAATTCAGATGCGAACTACGAAAATTGCCCACCCACTGTCTGATGCCATGCTTAACCAAGGAAACACAGAGAAGCGATGCATTACCGCAGAATAGAGAACCTTGGGTTAAGAAGTGGGCCAGTGAGCCAATTTCTGTTTCGAGTAGCAAAAGGTCAACCTTTTACTAAGTACAGCAGAAGGATATATGTAGGCGGGTGAATGTACGTGCGACAGTTTCAAGACATCGCATTAGCATAGCAGTTCCAGCATCGTGCCTTTCTTAATCAGCAGCGTACTAGCAGAGGCATGTGTAGGAGAGGCTCACATTGTGTTCGGTTCGGAGATAGGAAAGGGGATCTGCCGGAAGTTTTGCTAGTTGAGTTCCTCTTCTACGCTTACTGTGTCCTGCTGGTTTGGGTGTAGACGTCCGGCGTCTCTTGCAAATTGGATGGTGGCTCTGACAGTTCACGTTTGGCTCCTATCGCTTGATCAGCTCGTCGATATTCTAGCCTCATTCTTATCTGCTCGGTCAGTCTCCTAGCGCATACGATAAGTCTGAATTACTGTCTATGCTATTACCTTGCTTTCTCTCCCTGCGGTGTCTCTCTTCTGCAGAGGAAGAAGAACTGCAGTATTGATTTTGTAGGCCCGCAATTATAGGTAGCCGTCTAGGGCACGATGAACTTGTGCATTAATTCCTTTGGAAATGTCTTACCAGTTGTCAGCTGCTAATACAACGCTGCAGACTTGTCTAGACCCAGTGCCATTGTTTATTCAAAGCTTCTTCACTGTCTCTGCGACCGTCTCTTGACATTCACTGGCCCCCTAGCTTTGTATTGATTGCAGCGCAGATTGCGAGTTAGAGAAGATTTGTATACGGGAGGCGGATTGTACAGATCGTTCCTTGCCGAGACACACATGAGGGATCTTACGGCTAGCTAGCTAGCTGCCTTGCTGATGGCTGGGAGGTCTGTGAGGTGAGCATCGGTCTGGTTTAAGCTTGCCACTATCTTTGATATTGATACGTCTGACGTGGTAGCGTATATGCCAATTCTCACCCTGTCGTTGGACATTGATGTATCAACGTGGATATCAACCCGTCCTAGCCTTACCCACCTGGCCTACTTTATCCGCCAGGTGTGCCCAGTACCGCAGTTCTTTCTACGCGTCACCCCGAGGATCTTACAGTAACCATGGACATGGGTGGGGTCTCTTTTCCTTTGAATCGGAACAGTGCAGTTGCGTGTCGACCTATATCTTTGTACCTGGCAAGGTGGATGAAAAACGTCTTTGTGGCTTCGAACTCAGCGCCGCTAACGTTAGTGCGTTCCCGCTGCTCCAACATTGATACAACCTCTTCCTTCCCATTTGCAGCTTGCCTGCGTGAACAGAGAGAAGGGCCGGCCCACTCCTGCCATGGGTACATATATACCCCCGGCAGCTCCATAGCATTTGTCGACAACTACTCGGCATGGATAGTGGGCTCATCGTCAGAGGAAAACGCGCGGATCACCCAGGCCCTGCACGTGACGCGGCCAAGAAAATCATGAGCGGCTCTCGGTGGAACGTAATTCCGACTTCCAATCCGTGAACCAACTCTTATTGGTTAAATAGTGCCAGCAAATCCTAGCGTCAGCTGCACCAGCATTCTCAGCCCTATCGAGCCGAAAGATACACTATGACTCTCTAACATACTACCGGCTTTGCAACTGGGTGCATTTCGCCCGTGTGCCGTTGTAAAACTATTGCTGGGCCTGGCTACTTCTCTACCATTCGTGTCATGGATGGTCTTTCGGGGGCAGCAAGCGTTGCCTCTATCGTTGACATAGCTGCTAAAATCGCCTCCCTCTGCTTCCAGTACTCAGTCGCCGTGAAGAATGCAAAGAAGGATGTTAACCGCCTTCAGAGAACAGTTACTGACATTAAGGATGTCCTCAAAAAGTCGAACAGCTCCTCTAGAGACACGGCAAACCACGGCTCTCAACTATACACAAGTTATCATCAACAACTACAAGGGCTGGAAGCACAGCTAGAGCCTGAGAAGGCCCGCAAAGCAATGCACCGTTTTGGTGTGCGAGCTTTAAAGTGGCCTTTCACAAATAAGCAGGTCGAGAAGATGTCTCCAGTCTTGAAAAATATGAGCAGACTTTCAGCCTCGCGCTTCACATTGATCAAATGTAAGTGTTCCGTATCTCTCTCAATTTTAGAGATAACAGTATCTAAATATCATATTCTAATAGCGCTCTTATCCACGACATCGATTAGAAGCTTGACTTAGCGAAACTGCCTATCGCCGAAGGAGCGTCCTTCGACGAGCACATGGACGAGCACAACGCAAGGTGCCTCGCAAACACTAGAGTGGAGCTGCGGCGTCAGATTGCTAAATGGGCTGAGGACGGAAACAGCAAGCCCATATTCTAGCTGAAAGGCATGGCCGGCACTGGAATGTCAACAATTGCGCGGAGTGTTGCCCAGTCATTTGCCGACCAACACCGACTAGGGGCCAGCTTTTTCTTCAAGAAAGGTGAGGGACAGCGCAGTAATGCTTCAAGATTCTTCACCACTATCACTACAGATCTGATAGTCCGTGTACCAGGACTTATCGTAGGCGTAAGAAAAGCACTCGACGCAGACCCAGCTATTCCACAAAGGGCTCTAAAAGACCAATTCGAGAAGTTAATTCTCCACCCGCTCTTAGAAATACAACAGGCTCCATCACAAACCCTAGCGTGCATTATTGTCATTGACGCACTAGACGAATGTGAGCGAGAAGATGACATTCGAGCAATTCTTCAGCTCCTTTCCCGAACTAAGGATATTAGGCCAGTGTCGTTAAAGGTTCTAGTGACAAGTAGGCCGGCCCTCCCGATTCGTCTTGAATTTAAACAAATGATGGACTGAACATACCAAGATCTAGTTCTCCAAGATGCCCCAGAGACAATAATCGAACACGATATGACCCTCTTCTTCAAATATGAACTCAGAGAGGTACGACGTCAGCGCTCGCTATCGCCGGACTGGCCTAATGAAGACCAAATCCAGACCCTAGTCAAGCTAGCTATCCCATTATTCATCTTCGCTGCTACTGCCTGTCGATATATTAGAGATCCACGAGACAATCCCAAAAAGCGCCTAGCAGCCGTACTTCAATATCAATCGGCCACCCATGTTTCCAACCTTGATAGGACGTACCTCTTCATCCTAAACCAGCTGTTTGATGACGAAGATAAAGCAGACAAACAAAGGCGCACAAGCGAGTTCCGAGAAATAGTTGGGAGTATTGTTCTTCTAAAGAGTCCGCTCTCTATTGTCTCACTTGTACAACTCCTTGGAAGCCCGAAAGACGATATTATCTGTCGGCTAGACTCCCTACACTCTGTTCTGAGCATCCCTGTTAACGAGGATGTGCCTATTAGACTGCTCCATCTGTCCTTTCGTGACTTCCTTGTGGATGATCAAAAATGGGAGAAGAGCCTGTTCTGGGTAGACAAGAGAGAGGCACATGAAAGGCTAGCTAATAAGTGTCTTCAACTAATGTCTAGCCCAAGTGGGCTAAGGCAAAACATGTGCAACCTCCCAATTCCTGGGACTCTAAGGAGTCAGATCGATGAAAAGACAATTTCCAGCAGTCTATCACCCGAGTTGCAATATGCTTGCCGTTATTGGGTGCACCACCTAGAGAAGAGCAAACGCTATATTCATGACAAGGATTCGATCTACCGCTTTTTTTAGAAGTATTTCCTATACTGGCTAGACGCCATGAGTCTTCTTAGAGAAACATACAAATGCATCCATATGCTTAGCAGCTTACAGGCGCTTGTAGACGTAAGATTAGGCCAATCTCCCTGCTACAATTTCTGTACTTACCTGAAATGTAGTTAGACGAGAATGCTAGTTCTAGCTTTCTTCGCGATGCAAAACGATTTGCACTACACTTCCAACTTATATTAGAGCATGCGCCTCTACAGGTCTATTCTTCAAGCCTTATCTTTGCTCCAGAAATGAGTGTCATAAGTGAGACATACAAAAGCCATATTCCGAGATGGATTAGAAGGATATCAAAGATAGATGACTGGGACGCTTGCCGCAGCACGCTCGAGGGCCATACCAATCCAGTCAGCGCCGTGGCCTTCTCGCCAGACGGCCAGCTAGTAGCGTCGGCATCTGAAGACGGCACTGTACGGCTGTGGGATGTAGCGACGGGGTCTTGCCGCAGCACGCTCGAGGGCCATACCAATTCGGTCAGCGCAGTGGCCTTCTCACCAGATGGCCAGTGTCTACAGACAGATAGAGGAAACATCTATCTATGCCTATATCCTAGAAGGGCTTCTCCTTTTCAGAACAAGGGGTTATTTAGACTCTTTGTACAGAATCAGTGGGTTGCGCTGAACGAACAACCTTTCCTGTGGCTACCTCCGGAGTACAGGGGAATATTTACAGCAGTGTATGAAGATACAATTTGCTTAGGACACTCATCCGGCAATGTTGCTTTCCTTGTGGTTAATTAGAGCAGCGCTTGCACAGGGCTTTTTCTTATTATATATATTATTAACTTTATCTTTATTTCATAGAGGAAGCCGGGGAGCAGCAAATATTTATGTTGCAACAAATTCGCCTCTCGAATCTTCTAGACTACGGGGGACGGTGCTTATTTTAGAAGCCTAATAATACATATGAAAAGGTACCAGTTTTATTTGTACTGGTGAGAAGCGTAGCCAATCCTTGATCATATTCTCATGTGGAAATCAACTTTGAATTCAGTTGACCAATTACACCCCTGAGTCTTTGAGATTAGAGCTAGAAGGTTCTATCGAACAGAGTTGGCAACAATCAAGTAACTTGCAAGTTAAAACTGTTCTCCGCGTGCTAAGATTAATTTAATTAAGGCAAGTTGTACTATAGCAAAAAGCTAATTCAGTTAAGCTTAGAGCAAATTTCTGCTGAACTTGATTAAATACTGAATTTATTCTAGTAAGGTTATTAGGCTTGCTGTAGTAATAATCTTATAATGGTTTTTAAGTGTTAAGTTTTAGCTAGTTAGCTCTTGCGTTGTTAACAAGCAAGAACAATCAAATTTCGCAACAATCCTAACATAATTAGGTAATTGTAACAATTCGCATGAATCGTTCCATTCAAGTTACCTGATGAACCTACATCCATAGGTTCCGCGTATTTGCCCCGACCCTACCCTGCCCCCTGCGCTACCCCTATCTCCAAATATTTAGCTGCACCTCTCCCCTTAGCTAGCTTAGTAGTTTTCTAATATCCTTTCGTACGAGGCCTATAGGTGTCAATAGAATTTCCAGGTTTTTGAGTCCCCACGCACTCCCATATGCCTCTGAGTGGATTCACACCGCATTCGGACCCATTGTCTTGCCTGCGCCGTTACAGTAATTAGCAAATTGTGTGATTAGCTTAATTTGTTTAGTATCAAGTTTTTAGCGTGTTTGTTCTAAAGCTTAATTACTTCCTAGTATTTTAAATGCAGCTGTAATTACACTTATATATAAATTGTAAGCTAGCATAATTTTATTTGTATAGGTTGTAGATTTTATTTATTATCTTATCTGCAAGCCGTGCCTCTGCCTTAGATTTGTGTTTTAGCTTAAAGCCTGCTCCCTGCTAGCTCTTTATACACTGTAGTGCTGCTAACCTAGGCAAGGAAGCACAGCGCAGCAGTTGTTAACAACGTTGTCTTATAGATAAAGCCTAAGTAGCTAATATAGCACTTATAGTAGTATTTACATACCTAGAAGGCCCACTGTAGAGTCTTAAGTTTGCTAACGCAATAGCTGTAATTGTATACTTAGTTCCTTTTGTGTTGTTGCGTATGCAAAGGCTTACAATAACTAGGTAATTAGTCTTATACAATACCTACAAAGTTATCTATAAGGTGCCTATTAGGGCCTCTATCACTGCTATTATTGCTGCTATTAACAACCTTAGGCTCCTCTGTAGGCGCCTTAGTGGCAGCTTTTGAGCTTTCAGCAGGCGCAGCAATTGCGCCCTTAGGCAACAAATAGAGCAACTGCGTTTCAATCAGGCGCTCGTCAGTAGCCTAGCTTGCAGTAATAGCCAACGCTTTGCGCAGTAAGGTGCGTACAGGTAACTTAGGCTGCGCAGCCTCTACAAGGATAGGCTGTGAGGCAGTGCCTTAGGCTGTTCTGGCGCGTTTTGGAGTAACTTTGTGCCCCTTAGCGCTGCGTTTCGAGCGGACAGGAGGCATCCTATTAGGTAGCAGGAGCAAGTACTACAACACTAAGAAGCGCTATTGCAATAACAATACAGCAACAATAAGTAGCTAGTTGCCTACACAAGATAGGACAACGCGTACTATAGGATAACTAAGCCTAAAACTTAACACTACAAAGCTATTGCAAGATTAAAGCTTATATACAATACAAAAGCCTTAACGTTCTATTAAGAATTAGAATATTTTCTAATTAGAAAGATAATTTAGTCCTGTTTTGTTTAGAAAATACACTAAAGTTAGACTAATTTAGCGCAACATAAAGAATACGTTAGGAACAATTAGGAACTAATTAGGAGATTGTTTGTTAACAAGTCTAGTTAGCTCTTGTAGTAACTCTAGCTACTTTAACTTTACATACTTTACTGCCTCTTGCTGCTAATATGCCCCTTGGACGCATTAAACGAGCTGCTAATGCTGCTAACAGCACTGCAGAACAACCTACAGAGCGCACTAAAGCTACTGCACAAGACACTAAGAGCTAGCTAATTAAGTTTAATAATACGCAGCGCACCTTACTGCGCAAGGCCTTAACAGAGTCGCAGTTATGGGAGAGCCAGCTGCGTGATACCTAGCCTCAGGAGGCAATTGTTGCACCTGCTGCTTTAAAAGCAGCTACATCTATCCAGCGATTATAACGACTGGAAACGATTAGGTAGACCCCTGGTAAAGGGGTCTGTGGCTAGGGAGAAAGCTGGGGATCTCTTGCGTTCGCCTTACTTGATGCGGATTTCAAGAACCCCAAATGTGACCTCTTTCAACATAAGATTCTTGCACAGTTGTAAGTAGAACATGTACAATAAGAGTAGCTAGATATGTAGAGAAGAAGGCGCCCGGTGTATAGTGTAGGTATATTAATATTTTCCGCAATGACAGAAAGAGTACCAAAGGCAGCCAGAAGTTTACACAGAAATGAAGGCAGATAGAATACAAATGTTCGCCCAGATTTAAAACCCTTTTATCCCTCCAGATCTCCCCTATCTTTTCTCTTCCCTCTCGAGTGCCGAAAAACAACAATATAATACCATAACCCAATCGTGAGCGCCGTAAAGGATATAGTTATCAATACATAAACCCACAGGTATGTTGACACAGTTTGTGTACCAGGCTGGTTAGACCAGTTGAAAAAGGTCATTGAAAACATGCTCTACAAGGTATCAGTATACACACCATGATTTATGTAGAAATAGCACTCACAGCGAAAAATGTGCCTGGCAAAAAGATCATCGTTACCAGCGCGATCGATCTCATATGTCTCGAATCTTGGTTTGTAGCTAGTGCTACCTCAACGTTCGTTTCGCTATGTGACTACTTTTATCAGTGCTTACTCCCCAATAAACTTCTGTGAAATAGACTGACCCATTGCGTCGCCATAGCCATGCCCTCAACACGCATGGTACAATCTCGGATCTTGTCGTCGTTTTCGTCCCTGATTGACATGAGGCGGGACTCAATTTTAAACCCAGCGTCGCGCATCTGGCTGTAGGTGTCTTCTCCAATATCGTCCTGATTTTTGCCAGTCATCTGGGAAAGTCGCTCCGTCATTACGAGCTCGTTATTCTTAGTTCCCAGAGGTCCAAGTTCAACGCACTTGTCCTTTGATAAACATATGCTGCTATTCAAATTTATAGGCATCGTACAATCCCACGTCCGGGTGAGATCTGCATTTTCGTCTTGTATTAATGGTTCACATTCTGCAGAAGCTTCTACCTCGAACCATTCATCTCTTGACGGGCTTCTAGAGTTGCCGACGCTCCTAGTTTCAATTCGTTCGGCTGGTCGCCCAACTCTAGCACTGTGGCTTGGATATAATAGGTCATTGTTTCCATTCACATTGCGATACTCATCCCTATTGAGCTGCCGACAATGCTGAACCATTTTGGCCAATTGGATGTTCCAGCTTACGAGAGAGTTCCTAAGGTATGCAAGATCAAGATACGCAGTACGTTTTTCCTTGCTCCTTGCCTCTGCCTCTGCTCTCTGAGGGCCTTTGAGGTTATTGGACTGAAAATCGAGCTGAAATATCAGTGCCTCGAGCTTATTGCCCATCTCTTCAACCAAAGTCGTGTGTCGCCTTGCTTCAAACTCGGCAAACATGCCGGGCAGGAGAAGTGGGTGCGCCGCCTCCGCTTTCACTCGAGCCAACCGCATGACAATTTCCTTCTCAATAGAGAAAGGGCAACCGAAGAGGATCGCAAAGGTCAATCTGCTTTTAGGGAAATGAGTGGCTGTTAGAGCAAGATCCATCTCCCATGCGTTCGAAGATCGGCAATTGTATACTAACATTCTAGAATTAGCCATGATGGCTTTGTGTTGTGAATTAGGAAAATTACCATAAGCTGGCTCAGTCATTCTCACTTTATTGCAAGTAAATACTGGTACATCTGTCCGGCTTACAACTCGGGCAATGGATCCATGTGTGTGGAAGCTACTAGTGATCTGCCAGAAGGTATCTCTCGAGAATGGTATAGTTCGAACACCTCGGCGGCCGCTCAGTATTTGGCGTGCTGCGCTACTCGGATTCGACTGTTCTTTCTCCTGCAAAGGAGAGAAAGTGTCTGCTCTTCTGAGATCACATACTAAATGGCTCTCCTTATTCGCTCGTTCAATCCAGTCATCGGAAGTTACCTTTTTGACTCTCTGCAAAGCCGGTTCTCCACTTCGTTTCGCCAATCTGGAGTTCGAAAGTTATTGCGAGATCTCATTCAATGGTTGGAAACTCTTACAGCAGTACTACTCCAGAGTCACTTCCATTAATAGATGGGAGGTCCTGAGAGCAATCAGCAGCCCTCTTGATCTTCCTGCAAATAAGCTGCTCACATTTTCGATCCATTGAGACCACTGTTTCTCACTTTCTTGTGAAGATATCTCGACTCGCCACTGTGTTGTAAGCACGGACTCCAGCCTTCACGCGAGGACAGCACGTACATCTTGACTTGCTAGCATTCGAATAACGGTTGACTCCTTAGGCTCGTACTTGAACACCGTCTTCAGGTCTTCTTCGCTCAGATTGGCATTATCGCGTGCCCAATTCATCTCAGTAGGAAGTGGTTCTGTATTATTTTTGTGAAAGAGCAATCCAATGTTTCGTGACCTGTCTGCCGGTGGATGCTAGCTTTTGTAACCGGGGCGATCTTAAACCGGTGAACAAAGTGCCGCGCCCTGTGCGTTAGGTGTACAACCATTGGTTCGCTTCATATGCCACATAATTGAAGAGTGAATCTCTCCTTTCCATTTCTGGAGAGGCTGAAACTTTGAGGGCATTGAGTGATCCACGTCGATTCCAGCAAAGCATCTCAGGGCTATCTTTAGTCCTAGGGCCAACGTGAGGCTTATTTCCCTCACGCTCTCTTCTCTCAAACGTTACACTACTTGATTGGTATTACGCTACATTGCTACTGCGTAATTGGCTTGGCTCTCCTGAGGCAGACCTGGGCTCACCGATTACTCACGAATATGCCCGCAAAAAAATTCGGTAGCAAAAATTGCGAACCGCAGGACGCCTTAAGTCAACCTCGGAAAGCTTCTGTCGAGCTCTAGCTCTTCATCACTCAATCGTCGTGGTCCAACACCCTAATCTAGGAATCTTTCGATCGCGTCAAACCCCCCGACAAGCATCCCATCCCCGCCATGAAGACCATCATCATCCACGCCAGATACACTGACCAGTACGCCCTGGAAAACTTTCTGATTCAGAAATTCGGCTACGAGAAAGTCAGCATTCGAGTATGTGCATACCCATATCATGCCGGTCGAAAAGGCGACTGATATCTAGCGAAGTGGACGCGTGGCAAATACCAATGCGAAATCCCCAAATTGCTGAAACTGGTACGTTCGCCACATATGCCACGTTCACCTGAAGATACTATATGTTGGAAGCACTTGCTGACAATACCAAGGACGAACTCGAAGAACTGAAGCAATCTGTGGCAGTTGAGCATTACCAAGAGATCTAAAGAGCTGCGTAGCACTCCCATTCCACCCTCCGTCACGTTTAGCACAGAACCTAAACGACCGTCTTACATAATGCTACAACAACAAGCCTTCCTGGAGCTACGTACCTATAGAATATGAAATAGACGATGCGGGTCTTGTGGCCTTTCAGGTGTTTTGGGAATCATCAGTGGATATTGGTAGCAAGAGAAGGGAGAAGCGAAAACGTTCGGATAGAAGAGGAAGCTACCACACTTTAATTTGACACACTCCCAAAACTTCAGCCTTACTCTACTCTCTCTAATCAACCTGTTCCATCTCTGGCTTTGACTTTGAGTTAATCGTCTCTCCTCTGTATGTGTCCAATATAGGGGAGAAATTCTTGACCCTATCTCTTGCATGTTCATTTAATTCAGCTCTTACTCCAATTGGAGGAGCGTACTTTCGCTCTTTGGGGAGTGGTATCTGACCGTAGTCTTTTGCAGCCACATTTCTATGCAGCTCTTCAATCTTGGCAAGCAGTGGTCCGGATCGGATCCTCTCCATCTTCTTCGACAACACTACTATCATTTTATCGTGAATGATGTCGAGAAGGTCGTGAATATACCCCGTGCAGCCGGGATGGGCGTGCAGAGTGGACATCCACTAATATCTGTTAGATCTAGAGCCACCAGTACGTGAAATGCGCCTTACCTCAACAACCACCTCTTTCACTAGAATTACATGGTGATCATGTTCTGTCTTTTTTATATCGAAGAAAATGTTGGTATTCATCTTTGAGCCGAGGTAGAGCACCTTAGCCCGGTCAGCCTCAAACCGTTCGACCAAATCTATGCCTCCAAGAACCCAGCACACCATCTCCAAGAAGAGGCACCCTAGAGTCCATATGTCGAATGCTCTGGATATAATGCCACCCTCCTGGTCGCACTCTGGGGGTCGATAGTCCGGCGAATAGGGAATTTTTTTGCCGGGCTGATTGGAACGAGTTTCTAGGCGATGAATCGCCGAGATCCCCAGATCACCTATCACCAAGATTCCCTCCTCATCCTTATCCGATTTGAGCCAAAAGATATTCTCAGGCTTCAAGTCTCCGTGTCTTCCATATCTCTTGTCTTCGCGCGTGTCCAGATGTTTCGGGTTGTGGATATTGTGCAGACCGGAGGTGAGACCCCGAATCTGCCTCGAAACCCATTTCATTGTGCTTAGATTTAAGGCTCTGGTCTGCATATCATAGCATGGTTTCTTCCGCTTCCAGTAGTTCCCGAGATCACAGTCCGCCCACGGAAATACGAGGAAGTGACGGTTGCCCCAACTGTAAGACATCAGAAGCATGATGAGATGGTCATGCTTGTCGCTGAACATCCTCAGCATCTTAAGTTCCTTCTCAAAATCTTCAATGCCTTGGCTTTTCATTATCTTCAATGCGAACATTCCATTACCAACTCTGACTTGTGCTAGCTCATGGAATCCATGACATGCCGGATGGATACGCATACAAGAGATAAGGCCGAAACCCCCATCGGTACGCTTGTCCATGTCTTCCTCGGTCCATGGCAGTATCGTCCGGTGGTGATATTTTGCGTGTTTTATGGGAGCTTTTGGGTCGGATGCGAAACAAAAGTATGGGATCAGGAATTGGTATTGGAAGTTGTAGAATTGCTCAATTTCTCCCACTTTCCATTTGGGGAAGCAACGGAGCTCTTTCAGTGGAGACTTCCTAAGTGCGAGCTTAAATAGGCCATTTGAGTTATCTTTGTCGCATTGCACTAATGGTAGAGCATCGTCGCTTACGCCTGCCTCGATAAAACCCCTGATACTAGCCTCCTGTTCGCAAAGGACCAAGATTGTAAATATCTTGAGATATCGTTTACGACCAGGTGCGACACCTTCGGACTGCACGTCAGGCTCAATGGCGTTTTCGGCACCGTTTTCAATGTCTTCACCAAGGTCTTCCTCTGGGGCAATCCGATCCAAATACCATTTGACTCCATGACCCCAGAGGACGTGCCTAGAACATTCCTCTGCCTGAATGCTTTCTAATTCTTCCTCTACCCTTTCTCTTGACATGATCTTCCGTAAGAGCTGGTCCGGCCAGAATGTTTTGCCCTCATCCATATGTGAAATCTCGCATTTCCTCAACAGCGCTCGCAGATTCGAGTAGTCGTTTCCTCTGCAAAGACCGTCTGGGTTCGTGTCTTTCGGCTCCAGTCTCACCAAAGCGCCCATTGTGGTCACTCGGCGAAGCTGGTTGTTGAGTTGAAATATGGGATCGGGTGGCGCCATTGGAAGCTGGATCGATGGGTCTGTTTGCAATTCGTTCAACGACTAATCTTAAACACTAGTACGTAGATATAGCTAAATAGTCTTGCGGGATAAAGAAAGCGTATGTTTTAGTAAGAAAATAAATCAGAAGTCGCCAGGCTAACCTTGGGTGCCGCTCTGCATTCCCACCTTTCGTTTTCAAGTAATATTTGATAAGACCCTGATTTTGTTGACCACTTTCACGACCGGTCAATACGTCCTTCATAGCTGCCTATACGTAACAAATGATTGGTGGCCTTTGCCCACGATTTGCCTATTGCCTACAAATATTTGAAGGACGATATGTGCACAGCCGTGCGACATGCCAAAAGCCAAAGTTGAAATATATTGGTCGACATGTCGGCTGACTAGTGTGAGGAAAGGGTTAGGCTTCAGCCTTACCATCCATCAGTGCGCAGTGAGGAGGCTGCTCTACGCAAGACTGACCTGGCGGTCTGTTAGTGTCGATGCAATGAAGATGGTTCTCATTGCAACCCTTATAAGGCTGGCTCGGGCCTCGCTGTTCACTGGTGAAGTGCGCAGGAAAGAAACTGTTAGTTCCACGTTCACAAGGCTGCTCTTTCCCCATCGTTCGCTGGTGTAGTGAAGAGGCCGTTTGTCGCAGTATTAATCCAAATGAAATTCTGCAACCATGAACTCCGAATATACGACTATAAGGCGCGGGCATGGCCGTTACATTGTAAGCTCCAAGGAAATGGCAAAACGAGCGGGCCAACATGACCCAGTAAACTTGGTAGGTTCTTCCAATCCAATCATGAGATCGTTCCGGTAGCATCCATCACTAGTATTCAACTCAACTTTCCAACGTAAAATAAAACAAAGAACTCCTTTAGATTTTATTTTCACCTCGACCGCTCTTATCGTTACGAGTCACTAGCCAGTATCTCTGACGTTTGATCTTCTCCTATGATGGGAAATCAGCCTTGGCCAGGTCGAATATCATGATCAAGAGAAAGGGCCTTACTATATCTATGTCCTCGGTAGAACGTATATTGTACACGTTATGTCGCATCTTCGAGTAGAGAATGTTAAACACGTCATCAGACCATGCATTACCCGCTCACCTCGATCTTGAAAGCGCCACATCTGCCATTTGCACTTAACTGCAGTTCCACAGCCTTGAAGAGATGTCTTGGATCCGGAACACATTTTGTATGCACGACTCCAGTGAATTTGAGGTCTTCGTTTGTGGTGGCCATAGAAGGGGATCGTACCTCACGACTTTGTCGACGTATCGATACTCAGAGTCGAGATAATTGGGAGGTAAATATTTTTAGAGTAAGAAATCTCTCGGAATAGTAACGAAAGTATCGGGGGTAGATTCGCAGAAAGGGGAAATCGCGGGATCTTCAATTTGCCAGAATGTATGCCCTTTTTTTCAGTATGTGCCTGAGGGGTGGGGGTTATCTTTATTGGTGTCCAGATTTGGTGTGTGGCTGCACTCTTGGGGCACTGCAATGTTACAAGTACAAATTGATTGGGTATACGGAGTCCGTGGCATCTACATTTCGTCCTTCGTGTCATCCTCAATTTGGAGGATCTTCATATGTTCACCCTATCTTTGCAATGTTTCGGCTACTTTTCTTTTGTGTAGATGAAGTGAATCTCATTATTGTTCAAAATGCACGAGCTTTAAGGAATGTGTCAATATTTTGATGTTCATTTCGGCCAACAGCGTTCGAAATGTGTTGGATTTAAGACTTATATGCTTTTACCGCGTTGCCATTTGGTAATGTCAGCTGAGGGATGCTACGGGCTCCCATCAGCCAGAACGCGAAGCCCTGTCTCAGACAAGCATGAGGAAGGATGGGGCCAAAGGAGGATCTGGAGCGAGGTGGGCAGGACAGAGACGAGCGAAGGCAAAAAGGCAACCAAACGAAAATTTAGTATGATTCGTCCTGAGATGATACGCTAGGGTAACGAGGCAACGCCACGGCTCTACAATCGAGCCCCTTTCCCACCCATTTGGGCTCATCGGGGCGGCTTGAACTGGATGCTCAGTCTGACTGCAGAAGGGACTGTCCGCGGCCCGCAAGACTTTTCGGAGCGGAAAGAAGGGGTACACAATTGCGCAATATCTAGAAAGACGAGGGCCAGCCAGGTAAAACTAGGTGGATCCATCACTTGGGTTTCTATGGATGAACGCACCCGAAACTCGCAGGACGAAGCGATGAATAGTGTTACCAGCGGAAACATCAAATCAGGTTCTGACACGGTATGTCCCCCAACTAGCAGGCTTCCTCCAGCTCATTTCATCTTGAAAGGGAATCAACCGGTCTGAGCCTGCAGATTTCAGTCAACAAGCAATTCCAGCTCTGGAAGCTCTGGAAGCTCCAGTCATCAGCCTACCAAAGCCAATCACATGCAATAAAGACGGTGAAACATACCTTAGTAATCCAAATAATCTGTACACACCTTCAAAGAGTAGCGCCAGTAGCTTCATTAGAGACGGTGGCGACGCCATACAACTCAGCAGCACTGCCAACTCATCTCGCTTTGAAACTCCAATTGAGCATGTTATCTCTTCAGATAGGGAAGACCAAAACGCCGAATCTGGTACGTCATCGAAGAGCCAAAGCATATCTAAGAATAGTGGTGTCGATCATGGCAATCGCAGCGAGAATACGCAGTCGCAATCACTTTTAGATAAGCTTAGGGCAGCAAGGCTACCGTCTAAAGATGATGACGGCAAATTTTTCATACCAGTAGATAGGCTAGATGAAATAGTCACTGAACAGACAATACGCAAGGAACTCAAGACACTGAGTGTTGGTCAGAAGAAGGATCGACACACTCTCGCTGGACAGATCTGGAGAGCGCCTTCATCGAAACAAAAAACGACCAGACGGAAGATATTTGCAGTGCTGGCTTTAATGCAAAAAATTGATTCAATCTTAGACTTCATCGAAGAGGGAGTTTACGACAACAGGCTTCCATTCGTATATGCCGAGGATCAGGTTGAGGTGTGCTGTAAGAAAACGGGACAGCCTATTAAACTTTTCCAAGACAAGGCGAGATGGAAACCGCATGAAAAAGACCTTTTTCAGACCTACCAATGGTGGATGATGACACCCTATTTTCAACTTAGTTGCGAAGGGGAGAAGACTGTCCGTCGTATGCCCGTAGAGGACCTGGCTGTGCTCCCATTCACGGACGTAAAGACTACATCCGAAGGCGGATTCTCAGTAGTTCGCAAAGTAAAAATACACTCGGCGCATCACAATGCGCAGGATTTTTCGGTACGTCGTTCTTCTCAATCTCATATACGATCAAACGGCTAATAGACCCTGGCAGGCTCCTAGCCAAGAGCCTGTACATTTCGCGGTGAAAACTCTCAATTTTCAGGCAGACGCCAACGACCTAGAGAACCAGGAGGTGCAATCCCTCATCCGCCTGAACAACGAAAATCACCCCAACCTCATCAGGCTTCTGATGACTTTCCAGCACAAGAAGCACCTGCACTTGGTATTCCCATGGGCCGATGGAAATCTCCAAGACTTTTGGAGCAAGAAGTATCCGGACCCCAATTATCCTCTTCGAGACTACGATTTGGCTAGGTGGATGGCACAGCAGTGCTTAGGCCTCGCCCTGGGCCTTAGGGCTATCCACCACAACTGCGTTGATGAATCTCAAGCTCAGGAACAAGGCTTGGAGCCCGACGCAGCCCAGAAGAAATACGGCAAGCACGGCGATTTCAAACCGGAGAACATCTTATGGTTCAAGCAAAGTGGTGCAACCTCCGCCAACAGTGTAACAGGGGTTCTCAAAGTTTCCGACTTTGGTTTTGCTGACTTCCATGCATCAGCGTCAAAATCGGATATCCCCAGAGACAATGTTCTTGGCATAACTCCTACTTATCGAGCACCGGAATGGGATGTTCAGCGGAACGTGGCACCCTCATATGACCTCTGGTGTTTCGGATGTGTTCTGCTCGAATTCGTCGTGTGGTTCCTGCGCGGTTGGCAAGGGGTGCAGGAGTTTATGAATAAACGATTGGCCGATTCAGTTCATGAGATTCCAGGATACGAAGAGGATAAGTTCTTCAATCTTGATCCCCACGCAAGACAAGACATAAGAAAGGCTGTAGCGAAGAATTCTGTCCGAACCGAAATCCAGGATTTGCGCCAACACGAGAAGTGTAGCGATTTCATTCTCGATTTACTCGACCATGTCGAAGATTACCTCCTCCGCATGCGGCCAGAGAAAAGGGCCAGCTGCGACAACACCGTTAGTGTGCTCCAAAGAATCGTTGAAAAATGCTTTGCGGATGCAAAGTACTGCACCAAGCGACAGCAGACCATTCGGGAAAAAAGAGGAACAGATTTATCTGAGCTCACTCACAAGTTGTCTCCGAAGTTGAGAAGAAAGGAACTCAGTGCTGTTGCGCAGTCACAGGCAAGGCCCTCCACCGGTACGAATATAATAGACTATGGAAGAGGTATCACTCTATTAGAAACGGAGAATAATAAACGCTCGTCTGTAGCGGTTACTTCAGCGGAACCAACACCCCCTCTTGGTACTCCTAACGATGGTCGCTCATTGTCATCACCAACTTCACCAGAGTCAGTGCCTCTTCCCGATAGAGCGGAAACCGATAAGTCATTGCCTACTACTCCAGAGTCAACGCCTCTCCCTGGCAGAGCAAACGCCGACTCATCATTATCAGCTCCTGTACCACCAAAGCCAACTCCTCAGCCACTGGGCCTAGGCATCGAACATGACCCACAGTTTTTAAGTGTAGCTCCTTCACATGTTCCTCGAAGCGAAAATTCAGACAAAACCTCCCAAGGAAGCAATACGAATGCCAAGGAAAGTAGCAAGGAAAGCATGCTAGTAGAGACAGGTAGCGTTGTAGCAAAAAGTGACGAGAATGCTCCACAAGAGAGCAAGAGCCTTTGGAAACGGGTTTTGCGCAAATTAAAAAGGCGAAACTTCCATTTTAGACTTCCCTGTTTTGATCCCGACCGACGTTAGCAAGACTTATAGATTCGATGGACTCCCTTTTGAGATACCCTGGCTTACCTACTTTCCTCTTCTTATTCGGAACACCCCGTGACCTTTGTAGGACAAAGAACGTGGGGAATTCCCTCCTTATTGTAATCTTAAGTGCGGTACTTTTTTGTTTAAGTTGTATTACGTAGACTTGAATTTCGTAGTATAGCTTGCATGCTTGCGTCAAGCGGGTGTAGTCCTGCCCAATAGACTGAACCAGCCATCAGTCCACCCTTCTATGCTTCTCTCTACCTCTTTTATTTCTTCACTATTTAGATTAATAGTTATACACAATATTGGGTTCCTTGCCGCTAACATAAAAAAATCTTTGCGAAATGCTCACTCCTCTCAGAAAAGGAAACTTGAAGTATTGTGAGTTGTACAAATTTATCGGTTCAGCATGTGCGGAGATATAATTCGAAAGCTCTCAGCAGCCATATCTACCTTTAATCTCTTTTGATGCTCAAGGGTCCCAGTGCATCGATGTAATAACCAAGATATCGCCCGAGCTGCATAACTTCTAACGGCAAGAATTGCCAGTCTTACGGCATTTGACATGAGCTGCGTATCGTCCATGTACCGCAGGTTGCATATACAGTCACGGTTTAAGATACATCGGTTTGTAAACAAGGACTATCTTAATCATGACACCATCAGGCTGGAGATTGATATTTCGTGAATGAAAGATAGAAATGGGCTTCTTTCTAATTTTTCGAAGCAAAACAACTTCAGAAACTTAAATCTCTATTGCACGTGAATGCAGGACAAGCTGAATTATCAATGCGTGCGTATTATCTCATGTTAGGTATCTAAACATATCTCAACCACAAGTATCTCCTCTCACCCCTACAGCGCCCATTCCTCTCTATCATCCGTCGCAGATATAAACGGCTCATCAATCAACTTGACGGCCATTTCGCTACGCAGCACACTGTACGCACATTTATTAGCAACGATCATTGACATGAGCTTAAAAATTTACCAAGAAGACCCCACCAAGGCATCCAGCTCTCTAATCGCCTTTTCCCTCTTTGCACCCACACTCGCCCCCTTACTAACCTCCATCTGAAGTTCCGCGATTCGCTTGCCTCTTGCAATACCCGCAAGCTCAACGACCTTTTTAGCGAGACAATCGCTATGAAAGGCGTGCTGGCATGGAAATACGAAGAACTGTCTCGCCAACAACGGCAGTCCACAGACATAGCATCTTTCTCCGGGCTCCACAATTGCGTAGCATTGTCCGAGGGTCTTGATGTCGGTTTTAATGTGTGCGGCGGTTTCTTCACTCTCATCCATTTTGCGTGAGTAGTCTTCGAGCGCGGCGCAGATTTCTTCTTTAAAGTCATCGATCACGACAAAATCCAGGAAGAAAGGTATCAAATCCTCTATCCTCAGCAAATCGACTCGACGCAGGAATTCGATTGCGGTTTTGATGCCTGATGATTGGGAAATTACTTTCTTGGCGATAGCAAGCCAGAGTTTTTTCTCGCAGTGCTGGCTCAGTGTCAGACCGGTCGGCGACGCTGCTTGCGAGATCGACTTCGTCGTACTCAAGGGCAAGGTCGACAGCTTTGACGTACTGGCTTATGGAACTATAGATGTGGACGCAGCTTTGGACTCGCTTATGCTGTATGCAAAGACGGAGGGCGAAGTCGGCGTCATAGTTCTGTTCGTGGGCGTACGATTGTGCTTTCAAATAGTCGAGAAGCGCAGATTCGTCGTTGATCGGATGTGAGGCATATATTGATATGAGTGTGTTGTGGACGGCAGCATCAGTCGATTGATGTTGGTTGATCTCAAACGAAAGGTATCGCACGGCCTGGTTCAGGTTCAGCGGGGCTTTCGTGATGTTGTTGTAGTTTAGAAAGGCGGGGATGAGCTTTTGAGCATCAAGGTTAGCCTGCCTCATCATAATCTCAACGAGATCTACTGGTACATGCTCCATCAGGACGCTGCTGTACTTGTAAAAGATATCCGGATTTGTCTGCTTCTTAAGCACGTCCAGAGACTCTTGCCAGCGCTCCCTTTGCAATTAGTATGCAAGGACGTAATTGTAGTCATTGACAACGGTTGCAAAGAACAAGAGCTCCTCCTCTCTCCCATGACTGCTAATAATTCCATACACCGTCTTGCGATCAAGATCAGTCCTGTACTTTGTGGCAAAGTCCTGGAAGTCTTTCCTAATCACGGACAGTTTGTCTTGAGTTTCGGCTGTGTTCATGCTCTCCGAGAGCTCGGCCTTGGTTGTGATGGTGTCGTCTAGAGTGTTGAGCTTCGCCATGTAGAGTTCAACGAGCCAGGTAGCCACCATCACTCTCTGCATGACAGCAGACTTCTTTAGAGTTGTCAGCTTTGCCAGGAGATACTTCCGTAAAGCGTCTTGTTCTCCTTTGTCGATGAAAGTGAGAGCCACTTGCTCAAAGGGCTTGGTGCTCCGACCGTACACCGAGGCTGCCTCAAGATACTGCGCCTTTCCAACCAGATAGTCGCCGGATGCCGTTGCCACAGAGTCTTTCTGAGATGAGGTTTTGGCAAACTGAGAAGCGGCCTCGAAATGTTAGGCTTTCAAGAGAATCTTCCACACATCTCTACTTTCGTCGGTGACAACGATCTCGAATATTTCTTGCGTGGTGAAAAGCCAGTACGTGTTCTTCTTGATGTCTGCAACAAGCCCAAGAGCGCTCTGGCCAGGCTCCAAAACACCCTGATCCAGCACGACTGTATCGTCCAAGCGATTAATGGCTATTATCCTTCCTTCAACGAGTTGCAGAATGTGCCATTGGCTGAGGATTATCGATGTCACCGCATCTTGGGTCTTCTTTGCGCGGCCGCCAGCTTGTTGCGATGGTGGTATTTGAGATCTAGGCAGCATCTTTGATTCTGACAAAATCTGGTTGCCCAATTCTGAGGTGTCCACCGATAGATGCAGCTTTCCATGTAGCACCCCTGAGAAGTGAGCCAAGCAAAAGCTCTGTCCGAGGTGGTATGGTCCAAAGGAGGGATATCCTGTATTTCTGGAGAAACGCTCAGACAGGAAGGAGCACCGGGTGACACGTTTAAAACCTCATGAACAGTGGCTGTCTCGGTTTCAAAGGATAACCGTCAACCCTGCGCTTCAATCACGAAGCTAACAGCGCTTTTACAACCCGAGCCCAAGGTCCCTACCAAGAAGTCCAAGAACCTGCAACCAATTTCCCCCACCAAAGGATCAGGCTGGGGTTTGGTACACGGCACAGCCTAGTTACACAGCCTAGCTGCTATGAACTGCCGCTAACAAAGGACAAAATGGCAGCACAAGTGCGATTGCTGAATGCACTCAAGGAGGGGAAGTTGGAGATTCCTTGAGTGGATTATGAAGCTAGAAGGGGAGCCCAAGAAGGTATATGAAGTGGAGAGTTTACAAGTTGAAGAAGCCTGTGAAGGGTGCTGGCTATAAACCGATCGACAGAAATCGGAGAAGAAGAGCAAGAGGAGTATAACATATCGAGCTTGTCGATCCGTCTGCGGAATATCCTAGGTCATGGCAGCCACTGTGCTCCCTTCTTTGCTGTGGCTGTCGGTTGCGGAGTGCCTAGGTGTCAAACAGTATGAGTGCTGCACTGGGAATCTCCAAACCCGTCTCAGGGCAAGAGGAAGGGTGAGGACGCCGAGGAACCCAAGCAAACGCCGAATAAAGGGGAAGCGGCCTCAAAGAAGACAGCTGCTAACTCAGCAAAGCCCGCACCAGGCCCAAAGCAGAAAGAACCAACAGCATAACGCAAGCCAACAAGCCCCGACGAAGATGAATGACCCACCCTCGGAGAAAGGCTCTACTCGGACTTTCTCTGCAAGCTTACTATGTCCAATCTTTAGCTCGCTGTCAAGGTAATTGGCTATGTCCTGATTGCGCCATTCTTATCCTTCTAGAGCTAGATCCAGGCTTTCTGGATCGTTATATGTGGGTAATGCCTGCTTGAAGAAAAGACTCAGAACTTGATACCGGCTGACACGGTAAGCTCCCCTATATGCTTGCAAATGGATATCATATCCCGGACCTGGTTTTCCTCGCACTCATCTAACGCATCAATGAAATAGACCATAGAAGACGTTCCAAGGCTCCGTATGGCTTGTTCCAACAGCATTTTGAGAGATTCAACTCTCCACTGATGATCTACGCTGCTGCAGGCCAAAGCATCTGGACGATATAATGAAGCAAGTGCGAGCCCCCCATGGCCGCTGGCAGCATTTCGAGGTAGGTGGTGTGCCTCGCATCGCAAACATGATACAAGATTGGAAGAAAGGAGGGTGCGATGACCTTGAGATCACCCGTCGTCTAATCGATCTGTTCTTTGTCTCTGTCCTCTTGGATGCTGGTTCTGGTGATTACTGACGTTACGTTGAGCCTGGGGTGGAGCAAGAGTATGAGCGGAGCGAAGGCATTGCAGTGGCTAGCTTACACATGTTCAATTCGCTGGCTTTTGCAGCGGAGAAGGATGCGAAGACGCATTTGGTTGACGGTAATCACCTGTGGATCTTCAAGTGTGCTCATGTGTTAATTGAAATGGCTCACAGGCAAGGGTTTAGAACAGCTCAAGACGGATACACTGGAAAAAGGGTTTCAAGTTTCGGATAGTAACCCAATGCCCGGTGTTGACACTCGTGCAGGGCTGCTCCGGAGTTTAGGGGAATCCTTACTTGCTCATTCTGACGTGTTCGGTGCCGAAGGTCGCCCAGGAAATCTTGTTGGTAAGTCCACCTAGCTACGCACTAGATTATTCTAGAAAGCTTGCTGAGGCCACCCCCAGATCACATTGTAAAGTCTGCTAGAAAGTCTTCAAAAGTGGACATTCTCATACTATAGGATATCCTCCAGTCACTTATCATCCCTATCTGGCCTAGCGATCGCACAACCATCGGCAGACACCCTATCGGCGACGCATGGCCATTAAGTACTTTGCAGAAACAAGCCACGTCCTCGGATTCCAAGGACAGCAGCGCAGAATACATTCAGCCCTTTCACAAGCTCACCCAGTGGCTTACTTACTCCCTAATAGTGCCTATTCAACGAGTCTTAGGCTTGCAATGGACTAACACTGAGTTCCTGACCGCCTTAGCTGAATACCGCAATGGTGGTCTCTTCGTCGATTTGGGAGTGCTGTCACTGAAAAAGGAGGTACTCAATCGAGGCTTGAGAGCATCTGGCGGGCAACTACCACTCTTCGAGGCAGGAGATGATGTTATTGTTGAGTGGCGGGTCATGACGTTGGTGCTGATTGACAAACTGTACAGCATGGTTCTATCTCGGATGAACGGAGTTGACTTGACCCTGGCACAACTACTTGAGGCCGGCACGTGGAAGTCTGGTCGTGAGGTTGCGACACGGCGTCGTCCGGAAACGAAATCGAGCCCGATTATGATCAAAAGCGATGGTACAGTATTTTGACTCTTCCATATCAGCTATGAAGCCGACAGGAATAACTGGAAGGCTGAAGTCCATTAAAATAGAGGTTAGGATTCTCGTTAATATACCATCTTAACACGTGCATGACATAGATAATGCAGGATCTCTAGGCCCTTCTGATATTCATATATGAGCTTGTGCGTCTCCCGAATCAAAACACTTATAGTAATGTTGAACACTCAATAATAGGAAGAGACTTTGTGAGCTAAAAACGACTCCGTCACAACATTTCACTCACTTCCAGTTCGTCCTTGGTGAATCAGCACAATGTTGCAAGAAACGTAGTGGAATACTAACTTCTAACTCTCCAGGCATTATCAGTCCCCTCACACCCCAGCTCCTCAGCCCTGGGTGACCCCTCACATATTCTCTATATTTTGGCGCGCCTGGTCTCACCACATTATCAGCCACTACAACGGAACCCGTCTTCAGCAACCCAAGCTCCTCGCAAACCTTAAGATCCTGCTCATACAGATCCTCGACATGATCTATAAACAGGAAATCGATATGCTCCAACTCGCCGTCAGCCTTCAAATTCCGAAGCGACTCATCAGCAGGTCCTGTCACAACGGTGACAACTTCCGTGAGCCCGGCAATGGCGATCAGCTCCTTTGCGATAGCAGCGAATTCTGGTTCAAATTCGAGGCTCCAGAGGCGGGGCGGGCGGTCAGTTCCTGCACTCCTCCGCATTTGGTCTGCGAACAGGATCGCTGAGTATCCGACGTATCCGCCCAGCTCAACTAGAACTTTTGGTTTATTTTCAGTGAGGAGGTCGGCTACAATGCGGCCTTTGTCGCTTCCGATGTTGATCAGGAAATCCTCTTGGCTGGCGAAGTCATCCATGGCCTTCAACACCTTCGACGGGCTATCATGCATTTGTGCGAACTCGGAGTGTTGTTTGATGTACGCGAGGAGTGCACGTTCTCGACCGCCTTTCCACTATTTTTAGTTAGAAAGTGTTTAAATATTAGCGGAAAGAAAATAGCGGACCTCTGAATACCCTTCGTCCTTGAACTTCTTTAGGGATGGATATTTCTCGAATATCTCCTCGGGCATTGTGGTCGACATTCCTAGAGAAGATGTTCGAGAGAAATAGTTAAAAGGGATACGGAATACAAAACGGGAGGACTCGACCTGTCTGGTTCCTTTATATACTCCTCCTTTGGATGACAAAGCGGGCTGCTGACGCGAGCGTTGACTGAATGCGGTCTCGTAAGTTTGGAAATTTCGCAACATGATGCAACGGTCCCAGCTCTCTCACTGAGGATGCATTGACGCTGTGTTGTAACTGGTGCACATTTCTTCACTCAAAGTGGTGAAGGAGTTTCCCTATTCATTGGAAGAGTTTGATAAAACGGCGGGAGAGCTCCTACTTATGTGCGACCTTAACAATGCATATGCTGCCTTACTATAATCCTTCGTCTTAAAATTGGGTTATGGGAGGAGTAATAGCTGTAAACAGTTTGGTGTTAAGTTTAAGCAAATGCTTTTAATTCGCTAGTTCCTCCCCAACGCCTGATATAAGGCACATGGAAAAGCCCATATGCGCAACAGTTTTATAATACATCTGATCACGTTCATCTTGCCCTGTACCCCTCTTGTCCAAATAATGCATCAGTTAGTAGCATTCGGACGGCCTGTTTGTCACCTTTGAAAAGATTCTTGATTCACGGAGTGTTGAGTTTCTAGAAGGGAGGCAGCCAGAATGTGTATCCTCCGTTCTTCATCCGGAAGACGCTCAAGAGGAAGCTGTACATGCAGAGCACAACACCACTCCACAAGAAGACAGCAAATTGTTGGGCCCTAGGGTCCGCAATGCGGGGTACCTTCAAGGCAAGAGAGATTGTGGCGAAAGAAAGAACTCCATCTAGAAGTGGGTATATCAGTATAGCCAATGCACTACTCAATAGGAACAACTTACATATCGCGGCAACAATCTGCGACTCCAAGCCAAACTGATTGCTGAACCCGCCAGCAAAGTAGCTAATACCGCCCTTACCATCACCAGATACATAAGGGACTTTTCTGATATGGTTGAACATGTGTCCGCTGGTGAAGAGAAGAACGGCGATTAGGCTGAAGGCGGCCCAGAGGTTGCGGTTTTGTAGGATAGGAACAAGGTAAGGAGCCGCGACCGCGAAAAGGGTAATCACACCAAGAATGGCGGTGGTCACAGAAACAATCTTGATGTAGTTGATAGGTCGCTGCACTACAGGTTTCGGAACATCGGCGGGGAGCTGTCGGGAGACCCATTTGTGAATCTGCTCGGCGGATTGCGGACTATGGAGAATTAGACTGTATAGATGAATAGTTGTACGACTGGACACTTACCCGCCCGTGAATTCGAACTTGGCTGGCTGAGAGTCAAGCTTCGCATTCGGTCCAACGGTGGGATGGAAGAAGAGGAGGATTGGGGCAGTCTGGAGCATCAACTACACATGCAGATTAGCAATCACGTTTCATTATAAAGGAAGGGATTGTTATACAGCTTGGAAAGTGTTCTTGCCATCCACGAAATCCAGTGTTCCATATAGTAATCGACTCTCCGCATTCTTGTCACCCTTCAACCAGCTCTTGCCCAATAGTTCCCATTCTGGCTGAAACTCTCGGCACAGAGTGCAACCAAATCTCGTCTCCAGCGCCGTCAGCAGGACTGCAACAGAGTAGTCTCTTGGTGCTTTGGTCAATTGAGCATACGCTTGGTCGTCCAGCTTCAGCGGACCCGAGGACAGCGATTTGGCACGGTAGTCGTTGAATCGGTCGCCGAAGGGCTTCTTGGCTGCCAGAGCAGTGAAAGGAATGACCGAAGCCGTGAGGATCTGTAGCCACCGCATTGTAGGTTGAGGAGTGAAAGACGAAGAAAACCAAAGCTCACGGTTGTGCTTGATGCTTGAACACTGAGGTCTCCGTGGCCTTTTGGGCGTACGTAATCCACCTGCCAAGATTTTTTGACAGGGGTCTAAAGTAGATCAGGGCTATCTACTTTCGATGAATTTTACTGTGGCGAACTGCTCTGTTTGTTTATATTCTATTTCACCTCATCTTTCACCGTCTACATAAGCAGACCCTTCATTACTACCACGTGATAGCGATTATATAAGAAAAAGACGACGTCTTGGCACAGAACGTCTTGCCAAGCCGAGTGTTTGTTTATCGACGCGTCGACCGCACCCCTCTAAAGTTCTGAACCTGTCCTACGCCTTACGCTCATCTGCATCATTCAAAGAACAGAATTATAAAAATGTTTTCAAACATGGAGTTAGATGATATTCCTGAAATAGAAGACGTAAGTATAGACTTCGACTGCAAGAGCGGTAACTATCATCTAACGTTTCATCGTTCAGTTGCAGCATTCACTTCGCACTGCAGGCCTTGAGCTTAGTCTTGAACGAAGCAAGCACTCAGTCCAAGTAGTCGCCAAGGACGAAGAGATTCGGAAGCTGCGACTCAGCCAATTGCTCCTACGTGATCAGATCGACGATCTTCATGAACAGTTGGAGGAAGAACAAGCGCGCTCGGATGGGCTGGAAGTGGAATTGGATGATGCTCTAATGCAATTGGATCAACTCAAGGCGGATGCCGAGTTATCACAAAACCAGATTCGCACACAGACCCGGGAGGTCGCAAATCTAAAGGTACGGAGGGCAATCACCAACTCGGTCGCACTTTCTCACTAACACACGTGGCAGGCCGAACTTAAAGCTATGGAGAATGTCACTTCCGACTCGAACAAGATCCTTTCCGAGAAACTCGCCTTGACCCGCGAGATGTCATCCTTACGGCCCGAGGTGGAGCATCTACGAGCCCAAGTCGAGTCCAACCAAGGATTGCTCGCCGAGAAACTATCACTACAGCGCCAGCTGACCACCTTACAAGTTGAAGTCGAGAACGAGAAGCGTGCATCCGCCCGCGCCATGGCCAAGCAAGGAAAGAAGTCCCAACAGGACGAAGAACTCCAGAACGAAGTGGACGAGCTTCGAAAAGAGCTGGCCAAGGAGAAGAAGGATCGGCTAAAGCTGGATGCTGCTCTTACGAAGGCAGAGAAGGCCACAGAGAAGGCCCAGGCCGAACTCGAAGACCAACAGCAGGCAACGGAGCGCGCCCAGGCGAAGCTAGACAGAGCGAACAAGAAATATGCCAGTAAAGATAGCGAGCGAGATGAGCAACGCAACGCCGAACTTGAGGAACTTCGTGAACAGCTCGAACAGGAGAAGCGCGCACGCCAAAGAGCAGAGAAGGCCTCTAAGAAAGGAAGCGATCGTGATGCAGAGCTGGAGGAGCTTCGACAGGAATTGGAGCAGGAGAAGCGCGAGCGCCAGAAAGCCGAAAAGACTAGCAAGAAAAGTAGCCCGCCCAATGATCCGCAAGCGGACGCCCTCCGGAAAGACTTGGAAGAGCAAAAGCGTGAAAACAGAATGGCGGAGAAGGAATATCAGAGGACACTGGCCGAAATACAAGGTCGCAACAACGTACTGGACGACAAGCTGAGTCAATTCAGAGACAAGCTCCGAGCCACCAAGGATAAACTCAAGGAGAAAGAAACCGAGCTTCTGAAAGCGCAGAGTGCGCTACCCGTGAGAGCGACGACCGATGTGGCCTGTAAGGCAGCGAAGAATGCTCGAAAACGCATGGCGGCCTCAGTCGAACCGGAGGCTACGAATCTTGGCACACCAGGAGACGGTTTCCCTGCAAAGAAGGCCAAGCGTGCCGCCTCTGTTGCGATTGGTGACCAGTCGACCTTTTCGCTCACACCCTTCCTCAACCGTACGGCCAATGTAGCCCCAGCCAGCCCAATCACTGAAGAGCCGGAAGAAGAGGAGCAGGTTCCCGAGTCAGAAGCTACGCCTACCGCACCCCCCAAAAAGACCATCAAGAAGGTTTCTCAGCGAAAGCCCAAACCACTCGCACCATCCGCATCCAACAAAGCAAATGCCAAACCCCCCCCTCGCAAGAAGACCGCTATTCCCACCCTTGAGAAAGTGACTGAAGAAGCATCTGAACTTTCCGAGGACAAGGAATCGTCCGAGAACGCTCTAGTCATCATCCCGCTCAAGGATGCAGACGATGGAGCAACAAAGGAGAAAACTCTCGTTCCCAAGATCAAGCCTCGCAAATCTCTAATGTCCTTCGCTAACTTTATGGAGGAGCCCGCGGCCGAAAAGAAGAAGAAGCGCAAGCTGGGAGGTAGCAGCAACTCTGGCCTGGGAAAGACGTTATTTGACGATGATGAGGATGTGAGGCCGGTTAAGCCCACGGCCGGCAAAAGCATCTTTGCAGCCCGAGCCTTGGGGAAGAGTGTCCTTGGTAAAGGACCCTCGCGTCCCATCAGCGGTGGGTATAATATGATGAGTGAGGAGAATTTCACATTCTCTCCGTTGAAGAAGGATAGGCGCAATGCTTCCATCTTAAAGTAGTCGAAATGTCTGTTAGTATGGTCAGCATTTTAACAGAGAAACATCTGCGACGTACCCGTTATTCTGGCTGGTTTGTTGGCGTAAAGGGCAATTGGTTGGGTCTTGATCTTGCATCTTTGGGGGGGTTTAATGGGTTCATGTCAAGTTTCGGTCTGGTTAGATTGTGCTGGCTAAGAATGTGATCTTGGATTTCAAGTGCTTGACGCAGCGCTTCAGCGGCCGTGACGTCGGTATTGAACAATGATCCTGTATGTGTGTATGAAGGACTTGTCTCTTCTCTCCGCTATAATCTGCTCCCGTGCTAAGGTTTATAGAAAGCGTACCCTTTGTTGTACGTTGGTAGCCTCTCGTATGATTTTCTTGTGAATTAGAGGGAGGTTCATTAGAACATAGGGTATCAGGTTAGCTCTTAAGGATGCACCGGCGTGACTTGACTAGCCGAGATGCTAACAGCCAGTTTTGGTTCAGCCCACAAGTGATGTTTGGAGGTAGATTGACGGACGAAGGCTACGACGAAGAGGAGGCTGGAAGCTAGAAGCATGTGAAACATCGAATGAGGACAATACTCGGCGTACCCGATGTCGAAAAGGCAACTTCGCTGTGCTGACGGTCAGGGGGCTGGCTGCCTAGCCTGCGGTATTTTGTTGAAGCCCCATTTTCATCAGTATCGAACAGGGTACGAGTCGAGGGCAAAGAAATTCTTCGGCTATCTGATTGCCCTTGGTTGTTTCAAGAACAGACAGGACTTTTCTTGAAGCCGCTCTCTAGGATTGGCAATTTTCGTGGATTTGACACCGAGCCTCTAGGCGGGGGGGATCAAGGTATTGACAAAAGGGCTCACAGTGTTCAAGTGTGCCTTGCAAATTTCCCACCTGTAACAACACATCGCGAGCTGCAGCGGCGGGTGGAGGGGAGTCTCGTTTCTCAGGCTCCTCATACATTCACCGCGGATAGATGAGACTGGGCGTTAAGTCGCAGAAATATTGCATTGAGCCATAATGGAGTGATGGGTTGTGTCTGTGTTGTATGAATATGTCGACTTGTTGGGTAGAATTTTGTGCTCAGTTCCGGCACGGAGGGATCAACTAAGGGCAGCTCTTTCCAAGAGTTGGTAGGTCCTTGAGTACTTGAAAGAGTATTTCTTCTGAGGATATCCCTTGCTTTGTTGGTTAAGAGAGATTGACAGTGTTTGATTTAGTTACTTAGCCCTGCGTGAGTAAGTTAATCACTTGATCTTGCCTCCTGCAGTCCAGGAACACTGCCGAAGGACTCCAAATTCCAGATGAGAGCAATCGGGATGCCCTGATGAGGTTGAGGGCACTACATAATAGATGTGTCTGCCTCGCAGTTCTCCCGCTGGAGGAACGAAGATCTGGGATTGGGCCAAGAAGGAGGCACATCTAAAGAACTGGAACTGGCAACTTGAGCTTTGAGACAGGATGGGTCACGGAGGGAAGCTGGAAGGATTACCTTCTGGAACCTACTACAGAAAGCACAGCCTATGAGAGATTGGCAGGGGGACACTGCACAGTGCTGCCTCAAATTGGTCAATTGAACCGTGATATCTGTCTCTCACGGAAAGCATAGAGTGCTGTCATTGGCAGTGATAAGCGCGTTTAATGTGGTGCTTCTGAGGAACGAACATGTCGCACGATACAAACGGCGTTGGTGCTGAGTTCTGAATTCTGGGCACATGGTCTCTCTGCCTTAGGGCAATGTATCGAGGCGAGATTTACTAAGGGGGCGGTGCACCTGCTCCGGTGGAATAGATGGATGGATTCAGGAGATGAGGCCCCTGTCCGTTGCAAATCACTCACCGGTCCTAATACGCTGAATGCGATCCGGAAGATTTCATACGTCGAAATAAACGCCTATCCAATGACGCATTGTTCAGTCAGAAAAAGAGCAGATATTGGAGGAGAAACCGATGATAGCGAAATAGCAGTGAATTATCCAGAGTACAGGACAGACAGAGGAATGAGCAAAAAGATATGCATCCTTACCACAGTTCTCGCCCATCATGAAGAGCAGCCTGCGCCATGGTTGAATTTAAGACCTTCGGCCTGAGGTGCCTGAAGGGTGACATTTCCGTTGTTACCAGCCTCATCCTCCTGCGCTTGAATCTCAACCACATATGCACTCGCCACAGGACAGGCTCAGCCGTTTAGCTCATCCTTCGTGTGGCTCAGGACCTAACTCGATGCGCCTAGCAGCTTCGGTAACGATCCGAATATCAGAGTTGACGTAGGATGAGAGTGATCGATGCGTGCGATACGGAGAACAAAATCTGCCTTGGGGTGCACACTCAATGCACCATTGAAAGCTTGTGATCGTCAGCGATGTGGGCTAACAGTACGGCCTGTGTTCACATCTGCGGCCGTCTTTGCCGCCATGGCGTCTTGAGGTGTCTTGAGGGTGCCTTGTGGTCGTCGACCTTTGGTTGACTGCCGATCCACGTGGCGTGAGGGTCGATTCTCTTTAACCATGCCTGCATCACGAGTTTCAACGTGCATCCTCAGGGTACCGGGACGATTTGCTCCCGTTCGCGACGTGGCCCATCTCCTCGATTCTGAAGCTGTTAATATCTGCGCAATTCCTGTGCTACCGTCGCTGCTCCTCCGGAATCTGCTGAAATGAGGGGGAATAATCGCTCATTCCATGGATACTTCGCCTTGTGCTGTGATCTGTTGACTTCCTCTAAGCACAGCCCCCTTCACGAAGGGATAAGCTTCCAAGCCCTGGCGCTGATGGCCCACTAGCCTTGCAAGGACCTGGAGCTTCCCCGCCCGCTCGTAACGGATTTGCATTTAAGTTCACCATCACCACCTCGTCCTAAACAAACATCGTCTCATCTTGCACCACTCGCAGATTCCCCAGACATATCCTTCCCGCGAGTTTGGGATAAAATCTGTCAAGCTGTCGTCTACACGAGCATTTCTTGCTGATTCTTCTACCATCGACACTTCGACCACCCACACCAACATGAGCGACCACGGAAAAGCTCCAGTCAACGGTGCGAGCAGCCGCATCCCTGACGACCCAATCATTAAGGTCCAGCCGCCCCGTCGTGAGGACCTCCAGCCCTCATACTCGCGCATCATCAAGCCCGACGAGAACGATGACGAACAGCATGGCTGGTATGGTTCCATGATCAATACTCTGGGTTCCTGCATTGGCACTCTTGGAGCTATTCCTTGTTGCATTGTGTGCCCGAACCCCTACAAGCCCGTCAATCAGGGCAATGTTGGCCTGGTCACCAAATTCGGACGTTTCTCGCGCGCAGTGGATCCTGGACTTGTCAAGGTCAATCCTCTGTCTGAGAGCCTAATTCAGGTCGATGTCAAGATCCAGATCGTCGGTATGTATCCCCACAACGCTGCTGATGGTAATGACTAGGAACTGATTGTTGCTGCAGAGGTACCCAAGCAAGTCTGCATGACCAAGGACAATGTTTCTCTGCATCTCACCTCCGTCATTTACTACCGCATCGTCTCACCCCACCGAGCCGCCTTCGGTATTAGCAACATCCGCCAGGCACTCATCGAACGCACACAAACCACCCTTCGTCATGTTATTGGTGCGCGTGTCCTCCAAGACGTGATCGAGCGCCGTGAGGAAATCGCCCAATCCATCCGAGAGATCATCGAAGATATCGCCCTGGGCTGGGGTGTCGAGGTCGAGTCCATGCTCATCAAAGATATCATCTTCAGCCAGGAGCTCCAAGACTCCCTCTCCATGGCAGCGCAGTCTAAGCGGACTGGTGAGGCCAAAGTCATCGCGGCCCGCGCCGAGGTCGAGAGCGCCAAGTTGATGCGCCAGGCCGCCGACATCTTGTCTTCTGCTCCTGCCATGCAGATCCGCTATCTCGAAGCTATGCAGTCCATGGCGAAGTCAGCCAACTCCAAGGTCATCTTCTTACCCGCCCAGAACCAGACTGTGCAATCTCAGCTCGCCGCCGCTGAAGCCCATGGCGAGGGACCCAGCAAGTATGGTGCACAGAGCGCCGAGCATGAGTATGGTCATGGAAACCAGGGGTTCCAGAGCGCTATCAATGCGCACGTCATTGAGAACATGTAAGGACATGTCGTGATCGCAACTGCGAACTCGATCGACCTAAAACAGGGGGGACGACAAGGTTTCCTTTTATTTCATCTGTATTTGTATCTCTTCTTTGAATTAAAATGGATATGATGGTAGGTGGTGGACTATTCGTTTCCGAAGAGCAGAAAAGGGAATGGGTGTCGAAGTGTTTAGTGTTTTCTATGTCTTTCAGACTTTCATGATACCCAAACGGCGTCAAATTATCTGGTCACTCGCTTCTAACATACACCAACTCATGATAATGTAATGAAAGGTCCAATCTATAATGATATTATTTAAGAGGTACATTCAAGGCTATGTCTTTTATTTCTTGGGGGAAGAGTGCTTGAAAGCACCATCACCTTCAAACTAAGAAATCAAAACGAAGGCTTCGGTGTTCGGTTAGGAGATCTTTCAGTGGGTGGGTTGACGTAGCATTTGCGGCTTAGATTCTACGCGATGAAGATTCCAAATCTTCGTTGTACTAGTGCTAGCCGTTGCTCAGACGGAATAATTCCATCATGGGATGCATTCAGACACGCGACCTCGCCTCGAGGACACGACGGGATACATTCACGTGGTCGTGATGACCTAACTAGTTGATCATCAAGTAAGCACATGAAATTCACAAACCGCCTAGTATTCTACCCTACCTACGCTCCAAGTCTACGTCACGTGCTCCAGTTTTTTCTGTGTATACATACATACTCGTCACCACTGAAAAGAACATCTCCGTGAAAACGCGCAAGAAGCGCAACACAATTCTATCCGAGCCAGTGCAGTCCTCCACGCAGTTTACCCTCTAAAATGTGTTTCTACAAATAAGATTCCCTCCTCCCATTTCCGACGTAACGTTTTCATTGATATTGAAAAAGCTCGTGTCGATGAAAGCAGTAAAACGCCGTCGCTTATTCATGTGTAAAGAAAAGGGGTACTCCCAAAGTTGATTTACCCTAGCCCTGATACCGGTCCTGATGCAAAATGTTGTGACATAGGAAAATGAATAAGGGATTGTACAGTTGGGAAACGGCGATGTGGCCTTGGTCCCAGAAACGACGACTGGCGAAGATTCTGATCTCATCCAGAACTGTCGTGTAATGCAAAAATGCCCCGCCGCAAAATATCCAGGTCGGCAAATGGTTGAGTTATCGTGCCCCGGATGGGTGGGTAGAGTGCTCATCATGACACGACGTGGTAGGGTGCGGGAGCCATAGGAAGGGCAATGAAGAGGCAAGGACTATAGGAAGCTGCTTCGGCGCTTACCCATGACAAAGTCTCTAGTAAATTCAAAGCTGAGCCAGCTGCTGGCCATGCTGGGTGCGACTTTTAGAAGGTTGGGGACGATGCCTTTGTACAAGCCCCTGAAGCCTTCAGTTTTGAGAATCATTCGGACCGCATCTCCAATACCCCTGTATTGATAACCCATCCCAGACATGGTGTTGATTTGAAACCTACGGCGTAGAACATCACTGGACCTAAGGTTAGCATTAAATGGGCAAATGAGGGCCTTGAGAGACATACAAAGGATAGGTGCAAGTCTGAGCAACAGCTCCAGAGACGGCCCCTGCCGCCAGTTTACCAACCGCACTCGGATCCTTTTCACCCTCGGGGGTGAAATGTGTCCGCATGATCTCGTAAACCATGAAGTTGAGACCAACATAGGGAGCTACTCCGGCAACAGTAGGAATGATTCCACGGTATAGCGCTAAAAGGCCACCTTCACTCTTGTACATGGAAACTAGGACCCCCCACATTCCTGGAAGCTTCTTGCTCGTCACATCTTTTTTTAGTCCCTCAAAGGATGCAGATTGGATGGATAACCGTGTTCGGACAATGTCTAATGGGTATGTGAAAGTAACGGAGGTGATCCCAGCAAGACCACCACATAGGAGCCGTTTATAGGCACTTAATTGCGCACCTGGTGTTTCCTCGAAGAACTGCGTTTCGCTTAGTGAGCGACCTTGAACCTCTCCACTCGACCTCGGTATTCAGAAAGCTTATCAAATAAAGAACATATCCAAAATGCAACTTACTCTCTTATAAAAGTTATACGCCCCAAACTGGACAGCAGAGTACGGTACTATACGTATGCAATTGGTGCCATTACCGGCCATGAAACCTCTCCAGCCCTCTTCTCGCCACATCTTCGCCAGTGCCTTGTGGACCGACATTTTGTATTCGTCCCGGCCAACGCTCTGAACCTGGAACAAAATCTTGAGGCGTTCTAGGGGAGACACGACGGTTCGGGAGACGGCTCCAGCCACACCACCAGCGATAAAAGAAGCAAGCACAGGTTGCGCAACGATTTCCTTGAAGCGTTCAAGGCCAGAGTCGCCGGGAGGAGTGAGAGTTGCGGGCTGGAGACTTGTTAATGGGTGTTTGCCGGTTCAAACGGACTTCTACACGTACGTTGCCGCTGTTCCCAGGGCCTGACTGGAGAGCAGTCATAGTGCCGATTTGTCGTGGTCGCTCCTCGGAGCTTTGCGATGTGCTCATCGTCAGTCACGGGTGGAAACGCCAAAGAGCGGCAGGAATACGCCGAATGCAACAGGCTGCGCGCTGCCTGAGCAATTCTACGCCTAGCGAAGGAATAGAGAAGTCGTGCAACGCGGTGAGAAGGTCATGGGTCGTCGTCGCGGAGTTGATGCGCAAAGGAAAGGGTGTCAGCGAGTGCCTTTGCCATCCAAGGAGCGAAGCGAGATGGCCCTGGAAGCGTGTATAGTTGTGGACGGGACTGCGGCGGGAATTGGCAGTGGCGGGCCTTTGAAGCTTGCGATGAAGAAGTTCGAGGTGCGACCCGGGAATGAGGAAAGCCTTGAGAGATTTTAGCGTGCCGTTTTCAGAGTGGCGGCCACTGCCTCTAATAAACCTTTCACTGCTTTCCCGGCCCACCTTCATTGCGGTACTTTGCCCCGGCCTGACAGGCGCTTTCTTGCGCGTGGCCGTCCCCGACTCAGGCCAGGGGTCGCGAGGCATTGCCTGGATTGCTAGCTACTCACGATTGTTTCACGCGGTACGAATCATCTTCTCGCTCTGCGCCCAGCCATCAAGCCAGCACTTCACCAATCTAGAGCCTCATCTTGTCGGCTGCACTCCATGTCGGACTCCCATTGTCACGGGGCCTCATTAAAGTCGTCGCCGTACAGTCATCCCCTCGGTTCTTCTAGATCAAGGTCTCGTGCTACGAGAGGCGTTCAAGCACGCTGCGGAAATGAACAGCCGCTCGGAAACGGTACCGTGATTCGATGATTCCAGCTACCAATGCCATCGACGGCCGTGACGGTCAACTTCTTTCAGTGGCATTGACATGGCTTCTATCGGAAGCGATCTCATCGGCAATGCAGCCACACAGTCACCCATTCGTTCTTTGGGGTTCTTCAACACGCACGTAAGGCCGCGCGGGGTGCATCGCCGGCCGGGAAGAAGCAAAGACATTAGACTGACCGAGGCCTAAGGCGATAATAAATCGGACTCTAGGAGTATCAGACTGTCGCTTGATCGGTTGATAGTAAGATAAACTCGGAACAGGCCGATGTGATTGCCTTACTTGCCGAGCCAGACGATAACGTTCACTCTGGTTTAGCTTGGGAAATGTTCCTCCTATGCATAGCAGAATGGCAAGTGTTGCGAAAGGCAAGACAAGAGCCTTAGGCCACAATTTTGCAAACAGCCTTGAAGATTTGTAGACGTGAAAGCTTGGAGACGACGTGATGAAAATGTAGTCACTTTAACAGCGTATAAACTTCCTGATGTGTGTTGAATGGTACTACTGTTTGCTCCTTCAAAAAGGCAATTTCATCGTTGGCGAAGACAGACCCAGACTTGACAACACGTGTTTTCATAGAACTGCGAACCAGAGCCAAGTGCCATGGGTAGTGAAAAAGAGAGGTCGAATTTATAACTTTGAAGCTGGACCACGGACAGCCTTAAACGCCACAGTTGGCGCCGTCGATCCACCGCCACAGCTCTTCAACCCCCCAAAAGTTCTAGCTATGATGTGCTTTGATGTCGAGCTCCTCACATCCGCTTCATGCTGTCACGTCGCGTCTTCCGGCGATTGACGGATAGTCTACTCCTAGGCTCTTTCTCTAAACCTGCAGCTGGTTTCTCTATTGTTTCGAAGTACTCTTCGTGCCGTTCACATTCTCGACCGACTGCTTCTCCAATAAGACATGCTTCTTCTTCATCTTCTACAAGGTGGAAGTCTCGCCAAGGGAAGGACTTCTTTGCTAAGGAAGCGAGAGTGCAAGGTCTGAAGAGCCGAGCTGCATTCAAGCTTCTTGAGGTAATCAATAGCTTTTCGAATTGTCCAGGACATTGCTGACATTCGTTAGATGAATGAAAAGTACAAGCTCTTCAAGCCCGGTCAGACAGTTGTGGATCTGGTGATACGTTCATATCCCGTCAAATTGGCCAGATGCTAATGGTATTTAGGGTTTCGCTCCCGGATCCTGGTCGCAGGTCCGCTCTTGCACCCACTCTGACGCCTTTACAGCTCCTAACATTGCCTAGGTTGCGGTTAATCGCACAGTCCCTGACGGTCGCGTCGTTGGCATTGATATAATCCCCACACAACCACCCAAAGGCGTATCCACGATACAGGGCAATTTCCTGTCCCCAGCGATACAAGCGGAGGTCAGAGCATATGTACAAGATCCAAATCTTGGACGTCCTCATAGACAGACTGCATTGCCGATCCAGGAAGAGGATGGGTCCAAGGGACTCACCGAGGCAGAATCAGAAGAGATAGAGCGAGGCTATATTGACATTGGGCGACGGGAACACTTGGAAGGAGTAGAGACGGAGTCAATTGGTCAGCTTGATGCGGAACGAGACCACCCAGACGGGCGGGATGGCAAGTTGTCTCGGAAGGAAAGGGATCGGCGCGATGGAAGGGTCGTTGATGTAGTGCTGAGTGACATGTCCGAACCCTGGGACCAGACAACTGGATTTCATAAAAGGAGTCTTAGTGACCCATATTTCAGGATGATGAATACAAGCGGGATCGCGTTTAAGGACCATGCTGGCAGCATGGTAAGTTCTTCTAGCCGCCATTCTTACCAAACTAGCAGTCGTTGCTAATCACCTGTAGGACCTCTGCATGGCCGCCCTAGAGTTCTCCTTTGACACCCTGCGCGTCGGTGGCCACTTTCTGTGTAAATTTTACCAAGGATCGGAAGACAAAGCGCTGGAGACGAAACTCAAGAGACTATTCTCGAAAGTGCATCGGGAAAAGCCAGACTCATCTAGAAGTGTACAGTTTCCATGTCGTACTTGCACTTGCATACACTGACGCAAATCAGGAGTCTAAAGAGGCCTACTTTGTAGCCCTGCGCCGGAAGGAGAATCAAACCCGAGAGGAAGTGTTTCGGGAGTGACTTGCGTATATTCTACTCCTTGTACATCATTAATGCAGGATTTATCAGGTTCCTCCACCTCTATTCTATCACTTAGTAAATCTAATCTCCTTCATTGGCACCTCTGTGTAGTATGAATGGTTTCATGAGCGGATCGTGGAAGGTGCCGCTGAAAGGCTTACTCAGTCCTGAACCAAGTTCACTGGATCCGCGTCCTTGCCGGACTCGCGTTCGCTTATGGTCCCGTGAGAATAGGTCCTGTGAGAATAGCCAACGGCGGAGTTACACCTCGAATGTTTCACTACCAAACAGGATGCAGTTGGGAGGACCTCCTTCGGCCCCAATCGTGTCGTTAAGGGGATGCCAACTACGGCGACATTTGATTGATGGGAGAGGGGGATTCATGACGATACGAAGGCGTCTTGATTAGGTGGACTGCAGCGTTCTCCTGCCAATCTAGATGCGCCTCGTTCGACCGATAGAGGCCAGTTTTACATATTCTCCGGAGCGGAGCCAAGCGCGACAGGGATCCTGATGGCGTCGAGTCGTCAGAAGGGTGAATGGCGATGATCGATGAGACATGGGCGCCCGCAGAGGCTGCCAAATGATATATCCGTGGATATCTGCGCTGTCCATGGTCCCTGCCGTGCGCTCAAATCGTCGTCCTGCTCCTCCTGTGCCGTTCCCCTTCACAAGCGGGCCAGAATGCGTGCGCGTGCAGTGAATGTCGTGCTGGGTGTCGCCGCCACCAGCGCGTTCGTGCCGAAGCGGTGGATGGGGGGCTTTCGAGTCCGGCCATGGCACCCAACCTTATCACATTATTCCTTTCCCTGATCATCCCATCCCATCTGCCACCCCAATCTAAATCGAGCTGTACGACGCACCCAATGATTCTGAGTGCGTCCGATGGATTACCAAACTTTCAATAGCCAACAGCATCACCTGCCGTCCTCCCTCGGCGGCCCCTTCTCCACCGCCCTTCCAGGCACGTCGGCGTCCGCCCACCTCGCCCAGCCCACACATTCCCCGCAACAACAACAGCTGTACGCAGACCCACACGGCCGGTTCCAGCAGTCCGCTGCATCGCCTTTTCCCTTCGCCAATGGCCAGCAAGGTGGCTTCGCGGCCATGGGTGGCGGAAGCATCACGACCAGCGGTGGCGCCGTGACGCAGCCTGGAGGCCTGTCGCAGAACCAGCTTCACCAAGCACGAGGTAAGCCAACAACGACCGAGTCGCTTCCCCCTCCCCCTCCGAGCACCCAAAACTGCCCAAGAGAGCCCCCTGGAGTGCTGACGAGTAATAACGCAGCAGTGGCCCTTCAGCAGCAGAACTTCCAGCACCACGCGCAGCAGCAGCCCATCCACTCGCCGAACCCCTACTCAACCGCACCTTTCTCCCAGGGCCTCTCGTCGCCCGCCCTCTCCGCTGCCCAGAAGTTTGCTCAGCACCAGCAGCAGTCGCAGTCGCCCTCGAGCGCCGGCAACCACGTCTCACCCTATGCTACTCCTCAACAGCAGCACTCGCCCAGCCTCGCCGGACCCAACCACCATTCTCCGATGGCCACCGCTACGCCGACAAGCCAGCCCCAGATGTCGCAGCCGATGCAGACCCACACGCCCGTGAGGGCCGTCCCGCAGTCGCCGGTATCCCCTGTCGCGCAGGCCCGGGAGAAGGAGCGCATGACGACGCTGCTGGAGATTAACAACCTTTTGATCAAAGAGGTAGTCGACCTGCAGAGCCAGGGCAAGGCGGGGCACATTGGGCAACAACCCCCAACCCAGGACGGAAAGCCAGACGGAGACAAGCAGCAGCCCTCGAAGGAGTACGTCGAGTAAGTCCTCGACCCAGCCATCTCGTCTTACATATGCTAATAGCAAGTCTAGGTGCATGCGCCGGCTCCAGTCTAACCTCGCCTTCCTCGCACAGAACGCCGAGAAGAACCACAAACCCAACCAGCCCATACAGCCCGGGCCCGCCATCATGGCCGTGCCGTCATCACCTCCCCAACTTGTTGAGTTGTACATCAAACTACAGGGCCTCTATCCGAGATGGAAAGGACAGACCCAGCAGATGAAAGTTTCCCCGGGACCACAACGGCTAAACTCCATGGGACAGCAGCAAGCTAACACTACCATGCAACCCCCCAACAGCGCCGGATTACAGAACAATATGCAGAGCAACATGCAATCACCCCACAGCGCCGGACTACCACAAAACATGCAGCAGATGCAGCAGAACATGAATAACAATATAAACATGGCCCAGAATAATATTCAACAGCGGCAGCAGCAATCATCGACGCCACCACAAGCACCTCACATGTAACGCGCTTTGCAACAATCAACCACTGTATTTTTATATACCCATTTGGATCACGACACAGAGCCAGCAAACGAATGATTTTGCCCAAGGCTCAAACAACGAAACAAACCAGGTGCTTAGGGTTTTCCAAAAACAAAACGGGTGGGGTTGTGGGGGGTTTAGTCTGGATTTTTAGTTTTGGGAGACACCATATCACTTTTCGGGGATGGTACGGCCTATCACGTGTTTTGGGTCTTTTTCAATGGGACCGCGAAGTCTTGCTTGGGCATTTTCTTGATCATTCCGGGACGGACTATTAAATTTTTGGGCATATTTGAGTAAAGTCTACCTGCGCTAGATACCTTCAAGAAGTGTAGTTTGTAAAGTTATGAAGAAATGATAATGCAAGAGGGTTTTTTATGGACTGGGGATCTCCATTTTTGGCATTACGTGATATTGTAACTTCACTACGGGTGCCCAAGACTTAGAGACAACACGGCCTTATGCTTAGTTCTGGGGCTCTAGTCGTCACGTCAAGCGCGAAAAGCGCTCCCATTGAATGTCGTGGGGGAAGGAGTCAAATTTGGATTCTCATCTATACAGAACAAAAGTCTAATTCTCCTTAAGATGGGTAAAATTTGCATAACAATCGTGAAGGTATCTATCTTCATCGCTCGTTCATAGTCTCATAAAAAGTCCATACCATCTACCAGAAACAGAGAATAGAAAAGTGCTTGAATTCTGTAGGAAGGAGGGAAAGTAGGATTATGTAGCGGAGGAGACGTGTATAAGGAAAGAAAAGTTCGGACTGGCAAATCCAAATCCCCCAGAAATCCGAAGACATGAAACAAAACAACCAGCCACCAAAGAAAGAAAAAAAAGATAAAAAGCCAAGGCCATCGAAAGAAAAGCTACTTAAAAAGCCCGTTAAGAACGCTTTCCAACTTGTCGGCTAGAGGATCGTCCGCTCTGCGCCGCCCATACTGGTCAAACCGTGGTGGAAGATCGATAGTTTCGCCACTCCCGACCGAGTCTGGAGAGTCGTCACGATGTCGACTGTCAGTGTCATCTGCAGTGCGATGTCTACCCCTTCTATGATCCTCTGTATCATCTCGAGAAGAGTGACATGGTCGCTCAGGAGATTGTTCTTTTAGATTGAGGTCGAATTGAACAGACTTTGATGTTGTTGGCTGGGGTTGGGCTTGGACGGGGGATGGGGGAACTAGAGAGGAAGTTTTTAAACTATCTGTACGCGATGTAGAATCAGCAACGTGAGCAATATGGGCAGGCGAAAGCCTAGACCCACCACGATTGAAGTGCTCGGGGTCTGATGGAGCACTCACATTATCATCCGGGCGCCGGTATCTAGGGTCGTGAGCATAAGGATTGCCAGGTTCCGGGTTCATTGGGGGTGGTGGGTAACTGGTGGGGGCATCTCGAGCGTGTTGGGGTGAGGGATAATCGGCTGGGTTATACTGGTTGTAAGGAGCTTGGGGGTACTGAGCCTCTACGGGTTGGGTTGGGGGAGGGGGAAAGTAATTTGTCTCGGGGAAATATCGTGGATCTGAACTTGCAGCAGTAGTTGGGGGAGGGCTGTAGCTTCCAGTGGAATAGGCTGAATCTTCTTGTCCTAAGGGGATCTAAGCAACAATTTCGTTTGCTGTGGTTGGGATATCAACTTACTTTGTCGTTCCTTTTCAGCCTTCTTCCGATCTCGCCTCTTCGCAGCTTCGTGAGCGGCCAATCCAGCTACACCAGCAACGGCAGCTGTCTCCGCCACCTTCCGAGTGCGACTCTTGCTTCGGCTGCGACTTGAATGACGTCGGCGTTTACCTCCCGAGGAGGAACTTGACGAGCTCCGACGTCTATTGTACCTATGATCGGCTGGGTCTTCGTAATCTCGACTGAGCGACCGCCGATGATGGCTGCTCGCAACCGCATCGGTATAAATAGGATCACCACCGTACTCTACAAGGGCTGTGTCACTTGCTGTGCTACGCCGCCGGGTGCCGGAGGGTACCGACCTGGATCTTGATCTTGACCTTGACCTTGACCTTGATACTTCCCTCGCTTCCTTCTTAGCCTTGTGCTTCTCGTACAATCCAGTGACGGCGGCCCCGGCAACACCCGCGGCAGCAATTGGCACGCCCTGCCGAATACGGCTACGGCTACGTTCGCCCTTGCGACTGCGCGACTTGCTTCGGTGGCGTTCGACGAGGCCAGCTACTGCAGCACTGGCAAGACCAACTTGTGCGGCTCGACGATTTCGGTGTTCTGGATCCATGTGTCTGCTTTCAGACCTGACCCTTTCGGTCTCAGTGATGGCCGTGACAGAGGATCTCCTCCTCCTTGACCTGCTTCGGCGGTCTTCAATGATAGTTGTATTATTGTTGTTCCTTCGTCCCGCAGCGTAGGCTAGAGCTCCGAGGCCAGCAACAGCAGCAAGAGTCCCGATTTTCTTGGTCCTAGAGGATGATCGACTTCGGTGATGCCTACGCCCTCGTCGTTCCCTGGAACTAGACCTTGAGCGAGACTTGAGGCGGCTGATCGCTTCAGCGCCCACGGCCCCTAACGCACCGTAACCGACTGCTTGTCGCAGGTGATGACCAGGATCATCACCTTGCCTCTTTCTATGGTGCCTAACAAGTTCAGCTGCAGCTACTCCACCAAGAACACCTTCCGCGAGATGGCGGCGGTGATGAGGGCTTGAGTCACGTTCACGACCCCAAGTATCCTTCTCCTTGCGGACGAAGACAACATCGTCATCGCTGTAGTATCCGCGATCGTCATGGTAGCGGTCACGGCCATATTCCCGTTCATCATAATATGTTTCCTCACGACGACTTCCGCGGTCGACTTCCTTGACTTTACGCTCGTAGTAGTAGTCTTCCTCCCTACGAGGCTCGCGGCGGGAAACCTGTCGTTCTTCTGCGACTTCCGAGCGCTCTATAATTTCGTACTGTGGCTCTTCCCGGCGCAGGATGATCTGTTGCCGCGCAGGTGCTTCTTGAACGATGATGGGCTGCGGGGCCTCCTGTCGAATGATGATAGGCTGCGGCTGCTCAGGGCGGAAAAACTCCGTAGACTTGGAATACCTCTCCAGCTCATAGGGGGCTTCCCTCACGGGCTCGCGTTCAATTTCCCGTTCGATGCGATACTCCCGTACAGCTGGAGGGGACGGGGAGCGTTCTATCTCACGCTCGATGCGGTACTCGCGGATTTCCCGGCGCGGAGGAGAGGGGGAACGTTCTACCTCCCGCTCGATGAAGCGATACTCTCGCACTTCTCGCGGGGACGAGTCGTCGATAATATACTCGCGGGTTTCGCGAGTTTCGCGACGCTCTGGCTCACGGTGGACGACGTGCATTTCGGTTTCATACGTGTCCTCCTCTAAACTTCGATCTGGAATTTTGTATCGCTTTACTGTGGTGAAGCTGCGACCTCCACCGCGGGATGAGGTCGTCTCCCAGTCCCGCTCCCGCTCGCGCTCCCTGAAAACGGTGGACATGGCGGACGACTTGGGGAGTGCGACGAGGTGTGAATGTCGCGGGGTTGGGCTGAGTGGGGTGGAAGGAGAAGAGAGAAGGTGGTGGTGCAGTCAGGCGAGGGTCGTTTGCTCGACTAGCCAATGGCTAAGTGAGTGTTTCGAGGGGCTATATGGGTTGTGACAGGTCAGAGGGGCGCGGTAGATCGCACTGGTTGCCGATGGCACACTCGATTACTGGACTGCGGGGTTGTGTCGATCAACACGCTGCAACGACGGCTTTGGGCTTCGTACTAGAGGGCGAGAAACGGCGGATAGATGGGAGAAAATAGAGATGCACTCGAGCAGGAGACAGCGGCGCTGTTAAGAGTCGGGTAAGATCAGGCGCAAGACAGCAGGCGCGAGGCTGGCCAGGTGGTTCCCAGTTTCGAGGTAGAGTTTCAAATCGTGTGATGTCATACACAGCGCAGGGACATATGCGCACCACACACACTCAAACAAACTGACAGAGACAGGACTTCCACTGCGTGGAGGCTGTCCGCCAGGGCTCTAAATATCTCGGAGACACTGTTGAGGCCACGGCGCAAACACTGCCCGACTCACCACGACACCGTTTCCTGTCGCCGTAGTGTCTGTGCCGCATCCGCCTTGCGACGATGAGATTTCTGTCTGGACCGTACGCCGCAGTGCAACATGCAGGAAGCGTCCTAGATCATTATCCGTTTCACCTCCTCTTTGTGCCCGTATAGCTCACCAGACGAAGCAGAGCACTTGTGTTAGGGCTCTTCTGCATAGCCACGCAGACGGTGAAGACCCCCAAGTGCGAGGCAACGAGCACTGGCCCAGTGGCTGACAAGACTCATGCTGCTGAGCAGCAAGAGTCAATCACTCTGCTGCCTGTGGGCATCTCTGACCAACAGAAACCATCGCAGGTTTCGAAGAACACCCTACTCTCCTTATGCATCTGACATTGCCTCCATGGGGTTCGATCGGTGAACACCACGAGGACAGTCACAAGATCGTTGGAGCCCACCCTTCCAGGGTGCACCATGCCCCCGAGCTGCACAGCAGGCTCGTCTATCTCATCGTCAGCGTTTTTTCCCCACAGATAGTCCCAGCTGGGCAACTTTGCTCTCTTCCATGTCTCGCCCAACGACCTAGATGCCTCTTGCTAGTACTGGGGAGGTGGAGTGCAACACCGGTCCCTCATCAACCACCTGCATACCGGCAGCAAATCACAGCAGTAGCCTTGACAAACATCATATTTTCTTCAACTTTCCATGGTGTTCCCCGGCTCGGGCCTTGCGATCTTTATCTCGCCATGTCACATCACTAGCCACTAACTGAAGGCTACGTCCTAGGAAATTCTATGAGACGGAGGAACATCGATGCCACAAAGAAGCAAACAATTCAACCAATATTGAACGCAAACTGGGTGATGGCAAGCAACTAGCCAAAAGAGAAGGATATAGTGCTTTGCAAAAATTATCAAAGGAACTTGGAGGATATCGATGGTTTAATAAGGTGCCTAGTACTCCGTCGGGCAGCTTGGGTTCCGGTCAAGCACGGTCCAGGTAAGCTTCCGCCTTGATCTTGAAATCCTGGGGTTCCGTTTTCACCGGATACACAGGGACAAGGTAAGGCTCGAGGCTAGCTGGACGGAAGTCACCCACACCATGTGGTGTATACCTATTTGCACCACATGCCACAGCATATCCTCTGACGCGAAATGGTGGTATTTTTCTCAACGAGGAGCCTGTGAGAGAGTGGATCAAAATGAAATGCTTCACCATGACCGAGAACTGGTGGCCGATTGGCTTGATTGTGGCGAGAGTTGTTGGCTAGCCCCAAGTATGAGAACCTGTTCGTATGGAACACCTGTGGGCAGTTTTCGAGGATAAGGTACTATTTATTTTGAGCGTAGAGAAGATTTAAGTGTATGACAAGAGGCTTCCAGAAGACATTGAAGATTTGGATGCTAAGCAAAAACAGGTTCACGAGAAGTGTGGTCATAAATATACTCGTTTCAGAAGTGCTTTTGAAAGATTAACTCTCGAACCGTTCTGGTGCAGCCCAGCCGTGAGACGCGAATGGCACAACCGAAGCGAAATTTGCTTTCTCATGCACTTTTCCGGTCCTGAAGCCAACCACAGTATCAAGGGCTCTATCAGGCAAGTGGGCAAGTGGGCAAATTTTGACTTGTTCTCTCGTTCCCCCACAAGGCCTCACAATTAGTCTGTATCGATAGGAAACGGCTACAGTCAACTCTCGATGGCGCGATGCGCGATTAAACGATATTTCGATATAGCAATACATTTCTTAAACCTGAATTAATTTCCCACTAAAATATTCCATTTCGCGATACCTACTATATTGCAAGCTTTTAGCTAGATTATCATTATATTAAGAGATAAAATGCTACATGTGGCAATTACCAACAAGCAGCAACAGGCTCTGCGTTAATAGTATCAACGTCAGGGTCCTAGCCAGAGGCAGCTTAATGCGATTAAGTAGTTTAAGCAAGAGTACAACTATTGCATCTATTAGTTAACAGTATCAGAGTCCCTCTTAAAGCAATATAGCTACCTTAACAGTAGCTCTGCCACCACCCGCACACGTCAACAACAGGCACAGTGGCCTATCCTTAAAGCTGTCCTCTTTAACTAGCAGCAGCACCTTAAGAGCTCCAGCAGCAACGTCCCTAGCAATATCCTTATTAAGAAAGCAAAGGCTATCTAGCCGCAGATACCTAATTACGCTAACCTCCCTATACTAGAGTTTAGCTTAGGCTAGCTTACTAACTTTAAGCAACAGCATAATATTAAGCTTCATTAACACTAGGGCAAGGCTGCGTCAGTGCCAGCTAGGGCTAAAAAGAAGATGAGGGCTATTAGAACGCTGTGTGGAGAATACGCAGAGCAGGATATATTCAATATAGACAAGACAGGCCTATATTAGCAGCAGGCGCCGTTGTCAGGGCTTTCTACTAGAGCTTAACCTAGCAGGAAGAAGGATAAGAACTAAATATTAATTATATGCTACTGCAACTTTACTAGCAGCAAGCGCTTTACTCCTTAGGCTATTAGGAAGGCAGCTAGACCACATGCTCTACAATCTGTCAACCTTAAGGCTCTTAGCATCTAATAGTTATTAAATCCTAAGGCGTAGATAACACATACTATTATAATAGATTAGCTACAGGCCTTCTATCAGTAGATAGGAGAGACTAGGTCTATCCTGCTGCTAATAGACAACCACAGCGCTTATATCCTCAGCGTTAATCTCAAACCACCTCTACTAAATATCCACATTTAATAGCTGCCTGCCAACTTAACTAGCGTCTACCAGCCACTTAATTAGGGCGTGATTAGTCAGTTTAAGCGCTTATACAAGAAGCAATAGATACACTATATAGTTGCTAGCTACAAGCGCGGCGCAGATCTAGCAACTCAAGTTAACCTCTACTATGCCTTACGCTAGGCCTCTTAAGCCTAGTATAACAACCTTTAGAGCAATACAATCTATCGCTGCTTCTGCTAAGCTAGGATCTAGCCTTTACAAGAACTAATCTACCTGCCTAATCTAGAGGAGCAGTCTCAGCAGGAGCTAGAGGAGCTCTACCAGCAGGTGCAGCACGCAGGCAGGATTTAGGACGCTATAAGCCTTAAAAACTTCCTAAATCCTATTAATAAGGATCACAAGCCTACTTAATCTAACTTTAATGTAGCAAACGCAATTGCAACATATAGCTAGCAGCTAGTTAAAGACAAATTAGACAATAAAGGGCCTTCTATACAAATACCTACCTCTACGCAGGCAGAGCAGGCTCTTAAATTACTACTCTTATATCAAGAGCATACAGATTCAACAACTCCCCAGCAGATCAGAGCGCTCCAGCAGCTATATACTAAAGCAAAGGCTCAAAAGTCTAAGCAGTTTGTCTAGGGCACTCTAGATAGTTAGATTACGTAACCCTCTTGCTGCAACAATATTGCGATATAACAATATAATCCTCGTTCCAGAATTGTATCGCGCCATCGAGAGTTGACTGTACCGGGTAGAGCGGCGAGGGACGTCAGCTGCCAAGTACCTTCGCTGGCCTCTTGACCCCTACCGCCGCTGCCATGTTCCGAGAGGCGTTCATAAGGGGGTAATGGAACAAAATGGAACATGCACAGGCAGCGAGCCCCTAAAGGGATTTGAGACCAATGAGTCTCCAAGCTTGCAGCCAAGGCCACCCGCTCGATTATTTTTGCCCATTCGCGCAGGGGGGGCTCAGGAGATAAGATGTTCTGATTGTGCAATGGGCCTTGTCCGAATCCACAGTGAGGACGCGGCCTGCGTTGCATCCCCGGACAGCGCTTTGCGAATGGGTAACACGGCCGCTGTGACGTCTTGACAAGGCTCTCAACCGAGGAGTTGTTGCTAGCTAGCGTGTCGGTTGGCGCAACTTGTGGCAGGTGTTGGACAGAGGTGACAACGCTCAGTTTCGAAGGTGAACATCTTCATTTTCCTCCCACCTGTCGAGTCGCAGGCTTGTGTGGCTTATCGGGAGCCGGAACAGTGCGCGGCTCAGAGAAATCCCCCAAGCTTCAGAGCCAAGAAACGACGCCCACGGCCAAGCAGCTTGGCTCTATTTGTTGGTGTCAAATACCTCCTCAGTGCTCGCTAAACTTCCTGGGGGCGCGGGAGAGGGACTGCTGGACCTGCAGGGTTCCTGGCAGACCGTCCCTCCGCTAAAAATCCCCATAAGCTTCTGATTCCCATGAAACTGTCTTTTCCTAGTCGCCTGGTCTGTCTCCTTACTCTCGACACCTCGACCGCCAGTTCCTCGACAGCTGGCCTTCTCGTCGCCAACCTCATTCGTCTCCTCCCTTCTGTCTTGGTTTTGTTCTCGGCCGTCGAGGCACAAGGGGCACTGTTCCATGGTCGTCACGTCCGCGTCCTTCAACTCTCTGTCGGACCAATGACCACTCTCGTTACCGGATAATCTGATCATCTCTCCTTCTCTAGATCTTATTTCTAATCTTCAGACGGGTTCTCTTCACTGACCACCATGCCACCCCGCGACGCGAATTGGATAGACGTAAGTCTTGGCATATCATACTCACCCAAAAGCTGGAACGCCTGTTAATCGGTGTTATCTCTAGGGCCTCCGAGGAATAGCCTCATTCATGGTCGTATGCGGTCACCTTTGTACCGCATTCGTGCCATGGCTACATGCCCCAGCCGACGATCCCAAATCCGCACCACACCTCTTCCAACTCCCCTTCTTCCGCCTATGCGTGGGCGGCCGCGGCGCTGTAGCTCTCTTCTTTCTCATAACGGGCTATGTGAACTCAATTGGACCCATAGGCAAATCCCGTGCTGGGAACCATGACGCTGCATTTATGGGCATTGCTCGCAGTGCCTTGGCCCGATCAGGCAGGCTCGTCCTCCCCACTATGATCGCAACTGCCTTTAGTTGGTTTTTGGCCAACACCAACGCATACCACATGACCAAACATGTCGACTCAACTTGGATACGACAAGGGTGGCATCGCCAAGAGCCTACAATGTGGATGGCGCTCAAGACGCTGGTTCGCGCCGAAGTTGAGACGTGGACAATTGGCTGGGACGACTACGACGGAACACAATGGACGCTACACCTGTTTTTGGAAGGCAGCATGCTGGTGTACATGACCATGATGGCCACCGTTCTCGTAAAACCAAAAGCGAGGATCCTAGTTTTTGCCCTGCTCTACCTGTATTTCTGGCAACTTGGGGAGGGTAAGGCCAATGCTATAGAACGGGAATGTATTGAAACGTGCTAACGGATATAGGACTCGCTATCGGCGCATTGAAAGGCCTCAACATCGTCGTAGGAATGTTTGTTGCTGAACTTCACAACCACTACAAGGACGCTGCAACTTCCGTACTTCCAGCTCCAGTCCCAGGATTATTAATACTCGCGGGTATGTTCATGGCTTGTTACCCTCAGGATAATCCGCAAAATGCCTATTGGTCACATACGATGGCGCGAATGATGCATACCGTCACGGTCAAGGACGCGGATGTTCGGCGTTACTGGGATTCTATCGGAGCTTCGACCGTGCTCATTGGAATCTTCTTCTCCCGTAACGCCCGCCGAGTGCTCACCTCACCGATTTTCAATTTTCTTGGACGTGTTAGCTTCCCGGTGTATCTTTTACACAATTCACTGATTAAATCCGTTCTTACCTGGATGGTCTACCTCCCTTCGGCCATGAATCCTCCTCGGAACGAGAAAGGCGAGCAGATGGATCTGCAGCGAGGTTCAACAATGCACATGTTTATTGCCATCGGGATCTTCTACTATATTCTCTATCGGATGGCTTCACTCTGGATACAATACGTCGATCCAATTTGCGCAAATGTTGTGAACGCGACCACTAAATGGGCGTACGGAGAGTCACAGTCGAGTCACAATGGCCATCCTGTTCGAAATGGAAGCATCGAAAAGACAGTCCTTCCGGCGTAACGTTAAAGGTCTTTCCAAGACCCTTCCGGATTTTTCCCGACATTCATCAGTATATTATTCTGAGGCAGAGCCTAACCTTTGCCTCCTACATAACTTTTATTGCTCTCATATCTGCCTATTATGAAACGTTGGACCGAACTACACGCTATTTAAACAGACGAGACGCTAGGAGAAGTGGGGAGCGCATTTTTTTTTTCCAACTCTTTAAGCATTTACGCCACGAAAACCTTGGATCAATCAGGAAACATCTTCTGGAATGGAGTTTTACGGCAAAAGGACAGAATATACCCAGGACAGTCCAGCCCCGACGAGATGCGCAGCAGATGAGAATCATTTTGTATGTAATTGCTGTGTCTCAGTGCAAGGGGGAGGGGGGAAAGCCCTGCATGAACGGTGTACGGCAAAGAATTAAAATGATTTAAAACATCTAACATTCCTCTTAGCTAATAAGTGCCATGCTGCCATCACATTAAGGTACGTCTTAGCCTATCTATTTCTAGTGTCCGCCAGGTCTCTCTTCTCGCATCATATCATTCGTCAAATCATCCTTTGCCTTTGCCTGCTACATCCTACAACCTCTTCTCACATTGTATGCAGTTCTGGGGGGTTTCTTTTTCTCTTCAAATGGACCGATTCTACAACGAACTGCCCCCATCGATACACAAGTTCTGGCCGGTAACACTCCTGCTCAATGCCAGTGTCCTCACCTGATCAGCAACATCCTCAATAGTCGCTAATCTCTTCAACTTGGTGTTATTCCTAGCAGCCTCTCTCTTACTCTCCGGGAACTTCATGCCCCACTCCGTCAACATCAAGCCAGGAGAAACACTGTTTACCCGAATTCTAGGTGCTAAGATAACGGCTAGACCCTTTGCAAGATGTATTTGTGCCGCTTTCGTGACCGCATATGGAAGACTTGATCCACTTGGTTTAACACCCGCAACACTAGCCGTTGTGATGAATGTGCCTTCAGTCTCGGCTAATGCATCTTTGGCGGCGTAGGCCAGCCATAAATGCGTTTTCACGTTCATGACGAAGCATTTGTCCCAGTCGTCGTCGTTGACACCTTCTTCGATGTTGAGGAAGTTGGTCATCCGGGTCCAGCCTGCGTTCGAAACAACCACATCGAGCCGCCCCATGGTTTTCAGAGTTTCGGCGACGAGATTTTGGACAGATGCCTTGGAGGACACGTCGGCTTGCAAGATGTGGAAGCGTGGGGTGGATGGCGACGGGTGCGAGGTTGGGATTGAAGAGAGTTCGTTGGCAAGAGTTTGCGCGCGACTTTGGTTGGAGGAGTAGTTTATTACCTGATAGTAAGATTAGCTTCAATCTTTTGATTGCACCGAAAGAAGAGTAGTGTTTTAAAGTAGATAACTTACAACTCGGAAATCGGGTGCAAAAACGCGTGCTATTTGCGCGCCCAGACCTGCTGAGCTGGCTGTAATGAGGGCTACTTTCTGTGCAGGCATCGTGATAATCGCTGTGTGGGGAAAAAGAGAATAGTCTTTTGGTAGCTATGAACAACTTCGGCAGCGATGATGTAGTCGAAGAATGTGGGGTAAGATTCCGCGCACGGAACCGTTCCGTCCGATGTTCGGAATTGCCATGCACGATTGAAATCCCCACCGTCTCTTGAAAGCCGTTATCGCCCCGGCTCTGTCGTGATCACCTCAAGGACTCTCTTAATCCTAATCATGGATGGTCTGTTCATGGTGACGTCAACCCTCCCTTGAAGACAAGTGCTATTGAACTTGACATATATTGTAGTGAACCATCTAGCATAGGTGTGGCTCACTCCTTTAGGGAAGAATTTAAGAGTTGCTGAGAAAGACTCCTTTAACGAAGCTTTATTTACTTAATATATCGGATGTATTTTAGAATATTTGTAGAGAGCAAGGGAGCTATGTGTATGTCGCAGCCCAAGGCTCATAATCCTCTTTCTGAAAAATGCGCTCAAGCTGTCTTCTTCTGACTCCAATGTTTCCTCCATCAAAAAGAGGCAGACAGACGGCGTCTTCCAGAAGGCGTGAAAAAGGCAAATCTTTATCGTAAGACTTCCTATGAGCACAACGTTAGCACAGGCATCTATACCCTCTCCCTCTAGCCTCTGCTATGAATGAGACCAAGAGGGGAAATTATATAGCAGTAGAGAGCTTACATTCCAACAATGCTCATGGCATCCACAACCGCTTTCGGCGCTTGATCACTACACCAGATCTTTGCCTCCAATGCAATCTCAAGTTTGTTCTCCCATCCACAGGGTCCATTCTCGAGAGTGCTTAGCGCCTTCCATGTAAGTGCTCGAGCGGCTTCGACTCTCATCTTGATGTCAATCAGTTTGTCTGCAACGCTTTGTTTCTTAATGATTGGCACCGTGCCGCCGCGAGCATCAGCTTTGCAAAATTTGAGCGCGGCCTCGAACGCAGCACGCATGATCCCTACACTCATCGCGCCGACAAGTGCGGCAGAGCAACCGAATGTCTGTTCAACAGTTTGAGCGCCTCGCCCTGGTGGGCACAACAAATTCGCACTTGGAACTCGGAAATTCGTGAAGCGGGAATGAGGGCCGTTGGTGGATATGTATCCTACAAGTTCAGGGTCAGATACGACGGTGTAGGCAGAAGGCTCGTTGTTGGCGATTTCTTCACCAGTAACGATAAGAATGAGAATGTTTGATACTGGGTCGGAGTTCGGATCTTGAGGGATATTGGGAGGAGATTGACGACAGACAACGCATTGGAGGTCAGCACCGCGTTGGCCCCAGCCGCCGCTGTTGGTAGTCCAGAGCTGTTTGAGATATCAGAGAAGCAGGTTGAAAGCTGAGCATAGGATGAGGCTGATATTTTAGACTGACCAAAACTGAAACGCGCGCAAAAAGGAATCTAATCACACATCGGCGCTTAAGAGATTTATGTACCGAATGGAGGAAGGCGGAGAGAAGTGCAAATGGGCTTAACAGCAATCCTACTTCTCAAATTGGTGTGTATGATTAAAAAAAGCTTTTCTTGGGACGAAAGCAGATCAAAACCATATAAAAAGCCACGAACCTTCTCTCCATTCACAACCCACTCATTTCCATCCTTCCAAGCCGTCGTCTGTAGTCCTGGAGCACCTTTCTCAAGCCAATTGGCCGTTCCACCGGGTTCAGAATGCACAAATGCTGCCAGTGGTTCTCCATCACCACTCAGGAACGGCTTTAGGAACGTGTCATGTTGCACGGCACTTCCTGCTAGAATTAGCGGGGTTAAGCCCAATCCCGTGCCTAAGATAGTCAAAGCAGCACTTGGTTCCACAGCGAAGAACTCTTCTATTACAATTGCGGCGTCGATCAGGTTATTCGAAGTGCCACCTAGTTCAGTGGGAATTTGGCCCTTTATCAGACCCCCTTCAACGGCATTGCGGTAGATTGGACGGGTTGCCTCGAAGCGCGCTGTTTGTGACGTGTGCTTGCTATAGAGTTTCGGTGCACCTGCAAGGACTTGCTGCGCAAATCCTCGAGCCCCGTTGCGGAGTGCGTTCTGTTCTGCGGTGAGGGTGAAATCGATCATGATGGGTTGGATTCCTTGAGGAAAGATACAGAGAAATATTGACGGCATAAATGTGGTGCGCATTCAATGCTGATGCTTTGTAAGCTGCGCCTGTGGTCAGCACTTTCCAGATGCAGTCCAAAATAGGTGCCGATATACGAGAGACTTTTCCAAGGATAAACCCAATTCTTCATAATTCTTCATGGGATTAGAATATGGTGTGACTGGTACCACACGTATACTTATCAGCAACCGCTAGCAATATCTTTCGTCGGTTACTCGACTAATATTTGGCACACATACATGCAATCCGGCTCTATTTGAAGTTAGAGTATTGTGAGAGAGTAAATGGAGGGCATGAAACTGAAGACAAGCTTACCAAGCATTGGAGACTACAATCTTGAAGCACTCCCGAGTGCCTAAATTAGTCTAAGTGTTTCGACAGCACCTCTCCACAGAAGATACCGCTATTGGTACCATCAACAGCAGAGTGCCCTACGCTCGATCTGAATTCTTTGCGAATATCTTATCCGATGCAAAGGCTATCTCAACACTCCTGATATATCTTTTCCCATGGAATTGACTCGGTCTTCTAATCCTCTCTTCTTCTGTTCCAACTGCCGAACTTCGTCCTCTTCCCTTTTCAGGTCTTCTTCAGTCATCGGTACGAAGACCAGTGCTTCCACAGGTGCTTCGATCTCCCCTGGTTCGTCGTCCATATACTCCCGTGATCGGTTCAACCTACCTAGTTGCGTGGTTTGTTCTGCAATGCGGTATTCGTAGTGTTCTATCGATGCCTCTAATCTCCTGTGTCGCTGGCGCATGGATGCGATTCTCTCTCTTGCGCCGGGTATCGGGCTGGTGTCTAGTCAGATGCGCACTCGATGATGATCCCCAATAACATACTACACCCCGAGGAGCTTCTCGGCACCCTCTAATAACACTTCGACGTCCACCTCGTTTTTGTTGCTCCCATCGAAGGTACGGTAGCCCAAGCCAGTGCCAGCCCCACCTCCGCCTCCTCGTCGAATCTTCTCTACTAGATCCGTTCCCAGGACAGCAGCTACTGCTGTGTTCCGCCGTGGAGCCCGGACTGCATTTGCGCCGCCACCTAGAATGGTGGAGCCTCCGCCATTGAGGTTGAATGTCGTATTCCGTCTGTTTCCAGAGGGGTCCTGCGCTTTGGGGTGTGGTGGAGGCTGGGGAACGGAGAAGAGGGCGCGTTCGTGTAATTCAGTATCTCGAATCAGGGTCGTAATATCGTGTGGTTGCAGGAGAGCATTTGTGAAAATCTTCGGCGGCGGGAATCTAGTTGATGCGTTTAAACACATGCACGGTGAAAGGAACCGCGTAAACATACGGTAGCTCTGCGATTGAGGCAGCGCAAAGAGAAATTTGCTCCAGATGAGCGTCAAGGAGCGTCATCATGGACATGCAACTAAAGACTTTGTGCTGGGTATCTGTTTAGGGACGTGGGGACATGGGAACGTGGGGTCGCTACTTTGCGCAGTTTGTCAACAAATCTCGGCAAAACGTTATTCCGATCCTCTCCAGCTTGAGCTTCCGCCTCCGGGCTTCATCACCTACCCAAGCTCCCTTCCTCTGCCTCCCCACACGTACCCGCCGTCGCCGCTCCTTCTTCTGCCTCACACCCTCTCTCAAGAAACCAACAACGATCATGGCGGAAAGCATGGAAGGCGTAGTCACCGAGGCCGAGCAGCCCAAAACAGAGAATGTCGAACAGAAGACGGTTGCTGGTAAGTCGACGACCTTGCATCACTTTTCAACATGGTTACCTTTGAGTGTACCTGTTCTTCCTGTACATCCTCATTGCAGCATGGTCGAATGTGCAGAGACTTTATGATCGCCACCAGCCTAGCCTCTACCAAGTATCTGTATCCAGATAGAGCTGACCCAACCACCCAAGACATTCGAGCCAACTTCACCCTGCTGGAACGCGCCGTTGCCCAGTTCGATACGCGGTTTACCCTCCGAGCTCTTCGCTCCATATCAGCCCTCCGGAAGAGACTCACCGACCGAGTACTATGCTCCGTGATTGTGCTGACGTATTCCCCGAACAATCCCACTGCACGGGTTCTTATCGAAGGCATCAACATGGATGGCGAGACGATACAGAACGTGGTTGCCCAATACAAGGAAGAGATCCAGAGTAACAAGGGAAACACGAAAGAGCCCATACCGGAGATTGATGTTTACATCGCTATCCTAGTTCAGGTATGCTTGAATGCAGGGCTGACGGCGAAACCCGGGTTTTTTAACAATTGGCCTAGGTCTTTCTCTATGACACCAAGGAGTTCGATGACGGAGCTGAATTCTCGTCTACACTAGTAGATAAGATCCGAGAGTTGAACCGCCGGACGTTGGACTCTCTGGCCGCCAAGGCGTACTTCTACTTCTCGCTCTTCCACGAGGAGCTGGACCCTAAGCCGCCATCCAAGCAGTCGCCTGTCATCTCCATTCGTGGGAAGCTCCTCGCCGCTCTCCGTAGCGCGGTACTCAGAAAAGACCAAGATACCCAGGCCGCAGTGACGACATTGCTCCTCCGGAACTACATCTCCACCGCCGACATCACCCAGGCCGATCTCCTCGTTGCGCAGACTCAGTTCCCTTCCACTGCCCCAAACAACCAGGTCGCAAGATATCTGTACTACCTAGGTCGCATACGGGCTATTCAGCTGTCCTATACCGAGGCACACGAGCATCTCACAAGTGCGACACGAAAATCCCCCACCAATGCGATTGCCACCGGGTTCTACCAAGCGTCGACCAAGCTTCTCGTAGTCGTCGAGCTGCTAATGGGCGACATCCCGGACCGCGCTATCTTTAGCCAGCCTCGTCTAGAGCGAGCTTTGGAGCCCTACTTCCGCCTCGTCCGAGCGGTCCGCGTCGGCGATCTCCAAGGTTTTTTGAAGATTGTGCAATTGTATGCCTCGACCTTCCACCGCGATGGCACTTACACCCTTATCCTCCGCCTCCGGCAAAACGTCATTAAAACTGGAATTCGCATGCTCTCACTTTCCTATCAGCGCATTTCCCTGCGAGATATTTGCATCCGTCTTGGGCTAGAGAGTGAGGAATCTGCAGAGTACATCGTCGCGAAGGCCATCCGAGACGGTGTCATCGAGGCATCAATTGATCACGAGAAGGGATTCATGCAAACCAAGCAAGCTGGTGACATCTACGCGACCCGCGAGCCCGGTGAAGTATTCCACGAGCGCATCCGGGCTTGCTTGGCTTTGCACGATGAGTGTGTCAAGGCAATGCGGTATCCCATGAACCAGCATCGTCTGGAGCTGAAGAATGCCCAAGAAGCTAGGGAACGGGAGCGGGAGTTAGCGAAGGAGATCCAGGAGGGTGATATTGACGAGGATGACGCTGGTGGGGACTTTGACGGACTATAGATGGCCAAGTCAACATGGCATTCAGGAGAGAGGCGTCCCTTTTTGGGTGTACGATATGTCGAGTTCCTCAGCGAGCATCGATAGAACAACCTGGCCCGCGGATAAGTGAAGAAGCTTTAATCAAGCATTAAAGATTTCAACCATCATTCATAATTTGATTCATGCAGGAAGAGGCAAGGCGCGTCCAGAAGCGTGCTCCCTACTAGTGAAGGCGTGATAGAATAACAACATTGAGGCCAATCACTAAAGTGCAGTCGACCGAGAACACCAGGAATGTGAACGCAAATTATGTCACGGACGCCAAGTGAATGAATGCAGACCAGCGCGTGACGCACGTGGAGAGTCAATGCGCAAGCGCGGGAGTGAATGATCTCCGCAAACCCCGAATCCATTTGACGTCTGGCCGCACACCACTTTCACCTCGGGCCTCTAAATATGCGCAGGGACAATGTAAGCCCTTCCTCTTCCAAACACTGCCCTCACTCCCCTGGTTTAAAGCTCATCATAATTACTAGGATTGATGTACCTCGGCGTCTCCGCCGTGCCATTTTGCTCAACGATCTCACCCTCGTAAAGCGCATTGTGCGCAACAATCCGAATTATCTGCGCAATCCGGACTTTGAGGATAAGAGTAATATGTCGCTGCATCTTGCGGCTATGAATGGGTTTACTCAGATCGCTGTACGTCCACCACAGCCGGCACTGAGCGCGAGGTGACATGCAAAATGCAGCGCTGATAATGGGAAATGGCACAGGAATTCCTGATAGAAGCAGGCCATGAGAGCGACCTTGTCAGTCGAAATAATGACTGGGAAACGCCGCTCATGTTAGCTGCTATAGCGGGGAAGGAGGACATGGGTGTCATGCTGGCAAAGCGGTTTCCGGAGTGCATCTCCTGGCAGAACAAAACGGGACTGGACGCCGTACAGCCCCCAAAAGATTACTTTTCTAGGGCTGCAAACCTAATTGTTGCGTAGCTGATGCTCTCCTGCAAATCCGGCGCCGGAACTCTCCACCTCATACCTACTCTCCTCAACCTGTGTCCTAGCATCCTGACTGCTGCTGACATAGCGGGAAACACTGCACTCCATCATGCATCTGCTGCGGGCGAACTCAAAGCCCTCCGTATGCTCGTTCAATATGGCGCCAACCCCCTTGCCCAAAACGCTTACTCCTGGACACCAGTCCACTACTCTGCCTCCCCCGCCGCCGAAACCTATTTCAAATCGATCATCATCGAGTTTGAGAAGAAGAAGGCAGAAGGACAGCGGGAGAAGAGGGAGAGGGAGAGGCAAAGGAACGCCGGGGTGAGGCTAGTCACGGATGAGGATGCCATGGCCGGCATGGGGGGGAGACAGAGAGCGAGAGACGATGCGGCAATTGCAGGACTGCCGGCTCCAGGTATGGATTGGAGTCCCGTGGAGAGGAGGAGGGCTATGACACCTACGGAGGGGAGGAATGCGGGGTGGTTTGCAGGCGATGGCAATAGGGCGAGAGCAAGCAGTGGGGATTGATCTAACTTTCGGATGGGCGTATGGCGTTTAGGATATGGCGTCTGAACCATCTACTCGGCTGGACCTAGATATCTGGGGAAGTTTGCAAAATATTTGCACATTTTGTATTCCCAATTGAGGCAGGTAACTAAGTCTCTGGCTTGAATCAATTCAAAACAACATGTTATTATGTAACACAAAGCGCAAACAGGCGGGATCCAATATGTCAAACTTCTTGAACCAAAACAAGGAGCAATGAAAGATGATAACTACTAATTTTTGTGTTAAATTAGATGATTAATATGTTGTGTTGCAAGTCCCAACAGCTTTGCCTTAACGAATTAATCTCGCACCAAATCAGGCCTTGTCCGGATCTCAATCCCTTCTCAATAAATCTCACTTGCAAACTGCATACAAACCCACCCAACAGATTTCTACCCCTCCCTCTGTATCAACAAATCCGACCCACAAACCCCAGGCAAACTCCCAGTATGTCCCCCCTCCCCTTCACCCCTCTGCTGCTCAACTACAGAGGTCGACGTTACCACGCTAGGAAGCAGGTCTTAGATGAGAAGTACCTGGACAGGGTCGCAGTCTTCAGGTTCTTTATGAAATGCACAGAGTGCGGTGGGGAGATAGCGTTTAAGACGGATCCGGCTCTGAATGAGGGTGGGTATGTTGTCGAGTGAGGTGCAAAGAGGACGATGGGAGGGAAAGGGATGAGGGAACAGAGGAGAGTGGTGAAAGGAGGCTGGAGTGTTTGATAGAGGAAGAGATGGTCATGGTGGAAGTGCTGGAGACGAAGGTGAAGGGGGTTGGGATCGAAGTGGCGAAAGTTGATGCTTTGGATACTATCTAGGCTCGGGATTGGATGGTTGAAGAGATAAGTGGGGAAGCTGTTGTGGGAGTTGAGGGAAGTCAAAGAGGTCTGGAGCAGGAGAAGAAAGACACTACGTTAGCAAAGGAAGCAAGCCTGGAAGAAGGGACATTGAAGCTGAACTTGATATCAGAAAGAGAGAGCGTCTCGGACAGGAGCTCCAAAAAAGGAGAGGGGTAGAAGAGATAATGCAGACTGGAGCCTTTGTGTCATAGACCTACCACTAGCATGCCCGAACCAACGATTGACTTATCTAGAATATGGGGCGAACTTCTCATCATGTCGAACGGGATAAATGTGCAAGTCGAAGGTGATCTTCAATTTACATCAGTTAGTAATACAAACCCATCAATCTGTTCCGCAGAGCGACACTAGCCCATGAGGTCGTAACACATGTCCGTTCAGATGTAGTGAAATGGATCGCAAAAGAAAGTCCTCTCCCAACCCCGAATCAAGCCAACGCCATCCTATGAATATGGGTATAAACACAAAGGAAAAGAAATACTAGTGAGTGATATCTTCATCTTATGACATGCTTCCGCTCTTACCATCAACCATCTTCGTCTTGTAGGCTTGCAGCTGTTCCTGTGGCATCTGAGCTAGCCAAGTTGGTGGCTGCATACCCGTCTGATCGTGGATTGTGCTCAAAAGGGGCGGTAAGCTTTGAAACAGATTCCGGATGGGAGCTGACGGATCCGCCATATCGCCCTGTGCGCCTGTGTTCCAGACGTTAATCTTAGGCTGCAAGCCCTGGATGGCTTGCGCGTTGGCATTTGCGAGCCTCTCGTAGGTGTTGTTCTTCAGCATGAGATACTGCATCAAGCCTTGAGGGCCACCAAGGACGTTGGCCATATCACCGTATGCCTTCGCCATAGCAGAGAGACCTTCAGCCTCCTTTTGCCTCGTGATCAAAGTAGCTTCTGCTTCGCGCTCTCTTTTGAAGTATTCAGCCTCAGCAGCACGCTTTGTGACGACGTAGTTGGCCTCGGCCTCCCGTTCTTTGGCCTTGAAGTCCGCCTCTGCATCCTTCAAGCGACGGAACGCAGCTGCCTCAGCATCAGCTTGTTCTCCGAATTTCTTTCCCTCTGCATGCTTTTCTTGAGCATAAAGCTCAGCATCTGCTTTTTGCTGGGCAGATTCTCTAGCAATCTTGGCCTGGGTAACAGTCGTGGCTCGCAGACGTTCTAGTTCCATAAGAGCTTTCTTCTTTTCGACCTCCGTGTTGAGCTCAGCATCCCGACGCTCAGCTTCTCTCTTTGCATTGATTCGGGCTAGGTTGAGTTCCTAGCACAAGTTAGATCACAGCACTGTATTAAAGGCTGAGGTTAGGTTCACCTTCTCAATCTGAATCTCCTTATCCGTTAGCTTAGCGTCAGCAGTAGCCTTCTCGCCTTTGCGCTCGGTTTCCAACACAGCCGTTTGTGCGTGTATCTTGGCAACCTCTTGCTTCGTCTTTCCCTGCTTGTCGGCCTCCCCGACCTCACCCCTCATCCTCGCATCGGCGACATCGACCTTGGCCTGGTTGAGAGCCCCTTCGTGAGCCTTTCGTGATAAGAATGCAAAGTATTCTGATCCAGGAGTATCTTGCAATTCCTTGACGTTTGCGTTGTAGATGCAAAGACCGAACTGATCCAATTCGCTCTGGACTTGTTGGATGACCTTGTCCTTGAAGACTTTTCGCTCTCGAAACAACTCTTCCATCGTCATTGTAGATACTATGCTACGCGTTTCGCCCTCAATAATGCCTTTCACAATGTCTTGAACATGATTTCGACCAGCGGCGACGGCAACAGCACCCTTAGAGGCCGCGGCGGTAGGGCGTCCATCAGATTCACCAGTAAGCAAGACGGCGTACTTTTCAAGAGCTTCTAGATTGTCGGCGGGACCAATTGTGAAGACGGCAGGAAGGGAGAATTTTAATTTCTCCACGGTCATTGCTTGGAGGGCCATGGAAAAATCGAACGGCGTAATAGAGATCTTCGAGACTTTTTGGAAGGGATACACAAAGGCCTAGAAAGTCAGTACAAAACACCCCTCAAGACAAGCAAATAGAAGCAACATACTTTTTTCTTGATGAGAACCTTCTCAATTCCTGCACCCGTAATTACGAGGTAGGAATTGGGTTCTGCTACATGAAACCAGAGTCCCATTTTGAAGTTTACAAGTAGAGAAAGTTGTAGGAAGAATTAGGTTGCGAAAGTGAGGGTAGAAAAATAAACAGGAGGTGCTGTGGATGTAGTATGGGGCTTCAACAATGGAATGGGAGAGTTTAAGAACGATGAGGGACTGAAGACGGTGGGTGAGCGCGTGTAGCAATCGACCACTTTTGAATTCACGCAATCACGAAGTAACAAACATTTCAGGAAGAACGAGCTAAGGTTCGACCATTTATACAGAAGACCCGTATTCAGGCCCAGCTCACCCCTGGTTGCGGACAAAACATGGTGCTTGGCTGTGCACATGCCCTAGAGTCTTGGATAACCGGTGAACATTCGAGGTGGAGTGAAGGAAGTCCTAACCAGATTCAGAGTTTCAGCCTTGCGCCACCACGGCGGAGTCACCGCACAGACCAACACACGATTCACCTGACCCCTACTCAAGCTTCGGTAGGCAACGGAAAGCTTGAAACCCTTGGGACTCAGGTGGTATGTCCCTTTTTATCAGCTTTGGAGCCCTCAGCAAAGCCCTTGGGCCTCATTTCTCACCACTTTCTTTGAAGGGAACCGCGCCCTAGGCAATTCTATTTGGATCATCAGCATCAGCATCAGCAGCGGGCACCTGGAGTGCGCTCATTCACTGCCTCAAAAGTCCCACCTTTATTCACCGCGAACAACGAAGGTCCCCTTTGGTTCAAGCCCAGACTACCGCTTGCGGGAAAAGAATATCTGATCCGGGCCGGGCCCGTGCGTGCCGAGTGTCCATCCTGGGAGGCATAAAACTGGGCTTACTGTACCTTTTAAAAAAGCGTCGATCGTATCTCGCAATGTAGGCCATGACGTTGAGAGGAGCTACTGTAGAGCGGGGCTTCTACTAGTACTGTACGAGCAAGGCTGAGGCTCAGGCAGATTCATTCTCAGCGGTTTCACTCCAGGCCCGTGTTTCCACCTGAGTGCATTTCCACGTCTGGTGATCTAGCAAGCGCCCAGGGAATCCCTCACCAGTGCCAAAGCTGAGCTGGAGCTGCGCCATCCCCTGAAATTCAATTCCATTCCACCCTCAGATTCACGATCAATTTTCTCAAGGCTCATCCAGCTCAGTTTTTGCATTCAAATCTCTTGGTATTCAGAAACTCTGAGGCAATAATCACCATCGAAATCTATCGCAAACATGTCCAACAACGAGAAGGACAACTGGCCTCCTTCCTATGAAGAATCGCTCAAATCCAGCAATACGGGCCGCTCCCAGATAACCCGCACCTACTCCCCTTCTCGTGGTCAACAGATCCTAGACCAGCTTACTCTCGTCCGCGCCCAACACCTCCGCTCCGTAATCAACGAGCACTTAATCCCACTCGTCGAGCAACAAGCCATGTATGGCATTGCACAAACCACAATCGCTATGATCCCTTCCGATGTAGCCTTACCCGCTGAAGAAGAAGAAAAGTCAGAATTCAGCTTCGACGCCGGAAATGCGAAGAAGGTGGAGGTGATTGGGTTCTCGTCAGACGAGAAGCCGCAGATCATTAGACTGGAAGGACAGATGAACCAAACTGAGTTTTGGAGACCGCAGATTATTGTGCAGGAGTTGGAGCGGCTGTTGAAAGAATCTTTGAATGCCTCGCCGTATGTGAAACCTCCGAGCCCCAAGTATCCTCCTGCGCAGGAACCACCACTACAGAGGCCGCGGAGGAGGGATTTTTTTGGGAGAATGGCAGATGTAATCAACCAGCCTGAGGAGAGGTCGCCGAGCGGAAATCCAGAAGTTGGCGTTAGGCAACCTGACAACGCAGGCCAGGTGCTTGTGAAGGTGAGGTTGGAAGAGATCTGCTTGCGGACGGTGAATGAATTTGGGATTTACGATACGATGTCCAAACAGTGCCTCATAATTAGGGTTGATGCAAGGTGTTGATAGTCTTGGAGGGCATAGTATACGGAGTAGAGGCGTTTGGACCCGCTCGTCTGGCTGTTTACGAGGATGGTAACTGGTCACACAAGTGTCAGGAGGGCTACTTAGGACAATAGATACCCTGGCTTGAAAGTCGCTCAGCGAGTGATTCAATGTCGTTGGGTGACAGCACAAAGGGAGAAACGTGCTCGAAACCTCTGTTTACTTCCCATCTCGGTCCCTATTCGTAATCATACATGCTGTCCGATGGTGCTTTGTGAAATCAAACGTTAAGCCAATATGCTATACTCTGTATAGCCGTAGAAAAGCCCGCTCTTCCGTTGACTCCCTGGTCTTCCGAATGGTTCTCAGCTGGATTATTGCATTCAAAGAGGCCAAGGGGTCATCGAATGAGGAGTGTCTTTCATGGACAGTGAATTTGAGCATGCCCCGTATGAGGTACGGGACATACCTCAAATGAATATCCCGCCCAGTCCAAGAACATGAATGTTCGTTTCAGCAAAATTTGGCGTCGGCCATGTTACATAGAAGTACAACTGATATGAGGAACGGGGCCATCTGGTGAGTCTTCTAGGACAATAATGCCTCTCCGAATTTGGTCGTTATATCGTTCGAGCTGAGACTGAGCACGGTCCTGAAGAATCAAGTCTCAGCCTTCTTGTCACCGTTTGCATCAAAACCAAGAGTTTCCAGCTGCCGGATAAGCTCATTGATTTTGATCACCTTTTCAAACTGCTCCGGTAGCAGGACATCCCCTTTCTCCTTCTTGTCCTTCAGATCTCGTGCTTGGCGTAACTTCTTCATCAACTTCTTTGCATCTTTCTCCCTTTCAGCCTCCAGATCAACGGGCTTCGCAGAGGTTTCAGTGCTCTCTTTACCCTTGAGGGGGGAACTCTGATCTTCCGAATCATTCACAGTCGTCTCGCCTCCCTTGCCCTCGGTGAGGGTTGATGCAGCCGCAGCTTTCTTCCTTGCCTCCCTCCTCTTTGCGTTCTTGTTGGCAGCTGCACTTCCTTTCGGGGGCTCGCTTTCTGATTTCAGGCTCTCCGCGCCGGGAACGCCCCCACTTCCACGGGACTTCCATGCTTCGGCGGTCCGGTTCTTGTAGACCTCAACATCCTCTGGGGGGCGGTAGCCCGGGCGGACGCGAATTTCTTTCCGGACAGAGCCGTCAGGGCGGGTTGAAGAGGGAATGTGACGCTCACCGGTTGCAGACGTTTTGATGCCGGCTTTGGAGACTTCGACCGTCTCTGTTGAGGGCATACTGGTTGGTGGTGAGAGGCGGGGACCGCGTGGAAAAAAGTAGCAAGCAGAGATAGCGACGAGGATTGAGGTTAACGCTGATTGGGTACGGTTGGCGACGCGGTCCGGGCAAGGCGAATAAGATCGGGTCCGGCGCAACGAGGACTCACCGTGTGTCACGGGGGAACAGCAGAGCCTGGACTATGCGGAGTGAGGTTGATGCCTAGGGAGGGCACTTGGTACCTGGGGAGGGCACTTGGAGGGGTGGACAACATGGTGGACACAATGGGAAGGTGCATTGCCGATCTTGTCAGCCAATCACAAGCGAGCCGTACCGTGAACAGGTCGGTTTTCAGCGCCTTGTCGCTGACCTCAACCCGAGAACCACCCGCACTGCTTCACCAACGACACCACCACCAGAATATCCGCGTCTGTAGCCCCACGCTCACTCTGCGCCTCTCCAAAATGCCGGGTGTAAGTCAATTGACCACTTTACGTCGTCTTAGAACACCTGCTAACTTCTTCGTGCTTAGATCTCATCTTCTCTCTACAAGCAAGTCACCTCTCGCCCTACCCGGGCCTGCATACAGGACTAATCCCCGCCTGCAGCATCTTCCTCCGAAGAAACACGGTCATGCTGGGCACTGTCTTTGCTGCCGCCTTCGGTCTGCAATTGTACGTTGGTTTAGACACGACTCCCGGGTTGGCGGAAGAACACCATACTGACCTGCGACACTAGGGCTTTCGACGCTGGCTCCGACAGGATATGGGATGCCATCAACAAGGGCGTATGTGCATGTCGAGCGCCTGGGTATGCAGATGCTAACGCGGTTTCTAGCGGCAATGGAAGGACATTAAGCATCGCTATGTCGAAGCGCCGGAGGAAGAATGATGGAATGGACGGGTATGGGCATGTCATGAAGCGGATGGCAATGGCTGGGCTGCACACTGTATAATGGTGTAAACTACAGCGATCACAATACCAAGGCGGCTTTCCTGACTATCCCAGCACGTGCGAAGATTCTGTGAAAAGGTCAATGGCGAATGAAGGCGAGAGGAGAAATGTTTGCTTCCCTGACTGACTACGGTGTAATCCGTATTTGGTCTAAGGACTGTGAATCCCCTTTGTCCTGTGTCCATGTGCAACTGCGTTTCGTTTCCTTCTCGGGGCTCGAATACACGATATGCCAGCTTCGCATAGGCTACGTCAAGTCCTCGCATCACATGCATGCCAACTTACCAGTCTCGCGTGACAAATACTGGACCGTCATGTTGACTTCAATGCCAGAACTCATCGGCCTAGGTCTAGGGTCTAGGTCGCGTCACTGCTTTCACTTCATCACGACGTGACTGTTTGCCGGGTCTTGGATCGACTACGCGCGCGGAAGTAGCTGGATGACGACTCGCTTGACGCCTTAAGGGACCAGCTCCTCCGCATCCGAAAACTCCAACAACAGCGGGCACTGCGACCACCGCCTTCTTTCTAGGCTTACGACCAACTCTTGATAGTGGCTAGCCCACTACGTTATGGATACCTAGGTAGTTGCCTGTCACCATACCACCTTTATTCGAAACCCCAGCCTCTCCTCCGAGGCCTCGCACCCCCACCAACAGCCTACATCGAACAGGCCCTCTGACCACGATGCTCGTTTCCCTGCAAGAGCAGGATCTCTGTCATCAATTACGGAATCTCCCTAGGCGCTATAACTACCGCTATACCCAAGAAGCCCGCAGAGACCTTCTCCAGATTCTCTTTCGGTCGCTCGCTGGTCGTGATGACTACCTGCCGCTCCTGTTCCCCACCGGGCCTCCCGCCGAACCAGACACTCCGTGGAGCTTGCGAGATGCTCAGGGAGCGGTAGAGGGAGCGGAATACTCGGCTGCAGCGAGGGGGAAGCCTTGCGGGCATATCTTCAAGAGCGGTGAAGCAACCTACCGGTGCAAGACGTGTAGAGCAGACGATACCTGTGTTCTGTGCGCTCGCTGCTTCGATGCGTCAGACCATGAGGGCCACCAAGTCTATGTCAGTGTCTCTCCAGGAAATTCTGGTTGCTGCGATTGTGGCGATGACGAAGCCTGGGTGCGCCCTGTTCATTGCAACATCCATTCGGCCGCCGCAGGGCCAGAGTCCAAGTCCGCAGGGAAAGCCAGGGAAGGATCCTCATTACCGCCTGAACTTTTGGAGAGCATTCGCATGACCATCGCGAGATCACTGGACTACCTCATCGATGTCTTCTCGTGTTCTCCAGAGCAGCTCCGTTTACCGAAGACTGAGCAATCGATACTGGAGGATGAGCGGACATCCCGGCTGACTTCAAAATGGTACGGTGTCGGTGACCTCCCTGAAGACCACCAGGAGTTTACCCTAGTCTTATGGAATGACGAAAAGCACACCGTGAATGATGTTCAAGACCAGGTCTCCCGAGCCTGCAAACAGAGGAAGCAGTTTGGTCTCTCCAAGGCCCATGAGGTTGACGATGTTGGTAGAAGTGCCATTGTGTATTCTTCTGACATCAAGGAGCTTTTGCGCATGGCAAAGGTCATCGAAGAGATCAAGTTGACTGTCACCATTCGTTCTGCACGCGATACTTTCCGAGAGCAAATGGGTGGAGCCATCATTGCTTGGATTTCGGATATAGCAGGCTGCAGCGTCGGAGACGATAATCAGGTCCTTCGGCGTACAGTCTGCGAAGAACTCCTAAAGCCCTGGCGCGTTGGCAGCGAGGCTTCACATCAGAATATTGGTGAAGATGGCCTTGACGATCACGAGATAGAAGATAAGGATGAAATCAGCGGCTTCCTCCATCAATACATGCCTCGTCAGCGGCGTACGCAGACGCAGAGGAGACGAGAGCGGCAAAACGCTAACAATGGCAACAATGAGGATACTACCGCTTCCGATGAAGACGAGGACGAGGAGGGCGAGAGTGTAGGGGAGCTTGCAGAAGATATGGATATTGACGAGATACTGGGTCCAGATAATGATGGTGATGTAGACATGGAGCCTTACGAGAGCCCAGATGAGGCGCTTGAGGTATCTGAAGCGACCATCGCCGGTTACCCGCCGCCGCCACCACCACCTCCTCCGCCAGGCGTTCGACGACGGGACCCTAATTTGACGCCAGCGGAGTCGGATAGTGAACCCATAGTTGCGGCACCTCCGCCTAGTCATGTAGAACCTTCCCTCCAAGTTCCTGAGACACCTCATACTCCTCGAACACGGCCACGACCGCTACGGCCACCTCGCCCTGCCAGGTACTGGCTAGAGAGACCTGATAGTTATGGGAAGAAACCGGGTACTCCTGCACATGAAGATCTCTGGGTTCGGTTGCGTTTAGACCATTTGATTCTTTACGACCTAAGAATGTGGAAGAAGCTACGGGTTGGCGTACGCGACGTCTTCATTAGCACAGTCGTCACTATCCCTCAATTCAAGCGTCTACTCGGCCTTCGGTTTGCTGGGGTTTACACGGCACTGGCCCAATTGTACCTCATCGCCGATCGAGAGCCAGATCATTCCATCATCAATCTATCTCTACAGATGCTCACCACTCCGTCCATCACCGCAGAGGTTGTGGAGCGAGGCAACTTCCTTACGAATCTCATGGCAATACTTTATACATTTCTCACCACTCGACAAGTCGGATACCCCTGGAACGTCGATCCCAAGGCAACTCTAGCATTCGAGCAAGGTGCTGTGACGAATCGGCGAATGTATCACTTCTTCCTCGATATGAAATATTTGCTGGGCTCAGAGCATGTTCAAGAGAGAATAAGGGAAGAGGATCAGTACCTGTTACAATTCCTTGATTTGGTTAAACTACACCAAGGCATATGCCCTAACGTCCGTGCAGTTGGGGAGCATCTTGAGTACGAAACCGAAGCATGGATCAGCGCTTCCCTCATTACCCGAGAGATAAACAAGCTGTGCAGACAGTTCTCTGAAGCATTTTCTTGGCACCGGGATGAAGACCCAACAAACATACGCCGTGCGATTCGTTTGGCTGCCAAGGTTGCCATCGTTAATTCACTTGGGTCCGAACGAAAACGATTTGACCAGTCTGAGCTGAAGTCCGAGACGAGGTTTAAGACTCTTGATGTTTTTGAGTTTGATGCTGAACCATCCACTTTCTTCGGCCTCAAATACAGAATCGTCGACTTCGTGGTTGCCAAGGAGCCTATGAGTTTCCACCATGCCCTGCATTACACCTTATCCTGGCTTATCGACCGTGCACGAAGCATGCCTCACGATCACCTTTTTGGTCTGCTTCTATTCTCTTTCCAAGAACTACAAGAGCCATACACGCCTCAAGGCGCCCTTATTCCCGACTTGCAACCTGATGAGTACCTTCTCGCACTATTCGATTTCCCTCTTCGGGTGTGCGCATGGCTTGCACAGATGAGGGCTGGTATCTGGGTCAGGAACGGCCTTACTCTAGCACGCCATCAAATGACCCAGTACAGGAGCGTCTCACAGCGGGATGTGTCCTACCAACGAGACATTTTCCTCCTACAAACTGCATTGGTAATATGCAATCCATCGGCCTTCCTTGCAACCATGGTCGATCGATTTGGTCTACTGGGCTGGATGACTGGCCAGTACGACAATCAACATACATTTGAGGAGGGCCAAGCCGTTGAAGTCGTTGAGGATTTTGTCCATCTTCTCATCATACTCCTTAGCGACCGGACAGCCCTTATTCCTGTTGAGGACGACATCGATCCTCATATAGTGGCTATGCGAAGAGATATTGCGCACATCCTATGTTTCAAACCTCTTTCCTACTCAGACTTGACAGGTCGCTTGGCCGACAAAACCCAGAACATGGATGAATTCCCTAAAGTCCTTGAGGAGATGACCAAATTCAGACCCCCGGAAGGCTTGTCTGATACTGGAACCTTCGAGTTGAAGGAGCAGAACATTGAATTAATTGATCCCTACATTCACCAATACTCCCGAAATCAGCGCGAGGAAGCCGAGACAATCTACAAGAACTATATGGCCAAGAAAACCGGAAAGCAGGCTAGTGACATTGTCTTCGAGCCAAAACTTCGACCGATTCCTTCTGGTCTTTTCCGAAACCTCTCAGATTTTACGAGGCAGCCTTTTTTCACCCAGATCATCTACTATTTACTAGGATACGCACTAGTTGCGGGGAGTGTTACCCCTGGAATTCCAGCTACCCGCGTTGAGGCTTACGTCCAATTTGTTCTGCAATTGCTTTTAGTAGCAGTGCTTGAAGACAAATCCGAGCATCACGAGTGGTCTCAAGCTGCGCCGGAGTCGTTTGTCACGTCAGTTTTGACGAAGCACGCAAATTTTGGTCTAGACCATCATCCTACCATCCTCTCAATCCTCAAGACACTTCTCGAGAAGGAGATGTTCAAGTCGTGTGAGCCAAAGATAAAATTGATTCTTCACCGACTCAAGCAGCGCCAACAGAGTACGTTCATCATTGCTTCGGAGGCTCTGCACATGCCGGTTGACCGAATGGACACATCATCTCCCGCCTCTGTTACTCTTCAGGAGAAAGAACTGAAAAAGAAACAAGCTCTAGAGAGACAAGCTCGAGTCATGGCATCTTTTAAAGAGCAGCAAGGGAAATTCATGGCGAATCAGGACTTTGATTTGGGAGAGGAGGACTTCAGTGATTTCGATGAAGCTGGTTCCCATGCAGCTGAGCAAGAAAAGGTGGTGAAATATCCATCTGGTACCTGCATTCTCTGCCAAGAAGAAACCAACGACCTGCGGCTGTACGGGACATTTGGATATGTTTCTGAAAGTAGCATACTTCGCCTCACGGATTTGAAGGACAATGATTGGGTTGAAGAAGTGACCCAAACCCCGATCAGCCTTGATCGCTCTGCAGATTCATTAAGGCCCTTCGGTGTGGCTGGAAAAAACAGACGAATTGTTGAAAAGATCACCTCTACTGGAGAAACAATTCTCACTGAGAGGCAAGACCTGGGAAAAGGGTTTCCCTGCTTGCAAACTAGGAGAGGACCAGTCTCCACCGGCTGTGGACATATCATGCACTACTCTTGCTTTGAAGTGTATCTTCAAGCCACGCAGCGACGCCATGTCAGCCAAATTGCGCGCAATCATCCCGAGCGACCAGATGCCAAGGAATTCATGTGTCCTCTCTGTAAAGCGCTTGGCAATATGTTCTTACCCATCATTTGGAAAGGACAGAAAGTCCAATATCCTGGGTCCCTAGCAACGGAGAACACTTTCGATGATTGGATCGGTTCGCAAGTTGCTATCAGCATCTCAAAACTAGACAAGAGTCCTGAGAGAAATAATGGAGAGGCACCAGCGAGTCTGAATCGGCAACAAAAGGCGCTCTACGACTATGGTATGCACGACTTTATCCCTACGGTAGCGAGCCGACTTCCGGATATCGTGAAGTCAACCTTACTTACCATGCCTGTACTCCAACCCACAACGCAGCCGCGTTTCCCGGTCCAGGTTCCTGGATTCCTCTCAGCACAGAACGATGATCCTCGTGAGCCTGTAGTACTCCCATCGGAGAGTACCCCTGCGGTTCAAAATTCCCCAATGTCCGAGCTTGTGAAGATATACCAGCGAATTCGAGATACATTCCGAGTCAACGCGATATTTTCGACCTTTACATATTTACACTCGACGGTCGTTGAAGATTTGACACATACGGACACCCTTGCGAGGGCTTTGGGCTATTCGATCTCCGCAGTCGAAATTGCTCAAAGAGGAGTACAAACAGATCATGTGAAGGGCACATTGATTGACAAAATATCCCCCCAGTCATTAACCCATTTGCGTGTGTTCTCGGAGACTGTGTCATCGTACATTACTATCGGGAGCATTCGGAACCAGGGTTCAACGAAGACCATGGAAGAATACCTGAATAGCCAGTACCGGCAACTCCATCAGCTTTTCATTGGACATCCCAATATGTTCGATCCAGACACCCTACCGTATGATCTGAAGGGCATACCGCCTTTGCTGATGCAAGACCCGTTTATACTCCTCGCGGAATGTGCGATATGCGTTGTGCCAGCTCTCAATCTCGATATCCACCATGTCGTACGATTATGCTACTTGGCTGAGATTGTGCGAGTTGTGCTAGCTTTTGCGGCCGACGGAAGTGAGTTGCTCGAGGAGACCGGTGACACCAAAGCGAAAGCTGCAGCCTCTGATATTCAAGCGCGTTTCCTGCACCCTGAACGATTTATCAATGCCGAGAAGGTCAGCAACGGCAATTTTAGACAGGACGAAATGAACAATCTGTTCTACTTCGTTTCACGTATCTTCAATATCGCCAATCTCCAAGACGCTCCAACCGCAGTGGACCTAGACAATCCGGACCTTCAGGTGCAAACCAAATTTGGCGATCCCAAGTTCCTCTACTTCATCTACACTATGGCTTCTACTTACGCTCTGCCTTTCTTGCGAAAGGCTGCAATCCTAATGCATGTTCGCTATGGTGTGGAACTCCCTCATATTGCCTACGAGCGTGTCGATGAGCCCGAGCTTGACCGTCTCTCTTCGCTTCTGAGGCTGCCTTCGCTCCACGAGGTATTTGCTTCCTTTAGCGCCAATACACCGGGTGGTTACGCTACACGCTCGGTCGCTGCAGGTTGGATTCGCCACTGGATCTGGGCACGAGAAGGCAAAGGCCCTCTGCAATCATCACTGGCCCTATCCCACCCCGCCATTTTCGAGCTTGTTGGACTACCGAAGAACTATGATACACTTACAGACGAAGCAATTCGTCGAAGGTGTCCAACAACGGGCAAGGACCTTACCGATCCGTGTGTGTGCCTCTTTTGTGGTGAAATTATGTGTAGCCAAGGCGTTTGCTGTATGACGGACAGGAATAGGGGTGGATGTAATCAGCACCAGACTAAGTACGTATTTTTATTGCCTATGGTCGTTAGAAAAGGATAGGCTAACATAATCTGCAGGTGCGGTGGGAACATCGGTCTTTATATCAACATCCGCAAATGCATGGTGCTTTTCCTGAACCTGGATAATGGGACCTGGGCTGTAGCTCCTTACTTGGACAAGCACGGAGAGGTTGACCCCACACTTCGAAGGCAACACCAGCTCTACTTGAATCAGAAGCGATATGATGTGTTATTGAGGAAGGTGTGGTTGGAGGGTGGGATTCAGAGCCTTATTGCAAGGAGGCTCGAGGGAGATATCAACAATGGAGGATGGGAGACACTGTGAATGGGTCTACTCGTAAATGCACATGGCGCAAAGGGGAATTCAGAAAGGGAAAATGAGACCTTCAAAGCATGTGACCAAAGCGGTCGCCTTTGAGGAAGGTAACAAGTTCCTGAAACGCTTTTGGGTAAAGCATTGGGAGAAGTATTAGTTAGAGGCGTATTTTTGCGTTATGCATAATGAATCGAATTCTTCTCGCTATGTCGACTTAGAATTGGTTCCTGTTTTTACTTCCGGGCAGGTGGGAATTTTGGCTTGCATGGATTCATTTAAGCTTGATTTTGCAGCAATCGACGCCTCCGTTGACTTACCCAAAAGCGTATCATGATCCCTGCTCGCGTTAGCGACGGAGGCTCGGCGTTAGGCTGATATTGGGAGCTTTTTTCTTCCTGCCGCAGCTTTACGGCTGCACGCATTCTCTTCACATGTTGTATATTATTCGTATCTGATGCCCTCTCCTATGTAAATGTCTTTCTGCAAAAATTCAATTCGGGCGTTTTCACGCCATCGAATCCCCTCTCAAGGCTCCTCGACGTTCAAATCGCTTCTTCCTTTCCTGTACCAAACAGCGACAATCCAGCAATGGAACCCCGTAACCAGTCTCGTCTCCCACCGATTTACATCTTCGCGATATAGACACTATGACGACATACCATTCGAAAGCTCTGAGTCCCTTCCCCCCAGCATCGACGGCTCCGAAGCCGCTCGTCCCCGTAAGACCACAATCACAAGCACCGAACGCGCCGCCTTCCAGAAACTCTACCGAAAAGTGAAAGTGGAGTCCGAGCCAGACTATGATATCCCCTTCGTATCGTCGTCAGACCGTGATCGCATCTTCGATGAATACTCGGATGAGGATGACAACGCTGACACCGCCGGCTCCGATCTTGACTCGGTCTTCGACGCTGTCCTTGCTGGCATTCCCCCCGGTAGTAGTACTCAACGCTCGAGACCTAGAAAGCCTTTCGAGAACCTAGAGACGCTCGCGAAGAGCATTTTGAAGCCAGAAGTGGAAGAAGTAAAAGGAAAGAGCAGGGAACAGGCCCTGGAGGAGGCGGCGAGGATAAAGTCGATTAGGGAGGAGGAAAAGAAGAGAGTAGTCGAGTTATTGGATCGTGTCCAGACGGATAGAGAGATCTGGGAGGTGTTACAACGGGAGGTCTTCGACATGATAAAAAAGCTGGATCTGGATGGATTGAATGCTTCGATAGCACCTAAGAAAAAGCACGTGAAGAAAGCAAAACCTGTCCTGGAAGCTGAACACTCGGGAACCATCTTCGAGTCTTTGAACCCCAATCCCACCACCGGAATTGCGACCCCATTACAGCCCCCATCACGCCAGAATGTCGCAGAAATCGACCCACGCATCCTCTTCCCAAACTACCCCACCCTCCTCATCTACGCTGTCCACCTTCTCCGCAGACATTTTCCTTCGTCTCCACTTCCCCTCACCATACTGCCGACCATAAAATCCCTCGGTCGCTCCTCCTACGCTCTCGGTGCAACAACTGCCCTCTATAATCTCCTCATACGCACTGCATGGCTTCAACACTCCTCCTACGACTACATCGACGAACTCCTAACCGACATGGACAACGGAGGCATAGAATTCGATCTCGGGACCCTGGATCTGCTGAACAAGATACTTTTTGAATATAATGAAGTGCGTGGCGGCAAGTTCGGCCATTTGATTCGGGAGGTGTGGAACCTGGAGCAGTTTCACGAGGGAGCCAGGAAATTAGATGGGTGGAGGGGAGTGGCGAGGCAGAGGTTGGGCGCTTGGGCCGGAAAGAGAGCGAGGGAGGGGTCTCTGATTAGGAAGTATGAGGAGCCTGGGAGTTCGTCGTTGCGGGGGCCTAGGGATGAGATTGGGGTCGAGCCCGGGATTGAGGAAGAGGGGAGGGGAGTGAGTTTTGAGAGGCAGAGTACTCCGAGATGGAAGCATGTTGCTCAGAAGTCGCGGTCTATTTCAGCCATAAGGCAAGGGAGGGAAGAAGCGAAGAACGCTCCTTAGTGATTTTAGCATCCCGCGAAACTCATGTTAGATAACGTGTGGTTAAGAATATCGGAGTCGAGCGAGCATCGCACACATGACACAACAACCAAACATGGAAAGGAAATGTACCAATACCGTGTCACCGATTGCTCAACCACGCTAATCGGTGTAGTAATAATGCTACTACAAAAGATCCAAAACTCGTTACGTGCAATCCTCATTTTGAACGAATAGGTATGGGGTATAAAGTGGGAAAGAAAAGTAACACAAATTCAACGCCATCAGATGCAATCCATCCTAAGTCATCCTTGAACTCCTTCTGTGATACATGGTTTGCGCCGTAGATCGTTATACGTTTTTCCTCAGATACCCAAACACTTGATAATTTTACCTTCACTCCAACTTTTGCGACTTTCCAGGTTGCAAAGCGGTAGCAAGACTATCGCTCGTCCTAGATCTCTTTAAATTCTTTGTGCGGGAAACTGATGCGCTTCTGCTGGCATCTGCGGGTTTCTTCCCCCTTTCTCTATCTTCTTCGGCTAGGGAATTGGACGCAGGGCTAATGAATCCAGATCCACCCCCTGCTGTGGCCGCAGAACTCCCTGCTGGAATTTCTTCTGCGAAGCGGTCAGCGAAGGCGGCGTCGTACTCGCGTTCACTTGCAATGACAGCTGTCGGATCTAGTCTGCGAGCTGTCGCCAAAAGATCAACACCACCGTCGTCAGCGTCAGATTGCGATTCGTTACAACTCCCGGAAGAGTATTGTTTGTTGTTGTAGATGGGCGAAATATTGAGGAGTGGGAGCGCAGTTGCAGGGTCGTCTTCATCAGAGGAACTCGATAAAGAGGGACCTGATGATACATCTGAATCGAGGTCGGAATCGACATCGCCCGAAGATGTGGAGTCGAATGGTAAGAAGGAAGCAGGAGGGAGGGTGGAGTTAGGCAGATTCTTACGCGCTGCAGATATGATCTCCTCCTTAATGATAGGCTGCAATGATCGTTTTTCGTCGTTGGATGACAACTGCTCTCTTAAAGCCTTAAGTATCCTATGAGGGTATACCCTATGCTTCAAAGTAGTTTGCCGGAAAGGCACAAGATTTGAATCCTTAGAGCGGAAATGGGAACGCTTGACTTTGATCTCAAAATTATCATCGGGTTGTACACCGCCAATTCCAGATGCTTCAAATTCCATGGGTTCCGAGCTATCGTCCAGACTATCGTTTCGTAGAGCCTCTGTTGACAATGTGAAGTCTTCTTCACTAGATGCTGTCCGCCCACCTTCTGTGGAATCCAGATCCATATCCTGCAGTGAAGCATCCTTCAGCGGCCTTCCTGACTCTCCAATCCCAGAGGCATGGCGCTCTGTTAACGGCTTGGGTGCTGCTCCTATGGGTTGTGTCGTAATACTCTTGTATGACGTGGGGTTCACGACCATGGAGCCGCACTGATTGCTGCTTAAATCAGTGCAAAACTTGGCTCCGTTGTAGAATATAATGGGACCATCTTCGCGCCTTCTCCGCGAGGATAAACTTCGCATCGCCGAACTAGCGAAGCCCGACGAATTGCCGCGGGCCTCTCCTTGAAATGGAGAATAACTCGAAGACAGCATATCGAAATTGTACAAATCGTCTTCGTCATCTGAATCGTCCTGGTGGAAGAAAAGGGGAGTATAAGCAAGCTTTCCTTGTCCTTTCTCCTTAGCTGCACGTGCCATTCGTGTTGCCTGCCTTTTAGGACCAAACATTGAATCCCTGCTTCCGCTGTGGCTAGTCTTGGGCAATTTCGCAGGCGACTTGGAGTTGCTTCCAGTCATATTGCCATAAAGCGAACTGCCACTGAAATGGTCAGAGGAGCTGTCGTTGTTCCTGGTTACATCATGGCCACCTCTCCAACGAATCTTGCGACCATCGTGGGACAACTCGAATTTTGAACTGTAGTCGTTGACTGCCTCTTTGACGAAGTCTGGAGTAACATTGATAGTGTGCAATTGGGCCATATTGGTGAGGAGGTTGAGATATATCCAGCCATGATCATCTTCTGGGGCTATGCCGGAGATCATGTCGGGTGGTGTGAATCCCAAATGCCGGATGTACTCCATATTCTCCTCGGGAACCTGGGCGCGAGAAGGATCCAAGTCTAATGGTCTTGTAGGCCTCTGGTCGGGGGATCCAGAGTCTGCAAAATCCTGCTCGTTGATTGCTAGAGACGGGCGGCGCTTGTGAGGAGTCTCTGTAGGTTGGAATCCAGTAATGTCTTTGCTTCCTGCTTTCGCCGGCATAATGCGCGCTTCGCGAAGTCCCTCTTGCTTGTATATTTGACCACTAGCTTCTTTCGCTCGTCGATCGGCTATGGCAGCAGATTGAGCAACCTCTTCCTGTAGCATCGGCTGGGGGTGGTTTCCAGGGACTTGACGTTTTCCGGCGAAGATCTGCTCTAAGCGGCGAACAACCAACTTCTTCTTCGACCTTTCTGTCATTGGCACAGGATGCTTCGGCAACAAGCCAACGGGAATATCATGTAGGTAAGACTGCACATTCTGCTGTTGCCGGGTATAAGACGACTTCGACATCTTCTTGTGACCACTATCTTGTGCAGACGGGATCGAATTCTGACCGGAGACTGATAGGGAGGCATATCCGGACTCGGCGAACCTCGAGGTGCGCGAAGAGGCGGTTTTGTGGTCGAGCCCAGGGGCATATGATGTGGGTTGATATTCGCTGGGCGGGCTGTTGTCAAGGTCGGCAGCGAACTTTCGGAGGGATTCTTCAAGCTCTTTTTTCTTGTGGTCAGGCAATCCGTGGAAACGCACCTCGAACAGTTTATCATTTTGTAGGTGAGCATCGTACATTCTCTCATACTTTCTCAACTTCTGCTTCAGGCGCTTGTTCGCAATAGTCAGGTCGTCGATCACGCTTCTGAAGTCCTCGGTACTGCTGCCCTCGGCCCCGAAATGTGTCAGCCCTGGCCGATGGCACATCATCATTGACTGAGCGTGTAATGGAACAGTTCGAGGATCTTGGCCATCTGGAGGCGTCTCCGAAGAGGAGGAGTTGCGGAGGAAGAAGGGCGGATCATCTATCCACCGTCAATGCACATATTTGATACGCAGCTGCCAAGATGCTTACTGTCGACAAAAGAAGGGTTGCTCTGTGCCGCATTGTTGTTGGTGTTTTCAAACCACTTGCCAGCGTCGCTACTCTCTCCGGAGCTCTGCTTGTGGGTCACTATTGGGGAGACGGTGGACGGCGGATTGGCTTTGTCGCTCGCAGGGCCATTGGGGGAACTCTGCGGCGTAGACTGGGGCAGGTGACGGCTGCCCTTATGGGGACGATCGGCCGGAGGACTATGTCGAAGGGAGACGGATTTGTGGGCTGGTGGACGGCGAGGGTGGGAAGCCAGGCGGGGCACTGAGCCTGGGGTCTCGTTCATGATAGCTCTACAATATGCTGCTGAGAGTGGACGAATACGACAAGGTGCTGTGCGGGAATTCCATCTGATGTTATGGGAATTTAGCTTGGCGGCGCAGGTATATCGGCGGCGTCGATGTGTGAAATCGAACGTTCAGGCTATGAAGAGAGCTGTAGGGGTAAGGCTTGGACCCGTCGTAATGGGGGGCTATGTGGCCTGCCAGCTCGGACAGAGCTGGAGGAGTGGGAATATTATGGAGCGCGGCTAATGCATACACTGGGAAGATGTGGGGAGATTCGCAGCCGTAGTGCGTCGCTACTGTAAGCATCAGAGGGAACAAGAGAGGAGGGAAAGGAGCAGCGTAGCGCCGGCGGCGGCGGGCATAAGGAGAGGCTGCGTGGTCGGTCATGGTGTGAAGACATCTTACAACAGCGCGTCGTTGGCGATGTCGATTTCGATTTCCAGGACGATTTCCAGGCCAGTCTTGGCGGGTCTAGGGATCGGAGCTCGAAAGTGGCGTGGTCCATCGGCCCAGACCTCTGCGGGCATCACGGCTGCCATGCGAATCGTCGATGAGCCTCGTTCTGCAACACCACCACTCCCAATCAAGCAGCTGTCGCAAGGTGGCCTGCCAGCAACCGCAGAGCAACCGGCATCGCAATCGGTGATCGAGCCTAGCCTCCGCTTGCGAATTGCCGCACTGACCCACTCCACGCTACCAAGCCTGTGTTGCTCAAGGAAGGCCCTGTTAGCAACGAACTCCGTGATATCTGTAGCACTGCGGTCCAGACCAGACAAGAGCATCCCCCAACTATCAACCATCCAGTCGCGGCGCGACCCGCCCGGCGCAAGGCAAGGCTGACAGTCCTCGCCACCAAACCCCAATCACTCGCGATCATCGTGGCGCTCCGAAAAGGTGCTGCTCGGAGGGCCGTCCTCCGATGACTGTCGAAAATGAGGCTATTCGGTGTTCTTTTCAGGCTGTTTGGTAGCCCTCAATGCGAGCGCTGCGTGCACAGCTTGCTGACTGAGCTGAACGTCTGGGGAGGATCGAGTTTCCAGTGTCAATCGTTTCTTGATGCTGCTGCCAAGAGACCCTGGACAACCCTCCAGTGAGCCAATCGGCTGACTTCAACATTGGATCGTGATGACTTGCAGCTGTGCAGGCATCGGCCTGTGTAGATGGACGTCATTTGGCTTCATTTCGCCTTGAACGCCCTGCATTTCGGAATCGGCCCTGTTTTTAGAACTCTCGAAACTTCTCCATGCTCACAACAGTGATGTTGTGGTGTTAACTGATGTCAAGCTACAGCTGTTGACGTGACGGATGATGGACTCGCCCCTCAACGGTGAACGCCTCTTTTTGATTCTGCAACTGCCATGCCCGGAGACAGAAGGCGTGTACAAAATCAATGCCTAAAGTGGGGGTGAGAATGAACCGCAGCGGAAGGGTGTGGCTATCAAAATCGTCCATGGTCAATCTACCTGGTTTTTATAGTACATACTGCGAGTATGTACGAGTATGATACAAGTCTTTTGTCGGGATTCTAGAATCAGATTCTAACCCCTTTACTCCTCAAAATGTTCACTGCGGAATGTCCAGTGTAGTCCAGCCATTCTCCCAACCCTCCAAGGAACCCACCAACCTTCATCACTTCGTTCAATCTTGAGTCGAGGAACTCCTCTGTTTCAGTAAACTCCTCTGAGCGATCCTGGGTCATAAACACCTCTGTTGCTGAGTATATGGCTGATAGGCTCGCTCGTTTTGTGTACCAACTGGTGTCGACGCTTACATCCCCCGCAAGAAACCAAATTTCGTCGGCTAGTCGTGCCAGTTCGGCGACAGAGGTCGGGACGTAGCTGGGCTGGGCCATAACCGCAAGCGCCTAGCTTTCGGTAAGCGCAATTGGCAATGCTGCTTGAGCATATCTAGCATACCTCTTGCCAGCGATGTATGATGGGCTGGTTGGCCCGCAATCGCGCCAATGTCAGTGTCCTAACTTTTGCTCCAACTCCTAGCTTCTTTGCGGAGCCTTGTTCCCCCTCAGAAGGGAACTGAACTGTGTCCTTCAAGGCCAATCGCTGCGTGACGAGATGATAGTTGATGAGGTCAAAGACTCCTCGTGGAAGCAAGTTCGTGGAGACTTCCAAGTAGCCTGCATCGCGGGCGCCGAGGTTGAGCGCGGTCGAGGTGAAGCCATAGTTTGGGACGTGGGATATGGCAGCGGAAAGGATCGCAGACTCAGCGGGAGGGAATGGCGGCGGCTGGACGTACTCATACGAGTGATAGGAACATGTCTGTCTCCAAATTGTTAGACAAGGTGAGGTTGCTGGGAACCTGCTGGTTATCGACTTAGACAATCGTGCTAAAGCCATGGCGATGGGTTGAGGTTGAGATTAGATCTTTGCCGGTGAAGTGAACTTTCAGGACGCCGACACAAGAGTCCTCCTGATCGGTCTTGATCTCGACCTTGTGCTCGATTTCGATCACCGAAACCGGTCGTGCAATATTTACAGGCAATAGGGATGCACGCATGGATTTAAGGCTCGCAATTAAGCATCTGTCACACTTTTTCACTCCCACCGTGTTCTTGGCTCCATCATTGGGATGCTTGATAGAAACAGTCAAGATTATAGTCACGTGAGAACATGTCGCGTTTCGCGTCCAACAAGCGCGTCGCTTCTGTGTCCCAGTTTTCACGATCCCAAACAGAACTTTTCATGTATTTGCCCATTCCATATCTAATCATTCTGTACATTTGTATTCCCCTATATGTTCCAATCATCAATCTAACATAACTCATGTAGATTTAGCAGTCTTGCAGCACGAACAGGACTTTGAGCCAATTCCCTCCCTGCGCCTCAGTCGAGTACCATCCCCAACCATTCGATCTCGCTTTCAGTATGGCACGCCAGAAGGCTGAACTGAGCGAATATGAGCGCAAACGCCAGGAGAATATCGCGAAGACACAGGCGCTGTTGCGAAACCTGGAAATGGAAGCCGCGGAAGCTGGTCTAGCGCCAACTGCTAAATCCTCTGCATCCGCCAAACCCAAGTCCAAAAAGCCTGCGCCGAAGAAGATCAAGCAGGTGGAAGTAGTCCCGCGCAGGACTTCTTCACGTCTAAAAGGCATCGAGGCAGATAGTGAGACGGCGAAACGCAAGGCGGAGGAGGAGCATGAGGCGCGCAAAGAAGCCGACAAGGCGAAGCGACAACGGATCAGCGGCACCTTCAACTTCGGTGACATCGTGGTTGGAGGAAAGGGCTGGGACCAACATGGCAATTTTGTATCCATCGTTGGTCCAGCAGTTCCGTACGAGCGCACATTCACCGCGAACGACGTGAAAGACACCACAGACAAGGAGCTCAGGGCTTTGAGGGAGAAAATGAATGCCTTAGAGCTTTGGGAAGACTATGAGCCAAATGAGATCAAGCTTACCCCCGAGCGAATCGTACGTCTCGTCCCATTGGGTTTGGAGCACTGTTTTGACGGATATAGTATTCCATGGGGTTTCACCCAACCACAGACAAACCCCTGGTATTTGCGGGTGATAAGCTAGGTAACCTTGGGATATGCGACTGCTCCCAAAAAGTCTCTGAGGTTAAAGAAGAAGATGATGAAGATGCAGAGTGGCAAGGCCCAAGCATCACCACCCTCAAGCCCCATACACGGACGATACACACCTTCCAATTCAGCCCTCATGATTCCAATGCTTTGTATTCGGCATCCTACGATTCAACTGTCCGCAAGTTAGACCTGGCAAAAGGGGTTGCGGTGGAGGTGTACGCGCCGGCTGACAAGAATGCGGATGCGCCATTATCCGGCGTTGAGATTTCAAAAAACGACGCTAATATGTTGTACTTTTCCACGCTGGATGGCCAATTTGGAATGTACGATATGCGAACCCCGTCAGAGAAAGCGGCTGGCCTGGAGATCTTCCGGTTATCGGAAAAGAAGATTGGTGGATTCACGCTTCATCCCCTGCACCCTCACCTCGTAGCTACCGCTTCACTGGATCGTACGCTTAAGATTTGGGATCTGCGTAAGATCAATGGTAAGGGCGACTGGCGTCTACCTGCTCTCGTTGGTGAGCATGAGAGTAAACTGTCAGTCTCGCACGCAGCCTGGAACTCGGCAGGTCAAGTGGCAACAGCATCCTACGATGATACGATCAAGATTCATGATCTCAGCAACTGTGCGAGGTGGAAGACTAGCACGTCTTTGACTGATGCTGAGATGAAGCCTTCTGTGGTAATACCACACAATAACCAGACCGGTAGATGGGTTACAATGTGAGTTCTGTGTACTCCTCCCTCTGTCAAAGACATTTGTCAGTCTGATGGCGACATTCTAGATTACGAGCTCAGTGGCAATTGTTCCCCCAGGATGGTGTGCAAAGGTTCTGCATTGGTAACATGAACCGCTTTGTCGACATTTACACAGCCAAAGGTCATCAGCTTGCGCAACTTGGTGGAGAAGGTATTACCGCTGTCCCGGCGGTGGCCAAATTTCATCCAACGCAGGACTGGGTGGCAGCTGGAACTGCTAGCGGGAAGCTTTGCTTATGGATGTAGAACTTCCCAGATCATCGAGGCGCTAGGTTCTTGAAATAGTGGAGATCTTGACACTTCTATAGACCTCACCAATACGAGTGGATGGATTCAGAAGGTGTATTGGTTTCATATGGAGGATCATGATCGTCCATCGGTTCTAGAAGGAATATATTGCTAAGTAATTAGGAGCATGGGCGAATACGGGAAATAGTCCTTATTGATTCTCGGGGAATATCGCTTTTTGAAAACATCCGTTCACAAATAGTTCGTTGTCCATGCATGAAATTCGCATTCTGCAAATGGTGGTCTCACTCGTGGCGCAGCAATTCCCTTCACGATATGATTACTTACCGCCGCCTTTCGCCGTCGTCGATATTGAATGACACCATTAGTCATGGTGCTACGGAGGACTGGTTCGTAGCTCTGTGTCACGTTAAGCTCACCCTCGAGACATTTGCAATTTCATCGTCTTTGAAATGGAGGCGGTTACCTCGGCGTATTCGCCGCTGATCCTTGCGGCTCCCCCCGATTTTGATGTTTCCTGATCGAGAGGTTTAAGCCGTCGTGTGATGAGGCTACCATGGTGGCTGATGCTATTTTAAGTGAAGAACGAAGAAAATAAGGTTAATGTGCCACTTCCGCTCCTCGCCCGACCTAACCCCTTGGCAAACGTCACGCGTTTCATCCTTGAACATAGCTCGTTGTTCAACCGTGTTTCAAAACTTACGATTAACCTGCCCTCGGTAAGTGGCACCAGAAATGAACCTTTCGCAGCCCAGTAGCGGTACAACATCCAGTCTGTAAAGCTTCAATCTCAGCCTAACGACTGTCAAACTCCTAGTCTGAAGAATGCTGCCAAACGGTCTCGAGATTCTGTAAAACCCTTCAAACTTCCAATACCCATGTAGATCCTCTGCATCGGCGCTATCGATTTTCCCTAAACCAGAGCGTGGAAATCGCTTAAACACATGGCTCCAGAGCCATGGTTTGAGGGGCAGTTGGACTTGTGACCATTCACAACGGCCAATATCTTGCTGATCCCTTTGCAATTTTTTTTTAGTTTTAGTGCCTTTCGGACCTCTGCGTTTGGACAGTCACGATACAACCTTGCTTTGTCTGCTCGGCTCTCAACCCTCTCTAAGGCTGAGTCTCCGAATTGCAGTACCGGCAGGACTAGGACAGGGCATCTCATCATCTAACCAGGTATGATGCTGCACATCGCAGCCTGTATTTCGGCAGCTCCCGGTCTCCAATCTTCAGTTGATTACCCCTCAGGCCAAGTATAAAGGTGCGCAGACACGCCGCGTTCTGCTCTGATCATCGATTCAAGCATCATTCGGACTTACGTTTCCACTCAACCCTTACTTAATTTCCAAGTGTTTTTAATAACCCACTCTCGCTCAACACGCTCACTCCAACCTTCAAAATGAAGAACGCTTTCGCTTTCTCAGCTTTGGTCGCCAGCGCCTTTGCTCAGGACTACTTCGGCGTTATGTCTGCCCGCAGTGGTTCGAATATTCATCTCCTCCCTTTAAATGCTATTGGCGGAAAGTTCTTCCTGGGCGGGTCGCCATCTTCTTACTGCCCGCCAGAAGTCGGCACTGCTTGCCCTCCAGGAACCTCGACTGTCCTGGCCGGCGGTGTTGGCACATTGTCTCTCGGCGTTATTGTTCCAGGCGGACAGCAAGGTATGCCCGTATAGACCGTGAATTCTTTAGGTAAAGTCTAACGAATGCATAGTATATATTGCTCCCGATGGCACCATGAGCTACACTGCTCCGCACTCGGCCTACAAGCCAGAGGGCTCAGTTGTCGACGGATGGTCTAGGTCGCCCGTTAATGACCAGTTCGGCTATTTAACTTTCTCGGGTGGATTGGTTGCTTGCCCTGTTGACGCAAACAACAAGCCCTGGCAGGTCTATGGCCAGATTGCAAGCGTTACCCTCTCTCCGCAATGTTTGGGATTCTCTGCTCTTACTATAAATGGAACGGAAGCGGGCGCTTGGGAGTACTGAAGGTTTCTCGATGCATTTCTCGGTGTAAACAAAACTGCAAACGAATACGGTAATTGGAGAATGAATTGATGGTCGAAAGTAACGAAATACATACGTGGAATAGGGGAATTTTTGAAGTAACAGGGGGAGAAGTACATAGCGACATACTTGCATTAGCTGTCCGCACTCTCTTGCAATATAATCTTAATGATTTCCACATCTTCTTCTGGTGTCTTATTTTTGCTTGCAAAGTTGTTTATCACCACTGTCTTCTCTCTACTCTTCATCCCCTTCACTATTTCTACATCCGACTTAGGAACTTTGAAGACCTAGTCGAGCATCAACATGGGAGGTTGACCAAGCCCGATCGAAAGATGTTTCTCTTCGTCAACATACCTTGGCAATGACCTCTCTGACAGCCTTGTTCGCTCCCCCCTCTCTTGCTTGTGCTGCCACACACACTTCAATCCTTTCAGTCGTCACTGTCGCAATCCCTTCTCTGTTCGCGCTGACACCTGGCTTGACGTGGCAAAGGAGCTGAATGGAGCCACCTTGCGCCTTCGATCCTTTTGCCGCAATGAAGCGGACTGCAGGGGTGAGCATAGCCGGATTCTTTCGGATACTATGACCAATTAAAACGGCAGCTAGGGCAGGTGAGTTTATCTTGAGGGGTGAACGTTGAAGGTCAGCTTGCTTCAGCTGGCTGCAATCTGATAATCGCTGGGCAATGACACCATGAGCCGTGTCCAACCGAGGCTGGGCAGCGTCACTCGGATCGCGGAAAGTGACCAATTAAACAAATAAACCATCGAAAGCTTTCCCTTTAAGAGAAATTTGGAAATTTTTATTTATACATCTTGGGAACAATAACCAGTCATTTCAACCTCAAAATGGGTCACTATTGGTAGGTTAACATTGTTATCAGACTGGAACATTGAAGAAGTGCCCAGGTGAGCTCCGACATCGCCGCGGCCAAACACCCTTGCCAAGTGGGGGTTCGAGATAAAACCCTCGCGTCTACCTGTACTTAGGGGAACTGAAAAGAAGACATATCCCCTAAGTACAGTTCGACGCGCGCAAAACATGATTCAAAGGATGCAATTACCTAAGATGATGGTGCAGCGCATCAAGGCCAGAGCATTACAAAAGGCGAATATCTGGCCGGATCCCAATTCCTGATTTTCAGAATCCCTCACTGGCAACTTGGAATCGGGATATCGACAACGCGTGAAAGCTATCACAGTTCTGATTCCTGGGGTGGCAAGTGTCAGCTAGGCATTCAGACGGACACAAAGGCTGCGGTGACCTCCTTTGTACAATCTGCTATATCGTGTAAGTGGTAGTCCTTGTTCAGATTCCAACACCGAGTGAACAAAGACGGTGCTTCAGCTGCACAATCGGTCCAACCAACTGACGGCCGAGATGCAGCATCTTTACAATATGACTTCTGCACCTTCCATTCAGCCAAAGTTCCTCCCCAATCGCCATCATCTGGGGATTGTCGCGGTGGGGTTCAGCGGCGGCCAGGTGGGTAGCAACTCCAACACCTAAGGCACAGCTAACAACGGTAGCCAAAACCCGGCGTAGATGCAGCACCAATGGCCCTCATTGAAGCCGGCCTGATCCAGCAGCTCGAGGAAGACCTCGAGTTCGACGTTGCCTTCGATGACCAAGTCCACTCCTACGCTGAGATTGTCCCTGCAGAAGATCCTCCATACCGCAACATGAAGCGGCCGAAATTTGTTAGTGCTGTGACGAAGGAAGTGAGCAACCAAGTCTATAACCACTCAAAGAACGGGAAGTTGGTTCTAACTCTGGGTGGGGACCACTCGATTGCGATCGGGACAATATCCGGGACAGCGAGGGCCATTCGAGAGCGGCTGGGCAGAGATCTCGCAGTCATCTGGGTAGATGCGCATGCGGATATCAACACGCCAGAAACTTCAGAGAGTGGGAACATTCACGGGATGCCCGTGGCTTTCTTGACCGGATTAGCGACAGAAGAGAAGGAAGAGATGTTCGGGTGGTTGAAGGAGCATCACCGCATTAGCACTAAGAAACTTGTCTACATCGGCCTTCGAGACATTGATAAAGGCGAAAAGAAAATCCTCAAAGAGCACGGAATCAAGGCGTTCTCCATGCACGATATCGATAGGTATGTACTGTTCATAAGCACGGCACCCCAACGCTTCCCGATTCCCGCCGGTGCATGCAGGGACTAATGTTGAGAACGTGCAGGCACGGCATCGGAAAAGTCATGGACATGGTGCTGGGCTGGATCGGTAGCGATACCCCAATTCATCTCAGCTTTGATGTGGACGCTCTGGATCCAATGTGGGCGCCGAGTACTGGCACGCCGGTTCGAGGCGGTCTGACGCTGCGCGAAGGTGACTTCATTGCTGAGTGTGTAGCGGAAACGGGGTCTTTGGTCGCTCTGGATCTTGTTGAAGTCAACCCGAGCCTTGATGAACAAGGGGCAAGCGACACAGTCCGAGCAGGTTGCTCGATTGTGCGTTGTGCGCTCGGCGATACGCTTCTGTAAGCTGTGGAAGTCCTCGGCGTTCAGGATGAAAGATTGGAAGGTCTCGGAAACAAGGTTCTGGAATTGGATACATTAGATTGGGTTTTGGGCTTGCCTTGCGATTATTCCATCACGAGTGAATTGAAATGGTCACGAGCACAGTCAACCTTCTTCTAGAGCCCCTAATGCGGAGCTTTCACGAAAAGAAGCCGGAAGGGTAAGCTTACTTCAGCAACACGCTCTAAACAATTCTTCACAAGACTCATCTTATTCTCGTCCGTCAAACATGTCAACAGACCTAAAGCCTCCGTCCGACCCACGGTTACGCGGGAGAGGGGGTTTCCGCATGTGAAGTTTGAGGCTTCGAGGCTTCGAGGCTCGCCAACCACTTTTAGAGGAAAATAGCAAAACTCACTATCACCAAAAATCCGAACCGCACTCGCTCGCACCCCGAACATAACAATTGTGAAAATCCCATCAAAGATCTCTCAGCCTTTAGCCCGAGAGGAAGAAAATAAGTGCTCATGAAAGATTCACCCATTCCCCCTTCCTCTTCGCCGGACTTGATCCGCACTTCCCCCCTCGCACGTGCTTTCTACGTCATTCCAAGGTGCTTCCAGCGTCCGTTCGGACCCGCAAAATGTTTACAATAAAAAATGCTAAAATAGTAATTGCGCAATGGCCGCACAAGATAAAAGTCCGACAGCCACCGCTGAGCCTGCACATGTTACATATGCACATTAGTATGCAGCTATAATGCAGGCAACTACTAGATGCACATCTTATCTGCCACAACTGCCCTCGGGAATCCATGAGCTTCTGTCTCGGAGCACGAGGGCAAGCACGCGGAGCAGCCACCGGCCTCGCTGGCCTCCATTAACAGCCCATTTTTCACATGCTGGACTGTGCGCTGGAGGCGTTCAGCAGCAGAGAAGTATTACTATAAAGCAGTTGGATCATGGGAGGGTTGGTGAGAAAATCCCCCTTCTGCTCACCCATGAGTCTTGTTCAACAGTTTTTGAGGCTGATTCGGCTTCGGGCAGACAGGGAACGCGTTGTTATTCTAGGAAGTGGATGGGCGGGATATACAGTTGCGCGCCAACTGGATTCGAGGAAGTATCAGGCTGTTGTTGTGTCTCCAAGATCCTACTTCGCTTTCACACCATTGCTGGCTTCTACTTCAGTAGGTACCCTTGAATTTCGGACGGCTCTTGAACCAGTCCGGAGTAAGCGTTCGAAGGTCAATTACTTCCAAGGGTGGGCGGATGGGGTCGATTTCAAGAACAAGACGGTGACCATTGAGGAAGCGGTCGATGATCCTACTCAAGGACTATCACCAACATTGGATCGCCATGCTGGCAAGACCGGTTCCCAGAGAGAGCGTGAGAAGGCAACAGAAGCCAAGAAAGGAAGGCTATTCGATCTAGCCTACGACAAGCTGGTCATAACTGTCGGCTGCTACTCTCAGACTTTCGGCATACCGGGCGTCAAAGAAAATGCCCTTTTCCTGAAAGATGTGGGGGATGCAAGGAAGATAAGAAACCGGATACTGGCATGTTTCGAGGCTGCTGCTCTCCCTACGACATCGGACGAGATGCGTAGAACTCTTCTCAACTTTGCCATCGTCGGAGGCGGACCAACCGGCATCGAGTTTTCGGCTGAGCTGTACGATATCATCAAAGAGGATCTTGCCCGAATATACCCTGAGTTGATCCCATTCCATCAGATCACGGTTTACGATGTTGCGGACAAAGTTCTTCCAATGTTTGACGCGAATCTCGCTGATTATGCAATGGACGCCTTCCGCCGAGGAGGAATTAGCATCAAAACGAAACATCATGTCAACGAGCTGCGTAAGGGTCCACCAGCGGGGAGCGCCAGCAAGGTTGATGACCAGAACGCCTGCTTTACCCTCAATATTAAGGAGCAAGGCGAAGTTGGGGTGGGAATGGTCGTATGGAGTAAGTCGTCCCTATAGTCATTCGTCGTGATCGTACTTATATAGCTGGTAGGCACTGGCTTAATGATGAACCCCTTTGTAGCAAAAGCTCTGCGTGATATTCCCGAACTTCCAGAAGCAGGCGTCAAGTTCCTGGAATCAGGATCAGCCCAGGATAAATCCGGTCCAACTGGATGGGTTGTACAGAAAGACGCCAAAACAGGTTCTGTTATTACAGATGACCGTCTTCGGGTAAAGCTTGAAGCTGAAGGAGTTGGAGAGGATAAACCTCAGGCTATTCTCGAGGACGTTTTCGCTCTCGGCGACTGCGCCATTCTTGAAGGGACTTCATACCCAGCCACGGCACAGGTGGCCTCGCAGAAGGCAGAGTGGCTGGCAAAACGGCTCAACAGGGATGACATCGAGCAGTCTGGCTTCACTTGGAAGAACCTAGGCGTGATGGCGTATATTGGCAACTGGAACGCTCTATTCCAAGGCAGTGGCGGAGGCAATATATCAGGAAGAGCTGCCTGGATTTTGTGGAGAGGTGCTTATCTCACGAAGAGTGTGTCCATTAGAAACAAGATTCTGATTCCCATGTATTGGTAAGTGTGTTGTATTTGGTCTCTTCGCATCGTGCTGACTAATACTGAATAGGTTCATTAATTGGCTATTCGGTCGCGACATCAGTCGCTTCTAGGTTGTTGGTGCGAATTTTAGACGTATTAGACTTCGGTGTCATGAAGTGATTTTGTTTCATCTGAATTTGGAAGTGTGTCATTTTCTAATGGAGATCTGATCCGACGTGAACGCGGACCAATCGACAAACACTGCATCATAGCTAAGGTGACTCATCTTGTTTCTGATACTCGACTGTCCACGTGCTTGAAACACGGTATCCAACCTGGAAGACCTGGATCTGCAGGGAATCCTAAACTCGCAGGTGGTTAAGAACAAACAGATGTTGTGCTGCCCCTTTTGATGCGAGAACGGCAACACGGGAGGACACATCAGCACCAAATTCCGCATATGTTAGCTGCTGCAGCTCGTTGAGAAACGTGACCGATATTTCCTCTAAAGTACCTCTTCTTTGCCGAGCCTCATATGGGTCTGAGGGATATTGGCCGTGGTGATAGCCTGATTTCGGGCGTGAGGGTGTTCATGTGGAAAATGATATGGACTTCTTCGTCGCCATCTATCTGATATTGGATCTGCTTTCCAGAAAGGGAATGGAATGGTGGAGGAAGTGTGAAACGGACATCACCAGTTCGCTTGCATCGTCGTCAAGCCTTCACTAGCACGTGATTGGCTGGTCAATCTCTCTTCTGCATCCGCGACCACGCCTTCGTGCATCCTCAAGGCGGTGACTGACTGGCTGTGGAGCTGCACTTCATGCCATATCTTTCGTCGCCTCTGCACCACGAATGTTCCTTCTCCTCTTCTTCCTCGAATCTGAGGCTGCCATGTTCGACTTGCATGTCGTAATCTCCCTCCAACCTGGTCTTCCGATGGCGCGAGGCGTCGACAGCACATTTAGGTTGCAGGCTGAACCCTGATTGTTTCCTTAGTTGCTCTCCTTAATCCCACTCTTTTTGCACAACGTAGCTCTTCATCGTTCACGCTCGCCTCCAGCATGCACGCAATCGCACTCTGCGTCACCGACCAAATTCTCCCAGCGTTCACGACGAGCATCTGCGTACTCCTTCCAAGCCCACGGCGGCAGTACCAAATTCATTGACGCAAAGCGCGGTTCCCGCTTTCTCAGCCCTACGCATATGTACACGTAGCATGGTAGGTAGAAAAAGCAAACCTTCACCTCTTGAGCTTCAAGGTCTTGCACTCCTTCCAGCGACTGATCCATTGTGTTTAACCACAGACGGACCGCAGAGCCTCCTTTGAGGGCCATCCAGGGCGTTCAAGACACCGCAGCCCTACCTCGGAGGAGAAGCCGGACGGCCCTGAGAGCCTTACCACTAGTACCACAATCCAATCTCCCGCCTCTGTGCCTCGAAGACGCCAATTGCGTGCCAAATCCATCCCCAATGACCTCCCGGAGTCCTCACCCACGACGTGGGTAGAGACCGATAAAGCAGAGCCACGAAAGGCCAGAGGTAGTCGGGCCACCCAGCGGAAAGCTTCAGGAAGCAACTCTCCCCGAAATTCAGCCTCACCTAAGTCGTCAACTACGGAATTGGAGCATACGGACAAGGAAAAGGATAACGGAGGCTTCCTCCCAAAACTTACCAGGATACCTGAGGGGAACGAGAGCAAGACCGCGAAAAGTCGGCGGAGCTCCACATCCAGCTCAGTTGATGATCCTGCCCCGGTTCGCCGCCCTCGCCGCCCGTCAGAAAATGTACCCGTAGTCCATCGACTAATCCGCCAGAAGCACGGCTCATTACGACGGCGTGCTGAAAGCCTTGGTAATTTACCAAACCCATCTCTCCTGTCAGTCCTCTCCGGAGTCACCAACCAGTCCAGCAGTTCTGGGGGAAGCACTTCAACCATCACGCAAAAATCGTATGACAAAACACACATAAATAAGCGCAGACAGACTAAAGAGAGGAAACGGCTTCAAACAAAACGTGCACAGACAGTAGCCCAAGCCATGGACCCTGAACCACAAACACCAGCCTTTTTCCAATACATACATGATGGATCGACGTCTGACCATTTTCTTACCAGCAAACATGGTCAAGCTAGGCCTACGTCGTCGTCATCTTCAACGTCCATCTCTTCCTCCTCTACCTCGTCTCATGGCATTGAACACAATGACGGGGCATCCTCAATTGCTGAAGACCGTGTTACTGAATCTCCGCTCACCTCACCAGCTTCAACCAGAAGGTCGGACCGAGAAGAGCCACGATGCAAAGACATGTCAAGCAGCGACTCAGATTTATCTGTCCAGGAGAATAGTACTCAGTCTGTCCTACCTCCGATCAGTCATCATGCTATTTATCACCAGGATGAGGAAGAGGAAGAGGAAGAGGAAGAAGAAGAAGATGATGATGATGATGATGACGATGACGAGGAGGAGGGAGACAGTGATGAGGGTGTGGAATATGATGTTGAGGAAGCAGACGATCGTCACGCGCACCAATACGCCCTCGAGCGATCTGAGCCCCCTAGGCTTCCCTCAGCATCTTCCTCGCGCCACAGTGACTCTCACACGCGGCGTCTGAGGAATCAGGAACAGGAGCTCAGGGACCATGTCCTCCAAAACCCCCAACCACAACGAGACTTTCAATTTGCGGGTGCCCCTTCACCAAATCCACATCCAGCAATGCCTCTGTACGATGCGTACTCTCACTCTGGTGCCTCGCCTGCCAATTTCTTTGCTCTAGCTCCCCATCCTGCTGGCTGGGTTCCCCCTGCGCCGCCTCCACCCGCCATAGGCTATTATTCGCCCCCGCAAGTGCCGCCTGCGCCCTATCCACCGGTAGCTGATAATAGTTATGCCATGGCCTCTCGCAATCCCATGGCTGCTCCCAGCACTGTGGTTCAACCACCGCCATTCCACCATCCTCATGCGCAACCACCCCACTACCAACCACACCCAACAGGGCCTGATTCAACCAAGACCACGGTCGTGGGATACGAATTATTGGCTGACAAACTGACTGAACTTTCAAAGAATGACAATGAGACCACTGGGGGAGGAAAAGTGATCCCGATGTACCGCAAATTCGAGCATCTCAACCACCGCGTGCTGCTCCACCTTCAAGACGAAATATCCGAATTGGAAGAGGAGCTCCGGTATCTCGACGAATGCATTGCGCAAATATCACCCAGAACCGAGACGGGTCATGTATATCCGGCATCAAGGCGTGCGGAGGCTCGCTATGGGGGTGACTTGCATTACAGAAGGACGGATCTCCTCGGCAGGATTTATTTAAAGCTGGGCCAATACAGTGAGTGACCATGAACTGATGTCCTACCGAATTAACAAATATTGACTAAAGCACAGATCAAGCACTCTCTTCATTCAGCAGTGCGGTGAAGAACTTGGACGCTGCCAATGCGGAAGAGATCCAAGCCTACCGTACTTGGATGGAGAAGCATGCTCCGATTGAGCTCTCTGAGACTCGATTTCTCGACCGCAAAGATGACTTGCTTGCCATCTCGCGAAGGAGGTCAGCAAGCAACGTTGGTGGCGTAGGGCCACACCAATCCGCAGCGATCGGGCTGCCACTGATTCTAGTTCTTCCCCTCTTTTCTTTCGCCTTGGTGCCCACTTTACTAGGAAGACTCTTTATCATCATTCTTATCGGCGCCGCAGAGGTGACGGTAGTAGCATCCACTGAGCTGATGGGCGTGATGACGATTGGGGAATGGGTTACGTGCGCGTCAATGTGAGTACAATGATTTCCTTCACATGCACATGTCCACCGATACGAGGCAAGCAAGACCAGTCGAAGTGAAGCTGAAGCTGGTGATTGCGGGGCTATCGTGTCCTCGCCACCCACTCATTGCTAGCTCGCGCACCATGCACGATGCCGAGCTGGATGGCGACTTAATGCCGCGAGGGAGATGAGGAGAGGCTCGAGCCGACGAGTCGCCTTTATCTCTATTTAACCGACTCCTGTTATCTGCCCTTCTTCCACCGATATCTGTTCCTGATGTTGCTGAAGTCAAGGCTAATGCGAGGGGCAAAGCTATTTTGGTCTAATGGTTGTTCTTGCGGGCGTGACGCATTAAGCTGCGTTGGAACTAGTTCAACGCGCTGACTCGCGGAAGGACCGCTGTGGAGTCCAGGAACAGATAGGCGTACGCTATGGATGATCATCCAGGCACGGATTGCGCCCTCAGTATTTTCGACAGAGACTCCGGCCGACTCGTGGTGCGAATGCCCTCGATTGCGGTTTGATTTAGTATTTGTTTTCACGGCTGCATCGATCGGTCACGGTCCACGACTTGCAATGAATTTATTTTTTTGACATATTCGCGTTTCGCGTCCCTTTTGCGGGCCCTCGAGCTGCACTCAGCGGGCGATCTGAGGGATGGGCTTGATGGGCATGAGGGTGTGGTGGGTTAAATGGTGATGGGTCGATATGGCGTTTCGCGGATGACCTTTCGGATGGCGAGGCTTGGCGTAGACTCAGGAACCGGCTCACAGGAAGCTAGGGGGTTTGCTGCATCGGGCATCGCCGTCGCATTATATTTACGAAGCCACGAATCTTTGGTTATTTGACAGACCTTCGATGGTGACTTGCTGCTTGTGCACCGGTGGCGTAGAATTTCATTAAAGGCTTAGATGATGAGAGAGGAGGAAGGGAGTGGGATCGGAGGACGTGATGTCGTGAAGGTTAGAAGTGTAATTGGATAGGGATGGCTGAGGGTGGTGCAATTGATGCTTGATGACAGCGACAGCTGCAGCGTTTCGTGATTTACTGTCGACCCTAGATATGTGTCCACCAGTCCTGGGCGGAGATGGTGGTAGGATTGCGGATGTTGCGCCGCGGGGGTGGTTGCACAGGCGCGAGGGTCGAGGGTCAAGGGTCACGGTTCTGCTGTACGAATTGCTTGCTTCTGCTTGCTCCCGCACGCTGCATCGCTCATCTGTCTTCCTGGCGCTGGGTCGACTCACGGCGGGCAGCAGTTTGCCCGGCTCGGCTCTTCGATGACGTCTAGTGGGTCAGGCACGAGGCACCATGTAGGCACCGTCGTTCGGAGGGTACGATCATGTGGTCGATAATTTATTGCGAGGCCCCTTTCGAGTGTGGTTTCAGAAGGCGGCCCTGAGCTTGCCCGTATCGGGGCGTGTATCGGCGGTGTTTGGAGAACCCACCGCACCCGCTTGCGCAACAGGCGCAAAACCGAAATATTCAATGCCCCCTCCAGTATTCCCAGGCCCCAGCGTCTTGTTCCCAGCTCTGTTTTGTCACCGCGCGGCCCCTGATCGCTTTCTTGCACTCGTGCGCTCCGCCTGCGCCGACAAGCCCCATCCAACGCGGTGCCAACCACAGCCCTGAAAAGCCCTGAAACACCCCTCAACCTCCTTTCCCACGGGCCACGATCCCCCCATACATACGCCTGTACCCGCCGCCCTCCTTGCGCCAACGCACCGCTCTTCCAGCAATTCGCTGCCCCGAGACGCTGGCAATTCCCTAACGACCCGTCTTCTGGAATGTCGCAAGAGGACCCGCACCCACTCACCACCTGAGCTCCCTCACGCCAGTTGCGCCTCTCCCACCGTCGCCCACCTGGACCGGCCACTTAGCTGCAACAGCCGCACCTCCCGACGACGAACCGTTCCTCCCCAGCAGCCGACGTTTCTTGGTCCTGCATCCGCCTCAGCATCCTTCACTTGAGCCTCCTCGCACCGCGCCCACCGCTGCGCACGCCGTACCTCCACGCCGTTAATATACACACCATTCTCGCTGGACGGGTCATCCTGGAACAATCTCGCTGCGACCGACCATCCCGGGCACTCGCATCGACGCGCACAAAGAGCACGCTTTGCAAGGCTCGAAATCTCCTTCTTCAGAGCGAGGCGCACAGAAAGCCGTCGGGCAACAGCGCATTGGCGCCGTTACACACGTATCTGAGGTCGACCCGTCTTTGTTAGACTCTCCAAATCAGTCCACCCGCCCCTCCTGGGTCTGCATTCCTCTATAACACATCCCCCCCCCCCGACCAAATCCGCCTGCGCCCTCACCCCAGCCTCGACCGTTATCGCCATGGCCGTCTCCATGCTCCACGCTCCGTCACGAGCGTCCACGTCCTCGTCCTCGTCCTTCATACCCGTCTCCCGACAAAACACAATGTCTTCGCACGACGGATCGCGCTCCGTGCGGCAGTCAAAGCGGTACTCGGTCACCGCGCTGTACCTGTCCATGTCTGCGAAGGATAAGGAGCTGGAGATTGAGGATGACTTGGCAAGAGGTAAGTTGGCTATCCTCCTACGCTTTTAGATTGCGACGCGAGCTAACAGATGCCTAGCCCAAAAGACACTGCGAGAGTTGAAAGCGAAGATCTCGTCGCAGTCGAAGAAGAACTTCGTACTCGAAAAGGACGTCCGCTACCTTGACTCCCGGATAGCCCTGTTAATCCAGAACCGGATGGCGCTGGAAGAGGTATGTGTGGCACAGCTTTGTCTACTCCGATCTAGGATTAACTGTGCACACAGCAAAACGAGGTCGCAAGCCACTTGGATGAAGCCGCCGAGCTGCAGGAGGGCTTCTTCCCGAATGATGAGAAGACGCAGAAATATGGAAACCTGCTCTTCCTACTACAATCAGAGCCAAGGCATATTGCACACCTATGCCGACTTGTTTCAATGGCTGAGATCGACGTGTTGTTGCAGACGGTCATGTTCACCATCTACGGCAACCAATACGAGAGCCGCGAAGAGCATCTGCTACTGACCATGTTTCAGGTATGTGATGTTTGGGAACAATTATGCACTTGCGGGAGCTGACTTCAGAAAATAGTCCGTTCTCACCTATCAATTTGACAACACCCCGGACTACAGTTCCCTACTCCGGGCGAACACCCCAGTATCACGCATGATGACCACATATACCCGAAGAGGACCCGGCCAAAGCTACCTCAAAGTCGTGTTGGCTGAACGAATCAACTCATTGATTGAATTGAAAGACCTGGACCTTGAAATTAATCCGCTCAAGGTCTACGAGAAGATGGTCAGCGAAATTGAGGAGCAAAATGGCGAATTACCCCCCAATCTACCGAAAGGGGTGACCGCCGAACAGGCTGCGGAAAACGAAACGGTCCAGCAAAGAATCGCACCGCGGCTCACCATGCTTATGGAAATCGCTAATTCTTTTCTGACGACCATTATTGATGGCCTCGAGGAGACACCGTATGGCATTAGGTGGATCTGTAAGCAGATCCGAAGCTTGTCCCGACGAAAATATCCGGACGCAGAGGACCAGACGATTTGTACACTCATCGGCGGGTTCTTCTTCCTGCGATTTATCAACCCGGCGATTGTAACGCCCAGGTCTTATATGCTCATCGATGCAACCCCGGCAGAGAATCCGAAGCGAACTCTCACTTATGTTGCGAAGATGCTGCAAAACCTGGCAAACAAGCCTTCCTACGCAAAGGAACCATATATGGTCAAACTACAGCCGTTTATTCACCAGAACAAGGGGCGCATCAACAAGTTTCTCCTTGATTTATGTGAAGTCCAAGACTTCTATGAGACCTTGGAGATGGACAACTATGTCGCGCTTTCCAAGAGGGACCTTGAACTTTCAATCACTCTCAACGAAGTATATGTCACGCATGCGTTGCTAGAGAGACATCAAACGGAATTGGTACTTCCCTCATGTACTTTAGATTCGAATGTAGACTAACCACGCGCACAGGCAAAGGAGGAAAGCTCCCACTTAGGCGTTCTGCTTCAAGAGCTTGGACCCGCTCCCGCTCAACTGCCCAGAAAGGAGAATCGCGCCATCAACCTGCCATTATTTAGCAAATGGGAGACCCCTCTGGACGATCTTACTGCAGCCTTGGACATCACCCAGGAGGAGATTTTCTTCATGGAGGCCAAGTCGACGTTTGTCATGATCCTACGATCTCTTCCACCGAACTCGTCGATCACCAGAAGGCCGTTGAGGCTTGACCGAATAGCAGAAGCTGCCGCGACAACGAAAAACGACTCAGTCATGGTGAAGAAAGGTATTCGCAGTATGGAATTGCTGAGCCAACTTCAAGAGCTTGGTGTGATTGACAAGGAAGACGGTTTCTCGCTGCTCCGAGACGAGGTTGAACAAGAGCTAGTGCATTTGGGCTCCATGAAAGATAAGGTTGTCGAGGAGACAAGGAAGCTCGAGGAAGTGTTCCGAACGATCCGTGACCACAATGCTTACCTTGTCGGCCAATTGGAGACGTACAAGTCATACCTCCACAACGTCCGCAGCCAGTCAGAGGGAAAGACGAGGAAGCAACAAAAACACCAAGTCTTGGGTCCGTACAAATTCACTCACCAACAACTCGAGAAGGAGGGTGTCATTCAGAAGAGTAATGTTCCCGAGAACCGAAGAGCGAACATCTACTTCAATTTCACGAGTCCGCTTCCTGGGACTTTCGTCATTTCGTTGCATTACAAAGGCCGCAACAGGGGTCTCCTTGAGCTCGATCTCAAGCTGGATGATCTTCTCGAGATGCAGAAAGATAATCAGGAGGACCTCGACTTAGAGTATGTCCAGTTTAACGTATCAAAGGTCCTCGTTCTCCTCAACAAGCGATTCGCGCGGAAGAAGGGATGGTAGTCGCCAGGACCACTCGCAACGACATTCATGATACCCTCTTTCTTTACCTTGTCGATGTTTGATGTCATTATCGGCGGATAGTTCCTTCCTTTGTCGTCGGCCGCTGTTATCACCGGCAAGCACTTTTGGAGCCGAGGAGTCCGGAGTCTGGTGGAGTTCGGGATGTTTTCGTTCTTTCACGGGATACCCCTGGGTGAAGCAGGCTAAGCATGATTCGGGAGTAGCTGTAATAGGCCGGTAGCATGAAGGGGCGAGCATTGGTATGGTTAGAAATCCGATCGAGGGGGGCGGTTCCCTTGGAAGCGGGAAATTGTTTACCTGGTACCCGGCAATCTCGCCATTGGCCAAGAGGAGGGAGGCTTAAGAAGCAGTAATTCTCCTTTGTTCTTGCAGAGACTTTAGGTTGCGCAATATTTTCCCTTTTATTTCTGTATCCATTTTCTCATCCCTCGCTGTAATACGCATGTTTCTCACTCAGGGTAACGATCTGGGTTCCTCGATTCGGCCGGATGTTCTGTGGGCTTTTATGGGGAGTTTCCTTTCGGCTGGACCGAGGCGAATGCAAATATTTTGGTCAGGGAATGCAGACGAGCGTGGGCATATTTTCCTTGTAGTAAGGCGGTTCAAACGATATCCCATGTACGATACCGGGAGTTCACCTGGGCGGGCTGTAATGGAGCTGAATAATTAGGAGGCTCTTTGTTCCTTGCATGTGGCGCAGTCGAGTCACCGTCTGCCGTGATCGTGATGTGGCTTCTTAGTATTGCTCAACCCTAGAATGCTGGACCGGACTCCGGCCTCGGAATGACGTTGATGGGTAGGAGTACCAGCGCCATCGGTCCTTATCGGCTGTCAATGCTTTGGATAATTGCAATCGGTTCCACGTCAGTAGGGCGGCGATAACGAGGCTTTTAATGGCTTCAGGATGATGCCTGGCGCGGTGTCAGGCGGTAGGCATAGGCGAAGCTAGTGATATCATTGGCCCTCCAATCATGGATGACTGGTGAGGCTGTGACTATATCCTGCATTCTCGAGAGCTCACACCACGCCTCTTCTTCCCAACTCACTCTCCTTAACCAGTGTCTCCCTTCGGTTCTGCAGACAACAGTCGTCGGTGTTCAACTTCATCATGTCTTCGTTCATCGCTATCCCTAAGCGTAAGAAGAAGCAGGGTGAGAGCTCCGCTGCCACGCCGAGCCCGTCAAGCTCCTCGTCGTTTGCGTATGGCAGTTTCGCGAGCAGTGCTGGGAGCCCGAATGCTTCATCCGTAGCACCATCCCCGCTGTCGAGGCCGGCATATGATCGGAGGCCGTCGTTAATGTGTAAGCTCGTCCTTTCCATTGGTCCCGTTGCTCTAGTTTTTGGCACCTAAGCATTGGCCTTGTACGGTCTGGCCATGAGGACTGACGCATCGTAGCTCCCGCGTTTACTAAAGCCGAGCATACCGTGATAAATGTCGGAAACTCCGAGTGCCCGAGGCTGGTATGCAGATAGCCCTGTGGAGCTTCAACAACAGGAAGATGCCCCTTACTGATCGCAGACTTGTGCAGATAACATGTGTCAAGGCATCTCAAGGCTTTGATTGGAATCAGGGTATGTTTCACTATCTTTTCTCGATTCTGGGGCTCCCGTTTCAGAAATCTGCTACGGCTTCAGATGGTCCAGCAGTGCGTGTCCGAGCTCCGTGTCAACCTACCGGCCATCGTTACGACTTTCCCTCAACCGGAGCGATCGGACACTAGGATCAGCTTCGTCATGCCTAGTATTATATTTCTAGCACAGCTTCAGTAGACGTTATCATGCGGCTTTTACTGACGTGTCTCTTACCTCACAGAGATCTTCCTGCCGAGCTATGCCGACTACCACTTCGACGACCTTGAACGCAAGCAAGACCCCGTCCAGGACATCCACGTCAGCGACGAGGAAATCGCGAACATGTTCCCATCATAGGTGGTCGCATATGTGGTACACGGCTAAGCATACTGAGTGGGGCGTATATGGGATTTATCTGTGTTAGATGGCACTGGGTATGGGGCGGCAAGCTTAACAGCGTTCATATTGTTGCATTCACTGGTGTTACTTCTCATTCGGTCGCTTCTTCACATACTTGCTATTTATGGTGTTTTGGGGGGATTTAATCGTCATCGGACATAACATGATTTGTTGTCATGGAATGGGTGGGAGCGACGGGGCGTTTTAGGAGAACTTTGGTCCACTGTTCGCTTTATTCTGGGATAGATGGGGGTTCGGTGTCGGTACCCATATACCTTTGACTGATTTAGCACACCAATATATATCCACTCTCACTGCGCCTGGCCATCTCTCACCAATCTCGAGTGAAGACTACCATGCCTTTTGATACACTCACGTTGAGGGGCATGAGACCCCTGCCCCACCTTCCCCTTCCTTGCATAACAAGAGCCGCGCTAGCCGCAGATCCACTCTCACGTGCAACCGTGCCGGCTGATCGCCGCGCCGCCAACACCAAAACAAACCCGAATTCACGAAAGCTCACCTACGCTCGAGAACACTACTTCCCCACCTAGACGGAGGGACACCCTGCAATTAAGTCCTCAAACACATAGCGGACGCGTTCACTCTCCACATAACCCTCGCCTATCCACACCTTTGCATTCCTCCACCGCAATGGCGTCCGAACACCGCAAAATCGACCTCCAATCACCCGCAGACCTAACGCACATCGAATCACAAATCCGCCACGCCGCGACCCAGAAACTGAACCTACACCTCCCGCACGTCTCCGGCCACGAAGAAGACGAACTACGCCAGAAAACGGAGGCACTGGTCAACGCCTTCGTCGCGCAGGTACTCGCGGGCTTGCGCAAGAACGTCGCGATCAATGGGATGGAGGTGGAAGGCGAGGTTGGAGGCGAAAGCGAGGATGTCGTGTTGAAGGAGGAGTTCGAGCCCTTTGATGAGGGGTTACGGGCGAGGTTGGCGAGATTGCATGATCGGCGGGATAGGCTTGTGGGGGATATTTCAAAGCATAGGAGGCAGACGCCTATGGTAGCGGCGAAGAGGTTTGAGGAGAGGTTTTTGAGGGAGAGAGAGGGTGATCAGAAGGCTTGGGAGGAGAGGATGAGGAGTGTGGGTGAAGAAGTTGGCCCGGACTCGGTGTTGAATGTGGAGGGGTTGAAGAGGGCGGAGGAGGTGCAGAGGCTGTGGGAGAGGGGTCTTGAGGGACTGGCGGCGCTGAAGGGTGGGTTGCCGGAGACGAGAGCGAGGTTGGAAAGGTGTGGCGAGGTTGTCGTGGAACTGTTTTAATGTGTTTGGGATTCTGGGAGCGACTGGCGTATTTGGCGTTGGGGGCATACGTTCAAAGGGCAGGCATTTCGTAGGGGTTTGAGGGGTGATTTCAGTAATCAACATATGTATAAAAAGGCGGGTTCCTTGAATCTTCTTTGCATCTAGCGGTAGCATAGTTGGTTAACACGAATAAATTCCAGTCCTGTTGTATTAGTCGTACCAGGTAGTTATATTGCGGCACTCGGGAGCTCTACTTTCTCGACCGTGAGGCTAGCCTGCCGCCAGTGATTTGCGGCGGCTGGGAACTCAGCGGTTTGTTCAGGTTTTGGTAGAGCACGGTTCTAACTCGGATGGGCATGACTCGGGCAACTAGGTCAGATATGTGAAATAGTTCTCAAGCTATGATGGCAACCATCTGTTCAAGATTATCATGACATTCTTCTCTTGCATCTGATTGGGGGCTGTCCAGACTAGAGAGGCTTTCACCGTAGTCCAGATGGCATATAGCAGCTTGAATATTTCGAATACGGTATGTTCTCTGCCGACACGTTGTGAGTCTTACTGATCTTGAGAATATTGGGAACTCGCCACCTGTATCTGTAGAATTCTCTATGATAGGACGGTGGGTTGGTTTCCCTGGTCGCGGTTCTCTCTCTGGTTTTCTAATAAGATGTGTGCAGCTCTTCGATAGGTCCTAGGAGAATGGCACTCTAATACGAATTAACCTCAAGGAAGAGTACTTCATCCTCCCCTGTTGTAGCTAGTGTCATTTTACCCATCCGATTCCTTCAGCTTGCAGCTCTTCGAAGCACTCATCCCTTACGTCAATGATCAGTGCCATCGTAGTCAGATAGTTCATCAGACAATCAGATAATTCATCAGACAGTCAGATAGTTCATTAGACAGTCAGATCGTAGCGGTCAAGGCGGATCTGATGGTAAGTAGAATGCGGGGAATATTTGGTTTGGAGGTGAATGTCTATTGCGGTAATATGCTGCAGGTTGTCGCTGTCACTAAAGGTTGCCTTGAGGTCGGTTATCATCTCCTCCACTGTATTCAATAGCACGCGATAGCTTCTGTGTAGTCTTGGACGTGATTAATCTTATCTTGCTTAGACGGAAAGAAACAAGCGCTCTGCTGCAGCTTGGATCGTCAGTGTAGGAACCGAACTTCAAAGGTATCGCGATCCATGTTGCTGCGAATGTCCTTCACGTCGGGATAGCGGTGGCTGTTGCCAGCACGAGCACTAATATGTACGCCTTCATCTTAAAGAGCTCATAAGATTAGTCTGTGTGAGTCATGCGTGCACGTCAGAGGCGTTTATTGGTGTTCGTAAGTTGTTCGTTCTGCTCAGAGAAGTACTTAAATTCAACCTCTTCTCCATCATTAACCTCAGGCTCTTCATCCCCAAGCTCATCTTCTTATTTATTCTCAACACCATACACAATCCCATCCTTAATCCCATCCTCTTCTCTATCCTTAATATCATCCTTAGCTATTGCAGAGCAAACAGTCATATTACTAGTCTGTGGAGTTAGATAACGGAGAGACGACAATAGTTACCCTCTACCCTGTCGTTGAGCATATTGCTTTCAACGCCATTCAAAAAATTCCCCCCAATGCGTCATATGTCGCTCCAAGTGCTAGCTCTTCCATTAGGTGTTTTCCCGCTTCAGGTGATATCCAGTATTTCAGTTGCTTACTCCGAATAGTTTCTTCTTTACTGGAGTCTGATTCTGCAAATCTTATATCTCGCCTTTTATCTCTGCTCAAAATTCAATGAGCAATCCATCTGTCCTGATCAAATGTAGGGTATATAAACACCAATTAAACGCCATTGCACTCCCTTCCCTCCCAGATGTAATCCCGATCTCAACCTCACCCAGCGACTACACCCTCACTCCTCAACTTCCTCCTCTTCATCTGCCAACTTTATAAATCCCTCAGGATCAACCGGGGCTCGCACGTCCACTCCATGCTTCTCCACCCACGCTCTAACCTTCGCTTTGTTGATCATAGCATCTGCGCCACCTCTCTTTTTATGATCCATCACCTCCATAGTTTGTAATGTAGCTATGATATCTTCTGGGACAATGTATGTTTCGTTTCGTAGGTCGAGCACGGAGAGTGTCTTTTTGGAGGGGAAGGAGAGGATGGCGCGGGCCAGAGTCGCAGACCAGTAGTGCTGGTAGCCGAGGCGGCCGAGCTCCGAGAGCGCTATGGATCTTATTAGCAATTAAATCAATCCCAAGTGCAAATATCCGCAACTGTGAAGAATAGATGAAAATAGTTGAGCACGTACGTTTCTCTGGACCCCCCAATCTCCTTTCTCGCTTGCTCATCTCATAACTCGCACCCATCAATATTTGTCCTAGGCCTTGTTTCTGCCAAGGCGGGAAGACTAATATACAAGCTAGGTTATTATTGTCCCAGCTCATTTTCTCCTTGCTGAAGAAGCCGACGACTTGTCGCTGTGGAAGACTATCCGAATCGGGCAAATTTAGGTTGATGGATGGAGAAGGTGTATGCGCGACGAGGAGGTAGTAGAGGAAGGTTGTTACGTCGTAAAAAACGGATTTTGTGTCGAGGAAGAGCTTCGCGAAGAGGGAGAGGTTTTGGGCGTAGAGCTAGATTATGTATGTTAGCAGGAATATATGTCGCGTGGGTTAAAGACTAGGCGTGGACAACTTACCTTATGCTCTTCCCCATCAATCTCATACAGCGAGTACCCGTCTTTAGAGTATATACCCTCGCCAGGCGGTGCCGTACTTCTCAGAGGGCATGTTTTCTATTGTCACACCTTTTTAGCTCTCATTCATCACCTACTATTTGTCATCCGCTCTCTCCGACTCGACTCAATCCTTGAAAATTGCGCTCACCGCATGTCCCAAAAACCCCATCAACTCCTTGCTGTATTTAAAGCACCACTGACACACATACAACCTCTCCGCTTTCCTCCCAACCAATCCCTCGGGATAAAAGCTCGGATACCAGGGCTTGATGAGCAGAGACCCGAACACAACTTCGAGGACATTGGGATCGACCGAGGACTTTTTTGAGATTGACGTCGACGATTTGGAGGATGAGTTGTTGGCCGTGGGTGTTGCACCGTTTAACATAGAGGCATGAGAGAGTTCGGGGCCCATTGTGTCGTGAAGGATTATAGGAGGGGCGACTTTACACGCTGGTGCGGAAGTTAAGTTGTGGTCTAGAAGCAAGACGTGGAGGTAGCTGAATGGGGGATAGTGCGACGCGACGGCACGTGCGAGCCATCGATCGGCGCCGTTCACTTTGTACCTTCAAAGTCCACTGGGTGGGACTGGATGGTTTGAGACGTGCAGATGTTCTGGTACGCAATGTGTTAGCTTTAAGTGGAATTGCAAACCTAAAGGCAACTGGATTTCAATATCGTAGAATTCGGCCAATAAATCCTATCGACAGAAGTCTATACTAGTCCAACAGCAAATTTCCAAAATTTCAGCGTGAAAACCTCGATTTCCGAACTTTCCAACATATTAATGAATCTGAAAGCAAGTTCGTTGGTCTTGAAATGCATGTCGATCCAGTTGTTAGTATAATAACAACGACCTTGTTGCCGGTTCCAGAAACAGTTAGCTTCAGAACTAGCCCGAACTGGCAATTTGTACGACCTCATTGCAAGCACAACTCGAAATTGTCTGCTCAGAATCAAGAAATCTACAATAATATGAGATGCACATTTTGTCTAACCGATACCTTTCCTACAGTTCTATCGTATTTAGTAGGGACGACCTGCCAATCGCAAGTGTAATAATACTAGCAGCGGTTGATGGAGGGAAGAAAGGAAGATGAGAAATGAGAACGAAAGGGGTGTGGCGGCGTAAGCTAGAAGAGTGCAAGAGTTGAGAACAAGAGTGAATGAAGCCACTCACCACGACAGTTAGATTAGCTTTCCTTGAGGGAAGATAAGCCAAGAATTCACTGTCTATCAGAACAAGAAGGTGAAAAAGTGAAGTTAGGATGGAGGGGCTAATAGAGATCGGGATTGGAATTTATGAGCTAGTTAAGTGCGTCCACCGACGCATCATATGTAGCCAGAGACCTGAGCACTCACTCACAGATCAGTTGATGTCGTCGATATTGCCCTACCCAGCCTCTTTCGCAGACAATTCGATATGTGATCCCAATTATCCGAAATCGGAGCGCTAGCCACTCATGAATAAAACACCGCAGAGAAAGAGAGAGTTTTTGAAGATCCACCATCTTTGTGGGTCTATCCGGTTTAGGTTACCAAGTAGTTGGAACCTGGGGGTAATCCTTCTTGTTTATCTGAAGATTGTCAAAGACAGAGTCGTCGCCTCCAGGGTGGTCAGTGACTTGTTCAGTTACGGACCCTAATATACTTACCATGGAGATTTTGAGTCCGAAGCCCATCCTCATGCTTGAGCTGTTCAATCTCTTCAGTAGGAGTTTCCTTCTGGTGCTTTTTGTCCTTCATGGTAGGTTCAACAGCCTTCTAAATGTTCTCACCAATCAGATGGATTTGGCAGTTGGCGTAGTCGAGATACTTTGGTATGAACTCAGCCCAAGCTAGGCCACGGAACTCTTTGATGATTCTACGGGAAGATATCGGTATGGAAATCCTGTTATTGATAGGGCGTGTACTCTTTGGGAATCTAGGGGCTTAAGGTAATCTAGCGCTTGCAGGACCAGGTAGTTCAGGACTGTTCACACTGATGATAAAACTGCCTCGAGCACGGACGTCTAGATCCTGCTGAACCTCGCCCAACTTAGATGGGATAATCGTCGCGTAGACAAGATGAATGGTCCGATACTCAGTGCGCTTAAGATCATAGACGCCCTCGGCAACAGTCGTGACAGGGGCATTGCGACCAGAACCTGAAGTCTAAGTTCCATACTCTGAGCCTTGGAAAAAAAATTCCCTTCAGGCCTTGGATGGTAGTTTTTGCCTTTTTAACAAAAGCCATAAACTGATCACTACGACTCCTTGGAAGGACTTTCTTGGGCAGAGCGAACAGACGGTTGTTTTTCAGATCCGGGAGGGCTCCATCACCCAACTTGACTCCAGCAGGCAAAGGTCGTAGGACAAAGTATGTACGTTGAAGATTACCTAAATGCTGTGTCAATAACCAGCCCTTGATTGTGGAGCCGTATGCGCTTACCAACGCTCTGCGCCTGCTCAATTCCAACACGGTTAAGCGTGAAGAAGTATATGAACTCCTTCTCTATAATATTAGAGGCGGTCTTCTTTTCGCGAGAAGACGTCTCCTCTACTACTCCGTTTCCATTCGCCCCACCCTTGCTTGCTTCGTTAGAAGGCTTCTCTGGATTGTCGATTCCCTCATTCTGCACCTCGGTTTCACTAACACCACCATCTGTCACGTATTCGGAATCTTCTTCTCCGGGGTCTTTGCTATTTACTGAATCCTCTGTCATTTCAACGCTTGCTGTTACATGTTTGCCCTCATCGCCTGTGATCGTCCTCTTCAATGGCCGCTTGCTTCTTTCGGACAGCTTTTCTTCCGCTTTTCGAATCTGGCGACGAAGTGTTCTTGGGCTTTCTCTTTGTTCCAGCTGCCGCCTTCTCCTTTTGGTCGGGGCTGGTGTTTGCAGTGATGCGGGCGGATGAGTGTCTTCCAGTCATGATGTTTGCCCACGAGCTGAGTTGGTTCGACACTTTGGGAGGGCAACAACTCACGTCAGATGTTCAAGATCGTTCAATTGAGGGAATATATGAGGAAATAGAATCAGAGGAGCTTGTAGCTAGGTCCTCACTCACCCTTTTAGTGCATTTCCTCGTAACTAGCACGTGTTTGGGATATGTATGAGTGACGTCATGGTCAAGATGATTGCCCAATTTGGACGACGCGAACTTAGCCTACCGTAGTCATCGCGTTTGAGTAAGTTCGCGTTCGGTTGATTCCGGATCTTTAAACCCTATTTGTTTGCACAGATTTTTGATATAAAGGGCATACAGTGCCAGTTCTTTCTATCTCTTGTAGCCTTGCGAAACCCATCTTATGTGCACAAAGCGTGCACTTATGCATATATTTTTAGTCGAAACTTAGGGTACACTATACCGTAACACCACGAGGGTATCTTAACGCTCCTGATCTATTTTTACATCTCTTTAAACATTTCGATGCCATTTCCAACGCCCTCTGGGGTTGGGGTTTCGGCGCAAACGTCAGGCAAGAAAGCAAACTCGCGGTTCAGGTAATCGCGCGTCGTAGGCCCAATCGTCGCAATCAGAATATCTCTAGGAGCGGTATCGGTCTTAGCTTGTCCAGTTTCCCTGTCCAGCAAGTCTAAGCTTTCTAACATAGCTCTGCACCCAGTTGGGGAAAAGACAACCACCCATTGGCGGCCTGCTCCACTATCCCTGTTCTTCGCCCAGAGAGCCGAGAAGTCAGATTTGAAAGACTGCATTTCTCCGGTGTCATATGTAACAAGCTCGTCGACCTCCGACCGTCTCTCCGGTGGGAGGCTATCTGATTGGAGCGTCTTTGGAATTATGTCCCTTCTCTTGTCGCCCACCAGAAACAGGATTGCTGGTTTTGTGGAGCCAAGGTGCAAGCTGTTATAATGCTCAAGGATGAACGACGAAAGAGCATCTCCGTTGCCGGTCTCTTCGCCTAGGATGGGGCATGGCAACTTTAGTGCCCTAAGACCGCGTGCGGTAGCAGGGCCCACAGCGTAAAGTGGAATGCTTTCCGGCAGAAGTTCATCCAAGGAATAAGAGCTGACACTTCGAATGTCCTCCACGACCTGGGTGAAGGCCTCGACGGCACGTTGGGAGGTGAAGATGAGGGCGCCATACTTTTGCAGCCCACCATCGACACCAGGAACAAAGCCCTGACCTGTAATATAGTTTCGTACCTGGTCCAGAGCGTCCTGCTGAAAGCGGTGTGCCAGGACTGGCACGAACACTGGCTTGTAGCGGCCATCATCGAAGCTGGAAAAGAACTCCTCATAAGCATCGGTGGGGGCCGACTTCGTCTTTAGAAGCAGGATAGGAATTTTCCCCCGCGTGGCATCAGCCATGACTGAATAAAATGTTGTAGAGTTCACTAGTGACGGGTGTTGGTGATGAAAGTCCGATTAGCGAGGGACCCGGGTCACAATAGGGCTCAAGCGCGCGGCTAAGACTGGTCGGGAAAAGTTACTTTTCGTAGACGACGAATATATTCCAGAGACGTCGCACGAAGGCCTGCACACAACCTCGCTCGATACCCACCGAGCTCCAATTGCCCGCACCAACCCACCAACAACCCCCGGCATCTCGCCAGATTCTACTCCATCATAACACCACACTGCTGAGCGCCGCCATGGCTGACGTCGCGACTCCTTCAGCTGCTAAAGTGGCCACCACCGATGTTCCTAAAGGCAAGCAGCAGGTTGTCAAGCCAGAGAAGCCAGACGAGGAGACTTACAAGGAGGAGCTCGCCAAGGCTGAGAAAGAGCATGCCGCTGCTCAGCAGAAGTTTGTAGGCATTTCTCTACCTATTACTTTGCCTCAAATCCTCCGAATTTCCACCCCCGCCTCACCGCACCACCTACCCCTCGCATCAAGATCCTCTAATGATGGACCTGGGCGTTCGTCAATCTTCAAGCACCCGAGATTCTGCCTGTTTCCGGCCGCTATGTTGGTTCCTCGCAGAACGAGTCCACTCCACCTTTGCTACATTTGGCTGACTCTGCTGACTCTGCCCACAGAATGCAGTCAAAGCTAAATTCGACCTCGCCCGTCCCAACAACAAGGACTCACCCAATGCGAAACGGCAACAAGAACTGAAGAGCGAGCTTGGTGCGATCCGACAGACACAACAGGGCAACAAGTCGTCTCGAAATGCTGTCCATGAAAAGATCAAAAAGCTCGACGAGCAGCTCAAATCCCGTATGAACGAGCTCAAGACCGCCCGCGGCCGTGTCAACTTTAAGTCCGTCGAGGACGTTGACCGAGAAATTTCCCGGCTACAGAAGCAGGTCGACACAGGCACTATGAAGCTGGTAGACGAGAAGAAGGCCCTTTCAGAGATCTCCTCACTCAACAAGGCCCGCAAGAACTTCTCTGGATTCGATGCTCAACAGAAAGCTATTGACGACTTGAAGAACCAAATATCAGAACAGAAGAAGCAGCTCGACGATCCAGAACAAAAGGCACTCAACGAGAAGTACACCGCTCTACAAAAGGAATTGGACGGCCTTAAAGGCGAGCAAGACGAAGCTTTCAAGAACATGAAGGCTCTTAGAGACCAAACAGACAAAGCTCGTGCTGAGCAGCAGGAGAAGTTTTCAGCGATGAAGCAGCTGAAGGACGCATATTACCAGCAAAAACGTGCTTTCGCAGACTACGAATATCAGGCCAAACAGGCGCGACGAGAGAAACACCGCCAAGAGCGCTTGGAGTGGGAGGCGAGCAAACGGAGAGAGACTGCCAACAAGCGCCTCGAGGAAGCTAGCGCCCCTGCTTACCACGACGAGATTCTAACCGCCGAGGGTCTGATCCGGTTCTTTGACCCATCTGCACTGCCTGCAAAGGAGATGACAGGCCCTAGCAAGTTTGCTGCATCTGCACAACGAACGGTCGATAACTCTGGACTAAAGGGAATGAAGGTTATGAAGAAAGACGACGAGGAGGACTACTTCGTCGGTGGAGGCGGAAAGAAAGGTAAAAAGGGGAAGAAGGGCGGCGCTGCTCCATCGGCTCCCGCTGAAGGCAAATTCAACCTCAGCATTGGCGTCATTGAAGAGCTCGCTAAAGTAAGCGTTGATGCTCCTTCTAGCCAAGCAGATGTTCCCTCCGTCGTTGAGAAGCTTCAAGCGAAGCTGAAACACTGGAGGGAAGACCAGGACCGAAAGACGAAAGAGGTGAGTTTTGACAAAGGCCTACTACATTTCAATTTCTAATTTGCATCTAGAACATTGCCAAAGCACAGAAAGAGATCGACCGTCTTGAGACCGAGGGCTCGGAAGCAGATCACGGAAGTAAGGACACACACCGAAAGCCTGCCGAGAAGAACCAAGGCATTAATGGTGACTCAGTCTCAGCTGCCGCTGAGCTTCAACAAGAGAAAGATGCAGAGGCCGATGCTGCCGAAGAGATGAAGAAGGCTAGTCTTGAGGACAAGGCAGACGAGGCAGTTGAAGTCTGATCTACAGGCACGATATATACGACGCATCGGAGAAGGTACCTCAAAAGTTGTTTTATCATCTAGGATATTCTACGAACCAGGGCGGGGGCAACTGGTCTCATCTTCAGAACAGCGATATTGATTTTCCCGTTCAGACATATGGGCCGGAGCCGGCAATTTTTTTTCGTTCGCAAACGTTCACCTTTGAGTCCCGCAGGCTGTACTACTCAACTCGACCGTTACTGTGTAGAGCAGCTGGATATCTATCAAAAATGCCATTGCAATTCCATCTATAGGTTCTTTCCTATTCCTGTTCATTAGTGAACTTCTTGAAATGCCTAGTCATTCTTGGGCTATGTAAACCCGGCAATTGCGAAATCGAGTCCTAGAATTGAATGGCAAAGAAAACAATTAAGTGGTACACCTAAATCCAGGATCCCCAGTCCCTGCCGGTTGGCATCGCATTTACTAGATCGCGGTCGCTATAGGTATCGATAGAAGTGGGGTCTGACTTGAGCAACGCGAACGACGGAACCTTGACGTCATGGACATTTCAGATTCGTAAATACTTCCACAAGCACGATTTTGTGTCCTACACTAATTCCCTGCGCTATATTTGAGTACACAAGGTGAGTCCTCTAGCCGGATATTCTTCCTGCTTCGCTCCCTCTTGCTTAACCCCCTTGGCACAGGAATAGTCCTAATTGATCAATTGCTTCAACTATCTCTCACTCAGCGTTTCCATCAGGAAGTAGTACGATTCGACTCAGGCTTTCTAGACAAGTTACGTCTCACTTATCATATACTTTTGTTTGCTTCACCTGACAGCAGGGGTCAATACGATTGAGTTACGGTTTGATTGAAGCTGCTTGTACTTCTCAACTTTTTACTAAAAGTTACGACGTAACTGTTGAAGCTTTTAGAGTAGCAGGGTCCCCCTTACTCTTAATATGGCACGCGAGGTTATTTAATTTACTAAAAACAACCTTATAACGTAGCTAGTTCTTCTAGAGTTGCAAAGCTTTAATTGTAGAGCCTGAGAGATGATTACGGTCACAAGTAACTGTCCTTTTCCCCCCGCTGAAGGCTCTGTGCCATCTCCCCATACAAGGGACTGTCATCTTTTGCTATGATAAGGTCGTCTAAGGTTGTTGTAGTACAGGGCAAGCTCTAAGGACACTGACACGTAAATAGTGGCACAAACACGCTCCCCCGGCCCTCACGCGCGTCAGAGACTGCAAGCTCAAAAAAGTCTACCTTAATCGTATACTGCTCACTTTTAAGCCTCATTAATTGAATTGTAACAGTTAAAAATGTAGTTACGTTTGTTTGCCTCACGTGATCGTAGGTGGAGCAAAAGTATCAATCGTACTACTTCCTGTTGGAAACGCTGCTCTCACTCAAACGGTTACATTCCAACTCTTCTCCTCAAAACGATTCTTACGACCCTTCCATACGTTCCTCAAAATACTAGACCTTCAAATGGCTTCCTTCACTCCTTGAATGAGGATATTTCCATGCGATGTTAACTTTTGGTATTCGTGAACTGTACGCCGCTAGCCCTTCCAAACCCTTTATTTTTTCCATACGCCAGATAATGCTACATCAACTAACTAGGCTGCCATTCTCCTCAGGGCTCAACCTTGAATTTGAGTCTGATCCCCATACTCGCTAACTCAACATCGAGATACTTAAGCACTCCCGGCACTGCCACAACGGCCACATCGTCCCCCCCAGTATACCTTAATCCCTGCCCATCCGCCCAAACCTCACTCTTACTCTCAACGCCCTCAGCTAGCCTCGAACACCGTCTACATCGGACCGTCGGACTCCCCTTCTTCTTCCTCTCATACTCGCCAACCGTCGGTGCTGTAGACAAGAAACTACCACACGCTCGACAAATGGCTGCTTTCGTGTAATCCGAGCAATTCATTAAACGATCCTGGAGCAAGAAGGCAGTGCCATGGGCGAGTAAAGCATCGCGCTCCATTTCTCCAACACGAATACCACCACCTTTCTTCCTTCCCTTAATGGGTTGACCGGTGAGCTGGTTGATTGGACCCGTAGTTCTAACTTGATATTTATCGTTGACCATGTGACGCAAACGCTGGTAGTATACCACACCCATGTAAATATCAGCAGCGAGTTCCTGGCCCGTGATACCGCTGTACATAGGTTCGTTGCCGTAGTAATTAAACCCGGCTTTCATGAGTTGGTGGCCGAAGTAGTCCACCGCCGTGTTCTGCTCGTCGAAGCGGAATGGAGTTGAATCCTGCGCCAGTCCATGCAGTGCGCCTGATTTTCCGGCCAGTGACTCGACGAACATACCGATAGTCATTCGAGACGGGAAAGCGTGCGGGTTGATGATGATGTCAGGCTGAATGCCGGATTCGGAAAAGGGCATGTCGACTGCAGGCCATTTCTGCGAACACACACCTTTCTGTCCATGACGGGAGGAGAATTTGTCGCCGATGACAGGGGAACGTGGGACGCGCAGCTTGATGCTGATTTTCTGGCAAGGCTCGGTGCCGGATTCAGAGCCGATAATGCGGACCTCTTCCACAAAGGCAACCTCGTCTTCCTTGTATTTGAAAAAGTTGGTTTCCGAGTCACGGTTGATGTACTCACCCGACGCTGGGTCAAACGAAACAGTGTGCCACGCAGCGATAATGTCCCCCGACTTTAGCTCGGTTCCGATTAAAGGCAATCCGTCGTCATCCAGTTTCTCCCTCCAAATGGCCCTAATGACCCCATCTGGAGCAAACCCGAATAGTTTTGTAATTGCCTTGGAAGATCTGTGTTTCCTCGAACCCTCCTCTAGATCACAGACCTTCGTCTTATAGATAGTCCCGTGGCCGAAGCCGCGTTCATGGGCAGACTTATTCAAGATCATAGCGTCGTCCATGTCGTAACCTGTATACGAAATGACAGCCACAACGGCATTCATTCCGTTGGGGAAATTGTCGAGGCCATATTCGTTGTGGAGAGGTGGTCGCACAACCGGCGTCTGACCAGTTTGCAATCGGTAGGTCTTATTGTCGGTTCGGTATCGCAAGGCCGTTCCCGGAGTCCCCATCGACTGCTTTCCCATCTGACACTGGTACATGTTTCTGGGGGATTGGTTGAAATCAGAGAATGGCGTCATGTTGGCAAGAATGGACAAGATGTTGGTCGGGTCATATTCAACATGTGTGGAGTCGCCTGACACGACCTCTGGGTCGGTGCACGCTATCGACATGAACGGTTGCTCAAATGGTCCTACGTAGTCCAGTTTATCGAGGGGTAGGTATTTAACAGGTCGGTACATTCGCGCCGCTTGAGAGAACATATAAACTCCAGGATATTGGCCTCGACTGGAATTCGGAATGTATCCAATCTCAAGCTCTCGAGGTACATTATGCGAGCCTTCGACTTTCCAATACCGTAGAGTATCCCCAATGACTTTGGCTTGCTTTGGTGAGCAGAAACCCAGTACCCGACCGTCGAGCTGTACCACCACACTCGCCTCAAGGGATGCGGAGGATTTACTCGAAACTCCTAGTTGAGCAACCAGTCCTGGGATCGCCGAAACCTCGACACTCTGTGTGGCTAACTTGCATTTGTGCGCAAGATGGTTGAGTAACCCGCACGGGCCTCCATCAGGGGTGTGAACAGGACACAAGAATCCCCAGCTTTCGGGGAGTAGTTTTCTTACCGTGGTCGTCTTCAGCTGAGCAAAAAATGCACCTCTGTGCACCATTCGGAAGTGACTAATAAACCGATAAAAATTGATCTTCTCTGCAACCACAGTGAAGCCAGCGGTCTGCTGCAGATCCAATCCAGTGGGACTGACAAGGTTTCCGGTAGACAAAAAGTATTCCAAAGCTTGGCCGACGTTTTCGTTGGTTCGTTTCAGTATTTTGGGGAGAAAGTCCCTCTGGAATTCGTTGGACTTAAAGGAGGGCCAATCATTCTTCCGCCCCCAATCTTGAAGTGGCAATCGTAGCGAATTTAGCCATTCATCTAACTTCTCCTTCATGATCATGCCGAAGAGATGACCACCAAGCAGTACTTCCTGATGTTGAACCGCATCAGGGTTGTCAACCGAGCACTCTCCTTCCACTAAAGCATAGAGCTTCCGGATCATGAAGAGGAGCATCCTGAACTTGTCGGCATCTTGACTTTCCGTGACATTGTGGGAACCTAGATGGGGCAAGACGATCCTCCGCAAAAACTCCGTACCGGCATCCTCGTTGCTCATGTCCTCGGGAACCTGCAAGACGACCTTGAATTTTTCTCCGAGGTAAGCTCTAGTCTTTGCCTTCGAGTGCAACCCATAGACCTTGTATGTGCGGAGGAGTAATTCCACACGATCTGTCACGAACTGCTTCTCATCAAGGCCGTGGGAGCCTGCTGCACCGACGATGCCCTCAAAAATCTCCCGGTCATTCGTCTCGACTAGCGCTTTTAGAGCCATCACGGCCGGTATCAAGTATTCGGCCTTCCTCCACGAAAACCTTAGGTTGACATTACCGTCGCCCAGATAGTGGAGTGCATTGGTCTGTGACGTCTGGTCGGGGCGCACACATCGGATTTGAATACCGTATGGTGTGTACCCGGGCCCACGATTCGTGAAAGCACCCCGCTTGATAGCCATTGGATAGTTACGCCTATTCACGAGCAGCATCCGGATTATCTTCTCAATGCCATTGACGATGAAGTATCCACCGAGCTCCTCGGTCTCTTCTTTCGCCTTCATTAGCTGGTTCGGGGTCATGTTCTCGAGATGACACTTGCTCGACTGTCACGAGCACATTCAGCGACCACACTGGAGAGCAAAGCTGGGAGCAAAACATACCCTCAACATAATAGGCACATAGCCCAGGTCGCGCACCGACTCCTGCCAGTCCCCAGTGCCCACCTTCCACTCTATCCGGGCGCGCAGCTTGCCCCGGTAGGTGGCGTGCCGTTCTCTGCATTCTGCGGGGAAGATGGTGCGGTTCTTGAGCGCGAATTTGTTTGACTGGGGGAGGGCGGACTTGTCGAGGAAGACGTCCTGGATCCGGACATGGAGGCGGTTTCTCTCGCCGGTCTGCCCCGGTTGCGCATAAGGGTCGCCGTCGAGGAATATCTTGGTGCCAATGTCGCCAATGCCATGCTCAAGCAGCCCGCCTTTCGCGAAGACGGTGTTGAAGGAATCGATGTGCGGCGCAACGGTCGCGGCGAGGGTGGGATACGCGGTGCGGTCCGTAGGCGGGCTCTGGAAAAGGCGCTGTCGACGTGCGGTGTCGAATGCTGTCGACCACTGAGTGTCGGTCGAGGAGGGCGCCATTGCGGTGGGTGCGGGCGTGTAGGGCGCGTTCCTGCCCTCGGGTCAAGGAGGGGATCGGAGGAGGGCAGTGAGCCTATGGCGAAGCGGGAGGTCTCATCGCAGGCCTCACGGGCAGACACAGGGCTCAATGCTGCTGCGGTGAAGGAGGAGAGCTCCTATAGCTTCATGAAGAAAAAAAAGTCGCTCCCAGGGCTACCACGCTTGCAAGGAAGTGGGCCGTGCTATCGATAGTGCACCTAAGCGACCAGCGAATACACTGCAGCTCGAGGTCACCGGTCCTGCTCTGGCCTCGCAGCGCCTGGGCCTTGGCACGCGGCTCCAGATGCGGGTGCACAAGACAACTGCTACCACTCATTTTAGAGCGGCACGGATTCTCTCTCATCCTGAACTTCTCCGCTGCACTGCTTGGCTCTAGCTGCATGTGCCTTGGGCATTGTTATTCACTGCTGTTGCTACCCAGATCACGCTCTGATCGTCAGGCATTGCCCGAGAAATCACCCCGCAGCAAGGATTCCCAGACTTCTCACCAACGCTGCCCGTCCAGCACCAATTTCCCGCAGGCAGACAACAACTCCTCGAAGCCAGCAACATCTCGGATTCCTCCCACCATGGCCAGCATCTTCCGCCGCATCTACGACTGGCTCTTGCGCCTGTTCTGGTTTGTTCCCGCTCTCTCCTGTCCCGCTGTGTTGCTCCCAGTCCTCGTCGCCTTGTGCGCCATTTGATACCTTATCCCCCCATCAAATTTGTACTCAAGAAAAAGCAAACTCCGACTTTGACAATAGGTACGCCTGGAAGCTGACTGCTCTCGTTGTCCAGGGCTACTGAGATGGATATCACCATGATAGGCCTGCAGAACGCCGGCAAGACGTCGTTGTTGAGAGTTCTGGCGGTGAGTCTCTGCCATTTTGGGAAATTCCCGTGCTACCTCGCCGATATGTCTTCGACGAACCCGTTCTGACCCACTGCTTCTAGGGCGGGGAGTTCACCGTCGAGTATGTCAACCATCCAATTCCTGTTGCGCAGGTCGCTGGCGAGCTGTTTCGTCAATGTTCCTGTTCAATGTTTCGCGCATCCGCAGGCTCCATCCTGGTTAGCTCATATTCTGATGCTTGGCAATAGCTCCATCCCCACTGTTGGTTTCAATATGAAGCGAGTGCAGAAGGGTCATGTCACCCTGAAGTGGTGAGTCCTCTTGAGAACAATCTTGGTCACGCACATCAAGCTCCTGCAGCGCCAAGACCATCCCTACCAGCCTTGCGAATGCCTGGGTAGTGTCCCCCCATTGAAATTGTATCTGCTGACCATGATTGGCGTTGTAGTTGGGACCTTGGAGGCCAACCCAGATTCCGTTCCATGTGGGAGCGGTACTGTCGGGGAGTGAATGCGATGGTGTAAGGCTCGTATCGATATGTCGAGGTTCTCGCTCACGATTCCAGTTTCATCGTCGACTCCGCCGACAAGGGGGCTCTCCCCGTTGCCCGCGAGGAGCTCAAGCTCTTACTTGAAAAGCCAGCATTAGAGGGCATTCCTCTTCTTGTGCTCGGCAACAAGTCGGACCTTCCCGACAAGCTCTCGGTGGATGAACTGATCGACGCTTTGAACCTCAAGTCGGTGTCGCATCGCGAAGTGTCGTGCTACGGCATCAGCGCGAAGGAGGAGACGAACCTCGATGCCGTCCTCCAGTGGTTGATCGCTCGAGCGAGCAAATAGGCGGTGTTTGGAGTTGGCGTAAGTAAGAGCGTGACCTATAAGCTCCTGTCGACGTGAGGCTTATCAAAGTAGGTAGTCGACTCGACATGGATCTGATTTTCGGCAAACTTCATGACTTCTGATGAGCCTGTATTCTTATGGGTACGGCCCGTCAGCTTTTATACGATATACTTAATGATTCTCACGACGCGACGGAAAGAAAGACGGGCAGTTTTGATCTGCAGGCTAGCGATGGCCAACATTCGAATTCCCCAGTTCGTAACTCATTTCCTCGTTTTAAGCTTTCATTCTGGCAGGCGGTCATCGATATCCACTCCTCTACAGGGGACTTCGATATGGTTCCACGTTCTTAGCGAAGCGAAGGATTTCGGATGACTTCCTAATATTGGATTAACCATGTATCAACTTATTTGGATTTCTCTTGTGAGCAGTAGCGCGATAGGGTGTGGCAAAAAAATTAAGGAGACGTTTAGTGTTGAGGTTGGTGTTCCTAGGTTGATCGCGGAACCCGTGATGAAGAGGCTCGCCTGCCAGTTGGAGGGCAACCTCCCACTTGCGACAGTCAGGGCCCGCCAAATGGGAGTTTAACGTCCTTGAGGACTCTGGTTTCTCCTAGAAAACGTGCTGCTCTTGGGCGTCCAAGTGCGGCGCACAGGCGAAGGTAGGACGATGGCTGGTGTCAATGATCAAAAGCGCGTCACATATGATAAGAGAAATGTCGCTGCGAAACGAATATGGTGGCCATTGATCAATGAAGCTTGCTCGCGGTCGGTGGTTGAGCGATTGCGTCTCCGGGCTGGGCTGGCGCGCCGCGATGTTGCGAGTCGGATCATTTTGGCGGTCGCAGCAACGAGGACGGCCCAGCGCAGGGGCAGACAAGGTTGAGCCGGAACTACTGCGGATATGAGCGATACTGGGCACATTGCAGAGCAGCGGCAGTAGCAGCAGCAGCAGAGTAAGAGAGAGAGAAAGAGCAAAAAAAGGCCCAAAGGATTTTTGGGATCGAGTTGGACGGCTGCAAGCAACAACTATTATTTCTGAGGCATGCTTCTACAATGGACAACTCATCCTGCATTAGCGCCTTGCACCAGGGATACTGTACATATCTGCTCTCATTGGCTCCCAACATCATTTGCGATCGGGGCCTCGAACAACAATGCGCGATCCCTGGTCTTGCCCTCCGCAGACCCCGTTTTTCCTCGTCGATGATTTGAGGGGGACGATGACGGTTCGCAGCGTGTTCAGGAGCAAGTGCGGACCACCGGCGACAGTTGTTTGGCCAGCGCCGGGACTCTATGTAGTCGTTATTTTCATGCTATGCAGAGCGGAGAAGGGGCACGTTATCTCTCAGTCATGCGTCTGGGAAGCATTAGATTCATCTAGCATATATACCTACAGCGGTCTGTACGAAAGTGGCAAAGACAGATCCTCGGAGACGCGAGAATCCTCGAGGTTCAGTCAAAAGCAAAGCCCTGTGTTGTATCGCCATCGAATGAGGGCACAGAAATCCTATTGAGTGTCTGAAAACGGCCCTCAGCAGCGAAGGGCAGTCCGAAGACCCTGTTTGCATCATGCAGCTGGATATCTGATCCAACACCGCGCTGTCGAAAAAGCCAACTCCCGTCAAGCTGTGCCGTTCTCCACAACCGCGACTATGCTGGACAGAGAATTCTGGCTCCCTTACCGACTCGTCTGACAGAAGACTCTGCACTGCCTGCGTTGAATTTGCGATAGGCTCGCGATCCGGGCCACTGATTGCCCCATCCGGCTGCCAAAGGAGCCTCGAGGCACACATGCTGAACACGATTCCTGATCACCTAACGTGGAACATAGCAGGGGTACGGATCCGTATTTCCGGACAGAAACTTGCGTCCTGTTGGCATTCTCCCTAATTCTAGGAAGAAGTCTGCTCATGTTCCACAAGAGGTGAATATGCTACTGTACCGTATCCAACTAGCCGTCGGCTCTTCCCGGTGGACTGATGATGAGGGCATGCCAGTCAAGAGACCGTTAGAACAAGCCACCAAGCCACACTCACGAGATCCCAGCCTTTCAAGAGAAACTAATAGAACTAGAATCGGCAAGAGGAGTCGCAATAGCGCAAGCCGCAGCAGATCACACTTCGCCCACAAAGAATGATGACAGTTTGTCCCTGAGCAGCACAGGGCGGAGCGTGGTGACATTTTGCGTCCGCTTGATCCGGTCAGCCAGGAACGAGGCACTTGGCTGTGGCTGTGTCAAATCCTTAATCCCTGCCTTGCCGCGCTCATATTCGTCATACTTCGCCTCTTGGAATCTTTGCCCTTTGTCCCTCACACTTACACCTCCTCCACCTACTACTGGTTGTTCCTCTTTAGTCAACTCTCTAGCTCCCGTATCGCTGTTGACGTCGTCAGCAACCTAGCCAAAATGCCAACCCTTGAACCCCGATATTCCGAGTACGTAGACGTCTCTGCTTGCTTATAGCTTCCCTCACCCCACACCTACAGATTTCATCTCTTCCACACTACTTTGACCCTCAGGCATCTCGACTTGAACAACAGATACTAAATTATGACTAGATGTTATTATGATGGAAATGGTTACCGATATTGCCATACCGCGTGGAACGACTGGGTACGATGGGTCGTTCTGGCAGTAATCATCATCGGTTTCTTCCTCCTCTTCGTCCTATGCTCGTAAGTGCTTCGACAATACCTTCTTGGCCGTTATTGCAGCGTTCTGACATCTCTATATAGTTGCTTCACGGCTCGTCGTCGACGTCGCGCCGGCCAAAATCCCTTCTATGGCACCGGATGGGCTGCGAGACCAGGACAATACAACCAACACGCTCAGCCGTACTACAATAACCAGTACAGTCAGCCAGCCCCGCCATACTCCGCTCAGCCTCCGCAGAACTCATACTACGGAGCAAACCAAGCCTACTACGGTCAGCAGCCCTACGGTCAGCAACAGGCTGGCGTCGAACTCCAGCCTCCTCAACTTGTTCATCCTCGCGGTGGCGACGACGTCTATGCTCCCCCATCTGGTCCTCCCCCAGGCAAGGGTGATGGAGTCATCCGATGAATCTCTCATTTATGAAATACGATCGCTCAGGTGAGCTGGCTGGATAAGGGTTGTCACTGTGCTTGGTCATTGGTTGGCGTTCAAATGTTACGAACATCTGTTCTGGAGTTTGATATTATGCTATTCAAAAGGACTGGAAGGGTTCACATCGGTTATGGATCATCATTCCTGGTCCCGTCTCTAGCAATGCTACTCACGGCCTCCAGGATATTTCTTCTTACCCACTTTCTTTGTGCATTCATCCTGGAAAAGATTGCCTCAACTTTAGTGCTAATTAGCTAATTCAAGTCTATTTTATTAGACCTTTGCGTTAATAACACACATCACGGAACATGACTAGGGGAGGGCATATTTGATCCATCAACCCTTTGTTATATTTAGGGAGATATTAAGACGATGCCGATTCTCATTGCAAATCAAATTTCCATTATGTTAGTGAACAGCCAGCCGTTACTTTTATTTTTCCATTAATTGCGGCTGCTAATAACATTTCCAGAGACAAAGGATACGCCGAGACAGGTAAAGAAGTCTTCCAGAAAACCCTACGGGCCTACTAACACTAACAAGAACATTTTCTTACCAAGGAACATGTTAAAGAAAAACATCTAAATGCCAAACTCCTGAACTACGAACATCCAAATAACGAACGTCTTGACGTAAAGCCTCCCGACCAAGAGACTCCTCCCAACAACAGCGCCACACAACACACCAAGCCACGACTAGTCAATATTTTCTAAAGGGATGGTGGAGTTACTAAGTTTGCCGTATTCGGAATGGTTCGGGCGTAGGAATTTCCTCTAGCTAGGGAAGAGTATTAGTGTACAGGGACAACTCTTCAATGAGGATTGCATGAACTCGACAGAAAGCCCCTGGAGAAAAGTATCCATGCAGTTGTACGGAACCGCAGCAAACGTTGCAAAATGCGTAGTTGTAACTGACGACATGATTAGTGTTGTTAATACAGCATGTTACATACAGCGCGGAGGATGGCCAGGAGTAGAGTCTATATATTAAACTCCTTGCTGGAGAACAGCGACCTCTCTTTTCACACCGGACTTCACCTCCTTGATGCGAGACTATCTGTGTTTCTATGTGACGTTCTAGTTCACGAGCTCTAGCCAGCGGCAAGTGTCTCTAAGATCGTTTCCCAACAGGCCAAAAGCTTGTCGAGAGCATATAGGCGTAGAAGCGGCGAGGTTTTGGTTTTATACCAGGTACCGTGCTAAACTTACATCAAGAACTTCTACCGCTTCCTTAACCAGTCCCTCTAGCCACAGGTTTCCAAGAGAGAATAGAGATGTCAGCTGGGGGATGAGAAGAGCGAGAAAAAAAAGATCAGGAATTATACGCGTTCCAACAGAGTGTGGAGAGCACATAGATACATGGCTCAAAGAAGGAAATCGGGTATTGCAGTCGGCCTCCATGCAACTCATTGCAAGGGACAAGCGATAGACTGGGGACGGAGTTGGTTGAGAAATGGGAAAATCTTCCAAAACCCTCAAGATCCCAATCACATTTTCTTAGATACAATCAGTGGTCCACTGCTATAGGGTCACAATCACGGCTATAGCATATGATGGTGACCGACGAAACTCACTCACATGGATCCTCTGCAGCCACCACTGTGCACATCCAATTCCGTCAGCGCTGACTCATCTCACATCCCCTCAAATTACGAAACGTCTCTCTCTTCCATACCCCTAAACTCTTACTTGTGGCCTATATTAACCCAAAAATTCCCACAAGTCCTCAATAAACGAACTTGGGTTGGTGTGGCGGGAAATCAGCCACAGTTCCCCCACTACAAGTTTCCCACGTAGAAACTTGTGCCAGCTTTATTCCTAGATTTCGCCAATTTAGGACCGGCTTCAAGAGAGCAAGACGCAGGTCCCTCGAAGAGTAAATTCACGAGGTTACTGTTGAAATCTTAAGTGAGGAGAGTTCCCTTAGCTCAAGTGAGCAGCTATTTTGATATTTTTCTTTCCTTATCTACGGTTAGTTTCATGCGCTTGTTTCTTTCTCTTTTTGTAGGTAGCTTGAGCGAGCGCTGTTTTCGAACGTTAGAAGGGGAGAGAGCCCCGTTGACGATGAGTGCGAGTGTGCACATCTTTTGATTTTTCGTGCGAACTTGGGACATCTACCGAGATATTGGAATGTCAAAAAACATGACCTTTTATATTTATTACACGTTAACTCTCACTGAGCCCCAGTCCCTCTTATCATTCTTTGACCAGCAGTGATCACCTTAACTTCGAAACCCTCTACAATTTCAAAACATAACTCTCGCTGTAGGCTGATACCTCCTAAAGCGTATATATGAATTCCGGATTCTCCTTGTCGGTGAGATCAAGCCATCTGCACTTCCAATCAGCACCTCGTATCCACAATGGAAGTTGAATAAAAAGCTTACTCTTGGTTCTCTAGCTTGACATATCCAGGCTCTGCTCTGACCTTCGCTTTCTTATTGTTCTGCAATACGCAGTGTACGTATATGAAGGTAAGAATACCCAAACAGACGCTCCAGCAAACAATTATGGTGATCTCGGCCGGAACATACCGGGGAGCGTCTTCAGCGCGGAAGGTCTGAGGACCTATGCATGTCGAGGATTAGAAGAGACTCATGCGTGGAAATGGAGACGGTGTGGGGATATTGGCTTACCAATTATGTTCCCCGTGCAATAGCCAATGAGATACCTGAACTTCATTAGCGAGTCCCGTTTTTCTTCGAAGTACTCCAGCTTACATGGCAGCTATAGTGGTCTTTTTGGTATATCCCGCAACATTGCTACTAACCAGGCTCAACAATGCTACAAACGGCGTCGGGCTGGCCTGCGTGAGATAGTATCCTGCCAATCGCCCCTTATTGTTACCTAGTGGTAGGGCGACGATAAGAATCATCCCTAAAATTGCCAGACAAAGTCCGGACATGGAGATTAGAATCCGGTTTCCATATTTGTCACCAGCCCAGCCGCATCCGATAAGCATGACGATTTCCACAGCGCCGCCTGGTGTTCCGTATAAGAGGGACTGTTCGGGAGTGTAGCCGAAGCCGACAATTAGTTGAGAAAAGAAGTTGGATATACCGCCTTAGATATGTCAGTCGATATGCCTAGTAAATGCGAGTGGGAAGGAAAGGTTCACCATTAGGGATATCAGCAATAAGGGCATAAAAGAAGAAAGCCCAACTCAGTGGGTCCAACAATGCCTCCTTGAATTGATACCACTTGAAGTGCTTGTTTCCAACTCCTTGGCCGTTGATCCGAATTCTTTCGATCGCGAGAAGTCGGTCTTCTTTACTGAGCCATCGGCAATTTAATTGGTTATCTGGTACTACCCAGAGAAAGATGAATCCGATTGTTGAGGTCAAGAGGCCGGTGACGAGGAAGACGATTTTCCAAGGCTCGAGGGAAGTGCCGTATTTACGGCATCCGACTGCTATGCCGTAGGCGACAAGCCCGCCGAATATCTAGTGACGACAGTTAGCTGAAATTATCATTAATATTTGAGCCGACCGAACTCGATTTTCTCTACGATGAAAGCCTTGTGAAAAGTCTTGGGTACGGCGGGACAAGTTGAGTGTGGGAGAAATAGCATGTATTACCTGCGCGAATCCATTGAATGAAAACCATATACCAGTCCGTGTCCCTTGCTCTTTCTTAGTATACCACTGAGAGGTGAAAAGTGCAAATCCCGGTGTAACAGCAGACTCGAAAACTCCAAGAAAGAATCGAATAGCAATGGCCCCACCATAATTCTCCGTCGCAGCAAAGCAGGACAAAACCAGCCCCCACATGATGACATTGAACGCAGCTAGAACAAGTCAAATTTCTCTTTGGCATATAAATGGACAGGCGGTGGGTGAGCATACAGTACTTGCCGAGCGGCAGCCTTTGAAGTAGGCGGCTCGTAGGATATTCCCAGGCCAGATAACCAAAGTAAAACATGGATCCAAGCCAGGAGTACTGAGTACCTGAGATACCTATCCCGCTTCTGTTTTTGTCGCCTGATGGAGGAAGCTTAAGACCCATGATGCTAGCATAACTCAATGTCGTCTTATCTAGGTAATTCAACCCGTATCTTTAAGCTGCTGTCAGTCTTCTTGTTGGGCGATAGAGAAAAACGGCTCTAATCTTACACAACACAGAGGATCTATCGATCTGTAATTAGTGAAATTTGTCGAAAAGTTGAAGGCAATCTATATCAGTCTTACAGGCATCAAATGCATATCAATCTTCCTCAACAACCTCTTGTTTTCCTCCTCTGTCAAAATGATCGTCTGCCCTTCGAAACCCTCAAAGGCTTTCATCGCCGCATCTGCATCGTGCGAGTGTTTGAGTAGGTATTCTGGAACATGTTTCTGTTCACCCCTCGAAGTGCCTGTAATAACCCTCACAACGTCACTCGGCATCGTCTCTTTCTCGACTGATGTATCCACCATAACTGCCGGATCAAGTTCGGTGTAGAGTCGAAGAACAGGACGTTCCTGGCTTTATATACCGAAGATCCCACAGAATCAAATACTTCAAAGGTGAATAATGTTCCGCTCTAGACCTTCGGGACATGGAGGCATTTATGAGAGAGGAGGGTGGGGGAGGGAGAATAGAATCAGGTGCTTTCTGTCAATCAGATGGTAGCATGCGATAAGCTCGACGCTTGCAATCAAGCAATCCGACTCCTGGGAAAGACGTGATACGAACACCCATGTCTCCAAGGGAGGAATCTCTCTAAAATCAAAGTGACGGCATCGATAGCGGCATTGAGGACGCGGATGTAGCATACAGCCAGCAAGCCGTTGGGTGACTTGGTCGATCTGCACGACAGTGGGGGGTGGGTGCTAGGTTGTGAATGATGCTGTGGCGGGTGATTCACAGCACGTTATTCCTAATAGGGAAGCTGCGATGGGAGGGAGAGGTCCGGAGGTCACATTCCGAGCCCGCGAGATAGGGAAACTCACCGAATAAAAACCGAACGGGAGCTGGAACACCGATGCGGAGAAACCTTAATCGTACTGTACGTTTTGGTACCTGTGAATGCCTATTCGTAATTGCTCAAACAGTTGCGAACACTGTCGGATTCATTTATGAACAGATTCCGGTATGCACGTCCCAAGAAGAGCCAATGGTGTCAACTGCATATTAAGCTCGAAGGGTCGGCTGGTAGAACTTGCCTTGCATCAGTCATGTTTCATCGATATTCTTTGTTGGGACTGAATGTCGTTATTAACTCCGTGTTGAAATACGGAAGCGAGCCAGCTTATCCATGGATTCGACGCACAGCAAATTTAAGCATGAAAATAACCTTGCAAGTGTTACAAGCGGTTGATTGCTCCTAAATACTTAGACTCCAGCGCGTATCGTGGAAACTTTATTACAGATCATCGCATGGCCTGTCCATGGCGAAACTCCCATGCCCGATGCTCCTGAGAACCATGTGACCCACGAAAAGAAACCTTTGATGTGTGTTCCCTCACACGTAAACCATCAACTCCAGAGCCTAATCAGCTCAAACCATGCGTAGTTAGATCGCTCTCACTTAAAAATAGTATCAGTTTCCGAACGCCGCCTATATGCATCCGTATTGCCGCTACATAAGGTGCCGCTTATATTTAGCTGGCACATGCTTGTGAGACTGCCCCTCTAACCATTTTGCGACAAAACAATCGTTACCACAGTTGATGAAGTAAAGGAGAAGGAAAGTCGTAAGGAAGTGGCTAAGAAACTCAAAACGATTGCTACTCGTATGAGGCGCTATCGAAACGACACGCTATTGAGCTTTTGGATCTGGTTTGTGTCTGTTGTGATATTGGCAATGAGCCTATCCCCGGGGATCTCTCGAGTTGGTCTTTGGGAACTGTTAGGGCTCCTGCTTCCGAGCCGGCTGTTGCTCTGGTTGCTCTTGGGATCAATGTTGTTGTCTGTAGGATGAGTATTTAGCAAAGACCCAACGCTGGGAATAGTCCTGGCGGGGGAAGGAGCACTGTTTGTTGAAGCTCCGTTCTGTTCGGGAACTCCTAAGGATTCCTGTGACCTCGAATCGTTAGGTTGAGGTGTTGGAGGTTTTTTCTCAGTCCTTGAAGCCATAGATGCTCCATTAATGGCGGGGAGCTGGGGTCCTTGTTCCGGCAGGGTTGTGTGGCTAGGTGGAAGGTTGTGACTCTGAGCCATGGCTTGGGCATGGGCTTGGGCATGGGCTTGGGCTTGGGCTTGGTGGTGAGCGAGTTCGGTAGCTTGCATGATCCGTGCTGACGGGTGTGGTGTGTATTGGGGTTGACCATACCCAGGATGAGGACCCATTGGGTGCGGGGGATGAGCTGGTATATTGGTGTTGCTCATTGGGGCTGGTGGTCGGTCGTACATGGTGGGTGGTGCGCTATGGTAGGGTTGGGTATAGAGAAAGTGAGGATAGGGTACCGGCGAGTGACCTTGTTGCGGCGGATAGTAGGGGTATTGATACGGAGGAGTGCCGTTCGGAGTAGGTGGCCCATAACCGACTGGAACAAAGACTGGTTGGACGGTGCTTGGGCGAGGGAATGGAGATACTGGTCCAATCTGGTGTGGTGAAGGAGCAAATGGCGAGCCAGGCATTGGCCCTCGAGTGACAGCAGGAACATTGGTTGTTTCGTTAACAGTCGACTCCGGGTACATGTTCTTGGGAGGGCGGATATGGCGAAGTTGAGGATCTGTTGTCGGTGACTTCAGGTTCGACGCAGTTGGATGTGAGCGCGAATAGTAGCTGATCAGGTGGAGGTGCTGTCCGCCTGCTGTTGTGATGCTAAAGGACTGCTTCATGAGCCCATCTGGCTTATAGCGATATCCATCTGGGCCTTCGCCTTCTGAGTCTCCCGTATTGGATCCATCTGGGGACTTTCCGCTCGGTCGCTTCGGCGGTGGTGCTTGTGTGGGAAATCCATTCCCTCCACGTTTGCCTTCCATTTCCCGATAAGTCAAGAAGCTCCCAGACACTCGGCTTGCACTCCACGACTTCCCATCAGTCCACCGCCTCATGCCCGCTTCCCTCTCGTCCCACACAAAGACTGAACCAGACTTGATTTGCTGGCGCTCTTTCTCGGACAGTCGGCGCTGGACACGGGGCAACAGGCCGGTTCGACAAGCCTCGAAGAGCAGGATGGCGTCGGCCGGCGTGCGGACATGGCCGGTGTAAGTCTCCATTGCAGAGACAGTGGTGGTGGTGGTGGTGGTACTAGGTATTGGGTGCTATGGATGGTGAACACTGGGGAAGGAAGAAGCTTGAATGAAACACAGAGTTCGACGTGAGTTAGGGCTTCATGGGTGCTGTGACACATGCGTTAGCTCAAGCTTATAGCTCCACTCGAACTACGGAACGATGGGGTTGCGCCAACCCATGGTCGCTTACGTACGAAAACGTGTTTCGAGCGACCGGTGGGTGTTAGGGATCCGAGGAAAGAAGGATCAAGCAGGGCCAGCGGACAATTGAGGATACGCACGATTTCGCAGACAGCCTTGCCGTTTATGCAGCGCACTGGTAGTCTCCAAAGGGGAAAACTGGCGTGTGGATGGTGGGGCTCTACCGACACCAGCGAGATGGGATGACAAGGTACCAAGTGGGTTGCGACGAGCTTGACGGGGGGATATGAATGGTCGTGAGGCGATATTGATGAGGTAACGGAGACCAAAGAAATGCACACGTACCTTTAGGACTGGCAGGCAGTGATGCAATGTGAGCACGCCGAGAGAGGGTCGGGGGTCTGAACAATGGACAGCCTCGCAATCAATTGCCGCTGGGAGAGATATATGGTGAGGGTGGTCCGAGGACAGGTCGTCTCTTCAGGCAGTGACGGCACTGTTGAGTGGGCCGGAGACTTGAAACGAGCCTGGCGGATGAAACGAAATGAGGGTGTGGCAGGAACGCGAGGCGGTGATGTGCTATATGGGGCACGGCGGAGGGCTCTGGGTGCACTTGTATGTACGAAGGGAGTGCGCACGGAACGCTTTTGTGCTTGTTGGCGGCACACCCTGGGCTCTTGATCGTCGCCGAGGGCTTGGTGTGGCGCTGAGAGCGAAATAAGGCCTGTCAAACAGTCGGGACAAGCTTTATTTAAACGCCGTTGGCTTCTAACTTTGTCGTCGCTCCCAGCAGTGCGAACCCGGACTCTCGGACGCTGCGAGCAGGCGGAGCGGCCCCCTGTCTACAGACGGACTCTGTCCAGTGTGTCCGCTGCTTCAAACTGCTCAAATCTGCTATTATCGACGGCTGCCTCGCCGCACCCTCGCGCGAAACGAGACGAGATGGCCAGATAGACGCATCGCCAACAGGACGCGGCGTGGGCGGCGAGCGCAGGCACCGTAGGGCAGAACCCAAGTCTCAACAAGACACTTGTCCGCTTCCCCCGGCGGATTGGCAGGCTGGTGCTGGTCTTGGACGGCTCGATGGAGTCGACGCCGTGGACGCCCAGTCCGCCGCCGGACTCAGCGCTCGTACAGCCTCGATCAGCCAAGCTTTCTGTGCGATGGTCGGGGCCGACAGAGCTCATCACCTTAAAAGACGCTAAGCAACCTAATCCTAATCTTTAACGTCGACAAGCCTTCCATCGCTTGGCCAGTCCAATCCCATCCCGGCTCTGACACCTCTCGCCCAGGTCCAAGCCCTGGCGATGCTCATCGGGCATGGCATCGAGCAGCTCGTCATGCGCGCCCACAACAAGCGTCTTCTTGTGCGACTTGGCCTCAGGTTCACTCATTACCTGCTGGTGGGAAATACCCAGCCGAGCCAAGTTCCCATCACCAACGACACAAAACAACTCGTGCTGTTGCTGCATCAATTGTATTATGGCATTTGCATGGTGTGTCTTGGCCCCAAGGACGCCTAAAACACCTTGCCTGGCGGAACCGTTCCACACCTCTTCGTAGCTGTGCCGCTGGTGCTGAGAAGACTGACAAAGATCTCAGTGGGAGGATAACTCCGCTCGCTCTCGCTTGCTTGCTCCTGATGACATGCCTTCTTGCATCCACGAAGCGCCTAGGGTACGCGAGTGATGGTGGGTTACCGCCTGCTGTGTTACGCAGACGCTCGCACGAGAGACCTCAGAGACAGCAGCTTGTGAAGACTAGGCAATTGATTCCTACCAGGTATCTCAGGAGCTTGTTCTTGGAAAGGTATCCGCTCGGCTCCACAAGCCAACGTAATATTATTCCTACTCGAACTTCCCTGCACACCAGGACCTCGGCTTCCAGCAGATAAGCCTTGGGTGTAATGCATTTTAAGCTTACTCTGTTCCGCAATACGATAGCGAGGAAGGCTTCCACGCTGACGGAATCCTTACCTCTGGAGAAAATCGACGGGCGCTTCCAGCTCATTGTTCGTGCACCGAAATAGCTGTTTGCACCCGTCAATAATTACCTCGAGGCAGTCGGTGTGCGAATGGTTGAGCGGGGTGGAGCGCCTTGGTGCGGCTTCTGGCGAGGCATTAGCCGTCACAACAATATCCACCAAGAGTCTGGGCAAGCCAGTCTTCGTGTCTTATTGCGAGGCCTCGTTACAAATGTCCTAAGGCAGCGTGAACATGGGTCGATTATCAGCAACATTCGCTGCAAGGAATGTTGTGGACTGGCGTCTCAGCTTGCCACAGCGAGACAAAGGCCCGAGTCAAAATTTATTGGCCTAGGTTGCGCAAGCTTGCCAAGCAGCAAACACGGATTTGTTTCGACACTCGGCCAAGCCTGGTCATCGTGCAGCCCAGTGACGGCGGCGTCTTGTGTGGATCGGATTGCTCGGATGATGGCCGCGTCAGCGTTGACGGATCATGGAAACTCGTCCACCCCAAGCCGCCGACTCCACATTTCGGCAGTTACGCAGCCATGGGACAAACGAGACAAACGAAACCCCCCTTGCTTGAGTTCCGAAGAGGTTGTGAGAACCATCGATCGTGTGCCCTTCGAAAAGACATACATAAGAAGGGAGCAGGTGTGCCAGGAGTCGTAGATGCAACATTGAGCCCGGCGTCCGGTTAAGTCATACGATGCGGTACGATTCTGATCAGCCGGCTTGTTCGCTTGCGATGGACAGGGTTCCAGATAAGGTTGAAAGAGAGTTAAGCATAAATCTCTGACCCGCTGTCCCGCCTGCTCATCCACGGCACGCCCGCAGCAAGCCATGAACCCAATGGAGCAATTATTCTCGGATCCAAAATTGCCATGCGAACCCTCCACCACCCACCGCTCCACCAAACCCACCGGGCGTAGTCAGAGGCCTGATTATTACTATTGTTCCAATATGACAAGACAAAGTCGCAGAAGCGCTCCTTAGCCACCTACACTTTCACTATCTGCTCGCTCTGCGACAACCTTGGAAGTACTGCCACAGTGCATGTGAGCTCCACAGGCTGGAGCCGAAAACGATCTCCACCAACCGACCACGGGCTCGTTTCTTTTGCAAGAAAAAAAAGTTTAGTGTTGCCCACACGAAGGCGCGCCAACGCCAGTTCTAGAACTGCGCCTCTCGTTCCAACACTCTCTTCCCGGCGCCCACAATGAATCACCTCGTGAATTACAACCAGCCCGACGAAAAATTAAGGTAGGCCAAGCAATTTGCCTGTCCGATAGCGCCCGATCTCTCTCAAACCTTCGCTGGACGACTGCTCACACGCCACTCGGAAAAAGGATGAACGAAGCACGATTTTTATTAAACCACCAATTACGTGCCGCAGCGTCGCAGGAAGATTTAGATGAACCATCGTATTCAGTCTGCAAGATCCGGGTTTGCGCACCTGCATCCACCTGAACGTATATTAACTGGGCCCTCGGTACCACCTGTCATCCTCACACGAAGCTTTTTTAATATCGGCGACCGTCGTCGCTGATGGGGGTAATTACGCGAAAAGGAAAATGCGGTCCGGAATCTCACAACGTCAAATGTTCTTGATCCTTAAAACTGGTCAGAGTGAACGAGCTCACATCAGCGCACTCACTCCGATCCTTCGCACTAGGTAATCATCATTGGTAGAACGCCGTACAGCCTTGCAGTGCACACAACCCTTCGACAAGTCCAGCGTCATTACACATGCTGGGAAGTGGCATAAGATCCTTTAGTCAAGCAAGTCGAGATTTCCGAGAATGAAGGCGGATACGAACATCCTCAAGCGGAGCTTCTCGCGCTATTACCCTATTCGAGCCAGCATTTGTATTTTTGGCCCCCTCTTGCATGACGGGCAACGGGCACGAATCATCTTGCAGGAACGCTCTCAAAGGCAAGCAGCTTAGTTCAGAACCTTAATCCCCATGATCTGCGCTTGAATCCAGACACTTCAGGTCTGCAGTAGCGCTGTGTGTTTCGGAGTCAGGCTGACACAGTAGGTAACTTACCAAATCGGTATCCGGGGTGCCTCGTTTAATATCTGAAATTGGAAGCAAACTGCGCAATTCCCTCAACCTCATGCTGATGACCATTTTCTTAATCATCATTCATCATACAGAGAATTTCCACCAGTCGGTTCTTCCTCCTTTCTAGATCCTACTTCATGCTATGATTTGTATGGCATGTCTATGATGCAAATCTAATCATTAACGTTTAACTCAACTTATCGAACCCCGCCTCTTCAAGTCTAGTGAAGTGAGCTCCTTACAAAGTTCGTGTCCCGCGTACACCGAACCGCTTCGAGCTAACCTGTGGAGGCCTCAACGTTCCACCAGAGCACAATCACAGCCTCGTCCCGGTGCAGGATCTACAACGTTAATCCTTCACGGGAGGACCTTATTTTAATTTGCAGCCACTCCCGGTGTCTGACAGGGCTAAGCACTCTTTCCTATAACTGGGTAATGCCTCTTAAAGTTGGCTCCTAGAAGAGGTAGGTACCACAAATTTTATATTGCGGCACGAACCAACTTGCTGTTGAAGAAGATGCAACAGTCGATACATGCGCAGGCTGCTGCACAATCGCATTGGTGTTCCTAAATTTCTCATTAGATTACTCGTTCACTGCCAATAGAATTCATGCCTCGCTAGCCGATCCTGCACTTCACATGCGACCTTCCGTGATAGTCCTGTGGTACAATCCACAGATGCTCAGAGGCACCGCCTAACGGGAATGGAAATCACCTAAGACAAGTCCCCGTCTTTGTCGTACGAAGGCATTTTACAACTTCCCGTTTAAGCCCCTAAAGGAATCCTTCGGACAAGGTAAGACAAGGCAAACCCTTAGCCGTAATCAGGCGTTCTCATTAACAAATGAGGGTAAGCCCACCATTTCTCTTGCAGGGCCACTCTTTCATCTACTATCTATTGTCTGTTATCTGTTCCAATGCTCGTGAACACCGATTTTATCAACCAGCCGTGTCAACTTCGTTGGGTTCTTCCCACAAAAGCGTCTGCCAAGGGGTCCAACCGCCTGAAAAATCCTTCGTTTAAGCCAATGAGCGGAGATAGTACTTCTTCTATCTGAGTAGGATTTCAGTCGTTAGTATTCACCAAAGTAGGTAAGATGGTCGAAGTGATAACCTTAAGCTTATTTAACCTTAATGAAACACCGAGTTAGGGACTTTGCACACTCGTGGGCGCTATGGCGTGACACTACCCCTCGCTGATTGTCAACGAAGGTCATTTCTCGCTGAGAAAAGGCTTCCGACGGACTGGACCACGGGTAAAGTTGCTCATCCTCATAAACGCCTCCGAATCAGCGTCTGAATCAGGAACCCGGCTCGCTCACAAATTTTCTCTTAGCGTGTTGTCCGATGTTGCTTCTGCCTATTCTAACTACTGCACTCGACACACTTCAGAATCCGTTGGGGGCTAATCCCATCCATGGGATTTATTCTCTTGGGGTCTGAATCACTACTACTTCAAGCGTGATCATGGTCCAAGTTCGGCATCCAGATGTTCAGCTCCCCCGGTCCGTGACGGGGTTCGATACATCCTTCCAGTTCTACAAGAATATTTCATATAACAAACCAACTTGCATCCCAATTTCTATTTCATCCGGACACCGCTTGACTACGAACCAAACAGAGCGTTGCGCTTACACAGCCCACCTACTGTGGCATCAGACATAATGCCACGCCCCATTGGCGCATCCCAATGGTATGCGAGGTTCCACTTCGTCATCATCTTCGCCGCAATTGCTATCTAACAGAAGTCCGACAGCGCCTATTGTTTCACGCCTATTTCTAATACCTTTTTTCTGTCTTCACTCTTCGTCGGGTTCTCGAACATCCGCCTTCTAGGTGTTTCCTTTCCAAAATCGTACTACTTACGTGAGAAAAGGAGGCTTTCCCCTTCTCACATCGTCGTATCTTGCGACAAAGGCAGACAGTCACCAATAACAAGCTTATATGGAATCCTAAATATTCTCCTGTTTAATTAGCCTGCCGTCCGAGTTCCTTCTCTACGTCCGCCCAGTTCTAGCTAGACGCCCCCGCTCTCTGTCATGCTTAACGAAAGAAATAAGACTGTGACTAATCTCCCATGTCCATATCCCGTTCTGACGCCACGGACATACAAAACTATACAGAACCTCAAAACACTTGAAGCATACTTGGCTGGAGCTGTGCCTTTCCTGGCGCTTAATCAAGCATGTTTGCCACATATCACTTTATTTGTAGGATGTTTGGTCCACCCGCCATGCTTCGCCGCACGCACGCACATGCCAAGAGGGTTTTAGGGGATTCAGCATACCTGCTTGCTAACCAACCACTAGCGCATAATTCCGGTATGCTCTGGGAGCTTGAGTCAGAGGAACAGAGTTCTGGACAGTTTAGCCGTTGGGTGGGCCTATTGGGGCTTTGTTGGCTCAATGTATGTGTTCTCAAGACTGTGGTCTTCGCCTCAGAGTGAGTTGGTTCTGAAGGATTGGACGCATGAGCAATATAGGGACCCGAGTCCACCAGGGTTTTGGGAACGAGGTATGAGAATGAGACCTTGAGGTTGCAATGTAGCTCAAACGGAGCAACGATCTGGTAGCTTTTAGTGAGGTCACTCAATCCTACCCCCTTTTCTGACTCCAATTAGCCTAACAGTTTTCATCAAACATTGTAGCAGTATTCGATTCTTGATCCAGTGCTAGACGGCGCCATGGTGCTTCTTACCTACGCGTTTTAAACCAGACTGCTTTGATCTGTTGAAAGACTTTCTATATGCTCTCATTCCCGCTGTGCTCTCTCCTTCCATCCACTCTAGTCTGTCATCTATTCCATTTCTCCTACAACTCGTACGAGAATGTCAAACCCATCAGCGGCCTCTTCTCCCCCCGTCACCGCCTACAACTCCTTCTACGAACTCCTCTAGTGTCTCCAAAACTATAACCTCAAAGCCTTCAGCGGTGTGTAGTATCTCAAAGGGTTACCACGTTCTGCACTCCAATAGTCTCTCTTAGTAGTACATCAAGGGGAGGAGACAAGCCGAGAGGTGAGGAGCAGAGCAATAGGAGTGCAGGCGATAGTGAGAGGGGATGATATGAGATGGCGGGGTTGAACCATTTAGCATTTCGGATAAACGAGGAAATGTTTGTAGAAGCACTTGCATTCACTTTCGCACAGTCATTCAATCTTCAAAGTAAATACCAAAGCATATATTCTATCTCCTCCATCTACCACCCCCCGGTGCTATCTATCTCTCAAACAGAAGCGCGTTCCTTAAAAGGAGAGATTGCTCTATCATTTTAATACAACGAAAAGAGTGATGTGATAGCGGGAACCAAAATATGAGACAGTATTCGTACATACAAAAAAATAATTCCCGGATGCCGAAAACAGAAGTTCCAATCTTCCATGACCTTGAACTCTGCTGCGCAGAATGGTATTGACCTTAAGACCCACCAGAGATCCAAACCTAAACCTAAGCCAACAATATATCCTGGATATCCTACCTGCCTGCCAGTAATGTTGAAAGAACCCACCCACGAACCGGGTCCAACATAAATGCTAAGAGGATTTGTGCCTAATGATCTTGTACCAGGCCCAAAACAGTGCATCCATTAGCGCTGACCAAACCCTAGAACCAATACTTGGACTTTAGGAGAACCCACCCCATTTACTCCCGAAGAACCCTTAAAAGGCTATCAAAAACCTCATTGCCATCCTCATCTTCATCTTCTTCTTGCTGTTGTGCCCCAAATCCGAAGTCATCGTCCCCATCTTCACCATCATCGTTGTCCTCATCATCGCTGCCAAATCCGCCATCCTCGCCAGAGAAGCTAGCTTGATCTTCCATCTCAGCTCCACCCTCAGCGTCAGAATCGCTGCTGCCATCTTCATCATCGTCTTTATCTTCAACCCCAGCCCAGCTCTGTCCATCGTCTTCGTATTCAGCGTCATTATCATCGACCTCAGTGTCACCAGCCTGGTCCGCGAACTCGCCGAAACCAGAGCCCGCTCCCACAATGGGTCCGGAATGCGGTGTGGCGTAAGCAAAGGGGGTGTTCTTCCCCACCACTGCGAGAGATCTTTGGCTTCGACTCGTGACATCGGAATTCGTTCGGGGTAGTTCTGGATGTGAGGAATAGAAGGGCGAAGGGGGTTCACGTGAACGTCGAGGAGTGGGGTTCCATACAGGATCCTGAACGTCTGAAGCTTTGGAAGGAACATTGACAGCTGCTTGAGGAGAGGGGGAACGAGCGACACGACGACGTTTGGGTCTTGAAATAGAAGCAGAACGGGAAGATGGCTGAGGGACGGAGGAAGGTTTGACTGGCGATGTGTTGAAGCGACGTTTTGACGAGCTGTGCGGGCGTTCCTCGATCGTGGGCGCAGAAACAGTGCGTATACCACCGTGTGTTGGACGGCGAGGGTGATTCTCACTTAGTGGTGAGATGGGTTGGAATTGCTTATTCTTAAGGATGGAGCTAGGTGTGATGGATCTCCGCCAAGTTCGGCCAGCGGGACGCATTGAAAGGTTAACAGAATGACTGCTACTGAAGGAGGAGGTCGTGCTGAGTGGCGGGTCGTAAGCTTCGAAGAAAGCCCAGCAAGCTTCCCGAGCATCCGCTTCAGCGACTTGCGGTTGGCAATGCTCCTCGTTCCCTTCCATCTCTGAGTCGGGATCTGGCTGGAAGCGAGGAAGTAACCGCAATTGCTGCCACGTCCAGGCATCTCCTGTGTTGTTGTTCTGTTGTAAATACGCCTCTCGCTGCGTGATATAGAGCCTCTTCTTGCCACCTGATACTCGCATCATTACCCCTGAATTGAGAAATTGGGCGGACCATAGTGCCGAGCTGGACATCTCGGCATGGCTCAGAAAGCGCAGCCTGGACGACTTCACGGTCTTCCGAAGGGGGATGAAGGAAGCCCGAAGACCAGGATATGAGTTGATAGTGGGATGGTAATCTGCATCAGTATACACCAAGTGCTCGTGCAAGTCGCCGAAAGCATCAGAGAGAGCTGCTTGAATGTCACTCGAGTTGGCGCTCTTCAGATTGATAGATCTGATGAAACCCCGACTCTGCAACCTCCTGTATACTAAGTTATTGCTCCCGCAAGCCTTAGGTGACAGCCACTCGTCCATAGGACCGGCTGCCCAGTCGCTAATAGCCTGATTGCTCCAACCGCTACCAGTATTACTGAGTAGAATAGAACCATTGGGGGAATGCTGTGTGCTGGAATGCAGGCTCGACGTAGCATTCTGTTCAAAAACTTGCGAAGGTTGTGATGATCCTTGATGCATGCTCTGAGGGGCTGAAACCGAACTCCGTATTTGAGTCCACTCCTCTGTATCTTGAGTGACACCTCTCAAGGGGTCATGCATTGGCTCGTCTGGAGAGAACCAGATCCCGCGCAACTCTCGACCCCAAGGAAGAAGAACAACCTCAACCTGCCAAGGATTAACGACTGTGGGGAGTGATGCAGCTTCGAGGGTGTCCAGGCGGTCCTTAAGGCCTTCGATCTCGGTCTCCATGTCCTTGCGGTCGATTGCCGCAACGATTAGCGCGGAGGACGTGGTGGATTGAGCAGAATGATTTGATCCAAAAGAATCGGTCGTGGTGGCAATGCGCCGTCTCCCATGCGAGTTGCTGCTCTGATCAGCATCGATTGCCTGATGGAGCCTGTCATGCTCATCCATGCGATGCTCAAGCTCCAGAAGGCGACCGTCATACATCTCAACATGCTGTTGAAAATCATCCGGCTGAACAAAGTTGAAGGAGCTGTTCTCCAACAGGTCCAACCGTGTAATGATCTCTTGGATGGTACTTGCGACATTCGGTATTGAGTTTAGCAGGTTGTGGAGAGGGTTGAGATAGGAGAGCAGTTTCTGAAGCGCTTGAGGCGAAGCAGACTTCAAAGCATGCTGCAATTGCTCTTGAGGGGTTGCAGGCGAGCCGGTGAGCAGCCGCTGCGGGGCAGGAGCCAACGCTGCGCCATTGGACCTCGCACCCGAGCCGCTATATTGTTCTGCGAAGCGTGCGAGTGTCTCAATGATCTTCTTTGTGTCATGGACGGCGTGATCGACTGCTCCCAAGTCGGGCGTGTTGGAGTTACTGGGAGTAGCGACTTCAGTGGCGCTTTGGAGGAAGTCTTCGGGGTTGCACGTGTTCGGAATCGTATCGCCGCCGACATCGAGGTGCAGGTTGCGATTGAAGTCTAGGATACGATCCATCGGATTCGGTGCTGGCCTTGTCTCCTGCGCATTTTCGTCCGGGACAGAATTGGCTCGAGTTGATGGCAATTCCGACTCGCTGTAGAATCCATGTGGTGCTCTATCGATTTCGTCCGGCACTGTTGATGTTACAGAAGGCTGGCGACGAGACTGGTCTACTGTATTGCCTAGATTCACCAACGACAAGCCAAGCCCCATGGCATTGTGTCTCGGCTGGCTCATGTCAGTCCTCACCTTCCTGGTATCAGTATCAGCAGCTGCTGTTGGGCGGTCATGGGACAAGAAGCAGACAGAAGGGACTCTGGGAAGGCCAGAAGTGCTTGGTTGGGAAGGAGGGTCCAGCACCTCCCCATTCTGGCCATATGCGATGGCGGGAGAAGCTGCTTGCTGCAGAAGACTCTGGCTCGAGACCGCCTGCGACGTCTTCAAGCGTCCGTTCTGCAAGTCTTGACTTCCCTCGAGCGACGGGGTGTCCTCGTCTACTGGTCTTGCTGCCCTGTGGAGATTGCATTGTGACCCAGGCTGCAATTGACAGCGACCGTTACATCTAGCATGTACGCGATAAGACGCGCCTGCCATTGACGATTGCAGCCTTCCAGCCGCAGCGCGAGCGTCTTGAAGATGGAAGCAGGCATGGTGACCGCATACACACCAGGTGGAGCGCTCGTGGCTCGAGCGCTTCTCGGTGCTGCCCTCATGAAGCTCTGCGCTACATTTGTCCCAGAATTGATTACATCCACACGTTCCGACTGCTACGTCGCGATAATTGCATGCTCCATTAGGAAGGCGCCTTTTGGAGGAAGGACCATGGGTGGAGGTCGCGGGAAGGGCATTGTGAGCAGGATGACTTTGCCCGAACGCCTCCATAGGCATCTATTCGAGCATCCCACAGGGGACGCGAGCAACTCAGGATTGAGACATGACTGAGGTCTACGGAAGCTTGCATCACGTTAACAGAGCGACAGACGAACGTTGGCGGGGCCGAGCGCCTACCGAGAGTCTAGCGAGCGAGTACAACAGAAAGACACAGCTTCGTCGAGAGCGACAGCAATTATATATGCCAGAGGGCGCCGCAGCCAGGAAGTGGGAGGTGGGTGAGCGGGTGCGACAGCGACGGGTTGGAGAGAAGAGGCCGTCGATAGAGCAACGAAGCTCGGTGACTCTTCTCTGCCTGAGGGCATGCAGCAACCCAACACGGCTAGAGTCCAGCGCCTCCTCATGCACCCGGGAGCGTGGGAACAGTGCCGAGTCGTCGAGACATGGAGCTTGATAGGTCTGCCACTCACCGGGGAAAATGCGGAGGCTAGTTTAGCTCAAGACACGGGCGCCAATCCCTGCGGAAACGGCAGGGCTAGTTCTCGACCACGCCAACCTGGAGATACACTCTTGGAACAGTCGTTGGGACACGAAATGAATGCGTTGTGAAGGCTGAAACAATTCAATATTGTAGAGGGCGCGCAAGACAATACCACGCGCCTTTAGGTCCGATGCTCGACAAGGCAGCAGCGCGACGGGACATTGTATATTGCGTGACCCGTCACTGTTTGCCCCGTCCAGAATAGGAGGCCTCCAATTGGCTGGTGCGGCAGAAGACCCCAGGGCCATCCCGCAGCTGCAGGCCAGAAACCACGGATCAATGCACGTTGGGGAGACAAGCCAGACTATCGAGGCCCAGATACTGGCCCTGTGTTGGCGAGTACAAGGCAGAAATGTTTCGCTGCCCAGTTGTCGTCAGCGCTTCGTCTGCATGGCGTTTATCACGTTGAGAAATTCACACACTGGCAAGTCGGCCTCTTGATACTGCCATGGAATCGGGAAACTGACACATCAGATCCAAGTCTTCATCAAACATAGGAATACTATTCAAATTTATTTAAACATATACGTCGAGTAGACCGAAAGACTCGCCTTTAATGGCTCTTTTCAGAAGTGCTAGACTCTCTAATTGTAAGTCTTCTCCACTCCTCTCTTCCTGCAGACTCTGTCGTTCTGTCCTATGCATGCCAAGTCCATTCTGCAGATCGTGCATGTGAGAAGTCACTAGGCATGTTTGCCACGAATCCATAACGTATCACGCAAGTCGCTATATTAGGCTTGCTTGTGGAAGCAAACTGAGTGAACTGGGAGTCTTGCCTGTGGAACAACTCCCATGACTCTGCACCGGGGAAGTGCAACCGGGGTGGGGGTATTTCAACACCTTGAGCCTCATTATCACCAACATGGCAGTGCTGTCCTCCGGGGCACAAGCGTTTCGGAAATGAAAACGCAACACACAAAACAAAATGTTTGGAGTGAGGGTGACTAGAATAGGACACCGGCCCCCAAGATTCTCAGCTAGTTGTGCTCGCCTCCATTAGGCCAACTTCAACCCATATACTTCAGGTTTGAACCATTCCTGCAGCAGGTCTTGTAAGATCTCCTCCGCGCCAGCCTTAGCCACCTTTCGGCTCTCTCCAACATTCTCGATATACAACTTGATCTTGGGTTCCGTCCCAGACCCCCGAACAGTGAACCTAGCCCCCCCCTCCAGTTCGCACGTGATCATCTGACTACTCTTATCCACCGGCAAATCTGGCACATGGTCCTTACTCTTTGAGTCATACCCTACAGTCAGGTCCCTCCATCTGAGAATCTTGCGTGATCCGACGTCAGAGGGATGGGGTGTACCCAGGGCACGGATTGCCGTAAAGACAGACGTCGTTGTCGCAGAGGACGGTGAGATAAGGTACGTGTTCGCGTCTTCGAAGAAGCCGAGGTATTCGTAGAGTTGCTGGAGCTTGGAGTATGGGGTAAGGTTCTGGCTGAACCAGTGGGAAGTAGCTGTCAAGAAGACTGCTGCGGCGCTGATGGAGTCCTTATCGTGGACGACCGATGGTATCATGTATCCTAAAGCCTCTTCGAAAGCGTAAACAATGTCGTACTTCTTCTCCTCGAGATCCAAGGCGACATTTCCAAGCCATTTGAAGCCTGTAAGCGTCTCGGCGAAATAAAAGCCTTCTTTGGTAGCTAGTGCGTGGAGCATGCGTGATGAAACCGTCGATGCGAGCATTCCAAGCTTCTCCCTCGAATTCTCTTTCGGATACCTCTCGAACAGGTAGGAGCCAATCAAGATACCTAGTTGATTGCCAGTGAAGATGTGCCATGAGCCTGCTACCTTCTCTGCTACTGCTAATCTATCTGCATCAGGGTCACTGGCTAGTACCAGAGATACTGAGGCTGCGTCTGCTGTCTGTATAGCCAAATCTAAAGCACCCTTTTCTTCCGGGTTAGGAAACTTTACGGTTGGGAAATCCGGATCCGGTTTTGCCTGGGCGTCCACGACTGTCATCTGTGATGCAAGACCGAGGTTCTCCATGCACAAGGTCATTGGGATTAAACCTACACCATGCATGGGCGTGTACACGAACTTGAGGTTGGGATCTGTGGCCACATAAACGCCTTCGGGTCGAGCTGCTGCTCTGATGGCGTTGAAGTAGTTGTCCCGTACTAATCCTAGAGATCCTTCGATTAAGAGACAGCCGTCATCGACCACAGACGTGTCCCAAGTAACAGGCTTGAGGTTGTTTAGAATGGAATCAGCGATACCGCTATCATGTGGTGGAATAATTTGGCATCCATTTGACCAGTAGACTTTGTATCCGTTGTCCTGGGCAGGATTGTGGCTCGCTGTAATCATGACTCCTGCCACAGCGTTCAATTCCCTGACACCAAACGGAACCAGGGGCGTGTGAATAGGAATCTCGTACCACCAAACTTTGATCCCTTTCGCAACAAATGCGGCCGCTGTGAGTTTCGCAAATTTCTCGGAGTTGTGTCGAGCATCGCGACCAACAACCACACCCCGATATTTGCAACTGTCCTCGTGCTCGAGTAGGTATGCTGCAAGCCCTTGAGAAGCCTGAATGACTGTGAGGGAGTTCATACAGGCAAAGCCTGCTTTCATTGGCCCCCTAAGTCCTGCAGTGCCAAAGGCAATTCGATTCCGAAGTCGCATCTCTAGCTCATGAATATCCCCGTGCACGAGTAGCTTGTAGATTTCGTCAGTCGTAGATTTGTCCTCGTCTAATCGCAGCCATTCCTCTGCTAGCTCTTTAATGTCTTTAGTCATAATTAATATGATGGGATCGAACGACAAAAGCAGTAACTAGATGGGTGAGATCGAGCCGCTAGGTCGGTACGTAGGGGTGGACTGTAATAAAGAAAAGTTGAAGTTCAAGATATGGTATCAGGCAGGTATATATCGTGCTCGGCTGACCGAAAGACGCTTTTGAAGAGGCGCGGAAGGTCTTGCCGGGCGGGTGATGGTGCAGGTTTTGAAGTCGGTATTCTCTCGGAACGGGAAGTGTTCACTATCACATGTTGCTTTGGTAATCTTGCGCCCTTTGAACTCTGGCGTTGAATAATCACGATCTTCCTTTTGCAAGTTCGAATGAAGCCAAAACAGCCAATACGCTAATGTCTGCAAAACACAGGTTGTTGGACGTTTGCGAGGTGACTGGTTTAGATCGGATTGGGCCATTTAAGCTTGCACGTGGGGCTGGACACCCTGAAACATCCGAGCGTCTCATTTGTGGGGACTTTCAGACACCGACTTTATCACGCTTTCCTTCTCCATCACTGCACTTTGCATCACCTTCCTTCTCCCCCCTAATATCCTCCAAGTATATGGCGTGAATTGGCTTGAAATTGGCCTGGATCTTCTCACACTGTTGAGAATCCACATCCTTTAAAGATTCCCCACTACCACACGCCAACAAAAAGGCCGATATGGCAACTCAAGCACATCGCAATTCGAAAGTCTTATCCCGACGCGAGATCGAGGCTCTCATCGCCAATGGGTGCTCAATCGTCATTGTAGACAATAAGGTCTTGAAGGTGGATGCATGGCTTCCTTATCATCCTGGAGGTGACAAAGCTATCAAGCATATGATCGGAAGAGACGCCACAGACGAGGTTCACCAGTACACCTCCCTGGAAGGAAGCTTGAGCTCCACCTTTCTGACAACCTTCGAACAGATTTCACTCTGCAGAGACCCTCCAGCTCACTAACCGCTATCAAATTGGCCGTGTCGAGGGACGATGGGTCAATTTTGTTCCGCCAATACAGGGAGGCAAGTTTAGAACCGAGGATGATTCGAATGTTGTAGATGAGGATGATTGTATACAGCCCCATTCGGAGCAAGGAACAGCTAGTACAGACGGCTCGGCTCACCCAAGCCCAATCTTTGAGCCTGCAGAGCGGCCTTCATCCTCCATTCGCCATAGAAATGTTGGCAATATCCCTCGCGTATCCTCCACATCATCGATGTCGTCAGTTTACCTAGAGGACGCGCGAACATCTCCTAAAATGTCGGTCATGGATGCCCGTACTCAGCGAGAGATTGATCTAGACAAGTCCAAGTATCCATCGCTAGACCCGCAGACACAAGAAAAAATCGTGCAGAAATACCGAGAGCTACAAGAACGCATACAGGCCGAAGGTTTATATCAGTGTCGTTACCGGTCCTACGGTATCGAGTGCATCCGATACATCTTTTTCTTCGCTATGTTCGGATTTCTTTTGAAATCGGAGTGGTATCTATCGAGCGCTTTTTTTCTCGGCTGTTTATGGCATCAGCTTGCCTTTACAGTCCATGATGCGGGACACATGGGCATCACTCATGATTTCCACACAGATACAATCATAGGGATGCTTGTTGCAGACTATATGGGTGGCTTGAGCGTTTGCTGGTGGAAGTACAATCACAACGTTCATCACCTTGTTACGAACTCCCCAGAGCATGACCCGGACATCGAGCATATGCCATTCTTCGCTATTAGTCACCGGTTCTTTGAAAATCTCTTCTCGTCCTATTACGAACGGGTCATGAACTACGACGCCTTCGCCAAGTTTATGATACGATACCAGCACTACCTCTATTATATAATCGTTTGTTTCGGGCGGTTCAATCTTTATCGGCTAAGTTGGATGTACCTCCTTTTTGGTCAAGGACCCCGGAGAGGCCCAGCATGGTGGCATCGCTATTTCGAGATTGTCGGCCAAGTGTTCTTCTGGACATGGTTTGGGTACGGCGTCGTCTATAAGAGTGTCCCTGGCGGTTGGAACCGTCTGCTTTTTGTTCTCATTAGCCACTTTATTACTATGCCTCTCCACGTTCAAATCACGCTCAGTCACTTTGCGATGAGTACAGCGGACCTCGGTACTACCGAATCCTTCCCCCAGAAGATGCTGAGGACGACCATGGACGTTGACTGCCCTCAATGGCTCGACTTCTTTCACGGTGGACTGCAGTTCCAGGCGATTCACCACCTTTTCCCTCGGATCCCTAGACATAACTTGCGTCGGACCCAGAAACTGGTTCAGGAATTTTGTAATGAGGTGGATATACCCTACGCCCTTTTTGGCTTTGTAGATGGGAACAAGGTAGTGATTGGCAAGCTCGGAGATGTTAGCAGGCAAGCTGCGATTCTGGCCGAATGCCAACGAACGATTTCGGAGGGAGACTTCGGAGTGCACTGAAGCAGCCACGAGGATCTTTCTTTCCTGTGAAAGTTCAAAGTAGTCAGCTCTTCAACCATTAGTCTAACAATCTGTTTTGAGTTTCATTACTATACTGCCCTATTTGTGTATGCAATTGTTAGAAATTGCCGCCCTATCCTCTCTCACATTGTATTGAAAAGATGTTGTCTGAATTTTGTGTCACTACTTCATGCAACACTAAATTGATTTAAGAGGTCATCCCTTAGATACTAAGCACATATTCGTCACTAGCCCATCATAATCCTAGTCAGTTCAAGTGCTGATTTATTATAGCGCTAGACGCAGCCTCCCGTCACTCTATGGCTATCATTAACAATGAAGTTGATCGACACTCAACTCCGTTGCTCTTATGACGTCCAAACGAATCTAGTCTTTCATCCTTAGTTATTCATAATAGGGTTCATAGCAGAAACCTACGTTTCCGTCTTCACTCTTGACTCCTGAGTCAAGGTTATAGAGGACCTCCACCGTCTTTCTCACCCTTTGTAACTGGATATCCGTCGCCATTGGGGGGGACCGGGTCCTATTCTCTTTTCTCCACTCTTAATTTAAGGTCATTGGGGGCCTCCACGTCGTCCCCGACGCCCTTAGCCCCCAATTCGGGATCACGGAGTGCATCCACGTCCAGTATGTAGCCCATCACTATGTCCACGTCCTCTTCAAGTCGATTGTTTGGACTCATCCCTCTGGGAGTCTTGTCGATCCTATGGGAAAGCCTTACACGGATGTAATTAAACAAGCGCACGCTGAAAATAAGTTTACGCCTTGCATGCAATTTCCCCTCGGTTCAGCTGATAGAGAGTTAGAGCAGTATGCTAGATTTGTTAAATTATACATGGACATGTTAGCTGAGCTTGGTCAATGAAAGTCGACGACGAGAACCAACATGAATGAAGGTATTTTTGCCACCCTTGAACGCGATTTCTACATACATAGACTAGATTCTAATTACAGTTGTGTCATCGAGGGGATTGTAAGAGGGTTGATCAAATGGCAGGCCCAAAAGTTGAAGAAGTGACTGGAATCTGGACAGTCGACCATAGCACTGTAGTTTTTAGTCCTCTGTCTCCAGTAGGCGGTTCTGTATCCACATGACGATCATGAGGGCATTATACCGATCCATATTTGAGGGTGAACAAGGGATTTTGCATGTCCTGGGACAGTCTTTCTTTTTTTCCTTCAATATATTGCCACTTCGCTTGGTTTGGTCTCCCAATCTGGGCTCATGCTTTTTATAGCCCCTCCTAACCTCGTCGATACGACTCTCTGGTATATACAAGAGGCTCTGTCCTTCTCCATGGGCGCAAGCCGATTTTGGAGAATATTGATGGGTATTTTACGGAGCGGGAGTAGACCTACTTTGAACTAGTCTTGAAAGCGCGCTAATTCTTGCCACCTCCCTATGCATAGTAGGGTACTTTGTCTGGCCGAGGAGAGTGTGTCATAAAGATATAGTGTGTGCTCATGGGACGCAAGGCGAAGGACAAACTTCTGGGTGCTTCAAAGGGGTTTTCAGCAATTCCGTGGCGATTTCCTCCCAGATTGTTCCAGTTCTTTCTAGTACATCCAGCCCTTGGCAATATAATGAACCCAACATATTAATTCTCTGCGTGAAGGAGTCCCCGGCGGCATCACAATGGTATTACGAGGGGGCAATGTTCAGAGAGCAATTGGGAAGTAGAACTAGCACTGTTATTGTCCGGCTTGATCTTTTAAAGCCGACTCGAAGTTAAGATCAAGCGAGCTTGCTCAAGAACCTCATAGTGAACAAGCGATATCAGGATTTGTGGTTTTTGTAAACCCAGCCTGTATTAACGTTCTGATTTACTATCAAATGCAATTCGGAAGCAACCAACAAGAAATTAGTAGCAGGATAATAAAGTATTAAGACAAACCAGGAGAAACAACAGAAAGGGGGCTATCTGCAACTCCACTAATGTCTGTGAGAGAGACGACCCCTCAGCTAGCGGAAGGGCGAGGATTGCACCAGCCACACACCCCGCGTCCGTTCTTACATCATCGTACTATCTAGGATCACATCAAACTTTCGTAACCCTCTTCTGTGAATATATCACCACTCTTCTCAATTTGAGTTCTCAAGCCAAATCCCCTCGACCATGCCCTTCCTGCAAGTCGGATATAAGAAAATCCATTACACAGACTCCCAGCCTGACAACCATGAAGTGCGTGAGACATTCATCTGCATGCATGGTCTCGGCTCCTCGCAAGACTACTATCACGCGATAGCGCTCGGCCTGAAAGCCCACCACTTCCGATGTATTACCTTCGATACGACGGGCGCGGGGCGGTCGCCGTACACACAGGTTGAGCAGAGTATTGAGAGTCTGTCGGATGATATAATTGGGATTATGGACAAGTTAGAGGTGTCCAAGGCTATAGTGGTGGGGCATAGCATGGGAGGGTATGTCTGCATACAAGGTCAAGGTAGGGATGCTAATTTTAATGAATAGTATCGTAGCAGCGAATCTCGCCGCGGAACGGAACGACCGTGTCGTTGCAGCGGTGCTCATCGGACCCGTATATCCTAACCCAAACGTAATCCCGGTGTTCGAGAAGAGAATAGAGACAGTGACGAAAGAAGGCATGGAAGCTATGGCAAATACCGTGCCTTATGGAGCCCTAGCGAAGGGTGCATCTCCTCTCGTCAGGGCATTCATTCGCGAACTGCTCCTTGGCCAGGACCCGGCAGGTTATTGCAGCAATTGCCGCGTTATAATAAATGCTAAACCTCCAAATTATGGCAAGATTTCCGTCCCGATATTGCTACTCGCCGGCGAGGAGGATAACTCTGCACCACTAGAAGGCTGCACGAAGATGTTTGAGGAAATTGGGACTGGCCAGAAGAAGATGGAAGTCATGAAGGGTGTAGGGCACTGGCAGTGTGTTGAGGCCTTCGAGGAAGTGGGGAAGCAGATATTAGCCTTCTATCACGATATTCAATGATGCGATGGAGTTGGGATACGGATCCGCAGAGAAAAAGCAAAAGTGACTGCATCCTTGGCGCATGGCACAGGGAAGGAATCGGGGACATGCTAATCCTTCGGCCTGATACAAGGGCCAAGGATACGGTTTGAGGCTCCTGACTTCAAGTGCATTTGCAGCGGTCTTGGTAGGACTGAAGACCCTTATCCAACTCTGAAATTGTGTTCTACACTGCTAATTAATCAGGACTTGTTTAGATATTGCAGAACGTCTCTCTCGGTAGCATTCTTCGCCTTCTTCAATTGCTTGCTCCTGATTTCGAAGCGTAAGGCTACTGAGACCGCCTTGGATGCATCTGACTGGCCGGCGCGAAAGCCTGTGGTGTTGTGCGCCCTTGTGACAACATCATTCGTCAAGTGTTTTAGTGCAAGTCTCTCCCGAATGCGTGCATTAAGAAGCCTTGGCGGTTGGACACATGGCGTATGCAGCGGGTAAGCAGTAAGGCAAGGGACCGAATCTCGATTGCGCCAACCTCTCATAGTCCTGCTTCCACGTTCCTCCAAGCCTCAATACGTCTTTTTTTCGTGGTTTATCGGCTGCGAGTGGCGACACCGTGACTGTCGTCTTGTCTAGTCCGAACACCTCTCAGCTGCCTCCACGATGTCGTGCGTGGGGCGCTATTCGACGGACTTGAGACCCTTGAGGCTTGACTGCACGGTTGGGCCTGCCGACGAACGGTCCTGGTGACTTGTGGCCGATGTCGGTTGGGCGCTTGATTCGGTCCCTCTCGTCCGTTGCGTTGGCGGTGTGAAGGTCGAAACGAGGCTGTTACTTCATTCGACACGCCTCACGCCCTCATATGCGCTGCATCGCTTGATGGACGTCGTCACAGGTCTACCTAGAGCTTTGTGCACAGAGATCAGGCTCGTGTCCGCGGGGGGGGCATCGACATTTCTGGCATGTGAAAGAAGCAGCATCCTCAGCCCTCCTCGTGTACGGCATGGAATATGATATAACGCACGCCTAGATTCCACAAAACGTATTCCGCACTGCACTTAGTTTTCTTCTGCAGCTGCACTATTTCTACTACATTTCCAATTTCCCTTATCCGAGGATTCTCCACTCTGCAGCGTCCAACACCTAAGCGGTGAACTCAGCGAACTGACGCTTAAACCCGTGAACGGTGCCTCTGATCGTGCAGATTTGCGCTTCCCTCCCACACCTTGAAGCATCTGGGCCAACCAACAGCCTGGAGATCCTCGCTTTAGTCGTTTAGACTTACCCTCCTTTAGTCACACCTTGAACACACTGCGTCTCTTGGCACCCTCGACCTGTCCCGGCTCCCTTGCGCATTTAAGTGATTGGTGTTTTCCTTCTTTATCTTTTCCGTGGCATTCGTCTTTATCATTCTGATTTCCGGGTGCTGAAATGGCTTCGACCACTTGAATGTGTTGTTCAAGCTGGAGAAGGTAGGTGAGGTAACACTTACCCAACATAACATCCTCCCATGATCGTTACTGACCAGCAGATCAGAGAATGGCCCGATAAGGAACACTACAATACCTTTTCCGTTTCCCTCACCGTCCGTCAATCTCTTGATCTCATCCCTCTCACATGCGCCAAACATGGATCACTACCGAGTAGACAGTGGATTCGATGGATCCTACTGCTCCAATCTCTCCGAACCGGGACGACCTCTTTTGCTTCGAAGCAACACGGCCCCTACTCGTCGTCGCAAACCTAGGAAGATATCCTCAGAACCTAGTCCTAACTCGCAGTCCCCCGACATAGAGAATCAACGACCGGCTTCTGAGAAGCGCTTGAGCGGATTAAGAAGATCTGGAGAGCCACGCCGGATATCCATCGGATCCTCATCCGAACGTTCAACAATCCGTTCACGTAGACAAGGTGGTGGATCTAAGCCCTCCTCTCGTCGGACTTCCTGTACGCTCGTCGACCCATCACGACCAACCCGACATTATAGAATCAAAAGCTCCCAAACTGTCCCATCAACGAACCGTGACGTCGACGATGTTCTCGCCCTTCACTTCCGTAGTTGCAGCCTCTTCCAAAACCCTACATATCGCTCGGGCCATCATCTCCACGGTTCCATTTCCGGATACGAAATTGCAGACGTAGGGACCTTCTCGTCACGAGCTGTCCCCGTTTCAGCCCCTGCGCCACAATCAAGTGTCGACGCCATCACTACTTCGGAATCCCCCAAGCAGAGTGAAGAGACGATTGAGGCTGTGGAGCTCCCCAGCACTACCATGCACTGGACGTCGCCGAGTACGAGAAAAAGAGAGTACGAGAAGATTGATCGAGCGAACAGTGGAATACGAGGTCTCGTGAGGAGGATGCTTCCGAGATGTGTATCTGGGCCTCCACCGCCAAGATTTTATGAGAAAGACATGTCTGACGTGGGGAGTGTGAGGAGATATCGAATGGATATTACAGAGACGGATCACGATGAGGCGGAGCAGAAGAACATGGCTTTGCTGCGACATCAGCAGTGGATGGTAGAGAAGAAGCCATCCACGGAGACTACGAGCCCGAAACCGAAGTGGTGGACCTGTTTCTAAGACGAGCACGAGTATATCACGGCGGCACGAATCTGCATTTCTGAGCAGCAGCATCATGAAGGCGTTATACGATACCCACGCACATGAATCTTGAATCATGTACATATCTGCGTTATACCTTATCAGAGTACGAATTGGCTTTAGTTTATTCCCTTCGTTGCATATATACCAAGTACAGTGGAGGAGGACTTGAGGTAATAGGAAGGAATTGAATCAGACATTGCACAAGTAGGAAAGCGAAAGCGCATGTTTGTCGTTCCAAACTGTGAAGTAGTATTGACGTTGCATGGATCTTTGCCTTGTTCTACACTCGTTATGATTGTGATGGTTTCAACCAACAGAGAGATCTAATCGAGGCGCCCCAATATGTACCAAGAAATCTAGCCACTGTGTAAACACCGATCGATTCGTGTCGTCTCATCTCATCATACATCGTCCTCTGTATGCAATACTTCAACGCTTCTCCAAAAAACCTCCATTTATCCACCGTTCTATCAAGTGCGGGTATATCCGATGTCGCCGCCTCGGTCGGTGCATACGTACTCGTGACTTATAGCTTCGCCTCCTCCTTTAACGTCCCTATCTTCAGCTTCGGCGCATACTTCTTCAAGACGGTCTCGTTGTGGTACTATTCAAACTACTCGTCAGCAAAGTATCCTCCCAGCACCTTTGCACCCAACACCCAGATCTTAGGAAATATATCTAACTACAACTGAACGCAACTTACCTTCCAAAATTGCTTACTAGCATCCTTCCCCCCCACTCTCTTCAAGATCTTCGCACCTCCCGGATGTTCGTCTACGAAACTCGCCATCCCGTATACGGCTCCATCGATGATGATATAAAGACCATTGTCGACTGTATTATGCTCAGCGACTTGTTTCGCAGTTAAGGGCTCGGACATTGCGATGGCTGCGGTTGGGGTGGTTAGAGACGGATAGCGTAGGGTTGCAGATTGGAAAAGGAGTTTTTTGTCTAATTGATTAAGAGGAGGATGAGGGATTGCTGTGGAGTTGATGGAAGAGATATAGACGCTGGAGGTAGAGGAGGAGGAGAAAGAGGAGGAGGAGAAAGAGGAGGAGGAGAGAAAAATACGGGATGTAGACCACCAGCGCAGTTGACTCGGTTGGAGTGCTTGCGCTGGAGATGACGAAGATGAAATGCCGAGGTTGTGGGAGTGTGGCGTCAGCAGCTTTCACCCATGCTGTGATTGGCTTCCGGAAATTTGGGTGACATGTGGCTTGCTATTCCGGGGCCACCGTGTTCAGCATGCGAGGATAATGAAGTAGTTACCAGTTGGGAATTGGTTGATGTGATGCATGATACCAGTTAATGAAATCAATGCAACGTCCTCGAACATGGTGTTACTTTTCAGGTTTACAGCATCCATTATTCTATTCGTGCAAGAAATGGGACAAGATACCGAAATGCACTACGAGTTCCTTGATCAGTGCATCCTACATCAAAAGATAAGTATGCAAGAAGAATGGTTGTCAACTGGGTATTAGCTGAATCAGCCTTGGTGCAGCCAGAAAATCAAGGGAGTTTAAAACAGAGTTAGAAAATGGAAGGAATGATAAAGAGTAAGATCCATACACCGCCCATACATGCACATAGAAGATCCCAGCCCTTCATAGCCTTGAAAAGCATAGTTACATAAAGCATACCTACATTAAGTATGTGTACCGAAACTTATACGCCCGTGGAAAACCCATCCCTTTCCCTAATAAGACCTCTATCCTATCCAACTGAATGCGGTTAATTTGGTCCACCTGCACCGGCTTCTCCTTTGCCCTCGCCGCCACCGAACCAACCTGCAATCCATGAACCCCGATTTGCAGCCTTTCGTGCTCGCATGGCTTCTTCTTCGTTCTGGACAAGACGCAGAGGGCGCATTTGCTTGCCTGTCATGACACCGCCAGCTGAGGTGTTGGTGTGTCGAGGTGGGCTAGGAGCTTCGACGCTCGACGCACTATCTCCCTCCCTCTCTTCCTGAATGGATACGCCGGTAGATGGGACTCTGGATCCAGCGTTACTTGCTTGATTAGCCCCAATCGGGATACCAAAAAACGAATTGCGCGGGGACACTAGGCCAGGAGATGTCTGACCAGGAGCCGCGGCTGCAGGCGGGTTGCGATACATGTTATTGACAACGTTGGCAGCGGCAGGATTCGGCCATTCAGAGGTGGAGCGTCGGTGTGAGTAGCTCCCACTGGACATCCTAACGGACTGAGAACGCTGCAGAGGAATGCTTGGAGCTGTTGAAGGGTCTTCATTGACAGTGCTAGTGCTGGTTCCGCTAGGGGCTTGTATTTGACTGATTGGACGTGGCTTATTCCGACCTGCCCCCATGGCGACAGACTTGGCGCGCTGCAGAAGGGATGGCTGTTCGTTTTCCTTCGATGGAGGCGGTGGAGGAAGTTCTTTGTTAGTGTTAAGACCCTCGGCAGCATCGTCCGTGCCTAAGACAGACTCAAAGCCTTGATAAGTGAGGAGGCGGCCGATGATCTTGTTGATATAGAGGGTTAAAGCCTTGTTCTGGTCTTTCAAACCATTCACTTCGGCTTCGAGTCGGCGAATGGCATCGCCATCAGCGCCTTCTGCGGATTCGAGTTCGTCAGCAAGACTGGTGGACGGACCGTTACGGGACGGGGCGCGTTCCTCGGGATGGGACGTGTGGCGTAAGAAGTCGCCGCGACTAAGATCTCCGTTGAGGGTCTTCTCACTGAGGAGGAGTTGGAAGCTCTCATTATCTTCCATGAGGCGGGCATTAGTCATCCGGGTCTCAAGCAACTGTTTCTCGAGTTCTTGCATGCGACCTCCACCCGCATTTTCCATTTCAACAAGCTTGATTTGTACCTCGGCTAGCTCGAGGCGCAAGCCCTCGATGATCTTGTCCTTCTGGTGGATAAGCTTGGAATTGTTTCGGGAGTTGCTTCGTTGTATCGAAGACGGAGGTGCAAATTGGCCGGAGCTTTCGAGGTTTTGCGATGAACTGTTGCGAGAGGGATTGTTGCGGAAGCTCGCTGTGACATGTTAACGGCTGATTCGACAGCATCAAGCATAGCGGACATGGTAGAAACTCAGTACTCACATGTCCGTGATAAATGGCCTTCCTCTCCGTCGCTGTTCTGGACATTCTTCATCGCCATTGTCTCCTTCAACCGCTGGATCGTCTCTTGCATTTCCTCCTCCTTAGCCTGCGCTTCTTCCTTGTCCTTCATCGTCTGTGCGCGCTCTGCCTCATAGATACCCTCGAATTCGCGCTGCTGCCTCGTGAGCTCCCGCTTTTCGTTCTCGAGCACCTCGACCTTCTCCTCTTCTTCGTGCGCTCGCTCCTCGAGCTGTGCCTGTTCCTTGAGCGCATCGTCTAGCCTAGAGTTGAGGACGTCGACCTGTTTCTGACGCTCCTCTGCCTCCGACTCGGCTTTCTGTAACCGCTCCTTTAGATCTTGCAGATAGGCCGCTGCTTCTTCGCGGGCGTCGTCACCTCCATCATCGACCTGCGACGAGAGCGCTGACGGCGCGCCTGGCTTCCTGACCGCAGCACGCGCAGAGACGGGTGTGCCAGTGTTGCTTGACCTGACTGACCGTGTCCTCTGTACGCCGTTGGGTGTGCTTGTTGGTGTAGCGGCTCGGGCAGGGGTGCGGTTTGCGATACCAGGAGAAGCTGACGATCTCGTTGCGGAGTCCCGCCCGGGCGTGCCTGGCGGGGGTGGTTTTCTCGCTGTAGTCGACGACATGTCGCTCTTGTTCGCGGAAGCTGAAACGTTTGTCTATCGCAACCTCGGTCTGCTGTTGTCAACGGATATTAGGAAATGATGTCTGAGCTGAGATCTCTGCTCCAGAAATAGAAAACAAACGGTTGTCGTGAACAGAGAACCTGTTTCCCCACCTACGCAGACGTGGCTGAGGGCTTGGCACAGTTGAAGAGACACCGGGTTGCTTTTGGACAAGACGTCAGGTCGGTGTTGATCTGGAGATGCAATGCGACGTGTTGACGAGGGTAGAAAAGTGGCAGTGTAACGCGGTCGTGGCGTTTCATGGGGGTGTTTCGCATAAAATCACCGTTACTTTCTCCCAAGTACCCTGCATTAGCTGCCAAGCCAGTTCTGGCCTCATTACGAGAGTTCTCTAGCGCCGGAAAAGGAAGGACAGTCACTCTCACCACAAGCAGACATGAATCTATCGAAGAGTCAACATTTCTAGAAGTAATCAAGGTGATGAAGTCCTCCCCCAAAATCGCACCCCAAAGTTCTTCGTCACTCTGATATCAGTGAGGATTTATGCTAATGAATCCAACATCAACCGCGTCCCCTTTATGACAACTGAACCTGCTACGCCGCTCTGGTGATGACCCTGACGCTAAGACCGTGGTATTTCGGGAAGAAACGTGGTGTGAACATGTTTCCGTGACACGTTGATTCCTTCCTTCTGTCCCTCGTGCTTTCTAAGGCAACACGTGCTACCGCCGCTGCTAATCCTGGATTCACGACCGCAGCTTTGTGATCTTCCCGCTCATGAAGGACTCAAGCAGTCTATATATTGTTTCACAATTGCATGCAATTTATATCCGCCACCTCTGCGAATGGCCCGCGGCCTAATATCACTTTAGTAATACATTTGTTCGTCTGAATTCAAATTATTCTCCACCCCTCCTTTATATCTTCCTCTTACCGAATACCCGGAATCTCTTGACTCCTCCGTCCGGTATGATGACTAACTTAAGGTGGCTATACCTCTTTCCCTTGACTTCCCTTAGGACGTCTTGGCCATACTCATGCTCTTTATCCGGTCCTGTCTTCTGAGGACTGAGAACCTCAACCCAGCCCGCATCATCGTGCTTGGGGTCCCTTTCGAAGTCTCCGGCGAAGACTTGTACCTTCTGTGGGAAATTGCCTCGGAAATGGGCTGTATCAACGACGATACGGTCCACCTCCCCCTTCGCACCGAGCCGCACAATGGTCCAATCCGTATGGGGGCCTCTCGTCCTCTTTGTCTCCCATCCATCTCCCATGTCCTTCCCCCGCCCCGGAAGAAGCAGGTTATCTTTCGTTCCGAAATGTTGATCCGAACAACTGATCGCCACGCCACCCATGACTGTTGCAGACAGCTCGAACACTTCATCCACACTCTCTGGGAAAACCGGCACTGCATTGCCATACAGCCTGAACCGAGCAATGCCACCATCAGGATACATCAGCAGCCTGACATGCGTATATGCCTTATCTGTGAGCTTTTCTAGCATCCACCCATGCCTCTGAGTCGGTCCACACTCCTGTTTGCTCAGTATCGTTTCCCATCCCGCATACTCGGCCTTCTTTACCTCCTCGTCTTTCTCATTGGCAACGAAGCAGCCTTCAACAGCGACTTCTGGGGCATGGTTGCCATTAAAGAACGCAGTATCAATCTCTACCCCTGCGACTTTACCACTGGCAACACCAAGGCGGATGACGACCCAATCAGCGGGGTCTGTGTTGTGGCGTCGTGTCTCCCAACCATCGTACCAGGCGCCAGCATGAGTAAAGACACCTGGCTTGCGCACTGGTGGCGTTGGTGTGATAAGGTTTGAAGCGCTGGCAAACCACTCGTCGCTGAATGAGAGAATTTGTGACCCCAGGGAAGCGGAGATGAGATCTATAAACTGTCAGTAAATTGCTCGGCTCGTCGAAGCTGGGGCTTAGAAATGGAGCTCACCGGTGTACTGGGATTTGAACGTGGAGTCAATCTGATCAATGGGAATGACGCGTGTCTGCGAACTAGAATTAGAACTTGCAGTCTCCGTGACCTCGTCAGGGGAAAGGGTGCGGATTTCCATAGTCCTAGGTAAGATATGGCGGTTCTTAGATTCAATCGACACTGTGCTAGACCGAGCAAAAGGGCATTTGGGAGAGCAAAAGAAAAAAGTGAGGGGAGCACGCGAGCTTTCGTATGAATACACATTTGTACGGCGGGGTAGTGGGGTGCCTCCGAGAATGGCAATCCGGAGCCCGCCGATCGAAGGGAGCTAGGAAAGCACCGATACCGCAAGGGAGAAGGTGAGATTGGGAGTTTTGGAGAATGAGATTGTGATGAATGACCTGAAATTTCCTAAGTGAGGCCTGGCCTCTATGGTGACAAAACGAAAGGTAAAATACACGTCCTGGTCGGATATCAAGCATGAAATCTAAGAGAGGAATCGCGAAAATAGACTCTGGTTGCAGGTCTTCTCGAACGTACATGAAGGATCCAATTCCGTTGCATTCCTATGCAACTATCTTAGGTAGAGATATATAGAAAGATTTCCCTCTGACCGCTGAATTCCCATGCGCCTTAACGGATGCTATGTGCCACGCTGAATCCAATTCATCCAAGCTCATAATCATCCCTACTGCGAGCTGGACTGCCTGTCCTCTTATTGCCGCTGAGTGCCTCGCACGATGCTGCGGCTTGTTTGCCATTTTGTTGAAAATGCCGCTGGAGCAAATCTCTATCTTCAACTATAATTTTGCTCTTCCCACCGAGTATCATTATATAGGCCTCCACCATTCTTGTTTCCGCTGAGATCTAGCTTGGAGAGAAACTCTGGTGGCACAGTGGGAAGGTACTTCCTTTCTCGCTCTTTATTCATGCCGCCAAATCCAGCACCATAGCTTATAAGCATATCTGTGGAGGTGGGAAGAGAGAAGGGTAACATGTACGAAGGATCGAGTAAAAGATCGTCTGGAGCGTCGTCTCTCTCGTCCTCCGAATTTCTTGACGGAGCAGGAGAGGGCGAGTTAATTGGCTGAGAAGTTGGTTTGACTGGCGTTGACGGTGTTGACTCGGGAGCCTTTTGCTGAGGGTTGGGAGACGCGCCTAATGACTCCCGGCCTCTCCTCGCAGCCTTCCGCTCTGCGGCAGCCTTTTGTAGATTGGTTATATATTTTGAGGCACCCTTCGACAGTCCCTTTTCGCCAACTTCAGCCCTGTAGTATTTTGCTGCGTGAAGCAACTGTTGGGGTGTCAGCCGAGGTAGCTGCTGCAACGTCCCAATCAGAGACTCTATGTCCTCGCCCAGTGAAGAGAAGCATTGCAGCCATTGTAACAGTTGGACGAGGGGCTCGAGATGGCGCTTTGCTAACTCCACCGTGTTATCGCCTGTCGATGTCATGGAACCGTTCTCGAAATGCTCTGGTTGACGATTGTTCGATCGCGCCCAGTCTTCCAGTGTGGAAACGTTCATTCGGATTTGCATTGCTTTTGTGCGTGCAAGGTATTTCCGATTAGACATGATGCGGTTGAAGAGCTCCGCCGAGAGCCAATAGGTTAATTGTGAGAGAATTTGTGCAGTGATAACAGAGTGGATGTCGTACAGATCAAGGACAAAGAGTGTCGATGAGAGGAGCGACGTAATATTTCGAGGTGAAGGCTGCATTCTCCGCTTAGGGGAGGGGGGACGGAATCGCTTCTCAAGAGGCTCGGGTGGCTTGACCTTAGTTTTTGTTCGAAATATTTTCCATTCGTGCTGGAAGTGAACGTCCTCAAAACCAGGGATGGTCTCATGGTCGAGCATGGCCTGGTCCAGACATTTATCCATCCTGCGCTCTGCGTCGCGGATGATCAATATGAAAATCTCATTGATGAGTTCCACTAACTGTAGCTGAAATTCAGTAGTCGCTTGTACAAGACCAGCATCTTTCTTGAGGTAGTGTAGTAGAAGGGTAGCATTGGACATCCAAAAGGCTAGGATCGTCATGTCCCATTGGTGCTTTTCCACGACATCGTTGATCTTGTCCATGGCAGAGATGAGAAGTGTCTCTAAAAGCTCCGGACTGGAGTGGTAGAAGGCGTAGCGAGCGCTGAGGAATAAAATATTAGCGGGTACGGGTTTCTGTGACGGCGATCGCTGAGGCGTCATATTGGTGATGATGATGTTAAGAATGCGTTCTAATTCGCTCTCCTGGAACACAAACATCTGGTCGTTGAGACACCGATCCCAGACAAACTCTTGCGCTTCTTCCTGTTCCTCAGGCGACTGGGGATGTTAGAGTCGTCACATAATCACCTGGAGTGTGTGCTTACCTCTGGCTGCTCGTCGAGGCCCAGGTTGCCCAAGTCAACTTCGAGATTGATGGCACTCTCCATCATCATTCGACGTTTCATCTCGTTTTCGGCCATCTCTTCCTCGAAACGGTCCTGCGAGAAGCCAGAATTGTAGAAGTCATCTGCTACACCTGCGTTGCCGATGGTGTAGCCACTTTCATGAAGATAATCAGAAATTTCGCTGTTCGGCTCTACAAAGTCAAACGCGGTCCTTCCGGTCGAAGATTTGACTTCAGGGGAAGCTCCGTGCTCCAGAAGGAGTTTTACAATTTCTTTGTGTCGGTTGGTCATAGCCCACATCAGTGAACTCCAACGGTTCTTATCCTGTTTGTCGACGTCGGCTCTGGCCTGAATCAACGTTGCCACAACATCTTCGTGCCCAAAGCAACTTGCGTAGACTAGCGGAGGCGTCCCCTCGGCATCAACGGCGTCGATGTCAATGTATTCTCTAGCCTTCCCATTGAGGAGCCGCTGAACACGGTCGTTCTCTCCGTTTGACGCTGCAAGAGTCAACAAACCCTGGAGGGCCTCGCGTTTCTCATCGTCAGACAGCTTTTCGTCGGCCACTACTTTTGCCTCATCACCGTTGCCGGAATTGTCATTTTTCAGCCGCGCCTGGTGTGCGAGCATCTGAACCAACCGACTGTCGCTGTCCTCCAACTGCTGGATGTCCTCATCGCCGCCAAAGGTAGGGTCATCCAGGGATAGGTTGAAGCTTAGCGGTCTCGCAGGCATCGGAGTCGTGAGGAATTGCGATTGTCCTGGGTGGGCAGTTAGAATCCCTCAGGTCAATTGCTACTAGTTACCACGCTCACCTTGCCACGCATCATAAATCTCTGTTTCTTCTCCCATAATGGGTACCGCTCTCCTATCATCCAGCGAGGTAGGAAGATCTGAGGGCAGTTGTCGAGGCTTTGGTGGGTCGCCTGTGTAGGCATGCTCTTCGGTTGGGGAATCCATGATGCAACATTGGAAGGAGCTGTTCCGCTAGTGGGCTGCGTATATTTGTGCACTAGGGCGTATGGACGCTCTACCGCCTAAACGCACGGCTATCTTGTGTCTTTCGTGTGTGTCGAAGGGGGACCAGTCCGCAGGTCCTGGTAGGGCTGCAGTGGAGGACTCGAGGCACAGGCAGGATTCACCACGCCACTGTACGCGGGTCGGGCCGGTCAGTCGGAAGGCAAGCCCATGACGAAGGCAGTGAATATGTTGGGCTGGCTCAAGGAATACGAAGCACCAAAACCTGAAGCTCCCTTGCCAACGAGACGTGATGTCGTCTCGGTGATGGTTGCTGCCGACCTTGGCGTGCCCCAATCAGCGGGGTGGTCGCAGGCTTCTCTTTATGGTTTGGCGGGTGCTTACATGAGGCTCCGCATTGAAGCTTGTGGTGGCTGAACCCATCACTAAGCACAGGCAAGCACAGACCGACCATCGTCATTCTCGCGCCTCCACGGCTCTGGATGTGAAGTTACTCTCCATCCCTTCGGAAAGCCGTTGACTATGAGCGTAGCGAAGCCCCTCTGTCCGTGACTTCTCCATCCGGAATCTGTATACAGCAGCCCTACCCGCCACAGACCATGACTTGACCTCGAGGGTATTAGAGATTTTGGACCATGGTTATCCCGGAAGTGGACTCGGCACGGGGATCAAGCTTCTCGCAGATACCCCCGAGGCTGTTGGAGCTTCCCAACTATATCTGGGATTCAGAGATAGAGCCTTTCCACTCGGTACGCTACTCCTCCAATCTGAAGGACCTTCCCGCTTATACACTTCGCATAGTCTTATGATAACTGGCACTTCTTTGGAGTCCAGAAAGCTACGCGCGAGCGGCCCATCTCTAGAGGTCCCAACGCGGTCAATTCATCGAAATCCCACTCTCCTGACTCAAGCCGCCCGGCCCTTTCTAGAAGTCATAAATCGTCTGGGAGCGATGTCAGCGCCTCCACAAGCCATACCGATGCGATAGACCTGCCTAAAGATAGACCTGTAGTATGTCGCGTATCTCGCCATGCCCTGCGCTTGGAACGTGAATTCCAACTTTCAAAGGTAAGCTAGTCGTGGAAGAGGAACCCACCCTGACTCCGCGGAGACTTCTTTCTGTGGGTGGGATACCATCTGATTTTGGCAAGCGTCCACCCGCTCTCCATATGTCGACTCCACAAGAGTATCTGCACTACGTTTAGCATTGACAACGCTTGAAAAATATCTTTAGTCAAGCAAAGCGCTAGTGCAGAACGTCGTGAACATTGTGGATGCTTGTCAGAATTTGTTGGCCATCGTGGAAAGGTCAACTCCCCCTGAGAGGCGAATGCTTACGATTACCAGCTTATTGTAAGTCGCTCCGACCCGGACTGCAGGCACTTTGCTCGCCCTATTGAGTTCCTGAGATTGCCTCCGAAACATGGGAACTCGGAGCCTTTGGTCGTCAGCATTTTCGAAGCTCCTGGCCCAAATTATTTGAGAGACATAGTGGAATTTGGCCCCAACGCGTATAGGGTGATTGGCAAGGATAATAATTGGGAATTCGCGCCGTTCCGTCCAGGGCAAGAGGGGATTCCCCTTCTTATATTTCTTGACTTCGCAGTTGGAGCTACCGAATGCCTAGAAATTCTCCACCATGGCAATCACTTGGTATGCTCTTGTTTTTTGTCCCGTCGTCAATGGCAACTCCTACTTAAGGAAAGCACTGCCAGAAGTATTTCTCAAATCTATGCTAATGAAACTTAAACTCAGACCCACGGCGAGATTCGCGGAGATGCCTTCCACTTCAATCACGAAAATGGCGTCGTTAAGATGATCAATTTTGGGAGCGGTTCCAGGTCTTTTGAGAATGGCTTAACGAGTGCGGGATGGTCCACCCTCAGTCGCGAAGTTGGTGTGGAGGTGAAGCTCTCATTTATTGCTCCGGAACAGACTGGTCGTCTGCCGGCTGAGCCTGATAGGTACGTCGACAACGATAAACAAGGTACCTTTCTAATGTACAACAGCCGGACCGATATTTACAGCCTGGGGATATTGTTCTACTCGATGCTGTGCTCAGAGCTTCCATTCGTAGGAGAGAACACGACACCTCTCGATGTGATGCAAAACGTTTTAAGTAAGCGAATACCCCCGGTTTCCTCGAAACGAATGGATATCCCAGAAGTCCTATCTTCCGTTATCCAACGCATGACTCAGAAAAATATTGAGGAAAGATATTACTCAACATCAGGCCTGAAATACGACCTTATTCGAATTCGAGAGCTCTTGTCGGAGGGCGATAGTGAAGGCTTGAAAACGTTTCAAGTCGGCACGAAGGACATTAGCTGTTTCTTTAACCTGCCTCTGAAGCAAATTGGGCGCGAGAACGAACGCAAGATAATTGTGGATGTAATCGAACGCGTCTCCAAACGTCGGCGACATTCTCCACGTTTTGGCAAGGGTTTCAATAGCTTGAGCTCCAGTTCCTCTTATTCAGACCCTCGGATGGAGACTAGCCAACTCGACGATATTATCTCCGACAGTGCGAGCTCTAGAGGCTCCGACAGCAGAATAAACAGTGTATCTGGGCCTGTGTTCATGGATGCAGCCAGATCGATCCAGCAAAAATCGCAAGACAGCATGGCCCAGTCAGAAGGTTCTATTGCAGAGGACACTCCAGAAACGCGGCCGTCATTGGGATCCCGATTCTCGGGCGACGCCCGGCCCTCCAATAATAGCATAGACGGCTCTCTATCGTTGTCGCGTTCAAATCAGACTGTTGCGTCGGATGGCTCAGCATTGCGTAGGAATGCATCCACTGCTTCGAGGCTAAGACGACGGACTCGTTGTGAGGTCATCACGATTGCGGGGGCTACAGGTCTAGGAAAATCCCGTCTAGTGCAGAGCATACAGACCGCAGCCCGAAGTCATGGCTACTTTGCTTCGGCAAAGTTTGGCCAGGCAAAAAAAGGGCCATTTGAACCCATCCTAAAACTGATGTCATCCCTATTCCGACAAATATTTTCAGAAGCTGACGTGTCGACTGATTTTCACAACAATCTCAGGAACCTTTTGAAGAATTCAGGTGTTTGGAATGTCCTTCACACGTATCTCGATCTCCCGGAGTGGTTACTTTCTGCAGGAGGCACTCCGCAAACCCCGCAACCACGAGATGTTTATATGACCAAGCATTGCCACCGACGGGCATCCTCGCCTGCAATACACTGCGGAAGCGCAGGGAATACTGCGGCAGATTGGCTTCGTTCAGGTATTTACACTGTTTCTGCACTCCCCCGTAACTACCTGAAACTAACTCTCGATTCTCAGGCGGTTCCTCAAAATCCTCTCGATTTATGAACACGTTTCTCGAGGTTTGTACTAAAATTCCTGTCTCAATTTACCTTCAATTACTTACAACTGCAGGTCCTGCGTCTCTTAGCTATGCAGAAAATGTGCATATGGGCCCTGGAAGATTGCCAGTATTCGGATCCTGAGAGTGCTGAACTCATTCATCACATTGTGCAAGCCAAGCTTCCAATAACTATGATTCTGACCTATCGAGAAGACGAGGCTCTAACTAAAGAGCTACGGTCCCTCTTGCCCATGACAACCAAAATACAATTGTTGCCGTTCACTGAGGCGCAGACAGCTGAGTATGTGGCGGAAACTTTACACCGAGACCAAGAGTATATTCTCCCTTTAGTTGCCGTCATCCAAGAGAAGAGCAGAGGGAACTTATTCTATATCCGGGAGATCTTGGATACCTGTTATCGAAAACACTGCGTGTTCTATTCCTGGCAGGAGACTGCATGGCAATTTGACCTCGACAAAGTCTTTGAAACGTTCGAGAGCCCGGAGTATGGATCTTGTATCAATTATGGAGACGTGATCGCCAAACGTCTGCAGGAGTTATCCTCGCCCGTTCGAAAGCTCCTTGCCTGGGCCTCCCTAGTCGGCGGGGCCATATCATTCCACCTGATGAAGAAGCTGCTAAACGCTGAGACAGCCCCCAAAGATGCAGCCGGACTTCCAACTCTACGTGACTCCGAGGACCCTGTCTCTGCACTTCAAGGGGCTTTAGGAGCGTACATTCTCATGCCAGCAGATGATGAGGACAAATTCCGCTTTTCACACGACCGGTATGTTGGAGCAGCTATGGATTTAACAGAAGTCCATTGGGATACGAAGATGATGCACTATGTTCTTGCGAAAGTCATACTGGAGGAGAGTTTCCAGGACGAACCCGGTTCGAAAGCTCTCTACATGCGGAGCCGGCATATTTGTCTAGCCGTCGACCTGATAAAATCAAAGGAAAGCAAGAGGGCACCGTTCCGCGACGTGCTTTACCAAGCCGCAGAGACCGCCTGTGAGTCTGGCGCTAGATCGACGGGGTGTTTCTACTACGCCCATTGCCTGCTGCTTCTCCAAGAGGATCCATGGGATGAGGGGAAGCCCGACGTTTCCTATCAAGAGACACTACAGCTATTCGTGAGATCTGCCGAGTGTTATTGGCACCAGTCAATGTTCGACGAGGCTCTAGCTTTGATCCGGACAACGTTCAAAAAGGCAAAAGATCCTGTCGATATGGCTAGTTCATTCATCTTGCAATCCCGCGTTTACGCCATACGAGGGGATAGCTTCGGGGCTTTTCAGGCTCTGAAGGACTGCTTATCCCTGGTAGGGAAACCAATTCCAGATACCACATGGGAGCAATGCGATGCCGACTTCCAGGAACTTTGTGCACTGCTGCAAAGTATGGACAAAGAAGAGCTGCTGGCAAGGCCAACCTCCGAAGACCGCCTGGTAATTACAATGGGTCCAGTTTTTATAGAACTTCTCAGCGCTGCATTCTGGAGTAATTCGTTGCTCTTCTACCAAGCCACTTTGAAATTGGTTGGAGCACATTTACGCCGGGGAAATTTTTCACAGGCCGCACTCGGCTATGTTCACCTAGGCTCGATTGCCGCTGGTCGCTTCAACATGATTGAGTTTGCAGTTGAGGCTGGTCATATTGCACAGCGAATGTTTTCCATGTATCCTGATGATCACTATACCTTTGGAAGAGGCCAGACGCTGCAGTCGTTGTTCTTAGGGCACCTTGAATCTCATGTAAACGATCAGATCCCTGCTCTGAATGGCAAGTACACCTTTTTGCTTCTGCATCTATGTTTCTTCTGTTCCCTTATCGCCATTGGCGATTCCAAGCTGGCACCGAGCCCTGAAATATGGCTCGACAATTCAAATCGTGCTGTAAGGCGTTACTTGCCTTTAGCTAAACGCACTCTAGTACTAGATATTGGCCTACGATTGATATTGGAATGCCTCCGAACTAACGTAATGCAGATGCAATGGAAGCGTCTGTAATGGCCGGTGACCGCATCCTTTCTCTCCTCAATTTGGGCGTAGTAGCCCACTTCAAGCAGATGGCCTCACACGATCTTGCAGAACTCGAAGCGTGGATTGACGAAGCTCCGCTAGAATTTCGGAACTGGCAACGAGATCTCCGAGGAGGTGTATTCTTAATTGGAGTGAGACAGTACGCGCGTGCCTTACAGGGGAAGACTGCGATCCTGACAACGGATGTCTTGTCCGACCAAGAACACAACAGCTCAGCGTACCTCGAATTTCTGGAGAATTCTGCAAGCAATCCCAAACGCCCGAAGACATTTTATCTTAGCCAAAAATTGCCAATCTTGGTGCTATACGGACACATTCAGGCCGCAGTCACCCTAGGCGAGCAATTACTTCCAATGATAAATAGTTTGTGGTGCCAGCGGATGGTCTACTCCAATCTCTTCTATCTCTCTTTAGCGTACCTTACGCTCTTGAGAGAAAACCCAGAAAGTCGCGAAGCGAACCGCTACCTAGAATTCGTACAGGCTGCAGCCAAACGAATGGAAAACTGTAGTGTCATCAACGATGTCAATTATCGCTGTTGGATTTCGCTGCTTCATGCTGAGCTTGCTTGCTTCCTAGGAGACGCCTCGGCTGCAGTACCCCACTACGAAACAGCCATGGACCATTGTGAAGTCCACAGCTTCACTCTCGACCAAGCACTTTCGTTTGAGCTATATGCAGAGTTTCTTGTTCGAAAGAAGGCCCTACGACCCGCTCGACATGTTCTCAAAGACTGTATATCAACTTATCGAAGAGTATCAGCCTGGGGCAAGGCCAATGCTCTTACTAATAAGTTTGAATGGCTACTACGCGGCACAGCGTCTCTGAGCACCATGGATGTAGCTGTGCAAACCACTATCATTGATACTGGAAACACACCTTATCGACTTGAACAGAATGAGGACCAGGAGGCTCGGCTCTTGGGAGCAGAGAGTGCTGTCGATAGAACGCATGCATGGATTGCGCCCGGTTCCGCACCCGCTTCTGGAAAGCGACCTGATGCTCAACAAGATCTCCAAAGTGGCTTCTCCGCAGTGGGTTTAGATATGCTTGACCTTGCGTCGCTTCTCGAAAGCCAGCAGGTGTTATCGAGTGAGCTGAAGATCGACAAGCTGTTGGCGAAGATGGCGGAAATCATCCTGGAAAGTACCGGAGGAAGTCTGTGCGGGATCGTCATAGAGGACAGCCAAATCGAGTGGAGCATTGCGGCAGTTGGGACGCCTGACGATGGTATCACTTCTTTCCCCGGCGGCCAACCATTAGACACTGTCGATGATCAAGTTGCAAGACAAATAACCCTTTATGTTCTGCGCTTCCGAGAGCACGTCTTCGTGCAGAACCTTCTCGAAGACGATCGTTTTTCCAATGTGTCAGAGTCATATCTGAACCGGAATCCGGATGGAAAGGCCGTGATCTGTGTCCCTATTATCCATTCGGATCGTATGATTGGATCGATTTATGTCGAGGGTGCGCCAAATTCCTTTACAGAGAGAAACACGAATGTTCTAAAGTTGCTAACATCTCAAATTTCTATCTCCCTCGCAAATGCGCTCTTATTCAAAGAAGTCGAACGAGTATCAGCAAGCAACAAAGCGATGCTCGAGATGCAGAAACGAGCGCTTGCACAAGCCCGAGCAGCCGAGATCAAGGCCAAGGAGGCCGAAGCAATTGCAATTCGAAACATGAAACTCAAAGAGGAGGCTGCAAGAGCAAAGTCGCTCTTCTTAGCAAACGTCTCCCACGAACTTCGGACCCCACTGAACGGAGTCATTGGCATGAGCCAGCTCCTACAGGCCAGTCCACTAAACACCGAGCAAGCCGGTTACGCAGACAGCATAAGAGTTTGCGCTGATACTCTGCTATCGATCATCAATGATCTCCTCGACTATTCGAAACTAGAGGCGGGGAAGATGAATGTCATCTCTATGCCTCTATCGCTGAATGAAACGATCACCGAGGTTGTCCGAGCTCTAGCATATACAAACGCTGAGCGAGGGCTAAAAACGGTCGAGCAGCTGGAGCTCAATCCAGAGATATTAGTTATGGGAGACCCAGTTCGGCTTCACCAAATCCTGATGAATCTCTTGTCCAACAGCTATAAATTCACGCATAAGGGATCTGTTACTATCCGTGCTGTAGTCGACCAAGAGGCCGACGATACGATCGACGTCACCTGCAGCATCATCGACACTGGCATTGGCATCCCCGAAGAACAAAAGAAGAAACTTTTCTTGCCATTCAGCCAAATCGAATCATCAAGTTCGAGAAGCTACGGTGGCACTGGTCTAGGCTTAAGCATCTGCAAAGCGCTTATAGAAAACGTGATGGGTGGCAAAATCTGGCTCGAAAGCACTCCTGGAGTTGGAACAAACGTCTCTTTTGCTCTCCGCTTCCAAAAGGTGCCGATAGCCGAAGCTGCCAATCGTCATTGGACATCCAGGGAGCCGGACCCTATGGCGAAGTTCTCGAGTCAGGAGAATAATGGCCATAAGCGGTCGTCTGGAGAATGCATTGATCTGTCGAAAATTCCGCGGAACGAGCTCAGAATTTGCATTGCAGAGGACAATCTCATCAATCAGAGGATTGCAATTAGCTTTGTGCAAAAGCTCGGCTTCAAGTGCGACGCTTACCTTGATGGTTTCAAAACTATCGAAGCGCTTGAACGAGGAATCCGGAATGACCGACCTTTTCACCTCGTGTTGATGGACGTTCAAATGCCTCACTGTGATGGCTACGAAGGTAACCGATTAGTTCCTATCAATTAGACGAGACACTGACAATGAAAAGCGACACGATTGATTCGCAAACACGAGGACCCCGCCATCAGAAACATTCTCATCGTTGCGATGACTGCTAGCGCAATTCAGGGGGATCGCGAGAAGTGCCTTGATTCTGGCATGAACAACTATCTAGCCAAACCTGTACGGTAGGTTTCCCGATTACCTTTTCGTCTTTTGCTTGGATGGTTTCTGATCGTTTACTAGGGCGCAAACTTTGAAAGCGTTGCTCGAATCATACCTGTCAAAAGAGCAGGACGATGTTCCAAATCTGGAGCAAGAAGCTAATAAGATGGTCAAGGATGCGCTATCGCAAGCACAAAAGCAGGACAATGCAGGAAAGGATATGGGCAACGAACGGAATGAGGATCGAAAGGAGCATTCTCGGCCCCGATCCGTGAGGATGAACACAACGCAGCGATTTATCCGAGAGACGGGGACTACGAACAGCAATTCCGAAACTAACTCGAAGTAGATCGGGGAACAGATAGTGAACGATACCACGATGACAGTTGCTGTAGGCTTTTTTGTTGGATCCTACATATCATTGTCAGGAGGTCTTTTGTTAAATCATTACGACTTTAGCAATGGAGGCGATTGCATCGCATGGCGCTTCTGACTATATCCATGAGTATATAGGATGGATTTTTAGGGTGGTAACGGGAGGCAGGTTTTGTCAGGTAACACGAGCATATATGGATGTTAGGTATTCGTTCCATACCAGCGCGTGTCATTGTAAACAGGCATTGGGGACTTGGTAACACGGATGAACGTCATTTCCTGGAATGAGAATCCTTTTTATATACTGATTCGTATTGCAACAGCAGTAGTATGGGATAGGGTGCCTCTCCACTTTTACGAGATGATTATTGGTACCAATTGCATGCGAGATTGGCTTCGATTAGTCTAGCCAATCGCTAACAGCCTTGCCGTACTGTGCAACTGTTGACTTTGCAGGGGACATACGTATAGAACCAAACTGCCGCATCTAGAAAGTAGAAGTTGAAAGAAGCTTTTTGGTAGCATGTTTTACGGTTCAAACCTATCAGCCCAGGCCCTCACAGCCCCGTCTTAGCGTCAGCACTTATCCCAAACCAGAAATTACCTCGGCTGCGGGAACTGGGATTTGTCGACTCGGCCAGCGGAGCTCGAATCTGCAAGAGAGGGGAAGCGGAGTTCTTGAGCATCAATTCATCCCCTGCTTCAGTTTACTTCTCGAAATCAAGTCTATCTACTTCAAGTCTACTTGGTCAACATATCACGACCTTCAACGTCGAGAATGGCATACAAGAATCCTCTTCTTTTGGCGACGGCAATTGCGCATGGAGTGCTGAGCTTGGGACATACTGTACGTCTTCGTGCCCATTTTTACGAATCTTACCTCTCTTAAATGTTATATATCATGGAATCTCCGGACTTCAACTGATTTTCTACGTAGACGAAAGGCCTTGAGCAATTCAAACATCCCTCTCTCAACACCCTGCCTAAAACCCTCCTTGGTGCCTGCAAGGCAGGATGGTATGAAGGCAGCATCTTCTTCGCCATCATAGGTAAGGCGTCTTTCTATGCTGCTATTCCCCTGCAAATTTTATTTATCCCAGCCACTTGAATGGTCTCTTTTCTACATCTTTGGTTTGTAGCGTGCTGTCTCGTCTAGCGTTCCCCCAATCCCATCCTTCATCCTGTCGACTCCCGACGCTGTCCTAACATATGAACTCTACTTCACTTCTCCGTCAATCTGTTTTTCTGCCTTCTTAGCTTTTACCTTCGTTCGATTCGAGCTCCTCCCTCTTTCATTCCGCACCCTGTTAGCATCACACTAGTCCACATCCCCCAAACCGTGCTCCGTAGACCTTTTCACTCATCACCTGTCTACCGCAACCCCAATAGTCCCCATTCCAGCATCTCCCTTTCCTTAGCCCATCCCACTAACCCCATTGAGGCATTCTCAACTACAAATGGTCGCAAACCGGCCTCGTCGACATGTCGGACAGGCTCATCGCCTCCCTCATCTCCGTGCTATGCTTGGGGGCTGGCGTCAGCTATTACCGTAGTGGCGACAAACCGTCGGCAGTTACGCTCTCGCTAGTTGCTATTTTGCAGGGGGTTGGTGCTAGAATGGGGACTTTGTAGATTCATGGGTTTGTTGCCTTTGGGGGACAGGTACAGAGTGGTCAATTGTGACAGAATTTCAGAGAGACAAGTTCAGAGTTGCAAGATCTAGCAACAGGAAAGGGGTAGAAGAGTTGAGCGAAGAAAGAGCGAAATTATTTTCACAGTATTAAGCTACCAGTGTTCTGATCTTGAATGACTCCATTGGCGCCTCGCCGTATGGGTATAAAACTCCATCCCCATCATTAATTAAACATTACCCATAAACCCACGTGCCATCCATGCCAGGCCAGCTAGAAACAATAATTCTCAACCATGGCTTAGAGATCTGATCAAAGAGTTCTTCAAGTCACTATGCTGAGGACATCAAGAACCTGCCATCGACGACTCCTTTCAGTCCACCTCTCCCCTCTAGTTCTTTCACTTTTTCAGCTTCTTCTCGGACACCTTAACTGGGAAACGCCTTCCCTTGTCTCCCAATACAGCCCTCAGCCTCTGCAGATAGTATTCACGCGGAGACTTAGAGCCGTCCGCCTTAAACTCATCATCAGCGAGCTGTTCCAACCGCATCACCACCATCTCCAGGTCAGCTTCTAGGTCCTCAGCCCAGTTGCTCTGCTCACCAACCCCCTCTCCCAACTTCTCCACCCCCGGTCGCAGCACTTCAGGAGTAGGGAACGCCATATACTCGTCAATCCGAGGGTTCGTCCTCGGGGAGCCCAGCTTGATTGGAATGTTGCCATACCGCGAATCGTCATCGTTGCCATCTTCACCTACACCAGACGACTTGGTAGCAGGAGGAGGGGTACCCAAATCCAGTTCGAGAACGCTAGACATCCTCTCATCCATCTTGAGTTGCGCGAGACGGTCTCCGATGGCGCTGAGACCGCGACCACGGTATTTCCTGATGCTCGGGGAGGGGCTGTTGAATGGTTCGGGCGTGTTGACCGGTGGACTCGGGAGGAGCGCGGCGTCGGCGGCCTCGTTGTGGTATTCTTGGATGGGCAGGAGATGCTGGGTGATAGCATTGAGGTCCATTTCGGACGCTGCATCGATATCCTGAGTGGCTTCGGTACGGGGAGTCGGGTGTGGTGGAGTTGGTGCGCCGGAGGAGCTGAAGGGCGTAGTGTTGAAGCCCATTGTTGATTGTTCTCGTGAAGTTGTCATGGAGGAAACAATTTCTATACGGCACGGCTGTGCGCTCAGGCAATTTGAAAAGGGACTTGTGCTAGGTGGTGGGTTTTTGTAAAGGGCGGGGTGTTCTTCCGTGGATTTTGAGGTGACCAAGGGTTGTGCGTGGAGTCGAAATATAGCTGGGCGGAAGTGAGGGCGCTGGTGGAAGAGTTTAGGTGATGCTGGGTACGCGCGAATTTTCGAATATCCGTGTTCAAAGTCCTCTTCGCCGCCTTTGCGCCAAAACGAAACCCTCCCAAGTTTCTCAGCCCCACATCCTGTGGTTGTCTTGTTGCAGGTGAGAGCTGATAAGGACCAGCGTCTGGGGCCGTGAACGCGTTTTGGCGCGCACGTGACGCAGTTGCGACCTGTCACTATGCCGTTGGGAATTGGAATGCCACCACGCTCTCACTTCAAGCTATACGCTAATATTCACTGGGCTGTCACTAACCATGCTCTTCACTATTTCCAGCACCGCTGATATGCTATCATCAAGCCCTTTCCTCATCTTCACTGTCGCTTCTTCTGGATATCGTTGTCCGCGCTCTTACGACATCAAGCTCAGAAGGGGTTCGAAAAACGGACGTGCTGGAGGGTAAATCATGCAATGCAATAGGCACTCCACCTTCCGCCATAGTACTCCAATGATCGCTAAGTCTTGATGGGACTGGCGAAGCCTGTTCACTTCCCGCGTTTCTTCCTTTCCTTCCCAACCTCTTGCACACCCATGGGACGAAATTGTAATACCCTCCACAGGCGAAGACGCCAATCCAAAGGATTAATTCACTACCATAGATGACGAGTCCGAGAACATCAAATGTAGGCTGAAAGAGGACCGAGACTAAAGATGTCAGATCGCCCATCGCATCAATGCCCACGAATATGAACGAGATACCGCGAACTGTGCGGTGGATATAGATGTCCCAATAGTGTCGAAGCACCCCAGCAGCTAGCAGTACAGCTGAAAGCACCGCCATGAGGGTCAACGGCCATTGCAGATGTTGATGTTTCGCGATTCTCAATGAGAATACAAGAGCAACTTGGATTCCACCCATGAAGACGGCGATCGGAGTTACGACAACGAGGGCGCGGAGAACGGTCCACTTCTGCGAGCCCAATTTAGCCTGGATTCTTCGGTAGTACAAGAGGCACTTGGATAGACGCACTCGTTCATAGTAGTAGCACTGAATCCAAGTGGCCAAGCTCAAGAAGGTTAATATCTGCGGCTGGATCCGGAGCGCGACATTGAAGTCCTCCACGATGTTGTACACGCCTAGCGGCACGCCAGCCCAAGCCCAGAGCATCATCATGGTCGGTTGCAGGCCGGTGGCATTGTGTCGTCGCCAATTTATTATGATCTGGGGTATCAACTGTTCCGTTCTCAATCCTTCCGATTCCAGCTATCGATGAGGGAGGGAGGTGGATGTACCTGGACAGACCAGCACACCTACAGATTCCATGAGCCTCCATTGCGAGAGGTTCGGAGACTATACCTACCGCGCCCATGGTCCCCAATACATTCGCCGCAACCGGGTTATCCATCGTCTTTCGAGTGTAGTCGTGAGGTACGCGAGGAAGCTGCAGGGAAGCTGCAAGGATCGGCGCCACACTAAATCCTGCACGGACGATCCTGTGACAGTCATTCCAAGCTTCTTGCATTTCAAATCAGCGTGCACAACGCGTATCCGTATGCCACACTCTTTTTATATATATATGTAAATATGGCCCCGGGTCTAGTGGAAGAGAAGAATGAAGAGCAGATAGAGACTGTGCCAAAGAGGCTTCCAAAGGGTGTGGTGTTAGGGCCGGACGGGAAGCCGTGAGTGCTTCTGTTCATGTTATGCGCCAGAAACTCGAACTTTGATCAGTTTATTTCTTCCATCCTTAGATGGGGTCTGACATGCTATAGCTGCCGCTCCTGCACCTCTGTCGCTTCCTGGTTCGCCATGGCCAAAAAGTCGCCCGCCAGTACCAGTTCCACCACAACTACTACCGCCACCGCCGATGTCCCTACCTACCCCCCCGACTGCCCCCCAGACGTCGAACAACTTGGTCGCTCCTCCTGGACCCTCCTTCACTCCATAACAGCGTCCTACCCTGTCTCCCCCTCACCACAACTTCAATCCGAAACCAAAACCTTCATCCACACCTTCTCCAAGCTATACCCATGCTGGTACTGCGCCTCTGACTTCCAGGCCTGGATGAAGGCAGACGGAAATGCACCAAGAGTGAGCTCGCGTGATGAGTTTGGGAGCTGGATGTGTGAGGCGCATAATGCAGTGAATGTCAAGTTAGGCAAGAAGGAGTTTGATTGCGGGAAGTGGGAGGAGAGGTGGAGGACTGGGTGGAAGGATGGGAGATGTGACTGAGCTATCTACCGCCAGAGTGGCACTTGTGAAAATGCTGTATGAATATACATGGGATTAAATATGTTGCATAGCGGGTATTTCCACTCCAGTACTAATCTAGGCATTGGGCGGCGTTAAATATAGGAATCCCAATCTCAACTTCAAGAATAATGCACGATCATGTGACGATGCCAAGAGTTCAAGACCCCAAATGCCACCCGACCCTTGGGGGAGAAATGCTATCGGAATTTGCTGAGATACCCCTCGCTAGAACTGTGGTTGCTCGACACTCGGCACCAATAACAGGTACGACATCAGAGTTCCAGATTCGGCGGTAACCAACCTTGGAACATGCATCTCTGATTTCACGACTTCGATCTCAACAAAGCATTATTCCGCTCAATTCCATATAAACCATGCCACTGCCCCTGAGAGAATGTTATTCACCTCAGCATCATACTCCGTTGCGTCAAAAGACCCCTCTGCCCTTCGCTCCCTCCTTATCTGAGCACAGCGTCATTATCTTCAACATCAGAGACGTCTCTCAAGACCGTCCGACAAGATGCCGTGGAAGCTCAAAGCGCCACTTCCTACACCCACACCCACGCCAACACCCATATCCACACCACTCTCCCACGGCCTCACCGGCCAGCCACCCCCCTTCGACCCCTTCAATCCCACCTCTCCAACTCTACCACCAGGAGGAACTTTCCTCAAGAAGAATCCCAAATTCTCGGGCCTCGACCACGGCGACCTCCTCGCTATAATCACCATTGTCGTAGTCGTCACAGGAGTCCTCATCTTCCAAGCCCGCAAAGTTTATAACAGAAAGAAGGCGGAACGGCGACGATCTACAGATGGAAATAGAAGCAGAGACACGGACATCGAGAGGCAAAGCGTGAAGCCGGTGGATTCCAAGTCAACTTGGTATTCGAAATCGGGGATGGTGGTCAAGGGCTTCGTGGCCCGCAGCTTGAGCACAAGATCGAATCCATATGGCTCGGAATCCCAGGTGTTTTCGATGAGCGGGACTACAGTTGCCGGAAGTGGTGCTACATCGAGAGCGCAGAACGAGCGAAGGTGGTGGGGAAATATAGCTAAGCGTGGAGACGCGATGGCCACAGACAGAGAGGTTGGGTCGATCTCGCCGATAATGGAGCACGGTGAAGGTCTCATCAGATCGATCCCGGGAAGTGCATCATGGTGGCAAAGAAACAACAATAGCATGCCTTGTCGACATTGTGGCGGAGGAACGGTTGATTGGAGGCATATGGGAGATGACTGCCTGGACAGCGAGGTTCGGTCGGCGGATGGAAGAGCACCACAGCAGAGTGGCGTTGACAGCCAACAGGCAGAGATATCAAACGGTGTGAACCCACAAGAGTTGACGGCTGCGTTGACGAGGTTGCGCTCGTTCGATCCGGCTGTGTGCAAGACACCTGCTGGCGATAGAGGGGGTTTGGTTGATGTTTGGATCTGAGCAATTATTTGAACACTCTTGGTGGGGTGAGTTCTTGCATGAGTTCGAAATATGGGACATGGTCTCGATTAGTGGCAACTATATCTTAGCATGTGGTGTTGGAAATTAACGCACGTCTGCAGCCTTTTAGTTTTAGTCACAAGTGTCTATTTGTTCTGGGGAAAACTTTCTTCAAGGAGATTAGTCCTGCCCACCCATCCGTCCGTCTTTCTGTGTCGACCCGTACATGTCTTAGCCACCAAAATTTGAGTGACTAACTGTATTTCATTAAACCTCCCCGCAACATCCAGTCTTAAGCAAGACAAACAGATATGCGGACAGAAAATACATATAAAGAAAAAGAAAAAAAAAGGTGTTAGTTTAGGTTCAAGCGGAATTACCCTTCCCGTCCAGCCGACTGCTCTTGCCGTTCACCAATGCAATATATTCCAAGACCCAAGAAATGCTGCCGACCGAATTATGTTGCACTGGGGAAGATCTTCGATGAAAATGGTAGCCCAACTCGATGCTGTTAGCTCAGACCAGCTTCTCAGATGCATCCTCAATGTGTATTGAAGCTAAAATTCGTTCAGATGGGTAAGACATGGAGTGGAATTACGTCTCAGATTGCTGTTAAATGGCAGGCAATTACCGCATGATCTCCTGGTAGATGAGAACTGGGGTCGTGTGAGCAAGAACTTAAGATCGAGGGGTTGGAGTGTTTCAACTTACGCTTGAGTTGCTCTTTGGTCAAGTTGTCCTTGTTCTTATCGAAGTCGAAGAACTCCTCGGGAATTGGGTCGGCGGTTGGCTCGTCATCTGGGTCGTGGTAGGGTTCAAGATATGGGTGCTTCAGGGCATCTTCTACCGTGATACGCTTCACGGGGTTGAAGGCGAGTAATCGCTCCAGAAGATCCAGGGCAAGGTCAGACGTCTTGGGAAACATAGCTTTCCAAGGAATCTTCTTCTTGAATGGCAGGGAGCGAATATACTCTCGAGCACGACGGGACTTGATGCCGTAATAGTCCTCCATGGTCGGCGTGCCCAAAACATCCAGGATCAAGGTGAGCTGGTGGTGGTCTGTGGGCACGGGGTTAGTGATGACTACATCATGCATCTCTGAAACACTCACAATCCTTTCCAGGAAACAGCGGTTTTCCGCTAAGCATTTCAGCCAAGATGCAGCCTACACTCCACACATCGATCGCCTTTGTGTACTCCTTGAAGGTAAGCATAATCTCGGGAGCTCGATACCATCGAGTAGCGACGTATTCAGTCATGAAACCAGAGTTGTCCTCAGTTGAAGCGGCAGATCGAGCAAGTCCAAAGTCGCAGACTTTGAGATCGCAATTAGCGTTTAAGAGAAGGTTAGAGGGCTTGAGATCACGGTGAAGGACATTTGCAGAATGCATCGCCTTCAGAGCGCGCAACGTCTGGTAAATAAAGTACTGGCAGTGGTCATCTGACAGCTCCTGCGTTCGAATAACACGATGCATGTCGGTCTCCATGAGTTCCTGCACGGAAATCAGCCAATGCGCTCCAGGATTATCAGAATCTTCATACCTGGATGAGGTAAACCTCTGTAAAGGTTTCGTAGTTACGGGGCTTTTGGATATCGAGAATGGAGATGATGTTCTCATGGTTGAAGTATCGAAGAAGCTTCATTTCTCGCAGAGTTCTCAGGCAGAACATGGAGTGGTCAAAGGGTGTGATCTTCTTAATCGCAACCTTCTGGCCTGATGGCTTGTGCAGCGCGGAGCTATGGCCAATGATTAGCACCTAGTCGTTGTTATGATGCTATAGCAGATGCTTACCAGACAACGCCGTACGCGCCCTCTCCTACTACATCTTGAATATCGTACTGCTCTGAAACATTGAAGGAGATCTTCCGGGAGCTTCCGCTCGACGCTGCTGCGCGAGACATGTTGGAAGCGTGGGTGGGATATTATGCGCTGCTGCGCGGTGGGGTGGTTGAATTGAGCTGTTGCTCGGACTGAGAGGTGTCTAGAGTGGAGGGTGGTCGCTAGTGGATGGTACGAGGTTCAAGGAAGAGGCAAGAATTTCGAGGATCGAAAGCGTCTCGGCAAAACTCTGCTCTATTGTTTGTCAGTGGGACAATGGAAGATGAACAGAATACCATTATTCTCAATCAGGCAGTCAGTTCCGGAAAGGCTTATTCACTCGTTCCTTTGATAACCCCGCTAGAGCACGAAATTCGCAGCGAAGGCTATCGGCATTGACTCTCCGCTCGGCATCCGAGCCGAGTCAATGGAATAGCTCCTTCCTCACGACGCACACCGCGTATAAGACTGAAAGCAAAGTTCTACACATACCGTTCAAGCCTTCCCCGTTACACCCAAATATTGGTGAGTTTCTTGGTCTGGAGACAGTCCCTTGGTCACTTTCTAGGGTGGCAAAGCTCCAATTTCTCGGTGACAAGCCTGGTTGTGCCTCGACCGAAAGTCAGATAGGCAGAAGGAGTGGTGGAATTTTTGCTCGAGCACGGAAGGAGCACTACCGCGGAACGTGGGAATGGAAGGCGCGACAGACAGAGGTGGAAAGAGCGTCCGTCGTGACAGGAAAGGGTCGAGGGTCGCCGGGGGGCAGGAGCTGTCACGGTGAGTGCTACGACGCCAAGTCAACCCTGTCGTTGTCGTCAGAAGGCAATCGAGAGGCACATTAAGCTCACAAACGTGGCTACTCACAGCAATTCGAGCTGACAGCGCAGCGTAGCGTCTTGTGTCGTGGGGATGTTATCGCGTGGAGCGGTTGGCGCAGTGCTGTGCTGGTGGGATGGCGGGGTCGCTGCAAAGTGTCGACGGACGAGGGTCTCCAGCTGGTGCGAACCTGGTATCAAGGGCGAAAGTGGGCGCTGAACAGTAGAACAGCAGCGTAGGAGATGGAGTTTGAAGAGGCAAAGCAGCGCGAACAGGATGCGCAGATATATCGCGACGGCCGTGCCTGGTGGTGAAAGGTGCAGCAACTCGCACTGGCCTGGAGTCGCGGGCTGGCACCACACCCGCGAAGCAAGCTTGTCCGGCCTTGCGTTAGCCGCTGGGGACGCCCTTCTGGGTCCGCAGCTTCCATTGGTGTAACCGTCGTGCATGTCTCACGCCTCCGAGGAATCTCGCCCCAGACACACTTGTCAGCACCCTAGAGAAGCTCCTGTGATTTCTGCTATATGCAACCCTCATCACCACCACCCCGATGCGCAGCTCCCAGAAACACCTATCCCCATCAAAGGCCATATGGCTGTGTCGAATCATGGTGCCATGTCTTTCCAAGGTTCGCAGAGGCCCCGCCTTCCCGAATTGGCCCCCTTGACTTGCTTTTCGTCATCTGCGCTGCCTCCCTACATCCAGTCCTCTGCATCACACGTCTATCACGGTAGCGGACTAGGGCATCCAATCAGCCGCGCGACATCGTCTACGACGCCAATTCGGCGTCGTGGCTGGTGCTCAGACGGACCAGCACCATGAGCCAAGCATTGTAGGGCAACGTCTGAAACCATCCGCGAGGAACCGCTGAACCAGCCAACTTTCGCCTGCAGGGGCGCCGAGTTGTTCCTGTTTGACCTTTGCCCCATCTAAACTTAGCGGGCCCAGTATGAGGCCGAGGTCTGCAATGCGGCTATCTACGTTCCCGAAGTCATTGGATGTCCGTCCAGCATGCGGCGTACTTCCATCTCAACTCGACACCACACCCGCCAACCGTAGCCGCCGAAAACCACTCCGGCGCGCTGGATCCTAACATTGCTGCGCCTCCTCACGTCTCCAAGCGCCAGAGACTCCCAAGCATCTCGGTGCCCATCCATTTGAATCCGGTTCCTGTGTTTGACGTGGAAGCATATGATACTTTTCTGGAAGCGTTTCAGTCCGGAGCCGAGATATCCTCACCACTTCTGAACCGTCTCTCATTATTAACAGTGCGAATCACTAACTCTCCTCTCCTCTCCTGAGGCAGCCAATTCTGCACCTTCAATACCCGTCTTAATGCTGTGGTCGGATAACAGGTTTTCTGATATACCGATACCGATCTAATTCCAGCCAGGCTTTCGCTTTTGGCAGGCAGGATAGAGCTAAAGCTATCTCCCAAACTTTTGTGCGAGTCTAATGCAACTGTGTGACTCCAAGTTCTGAGCGTACCTTGAAGGCATGGAAATAATCTCGGGAGCGCCCTCAGGGGGCGAATAGTGGTTCCTGCCATTACGACGTTGGGGCCGAGATGTCCATTGAGGTGGGATGTAGTTCAACCGCTTTGGTGGCGATCGTTACAGGTGTTTTATTCCATGGATACCCACTGCGGGGGATTAACCAGTTACGGAGATCCCGCTGTTATGGATACTTGGGTCGGAAGAAGCGTGGGGACAGAGTAACCATTGCTGCAAGGTCCCGGTGGCTGCCGAACACATGCCTTGAGCTAGGCATTGTTGAAGTGATGCGGATCTAGGGATCTTGCAGCCATGTGTAAGTGTTCCGCGTCCTACGTAACTCAAACAGGCTCATTAAAGTGGGACATGTAGTCTTCGTCCTTCCTAACTCTCTCATCCCGCATACACCTCCCTTTTATGCTATCTCTATTCTTTTCTCTGTCTCTCCGCACTTTTTATGAGAACTAGATAATTCTTTCCAAGGATAAATCTCACTAGGAAGTGCCGTCACTCTCAAGCTAACTGGTCTTGAAAAGGTTCAAGAATAGCATCCCAGATACGACAACAGCAACTTCTCTACTTCATCGGTCAAGTATGCTGAGAAGCAGTTATCCCAAAGCACTATGTGAGGGTCTTTCGGTCTTTCATACAAAGGTAGTCCCCAACATCTGATGCAACAGGCGCGTAATTCCGTAAGAGTTTTTTTTTTTGGCTGCACACAAGATATTCAAAACACGGTGTGGGCTATTCGATCTCCTCTCAACTCCAAGACTGTGTTCCATTTACACTACGGAGCCTCAGCGGGCATAGGTAGAGGTGCGTGTCAAGTCGCTCCCTGATAGAGAGTTGAATTTAAATCCATTCAACCATTATTGTGTTGAAATCATTATTTTAGTCTCGTACCAAGATGAACCAATGCCGCTTAGAATCCCGAAGTCCTTTTCCTCTCTCCAGTGCTTATCCTTCCCATCCGAATCCCTCAGACCTTCATCCCTTAGACAAAAATTAGGAGACCCTTTAGCTGTAATCCACGAACATCCGAAATCGAGAGCTCCCTCATCCTTCAATTTCCAGCGGCATACCACCATCCTCTTCCCCCTTGGTCAGCCATGCAAGCTGGCAACCCTTTAAGCCTTGCGCCAGAACGCAAGGCCCGCTAGTCAGCTGCCCATAGCTCCCTTGGGTGGATATTGTGTTCCGTCTTTCTCGACCTTGGGCTCGCACGTGCACCATTGCTCGGTGGGGATGGATTTCATAACGCTAGGGACGTGGTTGCCGCAACCCTTGGATGAAAGAGTTAGAACGAGGTTCCCAAGTAAGCGGACAGATATAGGTGAACTCACCCACCACGTGGTCTTGTCTGGAAGAGACTGTTAGCATTATTTAGGTTGCAGGAGGAGGATGGTTGAAAGCTGAGAGAAGGGTTCACAAATCGGAATGAGTGAGGGATAATCTATATGGCTAAGAAGATAGAGTAACACTCACGGCAATTACTGCAAGTAGCTTGGTGGCACATAATGCGGATTTATGTAGGTTTGGCTTAGTCGGATTGATATGTGTGTACTTCCGAAGACAACAACAGTGCAGTTTAACGCAACGAAATCCTAGAAGTCGCTGGGACAGTATTGAAGAATATAACAGCTCCGTAGATATGATTTGAAATAGTAAAGCCGGTTATGGAAAAGGCGGTGTTGCCTATACATATAGGTAGACCCGCGTATTTCACCTCGCCGAAGTTATGGTCGCCGATGTCACGGGATGTGGCGACGGCTACCACCAGGGCGGGAGTGTCTTTGACGGCACGTCATTCGAGTTTCAGAACTCGCTGCGGCGGCGGATATGTCGAGACACCTATTTCTTTTTGGATACGGTCTTGTGTGGGAATGAGGTATTTGAAATCTCCACGTGCACTTCTCGGCCCTGACTTTGCTCGTCGACTTCGGAATAAGTTTAACTGTCACGACAGAGGCCACCAATATCCTAGGTAAAGAGCAAAAATAGGTTCTCATTGTGCTGCTACGTAATTGCCATATCAAGGAGAGGTAACAGATCCTCTATCCAGTCATCAATGGAACACTTCGGCATGCAACAGCAATGACCCCACGCTTAGAATGAACGTCGGAGGCTTAGACAAGGCTTGACCCGCCCCATTTCGGATATTTCCAAGTAATGACCTATGAAACCCCATCAATCATCAAAAAGAATCCATACATGCATGCCCACAACTTTTGCCATACCGCCAAAAACGCCTGTGCTGCCTAAAAGAGCTATGCATCCACATCCAGGTCGCCGACTCGGTCTGGAAGCCGAACCCTACCATCAACACATACATCATACACACTCTAATCAAAAGTAATCTTGGACGCTTTCTTGCTGGGGTCGATTTCCTTGTAATGTGCGCCGTATGCATCATGACCCTTCTTTTTCACCGTTGTACCAAACTTCATTAATTCCTCTGGGACTTCTTGATTTGCGGCTTTCAGAACGTTGATCAATCTAAAGAATCATTTAGCTGCTGTTTAACTAACAGAAATAGAAAATGTCACTTACGCTCCGGAAAGCGCTTTATCATGTTCCGTGAACATTGTGACAGCCAGGCCTTCCTTACCCGCTCGTCCTGTTCGTCCAATGCGGTGGACATAATCTTCTGCAGTCAAGGGGAACGTAACATTGATAACCAACTTGACCGCTGGGATATCCAGGCCTCTCGCCGCAACATCTGTTGCAACCAGAATAGGAACCTCACCCTTCTTGAATAGGTCAAGAGACGCAGTTCTTTTGTCTTGGCTGAGATCGCCATGAATACCAGCCACTCTGAAGCCTTTATGGTGGATGAAGTTCTCGATCCTCGTGGCTTCTTTCTTGTATAAGCAAAAAACGAGAATTCGGTCGTCTTTGTTTTGGCCAGACTGATACTTCTTCAGCAGTTGGAGTAACCTGAACTCTTTATTTCGAGGCTCAACAACCTCGACGAGCTGCTTGATGCGTGTGTTGGCTCGTAGCTCTCCAGTGGGGTTGTTACCGATGTTGATCTTAACTGGTGACTTCATAAACGTAGATGCCAGATCACGGACTGAGGGAGGCCAGGTTGCCGTGAACATCAACGTTTGTCGATTCTGTGGGGTGCATTGAATAATCTGCCGGATGGCTTCTTCGAACCCTTTGTCGAGCATTCTATCAGCCTCGTCAAGGACCACATATTCTGCTTTGCTGAGGTCAGCCGAACCATCGCTAATCAGATCGTTCAGTCGACCAGGTGTAGCAACCACAATGTGTGCAGTTCGAATTGCCTTCACCTGCGGTTCCTTTGCAACGCCTCCATAGACGCAGACGACTTCGAGACCTGCTGGCGTGGCCAGCTTGACTAATTGGTCATATATCTGCGACGCCAACTCTCTTGTTGGGGAAACCATAACAGCTTTGACACCCTTTTGCTGTTTCTTCGGAAGACTCGAGATGAAACTGACGCAAGGTACGCCAAAAGCAAGTGTCTTCCCAGACCCTGTTTCTGCTACTCCAATCATATCCCTTCCCGACAGGAGTGATGGCCATGCTGCGGCTTGTATAGGAGTAGGTACAGCGAAAGAGGCAAAAGCCGCTCGTTGGGCTTCGCTCGTGGGTAGATAGGTGAACTTGATGATAGGACGGGGCCGTCGATGGAAGTCAAACGGATCCTCAATGTTAATGAAGTTAGAAGCCAGATAGGAGTCAATCTCTGACTGCGGCAGCCCAGTCAATTCGGGGTGTTCGGAGTATTTTGACGCTAGCTCTGCAATCGGCTCGGGACTAGTTGCAGAAGATTCATTCCTAGAGGCAATTGCAGATGTCGAATTTGATGTGACCTCGGACGAAGCTGGTGTAGAACCCATGTCAGCAGCTTCGGCTTTGGCTAATTTCTTTAATCGTTTCTTCTCGGCCTTGCGCGCAGCTTTCCTTGTAGCTTTAGCTAATTCCTCGTCTCCTCTTCCTCTACTTGCGGTTGTAACGGCTGCATTTGAACCGTCGATTGGCGATTTCGGCACCCTGCTTGCCTCTTTTGCTTCCTTTCTTGCCATTTTCGCGGCCTTTCGTTCAGCCCTCGCAAGTTTCTCATCATCTGCTTCCCTTTCTTCACTATTTCCATTCACTGCCACTGCACTGTCTTGGTTCCCATCCTCCCTCGCGGTGCTGTTGGCGGTCGATTCGTTCCTAGGTTTCCGGATCTTATCGCTCTTATCCTTACGACTTTTCTTTCGTGAAAGAGAATCTGAGTTTATTACTGCATCTTCGTCCGCAATTAAATCTGCGATGGCTCGTTTTCCCATGCTGGATAGGTGCTGATCTGTGAAGTCTGTGACGGGCAAGAAAATTAACTTTTTTTCTCGGCGCCGGCAGAAATTTCACCCGCGAAGACTTAGCGACTTGGCGCGCTAGCAAAATCTCAAGCTACAAAGGTTTACTTCAACAACTCAAGCACATGTGGCCAACGCTCGCCGCACGCAATGGCCGTGGATAATTCGCTATCATCGCTTCTTGCTACCTTAACTGTGTCCATTGAATCTGCTACAGAAGCAATACCCGAAGAGGATGGCATTCTCCCACCAAAGGAAGGCATTTCATTACTGGATGTGAAGAACGAGTTACTTCTATCGTACCTCCAGAACCTTGTTTTCCTCATTTTGTTGAAAATACGATCCCGAACCGATTCAAAGATTGAAGACGATGCAACCAACATTCAGGACGAGGTGATCAAAAAGCTCGTTGAGCTCCGAGTCTACCTCGAAAAAGGCGTTCGTCCTCTTGAGAGCCGTCTCAGGTATCAAATTGACAAAATAGTCCGCTCAGCAGATGACGCTGCAAGGAAAGCTACGCAAGCTCTCCAGAGTTCAGATTCAAACCGCGCGAAGAAAGCCCAAGGAGACGTAGAGTCAGACTCGGAGTCAAGCGATGCAGAATCAGCTGCCTCTGTTCAAACCAATGAAGACCTGGACGATATAGCTTACGGTCCTAACCGATCCGCTTTTGTACGACCTAAGGCAACCAGCAACAAGACGACCAAAGAGCCCTCAAAAGAAGGCATATACAGGCCTCCTCGAACTACTCCTATGACTATGCCAACCACCCATGGACGAGAAGGGAGAGGATCTAAGCGATTTGAGAAATCTACAACTTTAGACGAATTCGTAGCAACTGAACTTTCCGCCGCGCCATTGGCTGAGCCGAGCATTGGGAGCACTATCGTGTCCGGTGGTCGCCATACGAAATCAGAACGAGAGAGAAAAGATGAGGCTGACCGGCGCGACTATGAGGAGTCTAATTTCATACGTCTTCCAAAGGAAAGCAAGAAAGAGCGAGCCAAGAAGGGCAATCGAACTCGCGATGGAGGCTGGGGTGGCGAGGAATGGAGGGGGTTAGGAGCAGGCTTGGATCGCATCGAGCGGCTGACGCAGAAAAAGGGTGGCCCATTGGGGTCCCTAGAGAAGAGCCGCAAGCGCCCAATACAAGACAGGCCCCGAGGAAGTGGTTCGCAAGCGGGAGAAATGTTCGAGAAACGGAGAAAAGTTGTATCCAGGTACAAAAAATGAGGTGGCTGATCGTCTGCGACATCTACTTGCCGAGTCCTCAATCCGATCTTTGCCGTACTCACACTGCATGATGCAAGAATAACACCGGCCTCGGCGTCTTACGAACAAATGAAAACAGATAACTCATCATTCATTGCTCTCTAACGTCGTGCTCCCGTTTATCGGATATTCCCACAAAGGGTCCTACTTTCAGCCTAATCAAACCTAGCTAGCCCGATTCCGGATTCCGAATTTGTCGACTTATTCTTGGCGTTTAATCGAGACAACAGTAGAGAAGCGAATACCGAGAGACCATACATCTCTAATAGCCGATGTTGCTGGCAGCAATGGCTGGAAATCAATTTGCCATCACTTCTGGCTCTAATCGGATTGCATCATGCAAGCAGGATCTAAATGTTGTAGTTTTCATACAGAGTCCCCGAGAAACAGCTCACCGAAAGGTATCGTCGCTTGACTTTGAGCACGAGACTGTGGAGCCCTTGCGATGACCAGAGAATGCACCATCTCGTATATGGCCGAGGCCTTGGGAGAGCCTTCCAACAATGTCTTCGGACTGTTGATTGCCGTGTCTACTTATGGACCTGACACGGCGACCTTTCTGAGGCCGTATGAGGGAATACTGCATAAGCTACAAATGAATCCGGTCCACCCCAAAGCCGCTGAAATGCACGTCATAGCCAAAGTCGCTGATTCACACAACGCTTCGTAACAGTGGATTGGTCTGGCCCAATGACCGGTCATCGTAAACACTATGTTAGCCTCAAAGTAGTGTCGAGTGTTTCTTCCATGGCAAAAGATTGATCCTTCTGGCTATCAGCGAAGAATATTCCATACGTGAGCCTTTAAGTAACCATCTTTCGTCTCTCGTACCGTCGGTAACGTCATTGCGGGTTCATCAATGGCCTTCTAAGGAGTAGGTGTTTCTGTCTCTCCAGAACTGTCTCTTGGATAGCCTTCTGGGCAAACCAGGTGTCATACCTGAAGCTAAAAGTCAGCGCGTTTGTGAGATATTGAGGAGAGAAGGGTACTTTCCTTTCGTTATGTCAGGATTCTACCTTATACAACCGGTGAGGCTCATCATCATTCCTAAGAGCCTACATGAGTATCTCTATTCGAATCGTGTTAGAGAGAAAAATGTGTAAAGGAAATGAACAAAATCTTGGAACTGTTAGGAATCGAGAAAGCGTTGGGGAGGGTGGCCCTATTTCGAAGAATTTTGAAAGAGTCTTGTAATGGTGAAGAAACTTGCTACACCATCACAAGCTCTCCTAAGATCACTTTGCGATACGTGCTCAGATAACGAAGACTTCATTCTTCCTCATGACGTGGACGCCAGCTGGCACTGTCTGACCACCTTGCTTTCTAGCCTCTTCTGAGTCATCTATTACTTCCCCATGTTTTCATATGCTCCTATTACTCCACGCTTGAAAATTATTTTTTTCCTCAGATCTTATAGGCAGCCCGACAGGTCAATTCTCACATATGAACAAGCATTGGTACACCCTCTAATCTTGATTTTAGTACGCTTACTGGTGCGGAATATACTCACCTGCATGTCGGTCCCCGACTCCAGGGTGTATGAATGCAAAAGCACCACAACATCCAAGCGAACAGGAGGATGCAGGAACTAGTCTGACAGCATCCGTTCCTATCTCATCGTCTTTGCATTAGCTTCTGTTTGTTCTGCAACGTCTCGGAGCTAGAAGGTCAAACCAAGTTCCCTCAACCTAGCGGACGGCTTGGCCAGACCTTCCAAGGAGGATCTTTTTTTCACTCAAGCCTTTGACGCGAACACTGATCCTATACACGCTATCTGAACACCATTTGTATTCGAAATTCAGTTACGGGGTGACGTTCTCCCAGTGCTTTGGTCTTGAAGCCGGCGGCTTTTTAATTTGCATCAGAATCGGACTTGGAGATGCAGTCGGTCGTGTCCAAGGTAAAGTTTTAACGATAATTTCCTCAGACCTGTCGCCGCTCACGCCTCCAACAATGCGGTGCAAATTTCATCAAGTAGAGGACTTTTCCAGCAAGGCTCCTGGGCTAGATCTCCTGATTGTGTGGACGTTTCACTCCACTGCACTGACCGCCGAATTCGAGATCAGATCAGAGTTCCGGCAGGGGCCGGAAGATAAAGGGAGACTATGTCCATTCTGTCGAAAACTCTGCAAGGCGCAAAGGGTGCAAGCTCGCATCTACCAGATTCCAGGGCGAATCTTCTTGCCTCAAGGCTTGTGGAAGGTATATTGACGAGGTCACCTCACGATTGACCTATAGCAGAGAAACCCGGCTAATATTTCGCCATCAAACCCCTGCTCGGGACGGGTTATACGCAAGGCCGTTTTCAAGAACCAGATATTTGGCTCACAGCCAGACCTGCACTAAAGTTGCAACACGAATCAGCGATCCTGGGTCCTTAAATCTCCCAATCTCACGCGACAATAGGGCCAATCCAACTGATTCGCAATATCCCATCTAGCCACCACAACACTTTTCCCAGGAATATCTCTTTCCGATCTCATTTCGGACTGCAGAAGTTCCACCGGGTACGACCGACTCCACCGTCTTGAGCCAGGTTAGAGATGTACCCTTCCCGGTTAATGTTTGCAAAGAATGGAGGTCTTGTACGGCAAGTACTTGCCAAAACATTCGCCGCGTGCGTTCGCTTGAGTGTTGCCCGAGGGATCCAATTGTGGACTAGGTTATAGGACAGGCTATATGCATCTCAACGCACCGGCCAATGGGAACGTACATTGGCTGAGGTCCAGTAACTTGGCACCAGTGCTCCTTCTGTCACGAGTGACTTGGGAGGCGTTCACTATCGATAAAGCCTCGCGGTTGGTCATGATAGCTCATGAGAAAGAGCGAATGCGAGTCAAGATGGAGGGGCCGAGTCAAGATGGAGTGTCTTAAACGACGTGCTGACAGACTTTGACTGGTTTGACGTGCCGCTCCGAAAGTCATTGCTGTTGGCTTTTGGAGGGCAACCATTCAGCCACGATCAATGCAAGTGAGAGCAAGCCATTCCCAATCCAGACCTTCTTGCTCAATTTCACCCCACCACAAATTTCTGACGCTGGGGAGGGTCGTCACCCAGGAAATTTTTGATGCGGGTGCGTGACTTCTCTCTTCCATGTGCGGACGAACAAAATGGCCGTTGGAAGCCATCAACACCTTGGGGTTGGTACGAGGTTGACAAGTCACGAGGGAGGTACGTACCAGGAAGGTCTCGATACCTGACCCACAACTTCTTCAGGTGCAACGCTCCACTACGTACAAAGAAGCCGTTGCAACATGCGAGTGATCCTTGAGCGATAGCAGCGGCACGGGCAATCTTAATGAAGTCGTCAATAGACCAGGGTTTCTTAGGCTCATGAATCCTCAGCCTTGGCGGTCTCCTCAAGCTGAATACTGAGCATGCAGCTGCAGCGTGGGCGCAGTTGAGGAGTCTAGAAGAATGGGAACCTGCAAGAGGGGCGCCATGTGGCCTGACAGTTGCGATGCAGAAGCGGGAGAGAAGGAAAATTTCGAGAGAGGGCGTGGAGGACGAACGCTGACAGTGCGTTAAGGTGTCACAGAGCGCGTGCATGCCTGGTGCCCAGTCACATCTACCTCCAGGAAAGCATCAGATGCATCTTGTCATGCATGGCAAATCTCCTCCTCCTCTCCACATCACGATTTCCCTCCTGTTCGACAATGGTGGGACTGCCCGCTTCGGTTGAGCGGAGGGAAGCACTCCGCAAAACCTTCGATTCGATTTTCCAGAAGGCCTTACCCCAGTCGTGGGATAAATCACCATGCGGGGTGCAGACGCCCAATCATGGTCCCCCTTGCTGGCGAGGTCCCCCAACTGCTCCACTCGCGTTCCCCGAGCCATGTCACCCATTTAAGCTTCTTTAATCTATGCTTGATTGAAGAGACACGATTCTAGCGCCGTCCTTGTTGGAGAGAGGAAGAAGAAGCCATGCTGGATCCTTGTTAGTGGCTAGGAAGCGACATCGAGGGACATGTCCGCCGGTATCACTAGTCAATTGTTCACTCTTTTCGTGCTATGTTTCCGCAGTTTCCAGGTGGGATTAGGGAAGGATCTTCGCATTGGCGATCATGGGACCTCGTATATGCTTCTGGAAGCTCCTTCATTTCTCTTCTCTGCTCTCTCCGCCACTGCTGGCTTCTGAGTCTATGATACAGTTCTACACTTCTAGCGAGGACTCGTTAGCAGATGTGTCACCACTCCCTGCATCTTCACAGCATTACGATGAACCAGTCATCGATTCGAGTCGCCCCTTCCCAGATATATATATTGTACATGTCGGTACCAAACCGTTTGCCTCCCAATGTGCAATACTACGCATTGCCGATCCCAGCCGACTTGTTAAAGAGGATATTGATAGATCAAAGAACAGGAAATATTCAACCACATGACTCAATAAATGCAGTGTCCTAGCGTTGAACAATGAGGAACCCATTCATAACTTGAGCTCATCGATATGACCGCTAAGCCGAGTCTAACTCGCTTGAGGTCCTGATTGGCCCGACCCATTTCCTGGACCTCGGCATGCCTCAAGAGTCCTAGCCCTACCCTCCCTTGTCCTTCTTGAGACATTCCGCACTAATTTCCATCTCCAAAATGCTAACTCAAGAGAAGGACAAGGGAATGATTTCGAAGGAGGGGTGCTGAGATCCCTGCAAACTTAACCGGTGGGTCTTTGATAGCGAATTGCTGGGAATGAAGAGCAAACGGCGACCAGCGCACAGGATCTCCAGGGTACCGCCGCCGGCCACCATACGGTTTTCAATATTCCCCATCAAGTACATCGAGTTGCGGGAGGGGAGACTCCACATTGGAAGCCCCGAATTTCAGGGTCTGGAGTGGGTCCTGCTGTCGGGAGTTGATAGGCGACATGGGGTCCATATATTGCTGGATTCGGCGGTCTACCTATTCGCGTATTTCCATTCGATTCCGAGCTCAACGGAGAGGCGCTTGTGTCGTGTAAGAAAAGGCGTCGCACAAGTGAAGCCCACGATTGGGTCCAAAAGCCATCTGGAAACAGCTGTAGTGACAGGCTAAATTAACCTGGAATACCGCAATGCACACTTCCTGATTTGGGTCATTTTGAGCACCTAGGCGTGCAGTATCTTTACTGTGAATGGTTAGCTGATCAATGACACGCTGCATGTTACTAGGGGTACACACAGAGATCTGACACTCCACTAGCCATCAACCTCGCTTCCTTCACACTTTCAGTCCAGCTCGGCGGAGCCAATCTTGCCGCCGCTGTTCTGCCTCCCGAATGATTTCAGCAGAGAGCTGGAGACTTGGCGCAAGTCGTGCATAGCGTTCTATTTCAAGAACAACATCGTCGATGATAATGTCCATCTGGTGGGGAGGTGGAAGCAGTGCAGAGAGGGAAGGGGACATAGTTGCGCCCATAACAAGAAGGGTTTGCGAAACGATACTACCAAAACGTTAGAACAGGGGCTATTAAGCACGGAATAAATTAAACTTACGAAAGGGCGCCTTGCCAGAGATACGGAAGGTGACCAGCGTGATGCGCGGTGATGTGTTCGAGCTGGCGGATGCATGCTTCGAGGCACTTCCTACAATTGTCCTGTACGTTGGGGTCGAGTGCTAGATTCTCATCTTGAAGGACCAGGAGAATATACGGCCGGAAAATGATTGTGCGACAGGCGAAGTATCGTAGCCTCAGCACAGTCTGAACAGTGTTTTGGAGCGGGACTCTGCCGTGGGGAAATTGGATGGGCATTGGGAGTCCTTCATACCACTGAGTCAACTGGTAGTCCAGCTCGGCGACCAGGGGATCCAACTGAGCGATCGACGTAATCGGATTTGTTTTGGCGTATATCAAATGGCTCACTCGGTTCAGGAGTCTTCGAAGAGCGATTTCAGCCAGGAAGTACCATAATTCGTCTCTTCCGAGAGCTTCAGCTCCGACATCTTCGAAGCCGCCGGGTAAACCAACCGTTTCCTCAAGAGGGGCAATTCCGGAATGAGGCAGGTCTAACTCTGCTAGGAGATCACTGTGAAAAGATTGATTAGCGACAGTGGTCAGTCGCGGCTTCAACTGCGAATTTACCTTTCAAACATCAAAGTGTTCCAGTACACTCTTTCGCTAAGTTCCTTTTCATGAGGCGGGAGTCTCCCGGGTGCGCCCAAGAGCAGTTGCAACTTCATGCTGGCGCTCGTCATGACATTCCAAGCTTCCAAAGGCCGAACCAAGTAGAATAGATAGGCAGCAGCTAGTATTTGACATTGCGCAGAAAGCAGACTGTTTCTTGTCACCAAACTGGGTAGAAGCGCCCAAGCTGCAGAGAAGTATGCCAATCCAGGAGGGTCTTTATCGGGAGGTTGCTGAGAAATGCTGCCTTCGCTCCCAGCATGGCCAAGGGCAAGCACTAGAAGGACGATACAGCTTTCGGGACCTTCGCGGAAACCATGAGAAAGGGCTGTCTGATAGTAACTTGTCCAAGTATATGGATTTACACACGCGTACCAGACATTGACCCGCTCGAAAAAAGCTTGTACGTATGCACCCGTATTGGACAAATCCAAACCTAGCGATGTACCGAGGGACAGAGGCTCTCGGTTCATCTCGAGCTGGAGTAAAACTTGCGGGTCGTATGGTCGGGAAACAAGCTCGCGAATCATGGGCATCTTAAGCAGATGCAGCGCTGGAGTCGTGTGAGTCTTCGGCATGGTGGATATGTTCGAGGATGAGTTGTTCCAAGTCCCAAGGCCATTCATAGCGGGAATTAACCCTAAAGCAGCCATGTTGCCGGTGCTACGAGCTAAAAGCTCCTCACTCGTAGAGTTACTCGCAGCGGGCGAGTGTGTTGAAAGGCCGAGTCCATTCGCAAGATTGGACTGCAGCAGACCCTCAATACGGCTCAGATGCTCGAGAATAAGCTTGTCGCCAGCGTCCAGCTTGATTCCAGGTTCTCGATAGATGCACTCTGCGTTGAGCTCCGTACATAAACGGCACTTGGGTCTTGACCCATCGCACCGAGACTTCCTAGACCGACAGATTTCACACTGCCTGGTGGTTAGTACTGATTCCTGAATGCAGGCGCAGATGCTTGAATGGGGCAATACCGCAATGGTTGCGCGCCGACGCGGATAGTCTATTGTGTCGGTACTGGGGCGCTTCTTGGTGTTTGGGCGCGGCTCACCGTTGCTGGTGGGCGCGGCACCATTGGTTTGAGCTTGTGTAGTGTCTGTGGACATCTCACGATCTGTACCCGAAGATTGGGACATATTGCGGGGTCGTTTCTTGAAATTTCCGTTCAGCGCTCCGGTGCCAGTGTAAAAGCCATTCGGAGACTCTAGGAGATGGGGAGACTTGAGCGTCGACTTCAAGACAAAATTGCTCGCGTCCGGCAGAGTGGAAAGATTAAGGCAGAAGGAGTCTCGCGGGAACTGTCCATTGGTCGTTGCTGCTGACACGGGACTAACATCTGGAGAGGGCGTAACAGCGGCCATGATTGGTGGACGGAGTTACGGCGGCCGGGGAAGGCTGCACGACCAAGTCGCTGCGGCGTGACAGACGTAACGGCGAGTTCGATGATGGAAAACGCCTCGTTAGAGCGGTGGCTGCAGGAGGGGTAGGACAGGTGCTTTTAGCAGGAAGGGAGGAAGGTGGGTTCAGCACAGTCGCCGGCAAGATGGAGAGATGAAGAGAGGGCCAATGTATATATCAATGTCAACCCTAGCCTCCCCTAGCTTTACTCCAAAACCAGAACGAGATGAACGGTGCGGGTGCGGGGGCAGGGTTTGGGGCACTCCACATCTCGCTCAGACAATCATAACGTCGTTTGAGAGGGCTGCAGGGGTCAGGGAGTCGGCCATCGAGGGCACCAGGTTTGTGACACCAGCGCGCTCTCCTAGCACTCAACATTAAATTGCCCCTAATCCCGTCGACGAGCATCTGGAGAGACCACTCGGGTGGCGGTGGCAGCCACGCACAAGTGGGACATGCGGGCTGTTGGCCGCTTCCAGTCCACAGCGGGCATGGGGCATGAATGACCAAATCATGGTTAGCTATGCCGTCCGTCAGGAGAGGGAGGGTTGAAGCGAGGTTGTCTGCCGCCGTACGATGCCATGCCACGCCGTATATAATACAGGCTAATTAAGCAACAACCCCCCCTCCGAGATCTTACGGCGGCGCATTATTTGCTGGGCCAGTAGGGGTATTTGGGACCGCTTCGATCAGCAGAAGACGAGAGGTGGACCTGCAGCAAATCCACCCATTAAGTATCCAGGATGTCAGATTCCAGAACTACCTGCGTCCCGATATTGCGCCAAGCCTCTGAAAGTATCAGTCGACGTCGGCCACGACTTGTGACAGGCAAAGGGTGGCTTCTCTGCATCAAGCTGCTTTTCTTTGCTGCCCAAATGAGAGCTGCAGGGTCTCATCCTGGTCATCGAAGCACTGGAAGCCGTGGAGAATGTGGAGTGCATCATCCGGGGTATCCAACCAGTAGTCGACCATCACCAACGTCACCTTTCAGCTCTCCCTTAGTCCCCTCCAGCGTTATCAGTTCCTCAACTGGCCGTGTCCAGCAGGTTAATTTGCCATTCTGGCCGATACGTGAAGTAACTTATCGCAAGCCCCGTTCACATTTACAACCTGCTTGCTATCAATATAAAATTCAAGCCTTTGCTATGACGATCCCTACATTGGAAGATCTGGAGACTTGATATCCGCTGGAAGCCGCATCGAAGACGGAGTTGCTTCTAGAAGATCACCAATCAAAGATGCTGGACCCTTGGAGTCTGCAAGTCACGGCGGTTATCTCGTTGAACCGCCCGTCTTCGCGCCACAGTGACAAGGGTGAGCTTAATTACTCGCGTTCATCAGTCACGTTACACAAATTGGGATACGACCAGTCTCATTAGCTGGCCAGAGGGCACTTTCCATCAATAGTCAAAGGAGTCGCCACTGGTTGTCCTTAAATGCCATATTCTTGCGATCCAAAGTCCAGTCACAATACACCCAGTCGCCAATGGCTAAGCTAGTTCCACTAGACTGTACCCCACCGGGCGAAGTGGCATTCTGCTATGTGAGCATCCCTCGGGATAACGGGAAAGGGTCCTACTTCTCCTGCGTTAATGAGTTTAGTCGAGTCTCGCTAACTAGCACCTGCATTGGACAGCTTGGCTGGTATTGCGGATGATGCGCCGCAGATCAATGAGATAACCCAAAGTCGGGCACTAGAAAGGCAGCCACTCCTCTCGTGCCAATAGTCTCGGTGAACAAAGGACACCAGGGAAATTACCATTAACGATGGGCACGCTTCGGAAAGATCATGACGAGGCGTACATGATTCTTGAAACCCAGGCTTAGATACTAGCAATATAGACGGTGCGAGTAATATTGTGGCCAAAGGCCGAACATTGGGGAAGAATATATGTCCCAAAGGTAATTCCAAAGGAGATGGCTTCCCCATCTCCAAGCATCGCCTTACATAGTCTTCTACGGAGTATGTGCGAACGTTCAAGCGTGAGTGGGTCGGCAAAAAGGCCATATCTTCTAGAATTTAGTTTGACGAGGTAATGAGTAATCGCTTCCAGAGGGGCTATTTTTGTCAGTGTTACCATTGTGAGAGTTCTCTAATATCGAAGTGCTAGGTTACCTTCCAGAGTGGAATTGTCTATAGATGAGACGCTAGCAATACTCTACTCTACAAGTGAAGTCCAAAAAAATGTAGTGGAGCAAAAGGCCTTGAAGAAACATGTGCAGAAGGTCAGAACAGTGGTGATATAAACAATCGTAAGAAAAATGAAAATTCACTAGGCTCGTTCATTGTTTCCACAAGAAGCACCGAGCATGATGAGAACATATCTGTAGTCTTGCAGGGGTATGAGTTATGAAAGAAGCGATATATTGTAGACTGAGGGTCCGAGGAGCTATGCGATTTATATAGTATGGTGAGACGTCAAGCCCCAAGGCTGATTAAAATATCATCTGAGGTTGAAACTTTGGTCGAACAAAGAGCAGAAGAATATTTCTGGTGCTCACTATTTCCTCGAATGGGAGTATCGATCTTTGACATTTGACATGCTCACTTTCACGGGAACTGGATGGGTACCCGAAATGCGTTCGTTGTTTCCTTCCCTTTCAAAGCTGTTTCCCTCCATGGCCTAGTGTTGGAACTCATCGGCGGCAAACGAAATTCATTTAACACTAAGTACCCCTAGCGGTCTGAACAGCTTTGGTCCTCCAATTTTCCGCCTCGCACACAGGTTCGAAACCCTTGTCTGCCTTCATCTCCAGAAATGGTGGTGGAGCCTTTGATCTGTGCCTTGACCGAGACCACGAATAAGAATGCAAGCAAGCAAGCCGTGCCTGGAAAGGGAAGCGTAAGAATCCCACGACGAGTCGTAATAATAATTGCTAATTGAACAGCCGCGGAGTGCGTCAGAGTCTCCCCCAGCAAAGCCGGAGAAGACTCCTGACCTGGCCACGAAAGCTACGAGCGGAGATCAAGGACTCATGCCCCATTCCACGACCACCAGATCGTCGGTGACCGAAGGATTCGTCAAAAAGATTGTCGACGATGCAGTCTCGTGGGCTGAGGAGAAATTCGAAAAATTGAGTGTGGAGCAAGGGCAAGGCGTTGGACCCTACGCCTCACCAGCGACCTGCGCTCCAAGCGACTTGGATCCGATCGCGAGTGGGGTCTTGCCCGCGATGCCAGGCCATAATGTTTGCAAAGACGCCACAGGGAAAGGTTCGGGTAAATACAATAACAAAGGGAGGGACGGCATGGAGGAGAAGGGTAATGGGAAATAAAGGCAATGGATAAGGACAGGGCATGAGCTAACCTGTCGCACGTGAAACCGGTTCACGTGACCCAGCGCAGGGTGACTGTGGGTCTTCACCTCTCACCCTTTTCCAGTTTAGGACTAGCGCTCTTTTAACTACTGTATATTTACCTCTGAGCTCTCTTGAGCTCTAGAGACCTTACACCTCACCTCAATCTACCTAGGTCGTCTCTTACCACGTAATTGACTGCTCCATGCCCTCCACCATCAATCAGCTCTAACCTTGCGATATAACCGTGGATTGGAATCCAAGAAGTACCCTTTTAAGCTCCGCGAGTAACAACCTTTGGAGATTGAATAATTTGAGGCATCTACGTAATAATTCCAGTGAGAAATGTTGTACAACTAAGAGAAATGCATAACCTTCAATGAGATCTCGAGCACTGGCGATGATGCCGATTTTGGGTTTTCGTCACCTGCAACCGCGCTATTCCGAAAACGAACACCTAAAAATAGATCGTCGCGGCCGTCATTCTAAACTCCATCCCATTCCCATGAGGCTGTTCAGCAAAGACATGCGGCTACGTGGCGAGCGTCCGCGTTCAAACTATTCCCTCTCTCAGCCCAGCCCTCCATCCGACCACTCGTAGTCGCGCAGAGGCAGAACTCCCCTTATACACTTCAAGAGGCAAGAGGATACCTTGCAAGGACAAAGAGGGGCTGTCGCTTTAAGTTTGTAGGGCTTGGATATGAGGTAACTGGGTTGTGTTCCTCCAAGAACTGGGTACATAATGACTGGCTGACCGGGACTTGCATTATGCGGATGAGATCATCCTTAAGAGCCTCACGCGAATGCAATGGGATAGTAGTTAGATGTTGAGCGTTAATGGACTTGGATGCTAGTCATCGATAGCCTCGGTCGTGGATGTTCTTTCCCTACTTGATTTGTGGCTACCCTGTTCGGCCTAAGGTATTGATAGTCACCCACCTCCACACTTCGTCTCTCTGTCCCATCGACATCATCCTTCTCGCCGCACTCACTCTTCATCAGCCTGACAATTCGTTTTACTCACTCCTTTGGTCGTGTTTCCTGTTCAGTGGTCATAATGCCCGGACTCGATTCCTTTCGTTATTTCCTCGTCTTATTCTCTCTTGTGCTTTTTCTGGTATCCAAATCTAGCGACGCTGAGAGGCCATTCCACTGCGAGGGGTAGGACTGGTCCTAATCTCTGCCATCTCACCACGCTAATACAATCAGTGGCTCCATCTACTTCAGTGCTCATCCAGCTGATGGCCTTCTCTACCAGAATCCGGACCTCTTTCATGACTTCTATGTCTTCAAATGTGTCACCACAGTTCTATTCACTTCTGGTGATCGGGGCCGCACTACAGGAAACTTCTCATATATGCTCGAACGAGGCTTAGAAGACGCATACTCGTATATGGCAGGAACCGCTCCGGATGAGACCGCTTGGGATGAGACCCATGTGCAATTCAATGGCAAGGTCATCTTATTCCGTTCGCTAAAGGATGTGCCTCAGGTCCAGATCCTCTATCTCCGTCTTCCAAGTGGCACTGCGGATGGCAGCGGTTACGCAGCAAACGACGGCGAATCCTTGAAGAGACTTTACGATGGTGATATCAAGTCTCTCACTGCTATCGACGGAAGCTCAACGTATACTCTCGAATCCCTTCAGGATCTTCTTGGTGCCATATTGAAGAAAAGAGCGGCATGTGACATTCGTGTGCTCGACTTCAAGACCCCGCTTCCTGGAAAGAATAATGATGGTTCTGACCACGCCGATCATTCTGTTTCCGCAAAAGTGGTGGTGGATGTGTGGAAGCGGGAGCAGCTTGGGGGCAATCTACGAGGGTAAGAAATACCCATCTCAAGCAAAGCTGGCCTCTACTTACTAGAAAAGATATGCCGCCAATTTTATGCGTAGACTTAGCCCAACTCTCAATGTTTCAACCATGGACTACCGAGTCAAACTCAATGTGTTCCTCCAATATGCCGCTCAGGATAAAGATATGGTAAGCATTCTCGTTTGAGTGTGGTCAATGTGTAGCTCAGCATGGGTAGTGCAAGGACTACGACAACTGTTTTGAGGTGGAGAGGTCGGGTGGTCCCTATCTTGACGAGGACTTCAAGTTCGTGCCAACCTGGATGGAACGTGAATACTATGTCTCCTAATATCGATATCTGATAGTGGCGAAGTTCAGAAGTCTCTGAGATTTCGAATGCTTAAGTGCCGGGGGATTATGTCTACTACATGTATTATGCGTCACCATCTTGTCAACTAGGAACGGAGATGGAGATGGAGATGCCAGAAAACTAGATTATTGTCATGCCCCAATCACTCAAGATGGCGGCTTCCGCTCAATATTTCTCAGCAGCTAGGGGAGATCATAGACTCTAGCTGTTACTAGATTAGATTAAGGGAGAGATTCAATAAGATTTGAAGTTTATCAAGTTTCAGACCTCTCTATGTACTGATTGTGCACGAGGAGAAAAGGACATCCCGAACCCGTAATGGACTAGCGGACTAAGCAATACGGCTCGATCATGTGGCTCGCGAATAAGTCGCGCGGCGGAAACGGAATCCGTGCTTCAAAACACCACAGCTTTGTTTTCACCCCGAGCCGCGCATTGTCGCTAACAATCGTATGCGAAAACGCCATGGCATGAAAGACTCGAGAACACCCATGTTTCTCTTTGCTTATAGCCACCACAGCTCTACCATCTCTCTTCAGACCGCGTTTCGAAACGCCAAGTAAACAACCCATAACCAATTTCCACACGCTGAGACAGAATACCATGGCCGCCGCGAGAAACCAGAACCAACCAACCTTCAACATATTCACTGGTGAATCCTCACCCCCGCCGACACGAGAACCACTCCGCGAGACATTTCGTAGCACGCTCCGAGTCTCGCAGATTGCGCAAAACGCTCCGCATACAGTGCTACCCGCCGACCCAGTCAATGAGGACCTTCGCGCGCAGATCAATACCCTTCGCTATGAGTTGGAGACGGCGAAGCAGGATAAGGAAATGCTGAACCTACAGCACCAGCAAGAAATCAGGGATGTCCAGAATAGGGCTGAAGCGGACTTCAAGAAGGCGCAACAGGCGGAGACCTCTCGCAACCTGGCTTCGAAGAAATACGAATCGCTTCAGCGCGAGTTTTCTGAATTTCAGACCCAGAGCGCAAACGAGCGACAGGATCTGGAGCGTCGACTGCGATTATCGCAAGAAAATGCCCAACAATTACAGGAGGAAGCTGACGAAGCGAAGGAAGATTTAGCGTCGTCGCAGCGACAGAGCGGGCACAAATACAACACTCTGGATGCGGAGCACAAATCCCTGAAGGAATCAGTCAATGATCTACGAGCGGATCTGGAGATCAAGGCCAATGCTTTGCAGACTGTACAAAGGAAACTCTCCCAGAAAGAAGCCGAGGTTGGAGAGCTGGAAAGCGAAGTTCTGCGACTAAAGGCAATAACCGGAGATGCAGAAACCTTAGCCGTAATTAAGAGGGAATTGTCCGAACAGGTCGCACACATTAAAAAGCTAGAGGCATTAACCCGAGAGCAAAATGCGGAGCTCAAGCAATACAGGAAACAGCACAAAGCTATCGATGTCGTAGAGGAGGAGAAGAGAGCCCTAGAGTCTAAGGTGCGCGTGATGAATGACCTGCGGCGCGAATTGGGCGAAGCACAGTTGAGGAAACAGTTGCTAGAAGACGAGAGAGATTCCTGGATCTCATATTTAGAAAACCAAGGGGAATCTCAGAACGGCCCGCAATTCGAGAACCCCGAGGAGTTAGCACGAGCTTTCATCCAACAACGATTGGAGATGACAGAGTTGATCAATAGACTGGGGGAAATCAAACCCGAGCTCTCAGTCAAGGATGCAAATATCCAAGCCTTGGAGGATGAAAAATCTAAAATCCAGGCTGAGATGCAAGCTCTAAAAGCTTCAGGTGGCGGACCCAACACCAATGAAGTCAAAATTCGAACAAGATTAGAGAGGCAAAAGGTATTGGCAACAAAAGAAGTTGAGTTCCTCCGTGCCCAGATCAAAGCGTTCGATGACGAAGATCGCGAAATGCAACCAGAGAATCACGACGCTGCCAAATCTGCCCGGATTGCAGAACTTGAAAAGGTGGTTGACGAATATCGAAAGGAGATCGAGACGCTCAACAAGGAGTTAGACGCGACTGGGACATCTGTGTCTGTTGCTGCTGGCCAAAAGCGTGCACTTGACACCGAAGATTCGGACGAGCGTATGGGTGAGCTCCGTCGAAAGAACAGACAACTGCAAGATGAAGCCACACAGTTCCAGAAACGGATCAAAATTCTCGAAACCGACTACAAAGCACAGTACTCGCAGCTTCAGAAACTGAAGGCTTCGTCACGAACAAGGGTCCTTGAACTCAAATCCAATCCCACCGCTGACGCTGAAGCTCTTAAACTCAGCACTGTGCGGACTCTCCGTGAAGCAAACGCACAGCTGCTCGCGAGACTCGAGGGCGCCAGCCTAACCCCCGATTCCGTCCCGATTGCTGCGCTATCGGCTGCGCAAGATGAATTGGCTGAACTGGCGCATACGGTGGCCGAACGTGAAAAACGCATCAAACGTCTTAAACAAATCTGGACCGCCAAATCACTAGAATTCCGAGAAGCAGTTGCCTCGGTTCTAGGCTGGAAACTCGACTTCATGCCCAATGGGCGCGTCCGCGTCACTAGCATGTTCTACCCCGGCGAAGAAGAAGGACAGAATAGCATAATTTTTGATGGAGAGAATGGTACGATGAAAGTTAGCGGCGGAGAGCAGAGCGCGTTTGCAAATGAGATTAGGGATTTGATTACGTTTTGGGTAGAGGAGAGGAAAGAAATCCCGTGCTTTTTAGCCGCTATGACTTTGGAGTTTTGGGAAAGGACCACGAGGGCAGCAAGATAGAAGTGGGGTTGGATCTGTAGTGAGTGAATTCGATAGAAGATGCGTTGTGAGTGCTGTATGATATTATGTCTCTGTACTATGTGGGGCTCCTGGTCTACTCATTTAATAGCTAGTGGAATGTCTGGAGCGGTCGCTGTTTGGTCAGTTTTGACTGTGCTCTATGTATAAGATGGGAATGGCATGTAAGGAGGGCTTCTAGGATGGGAGATTTGGTTATAGGAATTACATGCTTTGCTCGCTCATCGACTTCTAAGCCTGTAGGGTGTACGGTTTTTCGAGCATTAACGATCTCTAGTCTGCAGAGCGATTATAAAGTTATGACACTATTTTACAGAGATTCATTACAGCTTCTCAACCCCTTTGTTTCGTTGTCCCCTTTCGTCCTCAATCACGCCCAGCACCCTCCTTGTAACTTTATCTCTCGCCCTCGTGTCAACGACACCATACGCCTCTTTCGCCTCCCTAAAAACTTTTTCTTCCCATCCGTCACCTACATCTACATTGCCAGAACCAGTCCAACAATCCTGCACCGTTCCTCCAATGCTATTGAAGAATCCTTCTAGCCCACCCACACCGCCACCGGCATGATAACTCTTAAATGGTCCCGCTACGGCCCACCGAGGACCCATAGACGATTCAACAATTTTGTCGAGCTCGCAGACGGACACCACGCCGGTATCGACGAGATGAATGGCTTCGCGCAGTAATACGAAGGCAAGGCGATTAGCTACAAAGCCTGTGATTTCCTTTTTGAGGTGAATTGGGACTCGGCCTCGAGCTCGCCAGAAATCTTGTGTGCGCTTAATGACTTGAGGTGAGGTCTCCGGGGATGGGACAAGCTCTAGTAAGGGCATTATGTGCGGTGGATTGTAGGGGTGAACTACTAGGAGGCGGCACTTGTCTTGCATGTTGGCGCTCTGTTGGGATGCTGGAATGCCGCTTGTCGAACTCCATAGAAGTGCCTCTTTTGGTGCATATTTTTCCACTTCAGCCCACAGCTCTCGTTTGATGCCTAGGTTCTCGGGGCTAGACTCTTGGATGATGTGGGCGTTCCGCACAGCTTCTGGTAGAGACTGGGTTGTTTTGACCTTCGAAGACGGAACTGGGACGGAATTTTCGTTATCGTAGAATTTGGGCAGATCTTCTTGGACGTAAGTTTTCAGATTGGGCCGCGTGTCGTATATGGTTAGTTGGGATGGGGATTGAAGGTGCAACAGGTGGAATGCAGCGAAGGACAGGCCAATCGTGCCGGCGCCTATTAGTGTGACTCTAAGGTCTGGATCGTACTCCATGTTGAACAGGGATTGGTTTTAGAGAGGGCAGGTGAGCTGCTTGAATTCAAGAGCTAGATGTTTGGGTACGGCTAAGCTTCCGGAATTGCGAGAGGATCAGTCCGAATCGGAATCTAGGGGATATACCTACTTTTATGAGATATACACCCCTACGAGTATGTAGAGGCCGAAAAGTGCGGTCAAATGCTAGCTCTTGAAGTTTCTCATTAGCATGGACAGTGCCTTAGGAAACAGTAGGGAGTCTGCACCAATGCCTCCAGTTCGGCCCCAGACTCCTCTAGCGTAATATTATCAATGATGCCTTCGAGGCGGGATGTAACTTGTTGATTGAAGTTCACAAGGTTTCGGATCGCCCGAAGGTGTTGGAGGGTGCATGAAGTTGACATACACAATTGCCCTTTCCCCTTTCGGCCAAGCCTATAGCAAGCTTCAACCCCACCCACCTCCTTGCTCCAGCCACTACATCCCTGCTTCAAAATCGACTCGATCAACCTGAATCCCATGGAGCTCGATGCTCCGAGGAACACGATAGGCTTACCCTCATGGGTGCAAAAGCAGAGCATCTTGCCTGAGCCTTAAAAGGCCATTCCCGAAATTTACAGCCTTCTTTAGCTCAAATTACATGTCTAGTGATTCTCTTCCTTTTTCAAGATACCTTTGTATAGATTATTTCCTAGCTTTCATTACGTCTAGGACAGCACCATGGTTATCTTTAAATCAAGGCAACCGCCGATTGACTGTAACGCCTCCAGTACACTCTTATTCGGCCCACCCAACTGACATTACAAAGTACCAACCGAGCTCACAGACTGGGACTGGCTCTTCGACTCCTCCTACTCACCTCTCTGCCAATACCCGGAATCCGAACTCGCTGGTTTCCAGAACGCAATCACCAAAGAGCGAGTAAGCTGGCGCGACGTTAGAGACTGTTCAACTTTCATATCCACAGCGCTCGTCAAGAAATACGGGCTCAAGACTGGCGAATCCGTCTCCTTGTTTAGCCAAAACACAGTGTGGTATCCTGTCGCCATGTTCGCTGGCTTGCGTGTCGGGGCGAAGATTTCAGGTGCAAGTCCAGCGTATAATGTCGAGGAAATGACATTCGCACTGAAGACCGCTGATGCGAAATTCTTGATGACGACTCCAGGTAGTATGGAGGTTGCTGCCGCTTCCGCAGTGGCTGCAGGTCTCCCAAAAGAAAACGTTTTCTTGCTTGAGGGGCAAGTTCCCGGGTATACTACCATTCAGGAATTGATTCACGTTGGGAAGAGCTATGGGGAATCCGGACAGACTCCCGCGTTTAAGCTTCCACCGGGGCAGAAGAACAAAGACGTCTGCGGGTTTCTATCTTTTAGTTCCGGCACTACGGGATTACCCAAGGCAGTCATGATATCTCACCAGAATGTCATTGCACAGTGTCTTCAGATACAGCAGATCACGCCCGTTACGCAGAAGAAAATCATGGCAGTCCTCCCGCTGTTCCATATCACAGGTCTGGTCCACCAAATGCATCTTCCGATCCTTCTCAACGCCGAGGTTATCATGCTGCCGCAATTCACAATGAAAAAGATGCTCGATATAATCGTGGAGTATAAGCTTGGGGAACTGCTCATGGTCCCACCAATCCTTATTCGGCTCGTAAGAGATCCGATAGTGGACAAATATGACCTAAGTCACGTAACACGCTTCTCCTCCGGTGCAGCTCCCTTATCCGAAGAAATCATTCAACTCCTTCAAAAGAAATTCCCAGGGACAGGCTTCAAGCAAGGCTATGGGATGACGGAATCGTGTAGTTGCATCACAGCCCACCCACCGGAGAAATTCGACTACAAGTATGCGCACTCCGGCGGCGCAATTGTAGCATCCACCGAAGTCAAGATCCTCAAACCGGACGGGGCTGACGGCGGTATTGGTGAGTCTGGCGAGGTGCTGGCTAGGGGTCCACAGGTGGTTATGGGATACCTGAATGACGAGAAGGCAACAAAAGAGACGTTTGATGAGGATGGGTGGCTGCACACAGGCGACCAGGGTGCAATTGATGAGGAGGGAATGATTCACATACAAGATAGGATTAAGGAGTTGATCAAAGTGAAGGGGATTGGAGTTGCACCAGCCGAACTCGAAGATCTACTGCTGGGACATAACAAGGTTGAGGACGTGGCCGTGATGGGCATCAAGGACGATTACAGTGGAGAGTTGCCGAAAGCGTTTGTGGTGCTTAAGCGGGGTGTCGCTGCTGACGGCGCCGTGGGTAAGGAGTTGATTGCGTTTGTGAAGGAGAAGAAGGTGCGGTATAAGTGGATCAAGGAGGTTGAGTTTATTGATGAGATCCCGAAGAGCGCGAGCGGGAAGATTTTGAGAAGGGTGTTGAGAGACAAGCAGTTGGGTGCGGAAAGAGGGACGATTATCAAGGATGGGGTTGGGGAGAAGGCTATGCTGTGATGCAGTGATACAGTCTTGTAGAACTCCTGGTATACGCATCTAAACACTCTTGTACCCAATGAAGATGCGATTTCTCGATCACCTGCCATGGCTGGGCAATACGAGTGCCTGCCGTTGTCACAGGTGTACGCTCTTTCAAAATCAAGTCCAAACTCCTTTGCCACGATTCATGAGAATGCCACCAGAGTGCCGTGCGCCAGACGCCTTGCTAGAGAGAATCAGAAGAATCTCATATTGCCCACCGGTAGCTTGCGTATCTGCCAGCCGTCTCGGATTTCCGAATGATCTTCACCACCTGCCCTCTTCTTAGCCCGAGGTATTTGGCAACCGGATCGGTGACCTGGATCCTGGGCAACTGCGTCTCCCGCAACCGATAGCGTTCCAGCAACTGCTGCTTCTCTTCCTTGCTCAGCAGCACGTGCTTGGGGACCAGCTCATGCTTAGTAATGTTGACGAGCAAGTCCTGCTCGACGAAAACCTCGACGCCGCCCTTGGGACCTTCTTCGATGCCCGCTGACCCGCGCAACAGCCGCAGCGCCATGCCAGTCATGGGCTTCGAGCAGATCATGATGCCAGAGTAGAAATTGCCGTTGACGAGATGTTGCATGTAGTCGCGCAGCTGCTTGAGGCCGACGTTCTCGTCGGAGTTGAATTCGACCCAGATGGTGCCGATTTGGGGCACTGGGTGGGGGATCTTCGCCGTCGGTGGGTCGGAATATTTTGCAAGCATAGCCTCGGTCGGCTGGCAGGAAAAGTGCATGCGTGTGCGACTGTGAGGCTGTCAGGAGAGCCAGGCAGGGGGGTGAGGGGGGATGGAGCGGTACTCGGGTTCACCGTCCTCCTTTGAGAATCTCGCGTTGAACACTTCTAGCGGTATCTCTGTGTCTTCTTGCAGCATCTCGTAGCCCTAGGGTTCGAGGTGAGCGCGGGGGGACGAATGCGCGGTGGAGAGCAGAGGCCTACCCTGTCCATGCACATCTCCTTGACGGTGCGATAGACGCGCCACATGCGGATCATAGCCGGGCTGATGTTGTTTCTGTCGTCCATGCTGATGGTGGCGACGGGTGCGGCAGACTGATGTGAGAGCGTGAAATGTTGGGTCAAAGAAAAGTAGTGGAGGTGAGCGCAGCCGCTTAGAGAGAAAGTTTGGCTATGCAGCGCCAAGACATATGTACACAAACCAAGACGAGCCCCGCCAGAGCCCACTGGGACAGCTCCGTCACCCGCGCCGCCATGTCATCCGAAGAAATACCAGACCTCAGAACGCTTCTCACCACCCGACGCGGAGGCCTGTCTCGGGGCAGGGGCCGTGGGAGAGGTCCATCGGGAGCCTCGCTCCACGAGAATGATGCTCTCGTGGACCATGCCGTCCAGAAGACAGACGCAGACGCGGCCGGCTTCAGGTTGAGCTCCGTCCAGCTTGGCTACCTAGAGGATGCATATGCCAAACTCTTCGCAACGCAGCCAGCGGTGCGGCGACCGCCTCTTATCAACCGAGGTAGATGTTAAGCTTCCCTCGGTTGAAATATATCTGATTCTTCTTAGGGACCTATGTCCGTACCTCCGCAATCGATCTCCTCGTCCACAAGTTCCTTTCCCTCTCGCCGGACCAGCCGAAACAGATCGTCTCCCTCGGTGCAGGCACTGATACGCGGTATTTCCGTCTGCGCGATCGATATCCAGACCTCCAGCTCACCTATCACGAAATCGACTTTCCCGCTAACACTACTGCAAAGCTCGCTGCTATTCAGAAACACCCTCAGCTGTACACTAAGCTCTCGTCGAAGCGATCTCCCGATCCTCTCTCCCTCGCACCCGGCGCAACTTCCTTCTACTCTTCGGCCTACAACCTCCACGCCCTCGATCTTCGCTTCCTAGCTACTCTTTCTGATGACGCCCAGCCCCATCAACTACCGCATCTCGATCCCTCGATCCCCACCCTAATACTCTCAGAAATGTGTCTCGTATACCTACAGCCCTCTACCGTCTCCACAGTTCTCTCCGCCTTTCTCCATAAATACATCCCAGCACCAACCCCGCTCTCCCTAGTCCTTTACGAGCCAATTCTCCCCCACGACGCCTTTGGCCGCATGATGACCTCGAACCTCGCACACCGAAACATCTCCCTCCCAACTCTCGCCGCGTTCCCTTTGCTGCGCGATCAACGACAACGACTGAGAGGCTACGGGTTCTGCCATGGTTCTAGGGCTGCGGATACCGAGTTTATATGGCGGGAGTGGGTGAGTGACGAAGAAAAGGAGAGAATTGCGGGCTTGGAGATGCTGGATGAGCAGGAAGAATTGAACATGCTACTGAGACATTACTGCATTGCGTGGGGGTGGAGGGATAGTGGCTCGGAGGATGTGTTTTCGAGGGCATGGGAAGCAGTCAGGGAGCAGGATGGTGGTTGATTCGTCACGCAAGCAAATTGGCTACTGAATACATCACATGGGTTGTAAAACTTGATGCATGACGAAATATTACTCCTGCAATTCCTAGTTGAGGGAGATGAGGGGAGTCTTGGTATACCGCCATGTAGGGTGAAACTAGTATGTGAATCGACCAGGTACAGTATAGGAAGATGAGAGTAGAGCGCGGGCGCGATATCAGGAAGAGACCGAAGTAGCAAAGACATCCTGGGGTATTGTTTACTACGAGGACCTCGTGAAAAGCGAGTTAATTCAATAGCTAAACTTGCCATCACCCATGAGATTTCACCATGACACATCAAATAATGATTGTAAAGTTCCTTGTGCATTCTTACATCTTGTAATTTATGCTGTCCTATTCTGCCTAATCTCCCCCAATCCAATCCAGACCTATCCAGCACTAGTCACTAACACCTATTCAACCTGTCGAAAACACTCCAATCCTCCCTCATCCTACCAACACCAGGCGCACACTGACTGCCACCGACAAAAAAACACTAGGAAAGGGTATCGGAGCACAGCAGAGAAAGTGCTGGCTATGACGGTCTGCAACAAGACCATAACATGTAGAGAATACAAGAGGGGAAGATTAAGAAGGTAGTAAAGGTTGTTTGCGCTTGAGCGCCCAGAGTCTTGTAGCCCGAAATTCCCTTGACCAAGAAAAGTGAAAAGTGTAGAAAGGAGAGAAAGTGGTTGGCTGGCCTAGATAGCTGAAATTTAGACACCAAATAAACAATCTTACATCTACTCATCTGGGCATTTTTGGCATCCATATCAAGCAAGACTTTTGCAAAAACATGTAATGCAGAGACAGTGAAGAAATGAGAAGATCCACGCGCCTGTTAGGACATTGGCCGTAGCACATGCTCATGGCCGCATATAGGATTCATTTTGGGCATCTATTCAGAAGCCGCGGAAAGGATCGTGCGACTCGTGCATAAAGTCTTCGTAAATTCCTCCAGCTCGATGCGGGTCATTGGTGCTACCGCTCCATTGGCTGTTCCCTCGTCGTCTTCCGATTCGCGGTCGTGGCCCTGGTGCAAATGGCGCCTGTGTAGTATCTTCTGAGAGTGTCTTTTCAATGAAGGCTTCCATTCGCACGGTGCCCATTGAGTCAAAAAAGTGCCGTCGAGTCGAAGTACTTGCTTCGGAAGTCCTGGTGCTAGCCACCACACTATGTGGGTTATACACAGATGAAGGTACTGAAGGTGGCTGAGCATACATGTCTGAAGATCCCGAGGAGTAGAGAGAAGGCACAGGCTGGTGTGAGAAGCTTCGGTAGCCAATACTAGGGGGAGGAGCGCGAGGTCCAGTCGAACTCCTCTTCCGACCATGATAGGGGCCTCGAGGGATGCTAGGGGGATCAGCTGCATCGGGAACTGGCTTGTCGAACTGAGAACCGGAATACCAATCTTGAATAGGATCAAGCCCAGTAACCTGGTGCCGCTGTGTGGCCGGGTTTGCCTTGTCCTTGGCGAGCCGAACCGAGTCGCGAACATGCGTGCGTCTCAGCGTAGCTCCAGACGTCCGTGGTGGAAGATCCTCCACTGGAGGAGGAGGTGCTGGAGGTATTGGCCCAAGATCTGGGATAGGCGAGCTTGAGTGAGCCAGAAAAGACAGGGCTGTGAGCCAGAGATAATGGCGCTCGCGAGAGACAACAGTAAACTTCAGAGCACGCGCTGGGGTCAGGATCAGAATGGACCGATTGAAGAGTGTCTGAGTACCAGCATTTCGGGGAATAGGGGTGTTGTCAGCAACATCAAGCACCGACTGAATAGTGACTATAGATAGTTAGAGAATGGGATTAGAGCATATTCAAAACACAACTTACGCTTGCGGCCGCTCTTGCCTATCAGCGCAGAGCTGGATGTGGGTTGCTTGCCGCTCCAAAGTACTGAGCGCTCGTATGGTGAGATCCATACCCAGCGCTTGTGACGCACACCGTTGCTGGTCATGACTGCCGCCTCTTCGCGGTGGATGTCAGCGGGCGACTCAGGACCACCAAATGCCTTCCTTTTGCGAACATATTTCCACATCCATTCGCCAACCATGGTAGCAGCAATGGCATCGACTACGCTGGCTTGCTGTCCAATGCTTCCAATGGAGCCGTTGCCAGTGTGCGATGTGTTTGTCGACAGCTGGGGTCGGTGGCCGAACCGCTGGCCACTAACCATGTCATTGGGCAGTGGCGGAAGAGGCGGACTGGGAGGTAAAACAGGTGTGCCGGGTAGGGGCGGAGACCGGCTCCGGGAGCGGCCAGATTTGTGAATAACTGCTGCTGATCGAACCTTACGCAAACTGTCCTTGCGCTGGTGCTGCCTCATGCCATATGGTCGTCGTCCCGGGAAGGCACCGTTGCTGCGCGGGGTTGGGCTTTGGGAACCCTCGCTCTTGCTTAGAGGAATTTTGCGTGAGCTCGAGCGCGTTGGGACAGGAAATGGAGGCTTGGGCATATAGCTGTTACTTGAGCCAATGCTGCCGAGACTGGGACTGCGCGAGCGAATGTGGGCGACTGTTCCGCTTTGGATCATAGCCGAACGACGAATGCTGGGCTGTCTTGTGAGAGAGTTGCGAAGAGGTTTCCCAACCTTCGCTGACTTCTCTAGCGAGTTGCGACTCGACGAGAGTATCCTGCTAGAACCAATAGAATCTTCCGACTGACGGGAGGTGGAAACAACTTCTTTGTCCTCCGGCACGGGCGTAGGCGGGTTGTTAAAAACCCGCCCATTCTTTACGTTCCGCGAAGATAGCATTGGTGTCGAGAATTGGGTCGGTCGATATTCATCTTCGCTCATCTCGGCGCCGTTATCCTCTTCATCGGATGAGGGGCCATCGAAACCCGCGAACAAGCTACTTGTTCTGAATGGCCTACTAATGCCGATCTCTTTGTCGCGAGCTAATGGCCCGTTGTCGTTGTTACCTGGGTAGCGGTCCTCGACTTGCGTCTCGGTCTTCTTCTCTGCGGCCTTTTCTAGTAGAGAGATTAGGTCTTGTCGAGCAGACGGTACCGCAGTGGTTGCCTTCTCTGGGACAGTAGAAATAGGTTGGTTTGAATCCTTCCTTATTTCGGCGGCTGCTAAGCGTTCAGGCCTAGGCTCAGGTGTTCCGGGCTTTGAAGATATGGCTGAAGGCAGTAGGTGTGGCGGTAATTTAACAAGTCGCTGGTCGACTCTGATTGGTTCCGTCTGCATACTTGTCGAACGCGTATTGGAGGCAAGGTCGGTTCCCGTTTGTGTTGAAACCGTCTTTGTTCCGGGAGGTAAAATTGGTTCCTTGGGTGATGAAGGCGCTGATGTCGGGGCGTGTATAGCAATAGACGGAATTGGAATTGACACTGGTGGTGGAGCACGTTTTGGCTGGGTGGGCTTCGCCAGCTCTTCGTGGAGTTCAGTCTGGGTTGAAACAGAGACAACTTCAGGCTTGAATACGGGCGATATGGGCGTCTGCGGAACCGGTATCACAATCTTAGGTGTTGCCGGAGGACTCAGTGGTTGCTCAATTGTCTGTGAAGAGGTAGAGGTCATCACACGCGGTGCCTGAGCGCCATTAGGATGCTGTGCGAGAGAGACGGTTGAAGCCGCGGATACTCGTTTTCGACTCTGGTTCGCCTCAATTTCTGCAATAGATGGAATGCCGTCGCTGGTTTTAGCTGATAGTGTCGACTCTACTCGCACTGGAGATGGAGGAGGAGAAGGCTGTACACCTGTATCTATATACTGTGGCTTTGATGGAGGAAAAACCAATGTGATCTCGTGTGGTGCAACCGTTATCGATGATCTTGCCATTGTGCCGTTTGATTTTGGTGCTTCAGCCTCCTCAACTACGGGCAGCGGATCCTGGTTAAGCATCTGCTGGTTTTCAATACTTAGCCCGAGAATTCGTTTCGCTTTCTCGTCTTGACACGTCGATTGCCGCGATTGGAGAGCCCGTCTTGCGCGCATTTCATTTTCAGGAAAGTCATCCGAATCAAGTTCCAACTCTCCAAGATCCTCCTCTTCCTCGTCGAAGACAAGCTCATCGGCCAAGCTGAGACCGTTTGATCGACCATGACCCTCGGAACCAGTTCCACTCATCAGTGGCATTCGGTATCCTCGTCCAACACTACGATAGCTACCATTGCTAAGATTCCGTGAATGGCGGGCTAGTCGGGTAGAAGGCCTGCGCTGCGGAGAGGAACGGATGCTGGCAGTGTCACTTTCGTGTCCAACGCCACTGTCTCGAGTGATATCTTCGCCCTCACTGTCCAGGCCAGCCTCCTCAAGTGCAGCTTCCTGCATTGCAAGTTCATCGAGGAGTAACTTGAGTCGACTGTCCGAAACGTGTACTCGTCGCTCAAGTGCACGTCTCTCCCCAGCCCATATCTCCTTCTCGCGTGCCCACATATCGTGGACGCGGGTCGAGTCTTCTTCCTGGGCCTTAAGCTTTTTCTGAGTGAGTTCAAGCCTCTGCTTTAGATCAGCATTCGCATCCTTCGTCTTATCCCGCTCCCCCGCAATTTCTTCGAGTGCAGACAGTGTCCCATTTTCAAGCTGCTGGAGTTGGCGTTTTACCGCTCGGCCCTCTTTGGTACTTGAAGAAAGCTGGCTCGTCAGAGAATCATTCTCGTTACGTATAGTCTGAAAGTTTGTTTCCAGGTCCTCTATGAACTTGTGTTTCGAATCCAGCTCTCGCCGCAGTGACAGAATCTCAGAAACTAAGGAAGCGTGAAGTGTTGGGGTAAACCGGCGAGGATCAAGAATAGAGATGTTCTGGTCGTTATTGGCTTCCTCTGAGCCTTCGGCCGGATCGGGGGGGAAGGGCACCGGAGAGCCCGCCGAATCCGTCGCGGGTGTGCCATATCGCGAGGTCTGACGGGATAGCGAATGATACGGAGTATCGGAGGGTGATGGCAAGGGATGGCTCGTAATAAAGGCGTCGTGATCTGAAAAGTAGTCGGTCGCCATGTTGTTTTGGATGACTGGTACTGGCCAGGGGATATATCATGCAACCATAGGAATATCGTTGTCTTCTAGAACCACAGCGGAGTGCTGCTGGTGCTATGCGGGTCTAATACATGCCTATAGGTGATATTAGAAGGTGTCCTTGAAGCCACCGTCGCTGAGCGGGAGGTCCAGAAAAGTTCGGAGCGTACTTTGACGGGGCAAGTTTATGACTGGCCTGACCTATAAGGAGTCCACACCACACTCCTGTCCAAGCGTCGACGTCGATATCCGACAAACAGTGCCTCACACCGAAACCCTAGTACTTGTATACAGCGCGCTGGATACTAGGCCCTGATTCGATGTCTGCAAGTAATTGCGGGTAGAATAACTTCAACGAAGGTCGAGCACGTTACACGAAAAGACAGCAACCTTTGGATCAAAGGTGCTTCGAAACCTATCATGCGATTAGTACCAGGTACTCGAAAATTGCTGAACCCAAAACGTTGCAGGTTAATAGACGAGGTCCACGACCAACCTGGGAACACCTTGAGCACCTGTGCTTTACTCACGTTCTAAGAAATGGACGTCTTAAGCCAGAAATGCCGTTTTACCGCGTCCTTTTACCTTTTACCTGAAGCAATTGAAGTTTTTCCGGTCCGCAAGCGATGCACAGAGGCAATTGAAGGGAAAAACAAGCCGTGACGGCGACTAGCAGTGGCCGCGGTGGTGAAGTAGGCGATGGAGAAGTAAACACGCACTGATGAGAGGCTCCTGGCGCAGTCTCAACTAGGGAGCGGAGGGAGCAGGATTGGCGTCGTGGGCGAAGGACCAGGGCATGAGCGCAGTGATCCCAGTTGCGTTCATGCAGGGCTCCGCGTCAGGAGCCAGCAGAGGACAGCGAGTGCTCCAGCTCGCTCTGGGGGAAACGGGCCCATGAGCAACGGCCAAGGGCGGGAAACGGCGAATGGTGTGAATTCACCCCATATCAAATTTGTTCTGCACTTCGCCTGCCGCTGCGCACTCCCCGGCTACTTAGCGTGCTCCAACCATGCACGCTGTGGCCGCCAGAAGCTCCCTGCATCAAGCCGGGCCCGCCGAGGCGGACGCTGTTGATTGGCGAAACCGCTCAACTTTCCCCTGGGCGCGCCCACATTGGCCATCGCCGCTGGTCCAACGCATATCCGTCCCGCGTCGTCCAGCGAATGCTTGCCAGCAAAAAGAAATCATGGCAGCGCCGCTCGCCATGCGTGGGATCTCGTCCTTCGGAGCAGCGCCGCATGCGTGTGCCTCTGTCAGTGTGCTTCCAAAATTCCGCGTGTGACAGTGTGACGACGGCAGGCCGATGAGATCGCCGCATGCTCGTGACATGGCTCGACGGGGCAGTCACATTAATCGAGATGAGCCTGTGAAATTGTGAATGCTAGTGTTGAAAACCTCCGAATGGAGCTTACCGATCAGTAGTTTCAACGCTACAGAGAGCCGCGAGGTTGATAGGACTCAAGCAGGCCGTGCCACGCCTTCAAGTTTCAGCCATCATCCGTCGCCGCCAACCGCGGCGTGATTTGCCCTCTTTGAGGCCCGACGACGGGGAGACGTGATCCTTTCGTGATATGAGGCTTGCAAGTCGTGTGCCGTTATTCTTAGTCCGAGACCGAGTCTCGAAGACCGCATGTGCTGTCTGTTCGGTGGACCATAAAGGAGACAATCGAGTTTGGGCGGAGGCGACGCAGAAACCATGTTCTTTGCTGCCATGCTATAACGCCATGCTAAGCGGATTGGGAAGCGGCCTCCTGAGGCTTATTGCCTATTCCATCAGATTCTGTGAAAGGAGACCCGTGTTCTTCGGAAGAGGCAAGCTGCTGATGGCCAGAGGGCTGCGATCGACAGCTGGGCGCCTGATTCCATGTCCAACACATGTGCTGTGCTGCTCGCTACATGTTCTCTTTTCAATTTCGTGAGATTTGGCTACGATCTAGAGGTCAAATTGGACTACACTCCGGATTCGATACTTGAGGGCGTGCACAAGAAGTAATTCAATTGGGAATTGTGACAGCTGGCTGGGACGGGACCTACGGGTGCAGAGTCAGTGCAAACCAGCCACGCTCCTAATCATGCCAAAACCTTTTGCTCTCATGGCATGCTTCAATGCATGCTAGCTGCTGCAGCCCTACTCTTCCCTATTGGCCCGGACGTCATCCTCACTGACTTCAGCTTTGCGGTCCCATTCCATATCTAATTGTGTTGATCGAGCTCGAAATTGGCAGTGCATTGCAGCCCTCTGGAAGCACCCGTCTGCCGACAGTTCGCTGCCCGAGGCTATGGCCCGGGCAAATGCATGCAAGAATCCCCGTCGTAGCTCGATTCTCGCAAGGTCCAGAATCACCTCGAGATGATATCACCGCGACGCGTCGGGTCCTTCATCTCCGCGAGCATCTCAATAATGGATGAGTGTCTCCTGTGTTGGCATCCAGGAGACACGATTTGAGATCCAGGTCGGACGCGCACATAGTGTCCGATTGGCGTCAGAAAAATACCATGACCTGATGTCGCGGCAGTTAGATTCCTGACGGCATTCCCATGCTCACAGGGCTCGCCCACGACAACGTTTTCGGGCACCACTTTTGTTTTTTGGACAAGGCCCCTCTAGTTCCTGACTCGGATCAATAAGCCGTCCCCAAACCTGATACTTTACTTTTCGGGCTGGCTGGCTGATGTTCGCCATGGTTCTCCTGGCCATCCTGGCAAGGGCTCAAGTTCCAGGGCTCGCGTCCAAAGATCGTGTGTGTTGATCACGTGAATGACTAATCCCGCCTTGCAGAGGCGAAAATAAACACGAAGGAAAATATAAAAAGATGAGAAATGTCCCTTAAGACACAACACCAAGCAACGCTTAAAGGATAGGCTTATAATGGCGTCGCAGCCAACAAGCAATGATTCACAGCAGCACTTGGCGCCTCTCCCGCCGGCGATGGCGGAGGTCAAGGGCCAGAGCGTGGACGAAGTTTTCAAGGAGATGAATCGATTGCCTCTGTTCATGACAACTTTAGACGAGACTGACGGTGATGGAGGTGAAAATTTAGCGCTTGAGGCTCTGAAAGCGTTAGCCTACGAAGGCACGAGAGCGGAAATCGCAGAAAACTTTCGGCAACAAGGGAATGAGTGTGCGCGTGCGAAACAGTGGGCAAGCGCCAAAGAGTTCTACGATAAGGCTATTACTGCTCTTAAGGCTTCTCCGCAGGCCAGAGATCTAGAAGATAGACCAAAGGATGTGGAAATCGCGGTTGACGAGGAAGCGAAGGCAGAGAAAGACATAGAAGAAGCATGCCATGTCAATCGGGCACTCTGCAATCTTGAAAAGAGTAAGTTCCAAACACACAGAGAATTGAAGCTCTGCGCTCCCGTGCATTGTTTCAACCAAGTTTCTCCGTCACAGTTCGCTCCTCTATTTCTCAAAGCATGTGTATATCACACTGATTTCCCCCCAATGCCTCTTTCATCATCTCCTGACATCCCTCAGAAAACTTCCGCTCCTGCATTCAAGACTGCGCATATACTCTCCGGCTAAACCCCAGGAACATCAAAGCCCTCTACCGTTCCTCCTTGGCCTGTCTCGCTCTCGATAAAATCCCAGAAGCCAGCGATTCTTGTGCCCGAGGCCTAGCCCTCGACCCATCCAATAAATCCATTCAAACCTTGACCATTAAGATCTCCTCCCGTCAAGACCAACTCGATACCATTTCCAGAACGCGCCAAGAACGGGAGAGAAGAGAGGAGTCAGAGAAAGCCACGGTGCAACTAGCCCTAAAGAGTAGGGGTATACGGTCAAGCAGTACAGCGCAAGCGCCAGATCTTGAAGATGCTACTGTAAAATTGGAAGAGTCACTGGACCCAAGCTCAACGCTTTCGTTTCCGGTTGTTCTTCTCTACCCTTTACACTCACAGTCTGACTTCGTCAAATCGTTTTCAGAGAAGGAAGGGCTGGATCAACATCTCGAATATATCTTTCCGCTACCTTGGGATGCACAGCACGAATACACGCTGAATGGTGTGGAAGCATACATGGAGACTGCTGCGGGTGGGCTTATCAAAGCAGGCAAGAAGATGGGATTAGGGAAGATTCTAGGAAGCGGAAAGGTAGAGGTGGTGGATGGATTGGTTAAGATAAATATTGTGCCAAAAAAGAGGGCAAATGTATGGGTTGAGGAATTCAGACGCAGGAAAGCGAACTGAGTCGACGGAATAATGGTATCATGTTCTCAGTCAGCATTCCGGCCCTCGGTGAACTCAGTGTGGCCCTTGTATACTTTCATCCAAACTTGTCTGGCATGTGCAACTGCAAAAAGAGATATAACCGGAGATCGGAACCGTTTTCGGTTCGCAGCACGATCTCGTCAGATTCATCACACCTCCACGCTTTCGATCACCTTCATTGTTGGAAAGCCCGCTCCGTATTAACCCCCATCACAACTTTCTGTAGTCATCGCTTCCGGTTAAACCGTCGCGATGGAGGCCTCAACCATCTCAGTACGGCGTTGCAGTGGATGGAAGAACTGAACATGCATACAAACCCCAGCCTCGCCCAACCAGCTTTCAAAACAGTATCTCGTAACTCTGCAAATGATTACCTTTCTTCAATCAGCATGCGGAGGCTAAATTCCCTTTCATCCCCATCCCGAACTCGTTACCGCATTCCCGGTCGTTGGACATCATTCCTTCTTGTGCAACATAACTCCTCCCCGAAAATACTCGGAAACACGGCCTCCGCTCCTAGAAACAGCGCCCAATCAACTCAAATTCTTTTTTAGGCTATCATTTTGACGGTTCTTGTTTGAAGTATATGGAGTAGGTTCTCCATGGTTCACCTATTGACGTGGCGTTTTGGAAGCTGTGCGACATTGGAAACTGCCGCTGGGCTAATGCAGGTACGTTTCAATAATTTACCCGCCCAGATCGAACTTCCCTTTCATGACGTGCCACGTTGATCCAGTAACACATTCTGATTGCGAAAGCGATATCTCGTGATGGAATTTCGACCCTGAGAGAGAGAATTTGGGAAAGAAGTCTGACTGAATCAAAATTGGGATTCTTAGGTGCCCCTGGTACTCACATCTCTCTCAGAAGGAATACAGATAGAAAGCGTATATGTAGGTGCAGAGAATGGCCTGTAGTGGCAATGAAAGAGTGAGGGCAAATGGGCCATAGAAATTTAAATGTATGCACCTTTTGTTAATGTCTACCGTAGATGAGATATTCACGCATGTCATATATGACAAGTGAAGAGAGATTTCCTCATCCGGATCTTTTAAAAATGCTACAACCAAGCACCAAACCAAATGGGAAGTCACCTCATCTCCCCTCAGCAAGTCGTGAAGTGAAATATCATCGTTGCTAGTACACTCTGCAACAACAAGTATGTCTCCCTGTAGCTAAATACACACATTTGAATATCATCAACTCCAAAACCTAATAGAAGGTGCCCGGAAGTGTAGAGTAAGGGGTCTTTATGAACAAAAGTGACAGAGCAGCGCAGCTTGTGCTTTCATTCCATAATGTACAGCTTTGGCTCGCGGGTCATGGACTTTTGCAGATTCTTAAATACGTCTGGGTGGATTTTCGATGGGGAGTACCATCGGATAAACTTGTCGGTCTCCACTTCGTCGGCTTTAATCTGTTCCAAGTAGCCTAGAAACTTAACATCTGTTCGAACAAGCATCCTACGACCGAGAAAGTTGAGGAAGAGTTTCCGAAGTTTGGCCAGGCGTAGAACACGCAGGCAATCAATCAGATGGTCATCGTTGAGATATCGTCGTTCTTCGTGGGAATGAAGATACGGTGTGGAAGCTGGGGTCGCATCCTCAAGGATCAGTTTAATGTCTCGGAGGTATGCCAGATTCTCAGGTCCGATCATCTTCAAGAATTGGCGCACATCCTCTGTTACCAATGTTAGTAATGACGGAGTTGTAGTGAACCCCAAGAATCATACTGTAACCAATCTCCTTCTGCACTGGTTCCCAGAAAGGCCCGCGGACATGTCGATTCCTGTCAAAGACAAATTTATTCTCCCCATACAGCACGCTGCAAGCTTCGCCGTGGACTAGTTTGCAAGTGCGCAGGAGCGCGGCAGACCTGCAGAAGTTGTCTGGCTTCCCAAAGTGGAATTCTCCGTCCTGGACAAACAACAAACGGTAAACCTTGTTGCGAAGCTCAGGTGGAAGGTTCGTAAACCCTACTCGACGCTCTTCGGGCGAGCTGGCTTGACATTCCGGGGTGGCAGTGTCCAGCTTCCTCCTTGTGCTACGTGGCTCCATGTTGTAGGCTGCACTGTGTGGCGCAACTAAGAGACTCCTGTCGAGCTTCACCAGCAGTGGGCCATGAAACCCGAGGGGCACATTGAATTGGAGGGTAATTGGCGCCGTCGAAGGATGATGATGAAACATGCCGACGGATTCGTCGTCCGAAAGCTGATCTGGTGGCTCGTCATATATGATGGGGTCCAGTGGTGGCGGTGAAGGAGACGGTGTGCGTTTGCGCTTGCGAGTGCGCCTGCTCTGGGTAGGGTTACCTTCCTCATCCTCCGACAGTGAATCCATTGGCTCATCATCCTCAATCACGGCAGAGTCGACGTAGCCAGACAGACTCTTCTTCTGTCCCGCGCCGCTGCGAATAGGCCGACCAGTTTGTTTGTTGTACTTGGGCCGCAGCGATGGACTGCCGAGTTCGGGGCTGCTGTCGCGATCCATTGAAACGGATTCAGCCTTTGCAGTTTTCGGGGCCATGGTGAGTGAATGCTTGTAGACTAATAGGGGGAGTGCTTCAAGGCTACCAAGGGGGGTTCTCGTCTTGAAGGCACCTGGACAGCGTTGGGGGAGAGGGAAAGGAAAGTGCGTGTCTCCGAGACGGTCCTTAAGTAGAAGTAGCGGTAGCCGCAGTTGCAGTCGCGGGCGTGCCGAAATCACAATAGTAGAACCTTAGCAGGAGGGCAAGGGCGCGGGGATTCTAGATATCACGACAAGAGGCAAGAGCAAGTGAGAGAGAGAGAAAGAACGCGGGGTGGGGAGAGAGAATGAGCTTCTTCAATCTACCTACAGAGACTTCGGAGGGACTGTCTAGGGGTGTTCGGATACTGTGCCGATAGTAACAGACGTCGCGAAGACGATGCATTGGTGTGGTTCACTGTGAATCCACGGATGGACACACAACTAACTCCAATCATAAGGCAACTTGTCCCCTCAAGGTGGTGAGGTGCCCAGGGCATGTCAACAGCACCCACGTCATCCAGCTTGCGCCAAACAAGTGAGGTATGCAGCTGTCTAAAGGCGTTGAATCATCTTGGATTTAGTTGTGATGGAGTTCAGACGGGACAAGTAACACGGTGTTGAAAATGCTGAGCAATAAGCGAGCACGTGATGGCGGCACAAGCGCCGCCACACCGGACAACCTAGGGATGTCGGGCAGCCACACGCCACCAGCCGGCTTCGACGGTTCTTGTTGATTATCGAACGACGGGTCATGACATCGGGAGCCTGTCATTTCTCAGCTTCTCCACTGAACCACAGCCCGCAAAGCAAATGGCGACCTTAGGATCTGCCTGTCGAGTCCCGCTCGGACTCACTTGTCGCCGCTCTCTGCGCACAATTGCTGCGAATCAGCGTCGATTTGTCCAGCACCAATGGCGGGGCTTTGCGGCGTCCATTGACAGCGACCACAAGGTATCTCTTCGAACGTGGTACGGTTACCACGTAACAACCGGGCTAACGGTGCTCCAGCTGCTCTCTGCGGACCTCGAAGATGCAGATGCCACCGTCTTTCAGATCATTGAGAAGGTGCATCACACAGGAGTATTCATGGCACTCGAAGCTCACTGGTCTTCATTAGGAGAAAAATAGACAGAAACACTTCATAAACCTCATTCCCTCGGAGAACTTCACATCGCAGGCTGTGCTCGATGCCCTCGGCAGTGTTATGCAAAGTACGTCTCTCGCAACGGTTCTGTGGAAAAAGACTTATATCGAACTACATAGACAAGTACTCGGAAGGCTACCCAGGGGCGCGATACTATGGAGGAAACGAGTTCATTGATGAGGCCGAAAGGCTCTGCCAACAGAGGGCGCTCAGGACGTTTGGCCTGAGCGAATCAGAGTGGGGAGTCAACGTCCAACGTAAGTTCTGCCGTGCAAGCCAAAGAGTATCTTCAACTGACACAATCTTTCAAGCACTCTCCGGCTCGCCTGCCAATCTATACGCATATTCCGCAGTCCTGAACTGCCACGACAGAATACTCAGTCTCGATCTTCCCCACGGTGGCCACCTCTCGCACGGCTACCAAACACCTACAAAAAAGATATCTGCGGTCTCTAAATACTTCGAAACGCTTCCGTATAGATTAGACGAGAAAACTGGTTTGATTGACTACGTTAAGATGGAGGAGTTGGCGACTCTGTACCGACCCAAGATCATTGTTGCGGGAACATCTGCGTATAGCCGGCTGATCGAGTACGAGAGAATGCGGAAGATCGCAGAAAACGTAGGCGCATACCTCTTGGCGGATATGGCGCACATATCCGGCCTAGTTGCTGCAGGCGTTATTCCTTCGCCGTTCCCGCATTCAGACATTGTGACAACAACGACCCACAAATCTCTAAGAGGCCCGCGCGGCGCCATGATATTCTATCGCAAGGGTGTCAGACGAGTGGACAAAAAGGGTGGAGAAGAGAAGTATGATCTTGAAGGTCCTATCAACGCTTCTGTTTTTCCGGGACATCAGGGCGGGCCGCATAACCACACAATTACAGCTTTGGCAGTAGCCTTGCAGCAAGCTCAAACCAAGGAGTTCCGAGCATATCAGCAAACAGTACTAGAAAATGCAAAAGCACTAGCGGAGCGACTAGGTAATCCTAAGGAGAAAAGCGGTCTTGGATACAATATCGTCAGTGGCGGGACCGACAACCACCTAGTACTCGTGGACTTGAAGGATAAAGGTGTGGATGGTGCACGTGTCGAGCGTGTCCTGGAACTTGTTGGAGTGGCAAGCAATAAGAACACAGTCCCAGGAGACAAGTCGGCAATGAAGCCAGGTGGCCTGCGGATGGGGACTCCCGCTATGACTACACGCGGCTTCCAACCAGATGACTTTAGAAGGGTTGCAGACGTCGTCCATCGTGCTGTCTCCATTACCCAGAAGGTGGACAAAGATGCCAAAGCCAAGGCCGAACAAACAGGTAGAAAGAATACAGGAAGCGTAGCAGCTTTCAAGGAATACTTAGGTGAAGGAGATGACGTAACAGATATTGTCCAGCTACGGAAGGAGGTCGAAGACTGGGTTGGCACTTTCAGCCTGCCATGGACCAAGAACGGGTCGTGAGTTTGATGTAGAAGCCTGGTGACCAATACAGTTCATTGTGCAGACAATTTCAGCATCTTCAGGAGTATTGCTGCTCCCCACATCATCAATGAGGGGCAGGTCTAGAGCAATATCGAGCCCGATATAGCTTAAGTTTTGTATATATTCACCTTAGTTCTCCCTCCGTCCATCTCCTCATGCGAACGATGATCAAAAGAGGATTAAATTCCCTATTCACCCTCACTACCATCCTTTCACTAACGCCCTCATCTTAGCATTGTTCTTCCTTGATATTGTTCACAAAATCACAAATACGCGCGATCCTTCGTGATGGCCTTCTTTTCCTCATCGACCATCTCAAAAGTCGTTGTGTGAACCGGAAATAGCGCTTGTGCCAACTAGCCAACGACCTACAAGTTACTATTTCTTATTCAACCTCATTCCCTTAATATGTTCAATAGCCATCCCTCGCCAGCGATGGCTCTTATGCTTCTTAGCCTTGTTGTCACGATTGTGGGAACGACAGCAATGCCTCTCTCTCCATATAGCCATTTCATCCGCAGCGATGTCACTACACCTACCAACCCGGTGCCTCTCCTTACACGTGTCCTCGCGGGAGCAGTGCCATTGGGGAACCCAGCTCCTACATTAACCCAGCCTTGGAAAGTCACTAAGACCACTGTGCCATCCCCAAACGAGCTATCAAATGGACACAATCACCTCTATGGCGCCGGCCGCTATCACGAACAAAAACCCGCCGGCGGTGGACGCTGGCAAAGACAAGGGATAGCTATTGTAGGGTGGGGTCTGCTTTGCTACTGCGCGGTCAGTGTGTTCCTGTTCATCTGGCTATGGGCAACGGGGCTGATCGACAACTACTTCGGTGTAAGATATAACTATCACCTTGCGCCCTGTAGTGAGGTGACTACGGTCAGTAGTGCTTACCTTCAGTCCAGCCCACTATTCATGTCTGGGGCCTTCGCCGTGGACACCCACAAGACTCGAGTTACCCGCATGTCCACAGTACCATGGCTTCCAACCCTCTATTTCCCCATTCTTCTAACCTAACGGCGGGTTCAGATCCCTCACCGGGTCTTCAATCCTTAGGAAATTCTACAACCCTCGTTAGTCCATATGACTCTCGTGCGGTACCGGCTCTCATACCTCCGACTGCGGAGGCCTGGATCCAAATGCATACAGGCCTTGACAGAATAACAGAGCAGAGGAGACGGCATCACGAAGCATTAGATGTCGAAATGAGGAGACTAGGAATGATATGACAGGAGCCATATCTTTATCCTGACAATTTCCAACATCTGTCATTGTAGCCTTGGAATGGAAGGGGAGGGTGTAGCATGTTGCTATCACGACAAGCTCCCTCTATTATTGCCCTAGCCCACTCTACTACCATCTCGATAAATAAATATCTATGCTTAAAGGGTAAATCAGACAACTTTTCTTTATACGGTACTCCTTCTCTCCAATCTCCCCGTCTCTTTCTAGTCTCTCCATGCTTTTTTTCCTCGGGCTTGCTTAGATCTGCTCTTCGTCCTGCCTCACTCGGTCTACCGTTGGCCGACACCCGCGACCTCCGCAGTCTCAAAGCGTTCCGCATGGCCCGGAACCCCACCTTCCAGAAGTCACTCTGCAATCCTCTATACGAACCAGGCATCAATGATGTCCAGCTTTGGTCTAGGTCCATCCATGCATTAGAACTTTCTCCTTCTTGTACCTGTACATCATCGACAGAACTGAGCTAAATAATAGACCTTTGCATAAAAGTGCAGCGTACCCCGACAGACTAGTTGCATATTCGACAAGTGAAAAATCCGCATTGGGAGTAGGTAATTGAAATGGTGCCACAACTCTGGAACCACTGCACACCTTGGCGTCCGTTCCCCCAGTTTATAAAGCTGTAGTAGGGGTAGCCTTGACAAATAACTGCCGTGAAGTGTGTTTCATGTGGACGCTTTGAGTGGCCCGAAGTCGGCATATGTCAGTCAAAGCCAGCCTTGCCCAACTTGGCTCGACCTGTCTGAGTATGCCACGTGCGATGAGTCGCTTCAGCAACAGGTCAGGAGAAGATAGGTAGAATCGAACAGGTTCAAACCAGCAATTTTTGATGAGAGGGACCCACTCCTACTCCCTTCTCCACATTGTACGATGGCGACTGCACGAGAGTGATTAATAAAGGTTATATTAAAATAATCCAAGCATAGAAACTGGCTCAGAGTTTCACCGAAGAGAACAAACACCCAAGAACATACATGCGAGCTTTTCATTGCACTGAAAAAGACGAAACGAGTGTCTTATGTGATCGAGGGGTATTCTAAAAACCTTGCGTGTAGGAGTACGCTGCGCTAGCTATACTAAAGCTATGGGATATGATACAAGGAGAAAACGAGGAAATCCAGAAGGAAAAAAACCGTCATTAGCTTAAAGACGGCGACACAGACGCCACTAGTAGGTCGCATCCTCATCCATCTAACCGAAATCTGCCGAAGGGGATATCCATCAAAATTAGAATGCCGAAGTTACGCCTCATTACTCCACGTGTTTGCCGCTACTGTTTCGTGGTGTACTAACATGTGCTCGTGTTTTTGCGGTCGTTAAATCGCAAGCCTTGGTCACCTCCTTACGCTCGGGTTCCTCAATGGGCCAGGAACAGCACTAGCTCTCTCGTAGGGCCCATCATCAAGCACCACCCAGTTTGGAACGCTACTCCTGCGGTTACTTTTTGAGTTTTGTCTCGTGACGCTTGCTCGGACCTCTTTTCGCCCACTCACATTTCCAAACCCCAGGACTTCAGGGCGATCCAGATCAAAAGGATCTGACTGCCTTCCAAATCGCGGGGTAGGAGCAACACTGCTGAACATATTTGTCGTTGGCCGACTAGGCCCAGGCTCACCAAAGAATATCGAGGTGTTGGACTCTCGGGAGGCGTTGGATGCGATGGGGTTAAATGCTCCGAGTCCAGTATAGGCATTTGAAGGACGACGAGGAGGGTTAGGAGGTAACGCGGGGAGGGGCGGAACGCTTGGGGCGTCTGTCGGATCCAGGAATGGATTGTCGGCTGTGGTATATACCGAGGCTGTGTAGAAGGATGAAGGTGGGTGTGAGCTAAGTGCTGTGGTCGCACTCTGCGTCCTCTTATGCGATGTCTCCCGCAGCCACTCAGGCGTGCCGCTTCCATTTCGGTCCTCTAATTCATCTAGGATTGAGGCAAAGGGATCTCTCGAGGCTCTCTCTGGGCGAGCCACTGTTTTGGGGGAGATTGGGGCACGTTGCTGGTCCTGCAGCCCTTCTACAGTGACTTTTTGTTGGGGTCGAGGGGTGGAAGCTCCTGAGCTCGGGTCTGGGTTCAGGAGACGCAGATTCCTGGGAGGTTCGAGTGGTTCCGGATCTGCAAATGGATTCTCCTTGCTATTTCTAATCACTGGGTCCTCGACTATTCCTGGGAATGGGGATTTGGAGCCGTTTACGAGACTGTCTTGTTTCTTGCCCAGTAAGGTCCTGGACCTTTTCAGACTGGGCATACGGCCGCCAAAATCTCGAAGCTGCTGTCGGAATTTTGAGGGCGGCTCGCTAATGGAGCGGCTTCGTCCATTTGACCGCACCGAGTAGACCGAGCTCACGCTGCTGCGGACACTCTGCCTTCTGTATGGATTCTGCACGGATTCAGATCTCTCACCCTTCAGCTTCTGGAAAGCTGCACCAATGCCAGCCGGAATGGCCTTGAACTTGTCAAGGAATGGTGCTGAATCCGATTCGTTCTTCTCGCTCATGCGTCTCTGCCACCGTTCAAAGGGCTCCTTCTTCCGCCTCCTGAGGCACAGAAATAGCAGAACGCTGATCATGGCGATGCCGATGAAGCCACCCATTACACCTCCCACAATACCGCCTACGTTCGTCTGGGAAGGAATAGTGAGCCCATTTCCGTCGGCCCCTTGATCCGGAGAGATGATTCCTGCTGACCCCCCTGGCGAGACAGTCGACTGGGGCTGGTTGTTAGAGAGTCGATTGGAGGGGGTGTTGGGTGAAGGCGACTGGTCAGGAGGCTGTTGGACGGAAGACTCGACTGGTATGTTAGGCGTTATTGAAGTCGTTATCGAAGTGGCAGCTGGATTAATTGGGTCAGAGCTGGTTGGTGAAGAAGGTGTAGAGTTTTCGGCTGGTGTCGTTGGTTCCGCCACCGCCCGCGTTTGACTGACCGCCACCCCAGGATTGGGTGCGAGGGCAGCTGGCGGAGAGGGCACGAGGTTTGCAAGCACGGAGGACTGTACTACTGACGATACAGCGGCTAAAGAGACTGGATTGTCCGTACCTTCCGTTCCTGGAACCGAGGAGCTTGTTGCAGTCGTGGAGACGATGTCGGCGGCGGACGAGGACGGGAGTGAGGCTTCGGCAATGCTCGATGCTAACTGGAGGGCAGGAGCGGTCGAGGACGAGGAAGTTAATTCAGTGGTTTCTGCGGCGGCGGACGAGAGGGTCGACGTGGCCGTCCGGGCCCGGGAACGGGTACATCGCCTCCCACTCACCGTCGTCGTCAAATCCTGTGGAGTTGCCATGCAGAAAACAGATTCATAGAAAGAAACGCCAACAAGGGCTCAGGAACGGAGACGAAGAAGAGGAATCAAAGCACCACGGGCGCTTTGAGCATATTAGAAAGGTGGGAAATGAAGTCTCTGCAAGCACACACTGTGGAAAATGGGAGTCACAGGAAGAGAGTGTTAGCTGTCGTTCGAAGAGCGACCGGATGGCCACCAACCGTTGGCATAAGATGGTGCGCTGGGGTGGTCCTGAAACGGGAGGAGCCTCAGGTGCCGCTTCGGGCAACGATTCCTACAGAACTGACGCGCAGAACGCATCGCAGCCACTGGACGTAGCAGCATAGCCGTCTCAGACCCAGAGCGATGTTGAACGGAATATGCTAGCAAGTGATGCGTGAAGGCGCCCTGAGGCTCACGATGGGCGCGAGTCGTGATGCCGCAGGCTAGGAGTGAAGGTACTGTAGTGGAGGTGAGGGGCAAACAGCCTGTTCACGTGACCGACGCATGCTCCAGCCAGTCTACCTGCATGCCGTGGAGGCCGAAGTTCGCAGACAACTCTCGCGGGGTACTGTCGCGGAGACGACGCTCCTGGCATTTTGAATCCGCACTGCCAGCGCCAAGGACAAGTATCTAGGGTGTTCGACCCAATTTGCCGTGCGAAACGCTCCTGCGCTCAAGCTCCCAGCAGGATAACGACAAAGAAGGTGTTTGAACTCAGGTGTCAGGAAGAGCAAGACCAGAGGTATTCACGTAACCAAGATGCGGGTGAGAAGTAAGCGACCGTCAGGCATGCTGGAGAGTCGGGTGCACGAATCGCACCCTTCGAATTGCTTGCAGAGACGTGGATGCACAGACAACTGCTGGGGAGGCCAGGGTCGCAAATCAACCAACTTCCAAGGTTCATCCGCCCTTACTCCCCATTGACGACTGACGGGCGCCTCGAGTCGCTCGAGCATCGTCAGTTATGTTCAACTTCAGCGGTGAGTTGCTCTTTCCATCTGTCCCCTATCGGGAGCCTGTCTATATCGGCGTCTCCAAGGTGTTCCATCCCCAGCCTCAATTTCTCATCTCACCTCCAATATCAACGCCACATCCCACTAAAGACCGTTCTGTCGTCGCCATCCTCCGTCCGACACCTACCACTCATTTTCTCTGACGTGGAAGCGCCTGGGTCATATCTCGACTTCTTTTTGTTTGATCTGGAGCCCGTCTGTTTCGTTCAAATGTTCCATCCGTCCCGTGTTCCAACACGTTTCGTTAAGAGTGCACCGTGCACGCGAGTTTTCATTCGCTGATATCTGCTCATTGCAGGCGGTCTTCTCGCTGGCCAACACGACGCGCAAAAGGAGAGGGCCCCTCCATCACGACCAACACCGGTGACCTTTCCTTGTCTTACTCCGCCAAAGCCATTGTCGACGAAACTTCCTTCTGCCTGGACTACTCCCGGGATCCCTGCCCATTTCCTGACTTTGAAGAAACCATCTGATGTCAGCTGCGACACGTTGGCGCTGCTTAACATCTCATTCAGACCCCAATGTGACTTCGAAACCCTTCTTCTCTCCGTCTCCAAAGATGGAGAGCCCTATGTTCCACCCAAGTCCTGGCTTGATCCCCCAGGTCTAGGTGAACTAGAAGCATCATCTGCCTCACAACTTTCTCCTGCCCTCCTCAGCAACGGGAGAAGGGTGCCAGATCGAAAAGAATTCTACATGCGTGTCAAGGAGCTCTCCTTCAATAATGAAGACGCTTTTGCTAACCTCACTCGAAAAGCCAATCCTGGACAGGCACCCCTGCGGCTCGCACACTTCCGGCGCTTCTGGGAGGGTCTTGATAATATGGCGTACTATTGGGACAGCTCGCTCGATGAATATTTTCCACCAAGCCGTGAGAATGCCACTACAGAAGTGGATACTCTACAAAACCAGGCTTCTGGTAATGATCATGACCATGAACAAATGCAGAAAGATAGAGCCGAGGCTGAATGCAAAGATACGAGTCTTGAGGAACCTCGGAAAAAAGCAAAGACTGGCGCTGAAAGCAATGAAACCATCACTCTTCCCATCAATTCTCTGGGCGTCACTAGCACCCGGCCTGCCCCTCCAAGTTCGATATCGTCAAGCAAAGCTCTACCTGCTAGGATTGCACCTCCAAAGTTACCATGGGTTGTAGACTCTGGCTCTTTGACACAGAAGCCGATAGACCTCTCCAGAGGAACTTATCGAGGCTATCGAATAGGCAATGGTGCGGAAATGCCCGATCAGTACCGATTGGAATGCGTACGTTCCTTCCTCGAACCAATCGCTTGGGCGTTTGGGGTGACATTTATTCCCCATCGTCGCCCACCAGTGCTCTGTCTTGAGCACGTGAGGTTCCCGGTCCGTATGAATACCGTCGCATGGCGAGGGCCTGCGGATCGAACAAAGGCACGCCAGGGGTGGATGGAAGGACCTGTAATAGGGGTTCAGTGCAGACCAGACACTAATTTCGGTTCGAATGGCAATTTGGAAGCAGAATCGGTTCTTGATGCGGCCCGAGAACTTGGGGGGATGCTCCTCCTGGCACAAGAACGAGCGAGGGAAGGCAAGACTGAGAAGAAGGCTGGCGAAGGTAAATGGTGGACAACAACCCCTCGCTGGGGTGGAGGACCAGGTGGAGAAGTAGGTGAAGCTACAGGTACTAGTGATGCCCTATCACAAGAAGCCACTCCCAAGGCGGAAGAGAAAGCCCCAAACCGGGCCCGGTTTGGGTCAAAAGACAGGCGGAGGCCATCACCTGCGGACACATGGAAGGCCCTGAAACCTGGGAACCCACTCTGGGATCCCAAGATCGTCTATGAAGCCATTGGTAGAGACCCAAGTGACGAGTGTGATGAGGTCGGTGCCCATACCCTGGAAATATGGGTCACTGCCGTGCATTACCACTAATAAGCGAACAGGTTTTCATGGTATCATCGCTCAACCACCATATCAGTGTGCTGAAGCTGCGGGTGCATCCACAGTACATTAGTTATCTCACATATGGCATTCTACCAGAACAAGCACCTTCGGATCCGAATTGGAGCTCGCCTTTGCTACAGCGAACTCGCTGGTATGACCTATTCAACGTCCAAGAGCGGATGGAGGCAATGCGAGGTATATGGGGCATCATGGCCTACCTGATGCGAGCCCAAGATCAGGGGAAAGAGGATGTGGTTATGAACGAGAGTTGAGTACGCATCTTCGATTTGCTCACGCAAACCACTATGTTCATGCTCTCCCGCAACTGAACTAATTCCTCCAATTTCCCAGCACTTTGCTCATTGTAGACCTTGGTCCTTCTCCAAAAATGCATTTTCTTCATTCACAACGGTAGCAAGATGGCATATGCAGCGGAAAGGGTCCATGGTTCCACGGCACCTTTCTCGCAGAAATGTCGATTTGGAGGACTAGGTAATGGAATTTTAGTTACACGGAATGCGACTACCACCAATTCTTGGCCGGCATAGCTTCAACATCTCCAGGAATAGAATTCAAGAGGGAGAGTTCCACCACGTAGCGTTGCCAAGCGAGATTGGTCATAGATTGCACAGCAATGTCTGTACATCCCCAGAAGTTTAAATTTTTTCCATCAGTCTGCGTAACTTCCCTTGACTGATTTTCAAGACTGGACTGTGGGGTTGAAGGCTAACCAAACAACCACAACGATTGTGCCTCTTCTTCTGCTTCTGCGTTTATAGGACAAGTAAATGATCGGGTCGAATCAAAGCATGCCAAGCCCAAAGCCAGAAGAACCAAAGCAGGATTAAAAGTCTGAAGACAGAACCACTTCTCGGGGGCCTCATTGATCCTCTACCACCCCTGTACTGACAGACAACTGAGCCACCAGTTACGTTCCAAACACACCCATCGTATGTGATTAAACCGCAATCACATGCTAATCCTAACCAGACATTTTCCTTAGGTCACGAACTTGTACCCACGCTTATAACTGCGCCCAACAGTCATCTTACACTTCTGCATACACTCGGCGCTACCCAGAACGCTACCAGTGCCAACCTCAGGAATGTTCTTGCCCAGCTTAGCAATGTCCAGACTCGCGTCACCGAAGGCAGCCTTCATAAGATCCTCGGGGAAGTTGCGGAGTGCGCCGTTGAGGATGTTGGTGGTGCCCGTATCTTCTGAATTGAGAGCGCTGACAAGGACAGCATTATCGCAGCCTGTCTCAATGATCAGTGTCTCTTTAAAATAGATGGGGGTGGAGAGACAGGAGACAGTAAAAGAGCGTAGGACGCAATAACATCTCAACATACCATTATTCTGCATAGTATGCAAACTTCCCTGAGGGAAGATCGTCATTTTCCCAGGTGTCAAGTCCGCCTTAACCAACTTGACTCCATTCTCTCTATACATATAAGTTGAGGTACTGCCAGAAATTGCCACAACAAGGTTGGTGGCACGCGAATGCATGTGCGGTGGCAACATGGCACACGGTCCAAGATTTAACATCGCCATCGTCATGCCGAACCCCGTGAGGGTTGGGAAAGTAGCAGCGTTGGCATTGACGACAGAGCCAGGCTTAAAGGTATAATTGGGCCGCTCGTTGAAGTCGAAGATCCAGGCATCGTCCGTGTTCAGATCATTGTTATGTTTATCGATTTCAGTGGCCTCCGTCTTAAGTTTTGCATTGAGACCTGGGTTCACGGTTTGGTCGACTGCGGTGGTGCTGGCAATTAAGAGCGCCAGAAAAGAGGTGAAGAGGCTGTTGGGAGTCATATTGGCGAGGGGGATGGCAGAGATATGCCTGAGATGTAGAAAATTGATCTGTGAGAATGAAGGGGCGCAATCAACGAGAAGTGGTGAAGTTGGGAAGTAACCGAGAGGATTTCTTTAGATACTTTGAGTATATAACAGTAGATCTTGTTGGAAACGTTGGTGTTTAAATATTCGTTTATAGCAGTGAGCCTGGCAAACAAGAGGTCTCGATTAACTCCTCACCGGCTTTTCTCCTTCTCTGACACGGGAGCGTGGAATCAGCCACAGTTACTACGGTCGTGAAGTGGCAAGTTTAGAGAGCACATACAACCCCTGACTAGATTCGTTACCCTTTTGTAATGCCTAGGATGGTTCTGATTTGAAGTGTTCAAGCAACGCCGCATCACATCTGGTCTGGGACATCGAGGAGAAACCCATGGCATTTGACTCTTGTATTATAACCAACGACTTGATATGTTAGACTACGCCGGAAGCTAAAGTTAAAGCTAGACGTACTTCGAGAAAGTTTGTAGAGATTTAAGCCTGTCTAGCGGGTCAGAAATCGTAGGAGCAGGGTAATCATTGTTGGGACACCTGACTACTAGGCCTGAATCGGTCGGTCCAACCTCTTGATAACGCCTAGAAGTTGCGTTTGGAGTGAAAGGTGATTGCATTGAGGGACTAGACGTTGTGTGCGCCACAGGAGACTGATCGTCGTACAAGGAACTTACTATGACGAGAGTCTGTTGCAAACGTCAAAGAGATAGATGAATACGATCGGAAAGCTTCTCAAAAAATCCAATTATCGTCAAACGAGGGACTGAGGAACGTCGTAGCGAAAGGAAGCACTATTGAATCGCAAAAGAGCAATCACGTACTTGTAAGACAAGGAGCTACATACAGTTGTCATACGGCCTCTTGTCATACCACGACCCGTGTGAAACACGTCTGGAGTGACCCCTGTCAGGAAGAAGACAGGCTACGCTCAATTGTTGGCTCGTTCAGTTGCATTTCACCGTTATCTACAACCCTCCTCAAAGCGCCACAGTTCCCTAGCCAAGCCGACGGACCCATTCCCTATCTTACTTGCCCTCAAAGGTTCGGCGGTGCTGGAGAAATGCAAGTATTTCCAGGAAATCATTGCCCAATGTATGGAACACATGTGCGAACGTGGCAAAAAAGCGCGCCTACAAGGATAGTGCTCCGTTCGCACTGCTCAGCCGTGCCACCGTCTTTTCTTGTGAAGCAATGCCTGAAGTTTCGAAGAATACCTATAGACACACTTGACAAGAATGGCCGTAGACAAGGAATTTTGTGGCAACCTACGGAAGTTTCTAATGGTATATTCGAATAATCTTGTCAGGAACTTAAAAGAATTCGAGACGCAGAGGATCAGGGAACATAAACAAGGTAAGGACTATGGAAACAGAAGAGAAGAAAGCAGAGAGTGCAAGACAAATACTGATATGACAGATATTTAACTCGTGGCTCTGGCTTTGGTAAACAATTGGTCTGTTTCATACAAGGACATCTATCATACACTCGAGCTGTACCCAACGATACGTCGCCCCAGTTTCCATCTATTAAAGAATTTCCTTGCCTCATCTGCCCAAAACACGCAGCTTGCGACTGCCAACAAATGTACAAGATCTAGAAGGCTGAGAGCTTCGGTTTGGAAAATGTGTTGCAACGGGGGGAGGTATATCACGACAAGTTGACCAATTAGACTGCCAGCTACAGCATAATTGAACATCTTGTTTGAGAAAAGGCCAATCTCACCTGCAAGTACCGACTTGCTTTCAGACCGACATGTGAGCGCGTTGAACATATCAAAGAAAACGAAGCAAGTAAATGTCATAGTTGTGTCTCGCGCCGTGACTTCACCATCAGAAGTCATCTCACGATAATACGTCGTCAGGGTTCCCATCATGATAATTGAGGCAGATTGCAGCACTCGCTGCAGTAGCTGCCGTGTGAGTACGCGAGCTTTCTTCGGCCGAGGTGGGCGACTCATGACGGCAGGGTCAACAGGCTCGACGCCGAGCGATTGGGCAGGAGGGCCGTCCATGAGAATGTCTGTGTCATGTTAGCCTGTGTTTCGTCGCTCAAGGATAGTGAATACGTACTTATCCATAGGATTTGCATTGCGTTTAATGGGTTTTGAAAGCCGAGGAAGGTACTTAGCAGCACAAGACCGAGGGCGGCCGCACTGGTGCTGAGCTGAAAGGTGAGAAAATTCTGGATGTTGTAGAAGATACCCTTCCCTTCCTCGATAGCATTAAGGATTGTCGAGAAGTTGTCGTCGGTCAAGATCATATCAGCGGCTTCTTTTGCTACGTCTGTGCCCAATTTGCCCATTGATATTCCGATATCTGCCTTTTTGAGCGCTGGGGCATCGTTCACACCGTCCCCAGTCATTGCCACCACATCGCCTCGTGACTGAAGGGCACGAACTATTTTCAGTTTGTGTTCCGGGCTCGTTCTGGCGAAGATCGAGGTCGTAGCAATAGCCTGTGCAAGTTCCTCCTCGCTCATCTGGTCTAACTCATCGCCGCGCAGCACAACTCGTCCAATAGATGAGTTCATATTGATAGGCATTCCAAGCCTCTTACCAATGGCAACAGCTGTTGTCTCCGCATCGCCAGTGATCATGATCACTTTCACCTTCCCGGCCATCAGCCGTCGGATGGATCTTTCAACTCCCTTGCGGGGCGGGTCACTCATCCCAACAAGGCCTGCAAATATCAGTCCTCGGTAGTGCTCATCTTCCCCGAGCGCGGAACTAGCATAAGGAGGGTGCTCTGGGACCGGTACTGGCGAAGCACTACCACTTCCCCCTTTGTAGGGCGTCCGTCGTCCATCTTTTGACGCACCACTTGCAAAGCCAAGAACTCGAAGGCCTTCTTGCGCCATGGAGTCTGCGGCTCTGAAGACCTCTTGTTTGCGTACTTGATCCAAAATGACTTCTCGACCTTGAGCGGTTACGTATGTGTCGCAACGATCCAGGATCTTCTCTAGGGCCCCCTTTATGTACACCACATCTGGTCCAGGGGTCAGCTCTGTCCCTGAGCTTCCGTTGATAACAACACCCATCCATTTTCGTTCAGAGCTGAAGGGAGTTTCATATCTGCGAGCCCCAATTCTTTCTCGTACATCGTCTTCTCCAAATGTATCGAGCAAATCAAGGAGTGCAACATCTGTGGGCTGTCCAACCCAGCGGCTTTTCGCGGCGGATGTGTCATCTCCCATAGTCGACGACAGAACCGCAGCGGTGGAAGCCGTATTTGCGTGCTCCCCTAGGAGACGCGCATTGTTAACTATGTTACCAATTCTTAGTATCGTGCGGGTCGGAGAGTCGAGTTCGTCAGAGTCGTGCTTCTTGGTCACATCGACTGGTGATAGTTCATCGAAATGCCAGATCTTCGTGACAGTCATGTGATTCGTTGTCAAGGTGCCTAGAAATGCGTCAAAAGAGGAACAGGTGTATCTGGGATAAGGGTACCTACCTGTTTTATCACTGCAAACAACATTGACGGATGCTAGAGTCTCCACGCTAGGAAGTCGTCGAACGATGGCGTCCCTTTTCGACATTCTAAGCACGCCTAGAGCGAGAGTTACAGTGACGATGATGGGTAGACCTTCGGGAATTGCGGCTACGGCCAAGGACACGCCGATCTGGAACATATCTAGGAACTCCCAGCCTCTCCAGAGTCCAAGAAGCATTATGAAACCAATGACTCCAAATGACATGTAGCTGAGCTCTTTCCCCAGCCGATCCATGGAGAGCTGCAAAGGAGTACGAGGGCTTTCGATTTCCTGTAAGGATGCGGAGATGGCGCCGAATTCAGTATTGCCTCCGGTACCAATCACCAGGCCCTGCCCATAGCCTGAGCGAACCAATGTGCCCATGAAGGCAATGTTCTTCTGGTCATTGAGCCTTATGTCGGCGCCAACTGTACCAGCGGCGGGCGACGCATAGAAGGGTGAATGCGGACGGGGGGGGCCGGATGATGTATCGATAGTGTCTGGTGTCTTCGGGACGGGCTCGTTCTCTCCGGTGAGATTGGACTCGTCGAGGGTGAGATCGGCCGCGTGGGTTATCCGAATGTCTGCCGGAATGCGGTCTCCTGTATGAAATAACACCAAGTCGCCCGGCACTAGCAGTGTTGCGGATATCGTGCTTGAGTTCCTCTCCGCAGCTTCCAGAGATGCTGGTGTGTCCTTCAATTCGTCTAGTTCCACGCTGTCTGCTCCTACTTCGTTCGCTAATCGGCTGCCCCGGGGCGGGTCTGCAGTGGCGCGAATTGTATGCGCAGAGTGGGGCACCAGCTGGCTCAAGGCTTCTAAAGACTTTTCAGACCTGTACTCTTGCACAAATCCCACCGTGACTACGATTGTTACCGCGGCGGTGATGCTGACGGCATCCTCCAGATTTCCCATTAGGAACGAGACGGCGGCTGACCCAAGCAACAACAGGATAAGCGTCTCCTTGAATTGCTTCAGGAATCGCAGCCATAGCGGCTCTGGTTCTTCGTGGGGTAATTCGTTGAGTCCATGCGTGTGGATGCGGGCTGCAGCGATGGCTGGAGAGAGCCCATGGGTCAGGGATGAGGACAGCTTGCGCGCAGTTTCTCGAGGCGAGAGGAGGGAGTAGGAGGAAGCTACAGACTGCACATGATATTTAGTATTAGCTTCAGCGCCGAAAAATGGGGGGCGTGCTCTGAAGGAACGGCGACGAGCGGTCGAGACATACCGAGGGCGTTGAGCGTCTTTGCGGTACTTCTGGGGGCTGCAGCAGCGGCGATTCTGCCCGGAGTGCTTTGGACGCGGCGTTAGACACATGATACAGTGGTAATGACGGTGTCGATGCTCTTGACATATTGTCATGGCCCAACCGCCCTGAAAACGTGGCCTGAAGCGGAGTCGCAAACTGAGGCAAGGAGACGGTAAAGAAAGTGGGACTGAAGTTGGTTATCTCATTGATGTAAAGAAGTAAAGGACGGGCAGAAGAGCAAATGGGGAGGGGAAATTGGTGCCGAGTTCTTTAAATGTTGTCTCGAGGGTCGCGATGGAGGCGTCTCGTCAAAGCATTCAGTGCATCAAAGTGCATGGGCCGGAGCAACGATTTGAGCTGGGGTCTGGCCTTTGTGCGAAGGGAAGTTTCACAGAGGGCATAAAGTGCTTTATCGGCGACTTTGGATACTGTGCAGACCGGAAAAAAGGCGGGGGCACGTCCCCGTTTGCAAAAGTTGCTCTCTGCACATCACTTTTTATTGATGTCTCTGTCTGGCAGCATCGTCTTGGAAGGGTCTTGGCGCACCGAGTCTCCAGGGAGAGCACGCTCGCATCACGTGGACATCTGAGCCCGCGACCCTTTGCGAGAATGGAAGTCCACGTGATCTGCTTTCGGCTGAGTAAGGAGGCTCGCCAAGCGAACGCGCCTGCCACATCAACAAACTCCCAGCCTCACCGTCGCAACACCAACCTCTTCGGCGTCCCCTCCCTCCGCCTGCCCTCCGCTAACCCTCCATCTCACACTTCCCCCCAACACTCTCGCTGCCATTGCCTCTGTTGCGCGCCCGTTCGGTGCCCCGAGGTTGAATCTCACGCCCCCGAACACCCGTCAACGCCCCTCCCTCACCAGCGGACGCGCCGACCACAACACCCCCCGTCGCCTCTTGCGCGCATGCACCATCCTCAACCTCTCTCATTATCCGCTATATAGTCGCGACCATGTTCTTTCCTGAGCATCTGCTCTCTAAATCAGGCCCGCTGGCTCGCGTCTGGCTGGCGGCCAATCTTGAGAAGAAACTATCCAAGAACCAGGTCCTCCAGGATAAGATTGTCGATGACATTGGCGTTATCATCAGGCCAGAAGTTGCAGGAGGCCCCATGGCCCTGCGCCTAAGCGGCCAGCTGCTTCTCGGCGTTGTGCGCATCTACAGCAGGAAAGCGCGCTATCTTCTTGACGATTGCAATGAAGCGCTTATGAAAATCAAGATGGTATGTCTGCCGTTCTTGTCAACATCTCTTCACTTCTCACGCACTCACCCAAGGCCTTCCGCCCCGGGAACATCGATCTTCCCTCGACCCAGTCCCATATTGCGAACCCCGCTAGCCTAACCTTGGCTGAGACCATTACGGAGACGGACTTGCTGCTGTTGCCGATGCATGATCATTTGCTACCTCATCCGCTCGACATGAACAACAGTGGTTTAGATGCGGACGACCTAACCCTAGACAGCCAACAATATTTGTCAGGGAGTATCGAGAAGGCGCGTGCCGAGCCTATGGTGTTAGACGAAGCAGATGACCTTGGTCTCGACCTTGGTGATGACCTAGATCTACCAATGAACGCTTTCGACGAAGGTACCAGCGTCGAGGTTGGCCGCAATGCTCGTCTTGACCGACGGGCTTCTGAAGAATTTCCTTCGAGCCCCAAAATTTTCGAGGATGAGGGTGATCTCGGCCTGGATCTTGGCGAGGAAGACGAAACCGCGATCCCCATCGTAGGGGACATGAACATGGACATCGACATGGGCGGCATGACTGACTTGGGAGATGTAGAGGAGACTGTGGCCAACGGCGAAGATGCACTTGAACGCCGTGAGCGGGATTCAATCTCGCCTCTCTCTTCGATTCGATCCAGTGTTGAGCGAGATCTCGAGCAGACTTTCCAGCAAGACCAGAATACCGCCGCATTTGAGCCAGAAGAGGAAGAGGAAGAATCTGTTCACCAGGCCCACAAAGCCAAGCGCCGCAAAGTCCTTCATGCTGATGCCGACACCGAGATTCACTCTACCCAGATTCGGGAGCAGCAGAATGATCGATCTCGTATCTTAAAGCCAGCCTCTTTCCTCCCACGCGACCCTATGCTACTTGCTCTCATGAATATGCAGAGGTCAGGAGGCTTTGTTTCTAGTATACTAGGTGATGGCCGAAGCCGAGGCTGGGCACCAGAACTGAGAGGCATACTTTCCTTGGAAGTCGTATCACGAGCAGGCCAAAAAAGGAAGCGTGACAGCGGTGTCGCTGATTTCGATCCTGACGATGAAGACGCCGCTACAGGTGCGGAGAAGACGCCCCAGTTGGAAATTGATCAGGCAGAACCAGAACTGGATGATATTGCTGTTGACCTGGGTGGAGATGTCACTCTTGGACAGGGTGACGATATGTTCCAGTTCCCTAGTGATGCAGACGTTAATCCGCTGGACGAAGAGCCTTTGGAAGAGGAAGAAGCATTTTCACCTGTCCCGGACAACTTCGACGATACGACTGCCCCTCTTCTTCACCCCGCAGAGAGCGGGCCCATCTCACTTGGAACAAAGCATGCTGTCCACCTTCTACGTGAGCGATTCGGCCACGACGCAGAGACGAGCGAGTCCGAACGACAAAAAACAAGTGTTTTGTTCCAAGACATGCTCCCAGAGGCTACGACGACAAGGTCAGACGCTACCAAGATGTTTTTTGAGGTGTTGGTCCTTGCTACTAAGGATGCCATCAAAGTAGAACAGCCCGTTAATGAGCTCAGTGGGCCGTTGCGGATCCGTAGCAAGCGAGGGCTGTGGGGTTCGTGGGCAGAGACCTCAGCTAGCGGGGAGTTAGCTTCTCAGTCTGCACAACCAGCATCTGAGGCGGCTACCGTTGAATTATAAAGAGTGGTTCGGTTTTGTAGGACTTTTCTTTCACCTGCTTTAGCAGCGTTGAACTTATTTGGATCTGGCGGCGTTGGCTGGATACCCTTTATGTTTGGCATGGACTCGGGGAAGACGTCTTTTTAGGTGTATGGCGCAACGCGGCCAATGTGTATTACTACTTTGGGTCATTTTGATTGGTTAATGAAACATGTTCACGCCGCGACCGAAAAGATGAAAGCAGTTTCCATCCGAGTGAAGACCAAAGCTACCGGAGTTGGAATGACGTGCATTTGCCAAGACCTTGGAGCAGAACACGGACCGACAGCACTTCCGAGTGGTAAATTTTCTGGCCTCATGTTGCTTGCAGGTCACTTAGAAATGTTCTGATGTCAATGCGCCGCTTTCGCGTCCCAAATGTCCGACTTATCAAACCACTGTCATTGCTGCCTCGCGCTGTCCATGCCACCCTGGCACACCAGCCTGTACCTGGACCCGAAAGCACTCCAACCCCCCCGCTAAAGTCAAACCAAAATTTGATGTCATTCAATATGGAGACTGATATCCTACCCGTAGACCCTAACAAACTGGGTAGGATATCTGTTAGCCAATCACATGATGCGCTGGTGGATGAGTGGACCATGGAGTATACCGCGGGAAAGGATCTAGACAGCATGCTTCGCGCAGCGCAAGAACTAGCAACCTCAGATGTACCTGTCGCCTTTCCGACTGAGACAGTGTATGGACTCGGCGCCGATGCGACTCGGAGCTCCGCCGTACGAGCTATCTTCGCTGCAAAAGGCCGGCCTGCCGACAACCCGCTCATCATCCACGTCTGTTCAGTAGCACAATTAAAGGCTTTATTAAGGCCAGCTGGGACAGCTCAGGAGGACTACGATCCTATCCCGGAGGTATACAAGCCGTTGATTCAGAGGTTCTGGCCCGGTCCACTCACTATCATTCTTCCCAACCCAAGGAGCTCGGCCCTTTCTCCAGAGGTCACGGCAGGACTCAGCACGTTTGGCGCCCGCATGCCGCGGAGCATACTTGCCCTAGCGTTAATCCAACTGGCTGGTGTCCCTCTCGCGGCTCCTTCAGCAAACGCATCTACTCGGCCCTCTCCCACTGCGGCCGAACATGTCAAGGACGATTTAGGCGGGCGAATCCACACAATTATCGATGGTGGCCCCTGTGAGGTAGGTGTTGAAAGCACAGTGGTAGATGGGCTCTCTTACCCACCAACCATTCTGCGTCCTGGTGGCATCACCGTGGAGCAGTTACGGAAATGTCCAGGGTGGGAAGATGTACTTGTAGGATATAATGATTCTCCCGAAAAGGGGCTTCGGCCGAAGGCTCCTGGGATGAAGTATCGCCATTACTCCCCAAACGCCACCGTTTTCTTGTACGAGGCAGGTGCAAGAGTTCCCGAGCCCGAGAGCGTATTGAAACTGGCGAAAACTCACGGATCGATTGGAATCATTAGAACTAAGAGGTGGCCAATTGCCTTGAGTCTACCAATTATTCGGAGAACACACGAGGCCTGCCAACAGCCGAATATGGATTCGTACCCTATCCCGGTTCATAATGGCCAAACGGAACATTTAAAAACTTCCAATATCTTACGTTCAGTAATTCAACACCAAGCCCCTTACGCAGAACACTTGAAAGTAAACGACGACTTATCTCGCCCCGTGGATGTATATGACGTTGGCCTAGGCGCGGATGTCAACGCAGTAGCACATGGACTATTCTCCGCTCTTCGAGAGCTCGATAAAAAGGGTGTTGGTGTGATATTCGTGGAAGGTATCGATGACAAGGTTGGAGACGACATAGCGGCAGCCGTTATGAATCGGCTTCGGAAAGCCGCAGAAATTAGAGCATGAGAGATGTGAATATTTCCAACTGTTCGCTTCTCGTGTGCTGTTCCCAGCGCACTTCACTTTGCTGTACGCGAATCATGAGTGACTACCTCAATCTCGACCCTCATACCATCCAGGCCTAGCTTTGTAGCCCCTACAGTAGCCCAAATCGGCCAGTGCCGCTGTACCCATTTCTCGAAATTTCTCGCCATTGTTCCCAGAGCCTCATCGTTTAGCGGTAAATGGTACGAATTGAGGGTCAAGGCTTGCAACCACCCTCTTCCGCACAAGTCTACATTTGCAAATGCTTGGTCGATCTGGGCGTTGATCTTGATGTAGATGTGCTCCGTGAGGTAATACCACCCCCTGGTTCTTCTGTAAATCGAAGATTAGGAGATGTGGGGAGTAATTCTTTTGTCCTCCACGTTTAATACAATCACCAATATGAGCAGCTTGGCTGTACCTGTATTTTTCACGATTCTGCTCCCAGACCCCCTTTCAGTGGAACAATCGAGGTCGGAAATTTCTAAGGAGCTGGCCTTGGAAACGAAGAAATAAAGATGAATTAAGGTGCTCCTTGAGAGATCGAATTTAATGCGAACCTAAAAGGAAATTTGGATTTTAGTTTGCGAAGTTTTTAAATAAATGTCTCCCTCCTCCAATGCTCACGAAATGTTGTGGAAGTGTATATCTTCTCTTGGAAAGCCGCAATAAAGAAGTGCTGCCGGAGAGATGCTCATGCATATCCCAATACAACATAACCGGCATCAGGCTCCACGCGTAGATTCAGCTAACTGTGTTTCCTTTCAGCCATTTACCAGCACCAAAGACTTCCCACCACATCTTAACTTTCTGGATTCAACCAATATCCTTCAAGCATCCACCAGTGTTCGCAATGACATCATACTCCGGGAAACCCCTTCCTCTGAGCTACGTGATCACAGAGTTCGTGAATGTCGTGGAATGTTTGAGAGTGACAAATTAGAGCGATTATGGAAGATGAAAGCATGGGGGGAGAACTAGATGGAAACAAGAAAGGGAAGAGGTACCAAGACACCCTTCAGTACTGGACTTTCAACATCAAAAGGGCAACATTAAATGCGAAGGCAATACTGTCGTTGTCTTGTAAGATAAAAATGAGGTGACTCCGCCTATTAGCTGCACTCACGTTTGCACATCTTAACATCCTCTTGACAACACTATTACGATGCCAATTAGTTCGGTTCTGCCAAAATTGTCCACAGGTGTTCCTCACGGCACCTCAAACGCAGTTGCTACTTCTATTGACCCGCTGCGCCATACAATCCCGACATTCACTGCTCATTTAAGTAAGGAGGCCTCGGAGTTCCAGAGCGCCACGGGAATCGGCAGGTCAAGCTTTCATAAGCCTCTACAATATTCACACAGCGTCTTAGGTGGGTTTACTTTGCCATCAATTTCTAGTAGATCTATAGGCTCAAACTACCACACCCTCGACAGCACCTTCATCTCCGCGACCGTAACTGCATCGCTTTCACCCATATCGACTGTCATAAGTATGGGTCGAGGCGAGAGCAGCGAGACTCAGTCTAGGCCTTTGAAAACTTCCTATACCGAATCATTTCTACTATTCTAGATCCGCCATCCTCTGAGAGTCACCCAATTGCTCTCATTCCTGAAGCATTAGGTCCTACTTCTACTCTGATATGGTAAAGTTTGTAACCATGAACAACTCATAAGTCACCCGAGAAACTACATAACGAAGGACCTGGAGGAATTACAACACGATGAGATCTCATTGGTTACACAAGTTCAGTCGACGATACCGATGTCGCCCTTCAGGCACTATGCTAAGAGGGTACCAGCGAATGGCGGCGTGTGGGGAGAAAAAGGAGGGCTAGAGTGATGCTAATGAGTATTTAGTAGCGGCGCTAGTATCTTGAGTTCAATGGGGGTTGCCTTTCCCACAGGCACCGGAGGCTAATTTGGGGGGCACTGTAGTTCGTCATTAAGCCGCACTTAGGGAAATATCCGGCGCAACAGGAATAGACCGGTGCCGTCCCTCTACCTGATATGAATTGTGGCTGCCGGGCCTATGGTGTAGTCTGTTGAACTGTTAGTCGAGAGTACGACCAATCATGACGCGTTCTTCTTTGCCGTTGCCTGTGCAAGAGTCACGGAGTTATTGTGTCGAGAGTTCCGTGATAGACGCCTAAGCATTATTCAGCTCTATACTTCACATAGATAGATATACTTCGGTGGCGATTTCATGCATGGATGGGGGAAAGTGGATAGAGTATCAGGATCCAGAAACAAACTTCATGAATTTGGTCGGAGCCGCAATGTCCTCTGCAGCTAGAACCTTCCTGATGGAGAATTTAATGAACCGGGTAAATCCGGGCAGTTTGAGCCAGGTATTGTCATGCTTGAAGCCAATTTGGCACCGTAGAAGAAAAGCAAGCAATCCATCATCTCATAAGTTCATGACATCTTCAACGCCAATCCATGTAACCGAGCCCACACCACTTGGGCAGATGCCCTCACGCTCCTCCAGTCGCAATTTCGGCATTCGTCCTTGGTGTTTGGGGTCGATTTGGGTTTTGCCGTGATAATTGAGCTTGTTGAGGTTCTCCCCCCACTGGACGAAGTCCTCTGTGAATGTAGACTGCGGAGGCCCACAGGAGACTCAAAGTTGCTCCTATCCCTCGCCATCACCTGCTCCGTGGGCCTCGCCTCATGCTAATCGATACCGTGCTGGCGTTTGAAGTTGTCTAGGTTTTTCTCGCGCTCGGCAAGGTCGCTCTGCGCTTTTACCATCTTCTCAGGCTGGTGGTATAGAACTAGCAGGCAGATTAGCTAGAATACGTCTATGGCGCAGGCGAGGAGCCGGCCGTACCCACGAGGTAGCGGTTCTGGAAGTTGAAGCCATTGAGCTTGTCGCAGGCCTGCTTCGCATCCATTACGTCTTCATAGACGACGAAGGCGGTGCCCTTGGTGTTGTTGGCAATACCCTGGCGGATCTGGCTATGGCAGAGTCAGTACAGCACACGCGACGCAGCCGCAAGAAGAAACGACATACCGCACTGGGCCGAACTTGCCAAAGAGGTCGAACAGCTCTTCTGCAGAGACGTTATAGCTGGAGAATGATTTAGCGCATTCTTGAGCATCCGCGTGGGTGCAGAACTGACCTCAAGTTCTTCACGAAAAGAGCTCTGTGGAGGATTCATGTGTCAGTGGAGGTCGTGTGAGTTGGCCACGGCAACAGGTGTACGGGTCAAGCACGTCAAAGAAACACCCGACTTACCGGTTGACTTCTGGGGCAAGCTTTGCCGCGCGACTCATACTTTGGTGTCTTTTGTGGAATTCAGAGACTAGCTTCTGGGTGGGGTCACAGAAGAGGGCTGTGGTGGTGGAGTTGGGGATATGGTCAGTAGTAGTGGTCGGAGAAAGGTTGTTGGCACGACCGAACGCGGAGGTGCAGTGTCCAAGGGCCGATGGTGGTGGCATGGGTCATGTGATTGACCAAATTGGTAATGAATCTTGGAACGACCGCCAGCAGACGTAGCAACACGGTAGGAGCGCATAGGAGAGTGCAATTGAGAGAATAATTGCTCCCAGCGCAGGTCCAGCCCTATGATTGAAGCGTAGAATAGTGCTTCTGCAGCCTACTGGTTGGGTGGTGTCGATGGCAACCATCCGCCGCCTTACCGCGTTGCAGTACAACGCCCACCCAACATCGCAGCCGGCAGCTGTGCGCACTCGACACTCGTTCCTTCACGACACTGCTACGCCTTCACGTGCTCCCCCGCCGCGCACCTCAACTTGGCGATCCCGTCGTCTCAGGTTGCTGGTGGTGGTGCGCAGTCCTTGGTACTCGGTCGCATCGTGCTCGATCGGCCCGTTCATACCAGCTGCTCCTACGTCTTTTCCCCGCGACGTCCTCTGCGCGCCTTCATCCCACCAGTTCGCCCTCCACAACAACACGCTCGCTCATCATCCCCTGCGCGCCCGCCGCACGTGCCGTCAGGATATGCTGTCTCTCGCGCCCTGCTGCTTTGTCGACTGCCCTAAAAGCGCCGCCCCATAGTGCTTCCGACACACCCACCCCAGAAGCACCTCCGACGACACCCACCCCCATCAATCCGCGTCCCGACCGCACAATTCTCATTATGAGGGGCTCATCGTTCAAGGCGCAGTACAGGCTAGCTCCGCTACGTGCTGGTACACCTCCGCCGCCGGCCTACGAGCCTCTCTCTCCCATCGTCTCGCCGCCCGAACGCTCGCAAGCAACCCCCGCCGGCGGCAGCGACAGACATATCAAGTATGGCAACACTAGCACCAACGGAATCATACATCTGGCCCCAGCCCATGGCGAGGTTGACCGCTCCCGCTATCCTCGTAGCTCGCCCTCAGTGGCCTACAACCCGCCACTGCGCTCAGCGCCCCTACCTCGGTCAAACCCGCAGTACTCGCCCGCACTTGCATCTCCCATTGACGCTCTGGCAGATGCTGCTGTCTCCTCGTTACATGCAAGCCCAGCCTATGTAGAAAGCTCACGACCACCCTCTTATGGACCCGCCTCGCCGGCAACAGCTGTTCCCCCCCCACACGAGCGCTTGCCGAAGCGCCGGTACTTCGACGATGCGCTTCAAGCGTACGAAGAGCGCCCCTCCAAGCGTGCGCGCTCCGAGTTCTTCCCTTCTCCTCGGCAAGGCCAGCAATATTCGAGACCTGCTACAAGCCACATACCAGGATGGTCATACAACATTGAACAAATGATGGACAACGGTGTGCGCATGTATCAGGACAATGGCATTGTCGCCCACCATCCCGAGGATAGCAGCTCCAAGAGGCTCTCGGACGCTCAGCTGCTTCTCGACTTCCATCATGCCGTGAGCGCTTCGCACGGGGGCACGGAACTGCATGTGTCTACGTCAAAGAGGTGGAGCATCCCTCATCCGAACCGACCGGAACAACATAACTCTCAGACTGCCGACCCGATCAGTCAATATCTAGAACCCTCATACCCCGATGGCAATCGCTTCGATTATAGCTCCCGGCCGATGGACTGCCACTACACTGGCCCAGCGGATCCGCACTCGATCAGCACTGCTGACGCAAATCCTGTTGCGCAAGCGGTACAAACGCACACCCCTCCTGAAGAAATATTCATGACTTCCTTACCTCCCACAATTCCTGACGTGAATGCTGAAGAAGACAAGAAGTCAAAGAAACATCAGGGATGGCCCAAAGGCAAGCCACGAGGCCCTCGCCAAACAACCGCTGCAGGCAAGAGGAAGAAATCAACGCTGAAACTCAAAAATACCACAAACCCTGTCACGTCTAGACCTGTCGATCAACTGCATTCACCTCAAAGTTTGCCTGCAGATAGAAATGACGTCGGTCAAGTTGAAGAAGCGCCTCCTGTTTCGGAGCTTGGGCAGCCCTCATGCGATCTCGCGTCACACACTCGTCGCCATTCCCTTTCAATCATGTTTGCGCCCATACACTACAGCGCCATATCATCTTCGGCCTTTCCACGCGCTCAATCTGTTCCCTTAAATACAGTCATGACCATCACACCTCTTGCAGACCAGGCTAGTTCAAGCACTGCACACACGCACAACAGCGCTTCTCAAATGACGGTATGCGCCGGTTGTAACTCATCAGACTCCCATACCGTGATTGGAGAAGGGGAGCAATGGATCAGCTGTGATGGGTGCAAAGGATGGTTCCATTTCGTTTGTGCCGGGTTCAAGAGTGAACGGGAAGTACGTGATGTGGACAAATTTTATTGTGGCGCATGCAGCCCGGAATTCGGCAAGACGACCAAAGTCCGCAAGTCGGGGAGAGCGCACACCGCGGTGGATTACGCTGGCCTTAATGAAGGAATCCTAAAGACCTCCGACGACAATCCTGAGCATCACTACATCCAGGCCTTCAAGAATGGTGGTTTGCAGTTTGACCAGGAAACGTTCGCGCGCCTTCCACCAGAATTAGTGACAGCCGAGTACCTCGAAAAGACGAATGGCTTCAAAGAACCAATTGTCATCCCAGAAACGCTTAATCCCCGACCAAAATTTCCCAACTCCTCATCTCCCTCCTCAAACTCCAACATAGTGCAACCCAGTGAGTCTAGTCAGGGGCTATTCAGTTATGAGATGGCGTTAGACGACGGCCAGGATAAGATTGATATGGTCATTCCCCAAGGTCTCACCGTTCGTCGAGTAGCTGAGCTTTATGGCCCATTAGAAAAGGTCGATGTCATCGATGTGAAGTCGCAGGAAGGTGAGGACAAGAGATGGAACATGGCGAAATGGGCAGATTATTATGAGCAGGAAGGTGAAAAACCTGTTCGAAACGTTATCAGCCTGGAAGTATCACAAAGCAAATTGGGCAGGCTAATCCGCCGCCCGAAGGCAGTCAGAGATATGGACCTCCAGGATGATGTATGGCCAGAGGAGGACAAAGCCAACGCCCCCAAAGTGCAGTTCTATTGCCTCATGTCTGTGGCAGATTGCTATACGGATTTCCACATTGACTTTGGTGGCTCATCCGTGTACTATCACATCATCAAGGGCAAGAAGACTTTCTTCTTCATTCCCCCCACCAAACAAAACCTGAAAAAGTACGAGGATTGGTGCCTATCACCAAAGCAGGGCCACGAATTTCTCGGTCAACAGGTCAAGGAATGCTACAAGGTCGATCTCTCTGCAGGAGACACAATGTTGATCCCTTCGGGCTGGATCCACGCCGTTTGGACTCCTGAGGACAGTCTCGTCATTGGTGGCAACTTTCTCACTCGTATCCACTATGGCATGCAGATCCAAGTGGCCGAGATAGAGAAGAACACTAAAGTGGCCAAGAAATTCCGTTATCCTTATTTTCAGAAGGTCATGTGGCTCGCAGTGATCAAATACCTGGAACAAGATCCGCTGCCTCCATCCATCGAGGAAACCTTCTTGAGCGGAGGTATGTTTCAACGTCCTACGCCAGTATACTGTGAGCCCAATAAGTTCGGTCACAATTCTGATCTGGGTCCGGCAAACTACAACAAGCGCTATTACTCAAAGGCTGAGCTGGATGGTGTTCCTCAACTTGCAAAGTATATCTGGAAGACCATCATGATATCACTTGGTAGAATTGAAGGGATAACGAAAGAAACGAAGAACGCGGTGACAAGGTCCATCCCGAAAAGCCATGGCGACCCATTAGTGCTAGCTCGACGATTTGCTATGTGGGTGGCGTGGAAGAGAGGGAACGAACCTGTCCCTCAGTGGGGACATCCGGACACTATGCTCCCCGAAACTATGGATTCCAGAAGCGAGAAGAAACTGAGCGCCGCACAGCTCAAAAGGCTGGAACGAGACTCGTGGAGTGAGGCGATCAAAGCAGCGAGAGAACGACCTCCTCGGGCGACAAGAGCGGCCGAAATAGTTCCCCGGAACATTGCTGAAAGTCCGCTTTCAATTGCCCTAGGACCAATGACCCCTGTCCCCAAACAACCACGTCCACATATCGAGCCTGCGATGCATTTGAGCACTCCGAAGACGTCTCAGCTCGGCCCGAAGCGTATTGCTTGTGATGCTTGTAGGAAACGAAGAATACGGTGCAAGCACAAAGATGAGCTTATTGAAACAAGTCCCGGATCAGGGTTTGGAATTCCTCCAAACTCTGCTCTTCATTCGCTTAGCGGATCGTCTGGTAATTTCCTGGGATTTCCTCTGAAGCGACGTGTGAGTGAAGCTGATACTTCCTTTGGGCCACTCCTGAACGCAACGGGTGCACCAGAGGGTATGGCTACTGTGAATGTGGCGGGATATCCCTCTGATGGCAACGCAGACAATCACGCCATTAAATCTGGTCGAGTCAAAGCATGCCCTGATTGCCGTAAGAGCAAGGTGAGTCCGCTAGCTAATTCCCTTCACTCAAGCTAATAAATTTACAGCGACGGTGCATACACGACGAGAACGGCAACGTTGATCCCATCAAAGCTTCAGAGGCGCCGGTTCCTAGAGGCTCTGCGTCAAAAAAGCGACGCGTCAGTGAGGGAGATACTAATCCTGCCAGCAGAGATTTGAAGAACGAACCTTTGGCTGATTTCGAAATGGGGGGTGGGGAATGGAATCCGGAGAACCTTATCGAGACTCCCAGCCGTCCCAAGAGACTGGTCGAAACTAGTGATAGAATCAATGTGTATTCCTCCCAAAAGGTGGTAGAGTATACATCCATTGAGGATCCAATGGAATTAGACAACTCTACTTACCTATCCGAAGCGGATGGTGATACAATTACGGTGGCTGTATCCACTCATCTACCAGATGGCAATAGTGTCTTGTCCTCCATCGAAGACACTTCCGAACAATCTACGAAAGGTGTCGCGATCACAGTACCAGATGTCAGTCACATCAACTGTGTCGAACCACATACTCCAGGATCCCCCGCGAACACTATCCAGAACATGCTCGATGACATTGGTCCCAGCCAGAGACCAAGCGTCTCACCTGCTTACAGCAATATAACTGTTCGTCCGCACATCAGTGCTACTCCACATCTGTCCTGGTCTACAAGAGGCAGCTCCGGTGGCCGGAAAACTAGTCATACACCTCGCCCCTTGACGGCAGCGAGTACTACTCCGAAGTCCGCGGCAGCAAGCAGGGGACGGCAGGACAGCAAAGAAGGCTCGATTAAGGGGGAGCGAAAGTCACAGGCGATATCACCCGGGGCCAAAGATGAGGACCACGCAAGTTTAGCCCTTGCGTTGCAGCTCCAGATGGAAGAGCACGGCTTGAGGAGACGAAGCAAGTGAATATCTTTACTCAAACACTAAGTGCTCGTGAATCTAAGTTTCCTTTTGTTGGTTAAGTTCGCTAAAAGGGTTGCGATATCTCGGAGTTTCACAGTCACGGGGATAGTCTGGGTCTGCGGCTATTTTTTCAATCATGGAGAGGCGTTTATGGTGGCAGAACATCAGTCTCAAAGGGGGTAAATCGCGCTTCTTATACCCGCGGACATATCTCTGCAACTAGGTATGCCCTGTATTTCTGACTTTGAATTTCCCGGTTTAGGTAGGAAGTTTCCTATTTGACGGATTTTACGATCAACACAAGGTGTTGAGAAGGAGGAAATATGCGACGTTTCCCCAAGCTACACAAGTGTGTCGCTAGAAATTTCCATCCAGCGAAGTATATTAAATTTAGTTCAAGGATTTCAAACGTAGATATGGGTGGCGTACTGCCTCGGCGTTGATGCACTGCATCTTGCAATTTGACAGGTAATTCAAGACAGAGATTTGCATCTTATTGACCTACTATCTTATTCTAGCAAATATCTTAGCATATAAATTCTAACTGCTACCCTAACTATATTCCACGTTGTATGGCTACAAGCTACAGACCTTGGAGGTTGGGGTTTGTGCTGCGATGGTCATGTGCTCCACGCAGTTCAGATTTTAAGGTCATCCAAGACATCATGAAGTACACGCGCGTAAGTTCCACCCATAATCCTCAGTCATTTGGCCACGGAATGGAACACCTGTTTGTAGTGCTTGTGTGAAACTTTGACACTGTCTCATAGTCTTGGTATGAAATGAGCGCGTGGGCGTGATAAGTTCCTTGTGATGGAGATGAGCGTCTTGTATAAGACTGGTGGTTCTCCTTCGTCGATTACCTGGTGGAAATGATCCTGTATCCTCTACCAATTCCACAAAGCATATTCACTCGGGCAGTCACTGCAGGCCTCTTTCTTGCGCGAAAGCATTTGTTCACCGAAAGACAAGCGGACACATCCAGCCTCTAATAAGATTAGAATAACAGTTGAATATACTTCCTTTCGAGGGCGGTCGCAGCTTCGACCAGACGTAATGTGCTGGATAACCCTAAGCCCGGTCATGAAACGAAGGCTTCATCCTCGCCGGAAATACCGCCACCATCATCATAATCCTTCCGTCGAAGAGCTTATTCAAATCTCGAGCGACAACCCAATTGCGACAACTGCATACCCAAGCTATCGCCAACAAAGAGTCCGCATCATCACCCCGACACTCCCCATTCACTCCGACCACCACCATGACAGATACCACCATCCCCATCATCGTCCACATATTCCTCCGGATAAACTACATGGGCACGGTCAGAAAAGGGTGCCGCCTCCTCCGCCTCCAAGTCCATGCTCAGAAAGAGTGCGTGTGACAATCTCTGAATCCTCAGGTCCTCGAGTGAGGGGGGCGAGATACGGGACAGTAATTGCGGAGCCTGGAAGACAAGATATCAGAGAGACAACGAGGGTTGCGTTAAGAGAAGCTACGCCAGCGTGGGATAGAGGACGGCTGAGAAGGGTAGCGGGATATGAAGTCTTGAGCGCGCAAGTGCCGTGGGGTTGGGACTGTGTTAGTAGCACGGCAGGGAGTGGCACACGGAGAAGGGAGGGAAGAAGAGGGTTGAGATATCCACCGTTTGGGCCAGCGAGTAGTTGGATGTGAGAGATAATAGTTCTAGTTACGGCGCCTTTTCGCCTAACGTGGAGCATGACAAGAGAAGAGTTGAACCATTAAATATCTTGCTAGAATCGGGGAGAACATTAATAAGATGCAAGGTTGTCTTGAATTACTGCACTGTCATGTTCGGTGGTAGAGGGAGAACGATGCAGTAGTTTATTCGCTTTTGTGGACTTAAAATAGTATTGTGGTGGTCTGTCATGAGTCGGTGTTGGCAGACGTGGGTTCGCGATGGCGATGGCGATGGCGATGAAGGAGTGAAGGAGGGAAGGCAGCCAGGCTTGCGTGGAGCTAGACGCGCTCGTGCCACCGTGCCTTGAGCCTGGCGTGCCAAGACGTCGAGCTCCATGACCACCAAGATATGGACCATCTCCACCCACATTACCACGAATGCTCAACCTCACACCCACACAACCACACATCCATCCCCACTCCTCACATTAACGCGCAACCCCCCCTTCCCCCCTCCCTTCTCCTCCCCTCCCATCCCTTCAGTTTTCACTATCTCTTCCCTACAGGCTGCCATGGACTCGCTCGTGTCGCAGTACTCGCGTCCGGCCTTCTCTAACGAGGGCCCGTCGCACGAGGAGCAGCTCGAGCTGTCCCAAGCAGCGCCGGAACTTTCGCTCAAGTTTGCTCTGCCCCCCGTTTCCCTGCCATCAGCGTGGCTCCGCGCAATGACTGACGACTACTCGAACCCAAGCTGCCCCATCAAGATCGCCCATGGCACAACGACACTGGCATTCCGGTTCAAGGGCGGCATCGTCGTGGCGACCGACTCCCGGGCAACGGCCGGCAACTGGATAGCAAGCCAGACAGTGAAGAAGGTCATCGAGATCAACAACTGCCTGCTGGGCACCATGGCTGGCGGGGCGGCCGACTGCCAGTACTGGCTGGCCTATCTGGGCATGCAGTGCCGTCTCCACGAGCTCCGACACAAGCGCCGCATTTCTGTCGCCGCAGCTTCCAAGATCCTAGCCAACCTAGTCTACTCGTACAAGGGAATGGGCTTGAGCATGGTATGAGGAATTGCTCCTTTCTTGCCATGTCGTCTGCACTCTCTAGCTCTAACACATCGGTGACAGGGAACAATGTGCGCCGGTGTCACGCCCCAAGAAGGCCCCGCCCTCTACTACATCGACAGCGACGGCACTCGCCTCGCCGGCAACCTCTTTTGCGTCGGATCTGGTCAGACATTCGCCTACGGTGTGTTAGACGCCGAATACAGCTACAATCTCTCCGACGAGGCTGCCTTGGAGCTCGGCCGGAGAAGCATCCTCGCCGCCACCCACCGCGACGCCTACTCCGGTGGTTTCATCAATCTGTATCATGTGAAAGAGGACGGCTGGGTCAAGCACGGCTTCAGCGATACGAACCCCATATTCTGGAAGACGAAGCTGGAGAAGGGTGAGTTCTCTAACGTGACTGCCGAGATGGTGTAGCCTCGCCGTCATACATGGAGTGCACGAGTGGAGGAGTCGGACTGAGTTTTTGGGGCAGCGACTGCTGCAGTGTAGTTTCTACCTATGTACTAGATAGACTCTCTTCCCCAATGACAAAGGTGACCTTGCCTTTAACAACTCACTTTTCAAGGGTCATATTCACATCAACCCAAGGTTTTGGTCTTCTTCTGCCTCTCCATGACCTTCAGCACGTCTACCGCGTTGTTTTTATCACCCTTCTTCTTCTTTGGGCCTCTCTTCCTCTTCTTCCCCCCTTTGCCAATGCCCCCATCTTCCTCATCCTCGCCCTCAGCCCCAAGCCCCTTCCACTCGGAAAATTTGACCCTCTCACCTTCCATCTCCATCTCCTCTGCGTCGTCATCCCGACTCGCGCCAAAACCCATATCAAGATCCTCCATATCTCGGTCAACCGCCGCGAGCAAGGTAGCGCGTTTCTTGAGGTGGATTTGCTCCTCGGTGTGGAAAAGAGTAGAGTCAGTGTCCATTTGGCGGACTTTTCTGAGCGCGGCGAGAACAGTAGCATCTGCAGGTGGTGCAAAGGCAATTTCTGAGATGGAGGGGGTAGCTTTAAAATAATTGCGGCGGGACAATGGTATGGCTGGTTCCTCAGAGCCGGATCCTAAGGGTGCTTGTCCTAGAGTTTCCCGTTCTTCATTCTCTCCACCTTCTTCATGATTAGCTCCCTCCTCAGCCGATTCAAAAGGATCGGCCTGAGCCTTTTCATCATCTGAGTCGGCTTCATCCTCCAGCCCGACGAGCGGATTGTAATTCGAGCCTACGCCTTCGAATATGTCCTCATCTTCCTCTGCCTCTGCCGGAGGAGGCGGTGCTGGTATGTTGTGTAGGTTGAGCGCCTTTTGATCGCCGTCTAACATTTCAAGCTTCTCGTGTTCGATAGGCTGCTCTTCGACTTTCCTTTTCTTGACCTTACGCTTCTCCTTTCCGTCAGCGTCTCTGATAACAAGAACCTCCCTGCCATTCTTGTCGGTCTCGAGCCATGATGTTTCGCCATGATCCCCAATCTTGCGGAACCCCTTACCCAGGGCCTGATATCTCCTCTCGTGTTCAGCGGTAGCCGCCTCAGCTGCATCCTTCCTTTGCGCCTTCAATTCTGCCAGTATCGCATCGCGAGTCCGCTTTTGCCCAACAACTGGCGGTGGAGGTGCAGCTTCCCCCTTCTTCTCTGCCTTCTCTCTCACAATCGGTGCCACTTCCTGCTGCTCGAACTGGTCGAATTCGTCCTCAGCATCCAACGATACGTCATAGTCATCCTTGGGAGTGGCCGAGTTTAACACATTCTCGCCCCTCTTCACGCGCTCCAGCAGTTTCCTGTCCAACCCTTTCACAAGATGGGTCGAACTTATGTCACCGCCTGTAATCTCTCCAACGAGCTGCTCGAATACAGTGCGGTCTATTTGACCCAGCTTCATAGCCTCCTCCAAGGCCTTAATGCGCTGCGCTTTCTCATCACTCTCGTCGTCTACGGGATGCTTGGTGCGGTCAGTGTATCCGGGTGCAAGCTTGACGCCTTTTGGGGCCGAGGATTTAAACCGTTTCACGGGATTTACTTTGGTATTGCGCTCAGCGAGTTGACGGGCGAAATCTGCGTTCGTAGAGCTGCCTCCAGCCTGCCGCCTAAGAGTAATTCAGCATTGTGGGAGGGTGTCGCCGTGTGCATTGCAGCAGACTTACGGTGTCATGAGCATGCTCCTGCGGGCGCCTAACACAGGCATAGCCGACGGTTGGGAGGAGACTCCATCTTTTCGCGCCGAGTTCTGCAGGATCAAACGGCGGAACTGCTCGTTGTTCATGTCGACACAGCGGGCTGGAGGAACATTTCACAGATGAGATGAGGCGGTTGGCCGCGATATTACTGTGGCGTCTCTGATTAGTGGCATGCATGAACCTTGTTATCTCACGAGTCAGACCCTCGACCCAGAATCGCCCTTAACTTATTTAGGAATAGACAGAACTTCTAAAACTTCTAAGCTAATTAAAACTTCTAAGAACTTCTAAAAACTTCTAAACTAATTAAAACACACTAAATAAAAAAAAGGTAATTCTATTCTAAAGGTCTAAAGAAAAATAGTAGTTATTTATATATATTTTAATTTATTTATTAGCTATTAGCGTTGCTATCTTTAACAGCATACTTTACCCCCTAATACTGTGTTAAAATTTTTAAAATTATTATTACTATAAAGCGCTTGTTCTGCTCTATAATATACATTAAATATAGACAATGCTAGCACTCTATCTAACGCGCTAGCAGACGCACTAGCAGACGCGCTAACTATAGCTTTATTTAGTAACTCCTTTTTATTATTAAGCCTACCTTCTAGGCTCTTTTAGCTAATAAGTAACCCTTTAATTAAATAAAATAAGAATATGTTTATGCTAGATTAACTTATAGACTATAATAATAATGTAGGTGCCTTTAGTAACCTTACCTAGGCAGGCAGGATCTCTAGCGCCTCCACGCGGCGTTATAGTCCTATGTCGCGGCGTGAGAAGTTGCAGTACATAGTAGACGCGTTGTAGACTGTCTAATAGAGCTTTTAAGACTTTATGCTAAAATAGGTAGACAATAAGAAGAATAATACACTTCTTTAGCATTACTAGTATTATAAGGCGTGTAACAGGCAGTGTGTACTAAAGACTTTAATAGACTTACTCTTTAAAATAAAAGTTTTTTATATAAAAAATGTAATAAATTATTACACTTTAAAGCTAGATTAGCTAGTATAAAAGATATACTTTAAAAATTTTAATTTTAATATAAATATATTAACACTTAACTTTAATAATGCTAGTTAAACTATTTAAAATTAAGCGCTAACTTAGTATAACTTTATTATAAGCATATTACATAATTTACACTAGGAATATGTAAGCTACTAGAGTGCTAATAAGTCTAATGTAATTAAAAAGCGTGTGTTTACTATTACTAGTATTATATACTTCTTTTAAGCTAAAAAAAGATTAAACACTTTAGCATTTATACTAGATGCTTATTTTATTAAGTTTAAAATAAAGCGTTGTGTAATTAAGGTCTTAAGTAGACTTAAGTTATATTATTTATATTATTACACTAATAAGCTAATAAATAAAGTTATAAAAAAAGCTTAAGTATATATGCTATTTAGTACTTTTAATACTTCTAATACTTTTAATACTTTTAATACTTTTAATACTTCTAAAACTTTTAAAACTTTTAGAACTTCTAAAACTTCTAAAATTACTTATAAACTTTTAGGCTAATAAAAACTAATAGTGCTAGAAAGAATAAATTATAAGTTTTTATAAAGAACCTAAAGCTAGTACTTACATATAATAACATTAACTTTATAGATTGCACGCGCTATAAGAAGGCAGGCTATATAGCTACTATGCAAAGCATAATAAACGCTGTAGCTATTTTAGCTTTTAAGCTACCTAAGTTAGGTCTTACTTAGTCTATGCATAACCTAGTAGTTCCTCTAGATTTTAAGGACATTATACTTAGCCCTAAATTAGATAAGCTAGATAGTATTAATAATAACATATTCTAAAGTTTTATTACTAATTTAATTAAGTGTCTTTACCTAAAAGCTGTATTATATGTCTTTAGCAGCAAAGCATCCTTTAAATACTTAGTATTCTTTATTTTAGACTACTTACCCTTAGTTAAAACTAAGTATTATTAGTTAAGTGCTATATTTAATAAAAAAGGGTCTATTAGTAAAACTTATAAAGTTTATAATACTATTTAGCTAGATTAATTAAGTTTAAATATGCCTAACAACTTTGCTAATATTTTTAGTAATAATTTTAATAATTACTTTTAGTTATGCTATAGTAATTAGCTTACAGTGTGTAATATCTACTTAATATAAAGTAAATAGGTTTAAGCAACTTAACTATATAACAAAAAGTAGTAGTTACTTAGTGTTCTTACATAGTTTTATATGTAGATAAACCTTCTATTAACTATTAGCTAAACGCATTAAGGCCTAGTTATAGTAGACAAGGTTGCACACTATACTATTAAGTTAGATGTTGTTATGTAGTGTTAAACATAGCTTATATAGGACAATAGTAAATACTATTTACTAGAACTATTAGTTATTTAGAGGTTTACATTCTATGTTACTGCACTATTCTATGCTGCTATGCAACGCTAACGCTTTTTTTTAGAACACATAACTAATAAGTTCTCTTTAAAGCACTTTAGTTATGTAAAGAACACTATTAAAAATCTTTTAGTAAATAATTTCTTATAGTTAGTTAAAAACATACGCACTATTACTTTTAGGCGTTAGGTGTAGAGTTCTAGCGCTAGTGTAGATGATGTTAAGTTCTGTACTATGTGTTGCATGCTTTAGGAGATTAAGCTCTTCCTTGCAGTACACTATGCTATTAGGTACAGCAATATTAGCATGTTATAACACCTTATAAATCCTCTTATTATTATTTTCTTTAGCGCTAGGCAGATAAATTATAGCTAGAAGATGCTTTAGTATTGCTAGCTTCTCTTGCTAGCTAACACTATAGAGTTACAGCATGCTATCCTTACATCTAGTCTTATAAACTAGTATAGACAGGAAAACATGTTTAAGCTAATTAATCTAGGCCTAAAGCATTTTAACTATAGCTATAAAATTAATTTAAGAAACTATAAAAACTCTATATATAATATTAATTAAGTGTTTAACTAGACTTGCCTCTGTAATGTTTAGGTAAAGAAAGTGCAGATAGTGTTAAAAAGGGTCTTTAGTAAAAATATGCTTAGTAGTTATACTTTTACTATTACTATTTAAAACATGTTCCTTTTAGCTTAAACACTTATTATAGATAAATTAGCAGCGCTTTAAAACTTAAATAATTTAGTAAGCTATAAGTTCTTTAACTTATTTAATATATACACTGCTAGAATAAATATGCTTAAGGTAAAGGTTAATAAATTTAACTGCGCACATGTGCAGCTTTAAGGCTCTATAGACCTTCTATATCTAACTGCCTAACCTAACACTACAGATAATTCTAAGTTTACTAATATTACTAAGTACACATGCGCAGTTAGAGATAAGTTTAATATAATTATAGACCTAGCAATTACTAGTAGTGCTACTAATTAGATTAGAAGCTAACAGAAGTTTTAATAATTAATAGCCTTTTATAATTACATTAAAAGTTTTTAGGAGTCTATAGAAGTTTCCTAGAGTCTATAGAAGTTTCTAGGAGTCTATAGAAGTTTCTAGGAGTCTACAGAAGTTTCTAGGAGTCTACAGAAGTTTCTAGAAGTCTACAGAAGTTTCTAGGAGTCTGTAGAAGTTTATACAAGTTTACAGGAGTTTATAGACAGTAGAATTATAAAGTTATATACAACATTAAAAAAGCCTATTTATAGGCATTCCTTAAAATGCTTTTATTAAAGCGTTTTTATTAAAGTGTTTTAATTCTAGTATTTTTATAAAGCTGTATTTATTAAACTGCGTCTATTAAACTATGTCTATTAAAGCGTGTTTATTAAACTATGTCTATTAAAGTATGTCTATTAAAGCGTTTCTATTCTAGCATTTTTATAAAGCTGTGTCTATTAAACTGTGTTTATTAGACTGTGTCTATTAAAGTGTGTCTATTAAAGCGTTTCTATTCTAGCATTTCTATAAAGCTATGTCTATTAAACTGCGTCTATTAGACTATGTCTATTAAAGTGTTTCTATTCTAGTATTTTTATAAAGCTATGTTTATTAAACTATGTTTATTAAATTATGTTTATTAAAGTGTGTTTATTAAACTATGTTTATTAAAGCGTGTTTATTAAAGTGTGTCTATTAAAGTGTTTTTATTCTAGCATTTTTATAAAGCTATGTCTATTAAACTATGTTTATTAGACTATGTTTATTAAACTATATTTATTAAACTGTTTCTATTAACTAGGTAGCTTATAAGTTAAAGTTATTATATATATTACATGTATAACTGCCTAAATATAAGGTAGTGTTAGCATAAAAGTTTCTGCCTAGCATAAGTGTAAAGTATATAGTGTTACTGTAGTATAAAGCAGTGTTTATAATAAAGATATTATAGGCGCTAAAGTTATTATTATAAAATAAGTACACTAGTGTATGTAATATTTATCTATTTTAAGCTTATCTATAAGTCTTAAAAAATTATTACTAATTAGATATACTAGCGCACAAGCTACTCTACCTCTTATCTAATAGTAAAGTAGTAATAGTAAATATTATAGGCGCTATGTTTACTACTTTTACTATTATACCTGTTAGAATACCTATTACTGTTGCTGTAGTAAAAGCTATATTTACTATATATACAAAAGTTAAACACTATTTTAGTATAAGTAAAAGTTAAGCTAGAAGCTATATAAGTATTAGTTAAACACTAGTAGTTAAAGTAGTATAGTCTAAACTCTAAACTTTAAAAAAACTAAGGCTTAAACTAACTATTTTTAAGCTACTAAAGATATAAGCTGTCTTAATAAGCCCTACTTTAAAGCCCTTTTAAGACACTAGCTAAAGCTAGCATAAAGTTAAAGCTTAAATAGTAAAAAACACTTTACTAAGTTAACTTAACCCTAACACTTTAGTGTTCTTTTTTATATAGTACTTAAAGCTACTCTAGAGACAGTTTAAAGCTGCTGTAATAAAGGTATATATAAAAGTTATTATATATTAATGTTGTCTTACTAAGCCTTATTACCTAGATCCTTCTAAGACACTAGCTAAAGCTAGCATAAAGTTAAAACCTAAATAGTAAGAAACACTTTACTAAGTTAACTTAACTCTAACACTTTAGTGTTTTTTTTTATATAGTACTTAAAGCTACTCTAGAGATAG